GAGCTTGATCCCAGTCCAACGCCTCGTCATCGTCGTCTTCCTCAAGTGGCCTGATGACATCCTCGTTCCCAGCTCCAAGACCCCATCCACCCCCACGCTGGTGGTACGGCCGCGTTGGCCCCTTATCAATCCCCCCAATTTTCGGAGTCTCTCCACCCTCTTCCTCGTCCTCTTCCTGAAGTTCATCTGTCCGCGTAGGCATCGTTGCCCACCCGCCGACGATCCCAAGCACACTCGCCGCTCCACAAGAGCCAATACGCCCCCGTCGGTCACGGGGGCGCCCGGCAGACAGGAAACTGGGCGTTGCTGCCCGAGGTGCTAGACCATGACCATGTGAAAGCCGCTGGGGGTTCGAGACTAGGCGGAGGAGAGACTCGATTGCTGCTTCGCCTGCTGAGGGCTGGATAATAGGTGAGTGCAATGAGAGCGGTGGAGAGGGAGAGCGGACGCGCCGCTCAGACGTAAGAACTAGCAACCTAGCGAAGGAGTCAGTAGTATTTAGATTTCAAGGTGATAAGGCACACACATCTGCTGCAATCTCGGTTGACGGAAGGGACTCAGCCGAGCGAGCATATCTTTCCCAAAAGGAAGCGACAGCAGATTCTGTAGACGGCCGTAGATAGGAAGTACGACGCGATCGCGGAACGCACATAGGGCAACGCTCCGAACGTCAATCGTCGGAGATAGCGAAGTCAGCGTTGATGAGCCATTCAATTTACTGCCTTGTCGCGTGGGTGAAGAGGTCCGATGTTGTTTTTGCGTACGATGCAACGAGGTCAATAAAGGATCCGTTTGCAATGGTAATAGGACCTAAAAGGTGATGGTCTTAGAATGTAAACATAAGCCATTATTGTACAAGACAACTAACCCCCTCGATATACGGGAGTATTTGGTCCCAGAAAAAGCCCCAGATCTCAATGACACGGCCCAATAATGCTTCGTCTGAAATATTAGAGAGCTTGGCGTTGAGAGTGACCATGCCTGCTGCAATGAGCTCGCGCGCGTCTGTTTCGAGAGTTGCAAGGGTTTTCGAAGGGGACACAGCTAGCACCGTTTGTATGTGCCGCCGGACAAGGGCGTTAAGGTCTTCTCTGTGTATCATTAGACCCTATAGATCAGGACAATTCGTGCAACGAACGTACATAGGTACGCGTAATGGCTCCTCATTGAAGAGGGGGAGGACATGTACATGTAGTGTGCGCCAGGGATTATCCTTGTCTGTTATACCCACGCTTGATGCACTGGTATGAAGTGTGGGAGCACTTGCGATACCGCTGCTGGATGGCGAGGTTGAGGGCGTGAGTACGAGAGGAGGTGCAACAGGACAAGTAGATAAGGAGGGGGCAATGCTGGGATTGAGACCTGCGAGGGTCCCGAGGCGGTGCATTTCTCGTGAAACGAGCTTCGCATCGTAAGTACGGGTGGAGGAGGGCTAAGATGGTGAACGTCAATGCTGTGATTGTGTGATGAACGGGAGGCATACCTTCGAGGGAGATGTGTGTGATTTGAGGGTATTCGAAGATGCGACAGAAGCCATTATCGAGGATTGGGAGGCTGCAGCTTCAGCACGAGAATACAAATGTGACCTGTCGCTGTGGTTGAGGTGTTTCGAAGGAGATGGACTCGTATTCTTGGAGTTGCTGGTACTGCTCGAAGTAAAGAAGCCTAATCTTCTCGAGGATTGTTGCAGTGGCGCGGCAAGGAACGGATCGGAACTAAGGATATTAATGTTCAGATCGTGACGTGCGTGCGGTGCAGAACCATCAAAATCAGAGTGATCTTCAACGTCAAGTGATGCTTCCTGCTGCTGCCGGCGGCGATCATGCTCGTGGTGAAAAGTGGGCAGGGCTAAGAAGGGACCCGAGCGGAAAACGTATGGTTTTGGACGCGGTGTTACATCACTGGAGGATGCAGACCTGCGATGATCACCATGCTTACGCTTGGGATGACTGCTGTCGCTCTGCTCGTCATCACCGTCATCAATGACAAAAGTCGGCGACGGTGGTGTCGGGGGCCCACTGTCATATGACCGCCTGGCGCGGCTGAGCAGCATTTTGGAGGCAGGTAGTACTTGACTCTGGGGTGCAATTGAAGAGAAAACATATTGGTGACGGACCTTATACTTCAAATAGGCACAATAGCAACTGTGGGATCGTTGACGACGATTATAGTTTGCACTAGCGAGCGGAACTTGGTGGCTGTGTAATTGAGTGAACCCTTGGTTATGAGGGAGTCGCTTAGTCAGCGCGGTACCGACAAGGCGGCTGTGTCGCGATTCAGGAGAGCGCCCGCTCGCTGTCAGTGGCGACGAGCGGGTGTTTACTTGCATTTAATAATATTTATATTGACACACACATCACGTGAACATGATATCATACCGACGTCAGCCCATGCAGCCCCTAGTACTCGAAATCAGTATAAAAGACGGGGAATGACATCCGAATTCCCTAATTTCATTAATAATTACAATCATGTCTGGTTCGTCCCGCATCTTCAGCCGTCTCCTCATGACACACTCACGTGCTCGTCATGTCTCAGGAACCAAAGAACACACCAAAGACACAGCGCGTGTTGTTGCTGGCCTGAAAGCGGCTGTCCACAACCCTAATGTGTCGGATGAGGCCAAGGACAATGCCTTGAAACGCCTTGAAGAGATGGGCCAGTCAGCGGACCCCATTACTCCAGCGCAAGCGAAAGCTACCCAAACGGCGGCAGCTGAGGCGCACGAGAAGAATGTTCTACGAGGCTATAAGGCAGCGACATCCAGTACGCCGGTTGCTTGCTAGAGCGCACCGTCTTGTTGATTCGTGCAGATCCCAATGTTTCAGAGGAAGCCAAGCAACACGCCAGAGAAGTGTTGGAGGCTGCTGGCATCCAGCATAAACTTGATACACATTCAGATGAGGAACACCAACACCGAGTCCTTGCTGGATACAAGGCGGCCATCCATAGTAAGATTATCCCCGTACCGCATAGGATCTCTAACCATCGTTTCCGTCTCCAGATCCGAACGTTTCAGCCGCGGCCAAGCAACATGCTAGAGAGTATCTGGCAGACAGTGGGTTTACCGATGTGATTTGATTGAAAAGAAGCTGTATGGGATGCTCGTATTTGAATCGCATGTTTCGTCATTGCATTAAAGGTATCATTATAAATGCCTGCTGTTACTTACTTTGAGAGCTCCTCGAGTCGAATCAAAACTCTATCTACTCTGTCCTCCAGACCCTGAACATTCCCAGCGACTGTCCCCTTGTTAGCTTCTAAGCTGGTCTCCACGTCCCCGACGGCATTTTTGAGAGCTTCCAGAGCCTCCCTTGTCTTGCGTTGCTCTTCCTCGAGCGCCGCCATCGTTCCTTGAAACTCACCAGCAGACGCATGTAGTGCAGAGAGGGTACGCAAACGAGTTAATATATGTGGGATGTGCGGAAGTGAAGGAGCCAGACGTGATAACAGGGGAAGGAGTGCATCCTGGGTCATTGTACTCCCAGGCTGCTGTGAGTGTTGTTTTTGCGACTGCGCGGTAACACGCTCAAGATCGGACAACAGAAGTTTCAATCGACGAGAGATGGAATCGATATGCCGCGGTTGAGTCAAAAGCATCAATTGTGAGTTCAAGCGCGTGAGCATAGGAAGAAGAGGTGGGGTCATTGGCGTGGACTGAAACTTGAGGTTAACACTATGTGTGCATTGGCACAGAGAACCACACACCTCATCCAAAGTCGCGCTTACGGAGCCTACTAGCTTCTCTAGTTCTCCCACTCGCTTGTCCATTTCAGCGACGCCTCGAACTTCCGGTACTCCCTCCCCTTTCGTTTCATTCGCCTTGCCATCGGTACTGTGAGGCCGTTCCGCGTCTTCTTCACTGTCTTCCCTGCCATCATCACCGAGCACTACACCAACCAATCTCCCTCGTCCCTCACGGCCCATGCGGACTTTCTCTAACCGTCTCCGCACATCTACTAACCCTCTTATCATCTCACCAGCATCAACACCCTCAGCTTTAAGTGCAGGATTCGACGGATCCGCAACCTCACCCTCCAAAGCAGCAAGCTCAGCTTGTAGGGCTCGCAGGCGCGCCGGGAGAGGCCGTCTACTCGGTGATGGTGAACGTGACCGTGAGGATGTCGATGATGGGGGGTATGCAAAGCGTGATTCCTGGCCTGATGTACGGTCAGCTGTGAGTTAGAAGATACACTTATAAAGGAATACAACGCACGACGCCGTTCGGCTCTTCGAAAGTGTCTGCTCGCATCTTCGGCACTGATCAAGTTGCTGTTGTCGAGTTCTTCTTTCGAGGTATCTGCACCTCGCTGGGCGCGTATCCGTGGACCTGAGGGTTCATCAGAATCAGAATCCCCTCTCTGAAAGAGATCAGTTGTTTGTGGGCAGCATCTTAGGAACAAGAGAAGTATTTACGTTGATATCAGAAGACGGAAAGACGTCCTCCGTTTCATAGACATCTGGTGCAGTGTCCTATCACCAAGCAATAAGTGAAGCTACCACACAAACAGTAGCAGTATTACGCACGATGTCGGGAAGATTGGCATATTTGTTCGCGCTCATCGTAAGCTCGAGCGTTCAAAGGTTCACAACGTTTAAACTTTACAGTGCACTTTGTCCGATAGACTGGTCGCGTCCATGTTAGACCCCGTGGGAACCCTCAATTGCAAAATGTACCAAAAAAGCGTCACCTGAGCGATTCGAACACTCGCGGGCAAAGCCCAACCGCTTAGCTGTATATAGCAGGCGATCCCGTTAACCACTCCGGCAAAGTGACTTGTTTGATTGGCAGAATAAAGGATATATCACCACATGTCGTGCCCAATATCAATGACAGTTCCGCGAGATCTTGTTCTTACAGATTTTACGAGCTCGCGAACAGGCTCGACGGTCCTGCCGATGTCGTAGATCCCATTTCTCCAAAGAAACATATTCTGCTCAGTGTTAGCGTCAATCTCATTGCGATATCACTTTTCCTGTATTCTTCCATAGTCCCCACGGCAAGGACTCTCATTTCTTCTCCGGGTGTCAGTGCTCGAATTTCTATTTCTGTGCGTATTGCAATTCAAACATATCCACCTAGATTTTATACTCATGATTCATGAAAGGCACAGGGTCGTCTTCGCCCAATTGCCACGGCGCTCTTCAGCTTCATCCTCACTGTGTTCTTGACCAATGACAAGTCCTCGTGCAACTGATTATGATAGCATAGCAGACAGGGTGCAAAAGTGTCGAGCGGACTTGCAGAGCTGTCCCCCCGGTCATCCTTTTCGATCACGGTGTCTCAACAATCTTGCCCAGAGCCTTCAAAACAGATTCGAGCAGCGGAGCGTCCAGTCCGACCTTGATGAGGCCATAGAGCTATATCGGGCTGCACTACTCCTTTGTCCCTCCGGTCATTCTCATCGATCAACGGTTCTCAGCGGTCTTGCCGCCGGCCTTCAAGACAGATTTAAGCAGCGGGGCATCCAGTCTGACCTTGATGAGGCCATAGAGCTCCAACGGGCTGCACTACTCCTTTGTCCCCCCGGTCATTCTCATCGATCAACGTTTCTCAACAATCTTGCCGCCGGCCTTCAAGACAGATTCGAGCAGCGGGGCGTCCCGTCTGACCTTGATGAGGCCATAGAGCTCCAACGGGCTGCACTACTCCTTTGTCCCCCCGGTCATTCTCATCGATCAATGTTCCTCAACAATCTTGCCATCAGCCTTAAAAACAGATTCGAGCAGCGGGGCATCCCGTCTGACCTTGATGAGGCCATAGAGCTCCATCGGGCTGCACTACTCCTTTGTCTCTCCGGTCATTCTGATCGATCAACGTCTCTCAACAATCTTGCCAACAGCCTTCATGACAGATTCGAGCAGCGGGGCATCCAGTCTGACCTTGATGAGTCCATAGAGCTCCATCGGGCTGCACTACTTCTTTGTCCCTCCGGTCATTCTAATCGATCAACGTCTCTCAACAATCTTGCCCAGAGCCTTCGAGACAGATTCGAGCAGCGGGGCGTCCCGTCTGACCTTGATGAGGCCATAGAGCTTCATCGAGCTGCACTACTCCTTTGTCCCCCCGGTCATTTTGATCGATCACGGTCTCTCAGCAATCTTGCCCAGAGCCTTCGAAAGAGATTCGAGCAGCGGGGCGTCTCGTCTGACCTTGATGAGGCCATAGAGCTCCAACGGGCTGCACTACTCCTTTGTCCCTCCGGTCATTCTGATCAATCAACGTCTATCAACAATCTTGCCATCAGCCTTCGAAACAGATTCAAGCATCTGGGCGTCCCGTCTGACCTTGATGAGGCCATAGAGCTCCATCGGGCTGCACTACTCCTTCGTCCCCCCGGTCATTCTAATCGATCAACGTCTCTCAGCAATCTTGCCGCCAGCCTTCGAGACAGATTCGAGCAGCGGGGCGTCCCGTCTGACCTTGATGGGGCCATAGAGCTCCATCGGGCTGCACTACTCCTTTGTCCCCCCGGTCATTCTGATCGATCAACGTCTCTCAACAATCTTGCCATCAGCCTTAAAAACAGATTCAAGCAGCGGGGCATCCAGTCTGACCTTGATGAGGCCATAGAGCTCCAACGGGCTGCACTACTCCTTCGTCCCCCCGGTCATTCCAATCGATCAACGTTTATCAACAATCTTGCCCAGAGCCTTCGAAACAGATTCGAGCAGCGGGGCATCCCATCTGACCTCGATGAGGCCATAGAGCTCAACCGGGCTGCACTACTCCTTTGTCCCCCTGTTCATTCTCATCGATCAACATCTCTCGACAATCTTGCCATCAGCCTTCTGAACAGATTCGAGCAGCGGGGCGTCCCGTCTGACCGTGATGAAGCATTTAGGCTGTATGTGCAACTCTCCTATCTATCTCATGCAGTCTCCCGTAGGGATCTTACTGTTGCCAAGTCATGGGCCACCTCTGCCGAAAAGACGAACCATGACTCTGCATTATTTGCCTATAAAACTGCGTTGAAATTCCTAGATCAGCATGTTGCGATGTTGCCGTCTTCTCCACATCTATTTGATGTCGTCAGGATGGCCACAGCTTCGCTTGCCATGGACGCTTTCTCGTGCAGTGTTCGTCATGGTGCACTGACAACCGCTATGGAACTGGTGGAGCAAGGTCGTGCCGTATTCTGGACCAAGTTGGCACGCTTACGCTCACCGCTCGATGAACTTTCCCTGTCCGGTGACACCGGCGCAGCCTTGGAGAATGAGTTCAAGCAGCTGAGCTTTGGCCTTCGTAGCGCGCTTGATCAGTCTACTGAAGAGCAGTCCCCACAAATCCGACAACTGACCATGCAATGGAATGATGTCGTCTCCCGCATCCGCATGCTGCCTGACTTTTCTCGGTTTCTCCTGCCCCCCCTTTTCTCCAACCTACAGAAGGCTGCTGAAGAAGGCCCTGTCATCATCGTCAATGCAAGCCAATATGGCTGTGACGCCTTGATTGTCTTCAGTGCACAAGATCCTGTCCACGTTCCACTCGATATCCCGCAGACTGAAGTCTCCGAGTTGTCTTCGGAATTTCAGTCCCTCGCAGAGGAATTTGGTGCTTCTGATTGTCAATACAGACTTGTCAGCATCCTCCGCAAGCTTTGGGGTTGTGTTGTTGATCCTGTGGTCCAAGCTCTTAGGGCGTCTAAAATTCACCATGGCTCGCGTATCTGGTGGTGCCCCACTGCTGAGTTCACGCTTCTTCCTCTACATGCAGCAGGACCGTACGAGAAGAACAAAAACAACTTGTCTGATATTTATATCTCCTCTTACACCCCCACTTTGGTGACACTCATTCGGGCGAGACAGCGAGTTTCTCAAGAGGTGTCCACACAACATTTTGTTGCTATCGGTCAAGCGAATCCGGACAGAGGGAAGGAACTCCGTCATGTCGCTCCCGAGTTAGCCATCGTCGCTCGGCATCTCGGGCCCGTCGTCTCCTTCACATCACTCGAGGATAACGACGCAACAATCCAGGGTGCACTTGATGCGCTAAATCATAATCAGTGGCTCCATCTAGCTTGCCATGGAATGCCACATCGGACGCAATCGTTCGACTCTTCCTTCGCAATGCGCGATGGGCCGTTGATGATCAAGGAAATCATCCGGTCCAACTGGCAGAACCTGGAGTTTGCATTCTTATCGGCTTGCCACACTACCGTGGGCCATGAGAAGAGTCCCGACGAGGCGATACATCTCGCTGCGGCGATGCAATTTTCTGGATTTCGCAGTGTGATAGGTTCCATGTGGTCTGTCGACGATGAGGTTGCACGACAGGTTGTGTCCGTTTTTTACCGCAAACTGGTCGATGGCTCAGGGAGATTGGACTGCACGCGGGCTGCGGTAGCGTTGCACAAGGCTGTGAAATCGTTGCGCAAGAAGATTCCACTAGAACAACAGATCGTGTTTGTTCACATAGGTGTCTAGTTTGATTGATTCGTCATGTTATTGCATTTTATGTTATCCTGATTGCTTTCATTATCCTGTTGTCCCACCTAGATCCCAGTTATTCAAATCATGTCTGCACGATACTCTGTTTTTTTTTCCCGTTGTGTACTAGTACTGCAACCACCGATCCATTGAATGATTGTATATTTTGTCAAACATACAATATGCATTGTAGCCTGAGTCAGAGGAGTCGACGCGGATTAGTTCCGCGGGATCAGACGCTTCGTCCTTACATATGGTAGATGATGAGAATTTGACTGATGCGAATTCTAAATTCACTAGCTATGTCTACATTCCGAGTGAAATGATTATCAACCATCTGTTACCAAGTCCCATCAAAACACCGGCCGATCGAGAACAATTTACGCTCAGACGCAGTTGGTTCTAGAGCTCAGTAAGTTGTTCGTCAAAGAAAATAGCCGTGAGCGGCACGCCATCAGGACGAATGACGCCGCGATACATGCCACTGCAGTTCATTGGAAGAGCCACTGAACCCAAAGTTCGAGTCAGTGTACAGTCTCGCATGACGACGGAAACGCACCGTTTCCATCTCTGTCCAGTGCAATGACACCACCCATTCCCCCTTCATTAAACAGGTCATCGATGACGTTCTGAGTCGCCTCGTCCAGGGACTCGCCAAGGTATTGCATCCGCCGAGCAATGTTGGAAGCTGCAGCACGGCGAATGTAGTACTAAAGTGGATGGTTAGCACTTGCAAGCTCAACATCTGCTCAACTGCTTCTCACGTCTCCGTCACCAGTACCAGACACGCCCACACCCTCATATTTTGATTTGCCTCTTAGGTTGTCCCAAGTGCGCTTGACAATTCCACCCTTCCTCTCCCATTCTTCAGCCCAAAAACCACATCCCATTACAGGGGTATCTCCAACCCGACCGACAAGCTTGTTCGTACGTCCCCCAGTGGAGGTTACTGCTGCGATGCAGCCCCGGATATCAAGTGCGACCGCACCAACAGTACCCGTTGGCATCAAATCAAGAGGCTCCCAGGTCTCTTTAGCTTTCTCGTCAGAAAGGCTGGCAACATCCGTAACCTCTGAATCTGTGTCGCCGGGTATTTCAGGTCTGGGGTATTCAACAGGATCTTCGGGTAATCCAAGACCACGTCTGTGTTCCCTCCATCGCGCCTCAGTCCAAAAGTAGGATGGATCAGCCTGAGGTACGCCAAGTGAAGCACCTGTGGATTCTGCTGCTGCACCAGACAGCATTGGGTGAGGGGCAAGCTGGGGTGCGAGGTAGAGCGCGCGCGCGAGGTGAGAAGGATTTCTGGTGTGAGTAACCAACGTAACCGAGGATCCACGTCGGGAGGAGGGCATTGCAGGGTGTGATGCAGGAGGTTTAGAGACCATGAGGGAAGTCTCAAGCTCAATCTAGATAGCATGATATTTATGAAGGCCGAACAAGAAATCACAACGCACCTTGCCTGCAACATTAAAGACGGCACCATGCCCAGAGTTAAACAACGGGCAGTCTATAAATCAGAATCAGTTATCTATTGATTGCCCAGACATCTGTTTGGCCCACCTTCCATGACCGATACAGCGGCGACTGCAGCATCCATAGCTTCTCCATCGCTCTTGAGTACCTCGTAGCCCGCTTTCAATGCCCGTGAGAGTGCAGCCCTGTACATAGCGCGTTGTTCAGGCGTTGAGCCCTCCCGTATCATGGTACCAGCACCGCCGTGGATGACAAGCACATAGTTGGGTTCCGCAGACTTCTTGCCGGGCTTGAGCGCAGGGTTGGCGTTCTTCGAGGCGGGCATTGTAAGCAAGTTTCTATCAAGGAGATCCTGCAGGTAAAACGAAAACAAGAATGGCTTCCTGAATCCCTGGGAAGCGTAGTTGCCCACACAAAGATAAGATAGGTGCGCACTTATGACATTGATAGAACACTGGCAACGATATAATTATCATCCATGCGCAGTACGTACTGTTTGGTATGAGGCTGAACCAGTTCCAGCGGAGTTTAAATCCGTAAACCCTCGCACACGCTCAAATCGCGCTCACACATCGGGGATCCGAATATTTATGTAAGACTGGTTTGAATGTCGTGCGAAATGTCAAGATAATACGCCATATTTAGCCATGTCAGAGTTTTGTTATTTTGGTGATGATGCCGACACCTTGTCTCCGACGCCCATGACAAAGCAATCAAGTACTTCTCACATGTGCTGGTGGTGGTGGGCGCAAAGGAAATTTGCCAAAGAACTTCATCAAAATTCAGTTCACTTCTCGTATTTTGCTACGAATCATCATAACTTCGCACACCAAGGCAATGGTCAAGACCTCAAGGAGGCGATCCCACTTAACGAAGCAGCGTTTAAACAGGCCAGGTCATTGAATTGAACCTGGCGTTTGTGCTCTCCGCCCGCTTTCAGAATCGAGGTAATGACCAAGACCTCCACCAACCCAACACGTTTCATAGGGAGGCGCAGAAACCATCTTAATCCTCTTCGAGCAACAAGGCAATCACCAAGATGTCGATGACGCGATGGCTTCGCAAGAAGTTGATCAACGTGATTGACCTAATGTGTTGAATAATCTTGCGACTGTACTCGCCTGGCACCACCCACTTTGATCACCGATGCGAAGAACAAGACCTATCCGACGCAATCGCGTTTTTCAAGAAAGCGCTGTTCTTCGCCCGGTCGGTCACAGAGATCAGTTCACATCATTGAATAGCCTTGCAACCGCCTCTCTGCCCACCTTCAGTCACCAAGGCAATGTCCGAGACTTCCACGACGCAAGCGTACTAAATCAGGAAGCGCTGGCTTTGTGGCCCAGCCAGAAAAGAATTACATGTTCGTACCTCACGACTGTATATCTTGACTTCTGATTTCTAATTGTATATCCCTATCAGATCTGCTGCCTGAGAGCCCAAGGAACCAGTGATCGCGCCTAACGTAGACATAATTGCGATGAACGTGTTTCTGAATGGCACTTATGGTTAGCCTGTGTGATAAAAGTACAGTGATTATTTGTACATTGCTATACAGTTGGTGATTGAAGCGATGTCCGGCTAATTCATTCGACATGCTCCCAATGAGTACAGCGAACGGTTCAATCTAGCTTCTACGAAGTTTGTTAGTTGCCAGGCTAATGAAACGTACCTCAACCTCAACAACCCTGGCTTTGTTTTTTTAACACACCTTTGATTTACGTCCTACTGACCCATCACCCAGCCCCATCTTGCCATTGCTCTGCTATCTCGTTTCGCAAACGAAGTGTTCACTTCACAAGGTTGCACTGGTATTCTATGTGCAATCTCCTCACCAAATACTCCTCCATCCGAGTGCTACCAAAGCAGCTACGCCCATCAAGCAGCCTAAATTCCACCAGGGACACATCCCTTCCCTGTCCGTCTCCTTTGACAAAGAGGAGAACGCACATTCTCAACGTGCGAAGAGACGCCCCGTACGAGGGAACCTTCGTGATAGCTCCTCGCGTCCCAGATGCTCTTGCACAGCAGCCCCTTTCCCTATTGGCAGCATCGCAAATTACAACCGCAAGTTCCGTGCACAAGGATAATACGAGTCAGGGCTTCTGAATGAAATAAACGTCGTCCCCGTCTCGCTTAATTCTGCCTGGGGACTTGAGTCTGAAAGCGTAGATGCAAAAGATGTGGTAAGGGCTTAGGGTTGATCTAACGCGACTGACGAAAACTGATTACAGAATGCAGCATACTAATTTCATTATGCAGCCCGCAGTTGACGTACGCATCGATGTTTTGAATGGGCGGCGGGGGAGATGTATAGCCTGCGAGGTGCTCGCCTACGTTATCATCGCATGAATGGGTACGATTTTGGAGTCGATGTCTTGATCTATTATGACGTTATTAGCTTTTTGTAGGGTAGGGGCGTGATCTGAATGAGAACGCAAATAACTGAACAAGCCAAATGGCGTGACTCGCCTCTCTCAAATTTGGCTGTCAATTGTGGTCTGCGGAACAAATAACTTGAATACATATTACGACGAAATATTTGCAAAGACCTATGTCTGGATCTCTTTGAAATCCGCTCTGCAACACCAAATAATTAAGTACCACGACGAAACTTGTAAATAAAGAAGGAAAAAGCCAAATTCTCCTGCTCCAGATTACCATTAACTTCATAAATCATCTCCCGAGCTATATCCCACTGCCAGTTGATATTTGCACGCGCTCCTGGAAAGCGATTGAGGTCATACCGGTTGCTGCATCAGAGTCAGCCACGAGCTGAGCGTGATATTCTCGAACGCTTAGGATGAGGCGTGGTCCTAGCACAAAGGATTGTATGACTGTCAAAATCTGACCAATACCAATTAAAATCTGTGTTTCGAGGGAAAACGTGTCCTATAAAAATAATGAACCGCAGTCGCATGCAGAGGTCAGTGAAAGATTCACATACCGATATCAGCGTTGGAGTCAAATCAACAATGAGGTTGAAGCAAGACACGGCAACATAACTAGTACATTCAATCATTCAGCGGAAAAGGGAACCACATTCACAACATGAACTCACCTCGCAAAGTAAAGCACGTGAGATTTTATCAACACCGTGAAACAGTCGCCGATAATCCCTCCTGCCGAATGTTGTCGCAGTTCACGGAAGTGTTTTACAGCAATCCAGACTGCGAGACACAGCGCGAGGACCTCCCAGACAGTGCCAAGTATCCAAGTAATGGAAGCCAGAAGTTGGTAATTGTCCGCATAGCCAATCATGCACGCATAGGTGCCAGAGAGAATGAGTTCCTCTTGTATTCATCAATGAGCGCCATGCAAGGTTCCCATTCACAATTAAGCGTACCCCCTGAAATACGCCTGATTGACACTACGGCGACCACTACGTCGACAATGTTGACAGCCAAGCACACGACGACAAGAAATATCAGGATTCTTCTGGATTGTTGATACATGGCATGTAACCGAGTGATCATGATGACTGCGACGTGTTTCGGTCAAGTCAATATCATAGGTCTTGTAACTGCACAACTCACCGCACAGCATAGTAAATGCCACAACATCCGTCCAATCCCACAAAAAGTACACTATCCGGCCTGAGAAATCCGGTGAGTGATGGGCCTTGGGTGGATCACACACTACAAACAGACTCACATCTGTAGCAGTCATGATAGTAAACGAAGAAGCTGGTCAAGAATGACACTCACCCCTACAGGGTGTCGCGATTAATTGAATGGGAATAGCAGGCATCTGTGCAGAAGACTCACTGCATCTGTCAACAAAATCGTCGGAACACCGCCTGTATGCCACTGGTCAGAAAAACAAACACGGTGAATGCGAGAAGACATACCCAGTATGTCCAGACTGATTGTGAGAGATAGCAGATTAGCACGACACCAATTGTCAAGCCTTCTGAACATACATGACAAAGAAAAATCCAAGATAGCGCACCTAGGATATTGTCAAGTCAGCACAAATTCACAACAGGCAAGCTACGTACACTCAGATAGATAACGGTCATAAGGGACCAGCGTTGTCTCTGTCACAAATCAATATTGTTCTTCTGGCGTGGAACTGTGCTCACCCAGACCAGTTCGACCTATAAACAAATCTTAGCGAGATGGCTGCCCCGGTCATAGTATCAACATACCTCTTGTCCGAATGTAAGGACTGGAATACTTATGAGAAATCAGCCATTCTCTAATGTTATTATGCTCACCCCAATCATACACCACTCCAACACCAGCGGCAACTGGGAAACCGCAGTCAAGGTTAAATTGAGACATCAGTATCATCATCTGACTGCTCTTCACGAACCTGTAAAATAGCTGCTAATACGCCAAGCGTTGATGAGTGGCCAATAACTAGGGTCGTCTGAGATTAGTGTCATACTGTCAGAGGATGGATGTGAGGGAGCGGGAAACTTGGTGGACATACAATGATGATATTTGTACTAGATATACTACATCTGCCTGGATGACCGAAATGAGATCGAGGGATGATCAATCAATCTCCGCTCCTGACATCATGAAGTGATGGCATCGGGCGAATAAAATGCCGGTGATGGGCGCTTGGTTCTAGTACTAATCAAGTTGGTCATGAAACATAGGTGGAACGTTCAGAACACTTGATACTGGTTTACATAAAGATATGGGGCTCAGTGTACATGAGTACATGAATCAAGTTGGGGAAACATTTGCACGGGCGGAACACTTGAACACAGCAAAAGATGAAAGAACGTATTTTAAGACTCGACTGTTCGTAATGCCGACACCTTGTTTCCGACGCCGCATCAGGATAAGTACTTCTCACACGTGCTGGTAGTGGTGGGCGCAAAGGAAATTTGCCAAAGAACTTCATCAGGATTCAGTTTACTTCTCGTATTTTGCTACGAAACATCATAACTTCGCGCACCAAGGCAATGGTCAAGACCTCAAGGAGGCGATCCCACTTAACGAAGAAGCGTTAGCTGTGCACCCCCATATCAGGCTAGGTCATTGAATTGAACCTGGTGTTAGTACTCTCCGCCCGCTTTCAGAACCGAGGCAATAACCAAGATCTCCATCAACCCACCACGCTTCACAAAGAGGCGCAGAAACCATTTTAATCCTCTTCGAGCAACAAGGCAATCACCGAGATGTCGATGAAACGGTGGCTTCGCAAGAAGTTGATCACCGTGATTGACCTGATGTGTTGAATAATCTTGCGACTGTACTCGCCTGGCGCCACCCGCTTTAATCACCGAGGCGATGAACAAGACCTCGCCGATGTAATCGCGTTTTTCAAGAAAGCGCTGTTCTTCGCCCAGTCGGTCACAGGGATCGGTTCACAACCTTGCAACCGCACTCTCTGCCCACCCTCAGTCACCAAGGAAATGACCGAGACTTCCACGACGCAAGCGCACTTCATCAAGAGACGCTGGCTTTGTGGCCCAGCCAGAAAAGAATAACATGTTCGTACCTCACGACTGCATATCTCGACTTATAATTTCTGATTGTATATCCCTATCTACTGCCTGAGAGCCCAAGGAACTAGTGATTGCGCCTAACGTAGACATAATTGCGGTGAACGTGTTTCGAATGAATTGCTTTTGTAGTAAGCCTGTGTGATAAAGGTGCAGTCACGGTGATTCTTTGTACATTGCTATACAGTTAACGTGATTGAAGCGATGTCCTAGTGAACCAGCCAAGTTATTCAACATGCTCCCATGGCCAATGAGTACTACGAACGGTTCAATCTAGCTTCTACGAAGTTTGTTGGTCGCCAGGCTAATGAAATGTACCTATGATCAACCTCAAAAACCCTGGCTTTGTCTTTGTAACACGCCCTTGATTTGCGTCCCACTGACCATGCCGATTGACCCATCACCCAGCCCCATCTTTCCATTGCTCTGCTATCTCGTTTCGCGAACGGAGTGTTCACTTCACAAGGTTGCACTGGGTTTCTGTGTGCAATCTCCCCACCAAATACTCCTCCATCCGAGTGCTACCAAAGCAGCCACGCCCATCAAGCAGCCTAAATTCCACCAGGGACACATCCCTTCCCTGTCCGTCTCCTTTGACAAAGAGGAGAACGCACATTCTCAACGTGCGAAGAGACGCCCCGTACGAGGGAACCTTCGTGGTCGCTCCTCGCGTCCTAGATGCTCATGCCCGACAGCCCCTTTCCCTATTGGCAGCATCGCAAATTACAACTGCAAGTTCTGTGCACAAGGATAATCCGAGTCAGGGCTTCCGAATGGAATGAACAGCATCCCCATCTCGTTAACTCTACCTGGGGACTTGAGTCTGAAAGCGTAGATGCAAAAGATGTGGTAAGGGCTTAGGGTTGATCTAACGCGACTGACGAAAACTGATTACAGAATGCACCACCTAATTTCATCATGGAGCCCGCAGTTGACGCATCGATGTTTTGAATGGGCAGCGGGGGAGATGTATAGCCTGCGAGGTACTCGCCTACGTTATCATCGCCATCGCATGAATGGGTACGATTTTGGAAGCGATGTCTTGATCTAAGTATTATGGTGTTGTTAGCTTTTTGTAGGGTAGGAGCGTGATCTGAATGAGAACGCAAATAACTGAACAAGCCAAAAGGCATAACTCGCCTCTCTCGAGTCCGGACTGTCAATTATGGTCTGCGGAACATATAACTTGAATAAATATTACGACGAAATATTTGCAAAGACCTATGTCTAGATCTCCTTTGAATCCGCTCTGCAACACCAAATAAATAAGTACCACGACGAAACTTGAAAATCAAGAAAAAAAGCCAGATTCCCCTGCTCCCTGCATAGCACCAGACTACCGTTAACTCCATTGAGCATCTCCCATGCTACACGCCACTGCCTGTCGATATTTGCACGCGCTCCTGGAAAGCGATTGAGGTCATGCCGGTTGCTGCATCAGAGTCAGCCACGAGCCGAGCGTGATATTCTCAAACGCTAAGGATGAGGCGTGGTCCTAGCACAAAGGCCGGTATGACTTGCGAAATCTGAAGAAAACCAAAAACAATCAGAGTTTCGAGGGAAAATTGGTCCTATAGAAATGATGAACCGCGGTCGCATGCAGAGGTCAGCGAAAGATGGACATACCGCTAAGATCGTTGGAGATAAATCAACAATGAGGTTGAAGCAAGACATGGCAACAAAACTAGCACGTTCAATCATTCAGCGGAAAAGGGAGCCATATTCACAATATGAACTCACCTCGCAAAGTAAAGCACGTGAGATTTTATCAACACCGTGAAACAGTCGCCGATAATCCCTCCTGCCGAATGTTGTCGCAGTTCATGGAAGTGTTTTACAGCAATCCAGACTGCGAGACACAGCGCGAGGACCTCCCAGACAGTGCCAAGTATCCAAGTAATGCAAGCCAGAAGTGGGAGATTGTCCACAGAGCCAATCGTGCACGCATAGGTGCCAGAGAGAATGAGTTCCACTTGTATTCATCAATGAGCTCCATGCACAGTTTTCATTCACAACTAAGTGTACCTCCTGAAGCATTCCTCGTTTCCATTGAAATGACCACTGCGTCGAATATGTTGATGGCTAAACACACGATGACGAGAGATATCAGGATCCTTCTGGATTGTTGATACATGGCATGTAACCGAGTGATCGTGATGACTGCGACATGTTTCGGTCAATTCAATATCATAGGTCTTGTAACTGTACAACTCACTGCACAGCACTGCAAATGCCACAACAGTCGTCCAATTCTGTACGAGGTACAGAATCCGGCCTGAGAAATACGGTTAGTGATGGGCCTTCGGTGGATCACACACTACAAACAGACTCACATCTGTAGCAGTCATGATAGTAAACGAAGAAGCTGGTCAAGAATGACACTCACCCCTACAGGGTGTCGCGGTTAATTGAATGGGAATAGCAGGTGTCGGTGCGGAAGACTCACTGCATCTGTCAACAAAATCGTCGGAACACTGCCTGTATGCCACTGGTCAGAAAATACAAACACGGTGAATGCGAGAAGACATACCCAGTATGCCCAGACTGATTGTGAGAGATAGCAGATTAGCACGACACCAATTGTCAAGCCTTCTGAACATACATGACAAAGAAAAATCCAAGATAGCGCACCTAGGATATTGTCAAGTCAGCACAAATTCACAACAGGCAAGCTACGTACACTCAGATAGAGAACAGTCATAAGGGACCAGCGTTGTCTCTGTCACAAATCAATATCGTTCTTCTGACGTGGAACTGTGCTCACCCAGATCAGTTCGACCTAGAAATAAATCTTAGCAAGATGGCTGCTCTGGTCATGGCATCAAAATACCTCTTGTCCGAACGTAAGGGCTGGAAATACGTGTAGGAAATCAGCCATTCTCTAATATTATCATGCTCACCCCAATCATATACCACTGCAACAGCAGCGGCAACTGGAAAACCACAATCAAGGTCAGATTGAGACATGAGCACCGCACTCTAACTGCTCTTCACAAACCTATAAAATAGCTGTCAATACGCCAAGAGTTGATGGCTGGCCAATAACTAGGGTCGTCTGAGACTAGTGTCATAGTGTTAGAGGATGGATGTGAGGGAGCGGGGAACTTGGTGGACATACAACAATGATATTCGTGCTAGATATACCACCACCATGCAGTGCTTGGATGACCAAAATGAGATCGAGGGATGGGTTCCTGTCAATGGATATGCTGTTCGAAGTGCTGTAGCGGGCCTTGAATAAAATGCTAGTGATGCGAAAGTGATCGTACAGGTTCTAGTACTAATAGTATGACGGACCGTGGCGGACAAAAATGTAACTCGAAATTCCCAACTCAACTTGAACTCGACAACTCAGTGAGTCAACTAATCCACGTGTCAACTCAACTTGCTCGTAACTCAGTTTGCACGTTACTCAACAAGTCAACTTGCCAATGCCAACCTCTCTTTGCATGCAATCCACATTCGCACAGCGCGCGCTAGTCGGCCGATTCGGCCCGGGAGTGGCACTACCTACCCTCGACACAGGTTCCATTATAACTTCCATATAATAGATCTCCTCATGTCCACCTACCCAGGCTAGCAATACCTCCCTTGAACAAGATAACACACTTACCATACAGCTGCCAACGCACACCCTCAACGTTCAACGCTTAATCAAAAGAAAACTGCAAAACATGCCACCATAAATGCACCATGCAGTCGATGCGAATGCAGGAGTCGAGCTCTACTCGCGTTATTCGTAGGGTAGGGACGTGGATTGGATTGAAACAACGCCTGTGCTTAATCAGATTTACATAAAGATGTGGGGAAGCGTACATGGGCGGAACACTTGAACACCGCAAAAGATGAAAGAACATATTTTTAAGAACTGTTCGTGATTCCTCATGACAAAGCAATCAAGTACTTCCCACCTTCAGTCACCAAGGTAATGACCGAGAGTCCGAGACCCCCAGCGCTGGCTCTGTGTCCAGTCAGAAAGAATTACATGCTCGTACCTCACGTCGACTGTATATCTCGACTTCTAATTTCTAATTGTATATCCCTCCTGAGAACCCAAGGAACTAGTGATCGCGCCTAACGAGTGCAGTGATTCTTAGTACATTGCTATACAGTTGGTGATTGAAGCGATGTCCGAGTGAAACAGCAAATTCCACATGCTCCCAATATTACAGCTGTTTGCAAAAAGGTTGACAGTAGCGCCATTTTGAGAAAGAATAAAACAAATAAATAATAGCCATGTACATACACTCAAGCTCTGGCGCAAAACAGGTCTCCAGATGTTGTTAGGCATACATTTGGCATTCATGGTCGTCCTCGTACCCTTCGTTGTGATCATGTACTCTATCTTGTCCGTCTCGTTCATCATCACCCCGAATTTCGACTTCTCGATACCATTGTTGTGAGTATATGCACACGTCAAGCATTTGCAAGTATATGCGCGTGTTATTTGACCCTATGTACATGGCTATTATTTATTTGTTTTATTCTTTCTCAAAATGGCGCTACTGTCAACCTTTTTGCAAACAGCTGTAATGACTTCCCCATTGCGGATGAACGAACATCGTTCCGATGAAATCGACTGTGCGAAAAGATATATGATCCAAGTCAGTGCAATCAAGGGTCTATCAGACGGGGCACAACGTATCATGCAGCGCTATAATACAATACATAGATGTAGCATAACCTAAGCTAATGAAGAATGATCATCAGTCCTAGTGCTTTAGAAAATCCGCGATGGTACCCATACCAGCATGATTAATTTCGCTTGTCCCTTCCTCCTCGTCTGCTCTCCCCAACTCTATCCCTGTCTCTACGTCGGTCGCGGTCGTCGTAGTCCCGGACCCTGTCACGATGTTTATTGGCATCGCGATCTTGGTCCTGTCTGTTCACATCCCTGTCTCTGTCCCTGTCCCTGTCACTGTCCCTCCTACTATCGTCTCTTTTTCTTCTGTCATCTCTGTCTCTTGCTCCCCGATCGTCACGGTCGTCGTCTCGTCGCCTATCGCGATCATTTGCTCTCCTAGACCCGTCATGATCATTGTCCCTTCTTCTATCATGGTCGTCATCCTTTCTTCTCTCATAATCATCCCTCCTACTGCTCTCCCCTCCGCTCCTTCTCTCAGGTGACCACAAAACCCTCTGCGAAACAGTCGCACTCCCATTCCTACTTTCTTCCCTACTACTCTCCTGCCTCACGAGCGGGATATACCGCTTCTCGTCTCCTCTCCGTTTCTTCTTCTTACTACCATCATCCAACACCTCCTGTTCCTTTGCTCCAATTCCCAAGAGTGCAAACCGTGATTTTGGCAGGTAAGGCTCCACCAGCGCATTCTTTTTGGCTCGTTCTGAGCTTGTGACAGCCCCACCGTCCACCCAGCCCATGCCACCATACAGCACCTGCGGCGTCGCATGCATCGGTGAGAACAGAATACACAATCTGACTAGTGTCAAATCCGAGTAGACTGAGGCTATTGAGAAGGTCGCCTTCCGCGGGCGTGGAGAAAATGATGGGAGCTGGAATGCTGAGCAGTGATGCAAAATCTTGGGGCGGGAGAGGGGCCAGTGGCTTGTCCAGTGTTGGTAAGCCAGAATCAGAAAGGATAGAAGACACAGAGCGACATTTTGTATGTGCAGGTGTACGTGTTGGATACGGGGGGGCCTTAGGAGTCTGATCGAGGTTTGTAGTCGACCCTGCAGAGGATGGTACAACGTCCTCTGATTCAGGCTCCTCTTCGATGACGGTGTCAGGCTGCCGAGTCATACTATCTTTGCTGAGATGCTGAGAACGCCGAGCAGCGGCCGTGATTGTGGTTTGGCTACCGTTTCCCAGAGAATAGAAAGGGTCCTTAGGAGTGTCATCAGAAGTTGTAGGGACCGGTGGAGATAAATGAGATGATGCAGAAACAAAGGATTCAGATGTAGTCGATGTCGCCAGAGAAATAGAAAGTTCGTTCACCTGTGTTTGGGTGTTCACGACAGATTTTACAGGGAGAATAAAGGTACCGCGGGCAGGTGATGGGGATGCAGGAACATTATTGACACCAAGGAGGACTTGGTCAGAGGCGGGGGCGGGAGGGGCGGATGTAAACCACGGAAGAGGCCAGAATTTGTGGGATCGTCAGACGCTTGGCAGGGCCAACCTCGAGAATGCTACGGATCAGATCACGGGCGTCTATGTCCACTGTTGGTAAATCACGTCCGAAGAGCGCGAAACTAATATATACCTGTAGAGAGCCATTCAGGGTCTTCAGATTTGCCTTGAATGACCTTGTCTTTCATGACCGCTTCGTCATCATCATGGACCAAACGTCAACCTCTAAGATGACATTGAAATTTAGCAATTGCAATAAAAGAAAGCAAGGTAAGCGAGCTCACCTGGGCCGAGGTAACGCTTGCCTTGAAGCATCTCAGGGGCCGCATATCCAGTAGTACCGCAAAAAGTCTCCATATAGACGCCACGATCATACTCGGGAGTAAAGCAAAGTCGCCAAGTTTGACGCGACAGCGCTCATCAAGTAAGACATTTTCAAGCTTTAGATCTCGGTGGACGATGCCCTTCTCGTGGAGATATGCAACTGCAAGCGCGAGCTGACCGAAAATGATACTGGATTCGTGTTCGGACAAGCGACCTTTCTCAGCAAGATAATCAAATAGCTCGCCACCACAACAAAGTTCTGTGACGATCCAGATGTGAGATTCGGTGGCAATGACTCCATACATCTGAGTGACACGAGGGTGGCGAAGTCGGCGGTGGTGGTGTATTTCGCGGGTGAGGGAGGCGGACGTTGCCTTTGGTATTTGTTTTATGGCGACTCTGGTAGAGGTGAGACGGTGAGTGCCCAAGCGAACCTTGCCGTACGCCAGTGTGTCAGGGAGAGGAAAACAGGAGTGAGAGCCAGAAGACATACCCTCACCGATGATCTTTCCAAGGGTGTAGTTTCCTACAACTCTGATCTTGCTCGAGGAGAGCTCCTTCCCAAGTTATAGGCATTAGCAAGTTGTGCTTTGTGATTCTGGTTCACGAAACCCGTATGTTTGTGGCCCGTGTGCAGACATGTACAAGTTGAGAATTCATCAGGAAAACCTTCCGCTACAAATTTAGGCTAAGTATGTCAAATTTTCTCTAATTCGTGATAATTTCCATAAGATAGACAACTTATTCATAATATGGCTAATGTATTGTGCATTGCCGTAGAATTATCTAAGTGTTACAAAGGTATGCCTATCAATATAACAATTAACAAAGAACATATCACTAGTGCTGCCGTGGTCCGGTCCCGAACCATGGTTCGAACCGAACTTTGGTTCGGTTCTTGTGTGGTTCGGTCCACGGTCCAGGTGTCAGCCAGAACCGGACCATAGTACGGTTCTCGGTTCTGCATTGGCCGAACGGTTCTATGTTGGTTCGGACACGTCCCGAACCGTCCCGAACCCCGAACCGATTTTATTTTCGAACTTCAGAGATTTACGGTTGACTATGGTTTTTCAGGTTCCGAAAACGGAAATGCATACACATGGGACATTCACGCCATCATCAAAGAAGCTGGCCTTGAAGATCGACTGTCCACTGGTACCAATATTGTGAGTGTCAACATCTCACCCACCCTCTCCGAGTCTCTCACTGACAACGCTCTTTGCTGAGTGTCAAGTCGTTTTTGGAAGTACGTGGAGTGTTTGTGAACCTGCTCAGTGGTTATGAATGTTGCGCTCTCAGTCCTCCCAAATGGGTGGTGCCCACCCTCATTCCTCCGCAAGTAAACTCCTCGCTCACCTACTATGACACTCTCATGTGACGTCATGTGTATTGGGTGTGTGGAGAGTTGTCCCACCTTATCTTGTGATTTTTATATCTGTCTGCAGTGTTCACAGACGACAGGAAACTCAGTGGTCTTCCGCATACTAGGATCGTCATGAGCCAAACAGCACAGATGGAGCGAGAGCCTTTTGCTGACGAGAAGGCACCTTTCCTTGTCCAAAACACAGATTGTAACGATGCGGATTCAGAACTTATATGGCATACGACTCAAAACTACAAGCGCCAGTGCAGTGCTTTGCGCTCAAAGATCCTTGGTTTCACATGTATTTTCGGGCCCCAGTGGACGCATCAACTGGAGTGTGTGTTGAATTCTGGGAGTCGTCTCCGGATAGCGGAAACTCCAAAGAGTTGAGGGCCAATATCACCTCGAGGGGGGCACGGTCAAGGAAAGCATATGGATCAAAAGCGGATGGGTCGGCATCCAAGAGTTCGTCAGAAGGGACTGGGTGGGAATATCCAAACACCTGCGGTAAATTACTAACAGGTGATGTATCAGCGATGGGGGGGAAATCAGCCTGTAAATCAAGTGATGCATGACCCGATGCATCACACATGGCTGGTAATGCATCACCCATGGTGGGTAATGCATCACTGTCGTTCAAAATGTAACCCTGTAAAGCGAGAACTGCGTCCCTAGTTTGCTGTCCATATCCAGAAAGCTCCGCATTATCACCCGGGCTGTTGACGCAGATGGGTGATGCAGCAGTGGAGTCCTGCAGCAGCCAGATCAGTTGTGCCAGCATTGCATTACCAATGCATCACATACCAACATGGCATCAGTGAGAGAACTGTCTGATGCAGGCATCCTATATAAGCCTCTGGAACTTTCATGCACACCACCATCGTCGCCGTCCTCTGAGCCCGATGAAGTCTCTCCATCGTCTTCATCATCCGAATCTGAGTCTATGGCACTATCTGCCTCGTGGGATAATGCTGATTCGAATGCTATGCCAACATGGTGAGCACTGAGTAGCATAAAACACCTCAAACATACCAGTGGCATCCTTGACAAAGCTCAGGAAAGCGCTCTGCATCAAATCAAAGTTACTGTAAGCCTGGTTGAACTGCGCGCCACTCTCGAGTTCCCCAACATGGTAGCTTAATAATATGGGTGAGTGCCGTCATTGTTTACTATCAATTATCACTTACTTGAATACAGACACTTCGCCTGTGCTTGGATCATGCCCCCCCATCAACACGGTGAACTTCCAACCACCCGTAATATGCCTGAGGTACTGAAGAATACGATCCAGCATGGGCCCCAGTTCACGAATTGCCCTGGTTTGTTCCATCAAGAATGATATATATACATGTGGGTGGTACGCACTTTGTTTTAGTACTGTCGTCGACTTTTGGCGCCTTCCCCTTTTTCAGATTTGCACGAGTTTTCGCATACCTTGCCTTTGTTTTAGAATACTTCCTCTCGATCTTGGCTTTGACTTCTTCGCTCCCCTCCACATACATCTGGCGAATGATATCACGACGCTTATTCAACTTCGGGCCCCGCTCGGTAATGTTCTGCTCATGAATGGCCTTGTCTGCTACGTGTTTGATCTTTTTTTCATAGAACTTGTGGGAGTATAGGTCTATTTTCTGGGGAGCACGAGTACCTCTCATCTCGACACCACCAGCTAACACGGTGTCAAACCTCAGCACCCCCCTAATACCGCTTGTACGGCCCAGACGCGATGGATTTGTCTGCCACCTATACCAGGTGATTAACCGCTACAATCCAATTAGTATATCTCTGACGCAATGTGTAGATGACACTTACCTTTTTCCTCTCTGCAACGGCTTGTGCTAGAGCTACAGTTTGTTCTGGTGTAAGAACCTCGTCATCTGGCAGGTCACCGAAGAGAGCCTTCCGCTCAGGCCAACGCTCGAAGAACTTCATGCCAATCTCGGCACTAAAATTTGCGTACTTCCTGGACACGGTACATGCCCGATATTGCATCAAGTAACTCGCAAGGAACTCCTCTTGGTCCTTGGTCCATTTTTTCTGTGGCATCCTTTAGAGCAGGTGAGTTTTCAAGGCGAGTAGGCGCGACAACACGACTATGTGGGATGGCAGACGTGACGACGCGACTATGTGGGACGTGGATAAGTAAGGCAACTAGGAAGAGAATCTGTGTGTTTAGTTCTCAATTTTGATGCGCGAATCAGGTATTCGATCCAATCTTTCTGTCTTGGTCCTTTGGACTCTTTCCCTTCTGACAGCAACACTTCTCAAGATCCACGGTGCACTAGTTACAATCATGGCTACAAGACTAATACAACATAACAAATGGTATGTTCAGTTTTGCACACTCTCCGCGCAATGAACCTCTATGTTCTGATGTACCAAATTTAGTGCCAACATCACAATGCAGTATTACGAGGTCTAACCCACCTTTTATTTTTTTTGACCACAAAATATCCTGTCAGGGTACTTGGTCATTTAGACGACTCTCTGTACAAATGGTTCATGTGGATGAACCATCGTATACACTATGACAAACAATGTTAGAATACTTTTGTCACAAAGGTGAGAACGTACGTGATGCCTGAGTATGATCGCATTATTGACTATTGCCTGCCCCAGGCTACTCAACTCTTCAGTCAGCGGTACCTCTGGATAGTGGACAGCGCGTTCCGGCACTTCAGTCACCCCCAAAAAGATACCTACTGTAGAGATACGACACTAGCTTCGTCACGTGCAGCACGTGACAAAGTCACGCTTAGTGTCACAGCTTCGAATTACCCTGTCACCTGTGACCACATAAAAAATAGCTTTGGAAATTGTGATTTTGTCAAGGCTTCTTGTCTGATTCATATCTTATTATAAAGTTGAGAAGTAACAGGTAGAATCTAGCTGGACATTGTTGTTTTTTATATGTTTTTTGTATGTTTTTTATATGTTTTTCTGTATGTTTTTACCACATGTCACAAATTAGCTTCGGCCCCCAAAAAATTGGTGTGACAGTCACACCAAATAGGTTCGATTCGTTGATGGCTGTGACCTGTGACGAACCTAGTGTCGTATCTCTACAGTATTAGGTTGATAGTCCTCTACACAAGTATCAACCTAAGAGGTGTGATTCCTCTGGTTTTCCCATTATACTGTAGGAGTGGGATAAGTCCTGTGGGATAACACCAATGCTTTCCCAGCCCACCTGGGACATACTTGTGTGACAATTCCCATGGGTTTTCCCGTATTGTGGGTGGTGTCAGGGGTCCTTTGCGCCGATTTTTTTACCATATTAGGGGGTGGTATAGGGATCATTAGGGGGTGGTATAGGGGTCATTAGGGGGTGGTATAGGGACCATCGGAGGGTGGTATAGGGACCATCGGAGGGTGGTATAAGGACCATCGGAGGGTGGTATAGGGATCATTAGGGGGTGGTATAGGGACCATCGGAGGGTGGTATAGGGATCATTAGGGGGTGGTATAGGGATCATTAGGGGGTGGTATAGGGATCATTAAGAGGCGGTACGGGGACCATCAGAGGGTGGTACGGGGATCATTAAGGGGTGGTACGGGGACCATCAGAGGGTGGTACGGGGATCATTAAGGGGTGGTACGGGGACCATCAGAGGGTGGTATAGGGATCATTAGGGGGTGGTATTGGGGTCATGAGGGGGTGGTACGGGGACCATCGGAGGGTGGTATAGGCATCATGAAGGGGTGGTATGAAAACCATGGGAGGGTGGCATAGTGGTCATGAAGGGGTGGTATGGAGACCATGAGTATATGTTCAAGTGATGGTTTCCAAGCCACTTATATGATCATTGTGGGGATTCCCAGACCACATATAATGTCACGATAATGGCATGATGGTATTTCCCCGGCCACATATGATCATGTTTTGAATTCCCTAGCCACATATATGCTCCAGCGGGGACTTCCCATCCACATATAATGATGTATCGGGGTTTCCCAGACCACCCATAGTCTTCGGGTGGGAATATCCAGACCCCCATATTCTCATCTCGGGGATTCCCAGACCACACATATCAAGTGTTCAGGAATATCCAGACCACATATATTCTTCTGCCGGAGATTCCCAGACCACATATATTCTTCAGTTGGGAATATCCTGACCCCAATATTGTCATGTCGGAGATTCTCAGACCACATATATTCTGGAGTCGGAGATTCCCAGACACCCCTAATCTCATGTTGGGGATTCACAGATTACCAATATTCTTTGGTGGGGAATATCCAGACCTCATATTCTCTTGGTGGGGATTCCCAGACCACATATATTCTTGAGCTGGAGATTCCCAGACCACCTATTCTCATGTTGGGGAATATCCCGACCCCCGTATTCTCATGACGGGGATTCCCAGACCACACATATTAATTGGTCGGGAATATCCAGACCACATATATTCCTCAGCTGGAGATTCCCAGACCACATATAATCTACTGTCGGAGATTCCCAGACCACCCATTTTCTTTGGTTGGGAATATCCAGACCACATATCTTCTGCTGTCGGAGATTCCCAGACCACCCATTTTCTTTGGTTGGGAATATCCAGACCACATATCTTCTGCTGTCGGAGATTCCCAGACCACCCATTTTCTTTGGTTGGGAATATCCAGATCACATATCTTCTGCTGTCGGAGATTCCCAGACCACATATAATCTACTGTCGGAGATTCCCAGACCACCCATTTTCTTCGGTTGGGAATATCCAGACCACATATCTTCTGCTGTCGGAGATTCCCAGACCACATATAATCTACTGTCGGAGATTCCCAGACCACCCATATTATTTGGATGGGAATATCCAGACCGCATATATTCTGCTGTCGCAGATTCCCAGACCCCCTTATTCTGCCGTCGGAGATTTCCCAGACCACCCATATTATTTGGTGGGGAATATCCAGACCCCCTTATTCTGCCGTCGGAGATTCACAGACCACCCATATTATTTGGTGGGGAATATCCAGACCCCCTTATTCTGCCGTCGGAGATTCACAGACCACCTACATTATTTGGTTGGGAATATCCAGACCACATATATTCTACTGTCGGAGATTCCCAGACCACCCATATTATTTGGTTGGGAATTCCCAAACCACATATATTCTACTGTCGGAGATTCCCAGACCACCCATATTATTTGGTTGGGAATATCCAGACCCCCTTATTCTGCCGTCGGAGATTCCCAGACCACCCATATTATTTGGTTGGGGATTCCCAAACCACATATATTCTACTGTCGGAGATTCCCAGACCACATATAATCTACTGTCGGAGATTCCCAGACCACCCATATTATTTAGTTGGGAATATCCAGACCCCCTATTCTACTGTCGGAGATTCCCAGACCACCCATATTATTTGGTTGGGGATTCCCAGACCTCCATATTCTCAAGTCGGAGAATCCCAGGCCCCTATATTCTGCAGTTGGGAATATCAACCACATATTCTGAAGTCGGGAATTCCCAGTGTACAATAGTAACTTGCAAAGTCAAGTGCAATAGAATTCCCAATGCTTACATTTGACAAGTTATGCTTAATATTTGTTACTGTCCTCACATCAGAGTGTGTATAATGAAATTTATTCACACCATACTAGATGACAAATTAATACAAGGTCGGAGAAGATGGCACATGTACTTCATCCCAGTCCTCTACTTCGGAATCTGAATCCACAATGTGATATTCATTTGCATAAGCAACTTCCTCCACTGCTGCCATCAACTCATCATCAACTCCTCCCTCATCTATGTCATCGTCATTGTTCTCATCCTCTGACAATTCCCACGAGTCAGCATGCGCAGCCTGCGCAGTTTTCGCGTGGTAAAGTGAATGCCCAGCATGGGCAATATCAGTGGAGGACGGTCCCCAGCTATCAGGCATTTCCCATGCAGTGGGTATGGGACGTACTCTCGATTGCCACTCAAAGCACATGAGGGATAGCTGCGCAGCACGTTTCTCGAGGTGCCATGCCACATCAACATCTAATTCCATATTTTAGGACATAACTGAGATAAAGATTGAGTAGGCAACTCACCTGCGACTTCTCGAGCCTCCTGAAGTGCAGTCCACTCCAAGATCATACACTCTTGCATTACACAGTGTTCGCGTCTTAACCTGTCTTCTTCTTCCAAACAGCGGTCAAGATCAAGTAAGAGACGAATACCCTGGCGAACATTGTCATCGGCAAGCCATCGAGGTGGGTCCGCAGTCTCATCCTCCAGACCTACATCTTGCCATATGTCATCATCGACATCCAGCTGAAAGATCCCATCACGTGAGATAGGTATGGGTGGAACGGCATTAGCAGGGGCCTTGTGTTGATGTATTAGTACGTGTAGTTGGTCACACAAGTTGTTGTATGTTGAGACGATCTTGAGGATTGTTGGTTCTCGGCGCTTGATGGAGGCCTCTGTGTGATTGCGCATGTTCAGTTCTACAACTCAATGTGAATCAATAAGATCAATGAATAAAGATAATTAAATATACCATTGACTGTGTTTCGATAGGACCGTTCCAATTTTTCAAGCTCGAATTTTCGTTGTCGAAGTCGCTCTCAAAGTCGCATTTTCAGAGCGCGGGCATTCATATGAACTTGAAGATAAACATTCTTCTTCAACTTTTGCAGATCGGCATACTCCGAAACACCTAATGCGGCGTGTCTCCGCCCAAGGGTCTCGATGACCTTAGCACATCGGGCACGCGCATCATGAAGCTGAAGATTGAAAGTCGTGATGTCGTCAACATTGTTGCTAATGAGCCGATGTTCGAGTTCATGAACGATGCTCTGGTGGCTTTCAAGGGTCTTTTCTAATGCAAGAACGCCCACAATAGCCTCTGCGCCTTTATGTTTAGATCGGCCTGTCCACAAAAATAAACATGACAGCCGGTCAAATTAAATCCAGAAAATTACTTACGAGCTATCGGCTTAGTCTGATGAGCTACCTGGGCTGCCCACTCCTCTCGGAGGATGTCCTCATCAGACCTAAGATCCCTGAGGCCATCGAGAGCCGCCTGTTTCTTCTTCTGGCAAAGCATCCATTTCCGCGCTAGCCATTGCCCCGATGCATCGAAAGACTTGAGAGCCAAGTAGCGCACTTGCACATCCAGTACGAATAACCGCTGGTGATACTAAAGAGAAGACAGTCAGTACTAGCCAGCATGAAACATAGAGTAGCGTGTAACGTACACCAGAAACTCGAAGCACTGGAATGAGGTGTTTCAAGGCACTCCATAGACGCTCGCAGCCCTCTCCATCAGATATCCCAAACCCAACACGCTTTCGAGGGTGGTAGACGATTTGGCAAGGCCACTGGTGACCGTATGCGTGAAACACGGATATTCCGAAGCTGATACGGGATATAATAGAGTCATCAAGCAAGCCCCACTTCCGACAACTACGCTCAAGTTGACATCCTATGTCGTATAGCAACCCGACCAGCATATTAGGCGGTAGATGCTCGAAGAGCCGCTTCACTAATGCAAGGGAGTAATATTGCTTCTCGCCAGCAGAGGTCATGTTGACGAGCCACAGCACTCGATCATGTCGACAAAGTAATGCCATGAGTCCAGTGTCTGCAAAAAAGCGCGTACTTGCTTTTTCACACTTTTCGTCTGCCGCCACAAAGGACTCGCTGCACCCATCCAAGACAGACACTGGAATCCTCATCCCGTCCTCATACCCGTCGGGGACCTCTTCAACCGGTTGCCTTGGTCGTTTGCGTGTCCCAGTTCCACCCCCACGGCAGTCATTGACGTGGTCTTCCATAACCTTGACATCGCGTTCAGGGATGAAGACAGTTGCTGTTGGGTTAGGTGGATCTTGCATGATACCATTTCGCGGGTTGTTGGAGCGCTTTTGAGTGAAGCAAGTATCAATACAAACGATGCAGTCGACCCTAATAAAATAATGAGCTGAGATATTGAGTCGAATTTAAGTATCTTACGTGGTGTCGGGATCACGATGTTGCTGCCAGTTACTCCCACCGAAGCACAGAGGACAACGCGAAGAAAGGTAAGCACTTGGCTGACTGAGAACTTGTGGTATGCCAGGTGTTTCATGAGAAGCCACACTGTCTGCACCAGTGCGCCGAGAATTCGAGATAAATGTGGTGAAGTAGTCCGATGTAGGAGATGATCTGGCTGCAGCCCCGTACAGCACCATTTCCCCTTACTGGACGAAGTCACGCATACCTTCCACAGGCCGTTGCGGACCATCACACGAGGTTGCGGAATCCATGCACTCATCGCATCGCATCGCAACGCACTATCCATCCATGTCCTGTCTGCATCCGTCCGTCCTCACTGGACCAGTTACATATCAGTTCCCATGCACGAGGTCGCATAGTGCTACTTACATATTATCTCCCTCCGACTTCGCGTACATATGCGCCCGCTTATACGGTTCCGGTTTCTTACGGACTCTGTTATATACTATGTTGCGGACTCGTATCGAGCACTTTTTCTACATTCCCTCTCTCGTGGTGTGTTGCGGAGTCGCTAGCTTAGTCTTACCTTGTCTTTCTTTGCTTGAGCAATTATCTGTTTGCCCTCTCATCCCGTGCGAACGCTCGCATCGTCATCGACAGTTGGCTATTGCTAGACTCAGTTGAGTTCACTCGCAAGACAGTCCCGTTGCGTCCTGCATATACCTGGTACCTTACTCGTTTTACCTGTTTACCTGTCCTGATACCTGGTACCTTCCCTGTCTCGCATACCTGGTATTCCCTAGACTTCGCATCCGCATACTCCGCATCCCCGCGCATCCGCACCCTTCTACGCATCCTCCCGCAAGCAGCTGTTCCGTCTCCAGCGCATCACTTCCCTCCTCACTGTTCCCCTCGCTCATACTTGAGGAACTGCTCTCAGAGCTATCCCCTTGGGTCGACTACTATTCTCGCACCCAGCAGGATCGGTACACTATCACTATAGCGGACTTCTACGATTTCTCCCACACCGATGACATTATTGTCAGAACAGTATACCAATGATACGCATTGCTAAACCGGCGTCTAAGACTGTCCTATCGGCTGGAGTCAACACGACGAGACAATGAAAACAGTGAGTGATAATCTGACCTTGGTATTCAATTTATAACCTCGCTCGTTCAGAAAATTTTCTAGCGCATCGCACCACGCAGTTGAGTTGGGAGTCATCCGTACAAACAGATTTTTCACTAGCTCTAAAACCCGGATGTCTACTGCAAGAGACGGGGTAACGGGAGCGCATGCAAATAACCCACGCGTCATGAGTTGGAGTGGTGCCGGGCAACACTCACAGCAGGAAATGGTGATGACTTGCAAACCTAATATTTATGGCGAATATAAGTGAAGACCCTTGGGCCACAAAACACAGAACGCACGGTCAAAGAGTACACAGGTGACTGCCAGTGATCGCAGGCGACAAAACGCACTGCAACGTAAATTGTCTCCGGTGAGGAGACCAAGGTCAGGGTTGGATTGCAAGGATTCTGATCGCCGGCGGTAGGCAAGGTAAGGTTTGATGAGGGAAGGGACGACTTCTTGAGACCATCTCCGCCATTGATTTTGCTTTTTCTGGAGGCCAGACAGATGTGGGCGTGGAAGGTTGATAGGACCATCGGGCTCATAGAGGAAGTCGCTGAAAAGAGGTTCGTCGGTGACGAAAGGATCAATATCTGGAGGATCAGTGCCGCTAGAAGAATGCGGGTGACTTTGATCCTGAACAAGTGAGCGTCTAGATGAAGATCCAATATGTTGGGTAAAACGCTGCCGGCCAGGTAGAACAAGAAGGGGGGGTGCAAGCGAGTGGTACGACCGAGAAGCTCGGTGTTTGCGAAAATGATAGTCATCGGCTGCGAGTCTGTAGGAGTAAGAGGTGGCGGGTGATCAGAGTGGAAATGCGACGAGGGACCCGCATGACGGGGTCGTTTGGGATGCCGCACAGCCATGAGACACGTAGTCTCGATGTCTAAGTGCTGTAGGACGCGAAGTCACTGAAAGTGTGCGTAGTCGACACGTAGTCAGACTGCAGAGGGTAAAACAGATGTTGATAAATCGGCTAATGAGGACAAAGAGAATGACGACAAGAAAAAGAACAGAAAGCGACGATCAATATATGTATTAAAAGCAGGAAAAAGATTGTGACATGTAAGTAAACGGGCAAGACTGTGTTATATGGCAGGCAAAATTTGGCAAGGTTGTGTAAGTAAGGGCGCATCAGAATAGGGTAGATAAAATTTTAAATAAAATTTCAAAAATCGTATCTATCGGGAAGCCCGGCACAAATAATCGGGCTGGAGTCAATTGGGAATTATATGGGCAATTTAGAAGACTTACCCGTGAGACTGGATTAGAGCGTTTTGTGCCAAGTGTGGCGTATATGACTGAATGATACTCATGTGAACAGTAAACTCGGTCAGACGTAGGAGATAAAATACTCACCGATACGGTCGCTACCCTGGTGTGATTGAACTGATGATTACAGTGAGATCTCGCGGATGCAGTGGAAAAATGACTTACCCATTTTAAAACAAGTCAAGTAAGACTGGTTATCGGAGAAGGCAAGCGGTACTCCCAAGAGAGTCTTCAACCCCACTGGTGCAACAACGAGAGAGCAGCCGGGGCGACTCTCCAGACGCGAAGTCTAGGAGATTGCTTTAAGTGACGCGAAGTCAACTGCAAGCGATGTGAACGGCACGTAGCCAGTTCGATGGGTCCAGGCGCGAATTTTGAGACGGAGAACGTAGCCAAGTAAAATCCACGGCGGGGGAAAGGTGATTGATAGATGTAGGAGGTAGAGGTGAAGGTGAGAGATCGATGATGAGTAAACGAGACGAAGTTTGTGTGCAGTGCAACAACTGCAACAACAAGACCAAACAAATGGATATCAATATGATAAGATAATATCCTCTGATAAGATCTCGATTCGGGCTGGGAACTCCCACTGGGAATTCCCAGGAATTCCCAACATACATCAGTTTCCCCACCTCAAATTCCTCTCACACTCCCTCGAGCTCCTCACCCATCGTATTCGTCGCCCCTTCAAGCCGTCTCCCTCTCAAAATTCACACCTGGACCCATTGAACTGGCTACGTGCCGTTCACATCGCTTGCAGTTGACTTCGTGTCACTTAAAGCAATCTCCTAGACTTCGCGTCTGGAGAGTCGCCCCGGCTGCTCTCTCGTTGTTGCACCAGTGGGGTTGAAGACTCTCTTGGGAGTACCATTTGCCTTCTCCTACGCTAGTTTCTGCACTCGCTGCCTGCCTTACAATTTCCCAACACATTTTCTCAAGGTCTGTTCTCTTTAATTGATTTTAATACTCATGTCTTTGCAGGCTCACAAACTTCATTTGGAATACACTACGCTTACTTTTCTACCGCGCTCCCTGCGTTGCAATCACGCAGGCCTGTTCATAGTTCGTCTTTGTGATGTGCATTCACTTTAACCAATTTCAACACCAAACTTATACAATCTTACAGATACCAACCATAACTATGCCCACTGCGTTAACCAAGTTCACTCCTTACAGCCGTCCAGATGGTGAGATTATCATTTCTATGCCATCTTTCATCTTCTGACAAGATGTTTACAGCGGCTATCAGTGCCCTGGACGCCAGAGCCATTGGCTATCAAGCACCGCTTGTCATCACCACTCCGAATATGGATTGGGTACTGGAACTCCACAATGACAATATAGAAGAACTCACGGCTCGGGCAGATGGACGTTTTGGAGCGGCTGATTGTTTTCAATGGCCACAGATGTATTGTAAGGAGTTCGAATACACTGTCTGCATCCCTCGCAAGGATACCTCATCGATTGACCTGCAATTCGCCTGGTTCACTCCCACTACAGCCGACTTCGCCATTCAACCTGGGACTGCATTTGCCGTCGGTACTCTACACTCACATATCGTCGACGGTATTGACAACTTGCTTACCATTGCTCGCAAGCGAGTTCAACCATGGCAGGCAAATCGTGCAGGCAAGAAGGACATCGTCACCAACATGCTCGCATCCCTCAAGCACGACATCAATGTGCTCCGCCGACATCCCTTGACGTACCGCGATATCATCATCTTTGTTGCTCAAGCGCAGCGCTCATTCCTCGACATCATAGCTTTCATGGATTACATTGAAATAGTCCAACCTCGTCTCACCTCAGGCTGGTCCTCTTGGGGTCCACTTGAAGGGAACTCGAGATGGATGGGTTGCTTTACTACTGATTCAAAGATCTGCGACATATATCTCAATGCCGGCGTGCCCGTGTGGCTTGTTCGCGCAGAGGTGTATATTTCTCCCCAGATGAACATCATCAAACCTGTCGTACTGACATTCCCGGACGATCTGACAAAGAACGTCTATTGTGAAGGCAACATCGCGCGACCATTCCCCCTCCTGTATCGTGGCCCTGGTGGCTTCAACCGTCACTTTCATACCCGTCGGGCCTACACTGGCACTTTCGCTGTGAACCCTGGTGCCCCATTGCCTTCGACACTGCCTCAAAACCCAGCTAGTGGTAAAGCCCCCTCTCGGGGACAAAAAAATAAGAAGGCACAAAAGATTACTTCCTCTCAATTGATGAAGCTGAGTGCGTGTACATCTATTGTAATTGACCCTAGAACCTTACCGACTTTTTTTCTTTAGAAGATTCTAAGATTGCTGACGCTCAACCTAACCATGACAAATGGGAGGACCTCCGCCGCCCAGAAAACCCCGAAGCCATCGGCTTTTGGACTTCCGCCTTCCAGAAAGCGAACAAGGACAAAAATCGTGTGAAAAAGGGTCTCGTTGACCAAGGGTATCGGTTCCCTGAGCCTGCGCTTCTCATCACTCCCAGTTCACCGGAGCGGAAGAAATTGTTTGTTGCAAACTGGCTTGCTGCACGACCGCTGTGGATCAGCCGTGTCGATCACAACCCTCCAGAGCGCTTTCCCTCGCCACAACTTTGGTGAGATTTTCTTAACAGCAGCCCCTCTGGCGAGCCCTCCACAATAGCTTCATCATCGTCTGCAGGTCCTACTGCTGCAGCTACGCAGAAGCAAGCAGCCACACAAATATTTGGCGAAGATCTTCGGGACGCCCAGGGTACCACATGGGCCATTGGCGAGAACGTGCAGTGGCGCAATATGACGATATCAATAATATCTCTTTGCGACCCTCCTTCGCGCTTGATGCGCCTTATCCTGTGGGAGTTGTACGAGCTCAATTTCCGTTATGAGCTTCTAGCTCTAGATCGAGTCATGGCCCGCGCATCGTGGGAGGAGTCACAACATAATCGCCGGGATCTCCTTTATAGTATTTTCCCTGAAGAGGGCGGCTTTGTGATGTGGTCATCCTCTTTACCCGATGACGATAGTGGGTTGTGGGGTCGTCGGATAATTGACGCTTTCCCCTACGTCAACAATTTCCGCAAGTTGTTGTCCTGCTGGGAGGATTCCCCACCACGCCTCAATGCACCATTGGATGCAAGTGCGTTCGATGCTACCACGTACTTCCAGGTCATGCAACAGGCTTGCGATTTTTACGTGCAATGTTTCTTCGACCACTTTGGCAGGCCCCCCGTCATCCCGCACCGCTTTCCTGTGCAATATTTCTGCAAGTTTCATTCCGCGATCTGAGTTACGGTAAGCCTGTTTATACTATACATTCTGTAGCCCTAAACTCAACACAGCCGATTTAGTTCTGCGATTATGCTGTGTCTGTTCAACGTGTCTGTTCAAGACACATGTTTCTTCCATACGTCGTCCAACCGTGGCCGTTAGTGCCGAGAATTTGTATATTTGTTAGCGGATCTAATACATCGACTGTCAACTGTTATTCGGGCAAAGCTATGTTACTGATCATATTTCGCTGACCCGAATACGCTGATCACAATGTGTCTGGTTTTCCATTCCTTAGTATCGACTGGCCCTGATCCCTCAGCCAACCAATCTTACATACTTAGCTCCGATTGTTTGGCCAGTTTTAACCTAATACGGACCCTCGAAACCTAATATGTAAGTCTTGCGGTGGACATAAAAGCGCATTCTTGACTCATTCCATGCAAATTTCCCTTTTTTGAACAATGACCAAGCCATCAACATCTCGCAAAGTCGGCCCTCCTCGCAAGGCCGCCCCTCCTCGCAAGGTCGGCCCTGCCCGCGCAGCAAAGACGAATCACAAATTTGGAAAATCTAAGGCGAGCGGTCTTTTTACTAATGGCGACAAGTCCCTAACCCTTAACTGCTGCAGCTCCCAGATACCTTGCCTGTCGCCGACGGTTCTGTTGGAGATGGAAGCCCTGAACCATCCCCTACCAATAAGGATTCTGGCGCACTTGCAGTAAGCATAACTGTGTTCATCATTCTGCCAACTTACTGACAGAACTTCTTCAGGATGATACCACTGTGGTTGACTTGTGCCTTCCGACCGATGACGAACTTGTTGTACCAGGTATTGTCTTGATTATTTTGTTGCATGTTTTTACTGAGACATTGATCATCCAGATAGTCCTGATGTCCCAGTACTCCTCAAGAAGCGCAAGCTACGTCAGCGCAGGAAAATATCTTCTGCAGCGCGTGAAGTTGATGAACATTCAAGTGGTATGTTACACAAGTGTTACTGTATTATAGTACTCTAATGCCGTGCCGCCAGAGGCCTCTCCTGAGGGCAGCGACTATGAACAGAGCGAGCCGGGCTCCAACGATGACGATGCCGACAAGTCACCTGTGCCTTCTCGTACACAGCCTGATCAAGAAGTAGACGAGGATCGCGTCTCACCTGCACCTCCTGCTCGAAGGGCCAAGGGTAAGGGGAGGGAGCAGCCTCCCCCTGCGGATGATGAAGACCTACACGACGTTCAGCATCAGGTTGACCTTGACGACGGTCAGCAGCAGGTCGACCTTGACGACGGTCAGCAGGAAGTTGACCTTGACGAAAATTCTGGTGATTCCCTTCTGTCTGGCCGACTCCCGCAGGAAGCCATCGATAAGGCTGTCGCCCTGGGTGACAAAACAGTTGCAGAGGCGGAGAATATTGCCAAGGAGTATGGCAAATCAACACGCACGATCTTGATTCAAGCCGGGTTAGCGGTGAAAACTACTCGGGCTGACAATAGTTGGAACATGTACCAAGCGTGGTACAAGATGAAGTACCCCAAGTCTTCTGACAGTGAGTAGTGTCCAGTACCCATCAAATCTCTTTCTTACGCTATTTTTCAAGTGTCTACAAATGACTGGAAGCAGATGCAACGCGACCGTTGGCTCAAAGACTCCGACCAGCGTGAAAACCCCGAATTATGGAAGGAGGTCCGCGAGTTCTGGGACGGGAGCTCCAGGATCGCAGAGGAGTCCTCGAAAGCGTTATACAACCGTGTCATGGCTGTGTGCGATGCCTTTGCCCTCAGTGTAAGTTTGTATCGTCGATATGTTTGTATGTTGTCTTAAGTCATTTGCAGTGCCAAGCTTATTCGCGCCTGGAGGATATTTATGTGGGGGGATTCGTATTATACACAGGTACTGCCGAAGCGGGTCGACGAGCGGCGGGGGTGTTCGCTGGGTCACCACTTATCCTGGACCTTGTCAATAAGAAGCAAGCAGACATCAAAGAACTTTTTGATTACTTGACGACTGTCATCAAGTAATTATCTTTTCCTTCTACATGTTTTGCGATATTAACTTGTGTTCTAGGTACAATCGCATTGACGATACGGCCTCCTTGCCGTCCTTTACTCGTTTTACGGCTCCGAAATTCAATCCTGAGCTCTCTTGCGAGAAAGGGGAGGGAACTCGTGACCGTAATCGTTGTGTAGCTCCCATCATGATGGTAGAAAAATTTGGTAAGTTCTATGGTATTAATATCTATCATTGTATTCATGCTAGCTACAGAAAGTGTTGGTATTCCGCACGAGGCGAAAAATATTCCCTGGAAAACCATGCTCAACTCGCTATACCTTCACCAAGCACAGGTTGTCGACTGGCCTGCAGGTGTCCCTCCTGTGGGCTCCGATTTCGTATTCAAGGACTTGAAGACCGACGAGCTGAAGGCACTAGTTGGTCCCTACCTAAAGCACTGCATGGGCTCTGACTACAATGCGGAACTTGCTCGTGTCGAACACCCGGAGCTGAAGAAGAAAAGGAAAGATCAGTTAAGTGGGGTGAAGGTTCCTGAGCAAGAATTGATGTTCGTACCTTGGTCGGATGGTAAGATTGAACTTTCTTGTATCATGGCGCGACTCACTCAAATCCTGACAGAGTCTAAAGACTTGATGAGCAACGAAGATTCCGACATGTTGAACATCCCCCTCATCACCGACACGGATGGTAAAGTCCAATGCACTCTCATGGATTGCGTTCTGTTTATGAAGAATCTGCTGCCTAATATCGAGGTTCCGGACCCTGCCGCTTCCCCTCGCGATTCTCCAACTCCTCAGCCCTCCTCACCACTTGCCTGGTCCCCTTCTCCACCACGTAGGGATCACCGCAAGGTCTTGCCACTTCCCCGTTCCAAAGTTGCTCCTCGTCAACCTTCGTCGCAGCAAGGTGTTGTCATGCATACTTCGAACCCTCAACTTACGTCTCGAACGACTCGGCCTGCACCTAGCGTACCTGTGAAATCTCGCAAGGCTCCAGAATTCCCACCTGTTCGGAAGCGCCGACGAGATGAGAGTGATGATGAGGATAACAAGGTGCTAAGACGCATCAAGAGCAGCGCTACACAGTATGTCTTCTGCTTTTCACACAGATCCTATACTTATTATCATAACTAGCCATTATAATCCCTGTGACCATCAGCAGCAGCGTCGTTCGCAGCACCATCCCACTCATCTACCTCGTCATTGTAGCCGATCACCACCTATGCGCCATTCTCGTCAATATACCTATGCGCAGTCCAGATCTCCCGTCCGACACCAGTATGCTTATACCCGAGAGTCTGCCCCCATTGCTGGTCCATCGAGGCATGGGACCAAGGCTTGGGTGTCTCCAACGGAAGAGAAGAAGAGCAGGAGGAGGAGGATGGTGGCTACGATCATGATTACTACGAAGATTATTAATGAACTTCGTTAACTATTTAGTCATGTTGTCCATCTCCCTGTGCCGTCTTCTTGGACCTTATATTCATTTGTCTCGTAGTGCAGTTTGAATGAATGTCTTGATTGATACACATCACACTGATATAAGGACAGTGACATATATTTAGCATGACTTGTCAATGTAAGACATTAGGATTTAAGACATTAAGACTTATGACATTAGGATTTCCTGATCATTGAGTGTTGGTGCAAATTCCTAGTGTGATCTTGACTTGGAAGGTTACTGTTGCACACTGGGAATTCCCGACTTCGGAATATGGGGGTCTGGATATTCCCAACCAAATAATATGGGTGGTCTGGGAATCTCCGACAGTAGAATATATGTGGTCTGGATATTCCCAACCAAATAATATGGGTGGTCTGGGAATCTCCGACAGCAGAATAAGGGGGTCTGGATATTCCCCACCAAATAATATGGGTGGTCTGGGAATCTCCGACCAAGGGGGTCTGGGAATCTGCGACAGCAGAATATGTGGTCTGGATATTCCCATCCAAATAATATAGGTGGTCTGGGAATCTCCGACAGCAGAAGATATGTGGTCTGGATATTCCCAACCAAATAATATGGGTGGTCTGGGAATCTCCGACGGCAGAATAAGGGGGTCTGGATATTCCCCACCAAATAATATGGGTGGTCTGGGAATCTCCAACAGTAGAATATATGTGGTCTGGATATTCCCAACCAAATAATATGGGTGGCCTGGGAATCTCCGACAGCAGAATATAGGTGGTCTGGATATTCCCAACCGAAGAAAATGGGTGGTCTGGGAATCTCCAGCTGAGGAATATATGTGGTCTGGATATTCCCAACCAATTAATATGTGTGGTCTGGGAATCCCCGTCATGAGAATACGGGGGTCGGGATATTCCCCAACATGAGAATAGGTGGTCTGGGAATCTCCAGCTCAAGAATATATGTGGTCTGGGAATCCCCACCAAGAGAATATGAGGTCTGGATATTCCCCACCAAAGAATATTGGTAATCTGTGAATCCCCAACATGAGATTAGGGGTGTCTGGGAATCTCCGACATGACAATATTGGGGTCAGGATATTCCCAACTGAAGAATATATGTGGTCTGGGAATCTCCGGCAGAAGAATATATGTGGTCTGGATATTCCTGAACACTTGATATGTGTGGTCTGGGAATCCCCGAGATGAGAATATGGGGGTCTGGATATTCCCACCCGAAGACTATGGGTGGTCTGGGAAACCCCGATACATCATTATATGTGGATGGGAAGTCCCCGCTGGAGCATATATGTGGCTAGGGAATTCAAAACATGATCATATGTGGCCGGGGAAATACCATCATGCCATTATCGTGACATTATATGTGGTCTGGGAATCCCCACAATGATCATATAAGTGGCTTGGAAACCATCACTTGAACATATACTCATGGTCTCCATACCACCCCTTCATGACCACTATGCCACCCTCCCATGGTTTTCATACCACCCCTTCATGATGCCTATACCACCCTCCGATGGTCCCCGTACCACCCCCTCATGACCCCAATACCACCCCCTAATGATCCCTATACCACCCTCTGATGGTCCCCGTACCACCCCTTAATGATCCCCGTACCACCCCTTAATAATCCCCGTACCACCCCTTAATGATCCCCGTACCACCCTCTGATGGTCCCCGTACCACCCCTTAATGATCCCCGTACCACCCCCTAATGATCCCTATACCACCTCTTAATGATCCCTATACCACCCCCTAATGGTCCCTATACCACCCCCTAATGATCCCTATACCACCCTCCGATGGTCCCTATACCACCCTCCGATAGTCCCTATACCACCCCCTAATGACCCCTATACCACCCCCTAATGATCCCTATACCACCCCCTAATATGGTACAAAAATCGGCGCAAAGGACCCCTGACACCACCCACAATACGGGAAAGCCCATGGGAATTGTCACACAAGTATGTCCCAGGTGGGCTGGGACAGCATTGGTGTTATCCCACAGGACTTATCCCACTCCTACAGTATAATGGGAAAACCAGAGGAATCACACCTCTTAGGTTGATACTTGTGTAGAGGACTATCAACCTAATAGGTATCTTTTTGGGGGTGACTGAAGTGGTTCCGGCCATGTTGAAAAAAATTGGGAGTCGACACTATTCCAGAGCGTCTCCAATTCGTCTACTGACCCGTTATTTGCAATCTTAAAGGCAGGTATAAATGACTTGAGCATCTGACACTGCTCGTGCGACAGAATCCTGGTCTGCGACATCGACATGGGGTTGTTCTGGTTGAAGGTGCGTGTCTCCTCTAAATCACACAGTATATATTTTAAGATCTTCCACAAGGGATTTGCATACCACAACCAATTATAGGTACACGAATCAATATATCTATTAACGATGACTACATGATTGCTAGGTGACCAATCCCAAAGCTCAAGACAGAATTCCGGACAGATTTACATGTGCGTGTTGTGGCGCACCTCAGCCCACCGAAAGTATCGAACAATCCACTAAATTTTGAATCAGCGAACGACATTGGATTGAAGTGTGCCCTACTTACCAGCTTAGTCCTCCGCACAGCGCCCATTACTGCAAGTGCTTGGTCTGCTGACAATGTTGAATTGGTGGGTATGCCAGGGAACAAAGCTCGCTCCGGTGGCCAAAGTCTGAACCACCGGTAAAAAATATCATTGAAGAATTCGCTAAAATCTCTTTGACTTGCGCGAGCGTTGAAGAGCTCAAAGTATTCATCCGAGTTGGCTTGGAGAAACTCATCCTGAGCATTCCATACATGACGTCGGTAAGGGGGACACCCTGACATCTGTATCGCTGACATGTCAGTTAAGATGGATATGAAAAAAACGGGGCTCGTACAATGGCTCAAGGTGGACGGTAATGATAAGGATCAATTTTGGTAAGGACGATTTTTATTTATGGGCCACCAAAGAAGCTCACCCATAATCATGTGATCATACTATAGAACTACATAGGCAATTTTACAATAATGTCTGACATAACAGAGCTCGACGGCTGTACTTTGATACCAAGTCCTCGTCTACCTCACTCACAGCTGCATAGCACCATAGTTCTTCAGTAGCCGCAACAATGAGTGTACACCGGCACACGAAGCCATCAATGCGATCGTGATGAACTGAGGTTGTGTAACATAGATACTCTTCAATGTGGCCCAATGTCTCAAGCCGTTCAGACAGGGTATCCAAAACCGCTTGTCGGCCATGTTCAAAGTTATTCACCAATTCATCGGACAGTTTGTCCAGCTGAATGCATGCCCTGAGCTTGGACTCGACATCTTCGACACCAATTCTTTAGCGGGGGCCATAAGTCAGTAAGGTCTAAATATGTTCATCGAAACAAATTCATACATAGCTGCACCATTGGCTAGCTGGACAGGTTCAGACTGGATACTCTGCTTAGCACCAATAATTCGTTCCTTATTCCTGTATGAGGTCTGTTACTACCGTAAATTCAGACCAATTGAATATATACGCACCTGTGATAGTATTGCCGTCTGGATGCGCGTGCAGCTTCAGTACGCTCTTCTTGAGTTTTATGCAATTGAGGACGGCCCATGACTACTCTACAGTAAGACATAAGTCAGTGATCAGTGAGGTCTGAATACATTCATTGAAGAAATTTGTACGGACTCATCTGTGTTGCTCTTCTTGAGTGAATTGCGTAAACTCTGCTTAGCAGCATTACATCGTTCCTTATTCCTGTATGAGGTTTGTTACTACAATTCAGACCAAGTGGATATTTACGCACCTCTGATAGTATTTCCGTCTGGAAATGCGTGCAGCTTCAGTACTCTCTTCTTGAGTTTTGTGCAATCGAGGACGGCCCATGACTACTCTACGAGTTCACTGTGAGTTGGAGATTTAGTACTGGGTTGGAGATTTATGATAGATTTACAATACCCTAGGACATCAACTAGGCCGCGGATTTAGCAAAACCGGCACTTCTCGCTGAGTCTAGTCTATACAGTCTTGTTCTCAATGAGATTCGCACTGAAACTAAACACCCCCTCGAGCACTTCTGGTACCATTCATACATGGTATTGTGTGCCTTCTCTAGTGACTCCCAGTCCGCGTCATATCTAGTGACTCCCAGTCCGCGTATCTCGCCTCCCAAGGCAGCGGGACATGATTCATCGAACGGGCTCTAGTGAAGAACTTGACACTGGTGGCACCCATTATTTCCGCGGAGCGTAGGAAGATGGTCGCAATGGAAGGTAGGTTGAGGCTGGTATGAGTAGCGTCGAACGCGCGGATCTGAGCTTACATAGAACCTCTAAGTGTGTCAAAACGCCGTTCAACGATGCCACTCATTGTCACTCCTTATTTCTCATCAAAATTCACACTGAAATTCATGGCAGCCAAGCGCGATCATATTGCACACAGTAGAAACAACTTGGAAGGCTTCAAGAAACATGTTACATACAATGCATACATTAGGGCAATATCTCCGTTTCACCGCGGTCGATTGCCGCTTCCATCAACTGGATGCCTTCGGCTACTGAGCGCACCTTAGAAAACGAGGCCCTGCTCACACCAATAACATGGGAAGAAGTCTGCTGCCTGTTGGTGAATCACTAGTCAGTAAGTGTTAATTTGAAAATAAAACGATGCAAATTAATTACCAAGTGGAGAAGATGCCAATGCGGCGTCCACGAGTCACCCAATAGAAGGGTCCCATAGCATCGTTTGGAGGTATATCATAGGTCACATTGACCTGAGGCTGGGTGATGCCTGACGTCGCAGGAGAGACGGTGACAGCTGGGGCAGGCACTGGAACTGGAGTTGGTGCTGGTGTGAGTGGAGCTGAGGCTGTAGGTGGTATGGGCGCTGACACAGGTGGCACAGTGACACCTGACGTTGCAGGAGAGATGGTGACAGATGGGGCAGACACCGGAACTGGAGTTGGCGCTGGTGTGAGTGGAACTGAGGCGGTAGTGGTGGAAACAGTGCTGATGGCAGAAACAGCAGCGACCAATGCGTTCTGCACCACGCCGTGGATCGTGGAGGTCACATCGGATGCCTGCTTCCCAGTGATGTTCAATTGCGCCAAGAGCGCAGCAAGACTATCTGTAGAATATATGGTCAGGATTAGAGCGCACTTGAGGACACTTTTGCTTACCAGTACAATTGCCAGTACCATTACCACCAGCAATGGGCGCCACAGGCACAGCATCTATCGTGCTTGTGGAGGTCATCGTTGGGTGTAAATAGTGGGCGGAGAATTAATATGGAAAATTGGGACTCACCTGTATACACAATTATGGCTTTTGTACTGGGAATGCCGTCTATATCGAGTCATGGAAAAGCCACCCAGTGCGTTGCAGTTCATTCGTTGCAGTTCGATCTGAGTTTACCGGCTCTTCCCATGCATGCAGATCACATCACGCAAGCCAGCATGTACATTACACATGCATTTCACATGCATTACACTTTGCATTACATGTGCATTACCTTACACGTGCATTACACGTGCATTACAGGTGCATTACTCTTTGCATTACGCGCTTCACCCCCAGTGAAAACCGGTTATGTTGGGATGAGCCTCGATAGGTTGAGATGTGTCGTTCAGGCGGGACACATATAGGAACACATACGAGTCCACAGCGCCCCGTCCTCGGACAGTGTTAATAAGACGGGGCAATGTCCTATATGTTACCATGTGTGTACTTTCGCATCGAGCACATATAAGCACATCCGCTAGCAGTCCTGCTACCTTTGCACATATGCTCAAATAGTATCACATATGTCTCGAAGTTGTCATGCAGTAACTGGTATTATTTGCAGCCGCTACAGGAATAGGGTATAGAAAAGTGCAAAAACACATTGAAAAGCACCTTTAGTCCATTTATCGGTAGCGACCTAGTAGATGATGGATTAGAAGTCCATCGAGAGAATCAAGGACTTACGAGTGCAGCTGGTTCCTCGTCATATCCATATCAGTCAGTGTCATGGATATATGCGCATGAAAATGACAGCCTCGCACTATCCAAGGACAGTACTAGTATGATTCCCATGATACAGACTCAACATCATGGCGGTCATCCGCTGTTCTAAACTTGTATGGTCAGCATGGTCACACCTTCAGATAAACGACACACAAGAAACTCGCAAGGTGGAACTAGCGGAGGCGAGCGGCGGGACCTTCAACATGGGGGTGGGAAGATGGTGGGGAGGAAGAAAGGTGGGGCAGCAGAAATTCGGCCCCAACAATTTATATATGGCTTTGGGGTGCTACGAGCTCGAGGCAGGTAACATATTGCAATGTTAGCGATACAATGTCGAAGCGAAGTGATACGATGTTTGTGCGTATGATGCGATGTCGATGCGAAGCAATGCAATGTGCGCGCGTGCATGCAATGCAATGTCGATGCGAAGCAATGCAATGTTAGTGCGTGTGATGCGATACAACGTCGTTTTGCAAAATGTAACTAAACTTCTCATGATTCAGCAGATTCTGACATAGTACAAATAAGGTAACTAACTTCTCAGCACCTGTGGTCCCCTCCCGTCACAACCAGTTCTTACTGGGCTTCACCTGTTCCTCCCATTACCTTTGCAAAGTTTGCATCACTCCGCATTCTTGTCTGTATGGGTTGATTTTGTTTGTTGTTCTCCCTAATAAGACTATTCTACAGATTATCAAGCTCACCCTCCTGCGTGTGTTCACTGTTGGCAGCGTCCACATAACATCCTAGATGGCCTCTGCCCAAGGTAAGCACATGTTGGCTGCTCATGAACTATATCTGACGCTATTCACTAGATGACACCTCTCAGTGCCAATCTCCCAGAGCAATCCAGGCAGTTACTTTGCCTTGGACCTTTTCACAAGTCAACAGCCGTAAATGTCCCAGATTAAACGTGTATACACCGACGTCCACCTTGGAGCCCCAGAAGCCTGTGCATGCCTCGGTCACATTTGCTGCACGTCGAGATGGAACGATGCATGTGTCGGGCTGGCATGTCATTGGACAGAGTTCGGCTGCTGCTGTCCTGAGCACCTCACCTGCAGAGCATGAGGATACGTCCTTAAACTTTTTGGAGCCCAATGATTTCTTCACCATGGATGCCATGGATGGAGTCGTCACCAACAATATGGATTATGGAGTCGTCACCAACGATATGGATTTGCTGCAGACGCGGAAGCGCACAGCTGGTGTAAGTCTTATCACCGTCACATTTGTTAACATTTCGCTGATTTCGGCATAGGACCACCCCCTTCTCACTTGGTTAGACGAGCGCGAAAGCTATCTTGCGGAGATGATCCGGCTTGATGGTCGTGGGGATGCTGGCAATATGTGTGCAGGCTGTGGTACTGCTCCTGCATTGGTTCGATGCGAGAGCTGTGATGATTCACAAATGTACTGTCACGGCTGCACTGTCACTAACCTTGCCCACCCATCGCATCGACGAGTGGACTGGTGTGTGTTTCCAGAGGACGTCACTCAAGAAGCTAGGCCTTCGTATTCAACTCGGACATCCTATTGGCCAGCGCTGTATCCTTCCCCATAAAGCCTTCAATGATGACTTCGTTATCATGGATACGGACGGTATACACCAGGTTGGACTCGACTTTTGTGGTTGCGAGACTGCGCAAACACATACGAAGCAACTACTCCGAAATTGATGGTTCCCGTCCACCTCAACTGACCCCAGGACCGCAGCGACCTTTCGAGTACTATGACAGTATCATATCCTTTCATTTGAGTCGAAGGCATCTGCATACGAGTTCTATCATACACTCGTTCGCTTGACAGATAATACGGGCTTGTCAAATCGTAAGGCAGTGGGTGGTCTTTATTATCTCAGATGTTCTACAATGCTGACCTTCAGATTTAGGACCGCTATGAAGCATTTATGAGAACGGTGCGCGAATGGCGCCACCTGAAGATGGTGAAGCGCTTTGGTCGTGGTCACGACCCAGCCGGTGTTAAAGCTACATCGCCCGGAGAGTGTGCTATTCTATGTCCAGCATGCCCACAGCCGGGCAAGAATCTGCCTGACGGTTGGCAAGATGTCGGGAAAGCCAAACGGTATGTGGCGGGAACTCAATGGTTTCAATTAAAGGCTAACGTGTTAAGGTGGCTATATGCAATTTTTGTTGCAATAGACGCGAATTTTCGATTGAAGAGACGCGATGTTTCGAATGAAGATGTAGACCCCAGCCTTTCAAAGGCTGGGCGTATTTCGTGGAAGAAAAAGGATACAAGACCTTCCTGGCCCAACACCTCGGAGATGAGCAGGAGGTATGTGGTTGATGATATTAACCCGAGCCCATGCTTATTCACACCACCCTGCAGAAAAGCTCATGTTCAAATCACAATGCCGTCAACATGGCTGATACGAAGCTGTCACAAGGGCTCGCAGCTACAGGTGTGGGCACAATCAATTGCGCCCGTCATAACATGAAACGACCAAACGGAGTCGGAGATTTACAGAAAGGTGAAAAGTATGTTATTGTCTTTGCTTGTCGGTGTCGTGTCTCATCATGCATTCACACAGATACCTCAACATGGACTATCTGTTTTTTTCGACCTTACGCAGTACACAACTCCAAATGTTGAATGTTTCATACGACATCACGTGCCAATGGCACAAGAACCTCTGGGCGCGGATGAAATCATTTCCTCAATCCCACAGTTTGGACTACCTCACAAAGGTGATTCGATTTTTCGTGCCAAAGTTTCATCTCCCCGCACATATCACAAAGTGTCAAACACTTTTCTCATTCAACTTTACGTGTTTCGTCGGCCGCACAGATGGTGAGGCCCCAGAGAGAGGGTGGTCAAATATTAACCCCGTGGCCTCGAGTACGAAGGCTATGGGCCCTGGCTGCCATCGTGACACTCTGGACGACCATTTTGGGGATTGGAACTGGAAGAAAACAGTTGGGTTGGGCGCCTCTCTCCTCCTCAAGATCAAGGACACCCTTGCTGAGAGGGCTGAACACAAAATGGCATTCGAAGAATTCGACACCACTATCACTCCCGACCACCGTTCTGCGTGGTTGGCAGAAATGGAGGTTTGGGAGGTCAATCCCAATGACACAACTGTTTTTAATCTGCTCGAGGCTAAAGCTACATGTGAGTGCGGTATTTTATTCTACGAGCCTCGTACTAACAATCATTTAGCCATCACGCAAGCAAGTGCATGGCTTAAGCTTGCTGAGTTGGAGGCCGAGGAACTTCAGCGGGGCATCGACACGTCTTTACATCCGGAAATATCACGTAGTGTGCTCATCGCCACTGGCATCGACCTCGAAGAGGAGCAGTATGTAATGTCCCTCGTATTGTCATGAATGTGCTAATGATTTTCAGGCGTTGTTTGACCATTGCTGTGGAATCCTTAGGTATCCATGCTACTGATACACAAAAAAGCAGCATCGTGCGAATGCGGAACTCGCTACGGCGCAAAATCGACACGTGGAGACGCGCCCAAGTCCTCTACCTCCCCGCTGTCCAAAGCATTATCAATCATGCAGCGCGTGAAGTTCAAGAGAATGCCGAATGCATGAAGCTTTGGCTACCTTCCCAGCTGAGAGACAAACCATGTGATCCACGCCTGCAAAATGATGAGTGGGAGTTGCGCTACGCTCAAGCTCACGACACACTCGAAGAGATCCGTCAGTGCTTGCGGATTCATTGCTCTCTGCTGTCATTCAAACCAGAATGGATCCGGGGTCAAGGCGCGAACACGCGAGCTCAGAATGCTCTCGCTCGGGTCCATGGAAGGCGCACTGCGTGCATGAAGCGATACCGGTCGACATGGGTGGCGCTCAAGGCCCTAGCTACAGCAATGGGGAAGAAAGACTGGCAGGGGAGGTTGCAGGAGCTGGCGGATGGATCTGGATGATGGATGGCGTTGATTGCAGTGACAAAGGTGATAATGATGGTCAGTGTTTTTATTTAATCCATATTTGCGCAAGCTGATGTGCTGCAAGGTGTCTGCATCAAGTGGTGTAAAAGCCGTGCGAGGGCACTGCGCTGGTCAGAAGAGGTGGAGTTGTTGAGGGAAGAGATGCGCAGAGTGCTTAAGTTTTTTGCCTGGCAGGCAGCGTGGTGGGAAGATCAAGGAAAGCGGCGTGTTGGAGAGTGTGCCGCGCACGCTGAAGGGGTGTATGCATATGCTGTCCGACAGGCTAACCTCCGTCGCAGGATGGCAGACGATTTTCGCATACTGTGGTCACCTTATCTTTCACCGCATGCCCTCCCACAAGCCCTCCCCATCAACCCGCCATCTCAGCTGTCTGAACTGTCGTTACCTGACCTCACCATACCTGATATTCCCTAGCCCCTAGCTTCTGCGTTGTGCCTGCCAATCTATGGTTTGTGATGGATCGGGTCTTCTGGAGCTTCTGCGTAGTGTACCTTACATACATCATTGTCCCTTACATACATTATTGATCAATGTCACCGGCTTTCATTGAATGTTGAAGCCCTTAAGTGGCTGAAGACTGCACTGGAAATCTAACCGGCTACTATACAATATGCTAGGCTAACTACTGTAGGTCTGCTAGTTAACGTGATCTGATGCATCACTCAACATGCCAACGAGCATAGTTAATGCAATACTCATGTCTTGTGATAAGCAGACTTAATGCATTATACCTACAGGGACTTGTGGTCACTGGGGGGCACTGTAAGGATTCTGCGAGTATTCTGGTCTCAGGGATTGCTTCGCCTTTGTAAATGATAAGTATAGGACTGTGCTATGACAATCTTGGCACTCCGGAGCGACCCGCGGTGGGAGATATTCAATGACTTCCATACTTACATCGAACAGTGTTTCCCAAAGGTGTAAGTGGCATATACCTGTTATACCAAAGCATCACTCATAGCAAAACAAGCCATGCCACTCTACAGAAAACCAAGGTTGCGACCTACGCACTTGTCTATCATTGGCAAGGAACGGACACGTCTTTGAAGCCCCTTCTCTTGGCCGCGCATATGGATGTGGTTCCCATAAATGCTGCGACTGAATCGGACTGGACATCTTGGCTTATGGCATCGACAAGGAGCGCAGCAGGCCTACTGTAAGTGCGCTTTTGATTTGACCAGTCAGCATTGACATCTTATTGTAGGGCGCTGCTGCAATTGGAGAATATCTTGTAAAGACCTATGGAGAAGATTCCATCTCAATGATCGTCGATGAAGGAGGTAAGATAGCTCATTGACTTAGTTGCACGCGAACTCTAAAGTCCACTGCGGTTGCTGAGAAAGGGTACTCGGACATTCGCGTGGACGTTCTCACACCTGGAGGACACTCGAGCAGACCCCCCAAACATACTGTAAGGATACCTTTGTACACACAATGAGATGCCTCATAGTACACAGGGCATTGGTATCCTCGCCAGCGTTGTCACCGAGCTGGAGGCGAGCCCTCTCAGCACCTGACCACAGGCTCTCGCCACGAATAGTCCGTAACCACGCCCGCATTGGAATTTTTTTGGGTTCGGTTTGAGTTTGAACCCCAGAAAAACTGAACCTGACTGTTCCGAACCGTTCGCAAGGGTCTGGTTCTGGGTTCGACGATTTTGCAGAACCGGACCATGGTTCGGTTCTTGGTTCTCGTCCTCGACCCTCTGAACCGGACCGAACCGGACCACGGCAGCACTACGTATCACATTCATCGAGGACATTGTCGCTTGTCCAGTGCCGTGGTGCAACGGCTCCAAACTTTGGGATGAGATGGACGCTGCGGGTGATATTCAAAACAGGGATGATACTTGTGACTCTCTCACCAGACTTGATGAACCGACTAATTTTGTACATGCCGTGCCTCGGATCCGGTGTTGCAGGAAAGGGGGTAAACCACTCGACATATGTGAGGTGCTTGGGAGGTTGGTTTTCTGGAGGGAACAAAGACTGTATTGCCAATGCTGGCATTGAAAACACAACACGAATTTGACCTACACGGAAGCCTGCAATAAGATTATTACCCAGGCCACAACAACATGAATTTAAGGCATCAAACCATACCTTTGACCCCGACAAGACCGCCGGTACCATCATTGATAAGTGCAGTATCAAAACGTGCTGGTACCACATCATTTACTCGGAGGGCGGTGTAATGGGATCTAGAATGTATGCTATCCACTGTGACAAGCGGATTGCCGTGTCCCCGAGCGTCGGTCGACAACCACTTTATCTTGTGATATACAGGGACGGCGTGGAATGGCAGATGGATACCGGCAGCAAGGTTTTCTAGGCACTGACGAGTGATCACCTCGTTTGGATTCTGCTGTCGTGCAATGTAATGAGCGAGGGCCTCTCGGAAATAGGTTGCACCATAGTCGGAGATCAATTTTGGAATAGTCACGGCTTTAATACTTGGATGCTTCATCAATTTTTGGGTGCAGTCAAAGCGCAAGTCAGGCGGATGTGGATGACGAGGAGCATGATCTCCCTCAAGACACCATTTGACAAACTTCTCGTGACGAATGATCTTCTCCTTCCGCTCCAGCCATTGTGTCATCTGCGTGAATTCACCCTTATGATTAGTTGCACGGTAGGCGTCCTTGGCAAGATCAATATGTAGTCGTTCTGTGTACTCCGTGTTGTAATTATCTGTTGTTCCGAACGTTCGGATCATAGATGGATAGTGACGTCCTGCATGGAGCTTTGGGAGGTTGAAGTTGTTTCGGATTCCGAGGTTGACAAAAATCTCCTTGTTGTCGTGAAAGAGAGCACGAGCTTCATCCAGTAAAAGTAGTGTTTCAGAGCTATGACATGGGTACTGCGCGAGGTAAAGGAAGTTGAGAAGACCGCGTACAGCCTTAAGGAGGCGAGACGAAGCAAGATTTCCAGGAAGTCGGATGTCGATAATGATACCAAGAAGGAATCGGCATATTTGACCATGCTCAGTACCGCTGAGACGTGAGAGACTTGTAATACCCTTCATGAATAATTGAATGTGGTGATTGGGAGGTAAGCGACGGCATCGTGCATCAATCTCCGCTGCACCACATGCTTGTGCCAGCCATCCAAGCAAATGTTTGATGAGACCTTGATATAACTGGTGCAATACATCAGGAGTGATCACCTGGAAGATGTTCACATAAGGCAGGTCCTCCCAGAATGGGTGGATGATGGGTTTGATTCCAGCCACACGACATGCCTGTACAAACACCAGGTCACCGTCATCAAGGCTGACAAGAGCATCCAAGACAGCGTGAAGGTCGTGTAGCTCGAACGGTGCCGTGTTACTCTGGAGTTCCGCAGTGGGAATATCACATTTTGGACATTCCATTGCCTTCACTCCAGTCGCAAGTAGTTGTTCAGGATAGTCGCCAGCAAAGCATGCGAATAAAGGATGACAATGACGCTGTGCGCCATCACCACTACTCATCACCAGCCCATCAATACCCACAGTCTTAAGTGGAGCCAGTACACGGCTCACACACGCATGGTAGAGGTTTGCCATGGTACGGCGTCTTGAAGCTTTATTTGTGATGTGCTCAAGGCGGGTAGTGGACAAATATGCCAGGAGGATATGGGCGTGACAGGATGGCTTTCGGCGGATTTCTTTTGGAATGTTACCGATGGTAAGATAAACGGGGTAGGCACTTTTGTTCCTGAACATTGTCACCTGGGTTTTGTCGCTTGATATAATAATGGGGATGACTGTGGCTCCTGGACGTCGCTGATCAAGCAACATCTAAAAAGCATCCTATCAGTAAAACAGGCGGATGCTAAGTTTATGATAGTTTGCTTACCTGTGTATCCCACCACCACTTGCCGGTGTGCATATCATGGAACAGCCATACAGTGTGATCTTCATCGGCATAGTGACGCTCAGGTGCGAATATGAGAAAATCAGCAAAGTCGGGGTCACCGTACAAAGCTTTGATACATTCAATGATGTCTCTATAGAAGACATCAAATGCTTCACCTGCGATGACGATTTGTTCGCACTTGAACTTTGGTTGTCCAGGAAGGTCCTTGTCAATGATCTTATTTAGCTCTTTTGAGTTCTGGTATGAAAGACCGAGGCGATCACTGAGCTACATGGATATCAGCTCGGCAGTCAAGAACATACAATACCTATGCACTGGTACGTACCCCATCAATTGCAAGCAAGTCAGTAAATGCTGTTGATCCTGTCCCATGTAGCTTCGCCCATTTGGCAATGTCCCAGTCCATCTGGGAAGTAAAGGGAGCATAAACATTCACAGTGTTGCCAGCATTGAGACCATATGTGGCATTTGCACTGCGAGTCGGTCGTCCAGTCATTGGTTTGCCTGCATGTGCATCCGGATATGGTACGATAACAATGTCATCTCGCCCTGCGATACGTTGCTCGATCTGCTGACGAGCTTCTTGATTTTCTAACTCTTCTGCACCTAAGTCATTTGTCAGATCACCTTCATCTACAGGAGGCTCCCATTCATTATCCTGTATGGGGGGTTCCCACTCTGCTGCACTGTATGGATCATCTTCATCATCACCAGATTCACTCTTGTCATCACCAGCTTCTATTTCATCTTCCCCATAAGTACCGAAATTGTCAGGCTCAACAGAGGGTTGGTCATCTGTGGAATGTAATGGTGAGGGAGGAGTTGGACTCCTTGACCCAGACTGGGAGTTGGCAGTGCGAGAAGCAGCAAGAACGGCCATGCAAGGTGCTAGTCTGGTTTTGGCTAAATGTTGACTATAGCCCATCACTGAAAAAGATTCTTGACATCCAGGGCAGCTGACCATTTTGTCGTATCATATAGTGCAAGTGAGGTGTGCCAATCTTTTTGCTTCCAATCATGAATGTTCTTTTAGACTCCGCTGATATGAATATTCCAATACATAAGCCATGCTCCTACTTGGTACACTAGTAAGCGATTCCCTCTGCATAACATGGTTACGGTCTCTGAGCGCTCATTCCCTTCAGAACCTTCCTCTCCTCAGGAAAGCAGCCCATCCTCAGACCCTCCTCAATCAAACAGTTCTTCTCTCTCAAATAAGTCGGAAACATTATTTAATTATAGTCTGGTATCCTACCACCTCTTTCCGGGCATTATGAAGTCAGATGTATGTTTACCAACTGTAAGCATATGATCTATCTCAGGGGATGCAAATACTGAGCCTCTTGATTTGAAGGAGGACATAATTTTTATGCCTGGGAAACCACTCCCACCCACAAGTATTGCTCACCCGCGGTTCACAGGCAATCAAATGTCCAGGAAGCACATTCCATACGATTCTGATCCACCTCCACTGGAGGTTCGTTATGCCGCCCGATTCATGGGGTGAGGATATCGACCAGATTTCTCACCTGAAGCAATCAGCAAGGTAAAATACATTGAACCCCTCCCATTCTCCGCTCCTACTAATAAAGGTTTCCAAAGTTTGAAGACCAGCTGGAGAACGGTCTGTCACGAATGAAAACTACAACTTTGTACAAAGGGTACAAAGCGAAACTTGTAACTCGTGAGGTTGCACGGCAACGTATGTTTCTGTCAACTTTGGAAGCCGAAGAAGCCGACCTTGCTGCAACCTTTGCTGATGCCATCTGTGCTGAATATGCAGAACACTTTGGAGACGCGGAAGAAGAGTTACAGTGCTATAGGAAGCATTTTTCTCAGTGTGGTCGCCTGGAAGCCGATGTAGGAGACGCCCAGGCTGCAGCCCCGTACAGCACCATTTCCCCTTACTGGACGAAGTCATGCCTACCTTCCACAGGCCGTTGCGGACCATCACACGAGGTTGCGGAATCCGCGCACTCATCGCATCGCAACGCACTATCTGTCCATGTCCTGTCTGTATCCGTCCGTCCTCACTGGTGCGTTCTCATCCTTAGTTAGTCATTCCTAACCGTTCGCAGGGCCAGTTACATATCAGTTCCCATGCACGAGGTCGCATAGTGCTACTTACATATTATCCCCCTCCGACTTCGCGTACATATGCATTCGCTTATACAGTTCCGGTTTCTTACGGACTCTGTTATATACTACGTGCGGACTGGTATCCATCACTTTCCTACATTCCCTCTCTGGTTGTGTGTTGCGGAGTCACTAGCTTAGTCTTACCTTGTCTTTTCTTGCTTGAGCAATCATCTGTTTGCCCTCTCTTCTCGCGCGAACGCTCGCATCACCATCGACAGTTGGCTATTGCTAGACCTAGTTGAGTTCACTCGCGAGACAGTCCCGTCGCGTCCTGCATATACCTGGTACCTTACCCGTTTTACCTGTTTTCCCGTCCTGATACCTGGTACCTTCCCTGTCTCGCATACCTGGTATTCCCTAGACTTCGCATCCGCATACTCCGTATCCCTGCGCATCCTCGCACCTCTACGCATTCTCCCGCAAGCAGCTGTTCCGTCTCCAGCACATCACTTCCCTATTCACTGTTCCCCTCGCTCATACTTGAGGAACTGCTCTCAGAGCTATCCCCTTGGGTCGACTACTATTCTCGCACCCAGCAGGATCGGTACGCTATCACTATAGCGGACTTCTACGATTTCTCCCACAACTGGAGCCCACCGCGAGGGGATTATAGCCGAGAAAGTCGGAAGATCGCTAAGACAAACACCGGCCCGCATTGCGAAACAGAAGCTAGCATCTATTAGCCTCGACCAAGAAAGCTTCTTCGCACCAATCCCAGAGGAAGAGGATCATCCCGAACCCGGACCATCAAGATCACATCCGCAATCCCAATCCTCAGACGACGAACCCCTGCGTCTCACCCCGGATTCTCCGCTTTCCGAAGAAGAGAGAGATACTGTAGACGAGCTACCTCCGTTTTTCCCCGGATCATTTGACTTCCCCACAGACAAACCATCCCACGCATTAGACACTCCCTCTACCGCTACCTCCCTGACCTCATCTAGTAATCCTACCCGTGCTCATACACCCGAATTTCCGCGCTTAACACTACCCGTTATCTCCTTACCTCTTTCATCTCCTTGTAACCGCTTAGAATCCCTTCCCCATTTCGCACCTTCTCCGCAGAAGCTACCCACGATATCCCTTCTGATTCCGTCTGTTCCGCGTATCCCTATTCCTCCCGTAGTACCTATTACCATCGCCCCAGTACCTTCCGCTCCTACCGCAACCATGTCGACTAACACTTTCAGGATGCCTCTCAGGGGTACGGACAAAGCACCAAAGTTCGAAGGCGCTCCAGACAAGCTTCTGGAATTCATCGAAGATGTCAATGAGATCGCGGATATGGCCCAGGTAGTCGATGCCGCACGCATCAAAGCAGCTATGCGATATGCATCCTCAGAAGAATCGGAGACTTGGGCACTACTCGACGAGGCCGCAGGTAATGATTGGGACAAGTTTGTCAAAGCTGTCAAAGCATTGTATCCGGGTTGCGAAGGCGATAGACGCTTCACCCGCGCTGACCTTACACAGTTATCCGCAGAGCAATCCCGTCTGCCTATCAATTCGCAAGCGGAACTCGGGGTATACTACCGGAAGTTCTTCAAGATATCCAAGTTCCTACTCACGAACAAGAAGCTGTCGGAACTCGAACGCGACCAACTCTTTCAAGACGGATTCCATGCAGACATAGGCGCCCACCTCAGACATCGACTCAGTATACTGCACACCAACCTCCACCCCGGAGAACCATACCCAATTGACAAAGTCTACGAGGCCGCAGTATTTCTGCTACCAGGAACATCCGCAGTATTGATTCCAGCACCAGCGCAACCATCCGCTCGTACTTCATATGCACCTCAACCACAGCAATATGTTCTGTCCCCGCAACCACGCCCGCAACCAAGCCCAGGAGTGGTAGTCAAACAGGAGTATACGATGCAGAGAGCCCAAGGCCCATGCCATTTCTGCGGAGGAGCTGACCACTACCAACGATGGTGTAGGACACGCGACCAGTATATTCGCGATGGCAAGTGTGTAGAAGATGAAGGAGGACGACTTGTGATGTCCGATGGTAGAGGTATCCCAGGACATCGGGATAGCGGCACTTACCAGGAGCGCATCGACCGCTTCCTATCACAGACCCCCGCAACCGGTGCCAATGCGACTGTGATTGCAGGGTTATACTGTCGCGCTCAACCAAGGATACAAGTAGAGACCGACATCGACGCATCAGCATATTCGCTCACTCACGCCACGGAAGATGCGGAGCCTGATGAGGAGCTCAAGAAGTTAGAGGATGCAGCTATCGCAGCCTGTACGGCATATGCTAACACCCGGGCACGCAAATCAGACCTGAAGGGTAAGAATGTTCGCTTTGAAAGAGTAGAGTCATCCACGCGTCCCAAGCCTGGGCCCTCATCCAGAATAGCGCCGACCGAAGAAATCATATCGCCCCAGGTCCAGGAAGCTACCACCAGACCAGCATCTGATCCTGCGACAGTTCCGAAAGCCACTGCCACTACGGGAAACGCTGCTGCTTCATCATCTACGCCCGCAACTAACACTAACCCCTCTGCGAAGTTTAGATATGGATTCCCGTTGGAAGACAAGCATGCAGAAAAGCGAGTCGTGGACCGCATGCTAGACTCAAATGTCAATGTACCCATACGGGAGCTCATGGCAGTCTCACCCGACATCCGCAAGGTATATCGGGAGCTCATCACCCCGAAGCGAGTCATGGAAGGTATGGTATCAGTCAATGAGTTAACCTCGCGTTCCGAGATCGAAGCATTCGTACAAAAGTATGATCACTGTCTCCCGCGAGCAGACGATGGGCGCATCGTATCTGAACACTTCGAAGCATTGAGATGTATCAAAGCAACCTTGAAGGGAGGGCGGGTTCTTTCTTGCATCCTAGACCAGGGCGCTGAATGCATCGTGATGCCAAGGAGAGTATGGAAAAGCCTCGGATCGGAAGTACTGCGTTCGGATCACAAGCTAACCATGGAATCGGTCAATACTTCCACAGATTGCACGCTCGGTGTCATCGAAAACCTTGCGCTAGATTTCGGTACAGGAGAAATGTGGTTCCAAGTACAGGTAATCGAATCCGCACACTTCGACATACTCCTCGGTCGACCATTCTTCACACTTACGAGCTGCCGTACTGAAGACCTTCCCAACAGAGAACAAGACATCACGCTTACGGATCCTAATAGTCGCAAGGAAATCCGCATCGCTACGGAATCTTGGGTCAAGTTCTGCCCCGGATGCAAACAAGATGAGGCCTGCTCAGACCATCCGCGACGCCAATCTGGATGACCTTGCAGACATTCCTTTCACTCGACACTCGTTACGCACACTCGTTTCCACCCCCGCAACCTTCAAATTTCATCACTCAACACACACGCTCGCTTCATCTCAGAATATATCAAGTAATACAGTATGCATTTCTACCCCGGGTTTCGTCCGGCGCTCTTTTTCTTACCCTATAAACCACACCGCAACTAATTCAGAAAACACCGTACTCCATACACGCAGACGTATATACATACAAGGACAGAAAGGACTAGACCCGATGCACAACCAACTGATACTCTTCTCATTCGCACGCGGCTATCGCATCACGCACATTTGACTCGTATAAAGTTCGCATCATATACTCACCACACCCAGGGCACAGGATTGATACAGAGGAAGGCAGTTGCACGATGAAGATAAGACGGACGGTACTCCGCATGCACAAGACACGTCCTCAATTTCTATTTTCTTCTAATAGATAGTACCGCATCCACTTACTCGCATCAATTCTCTGTTTAGGCACTCAGTGGGGACACGGATTGGACATGGATATGGATTGGACCGGGCACCAGGACCACCTCTAGTAGAAGGAACGGAATACAGGAAGAAAGAGATGGATAGGATGGTAATTACTTGCGGGCAGCACGCCTCTTGAGGATGTTCTGCTCCTGCTTGTCAAGCGCAAGGGAGGCCTCAAAGATCATGCTATATGCTTGCATGAGCTTTGCGCGCACCTGGCGCATCTCATGCAACTCCTCCAGATCCTCTGCATCACCAGCGTCATCCTCAACAGCTATCTTCTTCCCCTTCCCAGTCGCAACTGGACGACGCTTAGCAGAACCAACCAGCTCACCATCAGATACCTCAATTGGATCCCACGCTTGATGTTCTGGAGAGGAGACGGTGCGACGAATGGAACCAGGCGCAGATAGGCGAGATCCACCAGCAACTGGAGTTGCGGATGCAATCGAAGGGGCCTTCTTGGTGGATGCCTTCCCGAAGGATGAGTACTCGCATTTGGTCCTCGCAACCTTGCAGGGATCGCATTGCTGACCCCGCGAACCACTGCAAGGCTGGTCACGCCTCTTGCAATTGCCACAAGGAAGAACATGATCAACCTTAGGGCCTGGGACGATCGCACGACCACCAGATTTCTGCGCAACCGCATCCTTAGCCAAACGATTCCTGACACGCAACAAACAGGACATCAACGCACCAACTCGCGTGACTCATCAGCCCCAGCAGATTTCTTCGCCTTACCCGCTGCCTTACGCGGACGTTTGGAGGAAGTCACCGCCCTGGTACTCGCAACCTCAGGCTCCCCATCCGCATCCTCCTCCCCACCACTAGCGCCGCCCAGAATCACGTCCATTTTCTCCGTATCGTCCTGCATCTTCTCGACGAATTGACACTCATGCGTTGCGTAGGTCATATTGCCGCTCTTAACTAAGGCAGTATCAGCTGCGGACAAAGACAGCTGCAACCCTCGCTTCTGCGCAGCAGCAAAAGAGGTGTCGAACGCAGCCTACATACCGGTCAGCACAACATGAGGAAAAGAACAGGAGACACTCACGGATAATGCGTCCCATTCCGCATTCCAGTCCCGCTTCTCCTGCATCAACTCTGGCCTGTCGTCCGGAACGGCCATCATCGTTGCGCCCAGCTTGTCGACAAGGGTCGCAAACTCCTTGCGAAGGCGCACAGACTCGTCCTCTACAGGTGACTTGTTGATGAAGACGAAGGGAGGCATAGTAGTTGAGGAAGAGAATGAGAAAGAAGGAGGAAAGAAAGACGATTATATGGAAGGAAAATTGCGCACGCAACGTGTTAACACGCAACCCTTGTTCCGGGTCCACAGAAGCATCAAAGTCCGCAACTCCGATCACCGGCATCCGCATCCTTTTCATTACTGTTCCGATATGCCCGGTCACATGACTTATCCTTGGACGTCCCTTGCTAAGTCCACATTCCACGCGTGCTGCTGACCAGGGATGGTCAGTGTTTGAGTCCCCCGCAGGTGTAGGAGACGCCCAGGCTGCAGCCCCGTACAGCACCATTTCCCCTTACTGGACGAAGTCATGCCTACCTTCCACAGGCCGTTGCGGACCATCACACGAGGTTGCGGAATCCGCGCACTCATCGCATCGCAACGCACTATCTGTCCATGTCCTGTCTGTATCCGTCCGTCCTCACTGGTGCGTTCTCATCCTTAGTTAGTCATTCCTAACCGTTCGCAGGGCCAGTTACATATCAGTTCCCATGCACGAGGTCGCATAGTGCTACTTACATATTATCCCCCTCCGACTTCGCGTACATATGCATTCGCTTATACAGTTCCGGTTTCTTACGGACTCTGTTATATACTACGTGCGGACTGGTATCCATCACTTTCCTACATTCCCTCTCTGGTTGTGTGTTGCGGAGTCACTAGCTTAGTCTTACCTTGTCTTTTCTTGCTTGAGCAATCATCTGTTTGCCCTCTCTTCTCGCGCGAACGCTCGCATCACCATCGACAGTTGGCTATTGCTAGACCTAGTTGAGTTCACTCGCGAGACAGTCCCGTCGCGTCCTGCATATACCTGGTACCTTACCCGTTTTACCTGTTTTCCCGTCCTGATACCTGGTACCTTCCCTGTCTCGCATACCTGGTATTCCCTAGACTTCGCATCCGCATACTCCGTATCCCTGCGCATCCTCGCACCTCTACGCATTCTCCCGCAAGCAGCTGTTCCGTCTCCAGCACATCACTTCCCTATTCACTGTTCCCCTCGCTCATACTTGAGGAACTGCTCTCAGAGCTATCCCCTTGGGTCGACTACTATTCTCGCACCCAGCAGGATCGGTACGCTATCACTATAGCGGACTTCTACGATTTCTCCCACACCGATGATGACAAAGATTACCTTCAAGCCGTCTATGAAGATGAATGCAAGATCCTCCGCACCATCAGCGCCCAGACTGACCAAGTCGCAAAGATTTTGGATAGACGTATTGCACAATCTCTCTCACAATCTACCGGATGCTTCCCCTTGTGTCGCCGCTTTCTCAGTGGGGTTCAGACTACTGAACCCTTCTCCCTCGAGGACTCAGATGTCACATCTGATGAATCAGATGAAATGAGGGGTGGGAACCTGGGTACGTCGGACTTTGCCTTCAATGAGTCAGGCTCAGAAGGCTTAGATGACTAAGTATTATCAACATATGTGAAACCCTCGTTTTGTGTATGACTTCCACACTGACATGGTTTCTCATCCCACTTTTTGTGTCCACTTTTGGACATTTTTCATTCACCAGCGTAGTTTCTCATCCCCTACTTTTCGTGCCTGCTTTTGGACATGTCTTGTTCGCTATTCTTGGAATCCTTGTGTCAGCTATATTAGTGACTATTACCACACCATCGCTTCTTCCCCCACTTCCAGACTTCTCTGGTCCCAGCTTCTCGAATTGTTGTGTCCATTAGGATCACCGCAGTCATCAGATATTTGTGATTGCCCTGTATGAAGGTATTGTCACTTCGGTGATCTGATACAAATTTTTTCTCCTATTCAACCCAGAACGTCTTATAACTTTGCATGTTTGTATTAGATAACATTTTGCGATGTACTTTTCGATATGATACTCAATGTGACCCCCAAATCTGTGCGTGACAAATCTTCAAATTGAGGTGTTACCCATTGATCGGTCAATTCATTTAGCTACGATTCAGTGGACTCAATTCAATCGTTATTTGTCAATCAACACGCGTTTGTAGGCACCGGTATGCACGAGAGAGAAGTCTTCAGGTTCCTCCCTCCCCTTCCCTCAGTGACTCCCACCATCCCTAGCGCGGTGCGTTGTCCCTCCTCGACATGGAGCCGCATTCTGGTCCAGTTTCATTCAATTTCGACGATATCCCAGATCAAGGCCTATCGAACGTTCCCAATCGACCTTAGGATGAAGCCGCATACTCACAAGATGACTCGTTTGGCCTTGGCCAAGCTAGTCAGTCGCATCCCGATCCATTGTCGGGCAGAATCCCTGCGAATTTTGGTGAAGTCTCAGCAGATGAGGATGGCTTTAATCTGGATAGGAATGCATTTGGCGGTGAGTATCATCTTGCTGCTGGTTTTCAATTCACTGATCTCGCATTTGAAGCTTTCTTTGATTTCACAGCTTATGCCAGCACCAGTGGACCATCAACTAGTCACGCTGGTGCTAGTGTCCCTGCTCTGATCCCGCGTTCAGAAGAGATTGACGCGCTCTATCCATTACCACCTCCCTGTGCACTGCAGGGGACCGTCGAGAGAACGCAGCGCTCACGACACATCTCAGCGCCATATCCTACACCGGAACACAATTCACGGCACAGCAGAGCTCAATCGCTACAATCGACCCGCAAATGCTGCAGCTCCGTGCAAATCCACCCACTGCCCCTGCAACATCCGCCCACGCTGAACAGGTCACCCACACCACTTCTGCCGACTCTGTTGCCCCCGCCATCTCTGTTACCCCCGCCGTCTCCGTTGCCCCCATTGACCCCTTCTCCCCCGTTGTCTCCATTGCCCCCATCATGATCTCCATAGAGCCTGCCCCTCAGCAGCCCGTCGCACCTGTCACCATCCGGGTGTCATCTGACGTGCAGAAGCAGATCACAGTTCGCGCAAAAACCAAGCTCGTCCAATATTGGTTGACATTGCATGCGATGGCAGGCAGCGATGCTCAGAAGCGAGCAGTCGTCAATCTTGCAATCGCAGATGCGATTCCTGGCATCATTGGCATGCATGGTAAGTTTTCCAATATCTAATTCCGAGTTTGGAACTCACACTTTTATTTTTTTAGTCCATGTTTCCAATCCGACAATGGCGAATCAGCGTCAACAGCTGATGGGGGCATGGACCACCATGTTCACCAATCTGGTGAAGCTTGTGTGGGTCTGTGCCCCGTTCAGCTTCGACATATACCCCCCTCAAGGTTCTAATGTCGTCCCTGACGAATTACGGAGGCGTGTCATAGATGCGGTGATCAACGATCAACGTCACCCTCTTGCATTCATGCATCAATTCACTGTGAATAGTGTACGTTGTAATCCTTCCTTCCTCATTTTGTAATTTAATGTTAGTTCAGGCCGGGGATGTAACGATCTTGGACGGCGTGCTCAACAATTCGTTCATATTACGCATGGTCATCTGTTTTGTGTGGTGCAGCAACACCGGCATTTTGGATTGCATCACCGACCCGCTGAAAGATTTCAACTCGATATTTGCTGCTATTGGGGCCGTCACGAAGCTGATATTGTTTGAGCAAATGTTACATCCGCCCGTTACTATCGCACACTCACAGCTCGACACCAGCAACATGTTCCTTGCAATTCTTCAGTACATTCAAGGTCTTCATGGTGTGCAGAAGGTTACATTTGACAATTACAAATCTTACACTTTTAGGATTGGGAGCTATCAGCGATGGTCCACAAACGTATTGGCACCGCTTGACGTATTGTTGACATTGTAGTAGCTTCTAGGATTATCACACTGTACTGGACCTTCAAAGGAATTTCATCTGACAGTATGTGCGCATCCTTCGTGCAGTCCTCATGCGCAGACTATATTTTATGTCATGAGCCTCACGGAATTAATATACAGGATCTGGCTCCCATATTTGACCCGAAGAATGTACGTACCTGACCCAGTCTAAAAGAGACACTCAAAAGTAGGGTTCGGCACTAGCTACTACTATAAATCAGCTCGGCCCACAGATAGCTATGTATCCCCCACACATTCTTTTAAATCTATACACTCATTGGTTTTGTTTTAGCATGACGAGCGAAAGCACATCTGGTCGGGGTAAGTTCTCACTACACTCGCACCACCATTCACGAATCTAGGAAATCAATATTACTATGACAGGCATTCTAGCCGCGAAGCAAAAGGCGATGGACAACGCAGGTAAGTTCTCTCTACATTATTGGACTCAGAATGAACCAGGGCTTATTGTCTGTTGTGCTAGTCTGGAGGATTGGCATAAGCCAAAAGCGACAGCACCCCAGCGTGCCCGAAGAGCCCAAGAAACACCGCAATCCACCTGCACAAAAGAAACCTTGCACGGACACCACCACTGGGGGTATCACTCGTCCAGCAATCCCACAGGCTTCTACTAGAAAGTGTCGAGGTAAGTGTGACTGTTACTGCACACTAACTTAGTATGCAGTGAAGTGACCACCCACAGAGTTCAACATTGATGAAGGCAGCACGAGCATTACCAAGCACAGGCCGCCACCAAAGAAAGGTCAGCGTTTTATACTGTCAAATTGATTCAGCGGTCATCTGTATCTTCAGCATGAAAAGAAACCAAATGGAAGCCAACTTCACGTCACGCCTCCAAAGATGTGCCTTGTAGCATCGACAATGCATTTTTAGGTGATGAACCTGAGGAGATATCTGACTTTCAACCTGGCTGCGACGAGGAAGAAGCTGATGACTCAGATGAGGCCAAATCCATCGTGAAGTTCCTGTCAGCAGAAGTAAGTACAGTTACTGTTTACATTACCGCTAACCACAACTTTAATTGATACCCCTCAGGTACCAAATTTTGTCTCAGAGGCCGAAAAGCTCGATTTCCCACTGACAAAACCAACCTGGCCTCCGAGTCAAGCAGCTACATCAAAATTGACGAGCGCTCCTGTGGCTACCAAGGTCAGTTGAGTCTTCATCCTGGAAGTACAGCGCCATCTATGCTGAACAACTTGCGCCTCATAGGTGAGGCAAACTGCTGAACCATTCCCCTTCTCGTCGGCCCAACCACGGGCTCCTGTGGCTTCCAGGGTAAGTTTATTCCTCAATGCCATCCGTGCTGAAAATGCTTGACTGATTCCTTCAGCAGGCAAAATCCCAGTCCACGCATGATCAAACCAGGGTCAGTTGTTCCCTCAATTGTCATCTATGCTGAAAATCATAAACAATGCTTTACTGATGCCCCTCAACAGGCAAAAACTCAGTTTAATGCACATGGCCATATCAAGGTAATTTGATGTTTGATGCCATCCATGCTGAAAATGATAATCATTGACTGATGCGCTCAACAGGCAAAGACTCATTCCACGCGTGATCATAAATGAGCGAATGAGGTGAGTTCGCTTTTCTCATGCTTCTTGCTGTGATTGAAGTCACACAATGCAGACTCCAACCTGGGTGGATGATTCCAATGATGGAGTCATCACATCAGAGAACTCGGAGGGACTCGAGGCCATGCCAGACGACCACAGTGAACACAAGTCTCCAAAGGACGACTTTATCATAGTAGATGACGACGACGATAGCGGCCATCGTGAAGAGCCCCAACTTGTACGGAGTGCAAATGCAGGAAAGTTAAAGCTGATGGACCAAACTAGCGACACCCATCGTGTCGTCCAATGAGTGATACTCGAGGCAAAGGTTCATATGACCTTTGTCAATGGTTATCCAGAGCTAACCGAAAAAAATCGATTCACACGAGACACGCTCTCCACAGCAGCTCGCACATGTGGTGTTCTACCCATTCACCATCGCCTCAAGACTGATGACTCGTACGCATCTGTGCTTTCAACTCTGGTACGTCATTATTTTTAAAAGAGTACTATTATAACAATGATCACATGCAGGTTGAGGCTCAAGTGCCGCTTTTTCATACCGAATTGAAGGATGACGCTTATGCACATGTGACAGCCTATTACCATCTTGGTCCCGACTGTATTGATACTTCCAAGGCTTTGCTGGCGAGCCATGTATATCATTTTGCGCAGCATTTTGATGTAGGTTTCTATATTTCATATTTCATGTTTTATGTTACTTATTCAGTGTCACACGTGGTTTCCTTCTCCAGGAGAAAAATGTCCCTATTCCGCAGGGAGCAAAACCGTACTCTGCAGATATATTGCCTTACTTAATGAAGGGGCGCTACTTCAATGGGCCGAAGTTGGTTGGCGCGAAATTCACAGACCGTTTCAAGGAGATTGCAGGCAACAAGGCCCAGCGGCCTGAGGTGACGATTCCAATGGTCGCGTTGACCAGTACTTCAGTATATTTTCGGTTCTCAATCTAGTGATGTGCATGGCCCGGCTTCAAGCCGTGGGCCGAGCCAAGCCAGACCAAATTAGGCTGGGCCAAGCCGGGCCAAACTGACGGCCTGACCAGGGCTTTGGCCCGGCCTGGAATTCTGAAAAGCTGAAGCCAACGGCCTGAGCCGCGGCTTTTAGCCACCTCGACCATCGACAATGACAATGAACATTAATTGGTATGTCTTTCTCCACTGTGTCAATTTCTGGTGTTTGATGATCTTCATGCAGGTATTGTTTGTTGCTCTGCGGTCGCCAGCTGATCGTCCACACACTCAGCCTAATACCATGAATGGGTGGCTGTGCTTATTTTTCTTTCTCTTGTTGCGCATTCACTTCACTGTAATTGTAAAGACTGATCTACCACAGCTGATTGTCTTCCAGGTCGCATTCACGCTCTGTATCGTCTGCTGCATTCAGCGAATCCAACTCATACTCTCGCAACCCGTTTCTGGTGTTTCCATCATGTGCTCCATCATCCTTTAGCTTTCCCCCATGGCACTATCAGCTCATACATAATCGTTCAGTTTTCTCTGTGCGCATTATTTTCACTGTTTTGCATTACATTGGGAAATAAATGTGATTCTACGTTTTGCCATGGTGTGCTAAATGAGTCGTACCACTCAGTCCAGGAGAAGCAAACATCACAGGACGCTTAGTCTCGCATAACGTTGGCGTGCCACTTTCGCTGATGTGTTTGACCTACCTTGGCATTACCCACCCACAGGTTCTCCCGCTTTGGTCTCAGCGCTTAGTCTAATCATACCAACGTCTATCGTGCCGAACAGTCCTCAACAACATGGAAATACACGTGCAGTCATCACCTAAACCCTCAATTGCACCATCATGCCCGGAAGCTGGGAAGGCCAATATATCAGACTGGAAGGTAGGTCACTCCGTATCACTTTCGTATCTCTTTGAGATCCTCACACTCTATCTACAGTCAGAAGCGCAAAAAATGTTCAAGTCCCTTCTGAGCGCACTTTCGCAGGGATTTACATATCCATCAATGTCGACTCGAGGACACACCGGAAATCATCTGTCTTCTCATCCGATGAATTTGTATTGTGGGGAGATTCCATGACCCTGTAAAGTCCCTCAAAACTTTCGGATGCGATTCAAGAACTCACCCTCAGTTTATAGAACACAGGCATCACCTTCATTATCAGTGTAGATTAGAGCGTCCTACGAGGTCGACCGAATGCTTGGCAATGGCGAAGTCATCAGAAAACTTCAAACATTGTGGGATGACCTGCTCAATTATGGAGATGAGCCATTTGGTGAGTAACCTACTTCTCATTCATGTGTATCTACTCACATCCCGTAGAACTGTCCTTCCCACCCATCCGTGGTGTCACTCCTTCGCTCATGCTGATGGCAAATGTGAGCTCATCTGATCCAGATGACTGAAAACCTCGTCCATCAGCATTTTGCACCCGAAGTGTCAGTGAATCGTCGCGATTTGCGTTCTGAGGCGCGCACTGGCAGGTGAGTCTTGTCAGAATCATAAATTCCCTATTCGAGCTGCGGCTCAGGCCAGAGCCAGGCCAAAGCCAGCCGTCATTTGCGGCTTTGGCCCGGCTTTGATTTTTTGCAGGCCAGAGCCGTCTGAAGCCAGGCCAAAGCTGTGGCTTTTGGGCCAAGCCGGGCCGGAACATCACTATCTCAATCTACTCACAGTCCGTGTATTAATGAGTGCATAGGTGTATGCCGCGCTCTTGTGGAAGGCCAGCAAGTCTCCCTCAAAGTTCAATTTCACCGGCAACCAGTTCAGCGAGGTCTATTTTTTCCACATGAAATTTCTCAATGGAATGAAGGAGACTGCGCCAGGCAAGTTTCACAGGTTGATGGCTGATATTTTTGAGGCAGTCCAGTAAGTTCTTCGAGGTCCAAGTGTGCCATGGCTAATTCTTAATTCATCGAAAGGAAACTCTGCACCAATGGCGCTGCCACCTTATCCTCACACAATGATGCGATGGCATTCCTCGATCTTGACGGCATGGATGATGACGAGTAGTTCTAGATGTCTGTCGTCTCGCGCCGCAATACCCATCTATCACTATCGCTATAAATACCCTCATTTCTCGTTTATTGGTTTCTATAAATACGTATACCCTCGTTTAATCAAACTCTAATTTGTTTTTGTAAACCGGATGATCCAGTGAAAAACTAAGCACATATTATTGATTGTAAGTTTGCCTGAAGCTTAACAAAATTATCACTAATTTAGCTTGCACGAGCAATTCCTTGTGGGGCAGTATTAACAAATTATCACTAACTTAGCATGCATGAGCAATTCCTTGTGGGGCAGTAAAAAAGTCACTCTAATCCACTAAGTTGTCTATATTATGGAAATTGTCACGAATTAGAGAAAATTTGACATACTTAGCCTAAATTGTAGCGGAAGGTTTTCCTGATGTTAACGTAAAGCTGAAATGAGAAGCGCGGGCACAAAGGCCACAGATCTAGTAGTTCACAGATTGGCTAGCAGTCAGACTAGTCAGTCGTCCTCAACAACAGCTCAGCAACCTCAACAACCCTGGCTTTGTTTTTAACACACCCTTGATTTATGTCACACTGACCCATCACCCAGCCCCATCTTGCCATTGCTCTGCTATCTTGTCCTGCGAACAGAGTGTTCACTTCATAAGGTTGCACTGGCTTTCTATTTGCGATCTCCCCACCAAAGATTTGTCCATCCAAACCTCAAGTGCTTTTTTTTTTTTTTAATCATATTATTGTCTGTTTGGGGTGTAATACCCTATGTAGGACATTTCTAACTAGGAGAGGAGAACACCTGTGTCCTCCACCGTGTCTCTGACTTGTTGCAAATGCCCCAGATGGGGTATGACCCCACAGGTCCGCCATTCCTGCTGGCCGTTTTAGATGCCTAAGTCCATTACTCCACGGGGCTGTGATGATACTGTATGGTTGTGGTTTATGGCTTGTCGTGTGTTGGGGATGATACATGTACTCGGAACGCCTAAGCGCTCGTGTACGAGGGAAATGATGGGTGGCGGGGAGAAGAATTAGATTTGAGGAGTGGCTATTGCGAGGGTCCTATGGCGAAGTTTTTAGGGTGTGTATGTGTTTTGCGTTTTGACATTGTAAACAGTCTTGTTCTCTCATAAGGGCCAAGTGCACCCTCTAGTTTCTCAACTTCAGACTTCCTTCCGACTTATATCCATTTGGTCCAGCTGTTTTCCCTTCGTTGACGGGTTGAATTGAGATGTTGCGCACTGCGCGGGTATAATAAGTGATGATGACAATGTTGATGATGGTGTGTGGGGCGATGAGATAAGGGTGTTATTCTGCAAACTATTATCTTGTTATTCACTTATCTTTGCGAGCAGGAGGAGGAACTTCACTGAATGTTGATTTCAGTCAGCCCGTGCTGTTTACGAAGTGGATAAGTGGAGCGATGGCTTTGGCGTTGGTGAGGAGATATGAAATGGAAGATGCTTGTCATTTGAGTATGGAAGTGAGCGTGTGACGTTCTCACACGTATTGTGGGCAGATGAGAAGGTAGTGTTGGACCATTTCCAGGGTGTTTACACAGTGAGGGCAACTGGGTGTGATGCTCTTTCCGATCCTATATAGGTGCTGGTTGAGGGATATATGTCTTGTACGCAGCCATAGCAAGAGGCTGATGTGTCGCTTTGGTAGGTGTTGGACTAGAGATGTGAATGATTTCCTGGCTGCTGTGAGATGGGGGTCCAATCTGATGGTGCGTGCATAGCGTGGGGACTTCATCCATTGTCTAGCCCAGCGAGCGCATGATTCCTGCCTTTGCGCTTCAGTGCTGATAGGCTGCTGGGCAACACTCCCTTGCATAGGTATTTCGGTAGCCGGTTCCTGGTGCTGTTTTCATTACTGTCCTTGGCAACTTTCTTCGCCTCCTCATCAGCTTTCTCATTTCCCGCTACGCTGTCGTGTCCCGAGATCCAGTGAATGGTGATCTTGAAGTTGTGGTCTTTGCTATCTTTCTTCAATTGCTTGATTGAACTGCGGAAATTATCTATTAAGTAGTGACCGGATTTTGTTGAGAGCATATCACCTGATTTGATGGTTGCTTGGTTGTCAACGTATATGGATATGGGGTATGTGAGGTCGTCTTCTAATGCTAGGAGTCTTGCTGCCAGTGTTAAACCTACTGCTTCTGCCTCGTAGACAGTGTGAGCGTCCGCAGATCCAAGATGATAGTGTAAGATGCATGGTTGTGGGCGTCCTCTCCGATATAAGACTGCTGTGGCTCCTATCATGTCGTCTATACCAGAACCATCGCAATAAACTTTGTACTTGTCTTCATTAAGATCGTGGTTGACGACTGCTTGTTCACGGGAATTTGCGATGTTGATGGAATAGGGGGAAATTGCACTGGGTGGGCGTCTACTGTGTGTTATGGTTTCTACTGATTCCATGTCGAGTTCCGAGGCATGGAAAAGGTGGTGAAGGGATGATTTGTGTCGCATAACGAATCGTTTTGCCGCGCGTTGGACCGGAGCGTGTAGTGGGTGTGAAGTGGGGTGCGAAGCGAGACATAATGCAGCTTGATAGGATAAGTTTTGTATCTGGTGTTCCAATGGCAGTAACTTGGCGTGGATCTCCAGTGTATCTGTCGTGGTGGTACACATGGCTCCCGTTATGCTGAGTGCGGCTAAACGCTGTACCCGTCCTAAGCATCTGGCTACTCCTATAGAGCCCCATTTCTGGGTATCTCCTCCACCAACATATAGAGGTCTAAACCATAAGTCTACGGCATATAGCATTTTTGGCACCGCTACTGCCAGGTAGTGTTGCTGTGGCTCCAGCTTCAAGCCCAGCTGCAGCCAAAATTGAAGTGTGGCTGGCCAGGCCGTTACAAATGCACAGCTTACATACTCGAGGGCTCGGCTCGGCCAATTTAGCCTTGGCTGGCAGGTCAAGCCAGCTCGCAGCCGCTATATTTAGATATTTTATAAGTGAAAACATATACACTTGAACAATGTTGGAGACTCAACCCCAGTGAAAATAAGCAACTAGCGCTGTCCGCCCAGCTCGTGCCCACCATCCGCTACTCGTCTCCATCGGATCCAGTGAACCCCTCCTCCGTGTTGCCTCGAGGCCCACTGCCAGTGGTAGCGACTGACACCAATACGTTCATAGCCAGCTGTAGAAGAAGGTAGTACTATAGTTAGCTCGTGTATACTACTTAGTAGAAAAAGAACGCACCAGTGTTTGAGTTGAGTGCTTTCCTACGATAGGAGGATGGCTCATGGGACGCGCCTTAAAAAATGAACGACTCCAACTTCTTCTAATCCCATTCAGCCTGTCCACACTCGATGCGCTTGGACTTCCCCCTCCCCGTCCCACTCTCCGCTTTCATGACCAGCATCTCTAGCTGCTTCAGCTCCCGCATCAAGAACTCCCCGCGTAGCGACTCGCGCTCGGTTTGCTCTGGTGTAAGAAGAGATGGCCCGATAGGTGTCTCAACCTCCTTGAAGGGCGGTGGTGGCGAACTGGGGTTGCCAGCAAGAAGCAGAGAGGTTGCTGAGAAAAGAGAAACAAAAAGGCGAGGAGCAAAAGAACGCAAGAGTGAGAGAAGAGCAAAGAGAGAAGCAATGGCAGAGTAGCTAGAAAAGAGACAAAGGTGGGTTTGAGCCCTGGTCTTCTGGAGAACAGGACCTGGATGATTCTAACTCTTACTATGTGCCGTTCTTCGCTAGTATAGCTGTAATGCCCTCTTCGGACTACCCGAACTGAATGCAATTCAGTGCCCATCTCGATAGCACAAGAGAACTTCTTGAGGTGGCGTTGCACCAAAAAACACAATGTTCAATGTCTGCTGGAGAAGACGACGTTCTCTGCGTATGAATGGTATCACAGGCGTAAGATCTACATGCAGGGCCATCAATAATTCACTCAGAAGTTTCAATGTCCCTGGCTGGTAGTGACGAACCATAGGCAGAGGTTTCCCCCGATCGATGACTTCAAGAAGTTGAAGAGTTCCAGAGAGCATGGCTAGATCGTGCATTCAGCGAGATCATCGGTGATATGACAAGTGCATGCATGACAAACCATGATTCCAGCACTACGCTGTCCGACACGAGGGTTTGGGTCTTTGTTGATGATGCGAACTGGAATGCCAACAGACCTGCTGGCCCAGTGCCTACCCAGTAAAGGATAGCCACCGCCCCGTGGAATTGATAATTAGATCTGTGATGGAGATTTGACGAGTAGAAGTGCACTCAACCAGTAACACCTTGGCCTCTACATTCAAGGGGTAATCTCCTGGCGTGCGAAATCCACCAGTACGATCCATCAGGACATTCCAGGTCTCCTTAATTGCTCGAGGGTAAAGCAGTTGATAGGCAACTGGCAACTGCCCATAAGACCGCCCGCAGCACTGGGCCAAATGTTGCATGAGGGCAAGTTGGGAGTGTGTTGAGGATGGGAAGGCTCAGGAGCATTATTGCTCCCTCATGCTCTCCTTTATCATGCATGTCTTGCTTCCACCTCGTCCCCCTCATGTACATGGGACCAGCTCCTGTCTGCACCTTTGACTCGTGTCTGATCTTGCTGAGAATGTGTTGAATAACAAATTGCTGCACTCGTCATCGGTCCTGTGTCTACTGGAGTAGGCCGAAATAGAGTTGATCACTGGGATATTGAAGAAGGTGGGGGCGTTGGTGTCGGTGTTGGGGAATATCGACTCATCTGTGAATCGTTAGAGTTGGACCTAGTGGGATGAATTAGGGTGGTAGGACATTGTGTTTTGCGTACGTACCTGTACAGAGGTCCAAAAGAATTTAGCATGGATAAGTAGTTGCAGCAGAGATTGTGCGTGGCTTGGTCTACTGGTGAGGAATCTGTTGCAACGTGGATTTTACTGGATGTATCGAATAGGAAAGCCTTTGCGGATGCTGTATTCTGCGAGCAATTAGAATGACCCGTGGAGACAAGGGGCAGAGAAGGCACATACAGAGCAAAATACATTTAATAGTTCTTCGAGATACGATAGGGAGTAGATCAATTTATGAAGCACGCGAGAGAACGCCTCTCAGAGAGAATGGTCATATATGGAGGTGAGATGGAAATTGAGAGGGAATTGCTCAAATTCAGGGGATTCGTCTACGAGGCGGTCCATGACATGTTCGTGTATCTGGCAGAAGTTTTCTGCATGCTGGTTCAGTCACATGAGCAAAGAATGGATGCGGGATTGGCGTACCAATCTTGTCGTCCTCTTGAAGCCTTTCTGCTTTATGCACAAATACTTCAAAATTTATGTCTGGGTTGACCTGGCATGCTGCGACGATTAATTCTATGAGCTTTGAGACGGGATGTTGGTACAGATCCTGTACATCTAGATGAAAATAGCAATCAACGGCTAAATGCAGCGCACGTACTCAAATGTCTATGATGAAGACTATAGTAGAAAAATCAATGAGAGATGCGCCGAGTGTGTCGACAGTGATGTTTCCTGGACAGTCCCATATCTCAAATGGGATGATGGTACTGAGAAATGGTGGTCAGTGTGCTGGGCGCAAGCAGAAGTGAGGGAATGAGTACACACTCAATGAAATGCTTTGCGACGCGCATGGTGGGCTCGAGGTAAAAAGTTTGTTTGACAGGGAGATCGTCAAAGAGGACTTGGAGTATCAAGGTCTTTCCGCTCCTGGGATAGGTGAGAAGCAGCAAAGGGAGAAAACATAGAAATTCACCTTCTCATGCCCAGAAAGAGTCTTTTTGTCCTATGTATGGTTCCATTGGATTTTGCACTTGAGGAAGAGCTCATTGCTAATGCAGAGGCTGCTGGTGCAAACATAAGTATACTAAATTGGAGCACTGTCAGGAAGGTGTTCATGTGCATCAAAGAGAGAGGAAAAGAAGAGAACAGAAAGCACGGCGGGCAGGGGCGCTCAAGGCATGCTCACTCAGCTTGGGGCGGGGGACGGGCCATACCAAGCATCATTGGTGCTCAAGGTCACAGCGCAGTGGGAGCGCGAGGCGCAAAGAAGAAAAAAAAAGAAGGGGGCTCACTGCTGTGACCTGTGCGCTGCACGTGGGTGTATGAGCGCGGAAGCTCAGGTTTTATGACCTTCGGTTGGGAGTGGAATGCTCTACGGATTGAGTTGGAAAGCATTCATCGCACCGAAGTTCAAAGTCTTTCAAACTCCGAAATGATATTGTGCATGTACACAGGTTATGTGGGACACAGGAATGATGTGCAGGGGCCGTGAAAAATACCCAACAGCTGCGTGCAGGAATTGCAGGAAGGTGCAAAAATGCAGGAATGTGAAGGTTGCATTGCGCTGTGTTAGAAAGACATGTTCAAGAATCATGCAGAGAAATGAGTCAATTCAAGCTAGTCTAGAAAAACAGAACAAGGAGGAGCAAGACAGTAGGACGAGTATGCGTAGTAGTACACGAGAAGCAAACATGAGCAAGAATCGAGTGATAAAGTAAGCATCAACAATCATACAACAGCAGGAACATCCGGAACATCATCACATTCTTGCTCCGCGATGATTCTGAGAAGGGCCTTGTATTCGGGCGTTTCGGGAGTGAATCCACTGATGGCAGAGGTCAAAAGATCACTGGAGCTAGATGTCGGGGAATCACCAGTGCTTAGAGCACACATCAAGTTATACTCCATACCCTTCTGCGAGGCTTGCCAACCTGCGGTAAAGTTAAGTCGCTCTTTCTTCAGTGAAAACTTGACCATCTGTAAGGCCTCCATCAGAGGTGGGCTGATGCGATTTCTTCTCTTCGTGTATGTCTCACTGCTGGATGAAAAAATGTGTTCACAGGGAACAGCAGACGCCTGAATGGGAAGATAGTCCATTGCGATTGAATAGATGGTCGGAAATATGGGCTGTGCGGTCTAGTCGATGCATTGTGATCAGCGAAACGTAATAGAGACATAGGACACTTACCGTCCAAAATGCAAGTAGATTTGTTCCCCGTGGGCTGTGAATAGCCGTGCTGTAAGTGCTAAATTCCTGTTCTATCGTTTGGGTGCCACCCTCGTTATGCGGCAGTAAATCGATGTCAGAAAGTCCATATATCATTGAGCCTAGTGTTGCAGCAGCGTGTGTCTGGTGATCTGACTGTTCCAAGGACAGAGAGAGTGCAGAGTCAGAGGCATCTCTCATTCTCTTCTTCCGCATCTACAGCATATCAGATCAAAGTTGCACTTTTGTGCGGGTAAATAAATGTACCAGTTCGAGAACATAATCCCTGGCCTTGTTGACTTGGACCATGTCCCAATTATCATTCATCCATGACATGCGAATCGCAGGATCAACGACTGTACAAACACACATGAGAATCAGCATTGGTTAAAAGAAACATGTGGGACTGACAGATAGCGACTCCATATGCTCCCGTGTGGCCCATCCGTTCATGGTATTTATCAGTCCAAGTTAAACCGATGGCAACAAAAGGTGCCAAGTGCGCAAAGCGCTGCACCAAGTCCTTCCACTTTTTGATCAACCTTTCAAAAGCCGGGATGGCACAACTAAGCATGGGAGTGCTTTCGCTGGACATGCTTTGCTGGACAGCATGCGGTGCCTAATATAAGATGGTAAGTACATCTCAATTTCAGACAAATTAAGGCTGACCTCTAGGACGACCTCAAGATCTTGCAAAATTTGCCATTCCACTGGCTCTAACTTTAGATGGGATATAGCCCTTTGATCATGATCATCAAGGAAGTCGTCAATGGCCTGGGCTGCTGTTTAGCTGATGCCAAGGATTATGAAATGAGACCTTACCTGCTGAAGTGTTCTTAAGCGATTAAGCATGATGTAGGTCGAGTCCCAACGTGTGGGCTCATCGTACAGCAGTTCAACAACCGGGAGCAATATCTCCTCATTATTGTCGTTTTGGAAAATCTTCGCATCATTGCCCAAGCGAATGACATCTCTGAAGTTATCACGTCGTTTGTTTGACACGCGGATCGCACGCACAACGGCCCTGGCCCAACAGATAACATCACCTTGCAGAGCCGCGATATACACTGCCTTGTCAAAAGAGACATTGCCAACTATGAAAGGACCAGCCACGTTTGAAAGGTCCACAGTAGCATGCTCGTCCATGACATGCTGCACAAATATATTGATTATGTGTGGGAAGCATGGGATCCTGCAATCAACGGCGTCAAATTCAATCCCTTGTCGCAGCAATTGGCGAGAGAGTTCTTCCATTGCAGTCTGGTTATTGGCAGCATTGTCAAGTGTCATGTGTCCCATCTAAACCGAGTCAGAGCACGTCAAACAGCACAAATAAACACTGACATTATGTGTCACACCAGCACACTTGATCAGATTGAAGATCGTTGACCCGAGTGCCTTCCCCGTGTGACTACCCGGCGTGTAATGAAAAGCAATTAGAGCGCCCTTCAAGATGAGTGCCAAATTAACATTTTCCCTTGCAAGCCAATGGGCAGTAAGTGCAAGGAAGGGGCAGAGCTTGGGATCTGACCAGAGGTCAGACGTGAACGAGATTTTTCCTTGGGTGTTCTGCAGGACATAAGATACTGTGTGTTATCAGTAGCTAAACACTTACTGCAAGGTCATGTTTCATGACCTGGAAGTAGTCACGCCACGCATCTATGATCAACGAGCGAAATTTCGTGCAGCAAGGAATATCTGACTCCTTTAGATCTTGACGCAGGAGAAGGAGCAGCTGGCGAAACTCCAGGCACTCGACAACGTTAATGGGCTGGAGATGACTGTTAATAATGTTGCATGGAAAATAGATACTACTCACCTGGTCGTTGGCTATGATGAATCTAACAATTTGTTGGTGCATCTCATTGACTGAAAAGTCCGGCAAAGCAGCTTGTGATTGTGCAGGCAGCGAATTGTTGCATATGGGATTGGGGGGAATACTGAGTGTCTGGATGGTACAATCTGGGTCCTGGCTAAGCCTTTCACGCATCTGCGAGATGGTCCAGCCCTCGTCAAGTCGGAATTGGACCTCATTGATCAAAATTGGCCAGGCCACTGTGCCCCGGTGCTCACATTCTGGTAGGTAAAGGTCCATATGATAGACATGCACGTGGGTGCAAAGAGTGCCTGTGGTTGAACTAGCAGCATATGTCTGGATTTTCCATGAAGAGTCTTTCTTATGCATATCCCTGTTCGAGGTGTGAGATTGACAAAACACTCCCAGACATGATACTTACTCGCAGGGGACACAGGTACGTTTGAGTGACACCTCTGTCCTATAGAAGTGGGGGATGTCGACAACCGCCCCCCCCTTTCGTTTTCTTTTCCTGTCCTGGGTGGCCAAAGGATTGGATGGAGTCGTAGCAAAGGGATTGACTAAGGTCGTGGCCAAGGGATTGGTTGGGGTGGTGGCCAAGGGATTAGCTGGGGCGGTGGCCAATGGATTAGCTGGGGCAGTGGCCAATGGATTAGCTGGGGTGGTGGCCAAGGGATTGATTGGAGTAGAATTGAGGGCACTGTCACCTGTCTGAAGTGGATTAGGTCCAACTATTATGGGAGCACCGTCCTCCTCATCATCGGCGCTGATCTCATTGATGTTGAAGAATTCGGTATCACCATCTTGATATCTTCGAGGACACTGACACTCTCATTGAGGGCGTCGGAGGGCAGTGGAAGTTGCTGCGGTAGTATTGATGGTTGCAGCAGCAGCAGCAGCGGTAGTGGTGGGATTGGGAGTAGCAGCTGGGGCATCAACCTGAGTAGCATTGGCATTTTTTCGATTTTTGCCGCGACAGTTGTTCATGTTAGAATATTGGAGATGGTAGTGCTATAGATACAACAAGAAAATCACCTGTATATATAGGAAAACTTCGACCTGGGGAGACCCAGGAAAATCCCAATGTGCGTGGTGGGGAAAACCCAGTTACATCTGGACACTGGCCAGGCTGGACTTGCAGGATATTTAGGGTTGTGCAGGGTCTGATCACTGAAGCATTAATGGACATACACAAACAGGACAATGGAACGCACACTGGTACATAATATCAGCTGTCCTCGACAGGCTGCATGACATAGTCTTGAATGTAGGGTAGAGGAAATGAGTCCGTGAGTAGATAAGCCTGTTGCTGGGGCTGTTATTGTGAGGCTCGAGCCTGATTGAATCCAATAATGATCAAGATTTGAGATCATTGTGATGATTCGGAGGCTGCAGAAGGGCCTGCAGGCTGCAGCAAGTTGGCAGTGAGTGGAAGATAAGAGACACATGTTATGGAGTCGCTCAGAGGAGTCAGGATGTACAAATTACATGATATGATATACAAACAATCAGGTGCCAGCACGATATTGTTAGACAACCGAAAGCTCATCTACAAATGTACAAGTAATGCCTTGGAATGAAACCTACTATGAATCTTAACCAGTCGCCATACCCCAAATCTTGTCGAACTCTCCATGTTGGCAACCTGATGGTATCCTGCATTTTCTTGATAGTTTCACAAACAAATCAAAATATATACATCCATCATACTAAGCAACAAGTTTCTTTTTCTGACGTGGGGTGGAAGTAGTTGGGGGCGGTAGGGGGCCATTACGAGGACATAAACTAGGTTCATGAATTCATAAGTGTGTGAAGATTAAAAAATCATGTACTCACATACAAGTCGATTTGCTAACAGGTGTTGCCTTTGGCAGGCACAGCAACACCGCCTCAGCCACTGAGTGAATGTTGGAGTTTGGAGAATGTATGACAGGGTCATTGGGCTGGATGAAATCTAGCAAGCTGGTTTCTGTGGTGCGAAGACCGCGAAGCAATGAGCGAAGATAATCGTAGTCGGGATCTTCTGAGAACGAAAGAGACCACGAGTAGACAAGAAGGTTTGCGAATTCAGAAGGAATACCATCACATAAATCTGCAATGGTGGTGTCCACTTTGCGCTCGAGTATGTCAGAGGTGGAGAGCTTGTCGTGGTTGCTAGTGAGCCATGGAAGGGAGCCAAGCAAGAAATAGATTAGCATATATGAAAATGACTTGAGGTCGTCACGACGACCTGGCTCCAAGCCCAAGTGGTTGTTGATTGAAGCGAATGCGGGAGTGCCTGTGAGAGGTTGGCCCCTGCGAAATGGTATATGTGTTTCGGTTGCAGCATTCCAGTACATCTTTGTGATACCAAAATCGACGACAAAGAGAGTTTGCCTTGAATCGCCAAGACCCACTAAAATGTTCTGTGGTTTGATATCACCGTGAATGTAGCCGTATGAGTGGATGTACTTGAGGCGTGAAAGCTGGGAAATAGGTTAGCATCTGAAATGACCCACTCAAAGTGATGTACCAGCTGGTCTCCTAAGTTCACAACAGTGTGAAGGCTGAATTTTTGGTTGCGTGCCTTGAAGATATCATGCAATGATGGCCCAAGGAGTTCGAGCGCCAAAGCGTAATATGTCGACTCCTGACTGAACCAAATGACATGGGGGATCCCAACTCCATTTCCAAGTCGTTTCAGAATGTCGTATTCGCGCTCCACAGAAGATGGGTGAGAGGTGAGAGGCTCAAGTTTGATGGCAACTACATCATCATTGAGGAAGTTCTGTGTGCGGTATACAACAGCTAGGAAGTGAGGCTTAGCGAGTCTATGCGTTGAATATCAATGTCAGGTAACAACATACCATATGACCCAGATCCCAGAATGTTTCCCAGCCGAAATCTTCCATCAACTCGAGCTGGGACTTTATTCATGCTGCAAAGCCTGTGATAGGTAAGGACAAATACAATATATTCAACAACAGATGCGTTGAATGATAGGATATGCACGTGCAGTGTGTAGGGAATGAGACGAAGTGAATCCAAACACCATCAGCAATGAGATTATTGGTAATAAAAACACACACTGGCTTGAGCTGGCTCATGTGGCTAGCCAGCTGAACCGAGCTGGATATAGGTAGCTTAACTCGCCAGGAGAGCCAAACTACTGACAAACTGGCAAAAGCCGAGCCCGAACCGGCCCGAGTCGAGCCATGGCATCACTACTGCCAGGTATAACTGCCGCATCAATGAGAGTGGGATACCGGTTGAAGTGGATGAAAGTCTATGCAGCTGGAAGACATATGCTGTGCCCTTCACGATCGCATAGGCTATATGAGCTTGCCAACGGAGTGCCTGGTCTAGGATGACCCCCAGAAATTTGTGCGTGGCTGATGGAGAGATGGTGGTGCCATGGGTGACAAGTGGCGGTCTTTCCTTCTGTGAGTTCATCGAAAAGTCGACAAGGGCAAATTTGGATGTTTCGAACTTGGAATTATGAGCGAGGGCCCACTTGAATCTGCCTTCTGGGTATTCCAACATATCCTTGAGGGTATCGTGAGTTTCATGGAATGATTTACCTATTGCAATGAATGCAGTATCATCGACGAACACCAATGTTCGTTCGGTCTTCTCGTGTCCTATGGCAATGTCTACAAGGTCAGCGTCATAAATGATATATAAGATCATTGAGAGTGGGTCGCCCTGGCCAATGCCATTAGTAATAGGGATCCACTCCGATAAATTTCCATCAAATTTAAGTTGAGTGCGGCGATCTGATAAGAGGTGTTTGGTGAAACTGATTAGTGACTCTGGTATTCTTCTGGATCACATATTATGAAGCAAACGGTCAGTGACTGCGTTTGGGAAGGCTCCCTCAATGTCTAAAAATAATGCTGAGACTACTTTACCTTGACGCCATGCGTCCTTGATTGTTGCTTCGAGGAGATGAAGGGAATCTGTGGTGGACTGACCTGGACGTCCACCGAAATGAGTCCTGGGTAGTAGTTTGTGATGCTCTAGTAAGTATGTCAATTGGTCCGCTACCACCGCTGTCAGTAGCTTGCATGTCGTGTTCAGCAGTGCAATTGGCCTGTATGCCTTCATTATTGCATAGTCTGGTTTGCCGGGCTTTCGGAGGACGACTGTTGTAAAGTCCTTCCATGGGCGGTAGTATGTCTTGAGGGTAAAGACAGCTCTGTAGAGATGTAAGAGATATGGGAGCAATATTTTAGCACAGCGGATGAATATGACATTACAAATCCCGTCAGGGCCCAGGGCCTTGTACGGGCTTAACTTTGCTATACTGCATTTGAGCTGGTCTGCTGATATTGGTGCTGGGGTGGGTACTGCTTCTGGATAGACGAACTCATCTGGTACTGAAGATGCAGCCGGCGGTGGTGGGAAAAAGGCTTGTGCTAAGGCGGCACTCTTCTCCTCATTAGTTTCCGCTGGATTGCCTGCTGTGCTTTCAGCGTCGGGATTCTCGACAGACCTCCATCCCCAGCTGCTGATGTTAGATAGCTATTGGCCATCCAGATCTCGCTGCCCGATATGTCCTCAAGCCATTCGAGCCAGTGTTCCTTCTTCATTTGCTTGATCTTCTCGGTGTACTGGTTACATTTAATTTGGTGCTCCTCGTGGCTTTGGTGAGCGGCGATGTTGCGGTTACGGTATGAGAGATGACTTAGCTTCGCTACGTCTTGGCGCATATTGGTTAGGTCTTTCGTCCACCACCGTTTGGAATGTGGGTTTGGCTTGGTGCGCAGGATCAGTAATTCCACTGTTCGTTGGATGGTGGTTGTTAGATTGCGTGCAGCTTGCTGAAATTCTTCATCAGTGACGAGCGGTTGGGCAGGAGGAAGCTTAGCCATTTCAAGTTCCAAATGTTCGTTAAACGTTTCCCAATCAACATCTCTGTAATTGTGTTTTGTTTCCGTCGTGGCATGCAGTACTTCGAACTCTAGAATGCTCAATATTGGAACGTGGTCTGTTGCTGGACCACGTAATGCTGGATTCGTTGTACAGCTAATGAACGATGTCCCTGTGTGATCAGTACAAAATACATTGTCCAGTCTCGTCCAGTTCTTTGAACTAGAAGATTGGAGAGTCGGTAGTCCTTTGGGAAGGGTCATAATCATTCCATAGTCAGCTATTAAGTTCAAGAGAGGTTGTGCGGCGTCCAAATATTGGTTGGTGAATAGTTGCGTGTTACGGTTGAAGTCCCCAAGCCAAATCATGTGATCGTCTGCTGAAGGTCGTAAATATGCGATTTCCCATTCAAGAAATGTGGCCATTGCTTCTTGAGTTTTCGTTTGGACGCAATCATTGTAGATGTTAAGAATGGTACAGCGACCAAAGGGTCTGCGTAACTGGATAACAACCATGTCGGGGGATGGAAAAGGTATTTGCTGCCACGAGTTTGTGTCGAAGGATTTGGATACTAAAGTTATAGCACGTGATTTTAAATCCGGGGAGGAGAATCTAGTGGTCGGGTATATAGCGTGATATTGTGGGGATGATATGGTGTTCTTCATTTGGTTGATGTGCGGTTCTTGCAGAGCTAAAATATCCCAGTCTCGGGCTATTGGACTGTTGAGAAGAGAATGTTGCACGATCAGTGAGGCATTGAGGTTTTGCTGCCAAATATGTAAGCATGTCGTTGTTTCATTATTTTGTTCAGACATTAAGGGGGGTAGTGATGCGTTGGTTCGATTGACTTGAGGGGGATGTAACAGTTTTTGGGGTCATGGGAGTTGCTGGAGTTGCGGGAGTTGCGGGGATTGCATGAGGTGTGTCTGCTGGGGTCGGGAATGGTGATGATGGGGGTCTGTTGGGTCCCCAGTTCGACAAGGATGGAATGGAATTAGGGCCTGAGGGTGTAAACGCACGTGGGCTGTTACGTCTGAAGTGCGGGGCATGTGGGGCACCTCAGGGATTATATGTGCCGCGACTGTGTCGGTTGGCCTCGAAGGGGAGATTCGTCTGACGTAGTGTGGGTCTTGGAGGGTTTTTCGATGGTGGTGCCGCTGGTTTACGGTATGGTGCAGGTTTGGGTGGTAGCATGACTTGGGTCCATTCCTTGTGAGTCGGGAAATAGGGCATGGAATTCTCAGGAAGGTTGGCGTTGATTCCTGCGCATCGGCTTTCGAACTCTGGACAATTTCTGTTCCAGCTGGTATGGTTCTGGGAGTCGCAGCTGACGCAATATAGTGTTCTGTATGAGTTGCATTCGTTAGTGCGATGGTTGTTACCACATGTACCAAACACATCTAATGGGCTCCCTCTCATCTTTTCTTGGGTGTAGTTTTTCTTTACCAATATAGATACCATCCCTAAGTGAGAGGTTAGCTGCTGATGGGTTAGCGAAGTGGATGATTGCATGAGCCACTCGTTGATCTGGCACTCTCCGTTGCCTGGGTTTGATCCAGTTTGCAGATTCTATAGCTCCTAACGGCATGTCGTTCTCCTCCTCCACCGTGCGTAGCCAGTTAGTTTCTTCAATGTTCGAGCTGACAGGGAGGAATGGGACAATCACTGAAAAGCGATGTTCCTTGATGGTGGCTGGGATTCCTAGGGCTTCCGTGATCTTTATTCTGTTCTCTGGTATATGCACCCATTTCGCTGCTTCAGTTGATGTTAGTTCAATGATGAGGCCTCCATTACGGAGGCGGGTAGTAGCTTTGATTTGAATGTCTGGGGAATCTTCTGTTTGTGCCGCTAGGAATGCCTGTCTGAATTTGGTTGCTATTTCTATTGGGTTGTCTTCTGGGGCGAATATGACTTGACCTGGTGTCGGATTGAACAGGATCTGTTGGTCCTTGGTTGCCGCCCATATAAGGGCTGCTGATACTGGAGCTGATGTCTGAGTTCGGACATGATGACGGCCCTGTCGTACATGCAGTGTGGCAAGTACATGATAACGGCTCCGTCGTACATGCAGAAAGGCCGATCACTCGAGGGAGGATGGTAAGGGATGACCGCTTGAGGGAGGAGGGTAAGGGATGACCGCTTGAGGGAGGAGGGTAAGGGATGACCGCTTGAGGGAGGAGGGTAAGGCTGACTGCTGGAGGGAAGAGGGTAAGGGATGACCACTTGAGGGAGGATGGTAAGGCTGACCACTGGAGGGAAGAGGGTAAGGCTGACTCAGGCTGCTGGATGGAAGCTTGCGGTAAGTACATGATGACGGCTCCGTTGTACATGCAGTGCAGAAAGTACATGATAACGGCTCCGTCGTACATGCAACGCAGCAAGTACATGATGACGGCCCCGTCGTACATGCAGAAGGTTGACCACTCGAGGGAGGGTAGGGATGACCGCTTGAGGGAGGAGGGTAAGGCTGACTGCAGGAGGGAGGGGGGGGGCTGAGACCGAGGGGGGGCTGAGACTGCTGGGCATTAAATTGAGCACACCCAGAGTGCAAGGTTTCACTTGAGGGAGGAAGGTGAGGGGGACCGCTAGGATTAGCACTGATGGGAGTGGGGAAGGTAGACTCCTTCTGGATGTTGTAGTTGGAATGGGTATGACCAGCCTCGAGCTGCCTGCTGGCGAAGTTAGAATACCGCAGGTCAGGTGGGACGATCAGGCGCACAAGATGAAACATCGGAACATTCCGAATTTTCAAACTCCGCTAAAAGTGCGCTCACATATACCAGCCAGATAGGAGTTTCGATCCCCTTGATCCCCATCATGCCTCGTCAATCCATACGTGCACAGATGCTGAATGAAATCGACCAGGATGCCCTTGTGGTAGCCAGGGCGAGGCACCAGCTCATCACGGAAGACGATGACTCTACAGACTCTATCTCAAGCGTTGACTCCTTCGACCTTACCCGCAGCTCGGATCTTGATATTTTCTTGAATATTATGCTTTCCCCCCCTTCGCCTCTGTCTCCGGTCTTCTCTGGCTTATCTGATTTTTCTGATGGCGACACCTCTTCGGATGATGATGATCGTATTTTTGCCCTCTATAATCGCCTCCAAGACTCCATTGCAGCTCTCCAGGATGAAGTTCTGAGGGCCCGTGTACTCCACAGGCCTGAGGTACCTCTCCCACGAGCCCCACAGCTCCACCTTCTAGTTCATTTCGGTGAACATCGCCCTCTCTTATTTCGTCACAAATTGCGGGTCGACCCAGACATCTTCGACAACACCCTTGATCTAATCTCTGGCCATCACATTTTCCACAACAACTCGAACAACCCCCAGCTTCCTGTCGCCATTCAACTTGCTATTGTTCTCAACCGTGCTGGCCACTATGGGAACACCATCTCTCTAGTGGATGTGTCTCAATGGGCAGGCATTAGTGTCGGCTCTGTTGTTAACTGCACTAATCGTGTAATGGTCGCCCTCCTTGACCAGCATGATGCTTTCATGAGCTTCCCTCCACATGATTCAAAGGATTTCAAGCTCGCTCGGAGGTATAGTGCAAAGGCTAGCACTTGCCCTGAGTGGCAGAATGGAGTCCTAGCTGTTGATGGGACAACAGTTGATTTGTATGCAACACCAGGCTTTTTCCACCAGGTGTTTTATGATAGGAAATCAAAGTATTCCCTTGGCTGTCAAGTGAGTTTGCTTTTTATTTATTTTTTTACCATTGAAAATTAAAATAAATTCAAGGCAGTCATTATGCCCCACAACCTTCTCATAGTCGATTATTCTCTCAGTCACCCCAGAAGCATCCATGATGCATATGCATTCAGATCCACTCGTATCTATCAAGAGCATGACACCCTTCTGCCAGCTGATCACTGAGTCTGGGCGGACAGTGCTTATCCACTGAACACCTGGTGTATTCCCCCTTTCAAGAAGCCCTGTAATGGTCGTCTGACAGCAAATCAGAGGACATTTAATTATCATCTTTCTACAGTTTGTACCTTTTTTCCTGATTGTTTTAAATTTATAATTTCTTTAGGTCCGTGTACATGTCGAACATGTGTTTGCTGCATTGAAAGGGCGGTTTCAATCCCTTCAAGATCTCCGACAGAATATCAATTCAGCCGACGACTTGCGGGCCGCTGTCCATTGGATCCAGTGTTGTCTCATACTCCACAATATGATTATCTGGTTTGAAGAAAATCAAGCTCTTACAGAAGCCAGTGGCTCAGTGACATGGGCTCATCAGGAGGACAGTAACATTCATGGAGCAGAGAATGAAGGACCCGATGGTGATGAGCAAGTGGGTGATAGGTTGTATGAAGGGACTCCGGGTCATGCATGTTGTGAGAGGTTGAAGGATCTCTTACTTGACAGTCCCCACTCAAGAGCATTGCGAAGAGAAGGCTGAGGAATAGTTACAAACTTTATTGGCAAGCTACTAGTACAGAAGAACATCAGTGTATAGTAAGAACAGTACAACAGGACATGAGTAATGTTTGCACGACATGAACAACAGCACAACAGCATGAAAACAGCATGAAACAAGAACAAACGAGACACCGGAAGCATCACACTCAAGACCCAGAATTAGAACTAGTGAGATGAGCAAGCTCGATCTTGAGGCGTAGCATTGCCGCCTCCTCCGCATGCGCATTTGCCAATGTGTCATGCACTTTGATCTCGGCTTCACAAAGTCTTATCTCAGCATCTTTGGCCTCCTGGGAACGTTGATGCGCGACGGCAGCTTCGGCATAACCACCTGTGCATTCAGCTTCGAGGTACTTGTGCTCGTTGAGCTGACGAGCAAGATTGTACTTGACCATATACTGTTCATTCTTCAGCTCGTCTCGAGAAACCCTGTCCGACAGCGCTTTCTCGATCTCGTCATTGTAAGTGTCAACTTGACTCTGAATGTCGAACTGCTGCTTCTTCACCCGCCTCTGTTTTCCCGCGGACGCGGAATTAGCTGGGGACATCATGGATGTTGACGCGAGTCCCGACGACGACACTGATGCAGGCTTGGACTGCGAAGATCCTGAAGAACGGCGAGAGACTGGTTTGGGTGACCCAGCGCTAGTGCGCCTCTTCGGATCAGCCATATTGAAGGAGGCGTGACCATTGCGATGAGACGTTTGCGACGGGCGTGGTAGCACAAATTCGGATTGAGGCAGGGGGGGTGATGGGAGGGGAAGGGGAAGGAGTTGGTCATTTCAATGCAGCACGTGCAGACCTCGGCGGACTGTCGAGGCTGATAGGGTTAGGGTCGTTGTGGTAATCCCGTCGCAGGGGGGAGGAGGCCTTGGTGTATTGTTGAAGGAGAAGTCCATCGGCTCGTCATCATCATAATCAGGCATGTTGATGTCGGCATCGTCGAGAGGTGAACTGAAAGCACTGTGAGAGGGGGCGGGGGGCAGGCCAGAATAAGGTTGATGCGGTTGTTGGCCATACTGCTGATGGCGCTCAGCCCCAGTTGCATAGTCCTGAGGGGCACGGTCAAAATGGTACTGATTGTGGGGATGCTGACCGTCGGAAGAAGAGGAATAAGAAGTACCGCTTGAGGGAGGGTAACCACTTGAGGGAGGGTAAGGATGACCGCTCGAGGGATGGGAGGGCTGACTGCTGGAGGGAGGGTAAGGATGGCTGCTTGAGGGATGGTAAGGGTGGCCGCTTGAGGGAGGAGGGTAAGGCTGACCACCTGCAGGGGGGTAAGGCTGACTGCTGGAGGGATGCGGGGGCTGATTGCTAGGAGGGGGGCTGAGATTGAGGGGGAGGCTGAAACTGTTGAGCGTTAAATTGAGCGCTCCCAGAGCGCAGGGTGTCAGAATAGGAGCTGCCCACCATACGCGAGATAGAAAAAAAGTTTGCCAAATGGTCGACCCCCGGGCATGATGAGATGGTCTTGAGTGATAATGCCGGATTCCCCCCCATGATGCCAGCAAGTTCATCATACCAGGGGAATTCCTTTGAGATTTGCGCTGTGAATTTAATCAATTAGACTATCATAAATAGAAAGAAATACTCACCACGTAAATTCTGGGCGGTGGTTTCATCCTGTGGCATGATACCGGCACCAGTCGCGTTCAACTTGTCATGGCCTTGACGATACCTTTTCACAAGGCTTTAAACAAATATTATTAATGTACATGACAAGAACGGACAGGAAAAAACATACCCAATGATGTGATTGCTCGTTGAGTCTCTGAACTTGTCTGGCCCAGCTGCATAGTAGCCCGCTGTGGGAGAAATCGTAGAAGTCCGCTATAGTGATAGCGTACCGATCCTGCTGGGTGCGAGAATAGTAGTCGACCCAAGGGGATAGCTCTGAGAGCAGTTCCTCAAGTATGAGCGAGGGGAACAGTGAAGAAGGAAGTGATGCGCTGAAGACAGAACAGCTGTGTATGCGAGGAGATGCGAAGATGCGAGAATGCGCGGAGATGCGAGGTATGTGGAGATGCGAGGTATGCAGATGCGGAGATGCGAGGTATGCGGATGCGGAGAAACGAGTGAATGTCTAGAGGGTACCAGGTATGCGAAACGGGTAGGGTACCAGGTATCGGAACAGGTAATCGGGTAGAGCGAACTAGGTACCAGGTATATGTGAAGACGTGCAGAAACCGCCTTGCAAAGGAACTCAACTAGGACTAGCAATAGTCAACTGTCAATGGTGATGTGAGCGTTCGCGCGGGATGAGAAGGCAAACAAGTGATTGCTCAAGCAAGGAAAGACAAGGTAAGACTAAGCTAGTGACTCCACAACACACAACCAGAGAGGGAATGTAGGAAAGTGCTGGATACGAGTCCGCAACATAGTATATAACAGAGTCCGTAAGAAACCGGAACCGTATAAGCGGGCGCATATGTACGCGAAGTCGGAGGGAGATAATATGTAAGTAGCACTATGCGACCTCGTGCATGGGAACTGATATGTAACTGGTCCAGTGAGGACGGACGGATGCAGACAGGACATGGATGGATAGTGCATTGCGATGCGATGCGATGAGTGCATGGATTCCGCAACCTCGTGTGATGGTCCGCAACAGCCTGTGGAAGGTATGCGTGACTTCGTCCAGTAAGGGGAAATGGTGCTGTACGGGGCTGCAGCCAGATCGTCTCCTACACCGCATATTCTTCATCACGCTCAAAGACATGCTTTGCGATAACGGTGCACACAGAAACCTTATCCTTGCCCGAGGGGCGGTCACCATCATCCTGTGATTGCTTCCCATCCGAGTAAAATAGGATCCAGCAGTCAGCTGGGTGTTTGTGGAGGTGGTCGATAATCTTTTGGGTGCGGAAAGGCGCAGACTGCCATTGGATTGTGAATCTGGGCTGATCAGAGCCACTACCGGCAGCAGTACTTCGTGTGCCTCGACTTTTGCCACCTTTTCCGCGAGTGACGGGCCCCTGCATTTGCTCCATGGGCTTTTTGCTCCCTCGAACAGGCTTCTGTAAAGCTTGCAGTCGCACAGAGCGACGACGAGGTGATGGTCGAACAACAGGCATATGTTTCGAAGTCCGCTAGGGTGCCGAAGTCTGCCGCATGTCAGGTGCGTGTTTAGCCCGAGTTTGGTGGGTTTCTAACCGCACTCTACCGGAGCCTTACCGAGCTTTACCGAAAATTACAAAACTACTCTGAGTACCACTAATTAAAGTGAAGTATGTGGTTGAAGATCAGCATTTCATAAATACAGTACATATATACGTTCTTGATATTTGACGGATCGGTGGTAACGGCATCAGTTGTTTGGGCGAGAATGCAAAGAGGTACTGTCTAAAACAGAATGTAATTGAGAGCTAGAGCTGAAGGGAAGACACAAAAGACGCTTAAGCTGAGGTCTCATCAAACAATTGATAGGCTTACCTCGGCCTGGCATCTGATACTTGTTCCTCTCGAATACTAGCGCTATTCTCTGATGATGGCAACTCGCGAGTTATAGCTGCAATCCCCGGTTAGTCAATGTGACGTTATAGGACTAGGAAAACTGACAACTACCGCGTGCATAGGGTGCTCTATAAAGTCGACTTGAAGGCGACTGGAGTTCTAGGGCTTCGAGCAATTGCTCGGCTACCTTCGGCTCCATCTCGCAACGTTGCGTGAGGAGCGTAGATACTTTTTTTCGTGTGAGGGATTGGTCTGCCCCAACGAATTTTTGGACTAGCCGCCGTAGCTGTTGCAGAGTGGACCTAGAATTCGGCCCTGCGTCGCAACATTTCACTAGTAGTTCCTTGATCGCCTTCTGCGATTCGGTGTCCACAGCTGAACTACCAGACCAAGGCGTAGCTACGTCTGCGCAGACGTAGCTGACACAATCGATTTTGTGTGAGCGGAAAATCGCCTTGTAGTCTATGCCGCTCGTGCCACGGTTTGTGACGACGAGAGCAACTGGAACTTCTTCATCACAAAATACTTCATGGAGCAACCTATAATAACCCTTCATCTTCGGGATCTCTTCGTTGCGTACGCAATAGAGGAGTAGATCAATTCCGCCTCTTTTCCTCAAGGCATCGATCGCAAAGTATGTATCAGCGATAGCATTCGTGTACTCCTCTGTACCCAGCGTGGGATCGAGAAAACCAATGGTATCGAATACCTGGAAAGAACGACCATCGACCGGAATTGCATACTCAGCCCAGTGTTTCGTGCAGTTACTGGCGTCGTCTGACGTGGGTGCTCGGCTTTCTCCAGCGAGTATGTTCACGATCGAGCTTTTCCCACATCCAGTGTGGCCAACGACGAGTACGTTAAACACCTACTATACCATGAGCACCCCAAATTACGTGTTGAGCTCAAGACACGCACCGACATATGGGCGGCCCTCTTGCGTTTGGTACTAATTTTGACACTGGGCTCAAGTTGCTGAATTATGCTGTCGACAGTTAGATGATTTCGAAAAAAATCTGTAACGGCAGCCACATACCAAGATTCTTATTCAGCACGACGGGAGGAGAGACAAGTGGAGGTCGGGTTATTTGAAGGTTAAACAAACACTCAACAGTCTGTATCCACACGTTGCTGCCTCATGCAGTGCGCGAGGGCTTCGCATGTTCATAAGATTGAATCCCTAGAGAGCGCATGGCATACCATTTATATCGGCGCAGTTGTATAACGGCTTTGAGACTCATGCCACTGATAGCCACCCTTGTCGAGTGGTGAATGAATTTTCGACCCGGAACAGGACAATGTTTTCTCCACGAGTGGTAATGTGATTCCCGAGGTGTGATTGATATGCGACCCGTCTCTACGAACACGCTGCAGTCTAGTCGCAGCTGCCGTCAGGTGGACCATCCTTCCATCTCTCATCAACCTTTGCGCAATCAAACATTTCTTTGCCCAACTTTTTGTTCACTTCGTTATGTCGCTCACACAACCACCTGCTCAACCTCTCCTGACTGCTCACATCTGGGGGATGCTCCTTCATTTTGTCGCCAAAGTCCGCCGCGCAATGTGTGCATGGATACAGGACTGGTAGCGCGTGGATGAGATTTAGCATATTTGCACGTTGGTGGGGAGTGGGCCGAGCCGGGAAGTATGCTGCGGTCGCATGCAAAAATGACCATGTGGCACGTCCAAGGGCTTCGACATCCGGCGGACAGTGTGGGGGCAGGGTTGCATTTTCTGGCTTGGGAGATTGGAAGCCTGTGCCAGACGCGAAAGCAGCCATCATTGCGGCAGTGGATTTCTTGCTCGAATTGGCAGTGCCTGAAGCGGTAGGCCTCCAGTTACGAAACGCGGTACATATTTTGCAGGGCTTTCCGTCCGGACCAAGGACCATACCGGGTGGTAATGAAGGCTTGGGTGTCGTTGGGCCTGGTAACATCGGACGTTCAGATGATTGAGATCGGTCCCCCATCGGAATGAGACAAAGTGTCTGCAGGTGCATGGTGGTACATGAGGTTGTCAGCACCAACCACGCTGCTCTTGAAATCAAATATTACCTTGAAACGCGCAGGGCAAGGAACTCGTTGGATTTGCGTTGGGTCAATTCATAATGCCATCAGCCGGAACGCGTCGTACAGAAAATCCCACGTTTCACGTGAGCTGATTAATATCTCTCACGTGCTTCTACAACGGTGCGGAACCCAAGCTGACCTAATATAGCCACACGTTAGTTGTGCGCGATGGCGCCAGAATTCCGTGCACTGCACCAGAGTGACAAAAATAAAATGGCCTCAGTATGCTATTTCGGACTTCTCCTTCACGCTCCATCGTGTGCACGAGCATTGAGCGCCCTGGTCTATGAGTCGTTCATTATCTCGCTCTTCATCGCGGGCCAAATCCTCCAAGAGTCTCGGAGACGATTCTGGACGCGAACCGCCTGTCAACATCAATGATGCGGAAGCGCCATTCCCTCAGTCGAGCGGAGGTCTACATCGTGGCCTGTCGGCGCGCCAAGTACAAATGATCGCAATCGCTGGCACTATTGGAACTGGACTCTTCCTAGGAACCGGGAGATCTCTTGCCCAAGGTGGTCCTGCGAGCATGCTGATTTGCTATGGCATAGTGGGATTCATTGTATACGTGACGTTGTTGCTACTAGGGGAGATGGCTACACAGTACCCGGTGGCCGGTAAGTGGCCTCCGTTTTTCATATTTATGCAACGCGCTAACCATTTCCAACTTTCCAAGGGTCATTTAACGCCTATGCGACGCGCTTTTTCTCGCCGTCTTACGGTTTTGCGCTATCGTGGAATTACTGGTTCAATGATGCAGTGTCTGTCGCCTCCGATCTCACTGCTGCCCAGCTGGTGTTACAATTCTGGACGACATCGCATCCTTGGGTGGTCAGCCTGCTCTTTTGGGTGTTCCTTGTATCAATCAATGCCTCTCATGTCAAGGCTTACGGAGAATTGGGTTAGTAACTAAGACGTCCTTTCTCTTTCCAATATGGGACTGACTCTACGCGGTAGAGTACTGGCTTTCATTCCTCAAGGTCGCCACGATTGTGGTCTTCATTATCGTTGGCATCCTCGTCAATATCGGCGTCAACGAGTCACACACCTACATCGGAACCCAAAACTGGCGTATTCCTGGCGCTCCATTTGTTGGCGGCTTTGGCGGTTTCGCCAAGGTTTTCGTAACAGCTAGTTTCGCATGTGAGTTGTGTTCTTAATTGCGAACCTAATTACCTTATCAGTCTGCAGACGGCGGAACAGAAAGTCTAGGTATTACCGCAGGAGAAACGAAGAATCCCTCGAAAAACATGCCAAAGGTTGTTAAATTTGTGTTCTGGAGGCAAGCAAATATGTGTATCTTATATATCATTGACGTGCGAGCGATGTTAATTAGAATTCTGTTGTTCTATGTTCTGAGCATCCTGCTTATCGGCCTGAACGGTGGGTTGCTTTTCGCTGATACTGTTACACACCTGATTGTTTTCCTTAGTGCCATGGGATTACCCAAATCTGTCGAATAAATCGACCACTACATCTCCTTTTACGATTGTATTTACCCAAGCTGGTTCAAGTGAGCATATCTTCCCCGCCCCTCGTCCAAGTGCTAACGCCATTTCAAACAGCTGTGGCTGCATCATCTATGAACACTGTCATCCTGACCTCTGTTTTATCCGCCGGTAACCACGCCCTTTTCGCGGGGACTAGAGTTCTGTATGGTCTATCAGTTGTTCACCCCATCCCCCACGCACCCCGTATATTTTCTCGGACCACTCGAGCAGGTGTTCCCTTGTACGCACTACTTGCAACAAGTAGCATTAGCGTGCTCTGTTTAGCCAGCAGTTATATTGGCAGCGGCCAGCTGTGGGGATGGCTGCAAAACATTGTTGGAGTCTCAAACCAGGTTTGTATCGATGAACGATGCGTCATGACCCAGGACTAAGGAAAATTTCAGATTGCCTGGTTATCAATCGGATTGGCCAGTTGGAGGTTCAGGAAAGCCTGGATCAGACAGGGTCGATCTTTAGATGAAATGAAGTTTCGAGCATCGTGGACCTGGCCATGGGGTCCTTACTTTGTTGTACGTGTGTTAATACTGTCAGTCACTTCTTCCCTAACACATGCGACCTCCCAGATTATCACAGTGATCGCCCTCATTTTGAGTGCGTGCTTTGTTTATTACATTGTTAACTTTGCATACTGACGAGCTGAGCAGTCCAAGGATGGTCCTCCGTATTCCCCACATTCTCACCAGTAGATTTTGTCTCATACTACATCGAGATACCCATAATGATCGTCATGGGCCTCTCCTGGGTCATTGCTAAGAATGCTTTCGTAGACTCCATACCAGTCCCGGGCAACGTCTCCCTGGATCCCCCTAATGAGACGACATCTCTGATATCCCATGACGCTGGGACCCGAGGAACCCATCACAAATGGACGTCCGACATTGTGGACATCCAAACGATTGACCTGTATCGTGACGAATATGCCGACGAACCCTTGGATGAAGTGGAGGATGAAACAAAGGGCAGGAGACTCCAGCTTTTCTGGAGATTGTATGGTATGCTGGCTTAGATCTTGTATATGTATTACTGATATCACTTCGCGTTGTGTATACCATGTACATTCAGCACTGTATTCTATAATTGTATTCAACTAGTAACATCTTATTCTATGGGCCCGATCGCACCGCAGATAGAACACGCGAGAACGCTCAAAACAATTCTGCCGATCTTTGACAGAACTTGCTCCCAGATGCAGTCTGCCCCCTACCGTACCCGTAAGGTAGGGTACAGTGTTACCCGCGGGTACACCAGAATTAGTGAGTGCTGAATGACGTCTAGAAGTTGTATCTGTTGCATCGGGCAGCAACAACGAAACATGCTGCTGCGTCGGGGCAAATTGCTGTCTCGATTCTGGGTGGTAATCGGCACGTCTGCAGTATGTAGGCTCACTCACTCTGACGTGGTTGTCCCTGTAGCTAGCCTATAGGAATATGCAGAATTTTTATTTGCGTTGGACGTGCTTTTGGAATGGGATAGGTTTGGGATTGGTTGAAAGTGGATCTTTGGCTTTGAACCATGCCGATGATCAAATCTAGAGGGTAACACATTTTTTGAAAGTTCCATCATGGAGACTGTGGTAGCAAAATGAAGGATCCACTAGCTTACGCCCACTGCGTACTGCTCAGTGCCGACCAAAGGGGATGACTTGTATGCACTAAACACCCAAATACAAATTCCCTCGCAATTTTGGATTCAAGCAGGGGGGAGAAATACTGCCCATAGCACACAGCTCAACGCACCCCACAGAACACTCCACGTGACCCATGCTTTTCCCCACTTCGGAAGATCGAGCATGAGGCGAGCAGCAGCCCAGTATGTGAGCGGAACAGACGGGAGAAGCCTGAGCGATATCTGAACGTGAGCGTTAAACGTCAAGATCAACGTGAGCGCCAAGGCGTGGAGTACGTGGGGCAGGAGCGACGGAGCGAGGAATGGAGAGTCGAGCCGAGGAGGGGGAGTTACGTCAGTGTTTTTTGACGGGATCTGAGGTACGATGTGGGGAACAATGGCAGGCAAGTTCGAAAGATAAAACCAGCAGAATGCGAAAATATGAACCAAGGCAGGGAGCGCGAGGATGAAGTTTGGTGTATTGGAGACTGTCCAATATCGCAAGAAGCCAACGTTCCAGTATTCAGATTGCACGTGAGAGTATATCAAAGGAATCAGGCTGCTCGTACACCAATTCGGGATGTGTGATGTTGGTGGCATGCAAAATTGAAGATATCCGATGATGTTATGGTGGATAAAGGGAATGAGAGGCAACGCAGTCAATAACACGCATTTAAGTATATGCCTAGGAGTAAGCTGGTATAATCGCATGAATTCGAATACCATAGCCGGGATGCGCATACTCACCAGATCCTTCCGTCCTGCCAGAAAGGGCGTGACCAGCATACCCCAGGGTATGAACCCGGACAGGAATATTCCATTGGACCTGAATATGCTTGCCAAAGCGAAGCATATAGATGCTGCAGCCCACTTGGAGCGAGCACACGCCAGCATACCCCGATACGAGAAATATGTGAAGAACGGTTCGTTGTAGGATGCCAATCTAAGTGCAGTGGGGCTACTCGAGAAGATGGAGAGTGCGGCAGACAAAAATGCCAGGGAAGGTGAGCGGAGATGATGCAATGAGAGGTGATAGAGCACGTGTGTTGAATCACAAAGTACGGCCATACCTGCCCCACCGCGAAGAAGCGTCGTCCAATCGTTTGAACCAAATCCTACTAGAGCCTGCATGTGGGCCGAGACACGCATGAGCAGTGGCAATCCGTTGAAGAATGCCCATTCGTGTTCATACACGTATCCCTCTCTTGCTATGTGCGCAAAGTGGAAAGCGTCCCAACGAAGGAGGATGGACGAAGGGGATGTCCCGCCGATACAAATGCTTGGCGATGCATCGAACAGCGGAAGCACATATGCAGAAATCGAAACTAACGCCCAGGCTGCAAGTCGCGCAGTCACAGAAAGAATCAGTAAGGTTCGGATGTGCCCCGTCGCTGCTGATTGCATTACGCTGATCTAGTCTCGAACCCAGAACGTTCGGCTCGGGGCCATGAGGAGGACGTGATGTTTGTTCCTATTTGTAATGCAATTTATTTACGTGTAAAACTTATGTAATCTGATCCACTTTTAGATGTGAAATTGTACTTTGCACATCAATAAGCATGACCTTGCTGCCACTGGCAGCCGAACGCCGGGCTACGTTTCACTTCCCTCGAGCGTTAGGCTTCAGCGCACCAGTGAGTTCTGTGGTTTACCGTATGTTCCTAATTTTTTGTTCGACACATACGACTGACCAGCATTAACAGGATATTTGTAAACGTGCTTTCTCACTGGGAACACAGTGACCGCAGCTGTCGTGTGAAGTGTATTTCTACCAAATCACCTGCTAATTGATGTCGTTCAAGTCCAAGGATTTCAATCTCAAGCCAAAGATATTGCAGATCCCCCTGACGGCACCTGTGAGCTCAGCGACTACCATGAGCCCTGTCGTGCAGTCACCTCCTCCGACGCTCATTGAATTCGTGACCACCGTTCCGATACCACTTGCTTCAGAGCTAGTCGCCCTCGCGCCATATATTCAGGCCATAAGGCACTTTGCACAGATTATCAGTTGGGAGTCTTCATGGGAGGAAAGCTGGCTTGCTCTAGCTGCATGGTGGGCGTTCTGCTTGCTCTCCGAACCGACCCTGAGGTATGTGTGTTTAACTATCTATGAATTCTCACTGATTCGAACATCTTTGCTCACCAGGTTCTTCTTACCGCTTGCAGTTTCATTCGTTCTCACACTGAGACGGTGGACATCATCCACTCACACACCTTCGGCAACCTCACCGCCGGTGATAACCGACAGCACCCTTCACGCCCTCGTATCCGATTTAACGACCATCCACGCACTGCTTCCCGTATCACCTCTCGTCGAGTCCCCCCTCCCTCCGTCGTTCATTGTTCTCCGAGTACTCGCATTCATCTATCTACCCTACCTCGTCCTCACATCTTTCGTTGGTCTCCGTGTGTGTATTGCGATATGCGGCACCCTATTCATGGTTCATAGAGCGCATTGGGCCAAACATGCTCGAGCATCCATTACACGCAGCGCACATATCCGATGGGCATTTTACAGGTTATGCGCACTTGTTTCAGGGGTGTCGCTCCCACCGCCAGCATCGCCCTCTCCCTTGGAAGCTTCTACCAAGATACGCCCGGCTTCTGTATTATCGGATCATACGCCCAAGCCTTCTCCACCTATTCGCTTCCTCTTTACAGTCTACGAGAATCAGCGTTGGTGGATGGGTCTCGATTGGACAGCTGCCCTACTTCCTAATGAGCGCCCATCATGGTGCAGCTCCTCCCTAGTTCCGTTATCCCCACCCTCAGTATTCCCTCTTCCCGCCTCCACAACAGCGTACGTCGCTGTCGGCAAGAATGGCCGTGCGAAGCGTGTAGCGCGCTGGACATGGGAAGAGCCTGAATGGCGTGTTATCGTGCGTAAAGAGGGTCAGGGGGGTGTCTGGCGTGTGGAGAAAACACCCCCAAGGGATAAAGACGGACCTGACGAATCTACTGGAACTGCAGCACGGATGCTACGCGCCGCACGCGGCCGGGACAACTCTAACGCGAGCTCCAGTGGCCCTGCCGAGTCGCCCGAGCGGACTGGAGAGCAACATTCCAGCGATCCGTTCCTCGATCCCGCATCTGAAGACGAAGCCGTTACAGATCCCGAGGGTTGGTTGTACGGTGACAACAAATGGGAAGGCGCAAGCTCGAAGGGTGGGATGGGAAAGTACACGCGCTTTCGGCGATGGACTCGCATTGCTGTTCTCTCTGAGATCGTCGAACTTGTGGGTCCAGGTGATTTGGGCGTTGTGCGCGATTCTGGGGAGCTCGGCGGATATGCGACTGCCGCGAGCTCTATTTTTGGCAGTACTGGTACCCCGTCCATAAGTGCCAACTCGCCAACATTAAGCTCGTTCTCGGATTTAGAAATGCAGAGTACCGTGACAGCGCCAGAGCCGTCGAAGGATGGAAAAGATGTAAAGGATGGAGGCAGCGCAAGGAACATGCTGAGACAGCGGCTGAAGGCTGTCGTGGAAGGAACGACGCATTGATAATGATCTTGTGTGTAATATTAATTGTTTTCGTAGGAGTGTATACATTTATGAGCGCTGTCCGCTAATGGAATATTTCGTTTCACTATCTGTATCCCGCCTTCGATAGCACAATGATATTGAAAGATAAATCATTGTAACAAAGGAGTCTAGCTCGAGTGTCGCCAAACCTTCACAGTACCATCTGCACTACCCGTAATCATCTCCCCGGGGTCTATTGGGTGATGTTCTGTCCAGGTGATCACCTTATCATGGACTTTTGGTGGGGGATTGGGTTGCAATACTGTAGCCTAGAACGAACGTCAGCACGAGGAGTGATATCTATGAATTCGAATGCTCACATCAACCAAGTCCCAAGCCCAAACAGCACCATCTTCATCTCCACAAACAACCGTCGCTTCCTCATGTCCGAAGCATGCTCGACAGCGATACGATGTGTGGTTGTGGCCGGTGAAGGCATTAAGAAGTTTACCGCTGGTCGTATCGAACAGCCTGACATGCGAATCAAGCGTGGCTACGAGAAGCGTGGTGCCATCAGCTGAGGGGACAGCGGAGGTGACAGGCTCTGAGACGTAATCAACATCCTGTGTGCAATCAATATCCGCAGGACTTACGGCCTATGAAGTCTGACCGCAGTTCACCCTTACGAAGGTCATACGTTCGGACATGTCCGTCTACAGAGCCTGCAATTATGGTTGTCGCATCCACGTGTAAGGTCTGCACGGCGTCGCGAGCTTCTTCGAGTACTTGAATCGGCGCACGCGCTGGTGCCCTGTGCAGAACAAGTTTGATATAATCCCTGTGCCTAAACCATTCTGCTTACCGCAAGTCCCATAATCTAACTGTGGAATCATACGAGCCTATGATAAAGCACTGTAAATCTCTGCTATTCACATTCAGTGAAGGATATCATCTCACCGCTCGCAAGCACAGTCGCATCCGCATTAAGCTCCACAACATGCACCTTGCCCATATGGCCTGCCATCCTGCGCGTCGTCACACCCGCCGTAACATCCCACACAAAGACAGAGCGGTCCCCTCCAGAAGACGCAAACTTCGTATTGTCATGACTCCTACACAATAAGTATACGGTCTTATTCGTCAACTCCAAGAAAGGCCAATGAACTACGAATGCGACTGACACAGATATAGAGAGGACCTCATATCCGTGCGCTTCGAACTTCTTGATCTCGGTACCAAGTTCTGGATTCCACAAGCGTATAGTGCGATCCTGTCCTCCACTTAGGACGTATTTTGCGTTTCCTTTTGCATATCGAACGACATGGACAGGTCCTCGGTGGTTCGAGAGCGTTTGATGGAGCGTTCGAGCTAATGCTTGGGGACCTCGTGAAGGGGCCATTTTGGTTAACGTTCAGTTAAGTCCACTGGGAGCCCGGAGGACAATGAGCCAGCAACGGGAGACAGTTCAAATATGGAAGGTTCTCGGCCTCACCCGATGGATGACTTACCGGCGGGCCGGTGCAATGATTGGTGATATGCCTATCCCACATTTCTCCCTCGTACTGCCATGTCCAAGCACCGGCTGTCGCAAGCGCCATTGCCGCCCGCGAAGAGGCTGCATAATACTCGACTTTCGTCGCAGGAGCATCGGCTAATCACAACATTTGACAATGCACTCTATGACGAGCTCATTCTGTTTATCTTCACGTTCCTGAACTCCCGAGATCTATGTGCCATGCAAGGAACGAACAGAAACTGTGCGAGGCTTGCGAGAGACAACCAGGTATATATTTGATTCAATTGGACAACAAGAGAATGAATGTTGAACACGCTCGGATCGCCTACTTGCTTCGGTCATGCTTGTAGCTCTGGAAAGCCTTGTTTGTCAGAGAGTATGGCAAAACACGGCTGAGGGGAGGCAAGGGGTTTTATGGTAGAACTGATGGAAGATCGGTTAAACCGCTTCCCTCGAGAGCTTCTGTATCTACGTCGTCAGCTGATGACACTCTGGACTGGAAGTGGATGTATCGTATCAGCTCGAACTGGAAGAGCGGTATGTGTTGCAATTAATATCTTCTTGTTTTCACTGTCTCATACCTGTCTAGGACGTTGTGCTGTCGAGAATTTCACTGATGCCGAGAGAGTAACTCTAGTACCACCGCCGACCTTTCCTCGTCAGCACGTTATATTGGCAGGCGGGTTTACCATATCGTCGACCAAACCCCGCGGATCCTCCCTGCTAGTAAGGGACAACAATGGCGTATCGCGGACCCTGCTCTGCAGGTCTACTCTAGCTACTTCTATAGCAGAAATATCTGCTATAGCGCTCGATCAATCACCACCTTCCTTATCTTCCTCTCATATCATACGCCTGGCTGCCTTCCTGACAACAGGAGAATTCAGTATATTCGAACATGATCACTCTTCTGTGTCCTTAGCCACCACTCCAAAGCAAACTTACGTCCCTTCGTTCGCGCACCGTGCTTCCCCAGTAACTTGCGCAGCCTACAATCATCCATTGCTGGTCACATTGTCTCGCTCATTTACGCTCATGATATACGACCTGAGCAATGATTGTATCACCCACACTCAGACACTCACGTCTTTCACCAGTCATCCGCCCACGTCGCTCGTACTCTCTGCCATGCCTTCGGCATCATTGTACAAACTTATCATGGCCTACGCCATTCCTGTTTACCCTGTTCACTGGAGTGTGGGTGCTACAGAACTCGTGATATCTCCGTCGGGCATTTTACCTCGTAAACGAACATTCGCTACTTCCTCTAGCGAGTCATCACCACAAGGGGCCTTTGAAGTGAGCATCACCAGGTCTACCCGTGCTTTTGACGTCCCCCAAGGGTGGATAGACGAGAAAAATCTGCAGGTCATGCGTGATCAATGGGGTCGGAAAGTGAAACAAGTCGCAGATATACAAACGGACGGGAAATGGGTCGTGCTAGCCCCTGGAGACGTGACTGACGCCTCCTCTCCGATATCCCAGGAGTCTTCAGAAGGTACAACGTCCCAGGAGGCACACCCACAATCACTCCCATACATCTCACCTCCGAGCCACTCATCGAGCCACCTTCAATTATATCGTCTTCACGTACCCCCAATCTCGAGTTCATCGGTCCATACACCGAGATTGACGTTTGTGCGGACTCTGCATGGACCTTTGGGTTCTGTCTCTGCGCTTTCTCTCGCAGACGGGCGGTGTGTCAGTTTGAATGCAAACGGGGCGATTTGGGTATGGGACCTCGAGGGTGGAGATGGAACTGAGGTCGCTGGGCCTGTCGAGGGCAGCTTTGCAGGAACAAACGGTGTAAGTAATTATGGTACCGTTGCATTTGACGAGCGAAGGATCGTCAGTGCTGGTGTACGGGGAATCGAGGAACGAAGGTTTGATATCTAATTGTAGTGATAGATTGTTGCATTTTTATTGCTTTATTGCTTAGCGTTTGACTCTTGCAAGAACACCGTTCGGCAGTTTGCGGAGTTGTCACGAGAACTCGTGTACTTGCTCCAACCTACACTGTTAGAGTGATCACTGATGATAACGGCATTCAGTTAATGCAGGCAAGCCAACGGCGAGGGTAAGTGCCCCGTGGTGTCGTACTGCAGCAAAAGCCTGAGGGTGCTGATATTTGTGGTGCAGGGACACTCTGCTACAACTTTTCTGCTACTCGCAGTGCACATGCGCAACACCGCCGACCACACCTATGCACTTATGCCCCAGGCCAACAGGTCATGTTATTGTTTTATAGAACGAACTGATCATGACCTACAGTAAAATCCCTCCTCTGGAGAGTCAGGGATTTAGTATTTATTTTTTGTGAGTTCAATATTAGGTAATGTGCAAACTACGTTTCAGGTCGGGTGTGTTGTGTGGGACCCAACTTTGAGCGTCCCTATCGTCTTTCCATCAGAATTGTTACATACACCCACTGATAGATCAGGCTGTGCCAAGGGCTATTATATACTACTCGGTCTTCAAGTATATGATGTGCTCCCCCATCCATTCTCCACCTCCCGCATGGCAACTGCTCCCAAACCGAGGGAAAGAACCTGGGATCCATCTAGTCTTCTTGCATATGATGCGCTCCCGAATCACCTGGATGACTCTGACTCGGTCACATCTGACCTAAAGTCTGCGACCAATTTCTACGACCGCAGTCTGACAAGTCGTAGGTATGCCCTCGCTGGTGTGGCATGCTCAAGTATTGTCAGCTGCTGTTGCATCATTGCAGGCGCCGTCATTACGGCCGCTCCTGGAGGTGCGACTACTTTGGTATTAGTAGGACGGGGCAGCACTGCACTGCAGAAAGAGATGGTGGTCATATCACTAAACTTGATCGTCACATCATGCACCGAAGCCATAGGTTTTGTACACGACATCTCATTGCGCTCTGCGCTGGCTTCAGAGTCTCGGCTTCGTTTCAACTCTAATCTACGCCTTCTGACTGCAGCTCGTGGATGGAGCAACCCCAATGGTGGCCTGCTCAATGGTATCATGGCTGTCCTCCTCGTCGTGTCCTACAGCTCAGCTTCACTGGTCGCATTATCTTCCTACGACACTTTTTTATACACACCTGCCAGCCGCATCGACGTGTTTGATGTTGATATCATAGGGATACCTCTTCTGATTTTGGGACTCGCACTTCTTCTCCAGGTGGTGATCGCATTGTCAGGGATGCGAGCTATCAAGATATTAACGTGGAGTTCCTCACCTTTCGATTTGACCGCTGCCCTGGTGCACCACGCGCAATTGACCCCAGTTCCTTTCCGGTGCATGCGTGGCGTGTCCGACTTGGATGTGGATGGAGGTCCAGCGAAGCCATCAGAGAAACAGCCTTCTGTATGGCATGCGCACCCTAGCATCCGGAAAGTTATCATTTCCCTTTGGTGTCTTGTCGTAGCATGCGCTGGATGGGGTGTCCTCATTCTGCACATCTACGATACGTATGAAGACTATACCAGTCAGATAACATGGAAATCGTGGACGTTCTTCCCCGACGATCAGAATTTCTTATACGGCTTTGGGTACTCGATGGCAGGGGGTGGCGGGGCAGGCGTTGCATGGTGGATTCTGACTTATGTCAACCTGGCTGTTATCCAGGGACCGTTGACACTTTGTCTGCACTGCTCTGAGCTCATCGCAAACGTCATTCGGGACGAAGGGCATTGGAGATGCGCTACTGGACGAATAGGGATTGCATCGGTGAACCCACTGAAGTCGGTTTTCGCCAATCCGCTCTGTCTTGCACTTTTTGTCGCGAAGCCTATCCTGCGTAAGTCACTCGTACCTAGCTTTAGATGTGTGTTCTTGAACAAATATTATTAACGATATAGACTGGATATTCGGGCTTTGTTTTGTGCTCTTCGCCGCCGTCGACCCTACATATGGAGTGAATATCGTGATATATATGTATTCAATGCAGGTTCGTATTCACTATCTAAATACAGCCACTACAGCATCCTTATATACTCGCGCAGATCTTGAACTTATGCATAGTGCTGTTTGTATTCGCTTGTTTCTTCACTCTCGTGGCATTACGCCAACGGCGCGGGCCCCAGCCAGCTGCATATGGTCACCTTCAGACACTGGCCAACCTCGTGGATGAGTGGTCGCCTGTGATGTGGTGGGGCCACAAGGAAGATGGAATCCCGTATTGTCATGCTGGTAGGTACTTGGAATGGTCACGAGGACGGTGCATTGAAGCTTTTAAACAGGAATGAGTGGTCAGCCGCTACCGGCTGTGAAGATGGACTGTGTTTATGCTGGCACCAGCGTCGGGTCTCATCCTTCCGTCTCGTGAGAAGTCCTTGCTTTGCACAGATATTCCTTAACTTACTCTTTTCAAACACAGGACTTAGGTTCGTGTCAGGCGGGCTGGCGATGCATTGACGGTGCTCATAGTCAGCTATGCCGTGGGACGGGACATATTTGCGATGAGTTTACGATGTTTGCCGCGTTCAAGTTGGAGATGGATCAGGATGTTGTCATATGGACCCACTTCTTCGTGCGCCACGTTCAATAGAATTCTGATTTCAGCGAATGCACAATTGGGACACATTGGTGATAGAGGATATGATTTACACGGCCATGCATGAAGACGCACGATCCATGCAGTAACTTTTTTTTAGGGCAAACCACGCACTGTGTTGTACAAGACACATGTAACTTAACTCTGGTGTCTGATTGTATCAATTGACATGCTTGTTCGTATATACGTCCGTGCGCATTATACACTCGTCTCCCTTCCGCAAAATCCGGACCCGGGATATGCAAACACCGTGATAATGAAGAGATTAATAAAATGTTTCACGGTGGATGACTATTGACTGAACTTCTGAAGCATGTCGCGGGCTTCAGTCCCTAACTCCTTCACATCGTCAATCCACTCTAATCCTCGCCGCTCTCCTACGCTGAAAACACGATCCACATCTTCGATGAGCCGCTAAAGATCATATTTGGAAGCGATCTGCATATACTTCCTTGTGGGTTCCACGAGGACGGGAAGCAACTCATCCGCGTCCTTGCCCTTTACCCCCCTGTAGGAATAGATAGTCATCCATGCACGTCTTATCATGTCCCACCACTGCTCTGTGATAGACTCGAGCGATGTAATGGACACCTCTTCAGGTACGGTTCAGAGGAGGACACCAACTACGCTGTAGTTATCGTGCCCCACAGCGGAGTGTTTGCACATACTGAGAGAGAAGAAGTACGAATCATCTTCCACCACGGTCTCACCCTCGTCGAATCTCCCCAGTTGCACTAGGCACTGAAGGAAATCGGCTTCTTACATCCAAGTTCAGCCATCGAGTGCTGTATGAAGTGTATTTGCACTCGCCTTCGTATAGGGCGACGCTGAGACAAGAAGCATGGAGTACCGGAAATGAGTGGAGCAAGTCCCTCTATCGTGCATGACGAGTGGAGGGCTCAGAAGTTCGGATAGGATAACTGCTCGTTTCTGGTGTCGATGCGCATGCAAGGTCGGATACGCAGCTATCTCGGAATTTTTGTCCAGCGGGACAAATAATGCTGATAAGGTTGATTTGCACATGATGAGATTCGAGCAGCTATGAAACCGTGCAAGACATCGTGATCGTTACGAGGGCTTGATCCAGAAGTTGAATATTTGAACGTTGAATATCGAATCACTGTGCGGGCTGTGACGTCGATCAGGCAAAATCAGATCGTTGAAGTCATCAGTACGTAAGCGTTCTGGCCTTCAATGACTCGGATGCTGTAGAATATAATGTTGCTGTAGCTGACTTGAAAATGATAAATACTCACATTCAAAGGTCAAAGATTGTGGATACGACGTCCGGGTGGTGAAGACTTTGCAATGATTCGGACACAATGTGATGAGCGGGGTGTATGGGTGATACGATCAAGACTGAGATCAACCGACTGTTGACTGCGAAGCTTCAAGCTTCGCTTAGCTCAATGGATGTTAGTATTGTTGCAGCGTCCAGGTGATGGGAATTCTACAGGGAAGACAAGAGGCAACAATTCAGACACAAGATGGCAAACGGGATGTGTGGCCAGGTGTTATACCTGTCAAGACAAACACGAGGCCAGTACGACCTCGTGTCCTGGGCGTCTATGGAAACGAGGTAGCTTAATGTAGTGAAGTATGTAAAAACGCACAATACACGCACCACCTCTGCAGCTGAGACACAGACGCTCACAAACCTTCTAAAGTTCACCTCGACCGTACTCAACAATACCAACCCGCAGTAAAATGTCGAACCTCATTCCAAGCACCACACCCCTTCGAACTTTTAAAAGTCATGAAGGAAACGTAACGGCAGTCGCAGTTTTCCCCGATAGACGAAGAATGATTATGGGCTCAGAAGACAAGACCCTTTGTCTTTGGGACTTGAAGACAGGTGTTGTGTTGAAGAGGATGGAGGGGCATCGCAGTAACGTGTCGGCATTGGCGGTATCACGAGATGGGCAAATAATAGCAAGCGGTGATGGATATGGAGAGGTCATTGCTTGGAACGGAGAAACAGGAGAATCTCTCACCCAACCCATCAAAGCCCACTCCGCTTGGATCAACTCGCTGGACTTTTCCGCAGATGGTACGATGTTGGCCACTGGTTCAGGGGACAACACAGTCAAGCTGTGGTGCACCAAAACATGGCAGCAACAAGGAAATCAAATTGAATTTGAATATCAGGTCCGCCAGGTTCGATATTCGCCGTCTGGTGAACTTCTTGCCATCGCAACAATAGGCAAAATCAATATTTATAATTCAGGCACAAGCTTGGAACAAGTCGCAACCTTGCAAATAACAACTTACACATACACACTCGCGTGGACGCCCGATGGCACACGCTTTCTTTCTGCCGCGGATGACGCCATAGAAGAGTGGGATACATCAGACTGGGAGAAGGTCGGTCATCCCTGGAAGGGCCATACTGAGAGCATCACCGCCATCGCTGTCAATCCTGCTGGCACGCTCGTTGCTTCCGCATCTCGTGACGGCCATGTCCGTCTCTGGCGGCTCTCAGATCGACGAAACATTGCCATCTTCGAACACTCATCCACACCTACATGTATCACGTTCTCCATGGATGGCAAACACATCTTCAGCGGAGGTGATGATAATCAGATCTCAGAGTGGGACGCACGCAAGATTTTTCATTCAAACGTGAGTTTCCATCCTTGACTCGTGTCACGCAACTTGAGCATGCTTCATACAGATCCTCACTGCTATCACGGCAGCCCATGATTCATCTATAACTGGGGACTTGTCGACCGCTGAACAGCTACTCACGCAAGAGATTGACGTCGACGCCAATAACTATGCCTCCTATGCCAATCGCTCTTTCGTTATGGCACGAAAACAAATCTGGGACCACGCCCTTGAAGATGGAATCAAGGTCAGTCATACCGTCCAATTATGGCCCTCTTACGAAAGGCTAACTTTCATCCGCGACATAGTCCATTAGCATTCAGCCCTCATTGATAGGCTACATCTCCAAGGGCATTGCCCTCTGTGGAAAAGGCAATGTCAGGGACGCGAGGGTAGCATTCGACGTCGCATCCATATTCACGAACCAAGACCCAGAAACTATTCATTTTCTTCTCTTGATCAAGGTAGGTCACGTTCCTCTCAAATGCTCTCTTCCTCATTCCGTATTTCAGGCCATTGCCCTCTTCAATGCAGATCAACATGATGAGGCAATGTTGCTCATCAAAGAGCTAGCTGCCGCTCGTCCGAATGCTGATACCCTCGCGTGTCGCGTCGTCGAAGTAAGTATCATGCGGCTATGCTCGGTTATCGCTACTGATCTTTGCAACTCGCACATTAGGCATATCTACGCGTTCAGCTTGGAACCGAGGCCTTGGATGGCGCACATCATGACGAAGCCGCTGACCACTTCGCCGCCGCCATCAACTCCAACACTTTTCCATCAGAAATCATCCCTGAACTATGCGAGGACTTTGTCGTGGTACGTTGACATTATACATCCGAAAATACTATGACTGAGTGCTTTATCCAGCTTTTCGGCTGGGATCTCGAGTCCTTCTGGCTCACTACACACCAGAAACGCTGTCAGGCTTTGCTTTCGGCAGGTAAAGTTGAAGAAGCCCTTGAATCACACCAGCACATGATGGATGCCATTGACGAAACTGAGAAGGCCAACTGCCTCGATTGGTCCAACGGCAAGTTTTCAGTGATGATACTCGACGCTGTCATACTCACCCGCATTTGACTCAGACTTCAAGGAACAATGTACCGCGCTCGCTCCTCATGATGACCGTATTCTTGGCGCATGTACTCCCTTTCTCATCCCTGTTGCTACTGACCTAAGTTATGCAGGCGGAAATTCCGGGGCAAGATGGCTATGATGTAGGACCTGATTTCTTCCGGGGGATGCATGGCGTGGGTGCTTCAGTGTATCCTTAATTTTTCTCTCTCACGTCATTCATTACAGCATTCTCAGATTTCCAGACCACAACATCAGCAGCGCCCGGGGCGCTTCAAGAAACTCTGGTTCGCTATGATGAGGAATCCTCATCTAGTTCCACCACCTGCATCTGCACCTGCATCTGCACCTGCATCTGCACCTGCACCTACATCTGCACCCATACCCACATCTGCACCGCCCACCGCGCTACCACCTGCCGCTACTCCCACGACCTTCATAGCCCACATACGACACCTATTCACCCGGCGACCCGACCATGCAGCACCACCCGTCGTCGAAGTTCCTTTCGCGAAGGGTAAGGAGGTGCGTCCTGTCGATTTTTAGCACTGCGTCTCTAATGTCTCATGCATGAATCTACAGCGTAATGCTGCAGCAGATGACCCTGGCCCGGACAAGGACATGGTACCTGACGAATTTCTTGATGATCTTCCACAGAGCTCCAATACACAACAGCCGAATACACAACAGCCCAATACGCAACAGCAACATGTAGTAGTACAGGTAGACACTGGGGACCATGGAGGCGGCAAGTCATGTTTCTGCTGCTAGCAGTTTTCGCGGATGTCCTCGAGTATTTCAGTTCTATCATTCTTCGTATTGTGATGTCTACATTGACCGGAAGGAGGTCATGACCACATCATTCAGGTTATTTCGCATCATCATCCATATCTACCTTAATTATGAACCTCGCGTCTTCCATATGTAACGTTTGGCTTGCGCATAGCAAATGATACCTTTTGAACGTTGCTCGAGGAGAATTGATCCGCCCCACCCAATTCTAATGCGAATCTTTGCCAATGACAGGCGCTGGGCCACATCGGACAGCGGGTGTCCCAGAATATTGGCTTGTCGTCACACCACTTCTCTGATGCCCCGCGCTCTCATTAATGCATTATTTAGCCACACTTCCCCGAACTCTTCAACTTCTTAGCCGCACTGAAGGTCACAAAAGTGTTGTGCAATCATCAGTCGTTTTCGCGTCTTCATATCCCGCAGATTCTGACATATATATATAGTCATTGGCAGAGGAGAGCGAGAGCTTCAAACGCGTTGTGGGGATCGGGCGAACTGGTATCCGTCGTTGGCAAGCAGTTAGGGGCAAGCAAGATCTCCTTGCTACATGTTTAGTGCTAAACATGTTTCTATTTAGTACAGACTCAGTCGAAGCAAAACAGAGCAACTCAATGAATCATGCGATAGGACAGCGAGGGGATGAAAGCAAGCAGACAGAACTACTGAAGTAAATGCGAGAATACGGCCCATCAAACTAGACACCTATGCGAACGAACACGATCTGCCGTTCTAGTGGATTCTTCTTTCGCAACGACTTGCGAAGTGGGTTACCTATGGATCATGGTGAGCGTGTTTGGTATTCATCCCCTTTGATACCAGCGGTCGCAGATGTTCCCGGATCCTAATGCTGAAAATCATTACCATGCCCACGAGTGCTTGAATGCGACTGTGCAACCGTAGCCTATTTGAATCTCGCCGAACGAGGTGTATGGGATGCGTGTGCTGCTCTCGCAATATTAAGACAAGCTGGTGGGTGCATTCGATCAGCGAGCGTGCATTGAGACTGAATAATACCTGCAAGTCTCCTGATCGACACCGCGCGTTGCGTGTTATTCTGTACGCGCTAGATGGTGTATCTCATCTTGATAAAGCTGAGCTCAAGGATGCCAGGGATCGTGTGGTTACCCTGGAGCTGCCAAAGTCCGCGACCAAAGTTGCTCGTTGTAGGCATGCACAAACAGTGCGGGTCAAGAGTTGGCACCATGCAACTCGTTACCACAAGACGTAGAAGTGCTATGATAACCTTACCGGCACAAATGAGCATCTAGAGTTAGAACTTGAGAGGGTTGCACTTTCCAGTCCCAGAGAACGCCGGGAGGATGATGACAAGGACCTGAAACGATGGATAGTAGAGGCACAAGAGCTCGGCAATAGAATACCTCAGCCGAGGAAATTGACGTTTCTCGGACGGACACCAAGTGTCAGTTGCATTAAGGTAACGTTAGGCCGTTCCGAAGAGTTGATTCGACTCTTGTCAAAATTTAAAGGATGACGAGTTTACTCTGAGCTAAGCGTGGATGGGGTGGACTGCGTCGGATTAATCAGTTCCGAAGACTAGATAGTACTCAAGCTTACTTGCGCATCAATGCCTGTCGTCATGCATCAGCAGCTGACAGTAAGTGGTACGGGACGTACTGTTTGTGTAGGAATCGGTGTTCTCTAATTCCTCGATCGTTTAGCGTAGTCGAAGACGTCTACAGACTCGCACAGCATTTTCATCCAGGACATTATGAGGCCACACACGTCAAGCTATGAATAGGAACAAGAAGAAACCTGAATAACATGGGAATAAAACACTACAAATCAACATAGATAGAGCAGCAAAACAAGAGCAACGATAGAACAGAAATACCACGAAAGCCGCCAGCAGCAGAAACACGACTTACTACCTCCATGTACCCCAGTATCTACCTGCATTGCAACTGGTTGTAGTTGCTGTTGCGTATTGGGTGGTTGTGTATTAGGCTGTGTATTGGGGTCATGTGGATCATTATCGGAATATTCAGCACGTATAATGTCTGAATCGTCATCGGCAGGAGCACCCGCTGCAGCATTACGCTGTAGATATATGCATGAGACACCCAAGACAGTGATGGAAATAGATCGAGCGCACCTTTCGACCCTGCGCAAAAGGAACTTCGACGACGGGTGGTGCTGCATGGTCGAGTCGCCAGGTGAATAGGTGTCGTACGTGGGCTGTGAAGGTCGTCGGAATAGCGGCAGGTGGTAGGGCGGTGGCCGGTGCTGGTGTGGGTGCAGGTGGAGGTGGTGGAACTGGATGAAGATTCCTTGTCATAGTGAGCCTGAGTTTCTTGAACCGCCCCGGGCGCTGCTGAGGTCGTGGTCTGGAAGTTTGAGAATGCTGTAATGAATGACGTGAGAGAGAGAAATGAAGGATACACTGAATCACCCACGCCATACATCCCCCGGAAGAAATCAGACTCTACATCATAGACATCTTGATCTTGCCCCAGAATTTCCGCCTGCAAAACTTAGGTCAGTAGCAACAGGGATGAGAAAGGGAGCACATGCGCCAAGGATACGGTCATCGCGAGCAGCGAGCGCGCTACATTGTTCCTTGAAGTCTGAGTCACATGCGGGTGAATATGATAGCCTCGAGTGGCATAACTGAAAACTTGCCGTTGGACCAATTGAGGCAGCTGGCCTTCTCAGTTTCGTCAATGGCATCCATCATGTGCTGGTGCGATTCGAGGGCTTCTTCAACTTTACCTGCCGAAAGCAAAGCCTGACAGCGTTTCTGGTGTGTAGTGAGCCAGAAGGACTCGAGATCCCAGCCGAAAAGCTGGATAAAGCACTCAGTTATAATATGTTCGGATGCATGATATCAACGTACCACGACAAAGCCCTCGCATAGTTCAAGGATGATGTCTGATGGAAAAGTGTTGGAGTTGATGGCAGCGGCGAAGTGGTCAGCGGCTTCGTCATGATGTGCGCCATCCAAGGCCTTGCTTCCGAGCTGAACGCGTAGATATGCCTAATGTGCGAGTTGCAAAGATCAGTAGCGATAACCGAGCATAGCCGCATGATACTTACTTCTACGACGCGACACAAGAGGGTATCAACATTCGGATGAGCGGCAAATAGCTCTTTGATGAGCAACATTGCCTCGTCATGTTGATCTGCATTGAAGAGGGCAATGGCCTGAAATACGGGATGAAGAAGAGAGCATGTGAGAGGAACTTGACCTACCTTGATCAAGAGAAGAAAATGAATGGTTTCTGAGTCTTGGTTCGTGAATATGGATGCGACGTCGAATGCTACCCTCGCGTCCCGGACATTGCATTTTCCACAGAGGGCAATGCCCTTGGAGATGTAGCCTACCAATGAAGGCTGAATGCTGATGGACTATGTCACGGATAAAAGTTAGGCTTTCGTAAGAGGGCCATAAGTGGTTGGTACGACTGACCTTGATTGCATCATCAAGGGCGTGGTCCCAGTTTTGTTTTCGCGTCATAACGAAAGAGCGGTTGGCATAAGAGATATAGTTATTGGCGTCGGCGTCAATCTCTTGCGTGAGTATCTGTTCAGCGGTAGACAAGTCTCCAGTGATGGATGAACCACGGGCTGCCGTGATAGTAGTGGGGATCTGTATGAAGCATGCTCAAATTGCGTGACACAAGTCAAGGATGGAAACTCACGTTTGAATGAAAACCCTTGCGTACTTGCCACTCTGAGATCTCATCTCCGGCTCCGCTGAGGATGCTATTGCCATCTGCTGAGAATGTGATACATCTCGGCAAGGATGAGTGTTCGAAGATGGCAATGTTTTGTCGATCTGAGAGCCGCCAGAGACGGACATGGCCGTCACGAGCTGCGGAAGCAACGAGCGTGCCAGCAGGATTTGTGGTGATGGCGATGATCCTCTGAGTATGGCCCTTCCAGGGATGACCGACCTTCTGCCAGGTTGATGTATCCCACTCTTGTATGGCGTCTTCCGCGGCAGAAAGAAGGCGTGTGCCATCGGGCGTCCACGCGAGTGGGTATGTGTCAGCTTTCAAGGTTGCGACGTGTTCCCTTGTGCCTGGATTATATATTTCGATATTGTATCTTGTTACAGTGCGTTGCATAAAAACGTTCAGTCCTTGATTTGTCCAGCTTCGTCTAACGCAGAAAACGATGTCGGACAATCAGTGGTTGGGCTGGGACCGAGCGTTAGCTCGGTTCGGACGCTGGCGAGATTGCCGCTGGGTGGGCGGGAAACTCGACATGCGGGCTGATTGAACGACTATATAATATGACGCTTCATTGATATACGAAGCTGATAGTGGGTATTTATGTACGGTAGTTAATTATATATAAGCTAATGCACGATGGCAAATATTATGGCGTGACTGCATTAAACTTGGGAGTGGCGGGCGGGTAAAAATATGTCGGTGAGCGAGGAGAGAGTAAACGAGCGAGCGGGATGTTGGATGTAACGACGAAGAAAAAACGAGAAGGAGACTAGACAGCTTGCCGCTCAGCTGGACGTGTGGTGCCGGTTCCTTCCGTGCGTCAGGAACCGGCACCTTTCACATTCCAGCTTCGTCTAACGCAGAAAACGATGATGTCGGACAATCAGTGGTTGGGCTGGGACCGAGCGTTAGCTCGGTTCGGACGCTGGCGAGATTGCCGCTTACCCGTAGGCTGATGAACCCAAACTGCGGCGATATAAGCCAGCTAACCCAACCAGTGAGGCAGCCCTATGATGCCAGGTCACCCAGGTGCTGGGTGGCCACCTGCTCGAAGGCCCGAATGTATGTTTCGTAGGCCAACGAGCGCCAGCGGCCGGCTAGGCGTACGATCTCTGGATCCACCTTTTTGGCTAGGTAGAAGGATGCCCCTCCTATGCGGAACGAGTGTCCAAAGGCTGTGCCCCAACCCCATGCTGTGGTGATGCAGTTGATGCGTGCAAGCGCACGCTGCTTTACCATGGGACGAACGGTACCTGCGCGATCACGCCAAGAAAATAACGGGTCGTGTGGGAGCGCGGGCACAACAGAAGCCAGGTTCTGGAGTGCAGCTAGTGGGCAGAGTGGGCCTTGAGCCACGAGGAAGACGGACTGGGTGTCACCTGGACGGGCAGTCTTGGCTGAGGGTAGGTCCAGACGGGCATAAGCCTTCCCGACGAGGTCAGTTCCTAAAAAGACATCCTTGCGAGTTAGGTGCTTCGAGGGCTTGAAAGCTGCCCTCGATTCCACTGATACCTCACCGAAGCGCATCATGCCGAAGAAGGCACAACTCGCCATCGCCCAAATGCAAGCGTCGAAGGGCTCCGTGAGGGATAAGGTGGCCTTGAGTGCATGCAGCATGTTAAGGGTAACGGGCGGGCGGAGGGGACGGCGACGAGAGCTGAGTAGGTTGTCTAAACCTCGGAGTGACCAATTGATCCTCGCGTGGTTGTCCTCTGACAACGGGGGGTGCCAGCCATGCACAATGTGCCAGGCACGAACTGCAGCAAGGTACTTTCTCGCGACGCCAACTGAAACAGGTTCGAAAGAGATTGATGTTAGTGTACCGAGGGCAAGATCGTTTGATGAGGGATCAGATACTGCCCACAGCGCGAATGAATGCAGAAGTTCGAAAGAGGCTGGGAGGCGATCATGTTCTGGCACCGAAAATATATCACAAAATAAATGGAACTTGCGGAGGCCAGCACCATAGCTAGCAGTATCACGAAGAGAGGCTCTAGAAGCCAAGCTCGCTATATGCTCGATGATTGGATGGGCAATCGTAGCGAGTGGTGGAGTGTTTGGCCCCCGCCATAGGAACAAGCGTTCCTCTGCACGGCAGTGGGGACGGAAAGGGGAAGGGTTGAGGCTTAGGGTCCGAGACGACACAGGTGGCACTGGAGGAAGGGCACTAGCGATGGGAAAGGAAGGTATGCGAGCAGATGCTACAATGATGTCAGTTTGTCTGCTAGGTGCTCCGGTAAGGGGAAAGAGGCTTTCTGGGCCACAAGAGGGAAACCTGCTAAAAATGTTGTGATGTCGCCACGGGAAAGAGCGTCCGCAATGTTTTCTCGACTGGGTACGTACTCCGTGCGAATGCGGATATCGTGTTGCGTTTGCAGCGCGAAGATGTGCTTGAGGATGATGTTGGTAGCGTTGCTCCGCGATCGACCTTTGTTGGTTACGGCGACGATTCCCGCGTTGTCTGAACGAACCAGGAATACATGTTTGTGGGGGCCCACATGATTCAACAAGTCTGCAGCTAGAGATGAGCGAGGGAATGGGCCAGAAAATACCAGCAACTAACTGAGGTGCAACGCGAGACGCAGTCCTAATTCCACAGCGACGGCCTCCGCCCATCCGATGTCGAAGGCAAGACCTGGGCCTACTCGAAAACCTGGTGCCCAGCGCCAAGCTGCCCAAAACTGGCCGACGACCACGCCGACACCAAACGAAGTGCTGGCATCTCCCCACCAGCCAATATCCAGGGGGGACGAGGAACGAAGGTGGGTCTCGTTCGGCAGAAGCTGTAATAGATCGGCAACCCACCGAAGGTCCTTGACTAGACCTGGCGAGGGAAATAGACGAGCCCGTGGAGAGCGGAAGGATGCTGCGAACACGGATAATGCCCGCAAGAAAGGGCGGATCATGGGGAAGACACAAGAGATGTGGACGAGTTTGCCATGTAGGCTGTTTGCATTCTCCATGGAGAATTTTGCACCGTGCTCGAGCCAAGAGGCTACCAGAGCTTGAGTTTTGGCGAGCTTCTCGGCTGGGATGGCAACCGTTTTCTTGTCGAGGTTCCAATCGAACCCGATGTAACGCTGTATGGCTGCCAGCCGGCGAAGCTTCTCGAGACTCCACGGAATGCCACAGAAGGCAGTGAGGGCCATAAAGTCGGCCTCCGACCAAGTCTGGTTTGGGAGACGGATGACTAGAAAGTCGTCCACCCATTTGCGAATGAGGTCGAAGCCAGCACAGCTGTATATAGCAATTAACATGTCGGCAACGGATCCAAAGACCCCCGCGCTTGATGTCAAACCGAACATGAGGGCTCTGTCCACATACACCACTCCTCGCCAAAACACACACAAGGAGTTCTGCTGGCAAGGTCGAACGGGGGTGATGCGGTATGCTGCCGATATGTCGAACGTCGCTGCTAAGCAGCCAGGTGGTAAGGAAAGAATTAGCTCTGCTGTGCTGTCGAACGAACCCCATATTGTGGGGAAATCGTCGGCTCTGATCCCAGCATTGACGGAAGCCAGCAAAGGATCGTTTCGGGGATACGATAAATCCTGGACCAGGCGAAACTTGTTGGAGTGAGGTTTCGGTACTAGGCCTAGAGGCGAGGATAGAAATGGCCCGATTAGAAGCTCGAGTTCGTCTGGAGAGTATCCACGCGAGTAACGACCAGCGTCTTGCTCGCCAGCTATGTAAGAGTCGATGAAGGAAGGATGTAGTTGGGAAGAGGTATGATTCTCGAAATAAACGAGTCACCAGCGGTTTGTTGCGAATTCCAACATCAAAACCGCATCGGATCCCGGAGAGTATGTGCATCCAGTCATTCAATATTCCATATTTACAAAGAAGATCCTCAACACGATCTGCTAATAGCGGGGTGATTACTGTGCGAGGGTCAGGCTCGCTGGTTGCAGGTACCGGCTCCATGTCCTGGATCACCACAGATACTACACCCATGGAAGTTGGTGCAGTTGGTGCCAAAGGAACAGGCAGCGGACTTGGCCCAGTTGAAGCAGAAGTGTTTTCCATTGGGCGCTGTGAGAGCGTGACGGCTCTTCGCTGATGTTGCGAGCGGCGCAAGTGATTTGCCTGCGGAGGTGGATTCGGCACTGCAGTCTCCAGGCAGGTGACCGGAGTGCCCACATCGAAAGCAATGAAGACGAGCTCTCTTGCGAGGAGTTTGTGACACTGCGGATGAAAATTCCGGCGGCGCTGAGCGCTTGGATGGCGACGAAGGGTGCACAATGGAGGCCTGAGGTGCTGCTAAGGACATGCGGGCTGCAGCTTGCGTCGCGACCAAGGTGAGGGCACTCAGATCTAAACCCGTCAGGTCGTGTGCAGGGTTCTGCGCCGCGAGTTCCCTCTGCGAAATGTCGTATTCCTGTGCTATATCCCAACCATGGGACGATGCGAGATCTGATACGACCCTATGGTGCGAGGTAAATGCAGCACTCCTGCTGGTACCGTGATGAAATGCGACACGCTCCTCCACGATTCTGGAAGCTGTTAACCACTCATGGAATCTGATAGTTCGTTCCCTACTGCGGTCTAAACCTTTGGCCATAAGAATGCCTTGGGGGTTAAACGAAAAGGCTTCTTCGCTGTTGCGAAAGGCATGAAGACGGGCTGCCGGTGTGACCGAAATGTAAGGGACGTATTTGTATTGTCGCACAGCTTCATCTACCTTGGGGGGAATGACTGCGGGCATGACAATGAGCATGAAAGCTTCGACAATGTAAATTTCATTGAAAGACACAAGTATAACGAACTTCGCTGGGATCAACGAGGATCCAACGAATCGAAGTTCACGACGATGAGCTACCTGCGATAGGTGCACGACGGTGTATATACGACGAAGTGAGATACCATATACTCACTGGCATCAAGAGGGTTGACTTTAAAACCAGGAATCAGCTCTGGTAAAGGTACTTTCTTTGCGTCTGACTGCAAGGCTGCTGCTGCCGCACGTGCTCGGTCGACCGTTGCTGGGTCAGCGAACAGGGCTGGCAGTGGATCGAGAGGAGCCTGGGCAGGATGGTGTGCACCATTGGCTTCCTCAGCGTCCAACTCGCGTAGCCTGGCTTGAATAGCCGCCCGTTCAGCCAAGCGGTTAAGTGCATCTGGGTTTGGTTGAGCAGCAATTTGAGCAGCTGGTTGAGCTGCAACAGGTTGGATGTGGCCGGTAGCAGCGAGAGGTTGCTGCTGGCCACCAATCGGCGGTTCAGCAACCGGTTGAGGAGCATTGGGCCGAATAGCGCTTGAGGGGCGTGATCCAGGAGCAACGGCTGGGGCAATTCGGTTTGGTGCGGTGATGGAGGGAGCTCCAGGCGCATTAGAGGTAGGCGTCACGGAAGAAGATGGTTGAGAGCGAGAAGACGAAGCAACTGGCTGCTGGACTGTAGGAGGTTGCGAGCGTTGACGATCAGTTGGAGGCTCTGGCAGCTGGGTTTGAGGAGGGGATGGTAATGGCTGAGAGAGCTGAGGACGAGCAGGATGCCCACCAAGGCTGCTATGTGGAGCTGCGCTGGAGGGCGGTGCTGCTGAACTGCCTGTCCCTGATGGTGGCAGGGCGAGACCCAGATGGCTGTGGGTCATGATTAGTAATAGCAATTTAAAATGAAAAACAAAAATATGTCGGTGAGCGAGGAGAGAGTAAACGAGCGAGCGGGATGTTGGATGTAACGACGAAGAAAAAACGAGAAGGAGACTAGACAGCTTGCCGCTCAGCTGGACGTGTGGTGCCGGTTCCTTCCGTGCGTCAGGAACCGGCACCTTTCACATGATACGACATGTTTGTATGTATTTTTACATACCAAAAATCTCTGAATATTCTCAAATATATGTTTGACGTGTGACCTGTCACTCTGGAATCTGCCAGATCATGTCTGCACACCTCACGGAACAACTACGGGAGAGGATTGTCGTCTGGCGTTTTCAGCAGCGGAAGACAGTCGCCGAAATAGCTCATCTTGCTGGGTGCAGTCAACGAAATATCTACAAAGTTTTGAAGCTCCACCGAGATTTTGGACAGACTAGGAACCCATTTGCCCATCGTCGTGGCAGGCCTCGTATTCTTGACCAGCATGATCTCTCGTTTATCACATCCATTCTCGATGCCAACCCATCCCTATTTCTCGACGAAATTCAAGAGCAACTCCTTGAAGCACGGAATGTGGAAGTCTCGATTGCCACACTCTCGCGCAGCCTTCGTCGGCTTGCAATCATGCACAAACAGACATCGAAGGCAGCAGCAGAGCGAAACGAGTTGCTCCATGCAACCTGGCTGGCGGAATATGGGCACTTGCCAAAGGAGTATTTTGTGTGGATTGATGAGTCTGGGGTCGACAACCGAACAAACCAGAGACCAGACGGCTGGGCACCATCTGGAAGGGCATGCGTGCGACGGATGTCATTCGTATGTGGTCAGAAATTTTCCGTCCTCCCAGCACTTTCTGTAGATAGTGTCATAGCTCTAGACATTTTCGAAGGTGCAGTCAATAAAGAAAAGTTCATAGGATTTCTGCGCGAGCAAGTTGTAAGTCCAATTGTTCTTCCGAGTCTTTATCTCTCGCTCAATAGCTTCACAGGCCCCCAAACTCACACCATTCCCAGGTCCTCGTAGTGCTGTCGTGATTGATAATTGTGCCATTCACCATGACGAAGATGTCCGGCACATAATCGAAGGACTCTGTGGTATGTGTTCTGTAAAATGATCTTCGCTGTGAAAATTAACTGTTGTTCGCAGGAGCCAAACTCATATATTTACCCCCATACTCCCCCGATCTTAATCCAATTGAGCAGACATTTCACTCAATAAAATCTTGGCTGCATCGTCACGAGGCCAAGGCCACTTCCATAGATGCTCGACCTTGGCTTATCCACCAGGCAGCTATGTCTGTTTCATCTGAGGATGCAGCTGCCTGGATACGAAACTGTGGTTACGAGTGATGTGACATTAGACAGATCTTTTCAGTATCATATAGGATAACTATTCTGACACCGAAAGCAAGAAAAGTATTAAAGAGTGTAAATAAATGAATGTTATTGAAGGATGATTGGCCTACTGCAGACGACGCCTCTTAACTTGAAGACGGTCATTCCACTCTCTCGCAAACATCTGGAATTTCAGCACTCGACCCTCAACAACATCCATTACATCAGAGAGATGAGCCACTGGCACTTCGCCAACGATATCAGGAGTTAAGTCAAGGTCGAAAAGAATACTTCCTGAATCGAGGATATCGATCCCTTTAGCCTTGAGGAAATCACCTAGACATGTTTGTATTTCCGTGCCGGCAGCAGGAGTTGGGGAGAATGGAGAAGCATCACGAGGACGAACCGGAGTGGAAGGCACTGGCAGATTAAGAGGTACAGCCTCAGGAACTCTTGGGGGTGCGAGTCGTTCCGTAATGAGTGGGATCATGGCAGCAAGAAGCATTGTCGTGGCATCCTGAGAGCCAGTTGAACTCAGTGAAGAACGTGGACCCGTACGACCACGTGGCTTGACAGCATCAAGCCGACCATCACGTAGAACATCAAAGTCAACCGTGTTTGGTGGCTCATGCTTGGTGGCATCGGCAGCAGCCTGAATGTGACATCAGTAATGAGAAAGTTGTGAGGGGAATCAAATTACAATGGCAGCAGCCCATAGCTTCAATTTACGACTGTTTAATCCCAAATGCTCGCCAGTCGAGGCGATGTAGCAGTGGCCAGGTTCGCCATGCTCGCCGAGATGTTTCTCGCACGACCACTTGTTCTTCAGCTGCATGATAATAGCACCATGGATCTGAGACTCCTCTGAAAATGAGTCAACACGAGGCACCTAGGACGGGTAAGAATGTGTGTCAATGACCATGACTTGGACTACCTTGGTTCCATATAGAAGTTCTTCGTCCTGACGAGTGACTGTATCACCATGAGGAAGAGCCTATACAGCGAAATAGTCAGAGTTATCCCAGCTCGTTCGTTACAACATACCTGTTTTCGGATTCTGAAGCCGTCCATGGTATCCACGTCGAATTCTACATTCACAACACAACTGTCCTTCTTTTTCTTCAAAAGAGCAGTGCGAGCAACATCAAAATCGTGATCATTCTCGATAGTCAAAGCACCTGTCTTTCCGCCGCTGTGAAATTTTTGTTCAATTTACAACACAGCTACTATAGAACAATTTACCTCGATCCTGTCCACCAGAATCGGAATGCTGGGCCAAAATGAACGCCAGGGCTATACTGATCATCGAGATCATGGACACGAAGGAATGCTGTAATAAACTCGACACGAGACATGGTCTCGATGCGGACGTGATCAGACTTGATGGTCTTCGTCTTCTTGGAGGACAACTTTCCACGACCATTGCTCGATGAACTCCTCTCGACGACCAAAACGAGCATAGTGACTGATACCAGGTGACCGGCACTATCTAATGAAGCCAAAATATAGTCAGTGAACCACATGGTGCAAATAAAAAATATTATACCTTGAGATACACTGATCTGCTCGCCTGATACTGCAGACGGAAGGACCTGAGAGGCGGCCAGAGGTGTGCGATTACCATTTTCAATAGCGAAGTCACTGTCATCAGCTTGAAGATAAGTGTTACGACGAACCTCCTCAATTTCCGCATGTGAATGGTAGAAACGAGGAGGGTTAACACCTCCATCTATACAACAATCAGCAATGAAACTAACATTGCAATATACCTTACCAATCCATGCAGGATTCCTAAGCCAACCATCTGACGGACGAGGCTCACGAGGCAATGGGACATTTTCCTTGTCAGACAAGAAAGCCCCATGGCGACGAGGAGTTGGTGACACCTCGGTCCATGATTCTGCTGTCTCAGCACGCTGCATTGTCCGAGACGAGAGCAGGAGTTGATAAATGAGTGTGAGGATTGAGGGTAGTTTATTCACAAAGATTGTACCCACCTTTTATGCAGACGGTGAGACGACAAGATCCGTTCAAGCCAGAACTATTCAAGACAAATTAGTTAGATATGCCTCGTCAGCTGGTCAAACATGAATCAAACTATACCTTGTAGAGAAAGTTCACGTCTGTCAAAAACGGGCATAGTTTGCCTGAATACAACAAAAAAACCTGCAGGGAAGACGGGAAATTCAGGCAGTGAGTTTGTGCACATATTGACCCTGCCAAAGAGGCCGGAGCTACACTCCAATTGGGAGCCTCATGCTCAACATTGACTGCATTTGGATGTCATAAGACCTAAGAATGAAGATCGTTAGCTCGAAGGGGGACAAGCAGAGTACATACAGTATTGCTGTGCGAAGCTTCGCGTCTGCGCAGCGTGACAGTGGTTGCTGTGGTTAGGGTTAGAGGTTTGGCGGAAGTATGTTCAAAATTTACACCCGCCAAATACATACAAACATATCGTATCCAAATCAAGGACTGAACGTTTTTATGCAACGCACTGTACGATGGCAAGAAGTTCACCAGACGGCGAATATCGAACCCAGAGGACAGAACCACTTGTTGCAATTTGATTTCCTTGCTGCTGCCATGTTTTGGTGCACCACAGCTTGACCGTTTTGTCCTGTGAACCAGTGGCCAACACCGTACCATCCGGGGAAAAGTCCAGTGAGTAGATCCAGTTGAAGTGGGTTTTGATGGGTTGGGTGAGAGATTCTCCAGTTTCTCCGTTCCAAGCAATGACCACTCCATTTTCATCACGGCTTGCTATTATTTGCCCATCTCGTGATACCGCCAATGCCCGCATCTCACTGCGATGCCCCTCCATCTTCTTCAACACAAAACCTGTCTTCAAGTCCCAAAGGCAAATCGTCTTGTCGACTGAGGCCGTAATTATTCTTCGTCTATCGGGGAAAACTGCGACTGCCCTTACGTCTCCTTTATGACTTTTAAAAGTTCGAAGGGGTGTGGTGCTTGGAACGAGCTTCGACATTTAACTGGAGGTTGGTAGTGTTGAGCACGGTCGAGGTCGACTTTGGAGGGTTTGTGAGCGTCTTTGTCTCAGCTGCATAGGTGTGTGTATTGTGCGTTTTACCTTACTTCACTACATTAGCCTGCCTCGTTTCCATAGACCCCCAAGACACGAGGTCGTTTACTGCCATACTTCCATCACTGTTGCAACAAGAATACTTCCTATTGTCACACTTGCCTTCCTCGACAGTATACCCTCCCGCCGCCTCGGCACTGTATACATTCGTCTGACGCCTGTCTCCACACCTTTCAGCATGTATGCCCTCGCATCATAGCGCAGTTGCTACTTCCCGGCCCTTGTATCAGGCTGACAACCATCTATCCTAGAGGACTGCATGAATATTGTTGTTTCCGTTGTCGAGAAATTTCTCCAACACATCACCGTGTAACTGCCCGAATACATGCATACATCTTACTGCAATACAACCTCTTCATTTCATTGATTCGCGTGTGCACCAGATGCAGCCAACTTTTTTTCCCTTCGCGCCTCAAACAGAGCCACCAAGTGTGTAGCGGAGTTTCCGTCCCAAATCAAAGCTACTTGATATGTCCATCGCCTCAGAATCTACCAAGGCTGATACCTTGGAGTATGTTATCACCCACATCTTTTGTCCTATCAAACCACCGCAGCACACTGATTATACTCTTGAAAAGGATCACTCCCTCCTTGACGTCGTGCTAGGCTCGGCTCACAAATTTGCGAGTTCTTTCCCTGGTGACGAGGAGGAGCAGTGGAGTCCTTTGTTGAAGATGCTGGAAAGTCTTGCCGTTTCAATTACTTCTTCTTCCATGGCCAAGGACGTCTTTGAGTCACAAATTAGGTCCATGCAAGCACACCAGCAAAACGTACATATAGTAGTGATGACGTCATTTGGAGTTGTGGTTAATTCCACTGTCTGTTGCCGTTTCGCTCACATTGAACTGTTAGAGTGATCACTGATGATAACGGCATTCAGTTAATGCAGGCAAGCCAACAGCGAGGGTAAGTGCCCCGTGGTGTCGTACTGCAGCAAAAGCCTGAGGGTGCTGATATTTGTGGTGCAGGGACACTCTGCTACAACTTTTCTGCTACTCGCAGTGCACATGCGCAACACCGCCGACCACACCTATGCACTTATGCCCCAGGCCAACAGGTCATGTTATTGTTTTATAGAACGAACTGATCATGACCTACAGTAAAATCCCTCCTCTGGAGAGTTCGAATTCTAAGTTAGCCGAGGCACGAGGCTATCATAGAATATAGTCTACGCGTGAGTAAGCAATGTGGCGGAGCAGCTTTCTTCTCGACCACATCAGCTTCCGAACCTCGTAGACGGTCTCTAGTCATAGCTCACTCATTTTCTGCTCACTCTTTTGAAATAAATGGCTCCCCTACTTAACGACCCCAATATCGCTATTTTACCAGACTTCAGAGCAGAAGAGCACGAAGCGGCCAGGAATCAACTCTTAGCCAACGCGAAGCACAAGCAGCAGAGCTTCTAGCTACACTCTGGACTATAAACAACACTGCAGCTCGAGAATGCTGGGCAGACCAACTCGAAGAAGCCGCTAGAGATGCCGAGGAACTGCGGCGTTTAGCGACCGAAGAAGAACGAGATTGACAACAGGCTATAGCGGAAGAACAAGAAGCAGCCCGTAAAGAGGAACAGAAGAAGAACAAGTCCAAATTTGTTCCCGTAGGCAATGCCAAAGTTCCCTCCGTCCCAGTCGTCATCCCTTCCCATTACGCTGTGTGCAAACTGAAAGCAGGAGAGTATTGTGAGCTCTATTATTTCACTAACAAAGGCTTGAAAGAGGCCAAGAAGAACCTACTCTCTACCGAAGCACCAAGGTTAACGCTAATGACGAACGCTGAAGGTCAACAAACGTGGGTCAACGCCGACGAGACCCGCGATCCCAAAGCAGTTTTCACCAAGGATGAAAACCTATCATGGGAACACTTCAACGAAGCCGCCCCGCGCATGATAACCGCCATGAAGCAACACGAATGGCCAGAAGATAGGGTAACACAGGCTATAGTGTTATATAGATGTATCTATACTGGACTATGTTGGAGCTTGGATGCCGACGCGAACGCGGGAGTTGAATGTTTGGAATACGAGATAGTATATAGTATCGTCGGATTCCCAATACCCTCTTTTCCCAGTCCGTTATCTGGGATCTGAGGGTATGTTCATCATCGTCTTCCCACCCGCGCTACAACTAACTTCGTACCTTAGTCTGATACGACGTTTAGGTACACTAATGTTCAGTCCGTTATCTGGGATCTGAGGTCTGATACGACGTTTAGATTTAACAGGTTATGAGCCCTGACTCCATATAAGGAGTCAGAACCTCTAAACGCATCAGGCTACCGGAACTCATCTGATCGCTTTGAAGCCTCTCAGATTATATCCAACGCGTCGTTCCAGCGAGTGCTGAACGCGTGTTCTTATTGGCGGGACACGAGTATTACTGATACCGTACTCTCGATCCATCAACCTTCTTCCCTTATTGGGAGAGCTTCCTCGAGGGATCCTCGAGGCGTACACACGCATATATATACCCTGCCTGTACGAGAAAGCCCCTTCTTTTCTCCCCACCACCATGGCGCCTCACACTCGGTCGAAAACCGAGTTAGACGAAGACTGCCCAAAGCCCATCCCAAGCATCGTACAACCAAGCACCCCCCTAGCCCCACCTACAATAACTCCCATGCCGACCACGCCATACATGTATTATCCCGCGCCGACCTCATCTGCGGTATCCATTTCCGCGTGCCGGATCTCGAAGACCGATCTTGACAAGATCGAGTTACTTGATCGGGTCAAGAACAACTGGACCTCGTGGTCCGAACTCATGATGGAAGTCTTTCATATGAACCTTCTCGAAGGTTATACCACGGGTACCGTTCTTCGCCCGGATGCTACACGGGAACCTTTGGCAGCCAGAAACTGGGACTTGAATAACGCTGGCATCGTTGCCGCGTTGCGCAATCGCGTTTCACCAGACGACAAGAGAGTCCTCGACGGAGTCACCAGCGCACATCGCGCCTGGATCACTCTGCGCTCGCGCCATCAGAAACTCGGGCCGATCGCCCAAATTCTGAAAATCCAGGAGCTACTCAACGTTCGCTACTCCAAGGACACCAACCTCGCCGAAACCAGTCACCATCTTACGGAGGGCGTTCGCTCCATCTTCGATATGGGCATCCCAACCCAACAAGTTTTCCTCTCTATCATCATGCTGAACGCCCTTACGGGAGACTTGTCCCACGTCCGCGACCAGGTAGCTGGCTCACTTGCCGCCAGCACCGCTTCCAACCCTTTTACTCCAGACGACATACACGTCCGCCTGGATATGGAACAACAGCTGGTCAATGCTGACAAGAACCGCAGCTCCTCCGATGTAGTCCTCGTCGCGCAAGGGGGTAGGTCCAAGTCTTGCTCTACGTGCAAGGGCCCTGGTCATAAGGGCACCTGCTGCTCCCATTGCTCGCGTCGCGGTCATGTTGCAGCTGAGTGCTTTGCTGAAGGTGGCGCTGCTCACGGTCGTCGAGATGAAATTCTCGCAGCAAAACGCGCTGCTCGCGAGAAACGCGACACCTCCACCCCCAAACCAGGAGTGTCTGCTAAGGCACCTGCAGGCACCGCACCCCGCCCATATTCCAATCACCGCACTGACTCCTCTGGTCGCGCTTACTTGTTGGATAGTTCCACTGGCGAGGCGTTCTACCTCGCAGCACCCAGCCCACCCGCCCCTCCCTCTGAGGAATTCGCGGGACTTGCTCGTGAGGCCGTCATTCACGAACTCTCTGACACCGACCTCGCCGAATGGGATGCGATGTTCATCGACTGGGAGAATCTCCAGGCTAACGTCGATTGGCAGTCCAACACACGTGAGTTTGCCTTCACTGGCATCGCCGCGGACGCTTTACAACTACCACGTTACACTCCCATTGACCTCGACACCACTCCATTCTTCCTCGATAGTGGTGCGTCCGTGCATATCTCTCACGAGATTGCCGATTTCTTCGAGCTTCGTCGCATGCCTGCTCGCTCTATCCGCGGTATCGGGAACTCTAGTATCAACGCTGTCGGAATCGGCTCTGTCAAACTTCGCGTTGGCAAGGGCTTACATGTCACCCTTCTCCACGTCTTATATGTTCCCTCAGCGGCCGTTCGCCTCGTCTCTGTCTCCAGCCTCTGCCGGGACGCATCATTCGTCGCGCATTTCGATGCTACCTCTTGTTGGGTCACTGCTCCTAACGGCGCACGTGCACTCACTGGCACCCTCACGTCCCGCAGGCTCTATCGCGTGGCTAGTGCCCGTATTCGCGCTACTCATCAACGCGCATCATCCGCACACGAAGCCATCCCCTTTGGCTCAGGTGATGCCCTATACTCCACCCCCATCCCTTCCCTCAGTGTGTGGCACCGCCGCCTTGCCCATGCGAACATCCGCTCAGTGTTCGATATGGCACACGGCAACCATGTCACTGGTATGCACGCTGACCTCTCTGCCTTGCCACCCAAATGTGACCATTGCATTCTTGGGAAACAGACTAGATCGTCCGTCCCCAAGGTTAGAGAGGGATCACGCGCCACCCGGAAGTTGGGCGTTGTACATGTAGACTTAATGGAGCACCCTGACGTTGTGTTTGCCACGGGTAATCGTTACATTATGGACATAATCGATGATTTTTCATCCTACGTTTGGTCGATTCCCCTGGCATCCAAGGACGCAGCCTTCACCGCGCTCCAGCACTGGGAACGTGCTCGCGAAGTTGAAACCGGCCTTCGCGTCGGCATATATTGTTCCGATAATGGTGAGTTGAAGTCGTCCGCGATGAGGGAGTGGCTCCTCTCTCGTGGGACGCAACATCAATTCACCGCCCCCCACACTTCCGCCCAGAACGGGCGTGTCGAGCGCGTGCATCGCACCCTTATGAGTCGTGCACGCACCATGCGGCTTGCCAGTGACCTCCCACCCAACAGATGGGACGAATTCGTGGTTACCTCCTGCTACTTATCGAATCGGGTCTCCGTCAAGTCTCAACAAGGCCTTGCTCCCTTCGAACGCTGGTTCGGCCACCCACCCAACGTATCACACCTCCGTGAAATCGGGTGTCGCGCCTTTGTTCTGATCCAGAACACGCACAACCCCAAAATACACGCACGTTCTATTGAGTGTGTGCTAGTTGGCTATTCTACTGACTCTAAAGCATACCGCTGCCTTCATCGACAATCAGGAAAATTTTTCGTTAGCTTTCATGTCTCATTCATTGAGTCTCACCAAACCGTTCCTCACCCGTTCCGAGCTACCACTCACCCACCACTTCCCTCTGTTACAGATGAGCCACCTCCATCTCCACCTCCGGTACCACCTACCACAATAATAACACCTTCACCCCCTCCACCAGTCCCTCCGCGTCGATCAACTCGCACCTCGCCACCATCCGAACGACTATGTGAAGCCAACAACCTTCCCTACGTCAACGCCGCCGATCGACGATGGGCCATGCAACCCTCTGTGACAGACGAACCTGAAGACACAACCCCCAACACACACACCATCTCCGAGGACGAATTAGCCTCTCTGGTCGATGTATTCGCCGCCACTGTACCTGAGGACTTCGAACGTGAGTGCTCTGATGACCCCGCTACTTACGCCGAAGCCATGGCTTCCCCTCATGCGGCACAATGGCATGCTGCCCTCAAAGACGAATTCGACTCCCTCAGAGAAACCGGAACATACACTCTCGTTCCCCGATCCGCTGTCCCACGAGGTCGTCGCATCATGAAGGGTCGTCCCGTCTTCAAGCTCAAACGCGACGAGAAAGGCACCCCCGTTCGGTTCAAGGCACGATATGTCTGTCGAGGTTTTACCGCCGTCTACGGCCAAGATTACACCAAAACCTCCTCGCCTACAGCACGCCTGGAGTCATTCCGGGTACTCGCACACCTGGGCGCATCTCTGGACTGGGAAGTCGAACAACTCGACGTCAAAACTGCTTTCCTCAACGGTCTTCTCGATCCCGACGAAATTTGCTACATGGAACAACCCGAGGGGTTCACGGAGCCAGGCAAAGAAGACTGGGTTTGGCAATTGGAATGTGGCCTCTATGGGATGAAACAGGGTGGTCGCGTTTGGAACCGCACCCTCCATAACGCTCTCATTTCCTGGGGCTTCAAGCGACTCGAGTGCGAGCACTGCGTGTACTTCCGCCGTGACGAACTGGGCACCATTCTTACAGCAATACACGTCGACGATTTCTTTAACGTCGGAAGCAACAAGGCAGCTCTCGCCCGTTTCAAAGCTCAACTTCGCAGCCGCTGGCAAATCTCTGACCTCGGTGATGCCAGATTCTGCGTCGGGATAGCTATCGAACGTGATCGCACCAAACGCACCATCTCCCTGTCCCAAACCGCCCTCATCGATCAGGTCGTCGACCAATTTGGCCTTAAAGACGCATACCCCGTGTCAACACCAATGGAGCCTGGTTTGCACCTATCGCGTAAAGACCATTCCCCATGCACTGACGACGTACGCGCACAAATGACCAAAACCCCGTATCGATCCCTCGTTGGCAAACTAATGTATGTTGCAATCGGTACACGACCTGACATCACCTTCGCGGTACAGCAACTATGCAAGTTTCTAGACGACTACGGCCCAGTCCAATGGGAAGCAGCCAAGCGCGTCGTTCGATACCTCAAAGGCACCCGAGACCTCAAACTATCACTTGGTGGTCAACATCCCGCACGCCTCTCAGGCCATACCGATAGCGACTTTGCAAACTGTGTCGATACACGATGCTCAGTCGGCGGGTACTGTTTCACACTCGGTAGCAGGGTCATCTCATGGTGCATGTGACAACAAAAAACCGTTTCGTTATCAACTAGCGAGGCCGAGTTTATAGCAGCATGCGAAGCCACACAAGAGGTCGTTTGGTTACGCGCACTCCTGCTCGGCCTGGGCTACCCACAAAACATACCATCCCCACTTCTCTGTGACAACAACGGGAGCATCGTTTTATCCGAGGACCCCTCATTTCACGCACGCGTAAAGCATATCGACATCAAGTATCATTATATTCAAGATCGTGTCCACGACAAACAACTCAAACTTCATTACGTCCAATCAAAAAGCAACATCGCCGATATATTTACAAAAGCTCTACCAAAAAAGGACTTCCATCGCCTACGAGATGCCCTTGGGTTAACATGACTCCAGTCGAGGAGGAGTGATTGAGTTCGCGTCGAGGAGGAGTGTTGGAGCTTGGATGCCGACGCGAACGCGGGAGTTGAATGTTTGGAATACGAGATAGTATATAGTATCGTCGGATTCCCAATACCCTCTTTTCCCAGTCCGTTATCTGGGATCTGAGGGTATGTTCATCATCGTCTTCCCGCCCGCGCTACAACTAACTTCGTACCTTAGTCTGATACGACGTTTAGGTACACTAATGTTCAGTCCGTTATCTGGGATCTGAGGTCTGATACGACGTTTAGATTTAACAGACTATTAGCCAGAAACTCCGATACATCTTTCAGTTTAATCATCCACTATCCAAACAGGATGTATCCCAAGGGCAGCTGCTTTACGGGCTTACTAATCATAAAAATGGAGGTTGAATGCCATATATGGATGTTGACCACCTGTTACCCTTGCCTCCTGTAGGACCCAATATTTGGTCCATTTGACCGTTGCACCACATGATTGATACTTGGTTGTTCTGCATTGAGGGCAGATCTCTCTTGAATCTGAGGTGAGTGCCTTATTTGCCTGTACCTGCTTATGATCTTGTCTTTGTAGTATTTTCATCTCTCTTTTTGACTCCTCTCAGTGCCTATGAAGAACTTCCCGTGCTTGGTATGTTTTTCTTTGTGTATTTTCATCTATCTTTTTGACTTCTCTCAGTGCCTATGAGGAACTTCCCATGCTTGGTATGTTTTTCTTTGCACATCCACTTGTTTTGTTGAATTTCTCCAAGTTGTTAGTTCACATCCTTTTTCTTTCTTTCTCCTAGACGCACCGTCCTCATGTGCTTGCATTTTGCCAGGTTAAGCTTCATCCTATCCGTCATTCTCGCCATTTACCTCACCACTTCAACTTCATCTACAAAATGTTCAACTCAATCCGGCTCGTTAAAACAAAAGTATGTTCTGCTTTATTCCATGTATCATCCTCACTATTGTAACTGACCACGTCAACTTCATCTAGAGCTGCAAATTCGGCCACAACATCGTCAGGCAGGCGGACAAGGTCATCTCAGTACGAGATTCGGTCGAGAGTGGAGGTATGCACATGAAGGATAATTAAGTTCGTTGTTTTATACATCATAGGGACATGTACTATTAGCTACATCAACCAATGACTATTTTCTTTTCCTCCTTCGGTGCTTTCCTTCGAATGAGTCAGTTCCTCGATGGCGGAGCGCAAAATTGAGACGTTTGAGGTGTTGCTAGCATCCTCATCGTTGATATCAGCTTTACGGCGACATGCAAGGATATCATCTGATGAGGCATGGGCTATCGTTGATGTGGCATGAAGTAGTACAGAGACTGAAGACAAGAAAACAATATATTGCGTCTTTTTGGAGGACATGTCTTTATTAAAAGTACTATACTACTATGCTTGCATTACCAAAAATTAAAACGGTGCGGCCAAATGATGATAACAGAATGAGCAAGATATGTTGAACAAGTGACTCAGGACCCATCACACTTTTGCCCTCCTGTTCATTGTATTTAATCTCAAGTTGAGAACAAATATTAGATATAACTCACTTGGATCCGTGGTATGAAGACATCTCAGCCCGGGGACACTTGTTTTCCTTCCGAGAAGCGCCGATCACATTTGCAGCGTCGTTGCGTGTTGATGGCTTGGGGATGCGCTTGGTCCTGCGTGTTTCAAGCGCTGTTCCATCATTGGTCTCTATTTCATCAAGATGGTCGCTTCCTGGGGTAGGTGTTAATGGATCCACGTCAAAGGAAGGAGTTGTCGAAGTGAGAGGAAGTTCGCTAGTGAGTGACTCGGCGCTCAAGCTGGTATCTGGAGGGTGACCGGAAGTAGTGACCGGTTGAGGGATGTGAGAGATGGCGGGCAGTATGTTCAAGCTGGTGTCTGGAGGGGGAGTGGAAGTAGTGTCCAGTTGAGGTGTGTGAGAGACGGCGGGCAGTATGCTTGAGCTGGTGTCTGGATCTGGAGGCAGGGAGATGGCGGGCAGCATGCTTGAGCTGGTGTCTGGAGGCAGGGTGACAGTACCAGCAGTGAACGGTGATGCAGGGGGAAGTCGGACCATGGTAAGAGTAGCGATTTCTGATGCACCAGCTAGCGGCTCCAAACCCATCTGAACATCCAGATTGGAGAGAAATATATCTAAGTCTGGGGTCGTCCAGTCATCGCAGGTGCCGTGCGAAGGGGGCAAAGGCGCCGTTGGAAGGATGGGAGATTGTGTGAGGAGTCCATCAAGGGATGTATCCTGTTGCATTGAAGGCCCGCTACCGCTGGTACCTGACAGTGATACATCAATCATGGATAAGTAATGAACAATGCTGCCGGTACCTGATGATGTATCCCAAAAGGATAGAAGCTCATTGCCCGAGTTATATATATCCAAGTAGGTGTCGCCACCAGTTGCACTACTACCCTCTTGCTGTTGTGGGCTCGATACGCCAGCCTCAGCTATTAAATTTAACGCCCAGTCAGTTCAATGAATCCAACTGCTCAGCAAAACTCACGGTATACTCGATGTAAAAAGTCTCGAAAGGGCTCCATGACACCGGCGTCAAACCCAGGGTATGCAGTGCTAAAGTTGTTACCTAGCTTTGTTTGACCGACATGAAAACTGGACAAGTAAGATATGGTTTTATTTTTCTATTAAAATGCAAGCTTACCTATAGATATCAATTGCCCCAAGTGCTTCTGGAGACGGACCCCCAGCAAGGAGGGAGAATGACATCCCAGTTGCTTCTGCCAGCCCTTTCAAGAATGAGTTGGCGACTGCCGCAAGTTTGTCGAGGTTTCTTTTCGGGGCGGAGGTAAGTTGGTGATATGGTGCCATTGAACGTAATTTACACGAGCTCACCATGAGTAATCACCACACGTTTGCCTCCGTCCGATTTGCTTATCTTGGATTCTCTGCTGCTTCTGGTCTTCGAGATATTGCTTCACTTGGTCCTTGATATCAGGCGACTCCTGGGCATATAACATCGCAGTCTCCTTCTTCACAAGAGCGACACGTTCGCCGTTGGTAAGTGTCCTATGTTCTTGAGCAGCTTTCTCCAGGGATCCTTTTACAGTTGGCTGAACACGAGTTGTGTAGAAAAGTTTTGAGTATGCCTCCTGTTCCTGGAGCATGTGCGTGGGCTTTTCGCACTCAGTAATGCTTCGAACCATGGCATCGATCACACTCGTTGTATTTGCCTTCGCCTTTCTGCCCGATCTTGAACCTCCTAGGCTATTTTTGAATCGCGTAAATAATTTCTTTGTCGTATGTATTTAGTCACATCATTATCCATAGCCTAATGGGTGAATACTCACCGTCTTACGTGCGTCATAAGCCGCACCCATCTCCATTGACGTCAGGGTCCTATCTCTGTGATGTGACCCGGCCTTGGTTCTGGGAACTCCTCGAACCATTGTTCACAAAGGTCGGCAAAGAAATTCTTGTAGTTCTTGCTTTTTTCACCCTGCTTTGCCTTGAATTTTTCATACCAAGGCTGCAACCATGCCTCTTGTTCAACTGACGTCCACCTAGGAGGGGCCATGCTGTTTTTGGATTTAGTAATATTCACATGACAGTGACGTGTTTCACGTACATTTACACTGACTTGATATGTTTTGCCGGGGCAACCGAAATGAAACCGAAATGAAAATTTTTAGTAAGGAGCTCACAGGTGTGTTCCCATCATTATCCCACGCATAAATCTCCCTTGGGCACCACCAACCAGGGCCTCACGTGTAGTATTAGTAAATTTCCCTCGCACAACCAGGCCTCACGTGTAAATCTCTCACTCCAACCAGGTGTAAATATCCTTCACACACCAACCAGGGTGCATACACAGACTCAGGTATTTTCTATTATATTTGAATGGATAGCGGTGTTCATCTATTATATTTGAATAGATAGCGGTGTTCAACCTGGGCATTCAGAACACGCAGTAAATCTCCCTTGCAAATCTCCCTTGCATACCAACCAACGTGTATAACTCCCTGGCGCACTCACTATGGGCCGACCTCAGTTGTACAACTCATCTGAAGAAAAGGCAAGAGCTGCTCGTAAATATAGACAGGCGTATAAAGAAAGGTATTTCATCGGCTAGCTACTGTAACTCCACTCATGAAATTTCTGTCTAGCAATGCGAAATCTATAAACCAACAGCTATTCACAGTGATCAGAAACTCATCCCGCGATTTCGCAGAAACTTTATGCTGCGCACTGATTCAGTGCGAGCAGTCTGAAGTGACGAACGGCCTCATCAATATCCTCGCAGCGCTCGACATAATTGAGGATCTAGAACTTGAGGCACGCAAGGTAGGAAGCGCAGTACTTACACGTGTGCAAGAGGTCAGGGTGTCACTACAGGATATAATTGCATGGGTTAGGATCGATATGGACGCCTTGGATGAGGCGTACGAAAAGGGGGAGATTTATCACCAGTATGCTAACAGTATCTGCATGATTGATGTATGTTCGCAGTCCTACTAGAACAAGTCAATGAAGTCGCTATTGGTGGCTGATGCATGTTCTATTACAGTTGATCCTCCATTCTCTCTCAGCACAGAAACTTCTATCCCTTTCTGGGTCTCGTATCCGGGCCCTCAGGCTGCCATTTAATGGATCCGCGATGGACCATCCACTGGTATACATCCCTCTGCCGGTCTCTCACATATCCTTGCTCACTCGTCTATTTTCCCAGTCTGCACGATCATCATGCTGCGTCCCCCCCTTCATAAAACAGAGCAAGAAAAACTTGAAGCGAGTCAAGAGAGACGCCAACATCGTTACGCAAAGTAAGTTTGAGTTTTATTTATTGTCTTTGACAGACGGCAGTTCAACTGACGTACAAAGACACAGAGACGGTATATTGAGTAGGTGACGAGGGCTTCGCCTCACAAAGCCATCACAGGAGGTGCAGGAGATTCAAAGAGCACTGGCTGTAGCCTTTGGCTATGATGAAGATCTATCTGAGCCGGAGACGAGTGATGACAAGAATGACGCACTGTATGTCATGACTTTTTTTATTTTATAAATAGTGAAACATAATTTAAATATCTACAGGTCACTAGATCTCCCATCGTGCCTGCTCGCTTTCAAAAACATCAAGGACGAGATGTTGGTGCTAATTGGAGAACCCTGTGCATTTACAGAGAGTCTCCTCCTTCAATATATCAAAAGCTTTCCGGATGAAATGCATGGCGAGGGCGACACCTCAATCATTCAAAATGCGAAAACCGAGGTCGAACACTTACTCCGCCGTGCAACTCGAGTGCAGGATCAAATCGTAATTATCTGTGGAGTCTCGACCGAGTCTTGTGCTACTGAATCGGTCTCCTGGTTCTTAAGCACTACACTTGCTTATATAGATGATGTCCAGTATTATTTGGACATTGAAGGAATCACTGAGTTGACGGTTGCTCACTCGATGGGAGATCTTATGTACCAGAAGGGTATCCGTATCTAAGGCTTACATTTACGCATTTCATCGTCGACTTTTCGATACATTCATGTACTGTTTCTACTAGCTCAGTTAGCTTTGAATGAGTAGTGGCATCATCATCGACAATAGCTTCTACCACCTCTGGTACTACAGCGGCCAAGTCCCGCACACAATCACACAACTTCTTGAGAGACTTGTCGAACATCGAGTCGGCCAAAACAGTGCGTGTGCGTTCCTCCGCAAGACCTTTCGACAATGACAGGTTGGTAGCTGTAATAGGGCGCGAATATCACATAATCGGACACGTGCCTGATGCATCGTTTGGTGAGCCCACTTCCTTTGAAGCTCTAGTATGGCAGATTCACCAATGTCATCATACTATCAGCCATGGGGATACATCCCTGCAACTTCCAGCCCCTTGTCACACCAGCATGTCGTTCAACACTATTTTTCTTCAGGCTACAGTCTCTTAGTCATGTCAGCTGGAGGTCGCCCATCCAAGCGCCCAAAATTCATCCACCATATCCATAGCGAAACTGTTGGCCAGGCCAGCACTAGGCACCGCAACTTCAGTTTGCAGGCAAGCGGAAACTTCAATCTCCGGACATCATACTTGTCTGCTTCCAGACCTGCAATAGAAGAGGAGGAGCAAGCGCTATCTCAACAAGCTGTTGGCGTGGACTCAGACCCTTGGAATGAGACTGAGTTCTACCAGGCAGTAGAAGATTCGCAGTCTCATTCAGATGGGCCATCTCAAGCAGGGCATGGGAGAACACCAGGTGTGAGTCCTTATGTAGTTTTATTGTCATACTTTTTTGATTATCTTTTAGGATGATCCCCTCGCCCTTTGGCTGCATGAACGCGAAATATACTTAGACAAACTCATTTGTCTTGAAGGGCGAGGCAAAAGCGCCAGTGAACAATGCTCGTGCGGGGAATTATCACCGTCTTTCAGATGTCAAGACTGTTTCCCCCCTCTGCTAACTCGTCACGCATGCCTCTTACAGTCGCACCTCAGAATGCCGTTCCATAGAATCGAGGTGGAGTAATTCTCATTCGTAATGTATCTGTATTGAATTTTGTCGTACTTTAGGAATGGCAAGATGGGTTTTTCCATGCTGTAACCCTCAAATCTTTAGGGCTACGTATTCAGCTCGGTCATAAGGCAGGAGAAGCTTGTCGTCGTCCGAGCCCCGCGTTCGATGACGACTTCATTGTTATCAACACTCACGGAATTCATGAAGTCAGCCTAGACTTCTGTGGTTGCGAGCACAAAGCTTCTCACTATAAACAATTGCTTTCGGGCACGTCTATTCCCCGCAACAGCGACTGACCCCAGAACCGCCGCAACATTTGTGGTGTTGAAGTTCTTTCACCTGCTTTCCTTCGAATCCAAAGTATCCGCATACGAGTTCTACCACAGTTTGGCGCGCCAGAGCGACAACACCGGAATCACGCCAATACGGGTGCGTCACATTATCTATGTTTTTATGCAGCTAGACTCATACTTTATCTAGGATCGCTACTCAACATTTCTTAGGATCATATGTAAGTGGAGGAACCTCCATTCCTTGAAACGCGCTGGCCGTGGCCATGATCCAGCTGGTGTCAATGCAACTAAGGAAGGAGAACTTGCTCTTCTGTGCCCAGCATGCCCGCACCCTGGAAAGAATTTACCTGATGGGTAGGAAGCTTCAACTCAACAGTGCGTATTTCTATTGTCGGTGGTAGGATTGATGCTAACATATTTCAGGTGGATGTATAGTGTATTTCTTGCAATCGATGCAAACTTCCGTCTCAAGCGCCAAGCCATCTCCTCCGACACCAAAGATCCGGGTCTCAGCGGTGGCTGGGGCTATTTCGTCAATGAGAAGCATTACAAGGCCTACATAGGTAATAATTCTGCTGTCATACAAGAGGTGCGTGCTATTCATCATTTTTCATTCTCACAAATTAAAGTAGTGTCAACAGAGGAGCGCTTGCGTCAACCACAACACAGTGAACATGGCGGATGTGAAAATGTCGGGGGGACTTGCGGCTACAGGTGTCGGCACTGTTGACTGTGCCCGCCATGACATGAAGTTGGCGAATGGTGTCAGGGACTTGCAAAAAGGTGAAAGGTACGTGTACTGTATTCAGTCTGCATCTTTTGCGCACTCATGACATCATGCTTTAGATATGTTAATATGGACTATCTCGTTTTTTCAGCATTGTCGACATTTTCGAGCCTCAAAGTCATCAACTTTTCTTATGATATCGCATGCCAATGGCATAAGAAACTCTGGGGCCGTGTCCCTTCGCTTCCTCTTCGCCTTCAACCAGATCCTGTTGGAAAGACTTTCCGGTATTTTGTACCGAAGTTTCATATTGCAGCGCACGTGGAAGCTTGTCAAATGATGTTCTCACTTAACTGGTCACCTGGCATTGGTCGAACAGATGGAGAAGCCCCCGAGCATGGCTGGGCAAACATTAATCATGTTGCTACGAGCACCAAAGAGATGGGTCCTGGAGCTCGTCAAGACACACTGGACGACCACTTTGGCGAATGGAATTGGAAGAAGATCACATCACTAGGTATTTATCTGGTCTTCGCTGCTGATGTGGTAGACTCACATCTCGTCTTCAGGTCGAGTGTTGTTACGGAAGGTCATCGAAGCCGTCAGAGCGGAGCAAGAGCATCATATTGCACTTTCCGAACTTGAAGACTCTATCCGAGAGTCTGAACTAGGTGCCTCCTCGCTTCAAAAATGGAGAGAAGAGATAGAGAGTTGGGAGGTTGACCATACAAAACCTAATCCTTTTGAGAGACGTGTTGATAGTATGTATTTCTTTCTTACAAGGATTGGCGCACTAACCAATACTCTTCTAGCTATGACACAGGCAGCCGTTCGGCTGGAGCTCGCCAAACAAGATACCAAGGAGTTGGAGGATGGCACTGCTGTGTCTCTTCACTCCGAGGTATCTTGCAGTATCCTCATCAGCACCGGCATTGATCTTGAACATGCCCAGTGAGTGTCCCAAGTGGATGATGCGATGAATATGCACTTATTTTTTTTTCTTCAGACGTCGACTTCGCGCAGATGCAGGATTACTCGGTCAACATCCAACTGACACTCAATGGACGAGCATTCTGACCCGTAGCAACACCCTCCTCCGCCGCATAGACGCTTGGACAACGATCCAGACTTTGTACATGCCGTCAGTCGCGAACCTACGTGCCAATAGGTTGATTGATTTGTCGAGTGACGATGACGACAGTGGCTGTCCCAAGCCAAATCCCAACTCCGGAAAGGCTGAAGACTTGCAACTTCTCCTGCCCTCTGAGATCTGTGATCATGTACCATGTGATCGCAAACTCCTCGAAATCGAATGGTCTCTTCGGCTCGCACAAGCTCACGATGCTCTTAATGAGTGTCGCACACATATTCGCCTTCGTCGGCAGCTAGCACAATTCAAGAAACAGCACATACATGGTCAGAATCCCAACACCCGTGCAAGGAGGACGCTCGACGCCGTGGAAGAACGTCTGGTTATGAGCCACGCAAAATACTCATGTGCACGAAAGGCACTCGTCGCTCTATCCAATCACCTCGACCACATTGGTTGGGAGCGAAAACTACAGCCGCTCACGAGATCTCACCTCCGTCCTATGGGCGACTTCGCAGGGCAAACACAAGGCAGGACCATCATGTCCTGGATCTGGCTGATGCACGGAATATCTAACGATGACGCTGAGAGTTTGCAAGACGGTAAGTTTGCTGTCATTTAAATATGCTCATATCTAATTTGGGACTACAGCGCTTCGTGTTGAGTGGTGCAAGACTAGGGCACGTCAAAACCGTTGGTCCGAGGAAGTTCGACTTTTGTTGGAAGAGATGCGGCGAGTTCTTGCTTTTTTCAACTGGCAGGTGCAATGGTGGGAGGACCGTATCAGTCTGCGAACACTGACTAGGTTGGAGGTGACCGAGGGCTTAATTGCATACGCGAAGCGGCAGGCATTTATTCGACGCAGGCTGTCGGCATCATTCAGAGAGAAGTGGAAGGATGTTCCAGCGTTGGTGGCCTCTGGGATGGGTATTGATTTGATGGGCAACGACGAGGATGAACATCCGTGCCTTGACATCCCTCAAGAAGATTTAGTACACGATGATCATTATTAATTTTGTTGGTAGACTACTAATACAACTTCTTTCGTTGGTACCTGAGTTATCTTGACCTTTGTTTGACGCAGTGCCGAGTACCTTAGATCTACTCGGTGATTTATGGTGATTATTGATGGGGCAGACAAATACTTACCTCGCCCGGTGCTGCCTCCGATAGAGAAATGTTCACCGGGCACAGCCTCCAATGGATAATTGCACAGGAATGATGTATCTATGCATAGATAGCTAAACAGAAAGATGTATGGGGGTTTTTGGGTAATAAGCCAGTTAGATACATCCTGCCCCCACTAACAGGTGGGTAACAATGCACATCCAGTTCTGGACAGCGCTCCAAAATCACCGCTGGAGACATGCCTTCAACACCTTGAAACAATGTGCACTGCTGCTATACCAAAGCCAGCAACGTCGGCTCTGGCATCTCACAGCGGGCGGACCCCACGGCTGGAGTATAGCCGAGTTCAACCAAGATCTCATCTTGGAAGCCAGGGAAGAGCTCTTCAACGAAGAGCGCGATAACGCACTCGCAGCTCTCAGACAGGTAGGTACCCTCGCCAGCCTTCGTTGCAATGCTAACCAATTCTGTTCATTGAAATCAATCAATAACACGAACCACGCGCATCACGCACATTAAATACTCCCATTCCCCCCGTTTTTCGACATCACGCTCGATCAACCAATTACACCCCCCCAACCATCACGCGTCAAATGGCCATCAAACGCCGCCACCAATCTTTGCACACCACACGCTTCCCTTCCCCTACCTCTTTCGTGTCTTGCCGAAACCAACCACCACCCACCCCCACTCGTTCACACGCACATTAGGCCACCACTGCCCCCAGTGTTAGTGTCACACGAAACCAACAGCCCATCAACAACAGACCTCCAACCAACCTAAAGAGGCCCATCTCCCCTAGCGCGGAAAACGGTGACCACAAGAAGAAAGCGCGCCCCTTTCGAGACACCACCAACTCATCCTCCCCTTTCCCATGTTGCGCTGTGTGCCTCGGCCGCAATTCCCACCGCACAGTCGAGTAGCGAGTATCGCACAGAATTTAATACCATCATTCAGAAAGAACTTAGCAAAGGAAGATACATAGGACCATTCACCCCCTCAGACCTAGAACTTGCTATAGGTCCCTTCCAATCCTCCCCTTTATCCATTATACCCAAGCCCGGGAAACCCGGCAAATTCAGACTAGTACAGAATTTTTCGTTCCCTCACTCAATGTCCCCCGCATATCCCAATCCCTCCATCAATTCTTATATCGACGCTAATCACTTCCCCACAACCTGGGGCAAGTTCTTGGTTATTTATCTACTAATCTCAAGGCTACCGCCAGGATCCAAACTCGCGACACGAGACATCGCAGAACCCTACAGAACCCTACCCCTCCACGATTCACAGTGGCCCGCCGCTGTGATCCGCTTATCGGACACCGAAGTATGTGTCAATACTTGCGTAGCCTTCGGAGCCACCCCATCAGCGGGTGCGTACGGTCACGTAGCTGACGCGGGTGCCGAGATTATGAGACACAATGGCATCGGCCCACTTGACAAGTGGGTCGATGATCATTTATTTATTCATATTAGAAAAGAATACTTAGCTAACTACAACAGACAACGCGCACTGTGGCATAGCGACCTTAGCGGACGAGGAATGCATCAATCGGGCAGTAGGATCTGGTTTGGAGGACGTACCTTCGACGATGGTTCAACGGAAGAGTTCAGTGAGGACTGTTCCTGGCCCCTCAAGGACCTATCAAAACAATCACCCAGGTCCGACCACGACAATGTGTTCGCGTATTGCCTCGAGGATGTCGACACGCTATCCGAGAACCTTGGCATCGTGTGGGAGAAGGATAAGGACCAACCGTTCGCGTCCTCAACGGTTTGCATCGGTTTCCTATGGAGCGCGAGCAGCAGGACCGTCTCCCTGAGCCCCAAAAAAGTGGCCAAATACCTTCTGGCCATCGACAAATGGCGAAAGAGGGTGGTCCACATCCTGCAGGACGTACGCGAGCTGTACGGCAAGTTGTTACACGTGTGTCAAGCCGCACGAAGGGGGCGTGCCTACCTCACGTCATTGGAGAGCATGCTGAGCATCTGTGGTAAGAAGCCGCAGCTCCCACACCGCCCCGTCAAAGAGATCGAGGAAGATCTGATCTGGTGGACGGACTTACTTCAAAACAACGGTGTCTCAAGGCCTATATACCCCCCACCCGTCTACGCAAACCCCAAGCTTTCTCGGACGCAAGTTTGAGTATCGGTATCGGCATCGTCATAGGTAATCGCTGGTGAGCGTGGAGACTCGTTCCCGGCTGGCAGACCCTCAATGGCAAACACGACATCAGCTGGGCAGAGGCCGTTGGGTTTGAACTACTCGTCAGAACTCTCCTTGCTATCCCCAGCATGGGCGATGCACTCACCGTATACGGCGACAACACCGGAGTCATCGAAGGCTGGTGGAAAGGACAACATAGAAACCGAGAAGTCAACACTGTTTTCCGGCGCTTGCACAAGCTCATCCTTTGCTCACCTCAGCGTCGCGCAATCCGCACTGTCTACGTCGCCAGTGAGCAGAACCCAGCTGACGGCCCCTCCAGGGGAATCTACCCCCCAAGAGAGTTTCTACTCCCTCCAATCAACATTCCCTCCACTCTTCGACAATTCATTGTCGACGCCACCGAACCCCCAACAGACGCAGAACTTCGTCTCCTGCACAACAGGCGTTACCCCCCTCCAGCTGCCAAAGTCCTCAACCGAGCCTGGATCAGACAGCAGAGCGTTGAGCACTGGAGGAAATCCCGGGAAGAAGAAGACCAGCTCATCATCGAGCAACTTCAAAATCACACGAACTCCCCAAACCACAGTTGAGAGGCAGAAATCTTCGAGCGGCTTCAAAATCACATGAACTCCCCAGACTACAGTAGAACGGCAGCGCTTCGACACCACCCTCCCTACCTTAGACCCCACCATAATCTCTGCCCCGCAGCCGTACAAACCCAGCCTCACACCCTCCCCCTCCCCTCTTTGTCCGCACTGCTTGGCCAGGGACAGACTCACCTCATGGATACCTGCAGGCGAAGACACGCGCAAAACAGCAATCAGCAGTGACCCGAACGAGTTCTCCATATCGGACTCTCAGCTAGACAGAGTACTAGAGGTCATGGGCAGCTTGTGGGCAACCGCCACCAAAGAAACATATGGCGCCGGGCTCTTGGTACTGCGACGCTCAGCAGATTGCGGAAAGCCAAAGGTGTCCCATCTCCAGGCCCTTACTCCTCTCATTTCTACCCAGTTGTGCGGGAGCCTACTCAGGATCAGCACTAGGTAACTATGCAGCAGGCCTCAAGGCCTGGCACATTCTGCATGGTCGCCCATGGCTCATACCGCCTAACGAACTGAAATCAATCCTAGACAGCGCAGCTGTTAAGACCGTGCTCAAAGGGCGGATCCGAAGGGCTTGGCTTCAGCTCGTGCGCTGCGCCCCTTACCCAAGTACGTGCCCTTAATTTCCGAAGGCTAGAAACAAAGTCCGAGGGAGGATGATGAATCCCGGTGGACTTCAAGGGGACAAGTCTGGTAGGCTTTTCGAGGAAGAGTCAGGCCGATGTTCAGGGGGTTAGTCCGGCCGACGTAAGGAGGGTTCGTCCGGCCGACATAAGAGGATTGGTCCGGCCGACATAAGAGGATTGGTCCGGCCGATCATAGGGTTAGTCCGGCTGACATAAGAGGATTAGTCCGGCCGACACAAAGGGGGTTCGTCGGCCGACGTAAGGAGGGTTAGTCCGGCCGACATAAGAGGATTAGTCCGGCCGACATAAGAGGATTAGTCCGGCCGACATAAAGGATTAGTCCGCTGGACAATAGGGGCTTAGTACACCCAGAGAATAGGGGCTTTAGTCCGCCAGACGTGGGGGACAGAAACAGACAGGTGTAAGGACGGAAAGACAGGAAGTCCGAGGGGACAGAAGGACAGGAAGTCCGAGGGGACAGGATGTCCGAAAGGACAGAAGGACAGGATGTCCGAAAGGACAGGAAGTCCGAAAGGACAGGAAGTCCGAGGTAAGACTACACTAGACAATGTCCAGAGTAGAAACTGACAGATGTAGACTACCCGAAGGTAGAGGCGGAGTATAGCCCGAGGAATCAATCCCAGGACACAGAGGTTGGACAGGGAAGTGGACCCGGGCCCATGGAAATGGATCCGGGTCCGAGGAAACAAGAATGAGGATAATCTAAGGTGATATTCGAACTAAGGAAACTACTACGAGTTTACAAGGTATTATATACTATGGACATGTGCGACGGGGACGGAGTCGGCGGAGATCCGGGTCAACAAGGGGGACATACGGAAAGGTTTAACTGACAGGCGCAAGGAAAATAATACAGGAACAGAGACGGAGATGAAGTATCGAATGGATCCGGGCATAGGAGGTATGATCGAGAATGAAGTCGGATATTAACTGTCAAACAGATCCGGGGGGCATATAGGGGTTAGGACAAGGGGACTATACAAATGGGGTAACAGAATAGGAGCAGGACCGGAAATGAACTGTCAAGCGGATCATGGGAAATGGGGACGGAGATGAACTGTGAAGTGGATCCGATGTTTTAGGGGTTAAGTGGACCTGGGTCCGAAGCTCAGGATCTGAGTAGGTCCGATGTTTTTAGGGTCCGATGCTTAGGGGTTAAGTGGACCCGAGCAGGTCCGACGTATAGGATGTCCGACGAATACAGGGGGAGTGGACGAGTGGACGAGCAGACGAGTGGACGAGCAGACGAGTGGACGAGCAGACGAGTGGACGAGCAGACGAGTGGACGAGTGGATGAGCGGACGAGTGGACGAGCAGACGAGTGGATGAGCAGACGAGTGGACGAGCAGACGAGTGGACGAGCAGACGAGTGGACGAGCAGACGAGTGGACGAGCAGACGAGTGGACGAGCAGACAAGCGGATGAGTGGACAAGCGGACGACATGAGTGGGATCCGACGAATAGGACGTCCGACGAAAAGGAGATCCGAGGTATACAGGAGGAGGACCGATGAATAGGACGTCTGATGTATATGGGAAACAGGGCAGATCCTGCTGAGGGGTATGTCCGGTGGAGACTGGGATGCGGAGTTATCCTGCTGAGGGTTAAGGTATAGCTTGGCTACATTTCGGAGGTCCGGACATTGTTTGTCGGGAGAGATGGGATATGATTCAGGGGCTCAGTGTACAGTATATGACAGCAGCCAAACTTGCCCCCCCCCCTCCTCCAAACGTGCTAAGCGTACTCCGTTCACCCCCGACATCATCATCAGCATACACAACAAACTCAACCTCGAGGATCCTAAGGATGCTGCTATATTCGCCTGCATAACGACTTCGTTCTACTCAATAGCTCGGCTAGGAGAGTTCACGGTCTCAGCGGTCAAGGACTTCGATTCACACAGACACGTCACCCGAGGAGATGTATCAGAAGGAACAGACAGGAACGGCTTAGCCATAACCAAATTCCACATCCCATCCACGAAATCTTCCCCAAAGGAAGGAGAAGACGCTTATTGGGCAGAACAGCAGGGACTGTCAGACCCAAAAGCGGCGCTAGAGAACCATTTCCACATCAATCAAGGAGAGAAGTCAGATCACCTTTCGGTTGGAGACCCGCAGGGAAAGGCATACGCGCTTTGTCCAAAACCGAGCTCATCAAGCGCATATCCAGTATTTCAGCCGTATCAAGTCTCCCCAACCTCAAAGGCCATAGCATCCACATTGGCGGTACCTTGGAATACCTCCTTCACGGTGTCCCTTTTGATGTAGTCAAGTCAATGGGACGCTGGTCCAGTGACGCATTCACGCGCTACCTACGAGAACACGCCAGAATCCTTGCGCCATACATCCAAGCGAACCCCTCCCTCGAGACGTTCACCCGCATCACGATGCCCCCAGTGAGTTAGCGCAGTCTCAGGAATTAAGGGTTAGTCCACCTCCTTATACCCTGGGAAACAAGCTTCGCTGCTCGCGTCGTCGAACTCCTAATTCATTGGGATTCACAGCTCACCTTTTTCGTCACAGGTCCGGGCTGGAGTTTCTGACCGCATCAGTAAATTCACACATTTATTGGCGGCTCTTTTTTTGGAACTTGAATTTTATTTATAACTTATTTACGACTTATTTACATTTATTTACTTGTTGAGTTGTGTTGCCAAGATGGAAAAGAAGCGCGCGACAAACAAGCGCGATAAAGTGTGTTACAAGTCATATTCATAGCCGACAAGCAAAAAAGCAAAGTAAGTACTAAAAATACATATCAAGTACTTAATCGATTAACGAGGCGTTAGTACTAGTACAGAATTCATGGCTTCAAAAATGCCGGTGCATTGCGAACGAGGGAGGAAGTGGTGGACTGATATAGAGATGAGGGCCGATCTAGCAATAAGGGCCGCGGTGGATGCAGAGGAGGCGGAGGCGAATGAGGAAGGGACAGAGGCGTCACTGGGGTTCTGGAGAAGGGTGAAGGGGTGGCTCTGGGACAAGGATCGACACGGAACGTGTCGTTCAAGCATAGTGTGACTGCAGACTTTGGTGAGTACTGTGATGTCTTGTAATCAACAAAAACTTACCGATCGTCGTCGTCGTCGTCTTCGTCCCCGATCCGTAAACACAGCAAGGGGATATCAATCAAGAAGCGACGGTTGACTCAGGACGTTTTTTTCACGTTTTCCTTGACGAGCGCTTGACATGGAGATCGGGGATGTTGACTGATTTGCAACCTATACCTGAGACTGTTAGCGTGTTAACGTAGTTCCACGCAGCGTGCAATAACATGATTAACGGCAACACAGGCAGTATACTGAGCTTCGTTGCAGTCGCCGTTTCAGCATCACAGTGCGCTCACCTGGTGTGGGCGCTTCTCCGATCAAGTCGTCCTCCACAGCCTAAAGTCACAATCAGCATCCATACATCGCGACATCATACAAGACGTACCATCGCCCACTGCTCATTGCTAAGACCGTCGTTATAATTGACGACATTACGACGACGCTGACCACAGCCCTCAATAGCATCATCGATCTCCTTCGGCTCGAACGGTTCATCCGTTTGATAGCACTCAGGCAGCTCTTCAAGCTGCATGAGTGGCAACGGCGGTTTCCCCCTGTTGCCGACCGCACGCCATGCATCCAACGCATCCCGTTCCCGCTGAATATCCATTGAACGAAAAATCTCAACCTCCTGGTCATTTCTTGCTAGCATCTCGTTAAGCTCATCGTCGTTCATGTCACCAGCTTCTTCGTTCTCCTCCTCCTCTTGGTCTGCTTCGAGGATGGACCGCTGTATACCACTCATTTAGCTATCCGTTGTTTGGGAGAGAGCTGCTGTAACACCCACCAAAAATTCTTCTTGCTCTTCCTGCGTCGACTTGTTGTCGAAACGACCGGCTTGGATGACCTTGTCGTCGATATCAAGCTTGTACCGCGCATGAGCATACATGGCTTCTTCGACGCTCTTCTCCGTGATGAAACGGAGAATGCGAACAGCCTTGGTCTGGCCGATACGATGAGCACGATCTTGAGCCTGAAGATCAGCGTGGGGATTCCTGCAATATCATCAGCACATCTATCAAAACAATAGCCAGAAGTTTATTCACCAGTCACTATCGAAGCTGCAAACCTACGTGTCAGCATAGAGAACGACACCACCGCAAGAGACAACGCACATGATAACAGTATCTGCAGTCTGCAAGTTGAGACCCAAACCACCAGCTCGTGTCGACAGGATGAAGACTTGAATCTCAGAATGCTTCGCATTGAACTGCAACATGCAAGGCACGCTCCTCCATCTTCGTACCACCGTCAAGGCGAAGATACTTCCAGTTCATCATCTTCAAGAAATGTTCCATGATATCCATGACCTTCGTCATTTGGAAGAAAATAAGGACCTGATAGAAACAATGATCAGCACAGCTCGGGCAATCACAGAAAGCGACGCACCCTGTGACCGGTTGAAAAGAACTTGGGAAGGATACGTGACAAGAGCTCGAGTTTGCCAGCTGACCTGACCAATTTATCGTCGATGAGGCCAGTGGGGTTCGTTCAACAGCTCAATCTCGTCGATGGCTCGCGTTTTCTTTCCGAGCGCGTCTTGAGTTTGCGTCTTTTGATAATTTCATCTGTGTGAGGAAGGAAGGTAGAGACACTTACACAGCTCATCTGCCTGGGACGAGTACTTGTTTGTCGTAGTGAACAGTACTCGCCCCTCTTGTGCGCCAATGCCGTCCAATGCGTTGAGCAGGCCACTGAGCAAAACCTTGCTAGATATGGGAGTGAGCGGGGTGCGGGAGCAGGTTTGATAGGTCCTGAGTTCGCCAGGTTGATCTAATGGACCTACTTGGATACCCCTGGACTGGTGGGCGGCCAACACAGCACGGGGAGACTGTGGATGTTGGTCACGGGCATTGAGAGCGCTCCTTTCATCAGTGGCAGCGTCAAGGAGGAGGTCCTCGATGTCCTGTGAAGTAGCACGGACACTGGATCGGCTGCTGGATCGGGAGTGAGATTTATGAGTAGGCCGAATGGTAAGGTGGTGGTTGTGGTGTTGAATTTGAGGAAGTTGTTGGGGGAGGGGGTCGATATCAGGAATGCGACCACGTGACATGGATGTAGCCTGGAGGATGTGAGGAGATAAAAAGGTAGTATGAGAGGGAACTTACGGAGAGTGGAGGCCTGTGGTCATATTCGCCACGGTCATTGCGAGGTCGTTTGGAAGGTGGCTGGAGGGGTGCAATGAGATAAGATGTGTCATCGAAGCTGCCTGAGCGAGGACGGACACCACAAGTGGATGGGAGAGGAGGGAGGGGGCCTGGGGGGAGAGCAGCAGAACTGAGGGACGATGAAGTGTAGCGATGGTGAGATCGATGGTATGGGCGTGGTGGAGGTTCTACAGTGATACTAGGATTCGCAGAGTAGGGGTTGTGATCGTGCTGGATTTGATTTGGGATGGGTGTCAAGACTTGATGGGAGCGGGCGGGGGTGTGGGGATGAGCTCGATTATGGGAGCGGGGATGAGCTCGGTTATGGGAGCGGGCGGGGGGGGGCGGGGATGAGCTCGGTTTGGCTCTCCAAGAGTTCGAGCGAGGGGCTTGTCCTTGAAGTCGACAGGGGCGGCAAAAGGTGCAGAGATAGTGTGGTGAGCTGCCTTGGACTTGGCAACGAGGCCCTTATCACCCTCAATGAGGATCGTCTCGGGTTCCTCCACCTGAGAGCTAAGCTCCTTGAATGTGATTATATTAGCAACGGACTGAGGATTGGATTGAGGACTCACCTATGGTCAGAACGCTATCTCAAAGGCATGGTGATCGGCATACTTATTGACATAAAATGAGCGGAAAACGTCAAGAGATTGGCAAAACTTGAGGGAGTGAGGAATGTATTCAGAACCGTAGATAGGTATCAGGTGCGCTGCACGGAAGACCGTCTCGACATGAATAACGGCAAGGTCCCTGGAGCCATCCTCGTGAAAACTTGGAGCAACCATCCACATGCCAGTATTTTCATTGGGGCAATCACCGATCTTCTCAAACCATTGTATGAGAGCGCATGGATACACTTCCCAATTGTGGCTGAAAGAAAAGAAACAGACGACTCTCGCAACTTCGAGTCCTCGCATCCCTTCGATATCTGAATCCGAGTCGGTGTTGATGAACACGCAATCATAGCGCGGGTACTCGTTCCGCCAGAGTGGACATGCACGGATGTGTTCGCGTCGCATGCCACCAATACCACTTGGATCACTGGGAGCATAAAACGTTGCGGCAGCAGAATTGAAGACCTGAAGCTTGCCTTCGTGTCGAGGCAAGCTAGCAGCTGGGACATCTTCGGGGTTGCGGGCATCATTCGGGTTGAGCTGAGAGAACAGAAAGTACCTGATGAGGTACCGCAGATCAGGAACAGCGACTTCATGTGCCAATGCTGCTACTGTCCGTGCCCGTTTTCGTTCTGTGTGACACAGCGGTGAGCATCAAGATAAGACATTGCATGAGATTACTTACGAGGAGTTTTGGCGAGCGCTACATAAGCAAGCACCATCGGACCGTCAACTATTTCACTGTCATCGATATCGATTACCAGTTGGGGTTCAGTGGCGAGGGCATCTGGTTGCGGCTCGATGATGGGGGCATCTGGTTGCGGTGCAATAGCAACAACTTGTTCATTTTCATCTCCTATTGTATATTGCCGTTGAGTATGCGAGAAAACGATCAGAGTAAAAAACCTTAAACAGACTTACCAAGAGCAGCTAAAGTACTTGACAAAATAGTGCCGGTGAGCATCCCTCGCGCATCAAAGTCCACACGGGATGCTGCGAGCTTATCAAGGCGCTGATTGGTCACAAGCATCTGACCAAGAGCATTGTGCCTGCTCGACCACCGCCAAGGCTCCTTTACCGCTTTGATATGTTTTGATTCTGTAATTGATGAGCAGAGTCCGTTCGGGGCACCGAAGAGTCGGATCATGTCCGCGTAATGAGTCATTGAGTGCTGACGGGGGAGTGAGAAGGTAGGAATGACGATATCGAATACCTTGCGATATTGATGAAAACGACGAAGGGCAGCTTGAACCTGATTCAAGGTATCTTCGGTAATGATGTTGCACCGGACAAGATAGCAGAATTCTAACAATGCGCGAAACGTGCACACCATGTCTTCAGGTACATGACCCTCGATGGCCGGAAGAAATACCTTCATGAGCGCTTTAGAATCGTCGCCCGTCCACTGTTTAAAGTCGCGGCCTTGAGGAAATCGTCGTAGACCAGAGAATGATGCTACAGCTGCAACTCTGACTTATTATCAGATAATGTCATTGAGCAAACGAGTGAGATGACATACCTGCGATCTATGTCACTCATGATCTCCTCTGACCGTCTGGTTCCGTGCACGGCCTTGAGGTACTTTGGTACCCAGTCGACGAGATGGTCTTTGAAGGCCCCTTTGATAAGCTGGTGGAGGAGATCAAACGACAGCAAACTCATGAATGTCGGCTCGGGGGAAGTCGTTAGTGAATGGCTATACAAAACAGATTAGTCTGGTATTGAAGAGCGGCCCGTTCCACTCACAATGAGATCAGCAATGAGACCATATTCATCCCACAATATATCCCCGTGGAGTTCTTCGATCAAGAAATCAGTATGCTCGCGACAGCGGTTCACGCCACCACCATCAAGGTCTGTGCGAATTGCAATGCATCTACATGGTGTGTTAGCACCAATGGATACTGCAAGTGCTAATACTCACTTCGGGCACCAATGTTTAACAATACAGGATAGTACGAGTTGTTCCTCGTAATCCGCTATGTAGGGTCCTAGACTATATATCACGCGCCGGAAATGATCGTCTCCACAGCGCACGACCTCATACTCGGTCATAACAGGTTTTAGGCTGGAGAGAATCGTAGATAGCGAGCTGTGGAATAGCTGGCGGCGAAATATACGAAATGTGTCGTCTTTAGAATGCTTCCTGTCAGCTGTAACACAGCTCAGATGAGGCGTAAAAATTGAAATGTGAACATACATACTTTTGGGTATGGCAAGGAAACCAATAATGACAAGAGCATTGCGGTGCGCACGTCGCACATTGTTGCGTACGTTACCGATTGAGGCATAGAGGGGATAATATTCGTTGTTCCCAGTGCCCACAGAGACGGTAGTCTTGTCACTACCGAGAATGATTGGGACCAAAGCAGATCCGTGCGTTTCTGGATCTTTCGATATGATGTCCTTGATAGAAATTAGCTATATCCTGTATGATTCCAGAAAGAGATAGAAAATTTACTGCCTGTTGCCATACCCAGTCTCCAGACATGAAGTCTTTCCATCGGCGCGTATCGTCCGATACATCATATTCACGAAATGGTACATAGTCGATCTCGTCCTTGAAGGAAGGGTTAGCAAGTATGTTGCGCGCCATTGCACGGGGGTCCCTATACCAGACCTCGAATTCATCGTCCATCCACGGTGGGACAACCTCGGGCCGTTCTCCCGAGTATTGAACGGAGAAACATTGCCAGGGGACATCACCAAGTTCTGTCGCATCTATGACACTGTGCAGATCTTTGTGATCAGCGAATGGAGGGGTGTCACCGTGTTTCGCAAGAGTCGCGGCCATTAAGTCGCACAAGAAATCCAAATTTCTCGTAGACATGTGACATTTTTTGAATACGAACTCTGCCGTCTCGAATTCTATTCGATTGCGATACGGGCTCCAATCGCCAGGAGGCCTCGGTGGCACAGGAGTTGGGGGGGTGCCATGCAGCAGAAATGTTCCATCAGCTGCGCATGGTCGTCCTAAGCATATATATATGTGAGTCAAAAACAAAGTACTGACGCCTGGAGGGAACTTACCGTTTAACATTGAATGGTACGTATGATAGTAACGCTCGTTCACGTCAGTGAATTCTGCATCAGGGCCGTTTGGATCTTCGTGAATTGGACCAGGGAGTGTGGGAGGTGATAACTGGGGCTGTTGTGAAAAATCTGGAGGGGGCAGTGAGAATTCTCGGGGGCGGGAGGGCGACCGGGATGGCTGGGGTGGTAATGGGAGGTCCTGAGGGGGCGGTCCTGAAGCAGGTAAAGTTGGGTGAAGCGAGCGCCTGTGTTGGGTAAGACCCGACTGGTTTCGAAACCAGCGTGAGCATCCTGGAACTAGGCATGGAAGCTGAAGCAGGTGGTGGGCACGACGGGGAGGCATATGCACTACACCGGGATGACAATCGAAGCGCAACTTGTAAATCACCGGCACCAATGTGACCAAACCAGCACAAACGAATTAAAGTTTAATATTAAATTAGAACAGCGCTGTGCCAAAAGGCTTTGGTGAATATTGATGTAGAGAAAGTATTGTCTCCTCACCGGAAAGGTTTTAGTAAATATTGATGAAGAGAAAGCGTTGTCTCCTCGCCGGAAAGGTTTTAGTAAATATTGATATAGAGAAAGCGTTGTCTCCTCGCCGGAAACGTTTTAGTAAATATTGATAAAGTGTTGTCTCCTCGCCGGAAACGTTTTAGTGAATATTGATGTAGAGAAAGCGTTGTAGTGACTATCAGGCGGAAAAACGTTGGTGAAACTTGTGAAACCTAATATCAACGGCGATATTAGTGGTACGTCAGGGCATAAGTAGGGTCATGAAATGTATTTATTCAGAATCAGCTTAGGCTACAATTTTTGGAGGATTGTGGAAAAACTTGCCGTGTTGACAACCACCACCGGTTCAATTTTCCCTTTCTTCAGCCTTCCCAAACACTCCATCGACACCATGTCTCAGCCTGCCAGCGCAGTTCCGAAGCGCATGACGACTCGACCTAAAAATGCGACTCAGCATCCAGGACATATCCTGACCGGGGGCGAAGGCCGAGTAAAGAGACGCACCAAAGCTCAAAAGGCTGCTGACGACCAGCGTGAAAAAGAGGAAAAGCAGGCAAGTGAGATGGCTTTACAGGAAGGACATAAGCGCGTTGCTGCATTTCAGAAAAAAATGCAGACAGACCAAGCTGCTGCACGCGCTGATGCGCCAAAGCCTACTCGTCCCCGCCCACGCCCCGTAAAAAAGGTCGCAAAAGTCGCGGAGACCTCCAACTTGACGATGACCGACGATAAGGCCGTTAGTGCTAATGGCAAGGGTGGTAGGGCTGGAGGTAAATTAGCAGCCAGGGCTAACGTCGAACATTCTGAGAGTGATGCGGAGGAGGAGGAAGAGGAAAAGGTGCCAGTGCCAGTGGCACGCAAAAAGAAGGGGAAGAGGATAGTTGTACCAGTGAAGACGCCAGTGAGAGATGCAATCGAAGCAATGGATGTTGATATCGTTATCAGCGAATCAACGATGGCACGTGACGACGATAGGAAGTCTGACGATGTGTAAGTTTATTCTTCTAATAGAACTATGATGCACCATCTGACCGAAACGGCTCTTTTCTTTTTCAATTTGATGGTTACTGACGATGATAGCTCTATCACAGGTCCTAAAAAATTTGGTTTTGCTGCCGGGCGTATCCCGGGTTGGAGGTCAGGTATTCCTGCCGGTGGTTCGAAGCCGTCATCCGACGCAAAGAACACACCAAGATCTACGGCGCCTTCCGACTTCTCTAGTACCGCTCCCTCCTCTAAACTCACTAGGGGGAGTACTATTAGTAGCGGCAGTGTCCCACTCACGCCCGTCAACACTATCACCGATGCTGGGGCTAACAACGTGGCAGATCGTTTTACTACCCTGTTTGCAGACGATGGGTTGGCCGAATCAGTCGAGCGCTCTCAAGCCCTTGCCCGTATGTCCAAACCAAAGGCCGCCCAGGTGAGCTCAACTACCTAGTAGTCCCTTTTTTGATGTGTTAACCGCATTATCAGGGCGTCAAGATTTCTTTCCCCAATACTTCAGTACAAATGAACTTAGCCAATCGCAACACCAGTCTGGCTCCCAAACAACTCGACGCAATTCAAGGCGACGTCGTTACTGATGACGATGGTGATAGTGAGATGAATCTCGAGGCGACTGCCCCAGCAGTAGCATCCCTCGTTAACTACGCATCCGACACTGATATGGAATCTGATCTCGAACCTCCACCTTCTACGCAGGTCCCCAAAGGATACTATGATGCTGACATCCGTCAAGCTGCAGCTCGAGCTCAAACTCAAACATCCCCCTCTACCATTACGACGACGAGTGTCAAACGCAAACTCGCAGATATCGAGGATGGCTCGAGTGACGATGACGTGATTGAGGATGCCCTGCTCGAGGACGACCCCATGGTCGATCATGACTTCGAGGACGATCGTGACTTCGAGGACGATCATGACTCTGTGATCGAGGAAGATTCACTCTCGTCCGAGGTTGAATTTGTGGGTCACATCAAGCCCGTGGTCACCGTAGTCAAGACCGAATCCGAACCAGTATCCTTGCGGGTCACTTCAGCGGTAGTATACTTCGGTCATTAATTTGTAAATTATGCTGACTACGAATTATATAGACCAACGTTGGCGTCAAACACAAAGCTCCCGTGGCAAAGCGGACAAAGTCTTCTATCGCCCACACTCGCAGTCTTTCCAGCATCTCGAGCGCTACTTCTGGCGTCATGTCGAACCCTGTAGAGGTGGAGATTCTCCCCCGTTCCGCTTACAGGATCAAAAACCTTCCTGGCGGTTCTCTTGCAGTCACCAGATGGAGCTCCGTGTTCCTCCCTACTCTCATTTCCGCGCTTGGAGATCAAGATGAAGTCTGGAGTCGTCTCGAGGCAACTCTCTGCATTATGCAAGACACCTGGAATGCGGTATACAAGGATATACCGCACACGGTCACCGTTGATGGACCTGTTGTAGCTTTAGTAAGTCATTTTTGACACGATTCGTACTATCTGATCGTCTTTGTTTTTTCTTATGCCACCCAGCAGGTATCGGAGTGGCGCCATGGCATTGGCCAGACTGCCGTCACAGTACTTACGCATTTCATGTCATTACAGGATGATGTAAAGACGGACAGAGACCGCAAGGATTTCGCGAACAACTTGCTGTTCAAGCTAGGATTCTTATATGGGAGCATCACCGAGGATGGGCAATTCAAAAAGCCCTTCCAGTCTGACCTCCTTATTCAGGTCCTCGTACAGCACGGGGTTGCTACTGGGGGCACTCTTGATAGCCACAGGAAGATCACGCACGCGAAGGGAGCTCTTAGTCTCGTGACGGCGGCGGCATGTACATTCACGCTCTCGTCATATCACGACTAATTTATTTCTCGAGTGACAGATGGAACGCGCCCTCAAGCTTTTCGGGCTTGACGACACGCTCGTCAGCGAACTGAAAACCAACAGCAAAGGCAAGGCTGTCAAGATCCCTCGCAGCCTGAACAAAGCCTCGGGCAAGACCAGCACTGCTCGAGGGGCCTTTTCGGACACTAATTATGGTGTGGCGACAAGAAGTTACATGAAGTCTATCAATCGTCTCGACGAATCGGTCCTCCAGGACATCTGGGAACGTGCTAAGGGAATTGCTGCGAAGAGGCGCCGCGCAGCCCCCACTCTGGATTCTGATGATGAGCGCGCGCTTATCTTCGATAGCTGGTACTGTCCTTTTCTGTTGTTAGTGTCTCTCAACTGATGATTTTTGATGCTATTTTCTGTTTTGTAGAGTCAGGCACTACTACTACTACTAGCCTTACTGCTGCTCCCTCTCGTTATGCAAGTTCATACTGTCGTCGCTGCTCCCCACTCATTCGTTCGCTGTTGCCCACTGGCATCTCCGGTTATTGCCGCTGCTGACAAACTACTCGTAATGGTTCTCTTTTTCGCTACTTATCAGTACTTCCATCCTGCTTTCTCGCCCTTTTATCTAGCTTAATATACTTGTCGCTCGAAATGCAATGTGGTTTTGTGGTCATTTATCTTAATAAGCGTGAAATAAGTGTTGAACAAGTATACAATAAGGGGAATAAGTATCCCCGATTTCAGCAATTGCACTCCTTGCAATGTAGGAATAAGTGCCAGAAAAACTAAAATAAGGTTGGAAAAAGTCGTGGTCAATAGCTGGCACCTGCTTTTTCGACTTATATTGCCTTGTGGCAAGCTGACGAAAAGTAGATTTTACCATTCTTGCGAGTGGCTTTTCCGTTCCTTTTCGGGAAATTACCGGCGGCAAGTTGCAAAAAAGGAGCGCCAATAAATGTGAGAATTTACTGATGCGGAAAGCTCTGCGAGCTTTCGCCCAAAAACACTCTACCAGCATATAGTCTTCATTAGCGGCACACTCAGTATTCAAATGATAGTGTAGCTAATCCTCTTCTTTCTTGAGTCGCTCACATAAGTCTTCGATACGCATAGACGGGGATTTAGTATTTATTTTTTGTGAGTTCAATATTAGGTAATGTGCAAACTACGTTTTAGGTCGGGTGTGTTGTGTGGGACCCAACTTTGAGCGTCCCTATCGTCTTTCCATCAGAATTGTTACATACACCCACTGATAGATCAGGCTGTGCCAAGGGCTATTATATACTACTCGGTCTTCAAGTATATGATGTGCTCCCCCATCCATTCTCCACCTCCCGCATGGCAACTGCTCCCAAACCGAGGGAAAGAACCTGGGATCCATCTAGTCTTCTTGCATATGATGCGCTCCCGAATCACCTGGATGACTCTGACTCGGTCACATCTGACCTAAAGTCTGCGACCAATTTCTACGACCGCAGTCTGACAAGTCGTAGGTATGCCCTCGCTGGTGTGGCATGCTCAAGTATTGTCAGCTGCTGTTGCATCATTGCAGGCGCCGTCATTACGGCCGCTCCTGGAGGTGCGACTACTTTGGTATTAGTAGGACGGGGCAGCACTGCACTGCAGAAAGAGATGGTGGTCATATCACTAAACTTGATCGTCACATCATGCACCGAAGCCATAGGTTTTGTACACGGCATCTCATTGCGCTCTGCGCTGGCTTCAGAGTCTCGGCTTCGTTTCAACTCTAATCTACGCCTTCTGACTGCAGCTCGTGGATGGACTTCTTCTCCAGGTGGTGATCGCATTGTCAGGGATGCGAGCTATCAAGATATTGACGTGGAGTTCCTCACCTTTCGATTTGACCGCTGCCCTGGTCCACCACGCGCAATTGACCCCAGTTCTTTTCCGGTGCATGCGTGGTGTGTCCGACTTGGATGTGGATGGAGGTCCAGCAAGGCCATCAGAGACACAGCCTTCTGTATGGCATGCGCACCCTAGCATCCGGAAAGTTATCATCTCCCTTTGGTGCCTTGTCGTAGCATGCGCTGGATGGGGTGTCCTCATTCTGCACATCTACGATACGTATGAAGGCTATACCAGTCAGATAACATGGAAATCGTGGACGTTCTTCCCCGACGATCAGAATTTCTCATACGGCTTTGGGTACTCGATGGAAGGGGCGGGCGGCGGGGGCGTTGAATGGTGGATTCTGACTTATGTCAACCTGGCTGTTATCCAGGGACCGTTGACACTTTGTCTGCACTGCTCTGAGCTCATCGCAAACGTCATTCGAGACGAAGGGCATTGGAGATGCGCTACTGGACGAAAAGGGATTACATCGGTGAACCCACTGAAGTCGATTTTCGCCAATCCGCTCTGTCTTGCGCTTTTTGTCGCGAAACCTATCCTGCGTAAGTCACTCGCACCTAGCTTTAGATGTGTGTTCTTGAACAAATTTTATTAACGATATAGACTGGATATTTGGGCTTTGTTTTGTGCTCATCGCCGGCGTCGACCCTACATATGGAGTGAATATCGTGATATATATGTACTCAATGCAGGTTCGTATTCACATCTAAGTACAGGCACTACAGCATCCTTTTATACTCGCGCAGATCTTGAACTTATGCATAGTGCTGTTTGTATTCGCTTGTTTCTTCACTCTTGTGGCACTACGCCAACGGCGCGGGCCCCAGCCAGCTACATATGGTCACCTTCAAACACTGGCCAACCTCGTGGATGAGTGGTCGCCTGTGATGTGGTGGGGCCACAAGGAAGATGGAATCCCGTATTGTCATGCTGGTAGGGTACTTGAATGGTCACGAGGACGGTGCATTGAAGCTTTTGAACAGGAATGAGTGGTCAGCCGCTGCCGGCTGTGAAGATGGACTGTGTTTATGCTGGCACCAGCGTCGGGTCTCATCCTTCCGTCTCGTGAGAAGTCCTTGCTTTGCACGGACATTCCTTAACTTACCCATTTCAAACATAGGACTTAAATGTATGTCAGGATGGCTGGCGATGCATTGACGGCGCTCATAGTCAGCTATGCCATGGGACGGGTCATATTTGCGATGTTTACAATGGTTGCCGCGTTCAAGTTGGAGATGGATCAGGATGTTGTCATATGGACCCAGTGACTTCTTCGCGCGCCACGTTCAATAGAATTCTGCTTTCAGCGAATGCACAATTGGGACACATTAGTGATAGAGGATATGATTTACAAGGCTATGTATGCTTGGATTGTTCTGTGTCAGTAGTACTAAGTCACAGCGATGCAATATATACCAGCTATTTATTGCCAGTGTCCGCTTGCTGTTCTAATCAAAAGTCATTATGCTTCAATTCTAACTCGTCGCTTGCATCCGATAATTTACAATAGATGGCGGGTGACACTGAACCCACCATTCTTCCTCGGGATACTGAACTGCGCTGTCTAGGATTTACAGATCAATCGTGCAGGAGCAAGACTCGAGCAGATGAACAACATTACACCGTCTTGGTGTCACTTTGATCACACTCGCCGTAGTTTGCGCATGCACATGATGAGAAAATCTGATCGTATAGTGGGGCACCTCCGTGTGCTCACCCAGCCCGGCAAGAGCATCTCTTTCGTTGTGGCTTTGGAAGGCATTCATCTAATATCGCAGAAGAGTTGCGCTTCCATATGTTTGGTTTTCTTCCATAATGAAATCATACGCTGTGCATTGGCGAGTTTCCCCTATTTTTATCAACCAACATACACATACTACTACGTTAAAGAGTTGCCGGACGATGCACACGACAGTCAAAAACTCTGGAGCTGCAATACGCCATTGAACTTGGTGCCCAAAGGTTGGTGCCGGTTCATCCACAGCCACCTACTGTTTCCACAGCGGAGTGTTTGCAAATACGTACTGAGAGAGAAGAATTACGAATCACCTTCCACCACGGTCTCACCCTCGTCGAATCTCCCCAGTTGTACTAGGCACTGAAGGAAATCGGCTTCTTACATCCAAGTTCAGCCATCGAGTGCTGTATGAAGTGTATTTGCACTCGCCTTCGTATAGGGCGACGCTGAGACAAGAAGCATGGAGTACCGGAAATGAGTGGAGCAAGTCCCTCTTTCGTGCGTGAGGAGTGGAGGGTTCAGAAGTTCGGATAGGATAACTGCTCGTTTCTGATGTCGATGCGCATGACAGGTAGGCAACGCAACTATTTCGGAATTTTTGTCCAGCGGGACAAATAATGCTCATAAGGTTGATTTGCACATGATGAGATTCGAGCGGCTATGAAACCGCGCAAGACATCGTGATCGTTACAAGGGCTTGATCCAGAAGTTGAATCACTGTGCAGGCTCTGACGTTGATCAGGCAAAATCAGATCATTGAAGTCATCAGGACGTCGGCGTTCTGGCCTTTGATGCTGTAGAATATGATGTTGCTGTAGCTGACTTGAAAATGATAAACACTCACATTGCAAAGGTCAAAGATTGTGCATGCGAAGTCCGGGTGGTGAAGATTTTGCAATGATTCGGACACAATGTGATACGCGGGGTGTATGGGTGATACGATCAAGACTGAGATCAACCGACTGTTGACTGGGAAGCTTCAAATTTCGCTTAGCTCAAAGGATTTCAGTATTGTTGCAGCGTCCAGATGATGGGAATTCTACAGGGAAGACAAGAGGCAACAATTCAGACACAAGATGGCAAACGGGATATGTGGGTGTTATACCTGTCAAGACAAACACGAGGCCAGTATGACCTCGTGTCCTGGGCGTCTAGGGAAACGAGGTAGCTTAATTTAGTGAAGCAACGTAAAAACGCACAATACACGCACTTCTGCAGCTGATAGACAGACGCTCACAAACCTTTCAAAGTCCACCTCGACCGTGCTCAACAATACCAACCTGCAGTAAAATGTCGAAGCTCGTTCCAAGCACCACACCCCTTCGAACTTTTAAAGGTCATGAAGGAAACGTAACCGCAGTCGCAGTTTTCCCCGATAGACGAAGAATAGTTACGGCCTCCAACGACCAGACCCTTTGTCTTTGGGACTTGAAGACAGGTGTTGTGTTGAAGAAGATGAAGGGGCATCGCAGTTGGGTGTATTCATTGGCGGTATCACGAGATGGGCAAATAATAGCAAGCGGTGATGATTCTGGAGAGGTCATTGCTTGGAACGGAGAAACAGGAGAATCCCTCACCCAACCCATCAAAGCTGACTTCAATTATATCAACTCGCTGGACTTTTCCGCGGATGGTATGTTGTTGGCCACTGCAAGTTCATTGGACAACACGGTCAAGCTGTGGTGCACCAAAACATGGCAGCAACAAGGAAATCAAATTGAATTGGATGATAATACCTACCGGGTTCGATATTCGCCGTCTGGTGAACTTCTTGCCATCACAACAACACTCGATGTCCAAATTTATAATCCAGGCACAAGGGAACACGTCGCAACCTTGGAGACTGACACTGACTCACCACTCGCGTGGACGCCCGATGGCACACGCCTTCTTTTTACTCGCAATGACGCCATAGAAGAGTGGGATACATCAACCTGGGAGAAGGTCGGTCATCCCTGGAAGGGCCATACTAAGGGTATCAACGCCATCGCCGTCAATCCTGCTGGCACGCTCGTTGCTTCCGCATCTAAAGACGACCATGTCCGTCTCTGGCGGCTCTCAGATCGACAAACTATTGCCATCTTCGAACACTTATCCACACCGAATTATATCACGTTCTCCGTAGATGGCAATAGCATCCTCAGCGGAGGTGATGATAATCAGATCTCCGAGTGGCAAGTACGCAAGGGTTTTCATTCAAACGTGAGTTTCCATCCTTGACTTGTATCATGCAATTTGAGCATGCTTCATGCAGATCCTCACTGCTATCACGGCAGCCCATGATTCATCTACAACTGGGGACTTGTCGACCGCTGAACAGATACTCACGCAAGAGATTGACGCCGACGCCAATAACTATACCTCCTATGCCAATCGCTCTTTCGTTATGGCGCGAAAACAAAACTGGGACCACGCCCTTGAGGATGCAATCAAGGTCAGTCATACCAACCACTTATGGCCCTCTTACGAAACGCTAACTTTCATCCGCGACATAGTCCATCAGCATTCAGCCCTCATTGACAGGCTACATCTCCAAGGGCATTGCCCTCTGTGGAAAATGCAATGTCCGGGACGCGAGGGTAGCATTCGACGTCGCATCCATATTCACGAACCAAGACTCAGAAACCATTCATTTTCTTCTCTTGATCAAGGTAGGTCAAGTTCCTCTCACCTGCTCTCTTCTTCATTCCGTATTTCAGGCCATTGCTCTCTTCAATGCGGATCAACATGACGAAGCGATGCTGCTCATCAAAGAGCTAGCTGCCGCTCGTCCGAATGCTGATACCCTCGCGTGTCGCGTCGTAGAAGTAAGTATCATGCGGCTATGTTCGGTTATCGCCACTGATCTTTGCAACTCGCACATTAGGCATATCTACGCGTTCAGCTTGGAACCAAGGCCTTGGATGGTGCGCGCCACGACGAAGCTGCTGACCACTTCGCCGCCGCCATCAACTCCAACACTTTCCCATCAGAAATCATCCTTGAACTATGCGAGGACTTTGTCGTGGTACGTTGACATCATGCATCCGAAAATAATATCACTGAGTGCTTTATCCAGCTTTTCGGCTGGGATCTTGAGTCCTTCTGGCTCACTACACACCAGAAACGCTGTCAGGCTTTCCTTTCGGCAGGTAAAGTTGAAGAAGCCCTCGAATCACACCAGCACATGATGGATGCCATTGACGAAACTGAGAAGGCCCACTGCCTTAATTGGTCCAATGGCAAGTTCTCAGTGATGTCACTCGACGCTGTCATACTCACCCGCATTTGACTCAGACTTCAAGGAACGATGTAGCGCGCTCGCTCCTCATGATGACCGTATTCTTGGCGCATGTACTCCCTTTCTCATCCCTGTTGCTACTGACCTAAGTTATGCAGGCGGAAATTCCGGGGCAAGATCAAGATGGCTATGATGTGGAACCTGATTTCTTCCGGGGGATGCATGGCGTGGGTGCTTCAGCGTGTCCTTCATTTTTCTCTCTCACGTCAGTCATTACAGCATTCTCAGATTTCCAGACCACAACATCAGCAGCGCCCGGGGCGCTTCAAGAAACTCAGGCTCGCTATGACGAGGAATCCTCATCTAGTTCCACCACCTGCATCTGTATCTGCACCTGTACCCATACCCACATCTGCACCGCCCACCACCCTACCACCTGCCGCTACTCCCACGACCTTCACAGCCCACGTACGACACCTATTCACCTGGCGACCCGACCATGCAGCACCACCCGTCGTCGAAGTTCCTTTCGCGAAGGGTAAGGAGGTGCGTCCTGTCGATTTTCAGCACTGCGTCTCTAATGTCTCATGCATGAATCTACAGCGTAATGCTGCAGCAGATGACCCTGGCCCGGACAAGGACATGGTACCTGACGAATATTTTGATGATCTTCCACAGAGCTCCAATACACAACAGCCGAATACGCAACAGCAACAAGTAGTAGTACAGGTAGACACTGGGGACCATGGAGGCGGCAAGTCATGTTTCTGCTGCTAGCAGTTTTCGCGGCTATCCTCCGGTATTTCAGTTCTATCATTCCTCGTATTGTGATGTCTACATTGACTTGAAGGAGGTCATGACTACATCATTCAGGTCATTTCGCGTCATCATCCATATCTATCTTCATTATGAACCTCACGTCTTCCATATGTAACGTTTGGCTTGCGCATAGCAAATGATACCTTTTGAACGTTGCTCGAGGAGAATTGGTCCGTTCTATCCAAATTAATGCAAATCTTTGCCAACGACAGGCACTGGGCCACATCGGACAGCGTGGGTCCCAGAATATCATAGGGCTTGTCGTCACACCACTTCTCTGATGCCCCGCACTCTCATTAATATTAATGCATCATTTAGCCACGCTTCCTCGAACTCTTCAACTTCCTAGCCACACTGAAGGTCACAAAAGTGTTGTGCGATCATCAGTCGTTTTCGCGTATTCATATTCCGAAGATTCTGACATATATATATAGTCATTGGCAGAGGAGAGCGAGAGCTTCAAAAGCGTTGTGGGGATCGGGCGAACTGGTATCCGTCGTTGGCGAGCAGTTAGGGGCAGGCAAGATCTCCTTCCTACATGTTTAGTGCTAAACAAGCTTCTATCTAGTACATACTCAGTCGAAGCAAAACAGAGCAACCCAATAAATCATGCGATAGGACAGCGAGGGGATGAAAGCAAGCAGACAGAACTACTGAAGTAAATGCGAGAATACGGCCCATCAAACTAGACACCTATGTGAACGAACACGATCTGCTGTTCTAGTGGATTCTTCTTGCGCAACGACTTGCGAAGTGGGTTACCTATGGATCATGGTGAGCGTGTTTGGTATTCATCCCCATTGATACCAGCGGTCGCATATGTTCCCGAATCCTAATGCTGAAAATCATTACCATGCCCACGAGTCTTGAATGCGACTGTGCAACCGTAGCCTATTTGAATCTCGCCGAACGAGGTGTATGGAATGCGTGTGCTGCTCTCGCAATATCAAGACAAGCCGGTGGGTGCATTCTATTAGCGAGCATGCGTTGAGACTGAATAATACCTGCAAGTCTCCTGATCGACACCGCGCGTTGCGTGTTATTCTGTACGCGCTGGATGGTGTATCTCATATTGATAAAGCTCAAGGATGCCAAGGATCGTGTGGTTACCCTGGAGCTGCCAAAGTCCGCGACCAAAGTTCTCGGACGGACACCAATTGTCAGTTGCATCAAGTTAACGTTGGGTCGTTCCGAAGAGTTGATTTGACTCTTGTCAAAATTTGAAGGATGACGAGTTTACTCTGAGCTAAGCTTGGATGGGGTGCACTGCGTCGTATTAATCAGTTCAGAAGACTAAATAGTACTCAAGCTTACTTGCGCGTTAATGCCTGTCGTGATGCATCAGCAACTGACAGTGAGTGGTACGGGACGTACCGTCTGTGTAGGAATCGGCGTTGTCTAATTCATCGATCGTTTAGCGTATTCGAAGACGTCGACGGACTCGCACAGCATTTTCATCCAGGACATTATGAGGCCACACACGCCAAGCTATGAATAGGGACGAGGAGAGATCTGAAGGATATGGTAATAAAAGACTGCTTCAAGTCAAACGTAGATATCGCAACAAACAAAGAGCAACGACAGAACAGAAATACCACGAAAGCCGCTAGCAGCAGAAACACGACTTGCTACCTCCATGTACCCCAGTATCTGCCTGCATTGCTACTGGTTGTAGTTGCTGTTGCGTATTGGGTGGTTGTGTATTAGGTTGTGTATTGGGCTGTTGTGTATTGGGTTGTTGTGTATTGGAGCTCTGTGGGAGATCATCAAGAAATTCGTCAGGTACCATGTCCTTGTCCGGGCCAGGGTCATCTGCTGCAGCATTACGCTGTAGATTCATGCACGAGACATTAAAGACGCAGTGCTAAAAATCGACAGGACGCACCTCCTTACCCTTCGCGAAAGGAACTTCGACGACGGGTGGTGCTGCATGGTCGGGTCGCCAAGTGAATAGGTGTCGTACGTGTGCTGTCAAGGTCGTGGGGGCAGTGGCAGGTGGTAGGGCGGTGGGCGGTGCTGGTGTGGGTGCAGGTGGTGGTGGTGGAACTGGATGAGGATTCCTTGTCATAGCGAGCCTGAGTTTCTTGAAGCGCCCTGGGCGCTGCTGATGTTGTGGTCTGGAAATTTGAGAATGCTGTAATGAATGACGTGAGAGAGAGAAATGAAGGATACACTGAAGCACCCACGCCATGCACCCCCCGGAAGAAATCAGGTTCTACATCATAGCCATCTTGATCTTGCCCCGGAATTTCCGCCTGCAAAACTTAGGTCAGTAGCAAAAAGGTCGAGGAAAGGAGTACATGCGCCAAGAATACGGTCATCGCGAGCAACGAGCGCGCTACATTGTTCCTTGAAGTCTGAGTGAAACGTGTGTGAGTATGATAGCCTCGAGTGACACAACTAAAAACTTGCCATTGGACCAAATAAGGCAGTGGGCCTTCTCAGTTTCGTCAATGGCATCCATCATGTGCTGGTGTGATTCGAGGGCTTCTTCAACTTTACCTGCCGAAAGCAAAGCCTGACAGCGTTTCTGGTGTGTAGTGAGCCAGAAGGACTCAAGATCCCAGCCGAAAAACTGGATAAAGCACTCAGTTATAGTATGTTCGGATGCATGATGTCAACGTACTACGACAAAGTCCTCGCATAGTTCAAGGATGATTTCTGATGGGAAAGTGTTGGAATTGATGGCGGCGGCAAAGTGGTCAGCGGCTTCGTCATGGCGCGCACCATCCAAGGCCTTGGTTCCGAGCTGAACGCTTAGATATGCCTAATATGTGAGTTGCAAAGATCAGTAGCGATAACGGAGCATAGCCGCATGATACTTACTTCTACGACGCGACACGCGAGGGTATCAGCATTCGGACGAGCGGCAGCTAGCTCTTTGATGAGCAACATTGCCTCATCATGTTGATCTGCATTGAAGAGAGCAATGGCCTGGAATACGGAATGAAGAAGAGAGCATTTGAGAGGAACTTCACCTACCTTGATCAAGAGAAGAAAATGAATAGTTTCTGAGTCTTGGTTAGTGAATATGGATGCGACGTCAAATGCTACCCTCGCGTCCCTGACATTGCCTTTTCCACAGAGGGCAATGCCCTTGGAGATGTAGCCTATCAATGAGGGCTGAATGCTGATGGACTATGTCGCGGATGAAAGTTAGCGTTTCGTAAGAGGGCCATAAGTGGTTGGTATGACTGACCTTGATTGCATCCTCAAGGGCGTGGTCCCAGTTTTGTTTTCGCGCCATAACGAAAGAGCGATTGGCATATGAGGTATAGTTATTGGCGTGGGCGTCAATCTCTTGCGTGAGTATCTGTTCAGCGGTAGACAAGTCTCCAGTGATGGATGAATCTCGGGCTGCCGTGATGATAGTGGGGATCTGTATGAAGCATACTCAAATTGCGTGACACAAGTCAAGGATTGAAACTCACGTTTGAATGAATACCCTTGCGTACTTGCCACTCTGAGATCTCATGTCGGGCTCCGCTGAGGATGCTATTGCCATCTACGGAGAACGCGATACATGTCGGTGTGGGGATGAGTGTTCGAAGATGGCAATGTTTCGTCGATCTGAGAGCTGCCAGAGACTGACATGGTTCGAGTTTTCAGATGCGAAAGCCACGAGCGTCCCAGTAGGATTGACTGCGATAGCGGTGATCTCCGCAGTATTGCCCTTCCAGGGATGACCGAGCTTCTTCCAGGTTGATGTATCCCACTCGTCTATGGCGTCATCCGCGGCAGAAAGAAGGCGTGTGCCATCGGGCGTCCACGCGAGTGAGAAGGTGGGCGTCCACGCGATTGCGATGGTGTTAGTATGCAAGTTTGCGACGCATTCCCTTGTGCCTGCATTATAAATTTGGATATTGTATGGGTTTGCGATGGCAAGAAGTTCACCAGACGGCGAATATCGAACCCGGTAGACACGCCTACTCGCTTCAATTTGATTTCCTTGTTGCTGCCATGTTTTGGTGCACCAAAACTTGACCGTGCCGTTCGCTGAACCAGTGGCCAACACCGTACCATCCGCGGAAAAGTCCAGCGAGTAGATAGGATAGGAGCCGGCTTTGATGGGTTGGGTGAGGGATTCTCCTGTTTCTCCGTTCCAAGCAATGACCTCTCCATTTTCATCACCGCTTGCTATTATTTGCCCATCTCGTGATACCGCCAATGAATTACTGCGATGCCCCTCCATCTTCTTCAACACACCACCTGTCTTCAAGTCCCAAAGACAAAGGGTCTCATCGCTTGAGGCCGTAACCATTCTTCGTCTATCGGGGAAAACTACGACTGCCCTTACGGTTCCTTCATGACCTTTAAAAGTTCGAAGAGGTATAGTGCTTGGAACGAGCATTTAACTGGAGGTTGGTAGTGTTGAGGACGGTCGACGTAGACTTTAGAGGGTTTGTGAGCGTCTTTGTCTCAGCTGCAGAGGTGCGTGTATTGTGCGTTTTACCTTTCTTCACTACATTAACCTGCCTCGTTTCCATAGACGCCCAAGACACGAGGTCGTTTGCTGCCATACTTCCATCACTGTTGCAACAAGAATACTTCCTATTGTCACACTTGCCTTCCTCGATAGTATACGGTATATACCCTCCCGCTGCCTCGGCACTGTATACATTCGTCTGACGCCTGCCTCCATACCTTCCAGCATGTATGCCCTCGCATCATAGCGCAGTTTCTACTTCCCGGCGCTTGTATCAGGCTGAAAGCCATCTATCCTAGATGACTGCATGAACATTTTCGTTTCCGTTATCGAAAAAATTTCTCCAACACATCACCGTGTAACTGCCCGAATACATGTATACATCTTACTGCAATACAACCTCTTCATTTCGTCGATCCGCGTGTGCACCAGATGCAGCCAACTTTTTTCCCCTCGCGCCTCAAACCAGCCACCAAGTGTGTAGGAGTTTCCGTCACAAATCAAAGCTACTCGATATGTCCGTCGCCTCAGAATCTACCAAGGCTGATACCTTGGAGTATGTTATCACACCGATTATACCCTTGAAAAGGATCACTCCCTCCTTGACGTCGTTCATAGAACGAGCCGATCATGACCTACAGTAAAATCCCTCCTCTGGAGATTCGGGGATTTAGTATTTATTTTTCGTGAGTTCAATATTAGGTAATGTGTAAACTACGTTTTAGGTAGGGTGTGTTGTGTGGGAAGGAGTGTGGGCGTGGACGACCTGAGGCTGTGTGCCCCCAACTTTGAGCGTCTTTCCATCAGAATTGTTTCATACACCCACTGATAGATCAGGCTGTGCCAAGGGCTATTATATACTCGATCTTCAAGTATATGATGTACTCCCCCATCCATTCTCCACCTCCCGCATGGCAACTGCTCCCAAACCGAGGGAAAAAACCTGGGATCCATCTAGTCTTCCTGCATATGATGCGCCCCCGAATCACCTGGATGACTCTGACTCGGTCACATCTGACCTGAAATCTGCAACCAATTTCTACGACCGCAGTCTGACAAGTCGTAGGTATGCCCTCGCTGGTGTGGCATGCTCAATTATTGTCAGCTGCTGTTGCATCGTTGCAGGCGCTGTCATTATGGCCACTCCTGGAGGTGCGGTCACTTTGACATCAAATGTACAGCGCCGCACCGCGTTGCGCAAAGAGGTGGTGGTCATATCACTAAACTTGATCGTTACCTTATGCACCGAAGCCACGGGTTTCGTACACAACATCTCATTGCGCTCTGCGCTGGCTTCAGAGTCTCGGCTTCGTTTCAACTCTAATCTGCGCCTTCTGACCGCAGCTCGTGGATGGAGCAACCCCAATGGTTCCCTTCTCAATGGTATCATGATTGTCCTCCTCGTCATATCCTATAGCTCAGCTTCACTGGCCGCATTACCTTCCTACGGCGATTTTTCTGAATATCCCACCGGCACCATCGCGACTCATGTTATCATGGGGATACCTCTCTTGACTTTGGGAGTCGCACTTCTTCTCCAGGTGGTGATCGCATTGTCAGGGATGCGAGCTATCAAGATACTAACGTGGAGTTCTTCACCTTTCGATTTGACTGCTGCTCTGGTCCACCACGCGCAATTGACCCCAACTCTTTTCCGGTGCATGCGTGGTGTGTCCGACTTGGACGTGGATGGAGGTCCAGCGAGGCCATCAGAGAAACAGCCTTCTGCATGGCATGCGCACCCTAGCATCCGGAAAGTTATCATCTCCCTTTGGTGCCTTGTCGTAGCATGCGCTGGATGGGGTCTCATCCTGTACATCTACCATACGTATCAAGGTCAGATAACCTGGAAATGGTCGTTCTTCCCCGACGATCAGAATTTCTTATACAGCTTCATGTACTCGTTCAGAGGGGGCAGGATTAAATGGTGGATTATGCCTTATGTCAATCTGGCTGCTATCCAGGGACCGTTGACACTTTGTCTGCATTGCTCTGAGCTCATCGCAAACGTCATTCGGGACGAAGGGCATTGGAGATGCGCTACTGGACGAAATGGGATTCCATCGGCGGTAAACCCGCTGAAGTCGGCTTTCGCCAATCCACTCTGTCTTGCACTTTTTGTCGCAAAGCCTGTCCTGCGTAAGTCACTCGCACCTAGCTTTAGATGTGTGTCCTTGAACAAACATTATTAATGATATAGACTGGATATTTGGGCTTTGTTTTGTGCTCTTCGCCAACTTCAACTCTGCACATGGAGACATCGATGTATATATGTACCCAATGCAGGTTCGTATTCACTATCTAAGTCCAGGCGCTACAGCATCCTTATATACTCGCGCAGATCTTGAACTTATGCATAGTGCTGTTTGTATTCGCTTGTTTCTTCACTCTCGTGGCACTACGCCAACGGCGCGGGCCCCAGCCAGCTGCATATGGTCACCTTCAGACACTGGCCAACCTCGTGGATGAGTGGTCGCCTGTGATGTGGTGGGGCCACAAGGAAGATGGAATCCCGTATTGTCATGCTGGTAGGGCACTTGAATGGTCACGAGAACGGTGCATTCAAGCTTTTCACAGGGACGAGTGGTCAGCCGCTGCCGGCTGTGAAGATGGACTGTATTTATGCTGGCACCAGCGTTGGGTCCCACCCTTCCGTCTCGTGAGAAGTCCTTGCTTTGCACAGACATTCCTTAACTTACCCTTTTCAAACACAGGACTTAAATCCATGTCGGGCGGACTGGCGATGCATTGACGGCGCTCATAGTCAGCCATGCCTTGGGACGGGACATATTTGCGATGTTTACGATGTTTGCCGCGTTCAAGTCGGAGATGGATCGGGATGTTGTCATATGGACCCACTTCTTCACGCACCGCATTCAATAGCACAATTGGGACACATTAATGATAGAGGATATGATTTACAAGGCTATGTATGCTTGGATTGTTCTGTGTTAGTAGTACTAAATCACAGCGAATGGTATTGATACCTTGGAACGGGGTTGGGTACTGCACAGAAGTGAGACGATGTCTCATCATAATGACAATCTGTGTACTCTGCAGCTAGGACAGGACTCGGAAGCACTAAATTTCCCTTGCAGCCGCACTCGGTAAGGTCAAACTTTGATTGAGGGGTGGGGTCCCTGGGGGAACACGCGGGGAACTCCTAATTAGGCATTCGTAGTGGTTGGAACTTGCAGAGTTAAATTTTGGTCTTGACCGGTTTTGACCAACTTGCTTCAAGTTCGATGATCATGATCCTTCCTTCTTCCCCTTGGCACTTTCTACATACTTTAACCGAATACCGTGGGCTAGCTGTCTGCATCTCGCTTGGCATAGAGCCGAACTTGGCACGATTTCGTGCCCTAATGGCCACTGCTGCCTGCACCTCTTCGGTGGGTACCCGAGTAGTAGTAAGTATAGGAGTCTCTCGGTTACTTGTAATAGAACACGTTCAGCCAAGCCCAAGCGGTAATTTGTACATGGACTAGCCTCACCTCGAAGTTCAACCTCGTGTTCGTCTTTGAACGTCTGTCTACGAGGCAAAGGTATCCTTTTGTTGAATCATTGCCCCGCAAAAAGAGTGAGCAATCCAGTTTCTTGAACGATAGCCTGACACGAGATCTGACCAGGTTATTACAGGCATGTCGCTTTTAACTGCTTCTTCGGTCCACTACAGAGCTATGGATTCTATCACTGCTGTCAGCGCCAAACAATTGGATGATGTCCTCTGTACGATGAACTCTGCAAGCTCTCCCTTGGAAGTGGAGATCAGCGAAGCTCGGATCGCCTTGCAGAGAGACGGAGAAGAGTTGTTAAACATAGACTTTGTGCTCGACAGCCTACATGCTGAGATCGAGGCGATACATGTGCGCATATCCCTTCAGCGAGAGAAGCGATGCGCTGTGGAATCTCGCATCCTCGAAAACAAAGCTCGGATCAGCCCTGTAAAGTTCCTCCCCACAGAAATACTCCAGCAAATATTCAAATCCTGCCTTCCCAACGATCGATATGTCATTCCCCATATAATGTCCGCCCCACTTTTACTTTGCCAGATTTGTCGCCGCTGGAGGGACATCGCACAGGCAACACCCGAACTCTGGTCATCTATTGATGTCCATGACTGGGGCATCTGGACTGCAGATATCTATACGGCGATGGTGACCCGCTGGCTTGCAGCAGCACGCACTCGTCCGTTGGCTGTCAGTGTGGTGTGCCTACAGAAATGGGACTGGTTTCGCCATTACGATCCAACACAATCAGGGCTTTTCCGCTTGCTTGCATCACACTCGGTGCAATTTCATGATCTGCATATACAGGCCAGCCGCGGCTACATTGATGCATTCATGACCAGCGGTTCCTACGCTATGAAACACCTCTTAATATCCGTCATGCCAACGTCGTTCCTTGTCAACTCCGGACATCCTCTTACCCTTTGCACGTCGAACGTCACGCACGTTGCTCTCTGCGGAAAGGAGGCGCTCATTAACCTTATTCCACGCGCCACGTTCCCTCAAATTACCCACCTTACACTCGACAGACCAGGAGCAGAAGTTGACTTCACGAAAATCCTCTTTGAGTTTCCAGCGCTAATCAAGCTGAAAATCAAGCTCTTTGTTCACGGCGAAAGCTTGGACATGGTTACCCCTCCATCTGATGCAACGCCCCTTATCAAGCATCAGACCTTGGAGATACTGAGTATCTACCTATCGGAGGATGCAGTTCAGTTTGGGGACGTGGCACCCCTAGCTCGCATCTTTGACTCATTATCTCTGCCATCTTTGCGAGAGTTGGCCTTTTTAGCCCTTGGCCCCCGTTGGCAGGCCGTCGTCGACGAATGGCTTCCTGACTCGGTGAAAGTGTTGTTCAGTGGGTCGTCATGCTCGGCCAAACGCCTTCTATACCGCAATTTCAAACACCCTCTGGACCTGGATGGCTGTCGTGAACAGCTCAAGAACCACGCCATTGATCTGAGGGTTGATAACGCGGGTTCCGGCTGTCATTGGTACGACATTGCGTCCTAGGCATTTTACTCATACATTTCACGTGCACATATCACTAGGTATTAGGCTGATAGATTTCTACTGATAGGGACAACGCAACGAATACAACGAGTGGAGTTGAGATATTATCATTGACATCTAGATCTAAGAAAGTCTGTCTGTCCCACACTACACCACAAGAGGATAGCAGAGCACTCCGACAGCATTTACTTGTGTGATCCAATAATGCCGAGCACGAACAAGCGCCTACTTACAGCATCCGCACCCTCGGGTATGACCTCTGTCATGTCTATCCACCACTTGAGCTGGGCTCTCAGCTCATCTGCGGAATTCTTTTCGCTGAATGTAGACCTGTGTGTATCGCGATCAGCAACCAGCCCTCCAATAAAATGGTGTACTCACATTCCACGCTCTTGCAAGGCTTCCTTCAACTCCGGAAGGGTGAGATCACGTCCATACCCCTCTTGTTTGAGCATTGTATCATCGGACGCAACATTCTGGAGGTGACGTTGCAAACGCCACCGAGTTAGTTGAAGTGGCCCCCAAGCCGGGATACCAATGACTCTACAGAGCTCTTGTACAGCATCGAGAATATATACTTCGAAAAAGGACGTACCCGCACAGTGCCCCTGGATTACCCAGACTTAATGTCGGAATGAAGCCAGAGTTTTCGCTTTCTTTCCGCAATAGATCGAATAATTCCCAGTTCCCTGCAAGGGCCAGTTGTTGATTGTCGCGTGCCTTCGAATTGATACGATCACGTTGACCTGGAAGGACGCACGTAGATGGCAACATTCGAGGGACGTAAAGGGCAATAAAAGGAATGAGCTCCTCCATAACTACGACAACAATGACGAACGGGATGAGCCTAGAGGTGGGAGTTGAGAAAAATCAAGATAAGTGGACGGATGGGTACTTCAGTGCATCCTGCTGGAATGTTCTTATAAAACGCGACTCCGCTCTGGAGAGTGCTACGCCGCCTGTAGCTATGCGGGAGCGAATTGCTGCTGCCTGTTTACGGTGTGTGTTTATAGCCTTTAGGCCTCGGAAATAAAATTTCTGAGGGGGGCAAAAGAAATTAGGGAGCGAACGGGCAGATGCGGTTTAACACAAACAAGGAGTTCGAATGCTTGATGAGTGAAGCGCTTGATGGCACCGGCATCAGGTGCAGCTGGTCGAAGGACTCCTCGAGCAGTTGCATCTGCTATGTCTTGCTTTGCTAGCTCGATCGCAGACGGAACAGGATCTGGTGTACTTGGTTTCAGAGAAGGACGAAATGCTGGAAATGAGGGTTGTGTTTGCTTTGGAGATGTTGAGTGGGGCCTTGGCGTCGCGCTTGTTGGCAAAGGTTTTTTCAATGGGCCAGGTTTAAGCTCCACCCGATGCTTGCGAGGTGATACAGGAGAAGGTGGTAGATTCGAGGTATGACTAGATTTGTCATTGGAGGGAGAAGTGGAAGTGGAGGCGTATCGTGCTGAAACTGTCTGTACAGCTCTTGCGTAGTGAGAAGCCAGCTGTAATCTACCAGAAGCAAGACGCTGGCCCGAAAGTACCAAGTGTAGTTGCCGTGCTGGGACAACGCTGTAAACTTCATGTTAATATGCTGCTAAGTGATTTGAAAGGCACGAACCTGTTCACCGCAACATTCTTTCCGGTAAAGCGAAGCATACAATAAGAAGCAACCCTGGCAAGTTTGTGGAGGATGGTTGCACAACTTACAACTTGTACTTTGATGCAAAACTGAGCGTTACTCAGTCAAGTCACGGGGTCACGCCATCCGGTCACACTGGGATAAAGTTGCCCCTATCATTGTCAAGGCAAAGGATGGATAGTAATATCAATGTTAAACGGGGCATTTGAACTATATATGTGGTGGGTCACCGCCCTCCTTTGATATATATCTATCTCTGTGTGGCACGCACCCCACCCCCTCAGTTAGCTGTGAGACCTAGCAGAAGCATATATAGGCCAATCAAAAGTAATTAATGCGAGCTCAATTACTGGCATACTTATATTGCATATTCTTATTGTCGTTAAGCCAACATAGAGTCATTACAGTAAAGGCCCCAGCGTTCACATCGAGTGAACTAGCTCTACCGCGCGCTCGCAAATTTCATCAATTCCCCACCGCTCGCCCAAACCATGTTTCAGGTCCAAAATCCCACCCACCTCATCGCACGCCCGTAGCACCATATCTATATCATCCTTTGTGTGCGATGCACTAGCACAAAACCGCGCACGACCCTTCTCCAACGGAGTGGCGGGGTACCCCACGACAACGACAACAATCGGTATCCTCCGCGAACGCATCATACGTGCGAACATCAAACATTTGCCCGGGTTGAAGATAAGCAGGGGAACAATCGGGCTGAAGGGATGTCCAGAAATGATGAAGCCGAGTTTCTTGAGGCCTGCGTGCAGATAACGACTGTTGAAGGCAAGACGGCGGATACGTGTGCGAGCTTCAGATCCGTCTGCAAGAGACGCATGCAGGTTTATCCACGTCGGAAGCATGGTGGCAGGTGCCATTTCTTGGAGCTCATCTGGACCGTCCTTCAGCATGATGGTTGAGCTAGTAAGGTGAAGGGGATTCGGGGATTTGGACATCGGTGGTGGCGGAGCAACGCCCATGATGCTCGCGATCGACGCGACAATCTGTGCGAGCACGGGGGGCGTCATTGCTTCCGCATAACGACCCGAGTGTCCTCGCAGCCGGAGAGCGTCAATAAGGCTTTTTGGCCCTGCGATATATCCACCAGCAGCACCAAATGACTTGGTGAACGTGCCCATCAAGACATCAATTGAGCCAGGATGGATGTTAAAGTAGTCCGTCACACCGCGTCCATGGGGACCGATTGCACCGACTGAATGTGCCTCATCAACAAAGAGGTAGAACTTGAATAAAATATGAACACCGTGACCCAAAATGGTGACTGCACTACGAACATTGTACTTCTGCTTCAGTTCGACGATCTTAGGCAGGTTCACGAGCGTGCCTTCCATGGAGTACAGACCCTCAACGATGACCAAAATCTTCTTCCAAGGACGATGCGTCCTGGGCTGGCCCTGGCTTATCACTTCACGCAGAATGGACTCGAGGCTTGACATATCATTGTGCTTGAACATCCGGACATCCGCACCACTCTGGCGCGCACCGATACGAATGCTAGTGTGATTCAGTTCGTCGGAAATGATCAAGGACCTCTTTCCCACTAGTGCAGGGATGAAAGTAGAGTTAGTGGCAAAACCCATAGAACTGACCAACGCGTCTTCTGTCCCCAGAAAACGTGCAACGAGGGCCTCAGCAGACACATGGAGCTCATTGCTCCCGTTTTCAAGACGCGTGCCGCAGGTGGAGACACCATAACGACGGATGCTTTCCCCGACTGCACCTGAGCAGCCTCCTCTGGTCTGGGAAAAGCCGAGGTAGTTGTACGAAGAAATGTTCATGGCTCGTGTCTTGCTACCAGTGTAGATTTGAGTAATGTTATAATCAGTGGAATAACGGTCGAGGATAAGAATGGTGCGGCCGGGGACACCTGCGACAGGCTGGGAAATGCAATCATCCACACGACGCTGGAGCCGGCGGGTGTAGAATGAATTAAAATCCGAGTTCAATGGGGCGTAACCCTGCATATGTCACAAAATGAATTAAATGTGACAATCAAGATCATGACACGTACATTATGGGGCATGAGGTGAGTGAAATAAGATTTGTTAAAACGCTTTCCGAAGAAGTCACGTGTATGGCCAAAACAGATGACCATGAGGTAGCTTATGTAGGTGGTGAAGAGAATATAGTACGGAGGCTCCTCCGAGGTGTGCTCCTGGAAAGTTTTCATGTAGTCATGCTTAGAGACGCAACGATAGGCCTCATTGGCACAGTGACCAAACTCCGAGTGAACGGTATGGAAGACCTCATCGGAGGTGGGTGGCGTAAGGGGATGCACAAGACAGTTGTTCTCATCATCCTCGTTGAGGATGATGTCTTCGGACGAAGCTGTAGCGGAAGAGGAGAGGGAAAGTGCAGGAGTTGCCGCAGAGGAGTTGTTGTGACTGCGAGCGCGGGCATCTGCTTGTTGAACAACAGAAAGGTAGGACACTGCCGTCTCTATTGATGACAACTTGCTGAGTGATCCTTTCTTCTTGAAGATGGATGGAGGAGGCGACGGTGGATCCAAAGCGATGGGAGACGGCATTTTCTTGTCCTGTTCAACGAACAATCCGTGGGTCTAGCCTCGACGATGAAGGAACGAAGAGGGCGCGGATGTTATAACAGCCTGCTCAAGTCATAATACATATGGAAAAATACCGTCGTGAACCTGGCAGAGTGATTGGTGACGTGGGGCGCCATACACAATGAGTCGATGATCAGGCACAGGGAGATCTATTGATAAGTGCGCACTGCCTCAATGCCATTTAATGCTTCGAGTTCAGTTGCCACGTAGTCACGGTGTGGTGGCGTTATGACAATAATAATACCACCGTGAACGCCCGCGATGGGCAGAAAACGATATCTATAGCGACAATGACATCCACCTGGCTGCTTTTTCGTGCACGAGACGATAATCATTCTCTAGCGAGCTCTGATCGTTGATGCAGACTCATCTGACAGAAGCATATGTTTCGGGAGCTTCGGGGTGATGGCATATTGGGCCAGGTCCCAGCGGTACCGTGGTCCGTAGATGATGCATTGATGGTCCGAGATATATTGTATATGTGATTGGTGCAACGTTGCAGCTATCTTAGGTCTGCCTGTCTATGAGGCAAACCGTCGATAAACGATTACTGATCCATTGAGTTTTCAGTAGAAGAAGGGGTTGGCGTCTGAGCTCATGACGGCACGTCGAGAAACACTCGTTTTCTCATTGGCCAGACAATATTAAATAATTACGTTATCCGCTTCTACTCTTAAGTCCACACCCCAAAGAATAATTATTGAATACAAGTGATTGGCCTGCGTGGCTCGGTGTATGAGATGAAGTAGGGAAGTGAGAATCGTTGTATGATTTTGGTCTTCCATCATGGTGATGGGATGTAACCTGATGTAGCAGGGATGGACGACATGCAGGTGGACGACAATGTCAGAGCTCAAGGATATGCTCGTACTACAAATATGGATCGGTTTACTCCAGGCATACCTGTACAGCAGCCTCTCGGGAGCCGGCATTCAATATTGTGATATGCGAGAGAGATGAGCGACATGATAAAAATACAAACTGTCAGCTAGTAATGGTATTTGTATCATTCTATTGAGACTCCGAATAAGGATACTACGAAAACAGGGAGAAAACTGAGACACAGACCTCCGGCAACAGTTAACTGTGTGCTCCGATTTGACATTCCTTGATTAGCTTGAGTGATCCTGTAATGTCCAGTGGCTGGGTCCCGTGTAAGGTTCCAGGTCGTAGATTCAGAAAGCGCAGCAAGATTCTGCTCCCAGATCGCAGGGGTGTCAATGGCTCCGTGCAAGATCGCGGTGTCTTGATAATCCGAAGTGATATAGGCGCGCAGCATTGGAGTGAACTGAGCCGTGATGTTACTGCCGTCTCTGCGGTTCGTACTGTGAGTTCTCTGCAGATAAATAAAGGGAAGATCACACACTCAACTTCCTTGAAGTATAGTACCGGCCTAGGCATCAAGTCTCTGGGGCTCATAAAGCCTGCAGTTGGAAATTACACTGAGGCGAAAAAAATAATAATATGGCGGTCACAAACCGAGTGCAATGTCCTGAATGGATCCAGTATCGTTCCGGGCTTCTAGGTAACCAGGAATTCCCTTGACAGGATTCTACGAGGTGTTTGTGAGTTATCGAGACAGAGAAAAACAAGAGTATGATTTACAGAGAACTGGAAAACACGATTCTTCTGAGTCAGGGTGGTTTTTTCGCTATCCTGCACGGTGGCGTTCGCATTGGTATTCGCAGAGCGGATAAGAGTCTCTCACATTGATCTCCACACAGGTTTCAGCGTCAACAACGGACCCATTGTCGACTTGTGGTCTGGAAAAAGCAAGTCTGTATGTTGAATGAGTGCGGTTCATGAGTATGTTTGTCAACATAGACTTACTGGTTTGTGTAAGTCGCGTGCATCCTGTACGGGCCTGGGACGAGGGCTCATAGGTGATTTTGCAATTGGGCAGAACAGTCAACACCTACCTGTCTGTCCGAAGGTGGTGAGCCTGAAATGTTGCAAGGTTCGAAGCCAACGCAAGTTAAAGTGAGGGTACGTACTTACCAACAAACTACGGGAAAGAATGTCTCGTAGATGCCTTTGACGTCGCCATCGAAAGTCAACAAAAGCGTCACTTCCCTCCCGAGATCTTTGCTGCGAGACGGCGGGGTGAAAAAAGTGATCAGGGGCGATAGCGCAAAGAAGCTCACGTCTGGAAAGACAAGTTTCTGACGAAGGCGTGTGACATTCTCGGAGATCGTAAAAAATGCAGTTGTGATTAGATGTGGACGAAAGAGTGTATAGATGCTTAGGGAGGTCTTTTATGCCTCGCTTAACATCATGGGCTGGATCCTGCTTCTTTGGATTGGAATATAACTTCTTCTGGGCAAACCTTGCCTGCAGCTTCGTGCCTTCGTACCTGCCGCTGTGACCTAATGCACTGCACCTATATGGGCGCACTATCACCCTGACTTACTATCATCCTGACTTACTATCATCCTGACTTGGTGGGCCGGACCTGCTTGGTTTGCTATCAATGACTATCATACAGTCGGTGTCTCCTTGGCTTTCCCGTACCTTTAACATTTTCGTGCTTCCGCACCTGCAGCTGCAACTTGAAGATACCCAGGCTTCGAGCGCCTTAATCGGAAATCCGTAACTGCCGTTGACCCTGATTGACAGTCGGAAGCTGTCCAAAAGCTTGTGAAGCGAAGTTCAGATCAAGTTCAGAATGAACTATGTATTCGCTTAGTCATCAATAGCCAGAGTCTTTTCTCAACTTCAAGTTGAAGAATTGACAACTTGGAAGGCTCTAACTTACAGGCGAGAGCATGCCGCAATTGTCCTGCCCAACGATCTCGATATTTGGTTATGAAGCCTATTTCACGCGCTGCAGTCAGTCACGTTTGCTTTTAGTCACTCCAGAAGTATCTTGAGTGTCTAGAGCTCCTATATTGACGATATTGATTCATGAAGCGATAAACAACTGCGGGACGAGCCCAAGGGTACCTACAAAGCAAAGCAGGTTCAGAATCCCAAGCTGGAATTTGTTTCAATGGTAACCAAGAATTTCCAAGGACGGCGCAGTACGGTACGGTAAAGGGATTGAGGAGAAGCTGGTTACATGTCAAGCTAAGGACGCAGGTACGACCTATTCCAAGCGATAGCGCACAAGGATCGATGGGGAGGCATAATTATCAGGCCCCGAACGACAGATCCGGAGGTATCGAACGTGCGTGAAAGGCCAAGATGAAACTCGCGACATAGCAGGGAGGTATAATGCATTTAGTCTCCAGCGGCAGGTACGAAGGCACACCAAGGAAAAGATGGTTCGATCTCAAGTCAAGGAAGTAGTTACGGCCTACGCGATCTGAGACGTATAAAAGACCTTCGTGCTGGACCTGTAACAGCAGAACTCGAAGCTCATCAACCCACACCTCAATCTCTGCTGCACTTTGTATTCAACAATCTCAAACAATGTCTCACGCATTCGTCAGAAACTTGACCTTTCAGTCGTGAGTGTCTTTGCACTACCACCACGCATAAATTTTCACCGTCTTGCAGTAACGATCTCGGCAAGGAGGCGACGCTGATGCTCACTTTTGATACCATGGAAGGCCTCTATGAAGATTTCTTCCCCGTCGTTTGGAAGTGAGTACTTCTACTTTTGCCCGCGATCAATTCAAACCTTGCCATTTTTAGGGTCAGCACATTCGGAAAGACGGGTGGGTGCTAAAACCACATCTTTGTTGACCATTTGCCAACTTACATACGCCCCCTCGTCCCAGGTCCATACAGGGCGCACGCGACCTACACGAGCCAGTGAGACAAATGACGCAATCAGTTCTCATGCACGTCGCTTATACAACGTATAGGCTTGCTTTCTCCATACCACAGGTCTTGGCTGGCAACATCGTCGACGCTGAAACCTCTGTCAAGATTAATGTGAGCGACTCTCATACTCTGTAATTCCCAGCACCAACGCAAGTCATGATGCAGGACAGCGAGAAAACCGTCTTGACCCAAGCCAATAATGTCTACCATTTCTCTGTAAGCCTGGCTTTCGTTCATCTATATATCAACCACTCACGGATGACTCGTGTAGCCCCCTCAGGCGGGAACCTCTGGTGTCCTGCAAGCCGTGAACAACACTGGAGCCCTCCAGAACATTGCAGTCGGTTCGTGACCGCCATCTTCTGCTTTTCTTTGACTTCAATGTATTCCACATTCAGGCTTCGTCGCCCCTGGAGAGTTGATGCCTAAGCCGGCGCTCTTCTTCGAAGGAGTTGGGTTCGTCATCTTCCCTCTATTCTCTGCTCCACAAAGTACTCACACACGAAACACAGAGACGAGAGTCACGTCACGGCCAAGTTCACTCCGGTCCTACGGGCCTACATCACCTCGGACTATCAAGAGACTGCGATCATACGAGGCGCCATCGACACGCCTGCAGTCTGGACGCAGAACCTCGCCGGGCTTGCTGCTTCCACGACCTGGGAACTCAAGCGCGACCTTGCCAGTGGACATTACACAATCACCGCGGTTTAATGAGGGTATGCGAAATTGGTGCGCCCAAAAATCTTTTGCGAGGTCTGTATCTCAATACTCCCTGATTTCGCAGCATTTTCCTTTGGAGGCGCAGCAGCCCGACTCAGCTGTTTTTCTTGTATAACGTCGCTCGTCTCTCGTGTAATAGTCAATAGTTCGCAACAGTTGTACCGTATTTATTGATGCCTTATTTGTTGACCTGAAAAATCACATTCCGTTTAACAAGGTCTCACAAGATTGCTAATGACACCTGAGGCGTTCATCCCCAGCTCCGAAAGTATCGTGACCGACATGAGAATCAAAGGATCCCTCACACCTATGTGCATGAGTCCTCTGATTCTGCATACGTGTTCACCGACGGTATGGTGCAAAACTTCACTATGTATTTCATTGTCTCATTTTCTTGGGAGATTTTTAGGATAATTATTACGCAGTCCTCTTCGTGGATAGGCTCGTCATTTTCTTTGTATGCGGCAATTCTACATGACCATATGTACGTCCAGAACATATCAGAACTGAAAGTCATCTACATTAGCCAACAAGTCTACCCAAGAGTGCATCGTTTAGGTATGGCGACTGATTCAAGTTGAAAGATCACCACTGTGGATAGTGGTTCTAATGAAAATCATTGGAAAATGCACTGATGCTGAATGTTTCAGAGTAACTTCCACTGAAACTGCATGTAGTTAATTTCATTGGAGTGCTGATTCTGAATTTCAGCGCATCAGCCTCGATTCAGCACATCCTTTCAGTACAAAATTGATTGCAGCTCTGTAAATGCCTGTCTTCCTCTCTTTTCTCTTTGGATTACAACTGAGGGTAGTAGTGCTATTATAGTAAGATATAGTTGTGACGGACTTAGGAATTTTCGCATTTTTATCATGTGACCACAGCGTTGGTATATATTGCTATTATTGTAAGGTATATAAATGGTTGTGTGGCTCAGCGGTAACGATGCTGCACGTATGAGTACTTGAGGTCCTGGGTTCAATCCTTGCCAGATGAGAAATATAATATGTCAAATTCATCATGTGATGCGACTTCAGGGCAACATTTTTTTTGGCACGACTGCAGCATAATTTCAGCTGATTTTCAACTGTAATTTCAGAGTAAAATTCGGAACTTTCAGCACTTCGTTTTCAGCTCATTGTGCTATGCTTTTAATTACGTTTGGTGCTGATTTTGGCTAATGATTTTCACTGGAATCACTATCCACGGTGTCACACTGTGCATTACAACAAAAGGCGTTGTTGAAGAGCCAACTGCCGCCAACGCTCCCGCAGTAATATCACGGCGTCAGAATGGGAGCCGCCACAACAGGGACAGGTATCGCTGACGTCGATGGAGTCGACAGACTCGACACTAGGCTGGAAAAACTATCACCACAAGAGTCAACATTTTGAGTTTCAACGGCTTTGTTACGCGCACCTATTCATGTGCAGTACTCAGAGTATATCAAGTTGGCAATAAACCTGGTCTTGAGCTTCGTGCAAGAAATCATGCAACTTCGAAGCGCGTATCTACTACCCAGGGAGGTACGTAAGTGCTACGGGATAGCCCGGGCGGTGTTGAAGCTTTGAAGGCGTGGGACTTCAGATCTTTGGCAGCGCTCCCTATGCACTGCTGCACGACCTTGGCATCAACGATCTCGCATCTCCATACATGGCATGATCGCCCATGTCTTATGCGGCATCCATGAACTAGCGCTCTACTCAACAAATTTCGCTCTGTAAAGGCGCACGACGGACATGCATCATATCTCAATTCTCCGCAAATACAGGCGGACTGCAGTCACTTATTACAATAAGAGTCTGTCACTGCCGTTCTCTCTTCCGACTCTGTTGTCATGATTCATCGTGAAATTTGACTTCCGCCAGTCTCGTTCAGACTCAGTCTGAAGTTCAGTCTTCAGTCTTCACAACAGTTCTACCATACGAAGATTTATGGGAAATCCCATTCTGACTATTCTTGTGGCACTCTAGCCAAACCTAGGAAACCTGATATCCGAGTCTGGACAAGGAATGAAGAACAGGAACTGGCAGCGAGGAATTCAAGAATGCTAAGGATGCAGAGTGGCATACTACTAGATGGGCCTGAAGGAGAGGCACAAAGGAGTACAGCGGCAGCTACAAACTTCCGAGTCAGACAGGGTTACGAAGCGGAGGCAGAATGTACCTCGTCCCTAACGGCAGGTACGAGGTTCCGAAGGCACGAAGGTTGGGGACAATAGATTTTTGACATATCCGAGGTTGTCTATGTCACAGGTCTAGTGAGAAATGCCGGCAAGGTGACAGGTAAGGGGGGACGGGCGTAACATAATATCAAGCCTCGAGCGGCAGGTACGAGGGCACACCAAAGAAATGGTGGCTTCATCTCAAATCAAGAAAGCAGCTACGCCCTATATAGCGACCCGAAGCATATAAAAGGCCTTCTAGCTGAGCCTCTAACAGCAGAATACGAAGTTCATCAACCCACACCTCAATCTCAGCTGCACTTTGTGTTTAACAATCTCAAACAATGTCTCACGCATTCGTCAGAAACTTGACCTTTCAGTCGTGAGTGTCTTTGCACTACTACCTCGCATAAATGTTCACCGTCTTGCAGTAACGATCTCGGCAAGGAGGCGACGCTGATGCTCACTTTTGATACCATGGAAGGCCTCTATGAAGATTTCTTCCCCGTCGTTTGGAAGTGAGTATCCCTACTTTTGCCCGAGATCACTTCAAACCTTGCCATTTTTAGGGTCAGCACATTCGGAAAGACGGGTGGGTGCTAAAACCACATCTTTGTTGACCATTTGCCAACTTACATACGCCCCCTCGTCCCAGGTCCATACAGGGCGCACGCGACCTACACGAGCCAGTGAGACAAATGACGCAATCAGTTCTCATGCACGTCACTTATACAACGTATAGGCTTGCTTTCTCCATACCACAGGTCTTGGCTGGCAACATCGTCGACGCTGAAACCTCTGTCCAGATTAATGTGAGCGACTCTCATACTCTGTAGTTCCCAGCACCAACGCAAGTCATGATGCAGGACAGCGAGAAAACCGTCCTGACCCAAGCCAATAATGTCTACCATTTCTCTGTAAGCCTGGCTTTCGTTCATCTATATATCAACCACTCACGAATGACTCGTGTAGCCCCCTCAGGCGGGAACCTCTGGTGTCCTGCAAGCCGTGAACAACACTGGAGCCCTCCAGAACATTGCAGTCGGTTCGTGACCGCCATCTTCTGCTTTTCTTTGACTTCAATGTATTCCACATTCAGGCTTCGTCGCCCCTGGAGAGTTGATGCCTAAGCCGGCACTCTTCTTTGAAGGAGTTGGGTTCGTCATCTTCCCTCTATTCTCTGCTCCACAAAGTACTCACACGAAACACAGAGACGAGAGTCACGTCACGGCCAAGTTCACTCCGGTCCTACGGGCCTACATCACCTCGGACTATCAAGAGACTGCGATCATACGAGGCGCCATCGACACGCCTGCAGTCTGGACGCAGAACCTCGCCGGGCTTGCTGCTTCCACGACCTGGGAACTCAAGCGCGACCTTGCCAGTGGACATTACACGATCACCGCGGTTTAATGAGGGAACGTGAAATTGGTGCGCCCAACAACTGTTGTCTGATGAGTCTGTATCTCAACGCCGGTTTTTGTAGCAACTTTGTTTGGAATCCCAACAAGCCTGACTCAGTTGTAACACGTCGCTCGTGTCTCATGTAATCTTAACTCGGAATAGTTGTACAATGTTGAAATTACTTATGCATTCCTATGTTACACTGTGTTGAACAAGATCTGACAAGACTTTCTTTGCGGCACGCAAGGCGCTCGTGCTGGCTCTGAAGTCATCATGACTGACATCCAGAACTAAGGGATGATTGACGATTCCCGACATCTAGTTGCACTACGCGCCATATCTGGCCAACTCAAGCCACCTAAGCTGACCTGTTCGTCACGGTGAATCTCGACTTCAAGTTATGTACGTATGTAAACAATGAGCTCAGTGCTCACACCTAATTAAACTGGCAGTCGCAATTGTTCTTTATTCTGGATCCGACTGATCATGATGCACAATTGCTGGCAGGGCCTCGACGCAAACGGATCCTTTATTGACCTCGCTGCATCGTGTGCAAAAACAGCATCGGACCTCTTCGCCCACACGACAAGGCAGTAAACTGAATGGCTCATCAACACTGTCTTCGCTATCTCCGACGATTGACGTTTGGAGCGTTGCCCATTGTGCGTTCCGCGATCGTGTTGTACTTCCTATCTACGGCCGTCTACAGCCTGAAATCTGCTGTCCCTTCCTTTTGGGAAAGATATGCTCGCTCGGCTGAGTCCCTTCCGTCAACCGAGATTGCAGCAGATGTGTGTGCCCTATTACCTTGAAATCTAAATACTACTGGCTCCTTTGCTAGGTTGCTAGTTCTTACGTCTGAGCGCGCGTCCGCTCTCCCTCTCCACCGCTCTCATTACACTCACCTGTTATCCAGCCCTCAGCAGGCGAAGCGGCAATCGAGTCTCTCCTCCGCCTAGTTTCGAACCCCCAGCGGCTTTCACATGGTCATGGTCTAGCACCTCGGGCAGCAATGCCTAGTTTCCTGTCTGCCGGGCGCCCCCGTGACCGACGGGGGCGTATTGTGTAGCAGTGAGTGTGCTTGGGATCGTCGGCGGATGGGCAACGATGCCTACGCGGACAGATGAACTTCAAGAAGAGGATGAGGAAGAGGGTGGAGAGCCCGAGACTCCGAAAATTGGGGGGATTGATAAGGGGCCAACGCGGCCGTAACACCAGCGTGGGGGTGGATGGGATCTTGGAGCTGGGAACGAGGATGTCATCAGGCCACTTGAGGAAGACGATGATGACGAAGCGTTAGACTGGAATCAAGGCTGCTTCTCGTGTTTTGTGTTTCTATTCGCCCCACAGCTGATATTCCGCATAGTGTTGCCGCGTGCTAGTAGACGGTCTAGACCACACAGCTGTTGTCATTCGAAGTCCGCACAATCAGCCAGGCGCCCGCTCGTCCTTCTACTGTATTCCACCACCATCCAACAAGCTTCGGATAGCACTGCGACCATCCATCCATTCTATCGCAAGCATCCTTCAAACCTAACTATCTCTATCATCCGATCGTTTCGTTGCCCAAATATCATTTCACAGCCTGAGGCCTACTCTCGACTCATAAAAAAGACACAAGATCATAGACTTTGATCCTTCCGTCCACGTTGTCGTATGTTGTCCTTCTGTATAGTTGCTGTCAATTCAATTTCTGACCGTTCGAACCCAACCAGTGCTTCCTTGATCGCATTCTACCTCACACTAATCTTTGTCGATGAGTGATTGGGATCAGTGTTAGTATCTTCTTCTTCTTCTTCTTCTTCTTCTTCTTCTTCTTCTTTATCTTCTTCTTTATCTCCTTTCTTGATCTCTGACCTAATTGCCAGTTCCTCAATCGTCCGAAGGACCTTGGGAGAAGTTGGCCCGGGTCGCTGTCCCAGGTGCTGCATTTGACTCTCCCGAACGCCAGCCCCATCCAAAATGTTTGGAAGGGACCCGGAAGGACCTTCTCAAATGCATCTATGGATTATTAGATGACCGAAAGAAGAGTCGACTCATTTGGCTGCATGGAACGGCGGGTGTCGGAAAGTCTGCTGTTGCGTTCACTGTAGCTGAAAGGATGAGAGATCTAAAAGTGACAAAGGAAACGAATGTCGAAACACGGCTCGCGGGAACATTCTTTTTCTCGCGCAAGCATACGAACCGCAGCACGACTGGGCATTTATTTGCGACCCTTGCCTACCAGCTTGCGAGAAATTTTCCCAGCGTCCGCAACGACGTGAACAGAGCTATTCGCGAGAATCCAGCAGTTCTAAACCCCAACCAGTCTCTTCGCGACCAGATGATGGCGTTATTTCGCCAACCTCTCTGGCACCTTGAATGCAGACAGCGCGAAAATCTGCCTCCGGTATTTGTTGTTGATGCCCTCGATGAATGCAAGCCCGAAACCGTCGGTGATCTCATCTTCCTGCTTGGCCAAGTCCTTCGTAATCCTAATCTTCCCGTGATCCACATTCTGCTCACGAGTCGCTCGGAAGACCATATTCGTGCAGCTATTCAAAAAGACGAGATGCGCCCACTGGTGTACGAGATACCGGTGAACACTTCTGGGGAGGGCATTGCTGCCACCATCTCGTTAGACGGCGCAGATGTTGACAACGACATATGTATGTTCTTGCAGCATTCCTTTACGGAGTTGCAGAGTCGCCGTCCCGATTTCCCGCAGCCAACGGCTCATGAACTTGAGCTACTGGCGAGCCGAGCGGGCAGGCGTTTCATCGTGGCATCTACAATGATGAAGTTTATCGATGATGGATACAATGATCCCCGAAATCGGCTTGAGCTCCTACTCAGGCTGACGAGTGAACTGCTGCCAGGAACGGAGGTGTACAAGTTATATGATCGCATCCTTTCCACATGTGCAGACCCCGTGCGGGCACACTTGCACTTGTCCATTGTCGCGGCCCTTGCAGACCCTCTGCCGATCTCACAAATTTCAAAACTTCTTGGGCCTGGCCAGGGAAAGGATGTCGAGGCGACATTGGTACAGCTACGATCTATCGTGGACATTCCTACCAACAGCAATCTCCCCTTGAATATCTATCACTCGTCTGTTCGGGACTATGTTTCGGACCCCTCGAACTGCAAAGTCCCACAAGTGCAGTCGCAGCAATGTATAATGTCACCACACTCCTTACTCGCTGAATCCTCTTTCAGCTTGATGGCGCGAGACATTCCAAAAAGCACAGCCCTCCTTGACGCGCTCTCAGAACTGAAGGGGCACAACCAAGCTACGCAAACCGATGACCCCAAGAGTTTACAACAATCATTAGCCTTCGTCGTCGAGCCACCAGAGCCACTGAAAATTCTTGTGGGTCTGTTATGGCTTCGAGGAGCTCGCAGGTCAGGTTTGCGGTCCTGGCTAGAGACTTTGGACGGACGTGCATGGCTACAGACCCAAGGCGGGAATGACTATCTGCGGACACAGAGGGGGGAAGACTGGCTGGAGACCCAGGGCGGGAGGCGTTGGCTGGAAACCCACACGGGGGATGTTTGGTTGCAGACCGAGAGAGGGCAAGAGTGGCTAAAGAGCAGGCGAGGGTGGCTGTGGACTCGGAGATGGCGAGAAGTCGTCGGAGACCCCGACGAGCAAATGTCACTGGAGACTCGGAGTGGGAAAGACTGGCAAGAGATGATCAGTGGGCAAGGCTGGCTGGAGACTCCGAGCGGACAAGAATGGCTGCTGACCCAGACCGGGGGAGAGTGGCTGCAGACACAAAATGGGGGAGAGTGGTTGCAAAGTCGATGCGGGGAAGCGTGGCTGAAGACCCAGACCGGGGAAGCGTGGCTGCAACAGACCCCGGGTGGCCGAGAGTGGTTACTAACCCGGAGGGGACGAGAGTGGCTGGAGACCAGCAGTGGGCGGGAGTGGTTGGGGACCATCGGTGGGTGGGAGTGGCTGAGGAACAATACTGGGCGAGAGTGGCTGAGGTCCATTACTGGGCGAGAGTGGCTGGGGACCAAGACTGGGCGAGAGTGGCTGGAGACCATTACTGGGCGAGAGTGGCTGGGGACCAGATGTGGGCAAGAGTGGCTGTGGACCAGTACTGCTGGCCTAGAGTGGCTGGGAAGCTATACTGGACGAGAGTGGCTGGGATCCGATACTGGGCGAGAGTGGCTGGAGACCAGCAGTGGGCGAGAGTGGCTGGAGACCAGCAGCGGGCGAGGGTGGCTGGTGGTTCAGACAGGGAAGGAGTTATGTGAAGGCCTTAGCGAGCAAATAGACAGCAGCTGGCTGGAGACTCTACTGATACCGAACGGCAGCTGGCTGAGGACACCGAGCGGACGCGAATGGCTGCTGACCCAGGCTGGGGAAGTGTGGCTGAAGACCGAGAGTGGACACTATTGGTTGCAGACGCAGGCCGGGAAAGATTGGGTGCAGACACAGAGTGGACGAGAGTGGTTGCAGACGCAGACTGGGAACAATTGGTTGCATGCCCGGAATGGACAACAGTGGCTGGAGTCGCAGACTGGAAACAATTGGTTGCAGACCCAGAGTGGACAACAGTGGCTGGAGACGCAGAACGGGAAAGATTGGGTGCAGACCCAGGGTAGACAAGAGTGGTTGCAGACACAGTATGGGAAAGATTGGGTGCAGACCCAGGGTGGACGAGAGTGGTTGCAGACGCAGGATGGGAAAGATTGGGTGCAGACCCAGGGTGGACGAGAGTGGTTGCAGACGCAGGATGGGAAAGATTGGGTGCAGACCCAGGGTGGACGAGAGTGGTTGCAGACGCAGGATGGGAAAGATTGGGTGCAGACCCAGGGTGGACGAAAGTGGTTGCAGACGCAGGATGGGAAAGATTGGGTGCAGACCCAGGGTGGACGAAAGTGGTTGCAGATGCAGGCTGGGAAAGATTGGGTGCAGATGCAGGCTGGGAAAGATTGGATGCAGACCCAGAGCGGACGAGAGTGGTTGCAGACGCAGGATGGGAAAGATTGGCTGCGGACCCAGAGTGGACACGAGTGGTTGCAGACACAGGCTGGGAAAGGTTGGGTGCAGACCCAGGGTGGACGAGAGTGGTTGCAGACGCAGGATGGGAAAAATTGGCTGCGGACTTGGCACGGGCGAGAGTGGCTGTTGACCCAGAGTGGGCGAGGGTGGTTGCAGACGCAGAACGGGAAAGATTGGCTGCAGGCCGGGAAATATTGGCTGCAGAGTTGGCACGGGCGAGAGTGGCTGTTGACCCAGAGTGGGCGAGAGTGGTTGCCGACCCAGAGCGGAGAAGAGTGGCTCCTGACCGCAGAAGGGCGAAAATGGCTTTATTCTCCGGGCGGGAGAGAGTGGCTGCTTACCCCAGATGGGTTGCAGACCAAGAGTGGTCAAGAATGGCTGCAGACGCATGCCGGGAAAGATTGGCTGCTGACCCTGAGCGGGCGAGAGTGGCTCCAGAACAAGGGCGGACGAGAGTGGCTCCAGACCCAGAGCGGGCGAGAGTGGCTCCAGAGCCCCCATGGGCAAGCATGGCAATTGACCCCTGCGGCGTCGGTCTGGGTAACAATGGAAGACTTCTCGAACACATTGGACACGATAAGCGAATGCACAATCATCCCACAATTTCCAGTGCCTTCACCGTCAGCTTTTCGAGTGATCCAGGAGTTCAAGAGCTTACCAGATTTCTTGATGTTTCCGGTGTTCTTGGCTTTACGGCCCCAGGATCACTCCACCTCTGCTTTCCCACCAGATCGTCCAGACATCGAGGTCGTCCATGCTATGACCGCGTTCACAATTTTCGCAACTGAAGCGCAGGAGCGAAGCGGTTTAACTTCCGATGCTCTAAAGTATGCATGTCAAAATTGGGCCGTCCATCTCTCGCGAGTTCAGAAACCATGGAACGGCGCGCTTGATCATACATTCAAGTTTTTCTGGAATCAGCATCTCCTCGCTTGGCTTGAACGGCAGTGGTGTTTGAAGGGTCTACAGTCTTGCCTCGTCATTTTATCCGAAGGGCAGACAATTGTAAAGGTGTGCTGATTTCCGATGATTATTGCGATTAACCACCTGACATGTGCGCATAGGAACATCTCAATGAAGCTGCAGGGTCATCTCAGTCCTGTGTCTGAAACCGTCGATTTTATGTCTGAATGTATAATAATTACGGTCACCCTATGAAAACCTTTCCTAATTTGTCTACCACCGCCGTCACTGGCCATGCTCCTTGCTGCACTGCGAGTACCCTCGTCCTAATCCTCGCGCTGTATATTGTAACAGCAATCTTTCACTACCGTTGATCGTCCAACTCTTACCTCTACTGTAATCGTGCTTTCTCATTCCCAACAATCTCGTATGGACTCTGTTTAGACGGTTGTTCATGTGAAGGTATCCCATTCTGACTATTATCGTGATTACTGAGTATTCCTGGAAAACCAAGGGAGGAACAGTGAGGATATTGAGGAGTGCAAGGATGCAAAATATGCGGAGGTGTATACCACGTGCGGGAGAGGGTCGTGAAGGTCAGGCACGCTTGAAGGATACTGCAGTGGCAGCTACGAGCTTCCAAGTCCGACGGGAGGCGCCTCGCTCAGTCCGGAAAAGGCATCAATAAGTTGGTTGTAGAAGAAGCACGTATAGCCTTCAGGCTGGCAGCATGCTGGCATGAAAGCGGAGTCAGAATGCACTACGTCCCCAACGGCAGGTACGAACTTCTGAAGGCACGAAGGTGCGGGATAGTAGGATCCCTCAGGCTGATGATAACGCCTATGCATCCCAAGTCAGCGACTTATCCGAGTCTGTCTGTGCCCCGAGTCTAGCAGGAATTAATACAAGCGAGGATACAGCCTGGGAAGGGGAGGCGTAATGCCAGTGGCAGCCAGCGCCAGGTACGAAGGCACACAATGGAGTAGCTGGATCTATCTCATATAAAGCAGGCGCAGCCTGTACCTCTGGAGACACCCCCTTGTTCAGCTTTTAACTGCAGAACTCGAATCTCACCTAGTCCCAACTCCGCTTCATATTTTACAGTCTCAAGGCAATGTCACGGTCACACGCCTTCGTCAGAGACTTGACCTTTCAGACGTGAGTGTCTTTGCGCCATCACTCGTCATAGCTTTTCAACTGACCGTCTCACAGCCAAGATCTCGGCAAGGAGACGACGATCATGCTTACTTTCGATGCCAACATAAAAGGCCTCTACGAGGAGTCCTTCCCCGTAGTTTGGAAGTAAGTACCCCTACTTTTGCCCGCGATAACTTCAAACAGTGCAACACTTTAGGGTCAGCACATTCGGAGAGACGGGCGAGTATACCACATCCTTCCTGGCCAATTGTCGACATAACTACTATGATCCCTTGTCCCAGGTCCATATAGTGTGAGCGTGACCTACACGAACCAGTAAGTCTAGGCCTGGCATAGAGCACATGATGCTCACGAAGATCACTCATTCATTGTATAGGCTTGCTTTCTCCAAACCACAAGTCGTTAATGAGTCCATCGTTGGCGCTGAAACCTGTGTCGACATCAACGTGAGACTCTCATTCACTCCGTGATTCTTAGCATGAACGCAAGCTATCATGCAGGTTGGCGAAAAAACCAGCTTGACCAAGACTGATGATGTCTTCCGGTTCTCTGTAAGTCTGGCTTTCATTGATCTTTTAATCGGTAGCTCACGAATACCTCGTGTAGACCCCTGAGAAGGGAGCCACCGGTTTTCTGCAGGCCATGAACAACACTGGAACCACTCAGGACTTCGCAGTCGGTTTGTGATCGCCATCTTCTCCATTTTCACTTCATTATATCCCACTTCCAGGCTTCGAGACCCCTGGAGAGTTGATGCCTAAGCCGGCTCTCTTCTTCGGCGGAGTTGGGTATTTTGTTTTCCTTATATTTCTGCTCCAGAGCGCTCACAGTGCAAACACAGAGACGGCGGTCACGTCACGGCACAGTTCACTCCGATACTGCGGGTCTACGTCACCTCGGACTATCAAGAGACTGCGATCATACGAGGTGCCATCGACACCCCTGCAATATGGAAGCAGAACCTCGCCGGGCTTGCTGATTCCACGACCTGGAACCTTAACCGGGACTTGGTCACTGGACATTACACGATCACTCAGGCTCCATGAAGGGACTTCTATCAACATTGTACGCCCAAATCACTGTTGTCTGATGTCTCTATCTCAATGCCTGTTTTCGTAGCACTTTCACTCGGAGGTCCAACGGCCCGACTCAGTGGCTTGTCTTTTATAAGTCCCTCGTATCTCTTCGGGATAGTTGTATAGTGTTGAATTGATTTACGTCTCTGTATTACATTACGCTGAACTACAAAGGTTTTCCTCACGGCGCGCGAGGCGGTCGTCCCCAGCTTTGAATAAACATCAGAACCAAGGGATTCCTCCCGACTATCGATATCTATTTGCATAAGCCCCAGTGAGCAACACCGCGAGCCACAGCTAGACTCGGCACAATAAGCGAGTTGTTCAACATTCATTTTTGCTTACTTGCGCTGAGCATCTAATCATTTTTATCAAGCCAAGACTGCTCTCACTAGACCAAGCATTTTGAAGTAATATGACGGTTCAGCCTCGCTGACCTTGGGGTGCAACTGCCGTCATCGTCGAAGTTGCTGTACAGACATGCTAGTGTCATAGCAGTATGTCAATGCTCGGGCCTCATCGAGTATTACGCGATTTCATGTGCCAGAGCACAAATCACTTTGTCATTTCAGGTGACCTTACTCCAGTAGTAGCATCATTCTGATGCTGGTGGACGGGTTCTGCCTATTTCCACAAAACTGACTGACCCTAACGTTAAACTATCCCACTCTCCGGGGCACGAACAACACCACAAACCTTACTTGACAGTATCTTTCGAGCTTTTGTTCTGTTTTCGGCAGTGAATGTAGGTGCCTGGGGAGATGTCAACAGGAGACACTCGCACTGAGCATGGCATATGATATCTATCATGGGTTATGGCAGTCTAAGTAGTATGTGTCTGCCCAGACTCGCATTACTTACTTTGTCTCGTCTATGTGCAGCTTTGAGAAAGCAAGGTCTCTTCAAACATGAATGCACAGAAAACGCCTTGCGCGGTCACATCGCGGAACCATATATGAGTCGGGGATCAAAAAAGGTTCGCTTGTAATTGGGGTAAGGATTTTAGTACTCGGAATTGGACTCCAAGAGCTGCCCCGGACCAATCATTGGATCTGAATAAGCACTTTGTACTCGGTGCCGACACATATTATGGCACTAGCATACAGTGATCCTGCACTATCTGCAAAAGTGCACTTGATTTGGTATGCGTGCCATAAACGGCCGTACAGCCTTGGCACACGAACGCATGGTCACCGAAGCTGATGGCGGCGTCCGCTTGTGTGAAGACGATCACATCATTTCCTATGTTAGCTGATACCATCAGGACCTTCCCCGAGTCCCTGATATCAGACCGGACTTCAAGCCAGTGCTTTTTGTCTATGACATCACGCCCGGGTGATTCCGCTACCCAGGTAAACTTTAAACAGCTGATCAAGCCTCCTCAAATCTCGCACTCGTCGGGAGTGATTGGCCGCGGAGGGGATCGTACTCGACGGAAGTCATGAAAGAACTCAAACGTATCTGACAAGAAGCAGCTTGGTTTGACGCGCCACATTATGGTTGGCGGTGCAGCTGGATTTATGTTCGCTTAGAAACTCCTGGAACGGGGTCTGTGGACTAAAGTCCAATGACATTCCGCCGGCTGTTAACAAGGTGGGATGGTCCAAAAAAGAAACAAAGTTTGCTTGGTGATTCTCCTTCAAGAAATAGGCAACAGCGGGTGTTATAAAAGAAAGCTCATTCACTGGACTTCAAATGTCAACGGAAGGCTCGGTATTGCGCGACCACAAAATGCAGCTCCACCGCAGCATGCAAGGTTGTCAGCGTCCTGCGAAGCAAAGCAAAATTGCATCGCAGAGGCAGTACCGAGTCAATGAAGGGGATGGGTTCCAGGAGCTCCGCGACATCATTCGTTTGGTGACAGGGGAAGCTCCCCAGACCAGGCGCGAAACCTTGAAAAAAGGTATGCCAGTTCTAACATGCGCGTCGCATGCATGCTTACTTATCCCCTTCACAGGCGCAGAACTGCTGAGACAGTTTTCCACAGAAAAAGGGTCAATTTCCAGACATGAGCCACTCCCACCCTTGGAAAACCCATTAGCAACGCCTTACTGTGAAGTTGACCAGGAGTCTCACATATCTTATGGTACGCATTTGTTTGGCTCATCTGCAGCGGGACCTCATGGGCATTCAAAGAACCTCTTGTGATCCCCAACAACGAGACGTGGACAGTCGCTATTGCGCCATGGACGAGGAACAGTAACCCAATGCCAGACACATTTGAGACGACCCCAATGCTTTATAATAGCCATCCTCAGGAAGAGATACATCATGTTGTCAGTCGTGAGGGCGATTGGAATTTTGTTCGGCCAACCCCTCCGCAATTTCGACAGTACTCGCTTTCCGCGCAGTGGAACTACCTGTCGCCCATTCACTTGAACGTTGATCAAGTCGCATCAAGCGTAGAAGGGGTGGGAGTTATATAGATTGCTCCTCGGAATTGGGGAATTCCTGAATATTTTCTTGTAGTACAATTCGATTGATCTTGCATATTCACATACCTTGTATTTTAGTCGTACTATTTAACGTATTTATCGGATCAATACCCTCGGCGAATATGCCCAACAAGAAGGTGAGCGAGAGAAGCACGGCCATTTGACGTCCTGGTTGTTCTATGACTGACAAGATATGCCGCTATATTCGCATTCGCTTCGAATACAACGGAGGTAATCCATGCCTACGACAGTACTGCAAGCGAGTGGTGTTGTCCGTTATCATTGGAGTGCATCGAACATTTCCTGAGTAGCTATAGCAGGTCCGCAGGTGTGACGATAGACGCAAACTATTGTGCTAAGATGAAGAGCTAACTTCGAGTCTTTGATCTCCACCCATAATTGAATGCGCTCTGATGTGGGAGAGTTAGCATGCGCGTCCTCACCGGAGGACTACTGGTAAACATGACCTAATGTGAGACTCAGGCTGTAGTTTATTCTGATTCGCCAAGAGTGGGATGAAAACACCGCGGAATTCTTGCTGTACCTTCATAACATACACAGCGCTCGATGAGCACAATCGATTCGTGTCACCTGAAGCGAAATCAGGGTAAAGCAAGAAAAGTCGACAGTGAGCCACTGTGACAGGCTCGATGCCCATTGTCGTAAACCCATCGTAAGGTTCAGTTCCTGAGACGCGTGGCCGAGCCAGATAGCACCCGAATAATGATGGATTGATCATCAATCGATCCCATTAAAGAGTGGGACTGAGGAGCCACAGGGTACGATGGTGTAACACTGGGAACATGTAGCAGACGCTGCACAGCAGGGAACGGCGATTTGTGATCGAAAATAAGAGTGATGTTCACTATGGTATCGAGAGCCGAGACTTACATGCATAGGAAACTGTAGGAAACCATCAACTTGGTTCACGTTCTCTGAGAGGGTGAGCCACCATGGTGGGTTTGGTGACCGTCGTTCTCGGCCCTAACGGCGCTAGGCCGCCGCGTCAGCCCCCGAAACTCAGGTACCTCTCGAAGAGACTACTTTAAGTTTTCATGTGCAAATACCGTCGGATGCGGAATGACGAAAGCAACTGATTGAATCACTTCTGTCAATGAAATATCCTAGTATCATGATATCGCTGACGGGATCCTGCCGAAGGTTCTTGCAGCCTGCATCAGCGATGTCCGACACTAAGTTTTATTACCTTCAGTGTGTTTTGGCTAACTAGAGAATCTTTGCTAACTGCGACACCTTTGAGAAGGGAGAAGACCTGGCTCAGTGAAGGTAATTGCAATCAACACTGAAAGCTCGAACTAGAGGACAGCGCAGACTAGTCGGAAATTACGTGACCTTGCAAGCAAGTTGGTTTGAACAAGATAATCAACCGTCGGCGTGTGTGCGATGATAGTCCCGGACTCCCAGCCGGGCCAGCCCCCCTGTGGGCGGACAAACTAGAGGGAGGATACTTATGTATGCAACGTACGCAAACAGTAGTTCTTCTGACAGGCTAGCGCCAATCAACTTGTCAAGTGAGAAACAGCCTGAGAATTGACCATATCTGATAGGGAATTGAGAGCTCGAACCTGAGCGCTCCGCAACTACATGGAACTAGCATAGACTCACAATGCAGATTCTGGATGCATCTGTTGGTAACAGGTAGGGGGTATGTGAGTACTTGCACCATATACTTCGCTGAGTACTATGACTCGGAGCTTGTTCGACAGAAGTTGCAATTAGAGTGAGCGCACCTTACAGACGAGGGTGAGGCTACACGCACTTTACTAATATCTGTCTGCGATTCCGAGAATATGTCGTCACTTTCTCTGCTCGTGGGTGTACCTGATAGCTATCTGTCCTTTGTTCCACTAATGTACACTTTGGTCACAGGGAATTGTTACTAAGACCCAGAATCATGGCGTCGAAGGAATGACTATCTGTGCAGTTAGGGTGCAGGAACGTAAGGGAGGAGCCCCACATGCACCCAGTCCTTGGCCTCCGGGAAAGATTCCCTGGAACTCGGTGCTTGTGATGTTATTCCATCACTACCAAGAAACTATTGTGCTCGCATTCTAGTCATTTGTGGTCAAGGGTCGCCCACGTCTTCGGGCACCCGTCGCCGTCGTTCCAGGAGGCATTTCTCGATCCGCTTTACAAACCTTGGTGCTTTGATAAGGCCAATCGCTGTCTTGCCCAAGTAGTACAGTATCAAGAACGTTCCAGTCGCCAAAGGGAACAACGAAGACCGCCAGGGGCGTGCAACTTGGCTTGCAATAATTTTGACAGTGTATCCTGCATCAGATCGCACGCTTTATAAAAGTGTTTCTTACTTTGAGCATTTGTCTGATCTTCGAGTGGGACGGAACAGGACGGAACGTGTACCCTGTAACATCGCGATCATCGGGCTGTGTTAGACAGCACCAGACAGCACCATTGCGGTGTGCTCCTTGATCATCAATGATCAGTACAAGAAACGGAGGATGTGCTTTAAAGTTCCAGTATGACAGCAAGCGGGGGCGACCGACTCGGACCTCCCCGAGCAGGAACCGGCGAGTGTGCTGAGTACATAGTACATACCAGTGTTCCAATCACCTTTGAAGTTCGAGAGAAAGTTGTTTGCGAGTAGTCGCACTACTAGCAGGAGCCTGACAGCCTATAGTGGAGAGTTCAAGTTGCCACGGTTAATTGATTATCTGCAGTCGTAGCTCTTTATAGCTAAACATTAGTCTCCCTTGGGCAGACCTTTATAGACAAAGGGATAATCATTTCTTCTAGATAAACATCGTGGCGAATAATCGGGAGTCACTACTCCAGAATTCGAAGTGCACGATGACTGCAAGATAATTGCTTACCCAAACAGGAGGGTCCTCGCGAACATATGATGATAGATGACCGGTCCACTATCACCAGTTAGCGAAGACCCACCTTACGCTCGAAGCGTCGTGCACACTGCAAACAGCGCCGCATTTTCGAGTATTCGAAACTCGGAAAAACTGCCCTGCTCCTGAAAAATTAACCAATAAGTGAGGATCAAGTTGAACTGGTACTACTTACCAGCGTAAGCACCGCATTTATACTTAACTCGCTGGCAGTGCTCTCAAAAATCCTTCCTAGCCACCATGGCCGCTGTCGCAGGGCCAGCGGACTCAGCCAAGAGCAAGGAAACCCAGCTGGTATGATGATGATCCTGAGCTACGAACATGCAAGAACCTGCCAAGTCTACGTGCTGACTAAGCTATGGAAAGGGCCGGTGGAGACCCCGAATGAATAGTCCCTGCCCTTGGGACCCCTACTCCACCACTGATCATGTCGAGGTTGTGTTGGTCTCCCCTAGCCAGACGATATAGAAGGAAGACAGTCGTTCCTTCTTGATTATGGGTTTGTGTCGAGTTAACCTCCCCAAAAAGGTTGCCAAAACGTGTGCCCGGCTCTTGCAATTGCCGCAACCCTGTTGAACTTAGACGACAGTGTCGCGAACGCACCAAGTTTTGTAAACAGCACAGCAGTTTGAATGATGCGAAGAACTAGATGGCTTATCCCATTCATTATCCCATAGGTTTCCGACTATTCTTGGGACTTGCTACAAACTCACATTTCGGCGCGAGTTGCGAATCTGTGGTGTTGTCATGATATCCTCCCAAATTACTCCAGGCGATGATTACAGGCATAGAATTGGATCCGAGCGGTGATTGGAGGGCGAGAATGCGAAGGATGTGCATTGTGAAGGAGTGCACCGGGCTGTACCGGGTTTGGGAGAGGCTTGAAAGGGTGCCAAAGCCATGAAAGATAGGCACAAGGGGTACCAGCGGCAGTTAAGAACGTCCGACGCACAAACTTGAAGGTGCATCGCCGTGCAGTGAAGGCATGACACAAGCCAGACAAGCAGGTACGCCCTTCACGCCGACAATGAGCAGAATTTGAGACTTACTAAGGTCCTCAGCGGCAGGTACGGAGGCACGATTTGACAAGCCAAGAGACTTAAAGCTGGCTATATAGCAAACCAAGGTAAGGGGTGTAATACATTGGGTCCTCGGCGGCAGGTACGAAGATGCAGCCTATTAAGAAGAATCAGGCTGAATGGCAGAGTTGCGAGTGAGAGTGATATATCCAGTACTAGGTCTCCAGCGGCAGGTACGTACTACGAAGGTGCAGGAAGGCCCTACCAAGAAGAAGCTGACAATAACGCAAACCAAGGAAACAGGAACTACGCCCTATGCCACCCGAGACGTATAAAAGCCTGTAGCTGCAAAGCTTGAAGCTACTCAATCTCAAGCAATGCCAGAAATATACGAAAGACACTTGACCTTTACCGGGTAAGTGTAATATCATGCTGCCCTACAACCTTTTACCTGTCTATCTCGCAGCAATAACCTCGGTAGGGAGACAACGATTATGTTCACTTTCGATGCCCCCAGGAAAGGCATGTATAAGAATTTCTACCCTATAGTTTGGAGGTAAGGACTCCCGTTTCCGCCTGCGAATTACCTCAAACCTTGAGCTACTTCAGGGTTTGCACATTCGGAAAGGAGGGTGAATGTTGCCTCACGTTTTCCCTGTTATTGCCAACTTACCTATGACCTCTCGTCCCAGGCTCGTACAGCATGAAAGCATCCTACACGAGCCAGTAAGTCTATATCTCCCAATCATGCTCATAAATCAGACTCATTCAACTTCCAGGCTTGCTTTCCTCAAAACACAGGTCGAAGACGGGAGCATCATTGACGCCGCAACCTGCGTCAATATCAATGTGGGCAACTCTCATTTGCTCTGATTCCTAGCATGAACATCAAGCTATCATGCAGGAAGGCGAAAAAAACGATTTTGACTCAGGATGATGAGGAGGTCTTCCATTTCTCTGTAAGATTTCCTTTCAATCAAGCACTACTTTTATTTCGACAGCTCATGGGATGACTCATGTAGGAACCTGTGCCTTGCGAAGAAGGTTTCATGGAGGCCGAGAACAAGACTGGATCCGTTCAGGACCTGGCCATCGGTCTGTAGCTGCCTTTTTCTTTCTTTCTATATCTTCATCTCAATGTATTGTTCAACTCCAGGCTTTGTGAGCCCAGGAGAATTGTTTCCAACGCCGGCACACTACTACAATGATCTTGGGTATGTTTTCTCCCCTTTATATCTTCTCCTGGGAACTCACAGTACAAACCATAGAGATGGCAGTACCGCCGTGGCTGCTACGTTCACTCCCAAGCTGCGCGCCTACATCACCTCGGACTATCAAGAGAGTGCAATCTTGCGAAGTGCCATCCACACCCCTTGCATCTTTGAGTACGATCTCGCAAGTCTTGCTGAGAACACGACCTGGAACCTCACATTTGACCATCGTAATGGATACAAAGTTAGCAAGGCTGACAGACAACACTAGGTGGGCGTTCAATCCTGTTTATTGTTGTCTGTCTTAATTTTCTCCCTCTTTCATAGTATTCTCACTCCCGACAGCCTGTTTCTGTTACTTGTAATCACACCCAACAGTTGTACCGCAATCTGATTGATGCATCTATGTATTTGGAATACTTGACTGCGTCGAATAAGATCTTACAAGATTTCTCTTCATCCTAAGTAACAAAGCGCTCGTCTCCGGTTCTGAAGGTATTGTGGCATGTCCTGGCTATAGTGTATAACTCCCGACGATAACTCGCGAGCTATGGCCATACCTTGCTGCCATGAAGTAAGACCGCCAGAGTTGAAAGAACTGGTTATGTAGACTATGTATGATTTCGAGCGCCTTGAGAGGCTCCACATTCGACTTTGTCACTGACATTCAAGTTACCGCCTGTATGACTACCATCAAGCTCGATTCACGCATCCTTGAACAAGATGCGGGCACCATCATGGAACAACTGAACATACAATCGCAACAAGCTACTGTGAAGACGCTACAAGTCCTCTTTCTTCGCAGCAGTGCACAATTGGAACCCATCCATTATAATCCCCCTATTTTCTTGCCACAATCACAGTCGATTGCTCCCAGCTTTACGAACCAAGTTGCCCCACGAGACATCACTAATTACCTCGAAAAGCTCATCCGAGCAGCGCAGCAGACTGCTGAATCTCACTGCTACGGAAGCTTTGTTGCGGGACAAATCAGCGAAAGCGATGAATTCGGGGATGTTGGTATATGGCTAGGTGAAGGAAATTATCAAAGGAATCATGAGAGAGAGATCTTGGACAAATTAGGGCTCATTGCATGGGCTGATGCCGAGGTGGGTGTTGATGTACACGCTGTCGACGATCGTTACGAGTCTTACGACATCTAACGTTTTTCATGCAGATAGACCAGATGGAAGATCTCTACGATGAGAAGCTGAAAGTAGACGGCTCAGAAACGAGTGCTATTGGGAAGCTGTTGGATAACCTTGAGGATTGTCATCGGTTCTTTGTGCGACGCCAAGACTCGTACTTTGCGTGCTTCCTCGTGGGCAGATTGAAGGCGCAGGGAAGTTGGTGTGGGCTGGCAAGCATCGGGGTAGCAACTTGAACGAAACTTGATCCCAGCTACATTTTGATGCATGTAATACGATAACTGGACCAGAACGGTACTGAGGGTCTGAGGTGTCTTCTGATCAAGGTGTTTTGGCTACAAAGCATGACAGTCGACACAGCCACCGACATCAGTTCTCTCCATAACACCAGCACAAGTTAACAAAAGTTAGCTCTGGAGGTTTCACTCTTCATTCAGCTATGTCAGAAGACTCGGAAATGGCGGTGGATGCAACGCCTGCTGTAGAAACAGTCCCTCAAACTCAAACGGTCTCGAATCCTGGACCTAGCACCCATGACCGTATCCAAACCCTTACAGACTTCCACATCCGTCTTCAGTCCATCCGACATATACCTTCGTTACTTTTGAGGCATCCGTCTGGATCATCGCTGTCACACACACCCGAATTCACCTCTCCATTCGATCCAGCCGACCACGACTTTGCAGCTCCATTCCACACAACCCCGACCCAAGACTTTCGCACCCTAAAAACCATAGCTGATGCCCTGCGCTCTGAAAAGCTACAAGAAGCGCTAAAGGTTGCCCGCGAGAGCGAAGACGCAGATAAAAGCGACCTCGGATTGTTCCAGAGAGACAGTCGCAAGCGGAAGTAAGTACACGTCCCCTCTATGTAACGGTACGTTATGTGTGTGTACTGATTGTTTCAACCTTCCCGATCTTTAGGCGACCACTGTCGCCAGTCGGCTCGCCTCAGCCTTACATACCGCCGCCGCCACGGACGTCATCATTGTTCCCACCTATTGAGGACGAGCCTTCACGATTGCGTGCCGAGGGACTGGTAGAATATATTCGAGAATTCAACAGAGGTGACATAAAGTTGCCCCCCAGTCCAGGGACCAGTGGATCATTCCAACCAAAATGCAGAATATGCCTATGGTCAAGAACGCGCTCGCCACAATTCCACCAATCGATCAATGGGCCTCGACCAAAGTTGACTAGTCCCGTTATCTTGCGATTTACAATCGAGGACGTACTTACGGCTTATATCTCCCTCGCGTTCACCCGCTTGGAGGATCCGCTCCTTGTAGAGAGCGTAACTGCCTTTGGTCCCAGAGAGATGGTACGGATAAGTTGGCTTTTGTTTCCTCCGGTCTTCTGATCTGTGGCCACAATGTATCGCCTTGAATAGAAGTTGCCCCACATGCAGTCCGATTATCTCGCGTTTCAAGTACTGTCTCAGCATATTGCAAAAATGACACAATCACATCCTCAAGTCCCTCTTCAGACGCTTATTGTCAGTCTTTTGAACTTTATTTATTTTTTCGTCGTGCTAATTTTTGATGAAGCATCTCTTGGTATCTTATCAGGGCCTTTTTGTTGACCGGTGTGCTAGTTGTGAACGGGTGCTGTCGGCTGAGGGCCATGTCCCTCCGGCTGGGCGACTATGGATTCCTAGGGGTGCTCAGCAACCCATCGATCCCAATACGGACAAAACAGATGAACCCGATCCCGGTGTCATCATTAACCTAGACGCCACTCCTGCGAGCAGTCGAACTGCAGACCATCCAGATGGACATTGGGAGTCGCGTCATGTTACTTGTATGTACAGCTGATTCAGTAACATTTTAGGCTTGAGAGACTGCGCGGTGGCTAATCCATTCATTCATTTTCATTCCATTATGTGGACTGATTTTTGACATACGTAAATTCTGCAGTTAACGGGTTTGGGCTTGACCCTGAATTCATTTGGGGGGCAATAGGACGCATTGTGTTGTTGAATTCAATGACGTTCTTGGAATAGCGTCCCGCTTGGCTCGGAACAGCGTTCAAAGAGCATGCTCGCGATCGTGACATCTCTGTGACGGACAATCACTTTTTTTCGAGTGATGTGTTTTACAATTCACCGCTTTATTCGGAGCGGCTTTCAAAGGGTACGGTCATGGTATCTCCGTGACGAATTATCACCTGCGTTTTTTTCCAAGTTCTTCAATCCGCTTCCCTTGCAGTTGTCATCACCATGACGAATTGTTATCTGCGGTTTTTTATTGCGCAGCGCTGATGCGGCCACGATACTAACGTCGAATTATTTTGAGTTCATCGATAGGCCCGGCACTTCACATGCTTCACATTCGTATGTAATGCAGAGTGGTCATTGCAGCTATCTGTGCCCTTACATACCATGTGCCTTGCATTGCGTATATGGACTAGGGTGACATGTCGTCCGCGCAGTCGGCCGTCCCGTCGGTCACCACGCATACTAACCACGAAAGAGAGTCAAGAAGATGGGATCTTTCCCTGAACCTTACACATACCATTACATTGTCCGCAAACGAAACGCCACTGTGAACCATACCATAGACTTGTTTATTTCTACCATAACAAATTAGTCAGCACTCTAGGCACAAAATTTTTGATTGTCGATCATCGACAAGTTTTCGCGGTTCCCCCCCCTTTCAGTCACGGGTCCGTCGCTAAGCTTATTGTCCTGCTGGACCCCACTTTTCTATTTGATTTTTCATATAATATCCGTAGTCTATTGTTCGTTCAGGATTTTCGTGAGGTGACCGGTACTTGGGGAATAGATAACTGTAAGAGGCTGTCAAGAACTCCGCGAGGACAGTTTATGCCATTAAAGTTTTACCACAGTCATTTGAGGTAAATTCTTGTGATGGGATTGATCCGGGGGCGATGCATGCTGTTTGGTGGCCTGGGTTTGCATTCGCCATTGGTAGCATGGACCGCACCAATTGACCAAAAATAAAATTGACTGGTGAAGTGCCAAGTCACTTGTGATTTACTTGGGATCGACGTTGGCCAGACCCAAGGAGGTTGAGGCACATTTTCTATTTGGAATAAATTTGGCAAAAAAGATCGGTCACGCTCTTGTTGGGACCGAAAAAGGCAGGAATGGACATCGTGGATCCCATTGCTTTCTTCCAGTGTGTCCACTGTGCAAACACTGATTGAATTCAAGGTTAGGACGAATGCAACTTGGCCACAGTTCAAACTATTCCAGGTTTATCATAGTTCCATAGAACCAACGCTGTCAGGCTCATTGGGCTGCTGGCCAGACTTTTGGTATTTAACAACGTTCGAACGCCTCCTATATATCTTGACTCTTTTTTGCCCTTTACATCGATCACGTCTGCCCTCAAATATCCTTTTTTGCCCTTGTTTCCCATCACAACTTAACGTTCTCAAGTCAGCCACTCCCCCGTATCCTAAGCCACATCCTTCTTTCTTTCTGACCACTTCGTCAGCCACGCCAATTCGTACTCTTCCAGCTCTCTCCCCCGTGAAGTATTTTAGGGTCTCACTTATCTACAAGGTGAGGTCACATCTCATAAACGCCACAGCTCTTTACTTATCCAACTAGGAATGGCCGCACAATCTATGCCGGCATACGGCATTCAGACTGAGGACTCACAAGGACCTTCCAGTGGCGAAGCCCATGTCCTTAGCAGTCCGACAGCCACATGCCAGACCTTTATAGCTCCTCACGGCTCATACCCTCGCGTTCCATCCTCTTCCATTGGCATCTTACACGTCTTGGGTTATACCCCCGCTGAAGGCGAACAGAACATTCCCGTCGTCGTAAATTTCAATTGCACTACTGACCTCGCTGCCGGCTCACACATTCGTCTCGTTGTCGGTCGTCGTGCAGTAGGCACCAAAGTCCGTGAGCTTGAACCAGCTGGCTACGGGCATTGGCAACTAGAGGCAACCGTTCCCCCGTTCTCCCGGCATCATTCTACATCACCGAACCTACCCTTGACAATTCAGGCCTTGGCCGATGATAAGACGTTGCTAGACTCTGTTACATTCGGTGAATTTACATATTGGGAACAAGGTATGATTGCCATAGTATATTGTGACTGCATTCTCACCATCTTACAGAACGCGAAAAAAATCCGACCCCAATGACACGAAAGCACACACCTAGTCTCTCTTCAAATAGTTCGGGTTTCACACGGACGGCACCCACCGTTGCTGTTTCACGTTCGGGGTCGTCAGATAGATCACGGAAACGGTCCAAGCCATACAGCCGGCCTTCAACCCCAGCGTCGTCTTCAGATTCAGATCCCGGCCAGTCACAAGCGCAAAAATCATCCGCACGTCTTCAAGCCCAGCCCCAAGCGCAGGGTCTTCGGCGCACGAGGCAAGCAGTCGACGCCTCAGAGGATGGCGCCCAGACTGCAAGCCTCGACATTATGGTTGTGCTTGACAGCTTCTGCTATAATTGGGATGAGTTAGAAATGCAAGCCGGCAGGCGCCTTGTGCGCTTTTCCCGCATTCGGGACGGGAACAAACTCCTTGTTTCAGCAGAGCGCATCTCCCCGGGCGACTATGATGCTAAAGACATCGTTATCTCGTGCATCTACCGCGACGAGACTGACTCTTGCTGCGTCACGTCCGTTGACATCATCCATTTGCTCCAGAGGCTCGTCGCCGCAGAGTTCGTCGTGGAGGAGAAGAATCGTATTAGACGAAACCTCGAAGGCCTACGGCCTACCACTGTCTCCAAGTCGCGTCCAGGCTTTGAGAGTTTTTTCCAGCGCATTATGGATTTTCCAGATCCAAAGCCGCGCAAGATCGAGAAAGATCTCAAGGTCTTCGATTGGAAGTTGCTTCCCCAAGCACTGGATAAGATCATATCCAAATACGTAAGTGGTGTCCTTCCATTCTCAGTCCATATATGAGAACTAACTAGAGGACCCACAGTCCCTGAGCAATTTCGGGCCTATCCCAACAAAGGAAAGCAGTCAGGCAGCTTCCTATCAGACGCCTGTGAGAACAAACATGCAGCCAAAACTGGAGTTTTGTCCATCATTTGGTGATGGCGTTCATTTAGAGGGATCGCATGGTTCCCGATCGTCGCACCTCTCACAGTACTCTCAGGGTTTGCGTCAATCGCCCCAGCTAGAGCTAGAGTCACCCATCGAGGATTCCCTATTTTATCACATGCCACCGGACGAGCATCTCCAGCCGGTGTACGTGGGCCCAGAAGTGGTCCAGAGGTATTACCCCCACGAAACACCCTACTTCGTCCCGAGCATGGATTCCTCGCATGTATATCCTGTGGACCCCTCGATGGCGCTTGCAAACGCCCCGGCACCTATGTCACCGCTTAACGCCTACCACCACAACCCGACATGGGATATGCAAGGTCGAGATAATGTGACCATCCCATCAGGTGTACCTGCCGACCATCAGCAGCGTCCCGCCTTTGATTTCGTCCCCTCTCACGAACCTCTCGACATGTACTCCATCCCCAGCGCCCAGTACAGCATGCACACCTACGACTCGTTCGAATTTCAGACGCTACGAGAGCACAGCATGAATGCGTCCTTGGCTAGTCAGGTCGCATGATCATTCTTTCTAAAATCCCATTTGTGCTGTACATTACCCTTGCGCCGTCATTTGTGATTTATCTATCCCTATCTTTATTTCCTTGTCATCTACTGTATCATCACTCTTTTCGTCTATGGAGAGCCACGATTTTTTTTATACTCGTACGGCCCGTTGTAATTAGCGTTATACCTCTCCTAGTTGTTCCTATGTACTGTACTGGCATGTAATCCATCGGGGTATCAATGTAAATGTATTCAATAGCAACAGTGCACGACGGGATATAAATGTCAGTGAAAAAGACAGGCAAGGAACAAACACGAAAAAAAAACCAAAAACCAAATCGTACATGTATACTAAATAATCCAAATATGAAATGCTAAAAAGCAAGCAATCAAAAAGCACGCCATAACCAATATCAACCTCGCCGACTGCGCGTAAAGCTCCCGAATCGCGATGACAAGCGGCCTTTTATGGAATTCACACTGCCTATAGTAGACATCGCCACGGAGGTGCCAGAGTGGGCTGGGCCTGTGTTTCCGACTGTGATTAATGAGTCTCGTGGTGAGCCGGTGTTGGCATCACTTGGAGCATCTCGCCAGCCGGTCAGCACTCCGTTGATGCCGTGGCGAGCGACGTGTGCCGCGTGCATTTGCAGCGGGGTGCGCTTGACACCATCATGATGGTGATGAGAGAGTGGAGGACGTGATGATAGAGGTGAGATAGGTTGAGGGCTCATAGACGAGCCGCCAACTGAAAGAGGAGCGATTCCAAGGGACGGTCGTCCCGACGAGGTCGACAGCGACCGTTGATGAGAGTAGGAACGGGTATCATACAACGAGCCTTGGTCGTGAATCCGGATCGAGGCCGCATACGATTGCGGGACATGTTGAAACCCGTTTTCAGCAGCTATACGTTGAATTTCTTCTGCAAAGTTTTTTCTGAACAGTTCTTCCAGGGTCTGATGGAAGCCCAACATCTCTTGGGGACAGATCTGGCCGTGTAATTTTAGGCAGCTGTCCGTCACCCGTACCTATATCGCTCGTAAACAAAATAGACGATTTTCAACAGTTATTCGACAAACATACCTGATCGTCTATGGCAGCTTTGAGACGGTCGATCATTTCTACTCTATCGGGGTGTTTGGCAGAGTACGCAGGATGAAAGAATATATCACGATAAGCCGGCAGACCATCCGTACTAGAGGGATCCACGGCTCCATTGAGGCTCATAGAAAGAGCATTTGTCGAAAACACTTGAGCAGTTTTGGCAAGAGCCGCATACCGCAGATGGAATGAAGCCAATTCCCTAGTCCTTTGCTCGACCTCATGGAGAGCATTTTCGACAGGCGATATTTCGGCTACTTCCCATTCTGTAACGTCTGATCTCCGAAGGACAGTGGGGAAGGCTTGTTCGGTAGTGAACGACGTCTTCTCTAGCCAGATCTCTTCATTGCCATCGCGGTCGAACTTTGTTGTTTGCTTAGTAGAGCTGAAGACATTGATAGCACTGTCCGAAATCATCATCAGTTACACACAACTCATTGTTATGAAGGAACCTAACCTGTGTTCGTAGTAATTGCGAATGGCCAGTGGGACATCTGGACTGGTGAAAATAGGAAGCGATCGATCCGGCTCGGGAGTGACAGCAGTGCATTGGATGTACTGATCATTTCCAAACCGCTGATCCGCTGTAGGATCGCTCTTTAGCAACTGAGCGCCCGGGTGTTTGTTAAGTAGCCGCTCGCAGAAAGTACCAAACTTCTCCCATTCATATCCGCGGTACTGCATAAAACAAATCAGTAAATGAATCAACGGCAGGTTGTGACGGACATACAATGAACTGTTTGTTCCTCAAGGCATCAGGGAAGTCTCCATAAAATACCACTCGGAAATAGTCAGAGTAGTAACGCTGGTCTGTAATGATGTGCTCGAACAATGCAGCCTGATGACGCAATATTTCTGCCAACCGCGCACTACGAAAATGATGGGAATTAGTCAATAGACAGCGAAGCACTGCAGGGACGTACTAGTTGAACGTAACCTCTGCATGCTGCTTTGCCAGCTCTTGACAAATTTCAATCGCGCTCTCATACGCCTTGCCTTTGCCTACACAGTATTAAGGATATGAAAATCACAGGAAAGTGCGATAAACTCACCCAAGTAATCCAAAATCAATAAGCACAAAGTTTCCTTCCGATGGAAATGAGATTGCTGAGGCAGTCCGAGGTCCTCCATAGGCCCCACGAACGTGTAGAGATCCCAATGGTGCAGATCAGAATGAAGCTTTAGAGTCAACGCAGCTTCCACGTAATTTTGTGATTGCAGGTGCGTCTTTAAACGTATCAGCACAGATTATTCGGTAGTCACACGGTGACTCACATTAACCAACTGGTGCACGTATTTGATGTACATCTCTTCCCTACCAATGTCGCGGATGAAGTTCATCAGGCGCAGCTAGAAGAAGAAGGCGTTTGAGAACTTCGTTCGGGTGTCCTGAATACGGGGGTACTCACCGTGGCAATCACACGGTCATCAGCAAACTCTTCGCCCTCAGGCAGTCTGCGAACGTTAAGCAGAAGCTTGAGGAAAGCATCCACCGAATCAAGGAAAGCAGAGACACGCTCCCTAAGCTGATCGTCAACCTCGGACGATTCGAACAAGTGCCGCAATTGTGCAATGAAGAATACGCGAGAAATGTCGTCGCCCTTGGACTGGGACATGAAGAGGGAATCGAGCTTTCTAACCAGCTCCGTCTCGATCTGGTCAAAGTGGCCGTATTGATGATATTCTGAGATGATCATGCCGAAAAGGATTCCGACTGCATTGTTTCGTAGCTGGTCGTGGTGACTAAGGCACAGGTTCACAATGTACCCGATCAATGAGCTTAGTACCGTTTGATAGCCCTGGATATTGCCAATCAATTAACGTCCAGAAAAGATCCATATATGGGAAAACACGCACCCCTTGAGAGACAGAGCTGGATTCTGTCGGTTCTGGCCATGCAAGGGCCTCCCATAGCCGCAGCAGTATATCTGCACCTTCACCTCGAATATCGCCGCCCAGGCGCCATACAGCACGCCGTTTCTAAATCGCATCATAAGAAACTTTACAATGAGAGGTACGATCACGCGTACCTGTGGACTGAAATCTTCAATGACAAGCTGCTCAGACGATAAAAGCTTCAACAACATAAAGAAAGCGTCCTTCCACAGCTCCGCCTTGAACAAATGCGATGCCGACGGTGGAGGTATAAAAATCCGCTTCAAAAGCGTGGCAACAGGATCCATCATCTTGATCAACACCTTGTGCGTCAAAATGTTCACATTCAGCCAGTTACTCGGGAAAGCGTCATTCTCTAGTATAGAGGTCGCAACTTTGAAAAAATGCGTCAGCAAACTGGCAAAGTTCTCCTTCCCTTCAATGTCGTAGCTGGACTCCAGAAAGTTGTAGATGTGTTTTGTTGGAGCTGAGAGCACGAGGGAAAGGAGGACTATCGCTGTCTCGCCCAAGCCAGGGTTGAAGACCAAGTTGTCTTCGTGCGTCAGCGACGTGCTGGTAGCATTCCGGGGAGCATTGGGCAATAAAGCCATGAGGGAAAACGGATAAGACTCCGGGAAAGTGATAGGCACCGCAGCGGTCGTCGTGGTCGGAGTGCGCGTCCGTTCCACAGCACGATGATTAGCTGGATTCTGGAACTCGCGATAAGAGTCAAGGAGCCTGTCAAAAACATGAGAAACATCGTAAACATGCCGGTCTAGAGAACACGCACCTCGGCATGAGCATAAGTATGTATTCGATATTCTCCTGCTCCTGCCTGAACAAATTACGATCCGCCATAACCGATGACGAAACTAACTGCAACTGCAGCTTGTCCAGCATCACCGCAATAATCGTCACACAAAGCCGTATAGACTCCAGCCAGCTAACCCTCGCTGCATCACGCACGCTATCAGAATCGCCCGTAGTGGTCTGCGTGAACTCATCGTATCGTCCAAAATGAGGCTTGATCCAAATAACGACCGCTTGAACAAGCAACGACCGCGAGTGGGGGTAATCGAACAAGAAACCCTTGACGATCTGCAAGTACATGATCAACCGCCATATGATGATTTTGCCCTTGCCAGTCGAAATGGCGTTGACAAAGTTCGTAGCGATCGTCACTAGCTCAATGGTGGGGATGATCTTGGCAAGTTCTGGAAGAATCGTCGTAAAGTGCTGCAATGCGATGGTCTGCGTGCCGATGATAGACGCTGGCGACGTAGTCGCCATCATCTTGTTGACTTCGGTGAGATGGGAGCGGATTTCTTTCTTGAACATCGTCTCTAGGTGCTCAGCGGTTGCTCCGTCGCCCATGCCCAGCTCAGTGCTCTTCTGCAGCTCTCGCGCACGCGTGATAAATTTGAAGATATAGTGCCAGACTTTAAGTGCTGCGCGTAAAGGCGAGGCTACGTCATTACCAGTCGGATTCCGGAGTAGACGGTCCATCGAGCGGATCATGTGTGAAGAAGCTGCAGCACAGTTGAAATGCTCCTCGATGTAGACATCCAAGACGGGCTGGAAATTGCTGAATCGACGATCTTGCACGATACCGAGGACAGTCACCAGTGCATTGAAGACGAGGTGGTCCATCTCACAGGCCTGGTTGTTCTGCGACTCCAAGATGCCGAAGAGTGAATCGAAGATGTCCCGGAGGAACTTGACAATTTCTCCTTCACCAACAAAGGTAAACTTGCTGAGGACGGTTTGCAGCAGCTCCTTGTCATTGATCTGCTCCCAGTTAAGCAAGCTCATGAGGACAGGGTTCTGCGTAAACTTTGTGGAACAAAGCGATGACCGGATGATGACGGTGTCCTTCATCGGCGAAGCCAGCCTCAGCAGCTCTGGTGATACTGAAACTTGCTCAGGTCGCTGTCCGGGGAGTACCCACGGCGACGACGCCAGGTACATGTCCGGCGTAACTTGTGACAGCTTATCTGCGCGGTACAATACTAAAGTATGGCTCCCATCCTCCAAAAACGCGCCTTGGCCGGGAAAGAGTGGCTGGAACGCAAACGCGAACGGCTTGTCTGCGTTGAGCCCTCGTCCAGAACGATTTCGGAATGTAAAGAATAGGTGCCAGTTGGGAATACCGCGAAGCGGAAGCTGGAGTTTGATGAGCTCGCCGAATGTAGGCTGGTTGTTGCGCATGAAGACCATTGAATGGAACTGGGTCACGCTGGGCTCGCCGCTGCCCAGGGAGATGGCATTCTCGATAGTACGACCTTCTTGATCACGGACTTCGATCGACACTTGCGCATTTTGTGAAACCGGGCCAGGACGCGTGAAGTTAACCATGCTAAGCCGGGCGGAGCCACTGTAGGAAGATGGGAAGTCCCCCGTCCATAATTTAATGTACAGCTCATTGCGCACGTCTCCAGGAAACACCACGTCGGGGAATCCAAGCCGGAGGGTTAACGGGATGTCTTGCAGAAGAGACATATTCTCTCTGATAATGGTAGCTGAATCGCCATGGAATATCTTCACAGAAACAGCGAGCATCTCGGCCCTGGTCGCAACGTCAGGACACGGAACGGATAATTGATCGTCACGCTCACCTTGGCGACTTCTCAAACTCTTTCACATTATTTGCAATGATGTCCTGATGTAACATCGAGAATAGTGCTTCATTGGTAGGCACAAAGATTGGCATGGAATGCTCCCTCATCGGGCTCACATCCGTGCCATCGATCATCATCTTTGTAAGCTGTGATAGCTCGAGCACTGCGCAGCCAAACGGCCGGCGAAAGTTCATCGGGACATCGGACATCATAGTCGTACGGGAAGGTGTCAATGGGACGTCAGAAAGCGACGCCTCGGATGGCCGACGCCCGCCTTCACCGGGGGCGCCTGACCCCATCGTGTTGTTCATCTTAAGTGCGCCGTTCCGCACGATACGACACACCAGGAATAGCGGGTCCTGCGCATCCGATTGCGCGATATCAGTGAAGAGCGAGCGAATACGGGCGTTAGGGTCGCGGGAAAGCACACCATTGTGATTAAGTACGATGTAGCATTCTTCGGTGACGAAGCGCGGGAATTCGGAGTGCTTGTAGACCGAGAAGAAGAGCTCGGCCGTCTCGCCAGGTGCACAAGGAGTTGCCACGAAGGCGCGGACGTCGAGGAAAATGTGGTAGAATTTAGCTGCAGTTGATTTCTCGGACTGGTAGGGACCCAGTGAACCGACCTGGCGTGACATCGTTTTGTTTCGAGATATATCAGGGAATGCAGAGTGTGCAGGAGTGGGTATGGGTATCGTGGAGAACTCGGTAGGTCCGATGGTGAGTTTGGATGAGTTATCTAGAGGGACATTCATATATGCGAGGGAAGTTTGCATGGCATACATCCTGACAGCACTGACCCAGCTGCGAGGATCGATCTCGCCCTCTACATCCACTGTGACTAGTGCACCCCATGTCGGATGGCGAACGATGATATCAAGCTCCTGCACCACATTGCCGCTCACTAAGCGGGCAACACAGTCCCTCCTCAGACTAACTGTCTCCTCTGCGCTCAATGTCTGCGCCAGCAACTGTCTTCGTCCAAGGTGGAGCGCTTCGATATGTTCGCGGACTGTATGAAAGAGTTTGTAATCGCGCCTTGCGAGGTACTGGAACATCATGCTATGCCATTCTCGAAGAGCACTGGCAATCTCGTCGATTATGGGTTGCATCGTGCCCGAGGCTGTATCATCGCCTGATTTTAGGGACGGACGTGGAGGAAGGGGCTTCATGTTCTCGGATTCTTGCACAGAGTGTATGCTCGCGGGATATACGACAAGGGCGGCGCGAGTGGACTTGGCCTGGTCTGGCGGGGGTCCGAGTTTGAATGATTTGCGTTCGTCATCGTATGTCAGTTCTCTGACTTCCCTATCTCTTTCTCTGTGCTCGCGAGGGGGTTCTGGGCCCGAGTTTGCGCGTTCACGCTTCCATTGTGCAAGGTAGTCTGCGCTAGTTACTGAACCGTTGTGGTTCGAGGAGCCGGCTGTAAGGGAGGTGACGAGATCTGGCAGGCGTCCTTCGGCATCTGAGAGCTCATCACGGACAAAGATATGGGATGCGGGGAATATTCCGATGAAAACCTGTTGCGGTTCCTCGGTTTTGACTGGTTTGGCGGATGAGGATGAAGTTGGGTCCGAGGATGTAGACCAGGTGACTGGTGGAAGGCGGGCAGTGCAAACTACGTAGCTGGATATCATGAGAATGGTAAGCACTCGAGATCACACGAGAACTGGTTTATCAGTATAACGCACCCTCTGTACCATATGCCATCTGCTTGGTTTCCTCTTGGGGTATACTTTTCAAATGCGTAGACCTCGTCGCCAACTTCGAGGGAGACAACATCCCTGTGTACACCACTCTCGTCTGCGGAGCCCTCTGTGATAGTGGACATGGGCCTTTTACTTGATAGCCTTGTATCGCGTTTGGATGGAGATAGCGGGTGGACGGCATAGCCATAGACGATGAGGGGTAAGGGCTCCCAAACGCCCTTGCGCTGTGGGTTTGCAGAGCCCATGTTTGTGTTATGAAGGGTGTTAGTCAAGTCGGTGAGTCGTATAGCAAGGACTGCTTTAACGACGACTTCGGACCTGGCTTGAATTTAGCACGTAATAAACCCGTAAAGACCCTTGAGAAATGTGCCTTAGGTCGTGTTCGTGGACGTCGATAGAAAAGCTCAAAGCGCGCTACACGAGCTGGGAATATGTTGCAGCATAACAAGGCTTCAAATCCACGGATGCCGACATCATCATCATCATCCCATCACATCAACGTTGCCAAACATTGCCATTCCAGCACTTGAGCCAATATTTTTCTTCCAGAAGGCTTAGTAGTACAATGTACCAACCAACTTGGAGTATCTTCGGCGTCTGTCTATTTCAGTTTTCTAGCAGGCGCGTGATGCTCCATGAAACACGTTGGAGCTTGTCTTGGCAGGGATCAGAGTGAGCGATACTCCATGATCTGTATTGCTAAATTCCATTGGCACCATCACGCAGCACTGCACAAGTACCGCTATGCGTACGTTTCATTTGATGCCACATACATAATGGGCGAGTCAAATCTTTTTGATCCTCTGGTGATAACCCACAAAATTGCTCAAGAACCTCTGCGACATTTCGTGTAGCTCCTCTTAATAATCGGCGCCGACAAGTAGTCTTTCATGTTCCATATACCGTGGTCATTGTGTTCGCGCCAGTCCCCCACTCCTCCAGCAAGACCCTGAATATTTATGGTGGCTCGACTCAGAATTTGTGCAACTGCGATGGTTTTTCGATTCAAAAAGCGCACAGTCGATCCAGACAAGGAGCAAATTGACCTTGTCTGCAATCTTTCTTGCTACGATGGATCTTTCACCATAGCGATCTTGATGATATCTTGACCTTGATGCTGCGCTGCATGGATCGCGTTTGTCATGTCATTTACGCCACTGGCTGATACGAGTACCCTGTGCCTCGGCGCTCAACAGCGCCACCAGCAGCACGCCGACTTGTCAGGAATTGGCAACATGCTGATCTCTAATCATGTGGTTGCAGGAACTTTCTTCAATATAAACGCTGTGCCCTCATTTGCGATCTCTCCCAAAATAGCCTGCGTTCACTATCATGTCAGCTCAACAAGCTCTATGGCTTCCTGGTGTTGTACAAGATTTCACCATTGGTCCTAGAGAGATCGACGCACCTGGCCCCGGCGAACTTCTCGTCACAATCATTTCGAGCGGTCTGAACCCTTGAGATTGGAAAATCCAGGAAGAGGTATTTATTTTCGTCCAGTCCCACCCGGCAATCATCGGTGACTGTGGAAGCCGTTGGTGAGGGCGTCACCAATGTCAAGGAAGGAGACAGGGTGTAAGTGGTGCCAAAAATATTTAGTAAGTAGGACAGAATTGACATTTATTCAACAGATTTTTTAAAGCGTACATGAGCAACAAGTTTGCCATCTTCTAACAGGACTGTATCACAGTTGCTGACTTGGCTGCTAAGATGTTGTAAGCTCCAACAAAACCAAGTTTCCGCGTGCTAATTCCTATTTAGATTCTGGAGAATATCTCTTTTGACCAAGCGGCGTCTGTCCAGGATGGCATCATACCCGTCGTAGTTGCCTTGTATGCACAACGGCCTGAAGGCTTGGCTCACCTTGCGCCATGGTTAGAGGGCAGCTCAGGTGGATAACAAGGTCAAGTTACTCCACCACATGTACGGCAACTTCTATGCTCCTCCAAATCGTGAGCTGTGCAAGAGCCTCATGCCCGTGTTGACGCAGTGGCTTGCAGATGGGATAATTCATTTTTGTCGTTCGTTTATGCACGTATGCTGGATACTCATGGTTTTGCACATCAGCCGAACACTGTTGAAGTCGTCCCGGGTGGCCTGAATGGTGCCTCTCCTGGTCTACAGAGGCTGAAGAATAACCATGTCGGCGCTAAGAAACTAGTAATTCGCCCTTGGGAGACTGTATGAAGACCAGAGGCTAAGAGAGGAAAGCACGAAGTTTATCTGACGTGTATGTTATGATCATGAAAGACGTGAAGACCTGAGTCATCTATTCGCGCAGCAAAGGAAATGGATATCATACATGCACCCAACCTTGATGTTGTTTGTCTTGAATAGTAACTTTATGTAAGCCGGCCGTGTTTGCGTAGGCGCTTCCGGTAGATCGCGAGCGCGCAGAACACAAAGTTGTCACGTGGGGATCCTCCTCGCGCGCTTCTCTGGCGAAGGACACTAGTACTGCTATAGCAGTGCTACGTCAACTATAAACAGCAAGTCCACCAACATCCGCGAATGTAGTGTGCAATACTGTCATTGTGTGATTCCTTGGCTGATGCTTCATGGACGCGTAAACGGGGGAAACGAAGGATAATCTCCCTGAAAAGTCCTTGAGGGTAGCACTCGCACATGCATGCTCCCTGAGAGGGTTGTATTACATCGAGTGAAGACGGTAGTGAAATCAAACATCAAACTTGACAACTTGCTCCCCGCCTCCCCGCTCAATCTTTATCAGCTTCTTCGCCACACAAGCATACATCGTTCGTGTGCCACCCGCGCCGCCGCCACCTTCCGCTAGCGCTTCCTTAAGTTTATTGAGTGACATCGAGAAGCCGGGCTGCTTTAGTAGAGTGAGCAAAAGTTGGCAGGTTGCGATTTGTTGTGAGGTGGGCTGGCCAGGGATCATGGATGGCGCAAGCGATGAAAATGAGGATGCAGCGGGGGATGTAGGGGAGGGGGTCTGGGAGGAGAGGGATTCGAGATGGGCACTAGGGCGTGTCAATGGATGAAATATGGAGGGCCGAGGTGAACGTACATAGTCTCCTTTGCTCTTGGAGGTTTGCTTCCTCCTGATACTGACCCCGTGGGGTCGAAAGGATGGCCAGGCATGATGATCTCACCCACCGTGCCCCATATTTTCACCTATCAGCACGTGCCTTAGTTACACACACTTTTGGGTTATGTGACCGAGATACTTACCACAATCTTTTCGATCTCCGCATTCATGCGCACTTTTGGTTTTCTGGCGGACCCAGGAGGCACTACGGCTGGAGACTGCAACTCTGAAATTGCAGGCAATGACGTTTCAGGAGGGGTGGCGCTCTTTAGTGGTGTGGGGTTTGGTGGTAACGACAAGGGCAGTTTCTTGAGAACTACAGTTTGTTCTCCGTCTCCATCATTCACCTCCAGCTCGTCGCCATTATCTGGCAGTTCCTCCCCATCTGGTGGATCAGGCATCACAGAATCATCCTGCCCAATATCGTGTTCTTCGTTGTCTAGGGATTCATCGTCCACAGGAAGACCTAGCGATGATAATACGGACCGGGGCCGAGGAACCGGACTAGTGAAGGACATGATGGATACGTCATTGATGTCCACCTCCTCATCCATGAGCTTTTCGGTGAAGCGAAGCGTACGCGCAGATGCAGCAGGCGTGTTCCAGAACATTTCTTCCTGTGTCTTAGGTACGGTCAGAGGTGAAGGAGCCCTAGCTGGTCTTGGAGCAGGCTTTGGCTTGGGGGCGGGCTTGGAGATGCGAAGAATGTCATCTTTCTGTCAAGGTGTGAGTTTGAATAATAGATAGACATGGGAGGCACATACCTGTTTACGCAATTCGGTAAGACGAGCCTGGAGATCCTGTATGCGCCGTTCCTCGTCTGCTGCATTTGACTCCTGCGGGCTGGTGCCTGATGCGGGATTGCTACTTGTTAACTGCGTGGAGAAGATTAAAACATTGGATATCGAAATTTGATTATGCATACCTCCTGTAATGTTTCACTAAGACCTCTAATTTTCCGTCGCGCCTCATCCAGCTGGTTTATGAGCCCCTGGACCTGGGATCGGGCACGGGGCATTGGGCGAATCGAGTGACTGAAATATCGCACAATACGAGTTCAAACGGGGTATATGTCATTGAAAAACGCAATACATACTACCGATCCAAGTACTTTAGCGCAGCCTGTGCATATACTTCTGGCTCATACTCTCTTGGTTTTGTCATCTCCTGCCTTCGAGAAGGTGGTTTCCTTAGAGGCGTAGCACCGGGAAACTCTACACGAGAGATCACACCCCTCGCTTCAGACTCAGTTGGTACATGAGACGGTGGTTGTACTAGTGTGAAGAGCCCGAGTTCGGATGAGTCGATGTCGCGGATCAGATCACCAAGAGCGGTATCAAGGACGGCTGTTGTAAAGAGCCCATCCGAGGTCGGGAACTCATCTGCAGTGGCTTTAATGGATTTCGAGAGGGAAGTCAAATGGTCGATCTGGTCTGAGAGAGAGGGCATTATGCCGCAATTCAGCAGTTGACAACCGTTCAGCAGGACGACGCGTCTTGCCAAGGACGGGGTCACGTGGGTTGCTTGGCAGCAATCGAAGCTTAAAATTGCCTAAACCTAAAATGATAAATCACAGCAGCGCTCGGCTCAATGCGCTTGCAACGATTTCAGTGATTTAGCCGTCGTCGAGGACTCGGACTTCCGAAGTTTTCATTTACCCCAGAGCTGGTTTATCTACCCGTAAAATGTCTTGAACTCCACCGCGTTCGTCTTTCATCTCGCAGGCATTATCTTTTCGACGTGTCCGCGGTGCACACTCTGCAGGGTAGTAATTGTAATATCCGGGATACCTTGTGAATTCTAACAAATTCAAGGTGAATGATAGTAGCCTGGGAACTGGAATGGATCCCCACCAGTACTTTGTGAAGTCAGCAGCGTGAGCGACGCACTCACGAGACAGCGGACAGTGACGTGGCGATCAACCACTCCGATCGTCGCTAACCAATGACACGACAGGGAAAGACTAGGCGAGACTCTACATAACGAAGGCCACCTGCGCAGATAACTCATCAATAATGTCTCTTCCTTCATCCCCAACAGAATTCGATATCATTTTCGCAGGAGGTCAGTAACATCGTTCGTAGCCGCCTAGCTCTTGACATAGCGTTTTGTATGCAGGTGGTACTGCAGCCTGTGTTGTCGCAGGTCGCCTAGCTGAATATGATCCCTCGCTGAGGATATTGATTCTGGAAGCGGGTCAACACACCCTCAATAAAGATGCTCATGTGCAGCCCTACCAATATCCCTTCCATCTAGCTCCGACGAGCACCACGATGTCAGCAATCGTTGGAAATCCCTCTCCTAATCTCAACGGCCGTGCACCGATCGTTTCCTGCGGTCGTTGCGTTGGCGGAGGCTCAAGTGTGAATTGTCCGTAACATTCTTGCAACAATGAACAGGACTCTGACGATTAAACAGTTCTGGTGTACACTCGTGCACCGACTTCGGACTTCGATGACTGGAGAGCCGATGGTTGGGAATCTGAGAATTTAATTCCTCTCATGAAGAAGGTCTCGAACGCATTATCAGTATATTTGTTAAAGCTAATCCGTTCACTTTATAGCTGGAGACATATGAGGTGCAGCCAGATCGTCCAACCCACGGGTACGACGGACCTATAAAGGTGTCCTCTGGTGGGTGTAAAATGGGTCTTTCCGACGAGTTCATCCAGGCCGGCATAACCTATCACAAGAGGCCATATTCAGAGGACACTAATGATTTGGAAACATGCAACACATACAGTGTGCGTTACTGATGTCCCTTCACTGCGTGCTACCACTAACGTGATTCATCTTAGCCATGGCGGAAGTGAGCCTATGGTCGTGGTCTACTACGAATTAGACTGATTCAGATTAGGTTCATTGACTCAAAAACCGGGAAACGTTCGGACGCAGCCCACCACTATGTCTACAACCAAGCTCACAACTTGAATCTGCACGTCTGGGATGGAAAGCGGGTGAAACGAGTCCTCTTCGAGTGAGTGGTCTATCTGTGATCGCAACCACAACAGCACCTTGATGGTATTTCCGAACGACAGGGACAAGCGTGCTGTAGGTGTTGAGTACACCAGCGACCCAATATCTTGCCCAGGCGCGGATCAGTCGACGAGTATTGTCAGAGCATCCAAGCTTGTTGTTATCTCTGCTGGGGCGTTCGGTTCCCCGACCATCCTGGAGAGGTCTGGGATCGGTGCTGAGGCAGTTCTCAAGCGATGTGGTATCGAGCAACTAGTGGATTTGCCCGGAGTTGGTGAAAATTTCAACGGTGCGCTGTCTTCCATTTATACATGACCTTGGCTTAAGGTCATCAGATCACAATGCCGCCTTTGTTCCATACTATGTTGCTGACGAGAACGTTACCATGGATGCCCTCTGGCGTCAGGAAGAGAGCGCTCTACAAGGTAAGCATGTTCTTGTTATGTTCATAGCCTATTTAGATTCACCTAAATGCAGAAAACCTTGCGCAATGGAAAATCGATGGCAAGTCGCTCGTTGCACAAAAGTTCGTACATTTAATCACAGCTGACAACATGCTGACTAGCATTCCAGTGGCGGTGACGCAAAAATCAAGTGGCGTCCTGATACGGAGGAGCTGGAGGCCATGGGTCCGGCTTTTCAACCACGATGGAAGGAGTTCTTCCAGGACCGCCCAGACAAGGCCGTCGCAATATTTGCCATCTTTTCGGGGTGCGTGAAATTTACTTTGCTCCTATGGCATTCAGATGCTCACGATAGCCAGATACGCGGGGCCACTTATAGGAGTCCTCCCTCCTGGGAAGTACACAAATTCCAGCTATTATACGGTATTGCTCTCCATCTACTCCTGGCCCGTTCTCTGAATATTTCAATAGCTTTACCCGGCCTCTGTTGGAAGTGTTCATATTAAATTGGAAGAGGATGGTAAGGAAGGAATCGACTTTACATCAGGCTTCCTAGACGAGTGAGTTGACACATTTCATTTCAGAGCACTCATGTGATTATGACATTCTACACAGTCCATCCGATATCGTACCTCTTAACTTTGCATACAAGAAGATGCGCGAGATCTATCGACGCATGCCTTCTTACCGAGGTGAAATCACCGCTGGTCATCCTAGTTTCCCGGAGGGAAGCGCTGCAGCCTGTGGGAAACAAACTGGGCCAGTGGACTTGAATGCGCCTGACATCATCTACACTGCCGAAGATGACAAAGCGATTGAGAAATTCCACCGTGACAACGGTAAGTCCAGAATTGCTATCTCCATCGTCACGATAAAATACTGAATCGAACCGCAGTGCAAACGACTTGGCACTCGGTGTGTGCAACTGTGACGCTTTGATGATTATACATGAGGTATCTGATCCTTGTGTTTGTAGCTTGGGACTTGCGCCATGAAGCCAGAGGCAGATGGAGGAGTCCTTGATGCTCGGCTAAACGTATACGGTGTGTCGAACCTGAAGGTCGCAGATATGTCTATCGCGCCGTTGAATGTTGGCACGGTGGGTACCGATTAGTGAATTATTGACGTATGGTCTGATGTCTCTTCAGAACACGTATTCGACGGCGCTCCTTATTGGAGAGAAGGCTGCGATGATCATAGCTCAAGACTTGGGCATTGATTGCAGATCATGAACGTCGTGATGGGCGTGTCGTTTGATACTCATCTTTGCGTGAGTGATCGTGAGCATGTTCTGTACAAATGCTTGTTATAATGATGGCATGTAAGAATACACGATCGGATACCACGGCTGGAATAGCGCTTCCCAGTGCCATTCGACAGTCTTAGATATCTGAGCAATAAACGGAGGCAAACAAAACGGCCAAGCAGAGCAGGAATGCTAACGAAGTAAATCATGGCTTCGCGTGACATCATGAGCAGTGCGGGACGTAGTGTCATTCGAGTTCAGTGATGATAACATCTGCGAGTTCGGGCACCGTGTAGGTAGTGCCGCCGCGCAGGTCTTCCCAGGTTTGTTTGCCAAGGTGAACAAGTATTTTGCTTTGTGCGAGGTCGAATACAACGCGGAGGATTAGCCACAGCAAGACCTGAGGAGATTATTATCATAGGTTATCATGTAAATTGGCGATGGCGAAAGTGGGACAACTTACTTGGCTTAGTGCATTGACGTCCTCTTTGCGTTCAATTTCCTCTTTTTCCAAAGCTGCAGTTCCCAGGTCTTGTTTCTCTTAACTTCTGTGATTAAGTATTGTGTTGCTCGTCCAGCATTGCCTGCAAGGTCCGCGATAACTACCGTCACCACCTACTACCAGGGTCATAGTAACCATCTTCGGAAATCGCCGAAGCTTGTAATTATCTTTTTTTGTACGGCATTCCCTTTGTCCCTTCTGTGTCAGGCTTTAGCATCGGTCTTATAGCAAGACGACGTGCATGCTTCTTGCCAGTCCGTGTTTCACCGCTTATACTTCACTGATGCTGTCCCAGGGGTCCAGCCGACCGTCCAGGTCCGATTTATCTGTAGACAGAATGATCTGTTTAGTTTTGCCAGGTCATCACGCAGGTTCAACCGAAGTCATCCCCAATGGAAACCTAGAGGAGATCATGAGCAGCGGTGACGCACACCAGTCCTCACCGGTCACGCGTACGATCTGAGTCGATGTCTTCGTGGGCCGGTTGCGGCCCAGCTGAGTTTGAGTATGCTCAAATGGAGTTGAACGTGATGCTGCGTGATTGGATGATATGATCTGGCGGGCGCAGGACGTTGCCTTATGTTGTGGGTCACAAGATTTTGCGGACCGAGTGCGCGGAGCAAATGAGGTGTTTGCGAGCAACAATGCGTCGACTTACCCGCGCCATTCTGTACGCCACGAATTTAATCACGCAGTATATCACATGCACCCCGTGTTATTCAGGTTCAAATCACTAGACGTGGCCTATCGAGCAACGACTTCGATCCATTATTGTCCATCACGGTCTCAATCGTATGCGTGTGATTCGTGGCGTATTGCAAGCCCCAGATGGGCTGCGCACTACCTACGAGGGTTGGCGCTTCAACTTGGGTGAATATTATAAGATGGAGGCAGTGAGTGGTTGCCTGAAAGTAACCCTCCGTATTGATGTCTCATCCAATCTTGTCAGAATTCGATATCATTTTTGCTGGAGGTGAGCAAATAACATCTTGCTGTGGTTTTCCCTCATCACACAGCACTTTGTACAGGTGGTACTACAGCTTGTGTTGTCGCAGGTCGCCTAGCTGCATATGATCCCTCGCTGAGGATATTGATTCTGGAAGCGGGTCAACACACCCTCAATAAAGATGCTCATGTGCAGCCTTACCAATTTCCCTTCCACCAAGCACCGACGAGCACCACGGTCACATTCAACATCGCAAATCCCTCTTCTCGTCTCAACGGCCGTGGACCGATCGTTTGCTGCGGTCGTTGCGTTGGTGGAGGCTCATGTGTGAATTGTGTGTAGCATGCTTACAACAATGAATAAGACTCTGACAATGAGGCAGTTATGGTATACACCCGTGCAGCTGCTTCTGACTACGATGATTGGGGAGTCGATGGTTGGGAATCTGAGAATTTGATTCCCCTCATGAAGAAGGTCTCGAATACGTTATCAGTATATTTGTCAAAGCTAATCCGTTCACTTTACAGATTGAAACATATGAGGTGCAGCCAGATCGTCCAACCCACGGGTATGATGGACCTATCAAGGTGTCCTCTGGTGGGTGTAAACTAGATATCGCCGACGAGTTCATCCACGTCGGCACGACCTATCACAAGAGGCAATATGCAGACGACACCGATGATTTGGAAACATGCAATACATACAGCGTGCGCTACTGATGTTCCTTCCGTATCTGCGACCACTAACCAAATCCATCTCAGCCATGGATGAAGTAAGCTCTATACTCGTAGTCCATTGCGAATTTTAGCTTACGTATCAAAGGTACATTGACGGGACAACCGGAAGGCGTTCGGATGCAGCCCACCACTATGTCTACAACCAAGCTCATAACCCAAATTTACACGTCTGGGACGGAAAACGGGTCAAGCGTATCATCTTCGAGTAAGTGGGGTACCTGTGATCGCAACCGCAGCAAACGATTGACGGTTTTTCCTGACAAAAGGGACAAGCGTGCTGTAGGTGTCGAGTTCACCAGTGACCCAGTGTCTTGCCCAGGCGCGGATCAATCGACGAGTATTGTCAAAGCATCAAAGCTTGTTGTTGTCTCTGCTGGGGCGTTTGGTTCTCCGCGCATTCTCGAGAGGTCTGGGATCGGTGCCGAGGCAATCCTCAAGCGATGCGGTATCGAGCAACTAGTGAATTTGCCTGGCGTCGGAGAAAATTATCAAGGTGCAGTTTTAGTTTTATCCGTGTATTCCATGAGCTTGACTGAGGACCGTCAGATCACAATTGCGTCTTTGTTCCATACTTGGCTGCCGACGACGTTGTTACCATGGATGCCCTCTGGCGTGGGGAGAGTGTCCTACAGGGTAAGCATATTCTCACCATGATTCCAGTACCTTACAACAGCCCAAATGTAGAAAGCCTTGTGGAGTGGAACAGTAGTGGAAAGTCATTGATTGCACAAAAGTTGGTGCAAGTTATCGCTACTAGCAACGTGCTGATTTGTATCTCAGTGGTCTCAATGCAAAAATCAAGTGGCGTCCTGATGACGAGGAATTGAAAGTCATGGGTTCAGCTTTTCAGCCACGATGGAAGGAGTTTTTTCAGGACCGCCCGGACAAGGCTGTTGCAATATTCGCCGTCTTTGCGGGGTGTGTGCATATTACTTTACTTTAATGATACGCGAATGCTCATGGCACCCAGAAATGTTCCACCCTCGGATATCCTTCCTCCTCGCAATTATATGACTGCCGGCTATTACACAGTATTGCCACCCATCTACCTCGTGATTTGTTTTCTGAAATTATTCAATAGCTTTACCCCGTGTCAGTTGGAAGCGTCCATATCAAAACGACGGACCACGGCAAGGAAGAAATGGACTTTACTACAGGCTTCCTAGATGAGTGAGTCGACGCATTTTATTTTACGAGGCTTTGTGCGACTACGATTATCTGCACAGTCCATCCGATATTGTACCTCTTAGCTTCGGGTATAAGAAGATGCGCGAAATTTTCCGACGCATGTCTTCCTACCGAGGTGAAGTTACTGCTGGCCATCCTGATTTCCCTGAGGGAAGCGCTGCAGCCTGCAAAGAAGTGTCCGGGCCAGTGGACTTGAATGCCCCGGACATCATCTACACTGCCGAAGATGACGAGGTGATTGATAAATTCGTCCGTGACAATGGTAAGTCCCGAATTTCCATCCCCATCGTCATGATCAAACACTTAGTTGAACCTGTAGTGCAAACGACGTGGCACTCGGTGTGTGCAGCTGGACCTTGCATAATTTCACATCTGATCTTTGTATGTGTAGCTTGGGACTTGCGCCATGAAGCCGGAGGCAGATCAAGGAGTCGTCGACGCTCGGCTGAACGTATACGGCGTGTCGAACCTGAAGGTCGCAGATCTGTCTATCTCGCCGTCAAATGTTGGCACGGTGGGTACCGTACAGGGGATTGTTGATGTGCAGTCTAACGCTATCCACAGAATACGTATTCGACGGCGCTTCTCATTGGAGAGCGGGCTGCGATGATCATTGCTGAAGATTTGGGCATCAATTGCATTTGAAATGCTTCGACATGATTATAAGTATGTATTCGGCGGATACATTTTTGTGATAGCAATGATACGAACTGGGGAGCTTGGTCCCCCGGTAGGAAGGCAGTATTAATGAACAATTGGTGACAGTTTTGCAGATTATGTATGCAGTAAATTTTGTATCGCGCTCCAGCAGCTGCTTGTAATTGTAACATCAAATGCCGAGCGGAGTTCGCTTCAGGCAGACATATACACGTGCCACAAATGCTGTTGCTTCGAGTGAAAAGTCACACATTGAACTTCGTTGCCGACAAAACTCGAAACCAAAATTTTAAAACCGATATCAATATGATGGCTACAATTTGCCTACAAAGCTTCGAGCTCGGAGCGTACTAAACCCACTGCACAGTACATGATATGTATAGCGATCAAAGAAGTCCCATTAATTGCCGCAGCAACTCTATGGTCCGTTGGCCTACGCATACGTGAATTTCTTTGCGACCTCCGAAGCCAACTCTGGCTTCATGCCGCATTGACCCTCGAGGCCCTTCTGTAGTCTGTCCTGCAATTTCATATTCTCCGGATCAGGATGCCTGAATGGTCGCATGATCGCGCTGACTAGCCCCTCCCGCTTCCATCCCCCCACCACTGGCGGAATGGCATACTGCCGTATCAGGTCATGCACGGCCTTCCTCGATGCCCTGTACTTTGCTTCTTCCTTCTTCAAAGTTGTTACGCATGCATGCCCCTCCACGACGATATGGGATGTCTCATACACCTTTTGGTTCCGCGTCCACCATGCCTCCATGTCGTCCTCGTCTTCAAGTTTTGTCACGACCATGACTATGGGAACTCTTCCTTGATATAACACTTCGCGGAATAACTGGTAGTTGCTCTCCAATGCGCTATTACCACGGCTTTTTTGAACGCAATACACCAACAGACTGGTGCCGCCGCATGCATCAAGCTCGCGGAGAAGGCGGCTGGCATTCTTGATGGACCGGTCATATTCACGTGACTCGATTTCTGGGTTCTCGATGCCCATCGTGTCGAAGATATTATATTGCACCCCATCATCAAAGAGCCCGGGCAGCACATATTTCTTCCATGTGAGGGTGCAGCGATTGAGGTTGGAGCTAATTTTAGCGATGTCTTTGTCTTGGTTTGCAATGAGGTTTATTAGGGAACTTTTCCCGGCGCCCATTGCGCCGAAGATAACTATATTTTTAGCGTGCACAGCGATTTTCTTCTTCGCCATCGTGTTGTGTACAATGGGTGGATGGCGAGTTTTTGGAAGTGGTTGAGGTGAAGCGGCTTGTTCCTTTGGATGGTCGGAATTGACGAATTTACCTAGCTAGGATCTTGTCAGGGCTGATGCCCTGCGCCCTTATATGATGCAGAAGCTTTCTGCCACGACCTTTCCTCCTGATTCGATACTTTGACACGCAACAGCCGCGCTGCTATGGGTGGAGGCGTAACTACGATACGTGTTGGGTATATTCAGGGTGTGCGTTAAGCATATCGTCTTGCAAACTCGCATGCAGAATTGCAAGCATGAGGCGGAGGAACTACTGTAGGCGAGTGTGCTCCATTTTGAAGCTTCGTGTCTCTGACGATGTGAGCTAGGAAGAATAGCAAGATCGAAAATTCTCGTCCCACCTTCCAATCGTATTACATGTTGATAACCGATCCCAATGATACAACCACGACGTCTAGCTATCGTAATGAGTCAACATAGCGAAAGTTCCATCATCCGGTACTAGTAAATTTTTGAATCACTTCTTTTGCTAGGTTCTCCTCCATCCCGCAACGCTTCGTGAGGACACCGAGAATGTCTGACTTGCTTGGACGCCCCGTCAATATGTCTTTCAACTTTCCTACGAACCTGGCAAGCCACCCATCTCCTCCGTTCCAGTCTACCACCGTATCCTCATGCCGTGTGATCAACTTGCACACTTCTGCGTTGGACGCATCGTACTTCTTCCTATATTTCGGGTCCAGATTTGCCGCTGCAGTGATACAAGCATGATCAACACACTTGACTGCATGGCGGTCGAACGATCCCTTGTTTCGCATGTACCAATCGTCCATGGGATCCTCCCTCTCCAGGTGAGTAACGATGAGCGCAACTGGTATCTTCTCCTCGAAGAAAAATTCATAGAATAGCCTGTAGTTGGTTACGAACGTTGGTGGTATCCTGCCCGCCTTGATGCAGTACAGCAGCAGGTGGACTCCTCCTCTATCTTTAAGCTCCTTCATCAACTTGTCGGCATTCGTGACGGCGTCGAGAAATCCGCTAGGGTCCATGCGGTTGCCGTCGACCCCGGCAGTATCATAGATGCGATACAATGCGCCGTTGATGGGAACATCATACGCTCGATAGGACAATGTACAATGTTTGGCGTCTGGAGAAGTTTTAGCAAGCTGGCGCCCTGCTAGGAGGTTGATGATGGAGCTTTTCCCGACGCCGCTCTCTCCAAAAATGACAATATTCTTGGTAGCCATCGGCAATGGACCTAGCACGGTGGTTCCTCAGCACTGGGTTTTTAGCTAGCAGACGCACAACAGTGAGCTCACGATTATGGCAAGGTTGTTTCTTCTGGCTGGGTGGATGATCTTCAGTTGGGGCGATGGGTCAACGGCTTCTTATGCCACTGTGGGGCACGACGCGGTGCACAACGAAGGTTGCCATCTGCAAAGCGAACATGAGGCTGGATATTGACTACCCTTTTTCGTTGAACCCAGAACCCAACTTTGGCAGGTGGAACGTGCAAGCAACGCTGTACAGCGCTCGTTGTGAAATGGAATCGATCGTCGTTCTAGAAGGGTCGGAATCTATGACCGCCCGCCCTCCCAGAGGCTGATCCAGGTCCATGGTTGGCCAGGATATGTCGACCCATGCCCGAGGATACAAGCCACCGGTTGTGCTGCTCGCTGTTGGCAGGTAGACCGTGATAGCGTTTTCGATGTCGTCAAGCCTCAGGCAACCGTCTAGTCTCGATAGGTCATTAACAGCACGTGCAAATCTTGCGTCCGCATCCTGCTTCGGAAGCTATCTGGGGAGCTGGCCGAACCCTGTGGTAGCACCAAAGCAAACTCGAATGAGTTGTTTAATATGTCCTATCTTGGTCCACCATATTTAGTAACTACCCACTAATGGTCCCAGCTACCTCAGAATTATAATTATTAGATTGTCATCATCGATTTGATCCGAGGTTGGCTTTATAGGCTCATACACGACATAAGTATGCACATCGCCGGTGCGTTGACATTTATTGTTTAGCTCATGGCATACAAGGACGAATCGAAATAATCACTGAAGAACGCCCGAAGGAGGGTTCCTTCGTCATGATACTACATAGTGATCGCACGCCATCCAAACGCCCCGTTGCCTGCATGCATCAATATTACGTACCAGGTCATCAATTTATCAAGTGTCCTTCAGGGCAAAAGCCCACTACACAGGTGGCAATCATGGATCTTTCCAACATGTTCCAGGAAGCATGCTGGAGGGGATAGAAGCGCAATTCTGCTTGGACAATGGTCCGCGCTGTACATTGGAATAGTCTCAGAGAGTGAAGAGAAAACGCCGATAAGCTGAGCCCTGAGGCCTGAGGTACGATCGATATGATCGATGACGGAACATTTGTTAAGTATATACTACTTTATGTGATGATCAGGTGGCTTTGATGTGCGCTGTATAGCACCAACAGATACCAATAAGCTTGTGAAGAAGGTGCAAGATATGAAAGAGCGTCAAGATAGTCTGGATGCGAACACGCGCATGACATAGCTGCTAGGTTTTCTTATGGCATTGGTTTTGAACCCCGGTGAGAGCCGAATTGCACAATTTGAAAAGATCGCACAGCGCAGCTAGTCTGCTTCACTTCCTGGAACCCACCTCCTGTAAAGTAAGCCTAACCATGGCGGAGCTTGCGCCTGCCAGTGGATAGTGAGTCGTTTCACATAATGTGTCTTGACCCTTGATCATATTTTGTAGCAATGTCCCTGACTTCACAACTCAAATTTCTGGAAGGCTCGAATATCCAATTGCATCTGGATCGTTCAGCGAAGTTTATCTGCTCACCATCAAGTCCAACGAAGGCACAATGGAGGTTTGTCTGATCAACTTGCATGAGCTCATCAATCGTCTATCTGATATGAATATCCATCAGGTCGCAGTGAAGGTGTTCAAGATTGACCATCGGAGAGCTATGGATAAAATTCAACATGTCAGTCATCTAGCTAGAGTGCCATATCGACACTTCGATCAATGATTGTAGACAATGCGTCGGGAGCTCAAGGTGTGGCTCAGACTGTCCAAACACCCAACTATCGTGCCGTTACTTGGTATCGCACACGTCGGATCTCTATTGCCGGCTCTTATTTCTCAATGGATGCCATCTGAGACATTAGATAGGTGAAATTACCGCATCCGCTAAAGTTGAATTGGTCAGTCTAGATCTCATTCACAACAATTGAACATGCCAAGGGTTGATGAATTTTAATGCTACTAGGCCAAGGGCGTCGCTGATGGCCTTGAGTATCGTTCGTAGATTTCTATTATATCGTTCTTGTCGTTCTTGATCCCTATTACTATCTAGTTCACTCCGAGAATGTCGTTCATGGAGACCTCCATCCTGTATGTCCTGTCGTCTTTCTGTGGGATGCAGCACTCATTCTTAAGCTTCAGGGGAATGTACTCATAGATGGTTCAGGGCATCCACATCTCACAGATTTTGGTCTCGCAACAGTCGCAGGGGACGCAGAGTTACAGTTGTCCATAACGACCGCATCCCGCGTCTTGGATCCTCGATGGCGTGCGCCTGAAGTCATTGGAATCGAATGTGATCCTGGACGACCGACTATCAAGAGTGATGTATATTCTTTTGGTGGTGTCATGTTCTTTGTGCGATTTCTGTGTTTTTCGGCAGTTCTATTCTAAGGTCTTGCCTCTCAGATCGTCTCAGGGGTTATACCATGGAAATAGCAGAAAAGACCATATCCTATCATCGTTGAGCTATCAAAAAGGGCGACTCCCGCACGTCCCAACAACATTTCTGACGATGACTGGAATTTAATTCAACAATGCTGGTGTTGGGACCCCGTAGGTCGCCCAGAGGCAACGGAAGTCATTAGATGCATTGCACCGAAAACCACCACAATTTTAGAAGAGACCAAAATGGCTGGAAGGTAGGTGCTTTTCAGATACTGTTTGCGCTGTATTCTTCTAACCTCGAACCCTACATAGCACTATCCAGACCATCCTTCCTAAAATGGCTGCAATGTACGTAGTCCTCAAATGCTCTTCGTACTGTAGTTGTCTAATATTGATAAGTAGGATAAAGGACGACACAACTTTCAGTATGTCCGATACCACTGCCAGACTGGAGGGGTTGCAACTTAACCGGTACCATGTCCCTCCTAAAACGCATGTAGTTTCCGGATGCTCTATATTTTTAATATATTAATAAGTGAGGACAGGCATAAAACTATCGTGCTCTTTGGGGAGACAGGGGCGGGCAAAAGCTCACTCATCAATCTCATGGCAGGCAAGGATGTGGCGTACACATGTCCTGACATGGGGCCGCGGTGCTGTACGATGCATTGACAAGAGTATGACATCAACTTCGGCAACACGCATTATAAGGTCTTCGATACCGCGGGACTCGAGGAAGCGCAGCTGGGAATCAGAGAGTACCTCGAGTGCGTCGAAAACGCCTATCGGTTCATCGATGAGCTAGATAAACAAGGTGGAATCGATCTGCTTCTATTCTGTGTTAGCGCCGGCAGAGTCGCTGCTACATTTCAGGCCAATTACCGACTCTTTCACGAATTCCTTTGCGACAAGCAGGTTCCCATTGTTCTTGCGATCACCAACCTCGAAAGAGAGGCGAGGATGGAGGATTGGTGGGACAGACACCAGAGCATCTTCGTACGTTATCAGGTCCTGGTCGATGGCCATGCGTGCATCACTTGCGCCAATAGATTGGACGGCAGGTATAAAGACCTTTATGAAGAATCGCGCGTTACCATCCGCAATGTCGTTGCAAAATTTACCGCCGACGGGCAGAAGCAAGCATGGATTGGAGGGGACAGGCATTCGGTGTCGTTGATGCGTAAGCTAAAGGAGTTGCTTGTAGTGAAGAGTTGGTCTGTGAAAGATATTGTCCCTCATCTCACGAAGCGTTGGGGTCTATCTCGAGACGTCGCAACAACATTAACTAAAATGATCAAGCAAGACGTAGAAGCCACTTGATCGTTTTAACCCCTTTCTATGTCTTGTGCTCATTTGATTGCAATTGTACACTTCGTCCTTGTAGGCTGGTACGTTGCACATGGTTGACATTTCGCGAGGTCAGTACGACGGTCTCACGAGTCACAAGGAGCATTAATGCTGGGTCCAGCCAAGCAAGCTGTTGCGGCAAGCACTTAAGTTATTAGTAATATTGCAACGTTAACGCAAGCGACAAGCATTTATACGGTACCATCAGATCAAAGATGCAAGAACTATGTTTGACTGCCAAAGAAAACATTCGACCGCTCATCCATGCTCTACCTTGCACTTCCACTAGAAGTAGGAGGCGTAGATGCACTCCCACTGCCGCAGCACCACTTGCCATACTCCCGTCTCGCACGCTCGTTTCCCATTTCAACACCCCAGGCGATTTCCACTGATACTTATCTGTCTCGCAAGTTACTAGACATTATGCATCGAGAGGGCTCTCCGAAGCTCAGGTGAGCCCATACGCGGAAGCGTAGTCACGCAGGTATGGCTGAACGCTCGAGATGGCTGTGGATGGAAGGCGAGTCGGAAGTGGATGCCGTTGTTGGGAACATTTGGGGTGGGTCATCGGAGGTGGGGAATGATACAAGTGCGTCTGCTTTGGCTTGTAGGGATTCTGAAATGGCTTTTGGAGAATCGACGGCTACACGGTCTTCAACTGCTGTACTCCGTTTCGGGCGACGTCATATCCTGACTTTAGGATCTATCTGCGGACGCGCTGATATGGCCGGCCCACTTGGATGCGAGGAGGCCTCGAGTTCAAGAAGCTCCCTATGTGAGCCCTGTTCAATGACCCGTCGTCCTTGAGAATCACCGCAACAAATCAGCACACCACGAAGAAAACACACCGGGACCGCTCACAAATTAGTTCTGTCAATCGTACTCAACTGATGCGCAATATTCAAGCAACTCCTCCCATCAACAAGCTTCCCAAGCACACCCTCCAACGCACTAGTAACCTCGTTCAAAAGCAACACTCTCGGGTTCTTCACCATGGTCCTAGCAATCACAATCCGTTGCCTTCGCCCCCACTCAACACCCTCTCTCCAACTTTTGTATCGTACCCCTCAGGGAAAGTCATGATATGGTTGTGCCTTGGGCGCTTGAAATGACGGTGCTGTGGGGTGGTGCTGTGGTGGAAGGTTGGGAAAGTGTCACTGTTCGGATATGTTGTCCGTCGATTAGGATGTGACCTTGTCCTGGTTAGACCAGTAGAGGATGGGAGGGTTGTGCTTTTGCTTGCGCCTGACTCGCTGACTCGGGCTACGCGTCCGAGTCCTCTGCTGTGAAAGAGATGTTGTGGAAGGGTGTTTGGTTGTTGTAGGAGAAGCACACATTTTCTGTGGAGTGGTTGATTAGGATGGAGGGAGCGACATTGCGTACCAAATTCGACCTCACCATTTTCGACCACCAAATTTAAGTGGCCTGCACCACAGCTGCCAGAGCAAGGTGATAAAACCGATGTAGTATGAAGCCAGCCCGTAGTACGTATGTACTACTAGTTGTAGGTCTCAATATTATTACAGAAAGTTCGTGGGGCTACGTCACGTGTACATGATTGTCTTTGCAACTTTTGAAGCAAGCTTTTTCTTCATGCCGCATTGACTCACAAGGTCCTTCTGTAGTTTATCCTCCTTCGGATCTGTACGTAGCCTGAACTGCCGCTTGAACGCTCCGACTAGCCCCTCCTTCTTCCACCCCCCTAACACTGGCGGAACGTCCGCTTGCTCCCGGATCAGCTTACGCACGGCTTCCCTCGATGTTTTGTACTTCACACCTTCCTCCGTCAGGGTCGTTACGCACGCATGCCCTTTCACCGCGATTTTGAAACGCTCTAACTCTTCTTCGTTCCGCGTCCACCATTCCTCCATATCGCGCTCTTCCTCGAGGCGTGTCACGATCATGACTATCGGGACTCGACCCTGATATAACACTTCGCGGAACAACTGGTAGTTGCTCTGCAGCGCGCTACTCACGCGGCCTTGTTGAATGCAATATACCAACAGATTTGTACCGCCGCTTGACTCTAGGGCGCGGAGAAGACGGCTGGCATTCTTGATGGACTCGTGGTACTCGCGTGGCTCGATTTCCGGGTTCTCGATGCCCATCGTGTCGAAGATATTATATTGCTCCCCATCATCAAGGAGGTTGGGTAACTCATATTTGATCCACGTGAGTGTGCAACGCTTGAGATCGGAGCCAGTCTCAGCGATGCGTTTGCCTGCGATGAGGTTTACGAGGGAACTTTTTCCGGCGCCCATTGCTCCAAAGACAACGATGTTTTTAGCGTGGACGACGCTCATCGTGATGCGTATGGTGGGTAGATGCCGAGTTTTAGGGGGTGGTAGGTAGTAGTCAAAGTGAAACGAATTGTTCGCTTGGGTGGTCAGAATTGACGAGAATTTTCTAGCTAGGATATGTCAGGCTCAATGACCTGCAGTTATATAATGCTGGTGCCTTCTGCCACGACTTTCCGTGCCCTTAGATACTTTGGCACGCGACATCCGCGTTGCTAGGGGTGCAGGCGTGACCGGGATCGAGTTGGGTTTGTTGTTCAGGGTATGCATTAAACATACCACCTTACAGATTGGCACGTAGAGCTGCAAGCATGAGGTGGTGTTGTGAGGTATACAAGACCTCAGTACGGGTGCTAGTGGTGCAGCTGGGCAGCAGACATAGAAATTACTTTACGTGGGTGCACTCCACGTTCAATCTTTGCGTCTCTAACGATGTGAGGTAGGATGAACAGCAGGATTGAGTATCCTAGTCCTACCTACCAGTCGTATTACATGGCGAGTACCGATCCTAATGATACAACCCCTGCATCCAGCTATCGTAATGAGTAAACATGGCAAAAGTCCTGTCATCTAGTAAGTTTTTGAATCACGTCTTCTGCTAGGCTCTCCTCTATCCCGTAGCGCTTTGTGGGGACACCGGGAGTGTCTGACTTGCTTGGACGTCCCGTTAAGAGGTTTTTCAACTTTCCGGTGGACCTCGCAAGCCATGTATCCCCTCCATTTCGGCAGTGGCCTAGCACGGCAGTTCCTCAGTACCGTGTTTTTATTTAGCAGGGGCACGACGGTGAGCTCACGATTATAACAAAGTTTTTCTTCTGGCTGTGTGGATGATTCGATGAGAGTGATAAGTCAACAGCTTCTGATACTTACACCACTGCAGGCACAACACGGTGCACAATGATGGCTATGACCTGCAAAGCGAACATGAGGCTAGATATTGACTAACCTTTTTTGTTGAACCCAGAACCCAACTCTGGTACATGCAACGTGCCCGCAACGTTGTGCGGCGCTCGCTGTGAAACGAAATCGATCGCACCCTCCAGTGATCCACTGTGGATATGTTGAACTCTACCTCTTGAGATTCATATACCCCGCACCACTGCATGACCTGCCAGCGATCGTGCTGCTCGCTGTCAGCAAATAGACCACGCTGCGGCGCCCAATCCGAGCACGAAGTGTACAGTTGGATCAGACGCAATGTGGATAAGGTGGAGAACTGGAATAGAGGGGATAGTAGGTAGCCAGGTTCATTGAAAAGTCAAAAAAACCTCATAATGGGGCGCCCAAAGAAGTCAGACGAAGTTCTTGGGGTACTTGCAACTGGATTTGGCACATTGTCACATTGCCTGCAGCCCCCAAACTGGGACCCAGACAACCCCCCTGACCAGAATCCGTGGATAATTGCACCCAGAACTAGCTATCTCTGTAAGCTAGATACTCGTGAATTCTGACCCACTTAGGCTTGTCCAGATAACCAATTAAATGTACATTTCATACTACTTGACAATCGCAGCAAAACGTTGCTCGCACGTTGCGCCTGCGGAAGCTGAGTCTAGATTCAGCGCAAAAGGGTGATCAAGCGTCCACCCTCGTGTTCTTTTTGCAACGAGCACCACTATTTCATGTCTGCAGTGGCATAAGTATGAGCATCCACCCGGCCAGAAGCAATAACTTGCTGTAATCGTGAGTTCACCGTAGTGTCCCTGCATCGTGCTGAAACCAAGTATTGACGAATTGCTGCGCTAGGTCTATTGTTGATGGCTACCAAAAACGTTGTCGTTTTTGGAGAGCGTGGCGTTGGAAAAAGCTCCATCGTCAACCTCCTCGCAGGGCACAAGGTCGCTAAGACCTCCCCAGACACCGATGTTTGTACATTGCATTACGAAGCGTATGATGTTACCATCGAGAACGTGCCGCATCGCATCTATGACACTGCCGCGGCCGACAGCGACCGCGTAGACCCTAGCGGATTTCTCGAGGCCATCACCAATGCTCACAAGTTGATGAAGGAGCTGAGTGGGAAAGGAGGAGTGCATCTGCTGTTGTACTGCATCAAGGCGGGCAGGATGCCAGTGATGTTTGTCTCCAACTACAGGCTATTTTACGAAGTTCTCTTTGAGGAGAAGATACCAGTCGCGGTCGTCATTACTCACCTGGAGGGAGAGATACGCATGGATGAGTGGTACACGCGGAACAAGGGGTGGTTCGAGCGTCATGCGGTCAAGTGCATTGATCATGCCTGTATCACTGCGGCAGACGATCCGGAATACAGGGAGAAGTACGACATGTCCAGAACAGAAGTGGGTGACTTGATCAGACGCCACGCGAATACGGTGGAGAACTGGAATGGAGGGGATGCGTGGCTTGGGAGGTTCACTGGAAAGTTAAAAGGCCTCTTAACGGGACGTCCAAGCAAGTCAGACGTTTTCGGGGTTCTCACAAAGCGCTGCGGGATGGAGGAGAGCCTAGCAAAAGATGTTATTCGAAATCTTGCTCTCGAAGGGTGCGTAGTCTTCAAATGCTCTATATTTTCAAAATAGTAATAAGCGAGAATAGGCATAAAGTTATTGTGCTCTTTGGGGAGATGGGTGCAGGCAAAAGCTCACTCGTCAACCTCATGGCGGGAGAGGAGCTAGCGAGCGTATCTCCTGACATGAAACGATGTACGATGCGCTGGCAAGAGTATAATGTCAGCTTCGGCGACAAGTCTTATAAGGTCTTCGATACCATCGGAATCGAGGAACCGCAGCTGGGAATGAAAGAGTACCTCGAATCTGTCGAGAACGCCTATCGCCTTATCAAGGAATTGGATCACCAAGGCGGCATTGATCTGCTTCTATTCTGCATTCGTGCCGGCAACGTCTCCGCTGCACTTCAGAGCAATTACCGGCTCTTTCACGAATTCCTCTGCGAGAAGAAGGTTCCCATTGTTCTTGCGATCACGAACCTCGAAAGAGAGCAGAGGATGGAGCATTGGTGGGAGAGAAACAAAGGCACCTTCGACAACTATCAGATCCAGGTCGCTGGTCATGCGTGCGTCACCGCCGCTAATAGATTGGATGACAGACACAAAGACCTTTACGAAGAATCGCGGGTCACGATCCGCATCCTTGTTGAAAAATTTACTGCTGACGGGCAGAAGCAAGCATGGAGAGGAGGGGACGACTTGTTCGTGTCATTGACGAGTAAGCTGAAAAAGTTGCTTTCAGGGAGTCTGCATGTGAGAAGGAAGGATCTTGCCCCTCATCTGACGAAGCGTTGCGGTGTTTCTCCAGACGTTGCAAAACAGTTGGCTGATATGATCAAGCAAGACGTAGAAGCTGATTAATGGTGGATCGCTTGAACCCCTTTCTGTACCTTTTGCTCATCTGATCGCAATTGTAGACCTCGTCCTTCCGATGATACATTACACATGGGTTGATTCATCGCGAGGTCTGTATTTCAGTATGAGTCTGACGGTAGGAGGAGTCATAAGGAACATTAAATGCTAGGCCTACGTTGGCCTCTATGATGTGGCCAAGCACTCGAGCAATTGGCGTTGCAACGACAACACAAGTACTTGACAAGCAAACGATGATGATGCATCAGAGGAACACTGTGCAAGAGAATGTTAATAAAACATCACGTGCACAACACGTCGCGTCACGGTATACATCGAAAAAAAACAAAAATTCAAGCCGCATGTCGACATGTCAGTATTAAATAATTGAAAAAGGATGTCGATGTGAGTCGTCGCCTAGCTATGTAGCAGAGGTCGAAAAGCAGCCCTGATCGGAAAGTAAGGGAAATGGAAAGAAATATCAATAAGCGATTTTCATTAACTGACACTGCCGCTACTGATACTTATGATAACTTGGGAGTCACCAGACTCACCACATATGTATCATAGTAAGTATGTACCCCGCACAGAGTCAAATTTGATTGTTTGGAGATAAAAAGTAAGTAGCTGAGTTCAGTGCACGTGGGAGATCACGTAAGTAACTGTAACGCCAGTAAAGAACTTCGATGCTTGCAGCATGTCCGCAACGTTGCCACGGGCCCTGGCACTGAGACATCATACAGTCTCCTTCCTCACTGAACAACTTCTGTAGTTTTCCTCACATCGGAAGACCATATAGACACAAGACAGTCGTTCCTCCATTATACGCCCCCTGTAGCCATTGACATGACGGGTCTTGTGCCTGTCAAAGAGTGAGGGTTTCATGCACATTGCCCTGTCTGAATCCCAAGTTCATCATATTTTGCAGGAATGACCTTACATCTCAGGTTCGCGACAAACTGAAATCTCCAGCAGCACGTGGATCCTTTGGTCAGGTTTATCACTGTACTGACATCGAGACTGGCAAAGGCAAAGGGGAGGTCTGTCTGATAGCTTGAAGTTTATCAATCGTCCATCCAACGCCCATCAGGTTGCAGTGAAAGTCTTCTTGATTGATGATCCGAGAGCAAAGGATCCGAGAGCTATGGAGAAATTTAAAAAAGTCAGTGTGCGTTGATTCAAACGTCACTTTGCTCAACATCGTTTATCTAGAAAATGGATCGGGAACTCAAGGTGTGGCTTAGACTGGAACATCGGACTATCGTGCCGCTACTCGGCATTGCACACGTCGAATCTCCGTTGCCAGCTCTCGTTTCCCAATGGATGTCATCTGGAACATTATGTGTCTACCTCGAAAAAGCAACCCTTACCGTTTCCGCTAAAGGTGGATTGGTGAGTCCGTTATTGACCGATCGCATTCAGCGAGCGTTCATCGATTCTCATGTTACTAGGTGAAGGGCGTCGCTGACGGCCTCGACTATCGTTCGTCGATTTCTACTATGTCTTCCATTTTGTTCTTGACGCCAATTCAGTCCATTCAATGAATGTCATCCATGGGGATCTTCACCCCGTATGTACGATCGTCTCTTTGTGGATGCTGCGCTCATTCACAAGCCTCAGGGAAATGTACTCATAGATGATTCAGGGAATCCATGCCTCACTGATTTCGGTCTCGCAGCAATCGAAGGAGAAGGGGAGTTGCAGTTGAGTTCGACCACCGCCGCACATAGTTTGAATCCTCGATGGCGGGCGCCTGAAGTCATTGGAGTCGAAAATGATCCTGAAAACCCGACTTTCATGAGTGATATCTATTCTTTTGGTGGTGTCATGCTCTTTGTGCGATCTCTCTGTTTTCTTCAGCTCTATCCTGAACTTTCTCCTCCCAGATCGTCTCGGGGGATTTTCCATGGAAAAAGAAGCAATCATATCAGATCTGCATTGCGCTGTCGCATAAAGCCATACATGCGCGACCCGAAAACATACTCAACAATCACTGGGAACTGATTCAAAAGTGCTGGTCTTGGGATCCGAGCCATCGCCCAAGGGCCGCAGGAATTCTTCAACATATTGATCAGTTTAGGACCGATCATTCGCAGGATCGACAACCCAAGTTTCCTAGGCAGGGGCTGGCGGACCTGACGGGTCAGATCATTGTTACAGTAAACGACTTTGTCGCTGCAGGTGACTTTGCAGTGGTTTACAAGGGTGAATGGAAACGACCGACAGGTCCTATCAAGGTCTGGCTCGTGCTAATGTACGTTGATGATATGTTTATTGATTATCGCACTGCAGGTTGCAGTGAAAGTCATCAAGGTTCACGTATCGGAGCTAGATTTGCAGGTGAGAATTTAACAAGGCTTCTGCTATGTACAGGTCACCCATGATTTGATAGAGACTTCGACGCGAGGCTGAGAACTGGGCTGTCCTTGTGCACGAGAATATCATTCGTCTGTTGGGGACGACAGGATTTGGGCCATCTCTAGCTCTTGTTCTTCCGTGGTTCCGGAGCGGCACGCTGCTCCGTCTCATCGCGGAACAGGGTGCGGTATTGGACATTAAATCGAGGCTAAATTTGGTGAGTTGCTATTTAGCTATAACTTCTGTATCTCAACTTAATTTTTCGTGTCATCAGCTTCATGATATTGTGTCTGGCCTTTGCCATCGTTTGTTCTTTCTTCCATTCTTTGCTTGCTTCCACTGATATGGTTGCCGTTAGTTCACGGGTTGGGTGTGGTTCACGGAGACATTACAAGTGTTCGTTCATCTTCTTGACATCAAAATTCCTCTCATGGAGAGTTCCAGTCTAACGTTCTGGTGGACATCAAAGAAGGAGAATACGTAGCGTGCCTCACAGATATCGGGTTGGCGACAGTTCTCGGCGGCTGTTTAGGTGACCGCACAATCAGGGGATCAGATATTCGAACTGGTGCCATCAGGTGGACCGCGCCCGAGTTGCTCAAGGCACACGATTCCCCTGCTGACAGTGCGCCGACCACGCAAAACGACATGTATTCATTTGGTCGCGTCATGTTTCATGTGAGATCTATAGATCCACAAAACTTACTTATCTTTAAAATGATCGCTTGTGCGCAGGTAATAACACTGGTCATTCCGTGGAATGATATCAGCGATATTGCAGTTTTTCAAAAAATTCTTGGAGGAGAAGACATTTCCCGTCCTGTGACATCTGACATGACAACCGCACGCTGGAATGAGATTGCGCAATGTTGGTCATCTGATGCATCTGCTCGTCCATCTGCCATAATGGCCATGGACTTCTTGAAGAGTGAACTAGAGGCTTTGGCAGACGACGTAAGTTCAAGACCAACTTCTTTGTGTGTGACTGAATCCTTACGCACTCTCACACAGGATATGTCTGTTGACGAAGTGGTGGAAAGTTATCGCAGCACATCATTTGATGCAGAGCAAACAACTACATCCAGTAATGTCATGGATCCCACCCGCCCCATATCTAAGGCTGTGCAGCGTGAAATAGGTCTACGGACTCGGGATCACCGTGCCAGCGTTGATACCGTAACACTACATCCCTCCCAAGGAGGATCCTCGAAGAGAACTACAGCAGCGCGCCCCGACACCATCCTTGACGATCACTACAACTCGAATCGACAAGGCGCAGGGAATCTCACGAGGAATACAAAAGTCCTTGTGTCCGACCCACATCAGCCACCACGTTTCAGTAATGTGCATCCAACCCACTCGATATCCAAGGCCGCGCAGAGTCACAGCGCCTCAGCCAATGTCAATACTGTAACACCCCGTACCTCCCAAGAAGAATCCTTGAGGAGGCCAGCAGGCCACCCCGACACTATCCTTCAAGCTGATCACTATAATTCGACTCAACAGGACACAGGGAATCTCATGGGAAATACAAAAGTCCCTAAGTGCACCAATCAGCCTAGGAATGACGACTCGCAGGTTTGACGGCCCAGTACCCAAGTTAATGGCAGATCCTGATGCATATCACTTAGGCCTCCATTCCGAATCCATCATCTCTGTAGGGATGCTCATTGAAACAATTCTTCATTGATTCAGTCATTTTATTTAGTCACGCATTACCACTGGCAGAAGATCTGACAGGTCAGATCGTCTGTGCGATAAGCGACTACTACGCTTGTGGTGCATTTGGGAACGTTTACAGATGTGAATGGAGAAAGCCGTCGGGCCCCGTCAAGGTCTGGCCAATGAGCAGTGCAGGCATAATTTGCTGACCAACTTTCTCATTATTACACTACAGGTTGCAGTAAAATCCTTGAGGTATCACACCTCAAAGCAGGACTTAAGGGTGAGTGTTTATGTCTTCTGCTCTGAGCGCTACTGAGCACTAAACATGTGGATTCGCTAGAGATTGCGACGAGAAGCTGCAATCTGGGCACACTTCGTCCACGACAATATTGTCCCACTTTATGGAACGACCGAAGGGTTTGGGCCAACCACAGCCCTGGTCTCCCCGTGGTTTCCGGACGGCACGCTGCACCGTCTGATCGCGGAACAGGGTGCTACATTAACCATCAGGTCCAAACTGAAGCTGGTAACTCAGAATCGTTCAGCTGCAGTGGACCTGAACTGAATTCGCTGATACTCACTAGCTCCACGGCATAGCTTCTGGGCTCCACTATCGTCTGTATTTCTTTCATTGTTATTCTTGCTTCGACTGATACATTTGCCATTAGTTCACTCTTTTCCCGTTGTTCACGGCGACATTACGAGTGTAAGTTCATCTTCTTCGCATTCAATTACGCTCACTCAAAAATCCAGTCCAACGTTTTGGTAGATATCCAGGGCGGAGAATACAAGGCTTGCCTGACGGACTTCGGTGTTTCGAATGTCCTCGGCGGGCCTTTAAAAGACAGCGTGGTTGAAGGATCAACTGTTAGGCCTGGTGTAATCAGATGGACTGCGCCTGAGTTGCTCAGGCCGCATGGTAACCCTGCCGATCTCAAACCGACCAAGCAGAACGACATGTATTCCTACGGTCGTGTCATGTTTCATGTAAGTGTACGCATTCTAAGCCCCAAAACCTATATTCAATATGTCGTTTAACCTAGCTGTTGACTCTGATCATTCCTTGGTATGATATTGACGAGTACCAAGTCGTTCAAAAAATCCTAAGCGGAGAGGAGATCCCGCGTCCTGAGATTTCCGCTGGGACTCGATATGACATCACGGACGCCCGCTGGAATCAGATCAAGCAGTGCTGGTCAGTTGATCCCTCTGCTCGTCCATCTGCCTTGATGGCTATGGACTACTTAAAGAGCGAATTGGAGGCTGTCACGGACGACGTAAGTTCATGACTAGTTTTGTCACATCAGTCTTCCTCAGATATTCTCGTTGCGCCACAAAACCAGGCCGCTACCTATTATCCAACAATTCATCAGGCCTCTACGGTCTCGACACTGGTGAGCGTCTACTGGCGCATCGTTTCATGTATACTAATCCTTGAATGCGACAGTCCCTTTCGGGTCCTTTGAATGTGTTACTTTTTGGGGAGACTGGAGTTGACAAAAGCTCTATCATGAAGTTGCTTATGAGACAAGAAGTCGCACAGACGTCACCAGATGCAGAAATCTGCACACTCGAGCATACCGCCTACAGCATTAGTTTTGGACTCCGCTGCTTCAAATTTTGGGAAGTTTCGCCGATCGAATCACTGGGTTTTTTCCGGACCCTTTTTTCAAAACGGCGCCTGAAAAAGGCATTCAAGGAGCTGCACAGAGATGACGGAGTCTACCTCCTCTTATATTGCATGAAAGGATCGACGGTCCAGCGAGAAGTGATCAAGAATTATAAAATGTTCACCGATATTATCAGCGCCGGCTTACAAGACGTACCAGTCGCAGCTGTGGTCACCGGCCTGGAAGATTACCCCATTGACATGGATAATTGGTGGACGGAGAACAAGGAAAATATGGAAAGCGTCGGGATGCGGTTTTCCAAACACGCGTGTATCACTTCCCTTCCTGATGATCCACACGCATCGCTCGCAATGCGCGCGCGTCGAAATCGGTCAAAGCAGGTCATGCGCAGCCTCTTCGATGAGTCCTATCAAAATGTAGAATACTCCTCAATTCCTGTCTAGCTCCTGCTCCATGAAATGCGCATTACGGTGTGTGGAAATTACAGACAGTAGTAGAGTTAGAATGATACTAATCATACATGGACTATAGCCCAAAAAATGTGATACATCCCATGGGCTACCCACCCACTATCCAAGATGATGTATTATCCTGCCCAGTTCTTTTTAGAGTGGCAACGACTTTAAACTCTTCCGAAGGAGTGTTAATGTCGGATATTGAAGGATGCCTATGTAAATTACATTACAACTTACTACGGAGGACCGACACATTTCATTTGGGGTATGTATTGGGAAGAGATGGGACCGGCTGCCGGGAGTGAAGTAGGATCGCGAGCGAAGAGTTCGTACTAAGACTCAGCGGGATTGATGGTAACTTCGCGGGGAGTCATGGTAGCATCAGCACTCTACTGGTGTTATTTGGGTCGCGCACGCCTGAAATAATAGGGAACGCACAGCGGGCACCGTGCAAGCACTTTGCCGTATTTGGCTTTGGCAGTGCTGGGACTGTCAGTGTCGGTATCGTGACCTTCTGGTTGCAAGAGTGCGACAAGAAGGGGGAGGAGAGGGAGGACGCGCGTGGTACAGCTTGAAGGGGGGGCCCGGTGCTGAGCGCTGAGCAGATGGGAAAATGGATTAGATTATGAAATAATTTATAACTGAAATGAATTGGAAGCGAGTGAAAATCCGTGTTCACTACCTTAGCAAGACTAGCTAGTCAGAGTCACGTTCTCATGCATGCATTTATATGTACGATGAGCCCGAGTTGTGGAAGGCAATATTCCGACATTATCCAAAGCCAAAGTATTCGTACAGGTTTTTCAATATTTCCTTACAGACCCATCGATATCCATGCCTCGAGGCTTGCTCAATTGAGGCGTATCATGCGATCAACAATAGTCAGTAGCATGCAGCTGCAGCATGCCAGGCAAACTTGTGCCTTCCTGTAGACCTCGATCAGTGCGAAAAGACCGCATCGCGAACCTCACTTCCTGAAACCCGCCTCCTCCAAAGTAGCCCACCCATGACGGAACTTCAAGTTGCACCCAAAGAGTGAGTCGTCTCCCAAATGTGCCTTGACTTTTCGTGACAGTTTGTGGCGATAACACCTAGTAGCAACTTAACATCTCAAATTTATGAGGCCTTGAAAACCGGATATCCATGTACATCTGGATCCTTTGGCGTGGTTTATCGATGTACAATCAAGGCCAGCGACGGCCCAATAGAGGTTTGTCTGGCCAATTTGTTCAAGCTCATAAATTGTCCAGCTCTATTCATCAGGTCGCAGTGAAGGTGTTCAAGGTTGATCCTGGGAGAGGGATAGAGAAGAATGAAAAAGTCAGTTTTCAGCTGGCGTTTATCGACTCAAACCATACTTACTCTATGCAGGCAACACGTCGGGAACTCATGGTGTGGCTTAGGCTGAATGACCCAACTATTGTGCCACTACTTGGCATCGCATACATCGAGCCTCCGTTTCCAGCTCTCGTTTCTCGATGGATGCCATCTGGGACATTATATACCTACATCGAGGAAGCTACCACCCTCTCCACTTCCGGTAGAGTTGCCTTGGTGAGTTCCTTGCTCATACCAATTACGCTCAATAAGTGTTTGTTGATTTTTGTGCAACCAGGCCAAGGGTGTTGCTGATGGCCTCATGTATTGTTCGTCGATGTTCGTCAAGTCGTTATTCTTATTCTTAATGTCTACCCAGTGCACTCAGAGAATGTCATTCACGGAGACCTTCATCCCGTACGTATGGTCGTCTTTGTGGATGTTGCACTCATTCATAAGCCTCAGGGGAATGTGCTCATAGATGGCTCAGGGAATCCACGTCTGACAGATTTCGGTCTCGCAACAGTCGTAGGGGACGCAGAGTTACAGTTGTCCTCAACGACCGCATCCCGCGCTTTGGATCCTCGATGGCGTGCACCTGAAGTCATTGGAATGGATCATGAATATGACCCTGGACGACCGACTTTCAAGAGTGATATCTATTCTTTTGGTGGTCTCATGTTTTTTGTGCGTTCTCGCGGGCTTTCTGTGACTCCATTCTAAGCTCTCTCCTCCCAGGTGATCTCGGGGGATGTACCATGGAAAGAGAAGAAGCCACATCAAATTTACATTGAGCTGTGGAAAAGAGCCAACCCTGCACGTCCCGACAACATCCTTGACGATTACTGGGACTTGATTCAAAGATGCTGGTATTGGGACCCAGGGGATCGCCCGAAAGCTGTAGAAGTCTTTGAATGCATCGCAACGAAAATCACCACCACTTTGGGAAAGACTGAGATGGCTGAAAGGTGTGTTGTCTTCAGATACCATTTCTGCTATAATTTTCCAACGTCAAACACTATATAGCACTATCCGGACCACCCCTCCTGAGATGGCTGACAGGTGCATAGACTTCAGATGCCGTCTGCGTCGTATTTTTCTAATTACAGACGCTGCATAGCACTATTCAAACCACCGCTCCTAAAATCGCTTCAAGGTACGTAGTCTTCAGATGTTCTTCGTTCTGTGGTTTTCTCATTGATAAGTAGGACCAAGCATGACACGACTTTTAGCAATAACCCCGCACCGGAAGGAGTGCAAGTGGTTGAGTGCCATAGCCCTCCTAAAAGGCAAGTGGTCTCCAGATACTCTGTATCTTTAGAATATCAATGAACGAGAACAGGCATAAAAATATTGTGCTCTTTGGAGAGACGGGAGCAGGCAAAAGCTCTCTTATCAACCTCATGGCGGGAGAACAGGTAGTGCACGTATCTCCTGACACGCAATACTGTGTGATGCAGTGGAAAGAGTACACCATCGGTTTCGGCGACGAGTCTTATAAGGTCTTCGAGACCATCGGACTCGAGGAATCGCAACTAGGAATCGATGACTACTTACAAGCTATTGAGGACGTCTATCGGTTCATCAAGGAATTGGATAGCCTTGGCGGCATTGATCTCCTTCTATTCTGCATTCGCGCCGGTAACATCACTGCTACGCATCAAAGCAACTACCAGCTCTTTCACGAATTCCTCTGCGAGAGGAAGGTTCCCATTGTTCTTGCGATCACGAACCTCGAAAGAGAGCGAATGATGGAGAATTGGTGGGAGAGAAACGAGAGGACCTTCGCAAAATATCAGATTCAGGTCGCTGATCATGCGTGCATCACTGCCGTCAATAGATCGGACGCGAGACACAGAGACCTTTATGCAGAATCGCGCATCACGATCCGCAGCCTTGTTGAAAAATTTACTGCCGACGGACAGAAGCAAGCATGGGTAGGAGGGGGCGACTTGTTCGTGTCGTTGATGCGCAAGCTGAAGGGGTTGCTTGTAGTGGGTTCACATGTGACAAGGAAGGATCTTGTCCCTCATCTCACGAAGTGTTGCGGTATATCTCGAGACGTTGCAAGACAAGTGGCTAATATGATCAAGCAAGACGCAGCTACTTGATCATTTCAATTTCTTTTTATGGACTATAACTTATGCTCATCCGATCGCAATTGTAGCCTTCGTTCTTGTTGATGATACGTTACACATACTACTAGTAATGAGTTGATACTAAGTATAGTTCAACCGCCGTCCGTGGAAGTCCGTAGCCCTAGAGTCTATTCGGAATTCGCCTAGCGCACACCTCTTGGTTCAATACTCTGGGGCGATTGTAAAATAGCTCGCCCATCGTGAAAGAATCACCCATCGGTATGGGTAACGCTATATATAGATATGACACTATATCCAAGTACTGACCACGGAAATGCTCCACAGTTTAGAACCATGAACATCATTATCTTTAGATCTATAGAGAAACAGGCGCGGGCAAAAGCTCCATCATGAACCTCATGGCCGGCCGACAAATTGCACACATATCGCCCGATTCCCACTAAGTTCGCCTTTTGAGCGTCTAAACCCGGGCCTCGAAGAAGAAGAAATCGCACCGAGAACACGAGGTTCCATCACATTTCGGATTGATTTCGGATGATGCATGGAGTATGTATACCCCCGGGTACCAACTCAGCCTGGTGACCTCGCTCGAATAGGATCATTCTGAGGCATTCGTCAAAGGGCACATCGCAGAACACCGTTGGGACACTGGTATGAAGCGCTATATCCAAGGGTCGAATATCGCTGACCACATAAACGCCTCCATGTAGTCTAACATGAACATCGTTATCTTTGGAGAAACAGGATCAGGCAAAAGCTCCGTCATAAACCTCATGGCCGGCCAACAGATTGCGCACATATCGCCCGACTCTCACCGCTGCACCCTGCAATGGACGGAGTACCCGATAACCTTCGAAGATGGGACTCAATATCAGGTGTTTGACACTGTTGGCCTTGAGGAGCCCCGTCTACAAACCGGAGAATACCTCTCCACAATTACAAACGCATGTGGCCTCATCAATACCTTAAGAGCGCGTGGAGGTGTCAACCTCTTGCTCTTCTGTATACGTGGAGGTAGAGTCACGGCAACCATGCAGAGAAACTACAGGTTATTCTTCGAATTTCTCTGTGAGGAAAAAGTCCCGCTCGCGCTAGTCGTCACAAACCTCGAGAGGGAGACAAACATGGAAGATTGGTACACGCGGTATGCGGATCACTTGGAGAAGTATAACATTAGGTCCGCAGGACATGCATGCATAACCGCGGCGAATTCTCTCGACGGGAGGCATAAAGACAAGTATGTGGAGTCGCGTGGAATACTCCGTAGAGTGGTTGAGGCTCATTGCAACGCACCCATGGAAGGGTGGACCGGTGGACAAGGACGGCTTGCTTCGTTGGACTTTGTAACTGGCCGTTTCAAGAAGACGGATATCATTGGGATTCTCACAAAACGACGCGGAATGACCAAAGAAGTGGCTCGGCAGGTGGCACAGCAGATCAAAGGCGACAGCCTACTGCAGGAGACGGATATCATTGGGTTTCTCACAAAACGATGCGGAATGACCAAAGAAGTGGCTCGGCAGGTGGCACAGCAGATCAGAGGCGACAGCTTACCGCAGACGATGAATCGGATCCACGGTAACACGCCAGTCTCTTCAGCCATAAGAGTCACAGGTCTACAACAGGTTCGTGAACTGTGAACTCAGTCAATAGATGGTTGATGTCCTATAGGAAAATCAAAGTCGACCGCGTAACGTGGTGATCTTGGGGGAGAGTGGAGTGGGCAAAAGCTCGCTCATAAACCTCATTATGGACCGCGATGTAGCGAGAACATGCCCTGATGCCCTCTCATGCACCGTTGACATTGCTTCATACAATGCGACGATTTGCGGGCAATGTTTCAGGCTGTGGGATACAGTAGGTAGGCATTCGTTCACTCCGAGATTTGTGAACAGAGTGGATTGATAACCATATCGTCAGGGTTAAACGAGGGCTCCGAGGGCAGAGTGCCTGCAGCTATGGCTGCAAACAAGTTGAACCTATTCCTCGGTGGCCTGAACAAGGGAGACGTCCATCTCCTTGTGAATTGCGTGCGCGGAACGCGAGTCACAAAAGCTATGCGAACCAATTACCAAATGTTCTCATCAGCCATCGGTGGCAGCAAGGTGCCCACTGTTATCGTAGCGACGTGCCTGGAAGACTTCCATCCAGTGATGACAGAGTGGTGGAATCAGAACAAGGACCAGCTTGTGAAATATGGAATGCATTTCTCTGGATATGCTTGTGTCACAACTCTGCCGTTTGAACACGCGGTGTCCCAGGAATTACGTCAACGTCGTTCACAATCCTACAAAGACGTTTGCAAACTCATTCTGGACCATTGTTCGCAGACCCCTCACGAGGCATAGAGCACTAAGCACTGCACTTATCAACGTTCAATGATGGTTCCTCACGATTTTGCTACGGGGGTTAGCTTGGTTTGTACATCAGAGGATCAGGATGTCTTATAATTACAGGCACCTTCATATGCCAATACCGTGACTGTACGTAGAGATACGCACATACCTTCGACGTGATCTATCATCTACGTGTCACTAAGCTTCGAAGACAGGTGTGACCTGTGAGATCTTGAGACCTCAGAAACGTTTGCTGGCTATTTTCCACTGGTGCTGGTTGTGAAGTTGTCAACGCGTCAACGAACAAGATGACCTGGACGATGTCGAGTGCGAGTGCGAGAGCTATTGGGAATGCTGCTCATGTATAGCTGCTGCGGTAACGAGACTCAATATTGGACAGGTATTTTTTGCGAACGATTTGTTGTTTACAATGATACAGTGGGTTTGCGATTGGTATACCTTGAATTATCATTACTTGACAGCTGCCAGCGCCGCATCGACAATCTCGGTCATTTTGATGACTGCCTCTTCCTCCAGAGTCCGACCCACGAGCTGTAAGCAAACAGGCGCGTTCTTGAATCTCTCCGGGTCGTCTGAATTAATCATCAGCCCGTCAAAATGCTGATAGAGAGAGAGAGTACTCACACATGTCGTAAATGCTCTTATCAAAGTCGTCATAGAAAACATGAGGAGGCTTCTTCGCATCAAGAATGGGGTCGACAGTGGTCACAGGGAAAGTTGCAGCGGGATAGTCGAGCGCATTCCAAACCGTCGTGTAATTAGTGTACCTGTACATTATTTCTCATTGATAATTCATCACTCCGCGAAAGCACAGACACCGACCTGTTCTTTCCATGGGGCGTCGCTGTATACGATGAGGCTGGACAGATGATAGCGTCGACAGGTCGCCCTGTACCAGTCTCTGATGTAGTTGCTTCCCAATGGTCCAAATATTCTTTCCGGGTATCTTTGCGCAGTTTCTGCGCTTGCCAGAGCTGGTATGCAGTAATACCGATCTTCTTCGGACGGAAGGGTAGCACCGGACCATCCGAGTTATCTAGCTCCATCGTTGAAATTATTGGTTCCCCTGAAACAGAGGTTGTGATCATGTAGTCTTCAGCGGAGGCGGCGTTCCAGATATTCCGCTGCATGGGGCTACTAGGTCAATAGACAGTACACTTAAAGACATAACTCCTTGCCGTAGTATCTGCAAGCAACCTGTGCTTGATTGGCTTCCAGTCGATGACTACCGCTAAATAAGCAAATGCAGCAAAGGAATCAATTGAGAAAAACCTTTGTGGCCTGCCTTCTCGAGAGCCGCTTTGGTGACTTCCAGAGACCTCCTGATAGGCGGGTGGGGCACAACGACACCATCATCCCACATGATCGCAAAGCACAGATCCTTGCCGGATCCGTGGTCCGCGAGATTATATTCGTCTTCCTGCCATTTCTTCCTAACCGCAAGAGGGTCTTTGAGCCATGGCTTAGCATTGACAACAGCTTTCATAAAGGCTTTGACCCCGCCGACACTATTTGTCATGGGACCGAATACGGACTGAACCGAATCTTGGCCCTCGAGTGAGTTGAGGGCGCCACAGTATGGTACACGCCCGTATGACGGTCTCAGGCTGTACAAGCCGCAGAATGAGGCAGGAATGCGAATAGAACTGTCGAGAGGGCGTCAGAACGTTACACCAATGGTACTTCCAAATCCAATCCTACCCCCCGATATCAGAACCCACCCCCAAAGGGCTTCCTTTAAGGGCAACCAAGGCGCCTTCTCCTCCTGAGGACCCACCCGGGGTTAGAGCGCGGTTGTGTGGGTTAGTCGTCCGCCCGAAGATATTATTGAAGGATTCTGGCCACTGAAGAGACTTCTAGCCCCCGAGTAGCAACATCAATGTTGAGGGTGCACTTACCATGACTGTCTGCGGAAGGTTGGTGCGGACGAATGGCACGGCTCCGCACTCGATCAGAATATCGACCAGTACTGCGTTTTTCTCTGCGTACCGCCCAATCCACGAGATGTAACCTGATGCCAGTGACTCATGATTTGTCGGACCCAGGTGATCGTCGATCATTACTTACCCATAGTAGTTTCTAGTCCCTTGATACATAGTTGGTCCTTTAGAGAGATCGGCAGCCCGTGGAGGGGACCAACGACCTTCCCTGTCTGTCTAAAGTGATCATCGAGTTCAGCAGCTCGGGCTAATGCGCGATCAACAAAAATTTCCGTCAAGCAGTTGACCTCATTGGCCGGTGAATACAATCTCGTCAAGTAAATGCCCACGCAAATTGGCTCACGAGCTGGTGGGCGACAATGGCCCTCTTGTAGAACGCAGTGGTCACGTCTACAGCTGTCCATTCGCCACACGCGAGTTTCTCCAGCAAAACTTCCACCGAAGTGTTGGAAATATCAATTTCTCGTGCAGTCAAAAGGCCGCACGTCTCCGGGAAACCAGTCACGTCCAGAGTAGAGTCTGGAGGTGGGGACACAAGCCACTCCTGCGGAATGGACTTTAGTTGCCTCTGCTTCTTCTCTGCAACGAGTTCGGTCCAATGAGGCATGTTGCTGGGGAACGGAGTGGGACGGGGGCGATATCAAGACCTGAAACTTGACAAGAGATAAGACGGATAGGTGGATGAAAGGCTCTCCGCAATTGATATTAATAACGTTAAAGATAAGACTTGTAAAAGAACGCTGATAGTAATACTCGAGGAAGCTTCTCCATTTCCTTCACTGAGGACGTCACGGTTCGGAGCGAGAGACTGCAGCCGATGCTGAGCGATGAGCACCTGCTCAGGCCGGTCACTACACAACATATGCGCCTTAAGGTGCGCTGTTCGCCTGATAAGAGAAACCAAATATGGTGATTGGGCTTGTGGCAAGAAGGCATTACTTGCAACACATTGGGTGAATTTGGCCAACAGTGACGCGAGCTAAGGGACGGGTGCCCGATGGCCAGGTCAAGGCAAGGTTTCGACCATCATCACGTTTTTCCGAGGTTTATTATATGACCAAAAGATATATATTTTCATATAAAATAGATCTACATTTGGCAAATTATGGAGCCGCCAATGCATCCGAGTGTGCGAGTTGTGCGCCTCTTTTACGAAATTTGGGCCGAATGGCGGAATATTGATCTATCATTAATATTCCTTCCTCTGACAAATTTTACACCACTTATACCGATGGCGGTGACATCCTCGAGGTCTGCATACTTATCGCAATTGGCGATGCACCCGGCACTGGCTATCGCAATTGGCGATGCACCGGGCACTGGCACGTTGGTCGGGTACTCCCATCGGATCATGTAGACATTGCGTAATGTAAGTACGAAAGAATTGAGTAAGTGGTAAAAGTTAAAAGCTCAATATCACACTAATAGTACTTTGGAGCCAGTATCCTGTTCACTGATTACTTGGGCCTAGGTTTGTACGAGAACCACCTATAGCAAAGATGATTGTAAGGGCATCCTGGTCACGGGGGGCTCATCCAACAAAACGAGCTAATTTCTGCAGCAAAATCGTGAGGAAGTTTCGTTGGTCTGTGATAATATCCGTGCCCCATGCCTTGTGAGGGGTCTGCGAGCAATGGTCAAGAATACATCTACGAACGTCTTCGTAGGACTGTGTACGACGTTGGTGAATATCCGAGGACTCTGCGGGTTCATCTTTCAAAGTCGTGACACAAGCATATCCAGAGAAATGCATTCCATACGTCGCAAGCTCGTCCTTGTTCTTGTGCCACCACTCTGCCATCACTGGACGGAAGTCTTCCAGACAAGTCACCACAACAATAGTGGGCACTTTGCTATCATGGATGGCTGCCGAGAATATTTTGTAGTGGGTCTGCAGTGCCTTAATTGCTCGCGTTCCGCGCACGCAATATACAAGAAGATGGACACCGTCTTCCTGGTGTAGGCTGCGGAGGAATGTGGTCAAGTTCCTTTTCGCCTTGGCCGCAGGCACGGTGCCTTCTGAGCCCTCGTTTAACCCTGATGGTATGATCATTAAGCCGTTCTAGCCCCAAACCTCGCGTGAAAGAATGCATACCTGCTGTCTCCCACAGCCTAAAGTATTGCCCGCTGATCGTCACATCATATGGAGCATGTGTAGTAGTACATGCGAGGGCATCAGGAGATGTTTTCGCTACATCACGGCCCATAATGAGGTTTATGAGCGAGCTTTTGCCTACACCACTTTCCCCATAGAGTACCACGTTACGCGGTCGACCATGATATCCCTACAAGAGACATCAACCGCATCCATTGACCGATCTCACAGATCACGAACCTGCTGTGATACCGAGTCTGTACTCCTTGTGTCTACTGCGCTTGTCGTGTCTGTGGAGCCGTGGCTGTCAGACATCTTCTCGAATCTCCGGTAGACCCAATTAGTCTTGCAAAAAGCGAGAGGAGTCCACGAGCTTACGAACCAGTAAGCTTATTGAAGAGATGGATAACGCCGGCTGTTGGGCGTTTAATTAATGAATTGCCTCCGTGGCACCCGCGCTTTCTGCCAGGACGAATGTGTTGCGCCCTATAGCACCACGACTATTAGGGCTGCAAGGGGAGCATAAATAGCAAGATCTAGAGAACATCCAAGAACTTCGACATCAAAACGTGGCGTCTCTGCGAGCATTGAAATAACAGCTAGGTTGCTTTTTGGACTCTGGTGATGGGCATGGTGTGTGCATGTCCACTTAGACCCTGCCATTCGCTGCGACTTTAGACATGACTGTGTGTCGCCGAAAGATAGATCAGGGAAACGGTGGCTGCCAGAAGTTGGGTGCCGACAATACTTACCTTTTGAGCGTCTAAACTTCGAAGATGATGTAAAAAATATCGCACCAAGAACACGAGGCTTGACCGTCCATGTTTCATTTCGGATGGGTTTCGGACGGTATATCTATATCCCAGCTACAAATAGGATCATTCTACTAGTAGTGCATTTGCCAAAAGGCACAGCGTAGAATCAACCCAGGACATCGTTGGGACACTGGTATGTAGCGCTATATCCAAGGGTCGAATATCGCTGACCACATAAACGCCCCCATATGTAGTCTAACATGAACATCGTTATCTTTGGAGAAACAGGAGCAGGCAAAAGCTCCGTCATAAACCTCATGGCTGGCCAACAGATTGCGCACATATCGCCCGATTCTCACCGCTGCACCCTGCAATGGACGGAGTACCCCATAACCTTCGAAAATGGGACTCAATACCAGGTGTTTGACACTGTTGGCCTTGAGGAGCCCCGTCTACAAACCGGAGAATACCTCTCCACAATTACAAACGCATGTGGCCTCATCAATACCTTAAGAGCGCGTGGAGGTGTCAACCTCTTGCTCTTCTGTATACGTGGAGGTAGAGTCACGGCAACCATGCAGAGCAACTACAGGTTATTCTTCGAATTTCTCTGCGAGGAAAAAGTCCCGCTCGCGCTAGTCGTCACAAACCTCGAGAGGGAGACAGACATGGAAGATTGGTACACGCGGAATGTGGATCACTTGGAGAAGTATAACATTAGGTCCGCAGGACATGCATGCATAACCGCGGCGAATTCTCTCGACGGGAGGCATAAAGACAAGTATAAGGAGTCGCGCGGAATACTCCGTAGAGTGGTTGAGGCTCATTGCAACGCACCTATGGAAGGGTGGACCGGTGGACAAGGATGGCTTGCTTCGTTCCTTGCCAAGCTTGTGGACTTTGTAACTGGACGTCCCAAGAAGTCGGATGTCATTGGGATCCTCACAAAACGATGTGGAATGACCAAGCAGATAGCTCTGGAGGTGGCGCAGCAGATTAGTAGAAGCGACAATTGACCGTAGTATACTCTCGGACTTACCATTACCAGTCCCTCGCACGAGTACCAAGCGCACATATGGTAAACATTATATCACCCCAGGCTACGACGATCACTTGAGCTAGCGCAATACATTGATTTGAGCAACGACGGGAAGATGAAGAACATTGAATAACAAGATCGCCGAATGAGCAACGACATATTCGTATCTTTCACAACTAGCTGCTTCGAGACAACGTCAGTAAAGAGTCGTGGAGGTAGCTTATTAACATACCTCAATCAGACAAACTCCTCAACACATCTACTAACTCTTCTTGCACCGTCTCAATCCTTGTCGCTTGCTTTTGCGCTTCTCCTGAATTGTGCATTCTCAACGCCGTCCGCGCTTCCCTTACGAATGCGTATGATTGTATCGTGGACTCTTCGACCCCTTCAACCTCTCTCGGGGCCTGTGAGGGCGCCGCATCCTCAGAAATCAGACCGGAGAGGTCTACGGAAGAAGCGCGCAGAAGAGCAAGGTCTCGTAGGGTGTCATGAAGAGGAAGAGGTGTGCTTTTTGATGTCATGATCAGAGTCCAAACAACTAAGCACCTCGAAGTCACAACGCCAGTTTTGACTTTCTGGGCACGTGAGCAAACGCGAGTACAACATACATAGTATTCATTTTCATTTTCAATTACAACATGTCTGAATATTCAATCGTAATACACAAGCGTCACAAAGCAATAAAAACTATGTCCTAAGCGGAGAAGTTGCGCACGCGAACAAGTCCATAGAGTCATCAGAAGCCAACACGACCGCAGGAGGGTAAACAGATAGTTTCCGTGATAACGAAGGCCTGGATTGTTTGGAGCTGGGCAACAAGCTGGTTGTGGGAGATTTGAGATCATGTAGATTAACCCTAGTCTTTTGGGCATCCATCAGAATTGAAGAGAAGTTGGAGTGGCGCGGTTTGAGTACTGGTCGACGTTCCGCCATGGGCGAACTTGGCATAAGATTCTCTTTTTCATTTTCTCCACTCCACCAAGAACAATCATTTGAATCTCCCGCGACGTTTTTGCTTCCACGCGAGGAAGGTGAGGAAAAATCGCAAGCCCTGGATGCGGTAGACCCCATCGCAGACCTCACGGACTTGCGTGGAACAGTGTCACGAGAGGAGCCGTGAGTCGCATATCGATGAGCGCCTCTGCGCAACAAACGTTTAATGAAAACCGGGCTCTCGTGCGAAACAACATGTGCAGTCTTCCGCTTTTTCTTCACGTGAGCAGGCGTCTTGCGGATCCAGCAGCCAACCATTTCCTCCCATTCCCATTCCCCACTCGGTCTACGATGGTGCGCACCGCAGGATTTCTTGCTCTGTCCTGGTAGGCGAACGGCTGGGCTGCTATCGGGTGGACCAGCTCCGAATAACCGGCGCTCAGCCTCGTCCACACCATCAATCAAGAGAAGCTTGATTCTCTGAATGTCTTTTGAGGTGCCTTTCGGGGTGCTCTCGAAGACACGAAGGGCGCAAGCCCACAGGGAAGCATCCAGCTGGAGTAGATTGTGAATCTGCAAAACCGAAGAGGATCGTTGTAGTGACGTCGTAAAATCTTCCGCGGAACCTCGATGCATATGCTCAACGAGCCGAGTGAACGTTGTGGGAATAGGTGAAACCCCACGAAGCAAATGCAAGAGACGTGAATCATAATCCGCCGGTGAATATGCAACGTGGAGGTGTGTGGCGAGTATCGTGATTGCGTCAGGTAGTTCATCTTGAGATGGTTGAGATGAAGCACCCAGCCTCAGGGTGTGCATTTCGTAGCTTCGACATCGGTCGAGTAACATAACGATGGAGTCAATATCGGGATGGAATTCACCTGCAAGTTCTGCAGAGGTACTAGCGGTAACTGCAAACAGCCTGTTCATCCAATCACGCAAGCGGTCGCGAATAGCCACAATGTCTAGGTTTTCCTTCTCCTTCCCCTTTCCGGACCGCACCGAGTGACAATCATGGATGGTTTCAACCAGAGAATCCAGGAGGGTAACAAACGAGTCGATGTCGATCACCTCGACACTGCGAGAGAACCTAGTGACCGCTTTGCATGCCCATAAAGAGACGTCTGATTGAGCTAGAGTGTCTACAACCGCTCGCGAGAACGTTGAGATTGAGAATAGTGGAAGGGTACTGGAAGGCATAGTGTCGCTGTTCCCGGATACCCATTTAGCGAAAAGATCGGCAAGGTAGGAGACATGTCCTGGGTGTGTGATTGGAGGAGGAGAGGTCGTGGACTGGAAGGCAATTTCAAGGATTATGCTGAGCAACCGACGGGACTCGTGAACTAGACCAAAAGACAAGCAGATGTCCAGAAGAGTGCTGACAAGCGTGTGGTGATGCGGACAAATTGCTAGCACAAGGAAAAGCGCATGGGACGCGATTGAATGTCTGCAGGGGGATGAGATGAGACTCCGCATATAAATGGCTAGACCCACTCACCTTCGATAGTAGGTCGGAATAGTGTCATAGATGTCCTCCACAGTTTTCATCAGCTCATCTTCATCTACGGCTTCCTCGTCACGTGTTCCGGTGCCACTGAGCGGAACATTCTCTCCGACTACGAAGCAGCACATAGCTGCCAGGCTGGGGATTGACTCCCCTTGCACTGTTCCGTGCGTGACCTGAAGGAGACATCGAAAAGCACCAGAAACTGCGTATATCAAACGAGAAAGCTCCAGGTCTTCTGCTCTGTCGAAATATAACCTCCCACTAGTGGCAGAGGGCGGTTGGCGAAGGAGGGCAAGGGGTGGAAGGGATTCAAGTGGCCAATCTTGATTATGTGACAAGTACGTGCTGCGAGACGCACTATGTCGAGCGGTGGTCAAAAACTTGCTCAAACTCAAGCATTTGTTGCGCAAAGGTCTCAGCAATCGGTTGATGCGCGATGTGGTGAGGTGGCTACCACTGGCATCAGTCGCTGAACAAATTGGCATGAGCAGCCTGCAGATGCAATCAAGCGCTGCACAACTAATCGAAGAGTTTGGAGGAGAACCAGAAAATTCGGGTGTAAAACGGGTCGCGTGCACAAGCTCCAAGTTACAAGTCCAGTGATGATGAAGTTGGAAATTGAAACCAGCACCATGAATGACACTCCACGTGACCGAAAATCCATAAAATCCACAGTTGACACGCATAAAAAATGTACGAAGCACGCATACAAATGATGGTACAATAATGATGCTAGCAACATAGTTGGGGTGTTTGGGTATGGTAAAGATGATTAAGTTAAAAAAGAAAAGACAGGAAAGAGAGCAGAAGAAAAACAATTAGAAGCCCTAACATATTTTGAATGATTAATGATCGCTGTCACTTGCATTACTATCGGATTCATCGTTGCCCCAGACAGCAAAAGCGCGAGGATGGTGTTGGTCGTAATCCTTCGAATCAACTCGATGGTGGTTTCTGCGTCCCGAGAGCGTATCTGCCATAGTGGGAGTTTGAAGATTGTCGTCAAATTCCCTGTCCCTAGGAATGCGACTACGACCACTTGAATATTGCTCCCGAGAATGTATATCATCCCGAGCACCGCGTTGAGCGACGTCCATGTTGGACAATGAGTCGTCCGAGGAATTTGAGAGCGCGGGGGAGGGCGTTCGTAATTGATGGTCCATGTGGTGGGGATTGATATGAGGTGGTCGATGTGTGGGCCCAGCGAACCGTCCTGGAGTATCAACACCAGAACGCAAACCCGACCTTGACCGCGAACGTGATTTAGCCGAGCGAGAGAATTTGAGGCGACGTCCTTGAGTGAGCGCAAGCGCAGCCAACTCCGGTGTCGAGAGCAAATCATCATCCGTCTGGGAGCCCGCTTCCTCGCGGGCTTTTGCAAAACCGACTGCAGCATCTCTGGCATTTAGCTCGTTCGGAATTTGGGTCCCAGTACGTCCACTAGTCGAAGCCTCGGGCGAAGAGTCGTCAATGTCAAATTTGTCATCTTCCTCGTCAGACGTTGTCTCATCCTCCTCTTCGTCCTCCAGATTTTCATCGAACATATCATCTTGTTTGATTTGTTCAGGCCTCCTCGTTTTCCCTGTGCTAGATTTCCGCGATGGGCCCTCTTCGACTACGACAAACGATTTTTGACGCTCGCGTTCATTCCACTTCAGGGTTCGTGAGATGGCATGGAACCAGTCAGTTGACTGTTTGTCCGCGCAAACAGTCGGGAAAGGGTATTTGGAAGCAGTTATTTTGATATGGTCACCCTCTGCAAACGAAGTAAGCGGCTGAATGAAAGGTAACAACTAACAACAAACGTTGCAGTTCCACTCGGCCTCGGCCGTCGAAAGACACCCAAGCGGTGCTACGAGAATTGTATGGGACACATATGCGCAGCTCCATGCTGTCGGGAAGAAGCATGGGACGGAAGGATAGCGTGTGAGGGCAGATGGGACTGATGAGGATTGCAGGTATCTCAGGGTGAACCAAGGACCCTCCGGCAGATAACTACACCGAGAAAGGAGTTAATATCGGTCTCCGACCAGTGCTGGTGAGAAGCTTACTGAATAAGCAGTGGAACCTGTGGGCGTGGCTACACAAAGCCCATCGGCTTGCACGGTTGTCATATGGTGTTCGTCACCTTCAGAACGATAAACAAATACCCTAAATATTAGAAGATGTAACGCACCAAATAACTCAAGCAAGCTGACATAGGGACTAGGTCCTCGGTCCACCACGAGATCGTTGAGAACCTCAAACGTCTCAACTGGTCTTGTTGTGAAGCACATGATCTCCCTATCCCTCGGGCACTTGCCGCCCTCCGAGGTTGTAAAACCGCCAGACCAGCCTCCTTCAAGTGCCTCCCACCCTCCTTTGTTGACATCCTTCATCATAATTTCACCCGTTTCACCCTTCTTCACAGCCTTGCGGGACTTTCCCTTGTCGAACACAGCACGGTAGACCGTACAAGTAAATCGCATGCGCAAGTTGACACGAATTCCTGAGTCGATGGCTGAGTCCACAACCGCTTGATAGTCAGCGAAGTCGAAATTAGTCAGGAAGCCAAGGGAGCCGAGTGCGAAAGGGAGGACAGGAGGAACAATTCGCTGGAAGAGCCATGACGTAAACAGAACAGTGCCATCTCCTCCAAGCTAAGAACCGAAATCAGTGGACTCAACGAGACGCAAGCGAGGTAAGCCGCTTACCGTAATGACAAAATCGAACAGATGTGGACTATTGCTGCACATATCACTCGTCCAGTATCGTAGTTGGCCCTCCTGGTGTCCGTTTAAGTCATCTTGATGAGTGGACGATGAGGACAGGGAAGAGAGAGAATTGCTGCTGGACGACCGTCTTCGTGGAATAGGCTCAAAAAATTCTGGATGATCTCTCTGTATGCCTTCGGCATCGAACCTCCTCGAGTTTCGCAGTTGATGGTCTACATAGCTATCAAAAGATTTGTAAAACACCAAAAATGATACAACGCTCAAAACTCACACAATAAGGCCTCGACTCCCTTGACGAGGTTTGAGCATAAGATACAATGCAAGCTCGCGCGTCAGCTTAATAAGACGGTTGTCCCTGGCCTTGGTCACGATGAGGACACTTTGGATATTAGATCTTATTCGAGCACGCCCTGAAAGAGAATGGTTGTTAAGTAGTTCGAAGGTCTGAACAGGAACAGCACTCACCGAGCTGCTTGCTCATTTCGCGAACCCCGACTGCTGTCTCTGCCAGCTGTTTCGTCAGGTTGCCGCCATACGTATCGCTGTCGTCATTTTCCGGGAGCGCATGGTTGCCCCCATCAGGGCAAGGCAACTCAACGTGGTGTTGGGCCCGATTATGTTGTTGAAGAGCCTTGGCGACGCCGACATCTGACCCAAGCACCTCGTTATCCTTTGAATGAACTTCAAGCCAATCCTGTAGCGATGCTCCTTTATCTAGGTGTGAATGCACGAAGCAAGGTGATTTTGCGGATAGATTCCTGTGATCGATAGGCATTGATAGTGATGAAATGGGACTGCTTAAGCTCGAGCTTGAAATTGACCTGGGCGATTCGATAGATGCAGGTGATACAGCGAAGTCGCGGCGAATTGCTGATGTTATGGGATTATCGCATCCTGGACTTAGCCGTTGTGCCACTGCCTTTGCCACTGCGGGCGACTGTTCTACCACAACATCATGATGCCAGGTGATATTCGTATGCAACGACGACAACGACGATAATAGCGATGGCCGACTGTTTCTTCTCGATAACGAGGGTCGAATCACGTTTTCTGTAGGCAATTGGGCCATACCGTCCGCTGGTCCCTTTGCTGGCGAAGTTGGTGGGGTGGAATAGGTTTCAACCTCCTCAGACATTTCAGGCTGCTAGAAATACGTAGTCGTCCTTCAAATATCTCCGGGGATTATAGGGAAACGCAGCTGGGAAGTTAGTAATCTCCTTTGATTCCCAAATGTCTTTACACTTTATATTTGGCTTTGCCTGTCTCGACAGAAGAGTCTCCCAGACAACTCAGATGTACGTCGCAGCCACCTTGATGGCTGATACGAGTCTGATACGTCTCTCGACGGCACTGTCTAGAGTCTAGACAAGATTTTCATTTCCAGCACTGTCTAGCATCGCCATAGGACACAAGGCATCATTTACACGACGAACGTGTTGCATATTCTTCTCACAACGGTCCTGACCTCTGGGACCCTTCACACCAAATTCTAAATGTAATCTGGCACTACAGATTACACGAGGCATCTCTTCCCATCTAAACATCCTGCGAGGAACACTTCCACCTGCATTCTGCACAGGTGTCCAGTTGTGACTAGGGACTCTGGGGCTGTTCGTTTGATGATATGTTGTCAATGCTGTTTCCCGTTTGATCATCAATCACTCATTTGGAATTTGCAGTCTCAATGTTTTAACGCATCACGGCCCTGCTTACGGAGGGACTATGCGATCAGCGGCCTGGGTACTCTGTTTGGTATGCAAGTAATTCATAAGGCGGCCTTGCTGAATTTCTACAGCACCCAGTAATGACTTCTCCGAACAACTCTTTCAGCAAAGCTCACCCAGGCTGACCCACGATTGATTCCGGACCACTATATTGCCATGGCAAAGTTACGATTATACCTGTGGATGTTGCAACTTGCGGCCTCTGAGTCTCAAGATTCTGGGTGAAGGATTGCAATTGGCGAACGGACTTATCAGATAATCAGCCACGAACACACAAGTCCCCCTGAACCCCCATTATTAGCGTGCTCTGATTTCGACGCCTATGAAGTGCCATAGTAACCAAGTGGGTCGTCATGCTGCTAAACGCGACTAAAAGAATACTGTACCCCGCAAAACAAATCTCTCCAGCTTTCTGTAATCTAGTCGGTCTTTGGCCACCGCCCACAGCCAGATATCTAGTTCGGGCAATGTAATATCTTTCAGCCATGCTTGCTCTTCACTTAGTTGTACATCGCCCCTCGCAAACTCGACTATTTTCTCGCAAGCGTGTACGGCAGCCGCACGCAAAATATAAGCCTGCTCATTCGTGAGTACAGGACCATCCTTTGGGGGCGTTTTCTTTGTATCTTCCGCAACCACCTGTGAAGCCACAGGAGGTAAAGCCAAGAGAGCGTTAATCTTATCTTCACTCTCGGCACCAGGGAACAACTTGTCAAGTCCGTGAGATGTTGCGCCAGTCAGGTCCAAAACTCCCAAATGGACCAAAAGGGACGGCAAAACATTATCGGTGAACACGGGTGCCTGAGCTGTGCTGGGGATGGGAAACGGTGGCGAAGCCGCAGAACCAAAACGAATCTTCACTGCATGGATCAGAAAAAGTGCCTTTTTGAAGCAGTACACCGCTTCCAAAGATTGATGAGCACAAGGACAATCTTGACTGTGATCAGCCGCCCACTCACGTTTCCCGTTAACAACCGCCATATCGCGGAAAGCTGGAATAGCTCTGATAAGCTGGTTCAAAAGAATTGGTTATTCGGTGGTTGCGAGGGGTAAAAAATCGCGGCCCACCCTATCTAGCACAATTCCGAGACTTGCATTAGGATCGGCCTTTGCCCCCTCCTTCAAACTCTCCAAAACAAAGCTCCCTAATTCTGGATACCCTGAAGCGTCGAGGATCTGACCCGTCTCGGTGAGGGTCGAGCTGATCAGTTTCACCAACTCATATATTGGTCCACCAAGCTCCCCGACCGTGACACCCTCGATCTTTTCATGAGGTCGTTCGACGTGGATCGACACACCCATATGTTGTGCGACTTGCTGCTCACTCATCGTCTTCATGCCTTTCGCAGAAAGCAAATCTCCCTGCCCTGTCGCAGAGGACAGATAAAGAGAGAATGTGAATGCCCGTATATTATCCCATGCACCTCGTCCCGTCTGTTCGTGAAGTGGCACCCGATAGCCGGAAGCGAAATTGAGGAGAGAAAGAACAGACAGAAAGTTTAGCTCTGATAAGACTGAGGGGAACTTGAGGGGGAATGCAAGCCCATGGGAGGCTGAGATACGATGAAACGAGGATAGAAATGACGGAGATTCCAGGAGGCGTCTGACAGCGGCATCTTCGACCTAACATGTCAACCAGTCAAAGGTTGTTCGCAAAACGAAATTTGTGGCAGATCAACGCCAAGTCTGTAGGAGAGATTGCAAAAGGACAACAACAAATGTAGGCAGTAGATTGAGGCGAAGCACAAAGACAGAGCTAAATGTGTGTAGAGTCACATCAAAAAGCTCACCTTGATATGCGCGGCTGTTGTCACGGTCTTGCAAGACTCTTTGATGGATGAGATGACCATCCCAGGCGAGGGGAAATCAGGTTTCACCGGTCCCAAACCGCTGTGCATCTTGTGTATATGCAAGACTGTGAAAGTACAAGACACCTATGACTACCGTATGATGATCAGACCTTGTCCGAGATTGAAAGATTGAATCCGAGTCAGGTCGCAGTTCGATTCGACACTGTTCCGCAGCCTTTTTTTAATACGTCGAGCAAAAAATTGATCTAGTCACTAAAAAGCAACCAAGTGTCAAATATTGGGGGCCTGCTGAGGGAGTGGGCACTGGACAGTCTGGACTTGGTTCAGGTCTGAGGTAGGGAGAGCGAGCGGTGGCAAGGGTCAGATTCATAATAACACAGTGTTTGGGGTCTCGAGCTAGCGTGGCAAACCGAAACAGCCGAACCGTTGAGATGTCCTTGTAGACAGGCTACAAGCTGTTCCTTGTGCATCAGGTAAATTTCGTCCGAAGCACAAGCTAGCACGAGGTCTTCGTGAGCCGGATGGTGATCCCCTGCAAATCAGGACGTCCGAGTCCGAAAATCCCCCCAATTTTGGACAGGAAGGCCACCACAGTTGCCACAGCCTGACGATAGAAGATCTCGCCTGATATAAAGTATTAATTCTCCCCATACTGCGTTCGCGAGATGGAGGGGCATACACACTATCAGGCCCACGAGCGACCAGCACCCTTTTCAATCCTCTATATATGTACTTACATATTTACTTCACTTATGATTGACTATGAAGTGTAAGTACCCCGAAGTTTCAGTGCTTCAGTACGACTGCTTAATACTTGGAAGTTAGCGGACACGTTGGCATATTATTTCAGTTCCTAGGAGTAAACAGCTAGTCATCAATTATCATACGAGGCGAGTGATGTTACAAATTTAATCAATGAGCTGACTTCTACGTCTAGACGTTTTGTTTAGAATTTAACCTCCCCAGATGTTTCACCGGCATATGTGTATGCCATGTGGTCTCGTAACAGGCTGTTTGGACCCTCTGGACCCTGCCCGTGACCTTGACCGGCATATTCGGATGGGCGGTCTACCCACTCAATGTTCGTGCCCCAAAGCTTGAAGAATTTCTCAATAGTGCTTTGAGGATGCTTCTTCGAAGCGAGCAGGTATTCGTACACCGCGCGCCATGCGCTGTCCAACGCCCCGACGACCCACCTGCAGCCATGAATTGTAATCATCGAAATAACATAACTGCTTCTCACTCACGCATGACGGGTACTGATGGCCTCTCCAGCGAAATGTAACCTCTTGTTATGATTTGGTACAGTGAGAGCCGTGTACAAATCCTTGAAATCTCCGGGTCCGAAGAATGCAAAGGCACCTGTAGCGGAGGGAGTGAGCATTGATTGGGCCACATCGGTGTTCACGGACTCACCCATGGTGAGCGGGTTGTGATTCCAGTCCCATGCATGCATGTCCACGTACTGATCTGACATTTTATCATAATGGACACCGTGTACTTCTGCGAGATTGCGCAGCACGAGTTCCTTCAGTTGCTCATTATACTCTGTTTTACCGGTGTTGATGAGCGATCCCAAGCGTTCAGCGTCATTTGTCCAACAGTAGCTTGCGATCAGGACTGTGGACGGCGAGCTAGATTCAACTCCATAAGAGGGGTAGACAATAGTTCGGATGGGAAGGTCGGTGAACGATTGACCTCCTACGATATGGAACCATTCCGTCCACCACGCTGATTTGAAGCGGACCCCAACCTTGATTGAAGGACCGTATTGCAACTTGCGCAGAGAATTTTTCTGCATCACGTTTAAACCAGCACCGGAGAGATCAATGGTCCGCAGGACCGGCAGAGGGATAGTGAATATAACGTGCGAATATGTGCGCGGGCTGTATTCGCCCTGCACAGACACCTTCATGGTGTCCGAGTCGGTGCCTTCACCCTCGGAGACTCTCGTGACCCTTTTGTTGAGCTTGATGATATGGTTGTCGCCATTAGTAGTAATATATTTCCTCATGTAGTCGATGAGCACTTGAGAACCGCCACTATGTACGGGAAATTGTGAGAGCATGAGTTTGCAGACAGGAGGTGCGCTTACTCGAAACACTTCCATTCTACGTCTCCAAAGTTCTGCGACCCAACCTTGGCGAATGCAAGCGCTTCGAGAACATTTTCAGTCAACCCGCGGTCATACCAGCCGGTGCTCTTGTCAAATGTCTCGCACCAATTGATAACGTTGGTGGCAAGATGCATAGGCGGGAGTTCGAGACTGACGCTAGGAATGTACTTGAACGACATGTATGCACGAAGCGAGTATGCATCGTTCTTCATCATGACGTCCCAACCCCTACGGACATGCTGCTCTAAGTCCCCCGTGAGCATGCGGGCGAATGGCTCGATGACGTCTCCAACGATCTTCTCAACTCCCACAGCAACAAATTCAGACTCTACACCCATTTCCTGGGCGCGGAAATCAGGAGGGGATGTTAGATCACGGACGTCAGGATGGGGCGTCTGGTATCTTTCATTGTTGAAGTAGAGGAAAGATCCTCCTTCCTTTGCCGTGAAGTAGTAATCGATAAGTTTATCCTTTAGAGGTACAGCGAGCCTCCTAGAGTCGCTGAACTTTGAGTAGTTGATTAACTCGCCCAAGCGCCTCATGACCCCAGGCTTGTAATTGCCTTCAGAGTCCTTCTGCGGCAGGGGGAACCTCATGGCGCCAACATCCTAGTCAGCGGAAAAGTCAAGAGGTTACATAGTGAATGTCTTTGGCGCAGTAGCATCGAATGAGTGACATACGTAGTAGTCGTAATCATTACCATTCGGGAAGCTGTAGGTGAAGAGGCGGCCGCCGATGCGGTCCGACGCCTCCAAGATCTCGTACTTGATGTCCAGCAAATCTAACATGAGGGCGGTATATAGACCGCCAACTCCTGCGCCTAAAATTCCAACCGGGTGGTTTGTCTCGTGATAGCCATCCTCGGAGAGCGGTAATTGCAAGGCCTGTTGAGGACCAGCCCCGAAGTGTACAGGAAGCTTTTTGAGGAGAACATCATCATAATCTTCGATGACATTTCGACCCCAGTAGCCAAGCACATCTCCTTCGTAGTCCATGGTGAGTGGAAGTGGTATTGAAGATTGGGTGTGTTAGATGAGTCGTCTGGTATGAACAGACCGAAAACCACCTTATATACTGTGCTTTCGTTCGGAGAATGAGAAGGGTTGGGTTCTGTGACCACAAGGAACATTTGGACAGGAAAACTCGAACATAATTTCTCCAGTGAACTCTAGAATCGATTGTCCGAGCGTTAGAATGTAATCTTTGAAAGAGAAAACTTCCATATCTAAGCTTACGACCTAGGCGCTGAAAACCAGTTCCAAGATGGTCAAAAAGCTCAAAAAACTTAATGGGAATGTGGTCAAGATGATTTCTGGCGCTTGAAGAGATCCGACATATCTGAGGTACCTTCAAGCATGGCTGGCGACTATCAAAACACTATCACCAGATAAACCTAAGCCGGCCCAAAATACTGCCCCCAATTCAGCCTATTTTGCAATGTCACGCAGCCAAAGTACTTACCTGCTCGGGTTTGCTCCACCCCCGTCTCCATTTAAGACTGTGCATATGACCGTATTGCTGAATTGAGGTGTTCTCATCTGGAATAGCGGCGGTATCTCCTGAGGAAAGTCCTCAGTGTTACATAGCAGTAGACAAACGTTCAATGTCAGATATCTTGGTTCAATGCAGCTTCCATTGAGAGGATAGAACACTGTGGCGAAAAGTACTGCAAGATTCGAGTCAGCAGTCAATATTCGAAGTTCATGACCAAGAACGTATCACGAAATGTGAATGGCAAGATAGCTACTTCATCAAATTCGCGCATTACCTCAATATCGCCGTGACATGGCGCCATGATACCAAGGTCCAAGTTGTCGTCGTCCTGATCAATTTGAGACGTGGCCGAGATGCATCTCGACTCTGCAGGGACTCTGAATGCAATCAACTGTTTCGAAACTTGTCAGATGACAGTGCGATCAATGACTTGACCGTCTCAATCAAGTATCATGCATCGTGTTTGCCCTTGCGGTTGGAGTGTAAGTATGCCATAGGGACAAATTGGTATCGGCACTGGCAAAATTGAAGTGCTGAATCTGATAATCATGATCAGTCTGAAAAGGTTTTGCCGGCCGCCTTGAACAAATTTTCAACTCTGGAAAATCACAAAAAGTTCTAGAAACGTACGATGTATATATAATGATATATAGACGCTGACTGCTCCGTGAGCGAATCGGGAGTTCGAAGAAGGAACCCTTGAGCGTCATGTCTGGAGTCGGAGTCTTTGAGAATACACGACTCTCGAGCCGTATCAAGGGGCGCCGCAAGGCCCTGCAAGGCCCCGCATGGGACAAGTTTGAAAGTAACTTAGCCAATGTACTTTAAAGTTAGTGATTTAGCGCTCGCGGAGTTTGAAATCTGTCGGACCCGTTATGATTTCAACAACTCCAATGAAAATTACAAAAAATAATTGTTGTTGGTCGACGATCCATCATCATGATCTTAGCTCTTCCTTTACGTTCGTTGAGACAACCCCTTTGCAAAATGCTAATAATGTCCCGTGCTTTATCTGTGGCCACGTTGGGGGTATCAGGTTAGCGCACGTCTAGCCACAAAATTATGTACTAGGCTAACAAAGTTACGCAGATATCCGCCAACAACTAATGTCCGGAGTCAAGACCGCTATGAAGGTGACCATCCCGTTGAACCAATACTATTCACCTGTCAATAAAACCCTTCACGCATTCATCAAATAGGCCAAGGATTCAATGACTTCCATGACTCTACGCGTGAGCTTTTATCCCCAACAATGAAGCCGAAGGTTCTAACTTCTGAGGCGCCTGTTAACGCAGACCATTCTCTCGGAAGTCTATGCCGCTGACAAGTTAGCTGGTTCACCTGTGTCATCCCCCGCTATAATCGCGATCCTACGAAGGGCCACCTTACGACGTGTTGGTCTAGAATTCCATTTTATTGATATTTCCGTCACCTGATTTGTTTTCATGTGCAGCACGACTCCGCCAATCAATTCGTCAAGGCTTCCAGACCTGACTTGGCACAAAAAGAGCAACGCGAAGCGGACATTATTGCGCCTTTCTTACCCCCTTTAATGTCGGAAGCGGATATCGACCGCGTTCTTAACGAGGTGATTGCTGAAACAACACTCGATGGAGATTCCCGCAAAATCCTTGGGCAAGTGTACAAAACCTTCTACTCTAAAGTAGATAAATCGAACGTTGACACCGAAACTGTAAAGCGCAAGGCTGAAGCGCTCTTGTTGAACGTTTGAATAATTACCCATTAGTACACAACTTTCCATAGAGCCGGATCAGAATATTATGAGAGAGAGAGAGCATTTCTATATTTCTATACCCCAGTTAAGACGCGGTGCCCTATCAGGGCCGTGCTGGAGGATATTGTAAGAGGGTAAAGGAGAATAATATTCGACGTTGTAACAACAGTGTAGGTATGTTACATATGCTCGTCAGTAGCAGAGGAGTGTGGCGTATCATGTGGTTCCATGACAGCTGACGGTGTGTTGCTGGAAACTGGCAAGGCACTTCGTACTCGCGTGAGATCCTCCACACAACGACTAACTGCAACTGAAACTCCTTCGAGTATCCTGAGTCTCTCGTCAATGGCTTCTCGAGTAATCTGATCCATGAGCATTAGCTGCTCGTCCGTCAGATTGGGTGGCAGTCCACGTAATGGCGTCTGAACGGTGCCCGCGGGGACGGAAGCGCTGAGACTTGGCAGACGTACTAAATCATCATGTGGTGATGGTGGGACTGGCTGCCACAAGTGAGTGTGGGACGGGTCAGCGCCTAGTGATGTTCCCATTGATGGGGGAATTTCATGGGCGTGTAATGGGATGAAAGAAGGGATTGTCAAGCCTGAATCTGGCATAGCAGAAGAAACATTGGCATCAGAATGTGGCGCGTCTGGCGCCTCACCAGATGAAGGCTTGGCAGCAAGTGTGTCATTGGCTAACGCAGGTGCCTCATCATTGGATCTCCGGGTATTCTTGTTTCCAAATCGCTGTGATGCAGCGGAGGCAGCGGCATCTCGGGGATTCAGACGTGAGTTACCAGCGATGGCCGAGGGTTGATCTGAGGCACCCGAAGGCTCGTCACCAAACCATCGGGCATCCATACCCCACTGACGCCATTGTCCATCGAGGCCAGTGAACCCAGCAAAGCGAGGCACAGGCTGCGGGGTAGTCGGAGCTTGAGATGCGTCCCGTGATGGTGGCGCGCCCTGGTACTGGATGTTATATTGAATAACGACACCTGGGGCTTGCCCGGGCAACCACCCCTGAGCAACTGCATTTGGTGGAGGTTGATTGTTAACGTTGCGCTGTGCCTGCGGTTGGTTTCCTGGGGCCACCGGGTTGCCAAAATTATTTGGTTGTCCAGGTATAACTCCTACCTGAGCACCCGCAGCACGCTGCTGTTCTTGCGCGGGATTCTCAAGCACACTGCGTCGACTGTCAAGAAAAATTACCCTGAGCGATCTCAAGATTCCGCAGTACGAATTAACGCACCAAGTAGGGCAGCTTTGCTGGCGCTCAAGCCATGATCGAAGGCAATAAAAATGGAAAATATGGCCGCATGGTAGCTTCTTTGGGGTGGTGTTAGGGCCATCAGAATTCTGCTGGGCAGGGTTGGAGCCGGAATCGCCTTCCTGATTCCCAGAGACGCCCTGGACAAACATCTCCTCGCGACAGATAATGCAAGTCCGATCTGTCATAGCTGACATTTCTTCCTCGCTCGCGTCCGGGTAGCGCTCATCCATGTTGCGGGTGGCAGCTCTGTATCGGACAAGCGCGCGCAATCGTGTCACAAATGACCGCCCAGTGAGATAAACATCTCGGATGATGTTCAGCGGCAACCCATAGAACGCCACGATAAGGAGGAAGAATAGAAGGTAGGTGGTGAGTTTCAAAAAATCTAAAAAAAATGTTTATGAAGGTTTGGAATCGATATGGATATTGCGTACCGGTGACCAATTCGATATAGAATACCCACATGCTTTTATTTTGCCATGGAGGCGCATTCTCGCCACCCCTTTGTCTTGCACGTCTCAAATCGATAACGCAAACGCAATACTTTGCGGTAGTATTCATAGCGCTCGCCATCAAGATAGCGTACTGAAAAGAATGTTAGATATCACTTAACGGGGAACGGACAACACGTGCCTCGCTGGCAAACATCATCATGCCCCCTATGCCATTTTTCAATGTACTTTCGACCGCGACCGCAAACATGAGTAGGTCTATGCACCAGAGTATGACAAATAGACTGGTCATTCGAACATGAAAAAGTGTGGGAGGGCCAGGATATGGACGTTGGTCCATCTAGATTATGACTAAACGCATTGCAGGACTGGATGAAGTAGGACACATACCCACTCAATTCGGTCCGAAGCAAGCCAGTGGAATGACCTGACAAACAGCAAAAAGCCGAACATCAAGGCAAACGGAATATCAAAGTCATCCCTGAAGATTGTGAATGCCAGCAAAGACTCCGTGACGAAAAACCATAGACGGTCATATAGGCGCTAGTGATAATTAAGCGCAAAGATGAAAGTTAACTCAATAAAAGCTACCTCCACCTCCTGAGGACGAAGGGCGCCAAAGAATATCTGTTGCACGAGCTGTCCGCACAGCAATGCAACAAGAAGGCCGAAATTCGCAAGGATCTGGAATCTGTTTTAGTACACCATGAATTATCACAATTAATAAACCACGCACCAATACACTTCTATTACTCTTTGAAAGATAAATTGCCACAGAATAGAAATTACTGTGACATCGGAGTGCATTTGTGATGGTCGCCGAAACTGCAATTGTAGACACTAGACCATAGAGCAGAACCTTGTGAGAATTGAACGAAGCCACAATGGGGCGAGCTCTCTGCCCTAGAAAATCATTGAGGGGCATTCCCGGAAATGCTGGAAGGGAGAATAGTGAAGCTGAACAGATTGTTGGACGACCTAGTAGGCCTAGTAGTACTGTGGTGAAGCGCTGAATGCGTGTCATAAACCCGAAGTTCTCACGGTCACGTCACTAGCTGGTTTTCAAATTTGCTTCTGGTCTTTTCCGCTCGGACTGAGTTGAATCTGGGACCCGACGATGCCATAGTCCGACATCACCAAGACCACTTTCGTCAAGTGCTAGATGTTTGAAGTTCAAGAGACGCACTTCCTAAATGCGGCGGGAACGAGGATTCTGCAAACAATATGCTGGCATGTCTTTAAATTGGGTAATGACCGTAAGTCGGATCATGTTCCCGACCAAAAATTCAAACGATTCCAGGGTTGTCACAATCGCCTACCACTACTTGCAGGCACAATATCCTGAATTTTTAAAAGCGCCTCTCGGGGTTCGGATTCTAAACACTTGCTGTGCAATGACGCCAGTAGCGTTCTATTCCTTCGGAATACTCGTGAGATTCCATCCTGACGGGTTTATATAAAATGTCAACAAACCTTGGCTTCCATCCCCATCATCCAAAACGTCTTGAATTTGTTTCTCCTTGTACAACTGAAAGGTGGAGTGGTCCTTGAATATTCTGCATATATAATACTGAGGGGTATTGTACCAGCCATGTCTGAACTGCGTAAGCGCCAGGGCCCTGACAAATTTGCTGATACGGGCCCTCAGAATATTCTGCCCGGCAGGAGTACTTCTATACCTGGGGTGCTGTCTGGATTTGGCCCCTGTCGTCTTGTCACCCTGGTATTTCTCGCTGTCTTTGCGGCTTGGTTCCTATCCCCCGAGGGAACTTCGCCACTCTCACGATCATACGCAGTTTGCTCCCCTTCGGGTGCTCGGGTTTATACTGTGGATCAGGCTGCCCCAAACGTTCAGTGCCTTGTTGTGGATGGATCTTTAATCCTGGACACTGGTTCCTTGGGTATGTAAAAACAGACAAAACCAACACAAAAAGCTAAATCAAACGTATCAATAATTTTATGACGCTAGAGGATGTCATGGCACATTGGGTTGCCAGTGGTCGTCTTCGTTCCTCTCTTCAAATTCGTTATTTGGACAAATCTTCAATCGTGGTTCCGGGGCTTAGTGGTAAGCTGCGAGAAAAGAAATAATTTTTCTAGAATGACTTTTCAACACTTTAGATTCACATGCACACATTCTTGAATACGGTGCAAATAGACAACTTCCCCTCGGAGGTGGAAAGACGATCAAAGGTTTGCATAAGATTTACTTCGTCCCGGGAACGATCTGAGTAGTGTATCTGCATTTAGACACAGTTGCACTGGTCCGACGATATATTTTGGACAACAATGACATACTCAATGACCCTTCAAAATTTATTGAAGGTTGGGGATGGGATCATACTTCTTGGCCAGTGGAAGAATGGCCAACCTCAGTGAGCTTTACAAAACCATGTGCTATACAACTCTAAAGTTCGTTGCTTTGCAGGATGCCCTAGAGACGGACCCGATCGTCCGTGGCCGGCCAGTCGTCCTACAAAGCAAGGATGGCCATGCGTTATGGATTTCGAAGAAAGCTCTTACGTTAAGCTCCCCGTGGCCATCGGAAGTAGAAGGTGGTGTCATTGTGAAAGATTCGTTTGGCAATCCGACCGGTTCCATTCTTTCCTTGTGAACACATGGCCTAAAAATAGCTGATACTAATGACCAGGTGTTCTTCTTGACAATGCCCAGGACCTTGTGAAGAGACCGGCTCCAACTGAACAAGACCTGCTGAGACGCTTCAATGCCACAGTAAAGGATGCCTTGTCCTGTGGTTTAACCTCCATCCATGATGCGGGGTTCAATCCTGTTTCACTTGAGTTCTTCAGAAGGTCTACCAAGCATCATTGTGTAAAAACACACTTAACATTATTCACGCAGGCAAGCGGCGGCAGGAAATCTTCCCGTAGGTACACAGGGATACCATCACCGTGTAATTCTAAACAGCCCATAGGTTCGAATTTATGGGATGAGATACTTCGATGAAAGCGTCCCTTATTGGGGAAACCTCTCAAAACCAATCATCAATGCAGGAAATGGCAGGCTAAATGCTCGCAGTGTCAAGATGTTTGCTGATGGTAACACGATGGTGATAGTACTAAGCCATCAGACTGACTTTTTATTCAGGTGCTTTACGCTCTGGTGGAGCAGCGGTGAGGAGCTCCTTGCATGCTTTTCCATTTTTTTCATGATGTCCCTCAGCTGAACGAGCCGTACTGCGATAACCCCCACACGAAAGGATTCATGCGTTTGGACCCCAAAGTCTTGACTGATGTTATACCCAAATATCTGAGAGATGGATGGCAGGTTGTAAGTGCTGATTATCACAAAAACAAAACAAAACACTCATTTGCTTTTTGTCTGGAAGAATGTCCATGCTATCGGGGATTATGCCAATGGTGTGGTTCTGGACACATTCGAAACTGCCTTGAAGGACGTCAATGTCACAGCACTCAGACCTCGCCTGGAACATGCTCAGATTTTGACAAAGACCGACATGGAACGTGTCGGAAAGCTTGGAGGTGAGCGTTCTAGCATCATCGATGTCAATGGAAGTAGAATTGTAGTCATACAGTGATTGCCAGCATTCAACCTACTCATGCGTACGTCAAATTTGCCATCCGAATGTGTTCGCTGATGTGAATGTGTCATATGGACGGAATAGCATCAGTGATATGTGGTTTGCAGAAGACCGTCTTGTGAGTTCATGTGAATCACGGCTACACGCTTTTATAGTTGTTCATCATTTTCTAGGGCTCTGAGCGGGTGAAGGGTTTATATGCCTTCCGCTCCTTACTTGACCACGGTTCTCGACTTGCCTTTGGTTCTGATTTCCCGGTGGAAGACATGAACCCGCTCTCTGGATTCTATGCAGCCATTACCAGACTGTCTCCTGAAGGACAATCACCCAGCGGCCCGTCGGGATGGTATGGGTTTTTTGTCGAAAATTTCTCGTTCAACCCATATATGTTTCGTAGGTTTCCAGAACAACGATTGACTCGCATGGAAGCCTTAAGAGGTACTTTACGAGAATACTCAGATATGAGCGCTGCTGATATGGAAAACAATCAATAGGCATGACGATTGATGCTGCGTATGCTTCATTTACCGAAAGCAACTTGGGTTCCCTTGTTCCGGGAAAACGGGCGGACTATGTGGTGTTGTCGCAGGACATAATGACCATCCCTGTCGATCGAATTTTGAACACCAAAGTTCAAGCTACGGTGATCGATGGGCGTCTTGCCTTTGGGCAGGTCTAGGACGTAGTGGATGGAGGTGTGCTAGGGTGTATCCAAAGCAATCGACTTGGAGTTCTAATATACACGGGATGGACCTCCTTGCTTACCGGGCCCCCTTGCTTACCCCCAAAATACTATATTTTCTTTTCTTTCCTTTTTTACTTTTCTTTTGATGTTCTTGGTTTACTTTTGAATTTGAAGTGCAATCGATTGTGTTAGTTTATTGATTTTTCGTTTGATGTTCTTGGTTTACTTTTGAATTTGTAGTGCAATCGATTGTGTTAGTTTATTGATGAGAATCTTTGTGACGGAAATAACCGAAGTCAGTCGACGCGCCACCAACGCGTCGCGACACGTCTCGATATTTGCGGCATTCCGGAGCAAGCTTCCTCGTCTTCTTCTTTTAAGTCAACTCTAAGACTTTCACTTCATAATTCAATGCCAGCCTACCAGTCGCCACTTACGGGCGATAAACGAAAGCTGCCACTTGATACATCCAGCAGGAAGAAAGTCGCGATCGAGAATGCCATCGGAGGTCCCTCGGCGTGTCGTGCAAGCAACAGTCATGGAGGAGAGGAGTACTGGATGATTCAGTGGTTTGTGGGACTCCCAATTTGAGTACTTCATGCTCACCACAAGTTACCAGGAGATTACCCCAGTACAAGAAACACAAAACCTGGGATGGTGATGCCGTCCTAGTTCTCACAGGCATCAGAGGGTCGATGTTCGATCTAGAAGGAAAGATGTACGTTTCTTTACTGGGCAAGAAAACCGAGGGTCCAGGTTAATTTGCGTTGTCGCGCTAATAGAATGGGAGCCGGGTCCTTAAATGCGCCAAAGGCTGAGGAAAACGGAGAGTATCAATTTGGAGGGAAAGAAATCAGGATCGACCATCCAATTTCTCGTGGAGAATACATGTCTGGAAAGTGCTATGGTCGAGGAAGCATGCCATCTCCTGCAATGACTGGGAATAACTTCGTGAAACCCTCTTTGCGCATCGCTCCCTTGCCGTCAACAAAGATGAATGTACCTTACAAGACACCATTGAAAGCCGTAGACAAGAGGGCTATTGATCTTCATCCTGTCAACCTTCTGTCTGCACGGGATATCCCCTCCGCCGGCTCTTCGAAAGCAAAGACGACAGCTACTTACTGGACTGCTAACTGGTGAGTGACTAGCGAGAATATATTGCACGTATGCTGACTCTCAAAGGCGGAAGCCGCAGAGCAAGAAGCACAAGACTTGGGATGGCGATGCATTCGTTAGCCATGTCGGCGACAAGCTCACTGTGATATCAGAAAAGGGGAAAATGTAAGTTGGATCTGATTGGTTCGTCATACACCTCACTGAACGGTCGTCGCAGACTTGGCCGTAAGGAATGGGATGGACTTGCTCTACACAACGGATACAGCTTCAGCGCCGGTGGCAAACAGATCGAGTTGGACTCGCAAGTACCAGCATCGCGAATGCCTTCCATCACTGGGGTGGAAGATGAAGTTCCGGGGCCAGAGGAAGATGTGCAGTTAGTGCAATCTTCACCATCCAAGCCCTCGTTTCTGCTTCACGCGAAGGGCGCTCTCCTTGGCAAAGAGAATGACATCATAACTGCATCTCCAGGCGCTTCAAAAGCGTTCGTGCCCCCCGCATCGTTCTATGGCCAGAAGCCAAATAAGAAGCCGAATGACCCGTTGTAAGTTCCTTCAGTACCTTGTTACCGAGGATTCTAAACTGGCTAGGCATGATCCCGAAGCAGAGGGAGCAATCGTCATGAAAGCGACAACCCCAGAACACGCTCGCAAGTTCAACAAGAAGTTCGCTTTTGACATTACGCTTCTCTTGAAGCAAAACTGAGGTATATTTGTAGGAATTTGCCCACTGTAGCTGTCGTCCTAGATCCTATCATTGCAAGACATCTTCGTCCACACCAGGTCGAAGGTATGCATGCTATCTCGATATGTTATATCTGTGGTGGCACAATATTTTTGCAGGCCTCAAATTTCTTTATGAATGTGTCATGGGCCTGCGAAGACACGAGGGTCAAGGGTGCATACTCGCCGACGAGATGTACGTGTTCAATTTGGCCATTTGCGCGCTACATCGTTGATGTGCAGGTTTCAGGGGTCTAGGGAAAACCCTTCAGGTCCATTCGTTCATTTGACATTATTACCGCTCGGTGACAATTTTTACAGACAATTGCTCTTGTGTGGACACTCCTCAGTGAGCTCACTGTTTAATATCTGTGTTACAATCCCCGAACTGGCGACAGAGCAGAACCCATACGTTGGCGCTGGGCCAGCAATCGGCAAGGCCTTGATCGTATGCCCCGTATCGCTGGTCAATGTTCGTTTCTATTCCTCAATTCATCTTCACTATTTTCTGACCTGCAAGCAGAATTGGCGCGCCGAATTTCAAAAGTGGTAGGATAGAATCGTGCTAATGCGAGATGTGATTCAACTCGGACTTTAAGGTTAGGGAAAGATCGCGTTGGTGTTTTCACAGGCGACAAAAACAAGTCCACCATTAAACAATTTCTCAACTCGTATGTGTTGGCACCAGCTGATTGGACTCACCGCTCATTCAAATATTAGACAGTTGCATCAGGTTCTAGTCATTGGGTATGAGAAGCTTCGGACCGTCATGTGAGTGTCGCTTTTCACTGTTGTGCATCTGTTTACACTAGTCAGAGACGACTTGGCATACTGCAAGTGAGCATTCTTTCTACTGCTGTAGTGAATAAAAATCTGATACTCCGTGTAGTCCTCCAATTGGCCTGGTTATTTGTGACGAAGGTCAGTTGATGCGGGTAGAATATACCTGCCATTGACTCCTCTGCAGGACACAGACTGAAGTCATCAAATACTAAGACCTCGACAATGTTTAAATCACTACGCACTGTTCGAAGAATCATCCTGTCCGGTACTCCCATTCAGAATGATTTAGGTGAATTCCATGCGATGGTGAGCACGAGGCACCTGTTTTTGTCAACCGTCCAAGTGCTAACCTAATCAAAGGTGGACTTTTGTAACCCAGGGCTGCTTGGTGAGCTGCATTGACTTACTTCACAAGGGAAAATCAAATACAGAGATATTCGTAGATGATCACGCTACATTCCGTAAAGTTTACGAGGTTCCTATCCTCAAAAGTAGAGTACCGGATTGCACGGATAAGGAACTCGAGCTTGGTGAGGCTCGGTCAGCTCAGGTTTGTGGAACTTTTGTGTTCCGTTCAGCTGCTGAAGAGCACCAAAAGTTATCTTTGATCGCGAAAAGCTTCGTATTGCGTCGGGAAGCCAACATTCTCAAGAATTATCTTCCGCCAAAACGTACCTTTTTTTCTACCTGTAGTTCGACTATCTGACGTTCTGAACAGATGAATATGTCGTGTTTGTCACCCCAACGCAACTGCAATTGTCCATATTCTCGGCTATTCTTAACCCCGATAAGCTAGATAGGCTGATTAACGGACCGACCGCAGAATCGCTTGTTTTGATCAACATGCTCACAAAAATCAGCAATAGTCCCGTGTTGCTCAAGGCTCAAGCAGATAAAGCAAAAGCGACAAACACAGATGCAATTCGCCGCCCGGGCATTGATGAAGCCTTGAGTTTGTTACCTAAAGATACCCGTGTCGACGACTTCTCCATGAGCGGTGGGCCCCATGTTCTCCAATGAGGTCTATTGGCTGATCGATCTTCATATCAGGCAAGCTTCTGGCGTTGTCGAACCTTCTCAAAGTCATCAGAGAGGTAAGTCTGCTTGACTAACGGCACAGCATTATTTGACCGCCATTTAGCGCACCCGAGAAAAATGCATCATTGTTTCACATTATACATCAACCCTCAATTTGATCGAAGCCTTCTGCAAGAAGAAATCTTATACTTACTTCCGGCTTGACGGGTACAGATTTTTATTCCCAGTTGTAGTATTTTCGTCTCACATCACACCGCCATAGTCAGACACCAGCAGCAAAAAGGCAGGAGTATGTGAACACCTTCAATAAATCATCACAACACAGCCATTGTAGGTTACTCAATTCGCACTTCTCAGCGCCAATCTGACTATGATGAGGAAAGTTCTATTCCTGCTGAGTTCAAAGGCGGGCGGCGTTGGGCTCAACCTTATCGGCGCGTCAAGATTATGTTTGATAGATTCCGATTGGAATCCGAGGTGTGTGGCGTATATAATGATAGGATGGCCCTAAATGCAATCTCCCATTCAAGTCATGACCTCCAGTCCATGGCACGAATTCATCGGTAAATAAGCAATCATCGAAAATATTTTATCCTTATCAAATATGACAGTGATGGACAGAAACGGCCAGTTTTCATCTATCGCTTTCTAACTGCAGGAACAATCGATGGTGAGAGCCTCTTCTGATAAGGTTTGTAACGCGCTTATATTGCTTCCGGGAAGAGAAAATCTATCAGAGACAGGTGACCAAGATTGGACTTAGCAACTGTGAGTGAATTATCTGTTCTCTCGGGTTCCGGCTCTAAATTGTCGGCGTCAAGCTCTTATGGGCTCAGTAAGCCGATATTTTGTCGTTTACCTGGCGGAGTTTATACTATCAAATTCAAGGGGTCATCTGGCTCAAAGTCAGACTCATTTTCACGGAAAGATGTACTTCTTTTTTACTCATGATATGACCGATGTTTGATGCCCCGATTTGTAGCTTCGGGACATTTTCCGAGTCCATCCTGAGACAGGCTGCAATACCCATGACCTTTTAGATTGCGGATGCGATACCGGTTCAAAGCATATCAACGACGACATGACGGGTGTCTCGGGGAACAATATAGATGTCGGTGAGGATGACGACAACAACGACGATTTAGCAGAAACTGGCTTCGTCAATGCGTCGCAAGTCAAACCTCGCCATATCGAGAAGATGGATGGAGCAGTAAGGATATAAATTCTGTTGTTCACCATGCACATAATTATGCTAAACATGGTTCTGTAGTACATGAAGAAGAAACAGGCGGAGCTTGCATCACTCGGAGAGTGGACACACATCAATTGCCTGCAGAGATTGACGAGCGACAATATCCACGATGACATTCTCCGTCATCTGGTGCCCTCAAGTGTGAGCGAAGAGAAGGAAGACCTCGCGCAGCCGCAATCAAGGATTGATTCACTATTATCGGCCGTTGACCTGGACAACATTACAGCTATGGACGAAGCGACTCAAACTTTATCCGTTCGCGATGTCCCTGGCGGCACAATTTCGTTCCTTTTCGAGAAGACATCCGTCTCTACTATGGAAGAGAATAATGTGGAAGAGGGCTAAATGTTTTGATCATACCTTTGTTCTTGATACTCACGACCTCCAGATTGTCCACCCTACATACGATTTTTTTTCTAACAATCCAAAAGAACTAGACCTTGAAAAATAATCACCTGCGAGAACTCTTGGTTTGGATCTAGATCTGATCGTCAATATCTTTCTAAGTGATGAAAAACACAACAACCACTCTAGCAGTAGTAACCTGTACCTGCAGCTTTGTCAAATCTCGCGAGTCACGAAGCACGTGACCGTGACGTTTCGTGTTTACTATATGAATTTCGGCTTCATGAACATGACCTCCTGCCAATTATCGCAAGTACTCGTAACTCTTCAGCGATGGGTGTCCAAGGCCTTTGGGAGGTAACGTGGTTTCGCTCTTCTCTAACAGATTGTTCTGACTCAACTGCGCAGGTCGTGAACAAAGCGGGACAATCTCGGTCGCTCGCCAATCTAGCAATTATTGAAGGATTTGAAAAGAATCATTCCGGGAAACGCGCCTTTCGTATTGGCATTGATGCCAGTATATGGTATCAACACTGTGTACACAGCAAAGGCGGCGAGAACCCAGAACTCCGCCTGTTGTTCTTTCGTTTATGCTCGTTGGCGCGACTACCCTTTCTACCACTCTTTGTTTTTGATGGCGATGAAAGACCCAAGATAAAGCGAGGCAGCAAGATGGGGAAAACGGGATCTCATAGCCTTACGTCTGGTATGAAGAAACTGTTGGACATATTTGGCATAGAATGGAGAATGGTGGGGTGTTCATGATTCGAACACACTCGACTGCTGATGCTTTCCAGGCTCTCGGTGAAGCAGAAGCCGAGCTAGCTCATCTCAACAGATACGGCGTTATCGACGCAGTTATGACGGATGATGTGGACGCGCTCGTCTTCGGTGCTCTTCGGGTCATCAAGAAGTAAGCCTGGCTGCCTCTGCAATACTAAGTTACGCATAATTTCCTGTCCACAGTTCAAGTCTAACCCTTTCTGGGAACAAGTCCAACCCCGCTTTGGACTCGGAGGGCAAACCCAGCAAACACCATACCATGATATATACAGCGGAAGCTATCAGGAGGCATCCGGAGGTAGGGCTTACGAGAGGGGGGTTTGTTCTCTTTGCCATTCTTGTGAAAGGGGACTACGGTGACGTGCGCAAATTTAACCTGTGTTGAGTCTACCCGTCTAAAATATTTCAGGGTGTAAGGGATATCGGCAAAGGCATCGCGCATGGCTTGGCTCGCTGCGGATTTGGCGATGAACTTCTCGAAATATTTCACCGTCGTTCTATCGAAGACGTCCGTCCAGCACTCGCACGCTGGCGCTCCGGCGTGAACTTGGAATTGCACACCAACTCGCGGAAACAGCTTCGGCACTCGTACCCTGCACTTTCGTTACCACCAGACTTCCCAAATATGCAGATACTCGAGAACTACATCAACCCAATATGCAGCGCCCGCGCGGGAAGGTCAGGTGGTGGCAAAATGCGCGACAATGGAGAGCTGAATCTTGCCCGTGCTGCTGCGTTCTGTGAGGAGAATTTTGGAGAGTGGGGTTACCAGACTGCGATTATAAAGAGGTTTCGGAGTCTGATGTGGGAAGCGGCAGTAATGAGGGTCATCAGGAGAGCTGTGCTTGAAGCTGATGAGAAAGAGAGGACAAAACGTCTCGAGCACGGTGAAAGCACTGTCATCAAAGGGCCACTGACTCCCTCTCCCGCCGAGGCAGTCGGAACACCGGCTTATTTCGTGAAAAAGTATCTCGACATGACAGATGTAGATCGCCGTCGTGCGGCTTTTGCCCCTCAGCCCTCCTTCAGAGGACATAACCCTCGTAACCGGTCATTGATCACGAAGATTCTGGGAACCCGCCAGCATGTATCCACTGATGGCCTTCTGGAGTACGGTGTTGAAATGTGTCCTTCACAGTTGGTGGAAATTGCTCAGTCAGGTATCAAGGGCAAACGACCCGAGTTCGCAGGCAATCCCACTGCTTTGGATGACAACCTAATCGAAAGTAGCTCGCAAGCCACGAAGGGAACTACCAAAAAGTTGCCACCCGATCCACATAGCAATATGCGCGTTTGGATTCCTGTTTCTATGGTCCGGCAGGTCTACCCTGGTCTTGTGGTTGATTATGAAGCCGAACAGGAGAAGAGCATTCGCAAAGCCTCGGGATGCGGTGTGACACGGAGACAAGGAAAGGGTAAAGCAAAGGCTGATCCAGGTACCGAGGACCAGACAAGCCACACCGAACCTTTTACTTCTCCGGTTCGAGTAGCGAGGACGCACTTTCAGTTGGACCGGGAACCCATTCGCGCGCTCGGTCCGGATCGTGAAAGATGTCATACCAGTGGCAGCGACGAACTGCGACCGCAAATTCGTCTCGAGGATTATATACCATCACTCCCTTCTGTCTCAATACGTGCGGATACTCATCCGCCAAGCGTGTTCTTGTTTTCTATGCCTAATCCTGACAATTCTCTGGAGTTGGTATTGGAGGATGTAGAAGACACTGACGGAGCGCCCCAAAACCAGGTCATTGAATTTGATAAAAGGGACTTTCCGAACGATGCGATGGGGTGCAAGGAAACCGCTGGCCCTCAAGCCTTGATGCTAACTCCGAGTGGTACTGACCAAGCGGAAGGTCACATCCACCGGGTCGCAAAGAAGAGGAAAGCAGAGTCGAATTCAGCTCAATCCTACCGTATCAGCTCACCACGTCCTAATGTCTCACACCCTCGCGTTCAGCCAGGTTTCGATCCCAATGTCTTGGAATTATTCAGCGATTCTGAGGAAGAAGAAATTTTTCGGCCGATATCTGTCTCCATCGGGAAATCGCTGAGGCCGCCTTCTACTCTGAAGCATGCCTCAGCCCCTGGTGCGCGCGCACCAAATAGGCAGAACTATCCTCGACCTTCCTACCAGGAGAGCGACTTGACCGTTGACAACGTTGGGATTATAATTGACCTCGCTTGATGCCAAAAGAATAACGTGACGATCCCCCCCTCTTGCATTAAACATTACACCTCAGACCCGCGGGATTGAACGTGGACTTCTATATAATAGTTGTCATTCGTAATAATAATAACTATCTAGCGGCAACTTAACACACATCCCCGCAACCCCTGCCGATCTTTCTGAATATGCACCTGATAGTCCCCAGCCTTTTGTGGCTCATGACAATCGTTTCTGCATCAACCTTTGCAACTCTACGTCGATCGACCAATATTTGTACCATCTGGCTCTTGCTGCGCATGCGCCGCGAATGCAGCAGCTGGCCGAGCACAGTCCGCCAACCAGCTTATTCTCATATGGGCTGATGGCTGACAGCGGAGAATTACCTTGGAGACTACGTCGTACGAGTGCTTCTACCACCCAGTACAGTTGTGCCAGCAAGTTTCGTCGCACGGCGCTATAACATCTCTGTAGCCGTAAGAAAATTCCTCCACTCCAGGCACACAGACGGTGCTGTCGACTCGATAGTCTTCAAGCCCATTACCCCCTATAAACCTGAAACAGTGAGCCTATTCCTCGCAAATTTTTTCAACAACCTGCGTCGTATAGCATCGTACAAATGATCTATGCATTATCTATGTTACAGTAAATTACACTGATGCAGCAATTTTCGTCAAAATCAGCCCGTGCCAGCATCAACAGACCGTCATGACTGCAATACAAAGCTCATGAGTAGTATGTAGTATCAACACATATGTGTAACTATTGAAGAGGAAAAGATAGAGTATACAATCAGATGAGCATAAGTTATCGAAAAGGAAAAGGAAAAGTCAAACTGCGTCTTTCTTGATCATATCAGCCAATTGTTGCGCGACTTCTTGAGACATCCCCAAACGCTTCGTGAGACGAGGAACAAGATCCTTCCTTTTCACAAGCGAACCCCCTGAAAATAAGTCCTTCTTTTTGGCAGCCGCACTCTCCCCTGAAAGTAACTCCTTCAGCCTACGCATCAGCGACACAAACAGGTTGTCCCCTCCCGTCCATGCTGGCTTCCGCCCGTCGGCAGTGTACTCCTGAACAATCTTGCGCATCGTGGTGCGCGATTGTTCATAAAGGTCTTTGTGTCTGCCGTCCAACCTATTAGCCGCGGTGATGCACGCATGACCAGCGACGTCGATGTTGTAGTGTTTGAAAGTTTTCTCGTTTCTCTCCCACCAGTCCTCCATCCTATTCTCTCTTTCGAGGTTTGTTATCGCAAGAATAATGGGAACCTTCTTCTCGCAGAGGAATTCGTGAAAGAGCCGGTAATTGCTCTGAAGCGTAGCAGTGACTCTGCCGGCGCGAACGCAGAATAAAAGCAGGTCGATACCGCCTCGATCGTCCAATTCTTTGACGAGCCGATAGGCATTCTCGACAGTCTCGAGGTACTCCTTGACTCCCAGCTGCGGTTCCTCGAGTCCGACGGTATCGAAAACCGTATACGACTCGCCGCCGAAGCTGATATGATGCTCTTGCCACTTCAACGTACAGCGTTGCATGTCAGCAGATGTTAACGCCACGTCCTTTTCTGCCATGAGGTTGACGAGTGAGCTTTTGCCTGCTCCCGTCTCCCCAAAGAGTACGATAGTTTTCTGCCTGTCATCACTTGTTGATATTTTTTTTAAAAATACGGAGCTTCATTTGGAGATTACATGCCTTTGAGTAGGGTTGTACTTGACCATTTGCTTTCCCCCCGGCCCAGCGATACCTGCCATGCTGCAAGTCGGGTCATGATTGGTGCTACGGTAAGAGTCAGTCTGAAGACGTACCTTTTAGGAATTTAAAGAGGAATCGTTCGGACAGCGCTGTGAAGAATTTGGCCGACAACTGCCAGTATGCAGTCTTATAAAACGAATTCAGACCTTGAAGCTGCAACGTGTATTGCGCGCATCCCTCCCCGTGGTATTGAAAACGACACCATGAGGCATACCTCGAGGATTTAATTGGCAAACACTTGTAAATAACTGTTGTAAGAGATAAGTATTTTTATGACGTACCGTATCGCACATCGGACAGAAGATTGGTAGATCTGAGATGTCAGGGATTAGGGTTCTGGACGTTCAAAGCTGCGTCTTCGGGGCTGTTCGAGGCGTTTTCGACGTTGTTTTCAAACTGTTTTCAAGGTCGGAATCGCCCCAAAACAGGTTTCAACTTTGATCACCCTGTCGGAAAAACAATGAAAACGGATGACAAGATATCAACACTGCGGGATGAAACTGCATGGTAGGAAGGACTCCAAGAGAACAAGAAACCGACAGCATGAGATGAACAGTGCTAAAAATGAGACACCAAGATCACCAATGCAGCAACATTCAATGATGTGGAGGACGCTCAGAAGGAGCTGGAGACGACGAGTAAGGCCATTGCCAGCATATACAGGGTAACGAGAGTCGTCGTTAGAATTTGCTCGCCTTTGCCATTGCTGAGTTCTGAGCAGCAGAGAGGCGCGTCTCCAGTGACTCCCTCGTCGTGGTCACCATTGCCAGTCACGACTCAGCGCACGCGACTAGTTCGGCAATCGAATAACACCGGATTTCAGAGTCCGTGCCGTTGATGCCGAACGAGAAAATGGCTCGATTGAACGTCGTCCCTATTACATAATATTGCAAATAAGTACATTTCACTGGGTTCGCTATCCGGAATGCAGCCATGGTGATGACCGGTTTTGATTAAGCTTGATCAATTACATCTGATGCTAATTAATAATTGTACCCCCCGCCCAGAGTACATGCAGCGTTATGAGGCTATCCAGTATGATCAAGTGTACTGTATAAAGCACCTTGCCGCATGCTCGTGTGTCTGCTAACGCCCACGCCGCATTACATCCTCTCTGTCTTGCCCTGATGGGGGGCCAACACCCGCCTGCCGACTACATCCAACAACAACGCCCCTGCGGTCTCTCGCTGCCCACACTTACAATCCTACATTTTGGTTCAAAAGGCATGTAATCGAGTGTAAGCGTTGGGCGCAGCATAATCACGGAGTCTGTATCACTCTAGAACTGGTTGTGGGTGTTTTTGACGCGTGGATCATTGATTAATTAGTACCTCATGACCGATCTGACTCTCTGCCGCATTGCTAATTGTACCCTAGTCAACCGCACTTCTATCCTGGACCGAATCCTCACCGCTGCACCTGCCAGCTCCAGCTGCTACTAAAGCCTGTACAAAGCCCGACGCATACGCAGGAACGTGCTGTATCCATGCGTCGTGGACCTTGTAGCCGATTTTCACTGATCTGGCAGTGAGCACCTGGACATACCGACATATACTCTAATCCATTCAGGGGATTCTACATGAAGAACACCCCAAAACACCGAACACGCGTGCTTTTCGCTGTTTCTTGTCTTGTCTTGTATTTTCTTGAGTCATTTTCCCAATGTCGCCGTCTGCTGTTTCTACAGTAAGTGATGGCACTGGTTCTTCCTTAGAATAAAGTTGATAAAACATCATTTCCACACCCCAAACCAGACAGACACCAACTGCAATGTTGTCATTTTTGGACAAACAGGCCATGGTAAAAGCTCCTTGGTCAATTTGATCGCTAAGACGCAGATGGCCCAGACATCCCGCGACTCTTTGGGATGCACCGCTGAACCCCGCAAGTACGTCGTTTTGATTGAGAGCGAGACCCTGAAGGTAAAGCTTCACGATACACCCGGTCAGTGCAAGTTTGCCGCTCTTGGTGACTGTCGCTGAACTGACTTGCAGGTCTTGGTGAGGGCTCTGAAGGAGTAGTCCCTGATAAGGAAGCTCGAGAAGCTTTGAAGAAACTCCTTCGGAGTCTTCGAGATGACGTTCATCTCCTCGTGTACTGTGTGCGGGGTGTGAGGGCGACGAGGGCGCTCTACCCCAATTACGACTTCATCCGTTCTGTTGTGAAGGAGACAGTTCCAATCGTTATTGTCGCCACAGGTTTAGAAGACAAAGAACCAGAAATGGAACAATGGTGGACGGATAATGAGCAATCTGTCTCAGACCTCGGGATGACCTTTGCTGGCCATGCATGTGTCACCGCGTTGACTGTCGACCGATATTCGGGGGATAGGTTCATACAACGCCACCACCAGTCATACAGCGCCGTCTGCCGACTCATCGAACAGTGTCGCTTGCCGGGAGAGATTCAACCTCAAAGGTTACGTAGTTTCCAGATGCTCCTCTCACCGTATTGATAAGTGAGCGCAGGCAAAAGACTATCGTAATCTTTGGAGAGACGGGAGCAGGCAAAAGCTCACTCGTCAATCTCATGGCGGAAAAGGACGTAGCTTACACATCTGCTGACATGCAACGCTGTACGTTGAGGTGGCAAGAGCATGTCATCAGCTTCAGTGGCGACTCGTATACGGTTTTCGATACCGTCGGACTCGAGGAACCGCAGCTGGGAATCAAGGAGTACCTCGAGACTGTCGAGAACGCCTATCAGCTCATCAAGCATTTGGATAAACAAGGAGGCATCGACCTGCTTCTATTCTGTGTTCGCGCCGGTAGAGTCACTGCTACGCTTCAGAGCAATTACCGGCTCTTTCACGAATTCCTCTGCGAGAAGAAGGTTCCCATTGTTCTTGCGATCACGAACCTCGAAAGAGAGGAGAGGATGGAGGACTGGTGGGTGAGAAACGGGAGCACCTTCAAACGATATCAGATCGAGGTCGCTGGCCATGCATGCATCACCGCCGCTAATAGGTCGGATGGCAGACACAAAGACCTTTATGAACAATCGCGCACCACGATGCGCAAGATTGTTCAGGAGTTCACTGCTGACGGGCAGAAGAATGCGTGGATAGGAGGAGACAACCTGTTCGTGTCGTTGACGCGTAAGCTGAAGGGGTTAGTTTCAGGGGAAGGTCCGGCTGTGAAAAGGAAGGATCTCGTCGATTATTTCACGAAGCGTTTGGGATTGTCTCGAGAAGTCGCGAAACAGTTGGCTGATATGATCAAGCAAGACGACAGAGCGGCCACTTGACTTTCTGTTTTCGATAACCTATGCTCAATCTACGATATTAAAACTATCCTGTTAGTAGATCCAATGTAATAAGCACCCAAATCCGCGAAGAGGGGTGCTAGGATTGTGCGAGGGAACTAGTACACTGCAAGAAGCCAAGCCTGAGATTAACGTTTTTGCACTCGAGGTAAATAAATTGTGTCTCGCACCATGTTCATTAAGGATAGAGCACTCAGCAGGTATATACGATGCGCCCACGTTCTCACATGCAGCATGTATCTTTGCAGATATTGGTGGTGTAAAGTTGTACGAGCGCGGCCATGGCTAAGGCATATTATGATAAAACTTGGTCACATGATTCAGGTTGGTATTCGCTCGAATATTTGCTAATATAAATGATTATTCATAGGTTTTGTATTTACGCACTCCTATTATGTAATATTAAATATTAATATTCATGAAATTGCCGGCCATGAGCTTGAAGCGCCTTCAAGTTGCCAATGCGAAACCATTGACAATTAAATGCAAAAGTTTAAGCCTGTTCCTAAAGCTTGCCTACATGCTGTAAACTTGCAACACGTTGGTTTCAGGAACAGGCTTATATGCCACCCACTGATGCCTTTCTCACATGAGCAGAACATGCTGAATCCATGCGTCGTGATCGACTCACAAATCTGGCGCCTGGGCACACCCATGTTCTAGTAGTAACGAACTGGGAAATCGATGAAGGCGTAAGTAAGACCCGAACACCCAAGTTAAGTCTGCCTCTCACTGTTTCCACATAGTCTGTTGAGGCATTTTTACAATGTCGTTGTCTGCTGAGAGATCACCATCTACTACTGTGAGTGGTGTTTGGCTCTTCCTCAGCATAAAGTTGACTTGAAAACAGTTCCATACTTCGGATCCGAGTGCTGATGGTTCCAACAATATTCGGCTCGGGGAAGCTTCACATCGCACGGAAACATGCAATATTGTCATTTTTGGAGAAACAGGAGCTGGTAAAAGTTCCTTGGTCAATTTGATCACTGGGACTCAAACGGCGCCAACGTCCTCCGATACCACGGGATGTACCACTAAAACGAACGTGTACGAGCACGACGTTGTGGTTCAGGACAAGACCTTAAAGGTAAACCTTTTTGATACGGCCGGTAAGTGCAGTAAGCTGCTCTTGGCGGGCGTTACTGACCTACACTGCAGGTCTTGATGAGGACTGTCAGGGAACAGTCCCCGATAAGGAAGCTCAGGGAGTTTTGAAGAAGCTCCTTCAAACCCTTATGGAGCAGGATGGCATTCATCTCCTCATGTACTGCGTACAGGGTACGAGAGAGAGCACGGCGCTCCGCCGGAACTACATGTCAATGTACTCCAAAGTTCAGAACAAGGTTCCGATCGTCATTGTCGTTACACGTTTGGAAAACCAAGAACCAGACATGGAACAATGGTGGCGGAAGAACGAGCAATCCATTTCAAAACTCAAGATGACCTTCGCTGGCCACGCATGTGTCACCACGGTGGCCATCCACGAAGATGACTCTGTTGCGCTCAAGGAGCGTGGCAAACAGTCATATCGTGCTATCTGCGAGCTTATCAAGGATTGTCGCCTGCCCAATGAGAAAGGCGTTCGCGACGTCGAATGGGCATGCGATGTCCATGAAAGGGACCACCCGCGAAACGTAATCGTCTGCGACTCTGCTGTCCCAGCGCCCATGAATCTTTGCAACATAGCCGGCGTCATTAATGGTGCATGGGTCAGATCCACAGTTGTTATGCGCGGGCATTATTACATGTTCCAGCGCGTAACTGCGCCCTATCCCCCTGCCAAACGGTCCAAAGGAGGCGTTGGTTTCGAACCCTGCTTGTTGATTTTTTACGTGGACAAGGATGAGTCCGTCGATACGCAGAGGACGGAGGTGCAGAAGTTTCAAAAAGTCTACGCGAAATCTAAAGTTAGCTTGGTTGTCGTGGTCTGTGGCTGCGACAGTGATGAAGATGCGAAAGGATGGTGGGAGGGGTCAAATAACACTGGCACGGACCCATCGTCAGCACCTTCCATTACCTTCACATACTTACCTCGAGATGCGTCGGAGCATTCTGAGAATGCTCAAGAAACACTCCAAAAGTTGATTTGGGAGTTGTCTCGTCCTGGAGAACCTCGCGGTTCCGTGGTCCGAGATCTTCTCAATCGTGTGTGGGGATATCTCGCAAGAGTCAACTAGCACCGACACTGGCAGCTCTAGCGTTGTCGATGTTCGCTGTCAATGTTACTCGAGGATTAGACTTATCCAAAGGTCCGCAGTATGCATTCGAATTCGTCCGGCTTGTACATTCAGGTACATACACATGAAGTATAGTAGAGTACAGTTCAGATTTGGTTTAGATAGCGATATAACTCCACTCTACATCCGCGTTATAAATTATAAATAAGGAGAAATGGACTCTAATCCACCCGGGGACCTGCCAACCTCACGCTTTCTTGTACATCGCTCTCGTACAACTTGAACGCCTTCTGGAACATGCCCGCGAGCTTGCGAACCTCCCGTTCAAAAGCTTCCTTGTCTGCCCAGGCCAAACGAGGGTTGAGCACTTCGCGTGGAACACCCTCTACCGCGGTAGGAATCTGGAGTCCGAAGCCGCCAAAGGTTTCGAACTCGCTGTTCAGAAGCTCCCCGGAGTGTACAGCATCGACGATACGGCGGGTGTACTTAAGTGGGCAGCGCTTGCCAGTGCCGAACTTGCCACCTGTCCAGCCCGTGTTGATTAACCAGCAAGATACGTTATGTTTGGACATGCGCTCGGCCAGCATTTCTGCGTAGCGTCCAGGCTGATCCAGCAATGATTAGCTCAGGGTTTCCTAGGAGAACATGAATACCTACGTGTAACACGATGAAAGGTGCGCTGTAGCAGGTCGAGAATGTTGGAATAGGTTCGAGGACACCATCCTCCGTGCCAGGCGTTTTCCTTCGGGCGTGACTTAGCGAGAGACGCTGACAGAAGCAAGGATAAACTCACGAGGTGTAGCCAGCAAGGAAGTGGTAGCTTGCTTGATCTGCGGTAAGTTTACTTACAGGGGGGAGGACACCGAACGCGTCACACGTCAACATGATAATGTTGCTTGGTTGTCTGTCCACCATGCATGGGATCTTGGCGTTTGGAATGTATTCGATCGGGTATGCGCAGCGCGTATTCTCCGTGATGCCAACATCATCATAATCCGGGATACGCGTTAAAGGGTTGTATACGACGTTCTCCAGAATGGAGCCGAAACGAATGGCGTTGAATATCTCGGGCTCCTTCTCGCTCGAAAGGTTGATGCACTTGGCGTAGCATCCTCCCTCGATGTTGAACACCCCAGTGTCTGACCACACGTGTTCATCATCACCAATGAGAAGGCGGTTCGGATCAGCGGAGAGTGTGGTCTTTCCGGTTCCTGAAAGACCAAAGAATAGGGTAACGTCGCCCTTCTCCATCCCAACGTTGGCAGATGAGTGGAGGGAGAGCTGGCCGAACTTGACAGGTTGAAGATAGTGCATGACGGAAAAGACACCCTTCTTCATCTCGCCGGCGTACTCAGTGCCGAGGATGACCATTTCCATGCGCTTGAAGTTTATTTCCACCGACGTAGTGGAGGACATGCCCTTAGTAAAGCGGTTCGCGGGGAATTGGCCAGCATTGTAAATGATAAAGTCGGGCTCGCCAAAACTTGCAAGCTCTTCCTCGGTCGGGCGGATCAACATGTTATTCTTCCCGATCATCAGTACAGGAAAAACATGTGATTTCGGGTACGTACCATGAACAGAGCATGATATGCACGGGCACAAATGACCCGGACTTTGATACGGTATTTGGGATCCCACTGAAAACAGTGAGTCGTGCAAGCCTATGCAGTTGGAACACAGGACTCACACCAGCAAAACCATCGAAGACGTAGACGTTGTCGCGCGTATTCAAATAGTCAATAGCACGCTCGCGGTTGATCTCGAACGTGTCTAAAAACAACTGCTGAGACAAGGAACCAGTGTGCAACGGAGTAAACTACTCACGTTCATCCATCTTAATGTTCACGGAGCCCCACCATATATCATCCTTACTTGTCTCCTCATAGACGATTCGCTTGTCTTTAGGACTTCTACCGGTCTTCTTACCAGAAAAGTTGATGAGTGCGCCAGAAGAGGAGATAATCGCTCCTTCGTTGCGGATGGCATCTTCGTAAAGCTGAGCTACAGGAGCATTGCGCTTTAGCTGGATCCTGTCCATGTCAAACCCAGCCTGCGAGAAATACTCGAGGTCACGGCCAATGACTGTTTGAAACGTTCAGTAGATAGGAGGTATATAAGTTGAATGCACTGACGGTTACTATGAAATTCATTGTCAAAAGCCTGAGCGTAATTCTTGTGCAAGATGTGGGGTGTAACATAGGGTGTCTGGTGGGGATGAACCATTGTGGTGAACGGATATGAAGTCTGATGATGAAGTTGGTCAACAAGAGCTCAAGCACGGCGAAGAGTAAAAGACAATAGATAAATGATGATCCGTAGAAGATCCGTGGAGGCGAGGCTCGGAGCCCGCCTGTTCGGGTACCCCGCATGCGATGACTCATGCGACTGGCATTAACGGCAACAGTGACGAGCACTTACTCTACGATGTGAATCACAACAATGACCACGAACAATAAGATGGCGGTTGAAACGGTATGCGAAACCTGATTTTTTGGAGGGTTTTATACCAACGACAAGCCATTGCCGGAACATCCCATAATCCTAGGCTCGTGACCAGCCTGGCTTACCAATACCACGGACAAGTCGAGTGGCGAAGCCAGGCTGGTCGATCTCGGAGAAATTTGGCAGGAGGAGCGAGGAGTTTGAAATTTAGTAGGTGCCGGTCGTGCCGGCGGTACTCGATCGTATGTAGCACAACTTATGCGTCTACCATACGCTCGTTCAGACTATATGCTATGTTAAGTTTCAAACATGAGTTCCATACGACCTTTATCGCTCGTTGCTCGAGATGCGATTGAAGATCTCCCGACGGACTTTACGAGTGCGCTTTCAACGACACAACACCAGCAAGTTCTCGAGGCCTTCTCGCGACTCGATTTCATTTCCCAAGGATCACAACATCCGAAGTTGTTTCAACTCAGATGTCTCGTATCGTTACTTTCTGGAAGACACGTCGTACTTCGAGCTGCAACAGGCTCCGGCAAGACCCTCGCAATGATTCTCCCGTTACTTCTTTCTCCGGACAAGACAGCCACTCTGTCAAAAATGTGTCGAGGTTAAACGAGAGGAGTAGTTCGGGGGTGACGTCTTTCGATGACATATGAAAAATATGTCTAGCGGCCTCCATCTCAGTGTCAACCTCATCAATAACCATTGCGATAGCAAGGGGTCGTAAACTGACACGGAGGTGCTCGCTCGATCGCTCGTCGGTGCCCAACACATTAAGAAATTGCACAAGTGCATTGCTCCGAAAAAAACCTTCCCTCCAAGTTGCCATGGAGGGTCTTTGCGAGATTGAGTGCAGCATGAGGTCCATGACCGTCATCCGCAATCCACGAAGTATCTTGAGGACAGCGAGAATTTTTCCTTCCTCGTCCAGGCTGGAAGGATTGACCATCCAAGCCAAATGTTCAGGCTGCATCATGGGTGGGTATAGTGCATGAAAAGGTATCATTTGATTGTCCTATTTAACATTTAGTACTGCTCCTAGATGCGCTATAATCAGTTAGAGGCATACGATGCTTTGTACGATGCGAATGAAGGAACTTTGTGTGGTCAGCGCTGTCCAAATACAATGACTACCCAAAGCGGCACAACCGGCATCTGCCAAATTTCAAACTCCTCGCTTCGCCTGCCAAATCACTCCGAGATCGACCAGTCTGACTACGTCAAACACTTAACAATATCAAAGACGTAGTCCAGACTGGTTACGAGTCTACCATAATCCCCCGATGGCCCCAGTGTCACTCAAATCCCCTTTCTGGTCTCGATTTTCTGCCTCTTTTGTGCCTCGTTTAGTCTGGTTTCTAGTGATAAACATCATTTCCCGCTTGGAAACTTGCTCAGCACCAATCATCTAACCTCCTTGGAGTACGCCCCCAATAGAATGCTCCGGTTCACTCCGGGCGATACGTACGACGGGACACCGCCTGAAATCGCCGGAACAAGCAGGGACCAGGGTCGAAATCACTGATTGAACTGATTGAACTGACTTATCAACCAAGGGGAAGAGGAGGTATGTATGTATGTATTAGCTTGAGGTAAGAAGCGCGAAATTTGCCAGCACACACACTGATCATTAAGATTTTGACCACGAACTCCAGGGAAAATAATCTTCCAAATACTGAAGAGCCCACACACAGTCGACGATTCGACTCTGCAGTCGTGTTCCCGGCTGCCGTCTCGCAAGCTTGTTTAGAGTTGGTCACAACACCCGGCTGAGTGTGCGATCTTCATAAATCTCATGGTCTGTCCGCTTTTCTCAACGTTCACAGACACTGATAATAATAAATATGTTGCTTCCGCGGGATCAAGCGCTCCGTCCTCACAGTAACTTATGTAGGCGCACTGGGCCCTATCCACGTGATACGCATCGTTCATTTCCGTCGCGCGCCCATAGTTCACATACTTCGAGAGCGGGTTGAATATCTTCCGTATAATCAGGTCATGATAAACATAAATACGGAAGTGATCACGATCCTCGGCTCATATTTCACGTTCCACCGGCCTTCGAAGTCGTGCGCACAACGGGCAATTCTACGACGAGACCCTACCATATTTGTCACTCCCACTCGCAGAATCGACGCAGATATTGTGGCTGATTGAGTCCGCGGTCTTACTTCCACCTTCCCGTATTTCGGACAGCGGTTCGTCCCGACGCAAAATTATAATGCGGGTGTCTTATCTTCACGGCTTTAAAGATATCATTGCACACCGTAGAGTGTGCATATACTTCTTTCCTGCGAAGTGGAGGAGTCCACAATATCGTTTTTCGTGTTAATCAAAGAAGCGTGTCCAGCGCTGAGATTGCACAACAGGCAAAAGGATTGAGAAGGTGCAAAAGGAGCTATGAGATGTGTAGGATTGAGGTAAGTAAAAACTGTCCAAACTGACGAAGTCTCTATTGTCTCTTTACTGACCTTGCGCAATTTCCTTGAAGTGCTGGCCATATCCTCTTGAAAGACGTTTTTTTCTTTCGTTATGTCTGGACTGTCTGTGGTCGCAAATTTCATTGTGCGATGACCTCATCAGCTCAAGTAGTCGCTGCGGGCGACGCGACATACTCCGTGCGAGTAAATGGCTTTAATCCAGCATCAGGCTATGTGGCCCTCAGCAGAAAACAAAATTCGCGTGAGCCTATGTCGGCTATGAACCGGGGAGACCATCGAAGCGATGGATAACGATCGCTGGGTGTTTAAGTAACTGGCTCGCACTTTCAGTCAGGAGTCAGGACCAACGTGCTGCAACCCTGTACCACGACTAGGGCAAGGACATTAGATAGCAAGATTCATCAAACACTCATCAGAACGTGGCGAGCGTTGAAACAGCAGCTAATCTTTCGGACTCTTATGACAAGCATGGCTCGTCCAGCCTCGCAGTTCGCCGCGATCTAGATCTCAAGTGTGGTGCAAAGATGGATCATCATGAATCCCACCATCTTTCGCATGATGTATATCAGTCACAAATAGGATCATTCTAGGGCGATTGTAAAATAGCTCGCCCATCGCGCAGCGTGGAATCGACGTAGTACACAGGTATGGATAGCGCTATATCCAAGGGTTGAATACTACTGACCACAGAAACGCTCCCGCAGTCTATTATAATATGGTGAACATCGTGATCTTTGGAGAGATAGGAACGGGAAAAAGCTCCGTCATAAACCTCATGGCTGGGCGACAGATTGCGCATATATCGCCGGACGCTCGCCGCTGCACTCTGCAATGGACGGAGTACCCGATAACCTTCGAAAATGGGACTCGATACCAGGTGTTTGACACGGTCGGCCTCGAGGAGCCCCGTCTACAAACCGGAGAGTATCTCTCCGCAATTTCAAACGCACATAGCCTCATCAACACCTTGAAAGAGCGTGGAGGTGTCAACCTCTTGCTCTTCTGTATACGTGGAGGTAGAGTCACGGCAACCATGCAGAGCAACTACAGGTTGTTCTTTGAATTTCTCTGCGAAGAAAATGTCCCGCTTGCGCTAGTCGTCACAAACCTCGAAAGAGAAACAATCATGGAAGACTGGTACACGCGGAATATGAGCCACTTGGAGAAGTACAACATTAGGTCTACGGGCCACGCATGCATAACTGCGGCGAATCTTCTCGACGGGAAATATAGAGACAAGTATGAGGAGTCGCGTGCAATACTCTGTGGAGTGGTTGAGGCTCATTGCAATGCACCCATGGAAGGGTGGACCGGTGGACAAGGATGGCTTGCCTCGTCCATTAGCAAGCTCGTGGAATTTGTCGTTGGACGTCCCAAGAAGACGGATATCATTGGGATTCTCACAAAACGATGCGGAATGACCAAAGAAATGGCTCAGCAGGTGGCGCAGCAGATCAGAGGCGACAACCTACCGCAAACGATGGGTGAGAATCACGGTCACACGCTAGTCCCTTCAGCCATAAGAGTCACAGGTCTACAACAGGTTCGTGAACTGTGAACTCGTTCAACAGATGGTTGATGTCTCCTATAGAAATATCAAAGTCGACCACAAAACGTAGTGCTCTGGGGGGAGAGTGGAGTAGGCAAAAGCTCTCTCATAAACCTAATTATGGGCCGCGACGTAGCGGAAACATCTCCTGACGCCCTCTCATGCACTGTTAACATTGCTTCATACCAAGTGACGATTGGTGGGCGATCCTTCAGGTTGTGGGATACAGCAGGTGGGCATTCTTTCACTCCGAGGTTTGGGAACAGAGTGGGTTGATAATCATGTCATCAGGGTTAAACGAGGGCTCAGAGGGCAAAGTGCCTGCGGCTGCTGCTGCAAGGAGGTTGACTTTATTCCTCGATGGCCTGAACAAGGGAGACGGTGTCCATCTCTTTGTGTATTGCGTGCGCGGAACGCAAGCCACAAAAGCTCTGCGAAACAATTATCAGACGTTCTCGTCAGCTGTTGGTGACAGCAAAGTGCCCACTGTTATTGTGGCTACGTGTCTGGAAGACTTGCACCCAATGACAAAGTGGTGGAGTCAGAACAAGGACCAGCTTGCGAAATATGGGATGCATTTCTCTGGATGTGCTTGTGTCACAACTCTGCCATCTGAACACGCGGAGTCCCAGGATCTACGCCAACGCCGTGCACAATCCTACGAAGACGTTTGCAAACTCATTTTGGACCATTGTTCGCAGACCCCTCACAATACATAGGGCACTGCACTGCGGCTATCAACGATCAATGATGGTTCCTTATGAGTTTACTACGAGACTTAGCTTATTTTGTACATAGGAGGATCAGGACGTCTTACAGGCACCTAAGGCGATGATATTTGTACGTAGAAATAACTCACGCACCTACTTCAAATTGACGTGATTTGCGAGTGCCAAAGCATGTGACATTCTGTCACTTGTGCGACTAATAGACTCTAACTGTTGAAGGTGAGGCCCACTCTGACAGGAATAGTTTCATTTGGTGACCGTTGTCAGTCCTGTTGAAGTCGCCAATGAAGGAAGAGATTTTTGACGTGGCAAGTGTGGACGCACGATAAATACTCGGTACAAGAACGTCGATTGTGATGGTCGAAGCTATATCTGAGATGTCACAGGTCACACGCGTCTTCGAAGCTTCGAAGTACGCATCAGTGTGACCGTGACAGTCACTCTAAAATTCGAAGCGCCTAGTATTACTATGATACTACTATATACATGTGCTAGTACTCGGCCTCCCTCCAAGTTGTGGCCCAAATTCCTCCGGCACAGCGTGCTCCTCTTTTCTGGTCAGAGAACAACCTTTCTCCTAATATCCCGGAAACAACGTTTCTTCGTGAGGCATGCACGCCTGTTTGAGTGTCTTTATGGGTCCACTACGAAAAGCTCGTTGACTCATTGAGTCATACCTATTATCGACTCAACCTCATGTATGTGGTAACAACTTTATCTCCCGCACGTGTCCGTCTTTCGGTGATTCTGTACACGTACTTTCGCGTGTGTACGAAGCTCTGATATGAAAACCAATTATGCCAGAACAACATGTTTTGCTGAAAAGGTCATCGCAGATCTTTTGTGATTGGTTGTTGCATATTACTTTGCGTAACAATCGCCCTCGATAACACAACAGTGTGTTGCTAATAGCTGTGAGTGCGGGCATCTGAAGGCGCTTTCTCTTGTCATTATGCCGTGGATTACGACTCGGCTGAACTTCGAGTTGCGCCCTCAATGCAATGTACGTTGACACGCGTGTCCAAGAAGCCTTTGAATCGAAAGCTGGCGCATAAAAGCAGAGGTGGTTTTGATGTTGTGTGCAATACGCCTCTGGCATCTAATCTACCATGGATTTACTCCGCAATAGACGCAAACAAGCAGCCTCAACCGAACCATCCATCGAGCCCTCTATTGATGTAACGTCTCTTCCTTCCCTCTCTGGTTCCGCGAGCCCTCCGGAGGCATGGGAGGAAGTGGACATATCATCCACCGACTATGCCCGCAGGCGCAGGGAGCTTATGGAGATGATGTCTGACCTCCGGTCCATGGGGTGGGTGATTGTGAATTTGACTGTAACCTAGGATCGCTCACGCTGCATCATACAGTGCCGACGCGTTGATCGCCTTACCATCAGTAGTTGTAATTGGTGGCCAATCCGGTTTGTGGTCACCTCCCCATGCAACTACAGCTATACTCAACCTAATATTTCAGCGGGAAAAAGCTCGCTCGTCGAGGCCGTCAGTGGGGTACGTCGGCAGATAGTTTGTCATCTTGTCCCTTTGTTCAATTTTTTTTCTTTTACGATAAAGATCAACGTCCCAAGAGATAGCGGAACGTGTACAAGGTGACCCTATCAACTAGCATCAGTTATTGTGGGTTATACTCATCTACTATATGCAGATGCCCTATGGAATGTAATATGTCCAGTGATGCCACATCGTGGTCCTGCACCATCACCCTACGCATTGGTTTCGATAGTAACGGCCTAGACCTGCAAAAGCCTACTAATGTTCGATTTGGCCCAAAGATTATTGATAGAAGTGAATTCGAAGTTTGGCTGCGTCGTGCTCAGGCAGCCCTTTTGAACCCAAACGTTGCTTCTTCGACTTTCCACACAAAAACTGTCGAGGAACTCAGGAACATCAAAAATACACTGAAGTTTTCCCGCAATGTGGTGTGCGTCTCAATTGAAGACCCCGATGCGACTGACCTGTCATTCTATGATCTACCGGGTGAGTACATACTCATTTAAATTTAGACAGCATATCTGATGGGCTGCAAAGGCCTGATACAAAACGAAGAAGCCGAAATCGTCGCCTTGGTGAAAAGTTTGGCGGAACATTATACCGAGAAAAAAAACACTATCATACTGACCACGATTCCTATGAGCGGTACGTGTATGAACTACGAAATCCTTTTCCACTGAATTGATGGGCGCGGTGCTAGATGATATGGAAAATCAACAATCTATGAGTCTTGCTAGGGCCGCAGACCCCAATGGAAGGCGAACAATTGGCAAGTCACCCATACTGCAGTATGATTAACTGACTGAAAGTTCTTCAGGCGTACTTACGAAGCCCGACACGCTCGGTACCGGAGCTATCAACCAGCGCCGCAAATGGGTAGAAATCATTGAAGGTCGTTCGGATGATCACACACTGAGGCACGGTTTTTACTGCGTGCGTCTTCCTGATGATGCCGAACGTGCACTACGCCTGTCTCGTGCGGAATCGCAAAGGCGTGCTGCCGAATATTTTGACACGACGTCGCCCTGGAAGGATGTGACCGACCGTCATCGGTTCGGAATTCCGGGCTTTGTCTCCGATGTAAGCCGACTGCTCATTCGATTGATCGAAGACTCGTGCGTGGACCTTCTTCTAGCTGGCTCTCTATAAAGCACTTACATTGTCTATAGTTTACCGCAACTCAGAGAAGATGTCGACACCCTCCTTGCCAAATGTATCAAGGACTGCAATGAACTGCCCCCGCCACTAGAAAATGACCCACAAATCGAGGTTTTAGGAAGAGTTAATGCGTTCTGCGATGTCTTCAAGAGCTTTGCGAATGGCAGTCACGAAGACAAACGTCTTGCGCAACGTAATCGCGCTCTCTATGCTATTTTCAAGAGGGATATACGTGGCACTGCTCCGGACTTCAGGCCTTTCGATGAACCGGAAGACTATGTTCCATTGGATGATACTGAGGAAAAAATGACTCTAACTGAGCGAGACCCTGGCGTAAAAGTGATGGGGATATATGATATCCGTAGGGTCATCCACGAGTATGTTTTCGCATTTTGTTGCAGTTGTGCGGCCGCTCAACCATTCATCAAGGGCAATTGGATGGGAGCTTCCGAACAACGTGCCATATCAAGCGAAAGCAAACCTCATTGCTGAATTCACCAAACTCTGGGTCGCTCCGTCTGAGCGCTGTCTCGCTGGTATCACCAATGTGCTTGATCAAATCATCGACACACTCATCAGCACCCATTTCGGACGCTTTAAAGTTCTCGAGGAATATTTTGGGTAAGCGTTGACTCCTCACGATCGTTGTCTGGGCTCAAGTTGTCTGTGAAATTAGCAATTTGATTCGAATTCAGGTTGATCTCTGCAAGGCGCGCGCCAAAGACGCTGTCAAAACAGCCTTGGAACTGGAAACTACTGCTCCACATTATACTCAGAATACGCACTATCTTCAGGTACTCCGCGAAAAATGGCTGGCTCATTATAAGACGGTTCGGACTAGACCTCTTCAGTACAAGGCTCCCGTCCATCAATTTGAGGAGGCCGAGGGACCCATACCATTCAAGATCCCAGAAGCCCCATACTGTGATGAGGAGAAAAAGCCTGCTTCTTCTAAGAAGTCCAGCAATGGGATGTTTAATACGCCCAACACCCCTGCCAAGCCAGAGACGCCCGAGGCCAAAGCATTAAGGGCTCTTGCAGAAGCAGGGTATGCAAGTCTTCGGGTTTCAGATCTTGCACGATTGTTACCTCCAGACTCATTTGAGGCAGAGCTGGTTGTGATGGCCGATGTTCGAGCCTATTATCACGTTGCCTACAAGGTGAGTCTCGCTCATCATCTCCGTTTCAACATGTTAATCGCCCCGAGCAGCGCATCGTTGATCATATTCCTTTCACGATCGAGCATGCTCTCCATCATACACTGGCAAATCAACTTTCGCAGAGCCTCCTCACGAGCTTGTTGATTGATGCTGCGTCTGGGTCCAATTTCTCTGAGCGTATGAAAGAGTTGGTCAGCGAAGATGCCTCCATCGCTCAGAGACGAGTAATGCTCTCGACGAGAAAACAACGCCTATTAGACATTCGCCGGAGACTAATGACCTTCAGCAATAGTGTTTGATCATTGTGAAGGGTCACGATGTCTGTTCGTTTTTGGGGCTTTCGTCCCAACATAGATCTTTTGAAAAACCGCGATCGGTTGTTTTTGTAGTTGTTGCTGTATTGTACTGTATTGTCCTCGAACATTGTTGCATTTCATACTCGCGAACGAAGGAATCTGATTCTTTGCTCATATCGGTACATTGCTGCCTAAAACTTGTGATGACAAGGACTCGGGGGTTCTGAGGTGATCGGCTGGATTCATAGTCACTGCGGCCTCCTTCCCGCAGCTAGTAAGCACGTCAAGTTTTGCTGTGTCTGTAGATTTGATGTTCCAAATTTCCAATAAAATATTTTGCTGTTGGATATGATACTTGGAAGGTGCGAGGATTAGGGTAAAGGTAGGCGGAGTCGAGTAAGAAGATACAAATCACATCACACTTACCCTCGCTGCAAAGACCATGGGATAATAATTTGAGCAGGGTATCTTTGAGGTAGTGGATCTTACGAGCAAGATCTTTGATGCAGTACGACAAGTTTTGCTGGAAGAACGGATGCAACTCGTGTCGGTTTGATCCACTCGGTGAAGTACAGAGGTACTGCAGAAGTTAAACTTGGTGTACGGTCTAGAAACATAATTAAGTTGATGGTGATGATGAGAAACTTGAGGTGTCACAATGTGACCGGTCTGGGGCGGACCGGACATCATTACATAACCCGGCAAATAAACTGTGATTATTGCACCCGGTCAGCTTTACTGTGACAGCATCGACGGGTTGGTCGTGGTCAAGTACTAGTTTGATAACTCTCCGCGCAAGGCAACGCATCGTCCAGCGTCCAGCGAGTCATTTCCGCGTTCCATTTCAATCATCTCCGTTATCACATAGCTCACCAACGATATCTACTACTTACGCCCTCTGCTCGTTCCGGGAATCATTGTGCAATTAGCGCTCACGCACATCATCAGAACATTCAACGCACGCTCGTCGTGGCATGCGACTTTAACCGTGTGTTTTACTTTCGTGAGCCTGTTGCACTCCCATCGTTTTCCGCAGACTCTGATGATTCTGATTATTCGCCAGCTGCTCTGTCGCAAATCATACCGTCACCAATTGACATTTGCCATCCATGACTTCGATCCGCTGGAAGCCACAAATAACGTATCGCTCCCCCACCGCAGGAACAACCACCCTTCATCTAGAGGTACCACCAGTCGGCTCTCATGCATCTTCATCAAGCCATTCTCCCTCCCCTCAATCGCTTCCTCATTGGACAATCCACCAGTCCAGCCACTCTAAGAGACATAAGAGATGGATGACCGGCCCCTCATTGCCCCTTTATCATCCTCTTGGTCGTCTTGCCCTATCTCTCCCCGATTTGGATCCAACCGCGTTCGGGCTCCCCGCGCCGGCAGTAATAATGGATGATCCCACGCGCCGATCTTCCAATCGCGCGCGTCGCCCCGCCCCGAAAGTACGCGACGCAAACGAGCCAGCCCCCTCCCCCGCACCCATCATCGATGTCGCTCCTGCTCCCGAACCAGAACTCAAAGAAAAACCTAGTTCCCGCAGGAGGCGCCCTGCTGGTGGAGGAAACAAAAGAAAGCGCAGAGAAGTCGATGATGGCGACGCGACCTATCCTGCCAAGCGCTCCCGCAACCCAAGGGGCTCCGCTGCCAATGCCACGCCACGCACTCCTACCGCCGGAGAGCCTTCCCCTCCATATTCTCTCGATCATTCTGCTCTTTCACCTCCACCTGATGATCCTCCGGAAGAAAAACGGCCCGAACGCCGGGCCACCAAGTCACGTGGTCTCCCTGCTCGTAGGGATTCTACAGGAAGCGAGGCGACTGTCACTTCTGTATCGGCCTCAATTGTTGCAAGTAGTGTTGCACTTCTCAAGGATATCGGTGAAGATGCTCTGGACATCGACGCTTCGCCATCTAGCGGGCCCAGGGACACTGAGCGTATCACCCGCAGTGGAGACCTCAGCAGTAAAGACACCAGTTCAGATGGAGGTGATAAAGCCGCAATTCCAGGGTAGCGTGACACTTCCTTGGTGGCTTCTGTATATACGAGATGTTTTTGGTTTTTAATTAAAACGATATGCATCCCTTGTCTATTGCTATTTGTCCTTGACTATCTTCTTTTCATGTACTCGTTTTCATTCATCGTTAATATTTTCCAAATTCGCATTTTATTCATGTACTTACTCGAGCCCTTGTATTCTCGCGTTGACTTATGATTGGCTTATGAACAGGTTATTTATGAGGTATCTATTCTGTTTCAACACGATTACAGCCATTAATATTTGCAGAATACTAGGCCACCCACCAAAAAAACATGACGGAGTATGTGAATTTGAATGTCTGCAGGATTTGAAGGGTGCGTCGACCCTCGGTGTGCAAGCGTCTTCCGAATGTATCACATCGACTCTCACTGCGTCGGAAAGTTTGTGGTCCAACGTATTATTTCCTTTTGGGGATTGGGTTCACGCGGCAAATCCCCGATGGCAATCATGATGAAGGCGCCAACAGTTGAAAGCACTGGCGCCTGTCCACCGGCTGTGTGACACACCCTGTTCAGCACGTTGAAGATGCAGCAAGCCTGATTCATTGATGGGCTTATTCAAGATGCGGCCCACGCTTGGAGTCAAAAGTTTCATTTAGGTCAGTCTGACTTGAAGTGCCAGGGCCACAGCCCAACATCGCTTTGTTGTCAGCGCTGGCGCTCCGTATGCAGCGCCCGTCTTATCTGTATAATAAATTACCTCCATAATAATCCCCAAATGTGTTGCTGATTATACACCCTATAGCCAGGCTCTAGCACTTACCATGCTACCGATTACCGTACACCCTGGAGTACCGTAAGAGCCAAATCTTTACTATTGCAGATAGGCTAGCTCTAGGGACCAGCTAGCCACGTGTACGAAGCCTAGTAATGCACACGCAGCATGGTTGTTACGCCACACAATGTTGCATGGAACACGTTGAATCCATGCGTTGTGGGGATTTTCATATCTGGTGCCTGCACCGTATCGACATTTGTTCTAACAAACTAGGGGATACTACGCCGAACACCAAGACCCACCTTTCGCTGTCGAATCTTGTCTGTAGTTGAGTCATCTTCAAGTTTGTAATGGCGTCGTCTGCTCAGGCTGGTGGAGGACTATCTATCGTAAGTGGTGTTTGACGGGCCTCCTCAGCATAAAGTTAACCCAAAGTCAGTTCCACATACAAAATCGGAGTGCGGCTTCACATCATACAGAAACATGCAATGTTGTCATCTTTGGAGAAACGGGCGCTGGCAAAAGCTCCTTGATCAATTTGGTCGCTGGGACGCAAACAGCGCTGACATCCCCCGATGCTGCGGGATGCACAACTGAAACCAAAGCGTACAACATTTTGATTCAGAACAAGACCCTGAAGATAAAGCTTTATGATACGGTCGGTTAGTGAAGTTCGCCGCTCTTGGTGATTGTTGCTGAACTAGATTGTAGGCCTTGGTGAAGGCCCTGAAGGAACAGTCCCCGACAGGGAAGCTCGAAGAGTTCTGAAGAAGCTCCTTCGAGATCTAATGAAGCAAATTGACATCCATCTCCTCATGTACTGTGTGCGGGGTGTGAGAGCGACGAAGGCGCTCTGCCGCAACTACGACTTGATCCGCTCTGAAGTGAAGGAGAGAGTTCCAATCGTTCTTGTCGCCACAGCTTTAGAAGACCAAGCACCAGAGATGGAAGAATGGTGGAGGAAAAACGAGAAACTCATCTCAGACTTCGGGATGACCTTTGCTGGCCACGCGTGTGTCACCACAGCGACTATCGACAAATATGCAGAGGATAGCCTCAGGTGGCGCCGCATACAGTCATACCACGCCGTCTGCCAGCTTATCGAACGGTGTCGCCTGTCGAAAGCGGTTCAAACCCCACTGTCAGAAGTCGGCCGATGGCTTAACACTATCCGGCAGGTATCAACGATGACCACAATGTGCGTCATCTCCAGATGCTCCTCGTGCCATATTTTGTTAACATTGATGAGTAGGAAAATGCATAAAGATAATGTACTCACAGACGAGACGACGACATTCATGGCAGAAGAGGAGGTAGTATCCACAGCTCCTGACTTGCGATGCTGGACTCTGGAGTACACAGAGACTATTGACTTGGATGACGAGATTTCCAAGGTGTTCGAAATCATTCGACTCGAGGATCCACATCCGGGGATCAAAGAGCACCCTACCCCTCCCGACATTGGTGCAAGGTGCGTAGTCCTCAGATGCTCCCTTTACCGTATTTACATTGATGAATAGGAACAATACAAACATCAGACTCACTGAGGAGACAGTGGACAACGATGACTTGAGCGTCGAGCTCATGGCGGGAGATAAGGTAGTACCCATCGTTCCTGACATGCAACGCCGTATGCTGCAATGCTCAGATACTGTCGACTTGGACGATGAGACTCCCGAGGCGCCAGAAACCATCGAGGAACTGCACCTGGGAATCAGAGAGTACCCTATCCCTCCCGACACGGGCGCAAGGTGCGTAGTCCTCAGATGCTTCTTGAGCCGTATTTTGCCGACATTGACAAGCAGGAACAATGATAACGATATCTTGTTCACTGGGCAGACGGCGGCGAGTGATGGCTCACCCGTCAAGCTCATGGCGGGAGATGAGGTAACACCCACGACTTCTGACGTGCGACGTCGTATGCTGCAACGTTCGGATGACGAGATTTTCAAGGCGTTCTTACCCCTCATGGACCCGCGTTTGAGAATCAGAGGATGTGCTATCCCTCCCCAAATGGGTGCAAGGTGCGTAGTCTTCAGATGCCCCTTGTGTCGTATTTTGCTAACGTTGACGGGTAGGAACAATGCTAATGATATCGTGCTCACTGGGGGGAGAGTGGCAAGTAATGGCTCACCCGTCAACTTCATGGCGGCAGCTCTTGACATGCAACACCGTATGCTGCAACATTCAGAGACCGTCTACTTGGATGACAAGACTTTCAAGGCGTTCATACGCCTTGTGGACCCGCGTCCGAGAATCAGAGGATACACATCATACACTGTCCCTCCCAAAATGAGTGCAAGGTGTGTTGTCTTCAAATGATCGTCGTAATATAGCGATCTCTAATTTGATTGGTAGGAAAAAATACAAGAGTATCCTGCCATTTTGTCGACTCGAGGACCTGCATCTGGGAATCAAAGAGTTCTCTATCCCTTCCAACATTGGTGCGATGTGCGTAGTCTTCAGACGCTTTTTGTACTATCATGATGATTGTTTAATTTGACCAGTAGGGACAAGCATAAACTTTTCGTGCTCTTTTGGCAAACTGGAGCAGGCAAAAACTCACTCTTCAACATGATGGCAGTAGCATCCACAGCTCCTGACACGCGGCACCGTATGCTGCAGTGTACAGAGGCCATCGACTCCCATGACGAGACTTCCTATGCGTTCGAAACTGCTCGACTCGAGGAACTGCATCTGGGAATCATAGAGTACTTTATTCCTTCCAAAGTGGGTATAAGGTGCGTAATCTTCAGATGTTCTTCGTACCATAGTAATTTGATCAGTAGGAACAAGCATAAAATTTCCGTGCTCTTTTGGCAAACGGGAGCAGGCAAAAGCTCACTCATCAACCTCATGACGAGAGAGAAGGTAGTGCCCACAGCTCCTGACATGCGACGCCGCATGCTGCAATGTTCAGAAAACGTAAACTTGGATGTTAGGAATGTTGAGGCGTTTTTACGCCTTGAGGACCCTCATCTGAGAATCAGAGGATACCCTATCCTTCCTAAAATGTGTATCAAGTGCGTATTCTACAGATTCTCTTCGTACTATAGTTATCTGATTTGATTAGAAGGACCAAGCATGAGATTGTCGCGCTCTTTTGGCAGACGGGAGCAGGCAAAAGCTCACTCGTCAACCTCGTGACGAGATTGGAACTAGCGCCCACAGTTCCTGACATGCGACGTCGTATGCTACAATTTTCGGAAACCACAAACTTCGATGACAAGGCTTCCAAGGCGTTTTTACCCCCTGAGGACCCGCATCTGAGAATCAGAGGATACTTTATCCCTCCCAGAATGGCAAGGTACGTAATCTACAGACGTTCTTCGTACTATAGTCGTCTAATTTGACCAGTACGAACAAGCATGAAAACATTGTACCATTTCCGCAGACGGGAGCAGGAAAGAGCTCACTGATCAAAGTCATACCGGAAGAGGAGGTAGCACCCACAGCACCTGATACGCAACGCCATATACCGCAATGTTCAGAAACCGTCAACACGGATGACAAGACTTCCAAGGTGGTCTTACCCCTTGAGGACCCGCATCTGGGAACCAGAGGATACCCCATCCCCCCAAAAATGGGTACAAGGTACATAGTCCTCCGATACTCTTCGACCATAGTGTCTAATTTGATTAGGAGGAACAAGCATCAAAGTATCGTGCTCTTTGGGGATACGGGAGCAGGCAAAAGCTCGCTCATCAATCTCATGGCAGGAAAGGAGGTGGCGGGCACATCTCCTGACACGGAACGCTGTACGATGCACTGGCAAGAATATAATATCTGCTTCGGCAACATGTCTTACAAGGTCTTCGATACCGTCGGACTCGAGGCACCGGATCTTGGAATCAAAGAGTACCTCGAGTTTGTCGAGAACGCCTATCAGCTCATCAAGCGACTGGACAAACAAGGCGGCATCGATCTCCTTCTATTCTGCGTTCGTGCCGGCAGAGTCACTGCTACGCTGCAGAACAATTACAGGCTCTTTCATGAATTTCTCTGCGAGAAGAAGGTTCCCATTGTTCTTGCTATCACGGGCCTCGAAAGAGAGCTGAGGATGGAGGACTATTGGGAGAGAAACAAGGGCATCTTTTCGCGATATCAGATCCAGGTCGCTGGCCATGCGTGCATCACCGCCGCTGATAGATTGGACGGCAGACACAAAGACCTTTATGAAGAGTCGCGCGTCACGATCCGCAACCTTGTTGAACAATTCACTGCCGACGGGCAGAAGCAAGCATGGATGGGAGGGGACAACCTGTTCGTGTCGTTGATGCGTAAGCTGAAGGAGCTACTTGTAGGGAGTTCACATGTGAGAAGGAGGGATCTTGTCCCTCATCTCACTAAGCGTTGCGGTATGTCTCGAGAAGTCGCAAAACAGTTGGCTGATATGATCAAGCAAGATGAAGCTGCTTGACTTCCGCTTTTCGGCAACTTATGCTCATCCTATTGTAGATTTTGCCCTTGTCCGATAATACGTTACAGTGCACCTGTATTCTAGTACGACGCTTTCATCAACGCTGGCGCAGGCCTGAGGAGTGAGGATTTGCATGTTAAATCGAATTTAATGAAAATTACTAGTAGGATAATGGCATAGACTGCTGTTTCTTTATGCTTGAACGATTCTTTACGGAAGGAAGTCATTTCTTGTCGCAATCGCTTACTCGGTAGACTGTCTTCACTTGCCGACAACAAGGGATGAAGTGACATTTGGAGCGCATTATAGTGCACTTGAGGGCGGGGACTCATGGCGTGAATGTTCGATACCCACCAGGGTCCAGCTCCTGATGGGGCTGTGGGCCTTCGATGGTTCGATTCTGGAGAACCTATACAACGAACGTAGATGCGGTGGTGATCGAGATGCACGTTCTCAAGTACAACAATGAATTGTAAATGGCGGCGATAGTGGAACGATGATACCTAGTTCAGCACTTAGATACGACTTGGATACGAACTTTGCACTTTTAGTATAGGAAGTTCGAAGGACTTGATGCCCATGCTTGTGATAGGTCAGAGGCCGCCGCCGAGTCGACCACTCATGTCCTGCGATAATAATAGCTGTAAATCAGTAGCCATGTGATACGTTCTTCTGGTTGAAGCGCGGGTGAGATCTAGAGCAAAAGCCGCGGCTGTGTGCGTGTTTTCCACCATGAACATGCAAATCGAACACTCGATAATGAACAAGCCAAGCTCATGAAGGGTTGGCATGTTCGGATCGGCAACTACAATCCGCAAACATCGCGCCGAATAATCACCCGAGGGCTTCACTGCTGCAATTGGGAATATAACAATTGTGTGAACGTAACTGGTAAGTGTAGACAACGTCCGTACCCTTTTTTCAAAGATGACGATAAGAAGGCTTCCCATGCTCCTGCAGCGTAGATAACAGAAAGCTGGGCAGGCTCGCCAGGTGAACTCAGAGCAACAAAAGAGGCAGGACTGCATGTGTGGAACTCGATACCAGAAACTTGGAGGGAGCCCCGGATGCGGGCATCGATGAACATTTTGTACGCCTGATCAATGTCATATGACCAGTCCTAGTTACAATATGCAGCCGTCTCATTCCATATGATTGGTTCTTGAATTAGAGAAGAGCTTGGAAACACTGGAACATAATCAGATGTAAAATGTGATCACGAGCTTTGTTGACGAGCGCATCAGGTCATTTAGATTCTGAGAAGTTCCTGCCCAGCAGAGAACATGTTCGGCGCGGAATTGAAAAGTTGCGGATTTGGTCGGTTCAAGATCAAGGAGCACACTACCCGATCGTGTACACTGCATAGACGGGCGAAGTCAATTATATTTGAGTGATTGGACCACGTACTGTTTTCGCAATGAAAATGATGATGAACGATGAAGGCAGGGAGAAATATCACGTATGTAATATTTTAATTGTGGTACGGCGTTATTGTGTTGCCGCGGTGAAGCGCCGGGAATATCGTGCCAAAACGGAACTCACGCCGATGAGTCGGATAATCGCACCCATGTGCATCACATGTGAGACTTACGACACGTCATTTGACCATAACCTTCAAGGTGACTTTTCGTGTTCCAGCACAATCTCAGAAAGCTGATACTGGAATGACCTGCAGGCTGCAGTTGAGACATCCGGTGTACGTGCGTATCACTATTAATCTCATATTCGCTACATTCAAGTTGCGATTGTGCCCAGATCAAAGACCCGTGTCCATCTCGTTAAACGTTTCCTCGCCCGTTCGTGATTCACGTTAAGGTTCAATGTTACTGCTCGATCAGAAGCACTATCAATATACTCCCTACCGGCCACAGCCCTTCTTTTGAGCATGGAAAAAGGACTGGAATCTGCGAGGATACCTCTGGAAACTTGCTGTCCTGTGTGGCCAGCGAGCGCAACAGCAGCCGGCCCTCAGGTGATCTATTTTGAATTGACAGCCCAAGTCTGACCAGTGACAACCGAGCTCAGCGCTCATCAAAGTGACGACATTTGATAGGATTTGATGTGGTCCGGGAATCACAGCCAATCGAATTCATCTTCCTCCGCCGCGTGATGCGCATATGTGTCTCTGTTTGGCAGAGATCAGCTCGTCGCGGAGTGACTTTGTTAGAACACCTTCGCGCCATATGCAACGGCTCCATGTCATGATGTAAACCTTGGACATTAATCTTGGACAAATGCCCTGCGAAATTTCATTCTAGATCCGTAACGTTTCTTCGGTAAGGTAGAAAATGCTGTCGTCGGCTGCTTTTTTCAAGTACTACCTCCGCGCGTGTCCCATATCGCGCGTTGTAGCTCATCGTCCTCTTGAAGAGACCCATTCTTTTCATTTGCGACATCCCCTCTCCAGATGGAGGAATTACCTTCAGCTACCAGAAGCATTTACAAAGAAAACTTTGACAGCAGCACCCACAGTTTTGGTGGTCGGTCAACCACGTCGTTGAGAGGTAACGTAGCTTTCGTCACTCTGTGGCTCGGTTGGACATAATTTCGCATCGATGCAGGTCATGCTGCCCCAATTGCAGGAACTGGCTCTGCCGATGAGGCTCAGCCAGAGTCGGACCCATTCGCTGATCCCTTCGCCAGGACTACTCCGGCCGGAATCGTAATCAACGCCCCTGCACATCATACCGACGCTGACGTACCTCAACCAGAGGGTCAACCAGCAGATACAGATGCAGCAGCAGCGCCCGCTGCTGCCCCTAAACCTCCTCTTTACAAGCGAAGATGGTTTATAATCACTTCAATAGTCGGCGCTTGTTTGGGCATTGCGTTGCTTTTCATCGTTCTGTTCCCTGTGCTCCGCGCAATCGTCCAGTATGTAATAAACCAATCCACGTTAAATATTCAACAGGCGGCAATATTGTCCCCTTCAAATACCTCGTAAGCGTAAATTGTGGTACACCGTGAATACGCTCACTTATTTATTTATTTATTATGCAGCTTCACCTTGGCAATGCTAGGCGTTGTAGGTATTCCCGTTGTATTGTGGCTGTATCCGTTCACCATCACTTTCAGGTATCTCATACTGGTATTTTCTCCGCCACAGTGGCCTTCTCACAGCCAGTAAACGTGAGCTGGATGAATGGCAGTGTTGAAGTACCTCTCGGCTATATGTCGCTTTCGACTCTGTATGCTTCCAACAAACGGGCGACGATTAACGATACCACGACTTTCTACATCACGGATCAAAATGCCTTCGGCCGCTTCACAAGCTCGATGATTACTTCACAGAATTTCACTTGGAAGTTACAGAGTTCCAATCTGAATGTACAGGCGATGAAGTTCCCCACCGCGCATGGTATTTCATTTAATAAGCTAGTGACCATTAATGGTGCAGTATTCTCATATTCACGTAGATTTTGGTCCAACTGACAAGAATTCTTGCTAAGGCACGAACAATTTTGCGGGGAATGTCATTCTCGAGGACATGCAATTGCCCAGTGACAATCCTGGGGGAGGTATCAATTTTGTAGCGGTTACCCAGCTGAACAACACAAGGTATTTTTCAACCCAGAACCTTCATTGCGGTTTGACCTGATCACTTCGTATAGCCCTTTCACACTGGGGCTAGGAACGGTAGTTTTTGACCTCGTGTACGAAAACGTCTATCTTGGTACTGGAACAGGATACAATACCAATATTGTACGTGCCGCATTCTAATTTCTCAATTTCAATGTCTCAACTTACTTCAGGTCCCTGGACCTAACAACATCTCGTTGAGCGGTGTTTTGGTACCCCAGACGACGCCTTCCAACCTTGCAGCAGTCTCGCAGCTTTTCACGAATTACATCAATTTCGAAAGCTCGCCTGTTATTGCAGTGGGCAAGTCAACACTGCAGCCTGATGGTTCAGAGATATCTTGGCTTAGCCAGGGTTTGGAAAGCCTTCAGCTTACGGTGCCCTTCAAGTCAACGACGCCGATCAACCCAATTCAGTCGATCCAGATAGGGAGTATGGCGCTTGGATTCACTCCAGAGACAGCATGGACACCGCGAACGGACAGCAACTCCGTTCACGCGACTATGCGTGAGTACTTTTCCTTGGTGTCGTCATCTTGTCTGACTTGGGCGCAACAGGGTTGCCTTTCGGGTTTGGACTGTCGATCTCCGAGATCCAGAATGAATTCATAATCGTCAAGAATGGTTCGAATGTAGCGGGTTTGAATACGGTATGGCTATCTACTCCATTTACGATTCACCAGTAACCGTCTTGCCGCGCAGCCTCTGGGTGCATCAACGTCTGCAATCACTGTGCTGAGCCCGACGGACACTGAGGGTACCATTAACATCACTATCGCCGACAGCGTTTTAAATGCTACGGATTCGGAGCATGGTAGTTTCGCTGCGTTCAGTAAGTGTGCTGTTTTCGAATGGTGCAATCTGTAATAGCAATTTTTTTGTAGACATGGAACTCACGGATTCTACCACTACTGAATTCCTACTGGTTGGAAATTCTCGCGCGGTCGCGAACATGAGCATCGGTCAGATTACCTTGGACCCTATCAAGGTCAACGTATCTACCAGTCTTAATGGCCTGCAAGGTCTGAAGGGGTACACCACTATTGGGGCTGTTGACGTTATGGGCGGGACCCAGCAGGCCCTCAATCTTAGCATTGATGGCAAGAAGGCTTCTCGATTGTTGTCTTATTGTGGCTGACTTTACCCGTAGTGTCCATCTATAACCCTTCTAGTCTTGATCTCGCTACTGGCGACCTGGGTCAGTCGTGGCAGTCGATTGCAGCGCATGTGTTTAAAATTGACACACTGCTTGTTACAGTACTCCAACTGCAACGCGGCGGTGCAATCCTCGGAACGGCACTGATGCCTAATTTGAGTCTGACCATGGGGAACAACTCTGTTCACTCGACATCTGCTTTCGATGTATGGCTGTCCATCGTCCTGCGTCCACCGCTTTTGAGTTAACCATGTTTACAGCCTAACAACTCACCCGAAGGATTGCAAACGCTCAGCCAGTTTGTTGGTGGCCAAGGTATGTCTCAAATCCTTGCCTACCAGAGAAGGAATAATTAGGTTGTCAGACGTGGAGCTTAATATCGTGGGCTATAGTGGGAGCACGCAAGTCGCTTCTCTCCAGGAAGCCTTTGAAAGTATGAACATCAACGCTACGCTCCCTGGCCTCAACTCCAGTCTCTTGTCGACGGGTTCTTTGGAGAGTAAGTCGAGTTATTTATTTTGGGGACATCTTGTTGAACGATTGCATAGTCCTTCCTACCACTTTTGTAACAAACAACGTCAGCCAGGTCACCGTAGCCCTCGTCAATCCTTTCACTGCAGGCTTCGACATCACCAGTATCTCATCCAATGTCACTTCGCATGGGTTGCACCTTGGTTCCATTAACACTGTGACGAATTTCAACTCTGCAGGGAAATCGACCACGAAGTCTCCCGCCCTCAACATGACCATGAACTACGATCCGCCAACGCTCTTCACACTGACTCGCGTGCTCGCCGTGCAGGCAGGTTTGGATCCCACGCAACTGGATGGCATCGTAGCTCTTGGGGATTATCAATATGTAACTGCCACAACGGCGGACTCTGAGCCAGTCCCTCAGCAACAACGGAGAGCTAACATATACACGTAAATCCTACTTTTTTCCTCCGCTTCTGATACTAAGTCAACTATTCAGGGGATTTAATCTGCCGAATTTTGTTGACCAAGCGTTCAAGCAGTTGAGGAGCGACATTCAGCTTACTTCACAACTTACGATTGGTTAGAATTGTGCAGTACATTTGCTTTCGATTACTCACCACGATACTGTTACAGGGGACTACGCGACGACACTCAGTTATACTCAGACTGGTGTCCCCATTTCTACGGACAGCAGCCTCAACTTAATCCTGCCCATCTTGGCGAAACCTATCGTTCAGAAGATCGTCGGTGGCAGCGTCCTGGGGTAATTGTCATCGATCGCTTTAAAGCTAACTTTGCTGAAATTGTGTTGCAGTGTAGAATCTGTTCTCATCACTAACCCTCAAGAGACAATGTTTGGTGCGTGTCAGAGTTTGATGTCTTGCACATCTTACCGAGGGTTTTATAGGCACACAATTGAACGGAAGCATCACAAACGCCGGGCCTTGTTTGTCGTCCTTTATGGTTTATTGCATCCTTGTTTAACCTCATTTTGACAGTTGACGCGACAATCACATTCAATAATGGACTCACTGTTTCGTGGGGTGGTCAGCCGATTGGTGTGATGAAGCTGGATCCCGTAAATGTTGTTGGTGATGTCGGAGCTACTCTCAACGTGCAAACTACGTTTGAGGTCGCAAATGCAGATTATTTGGCCAATTTCACCAAGGTAGGCGGAACTACCATCCGATGCATTGTCTTTGCCTCAACGTCTCTAGGTTATGCTCAATGATGAAGCGTTTGAATGGGATATTTCTGGCGATAACTTGACTGGTACGTTCGTGCTGAGTATAACTGAGCTGTCGCTTACAAGTATTTGGCGAATACATAGTCAGCGCTCTTGGTATGTTAGTTTCGCGGAAGCTTCGTGCCATATCATTGACAGTCCCCAAGGTATCGAAGTGACTGGCATCTCCCTTCCTTCAAAAGCGGTCACCTTGAAGGGCTTCAATGGTCTTAAGAATGGTGTGATCATCAACTCCTTTGACCTACCGTCCAACGACCCTGCTGGTGGAATCCATCTGACGATCAATTCAGAGGTCATCAACGTATGTTTCTCTTGCTCACTTTCGATCCCTCATTCACGTCTCTTCCGTTGTAGCCTTCTCAAGTTGGCATTGAACTCAGCTCCATTGCATTCAACACCTATGCCAACGGCATCGAGATAGCTCCAGTCTCTTCAACTTCGACTGTCACGCTAGCTCCTAATTCTACCTCATCACTCGGGTTAGCTGGTCGGCTCATTCCGCAGAACTCTCCAGAAGGGCTCGCAACTGTTTCCGCTATTTTCAACAACTACATTCATGGAATGGACAGCCAAGTCACTGTTTATGGCGCTAGTGCTGGCCCGAGCGATGTGAGCTCTCTGTTGTCTCGGAATGGTACCCACTCATCACACCTGCAGGTCACTTGGCTGAATGAAGGTATCCAATCCCTCCAGGTGGCGACGTCGCTGCCGAACACAGGAAAGCTCAACATCATCCAGTCAATCAATCTCGAACAACTGTCTCTCATGTTCACTGAGGCTACGGCATACGATCCAATGTCAGGCAGTAATTTGACCACTGCTGCGTTCACTCTTCCTTTCGCTTTCCCTGTCGATATCACGGCGCTTGCACAGAATATCACCGCTGGATACAACGGCCAATCTTTTGCTGAACTAGTGATCCCACGGGGCCCTAGCACAACTGACGTTCAGAATCGTATCATTTACTTGACGTTTAGCGATGTTCCGTTTGCTGTGTATTCTGACCAGCATGAGACATTCCAGAATTTCGTATCTGCTACGACGCTAGGCTCTTCGCAAACGTTGGCGCTGTCGGGCGCTGCGAATGCTGATGCCTCTACGGCCGTTGGAGTATTGTCTCTAATGGACATCGAGTTCTCCGTGCAATCTACGATCGCGGGATTGCAAGGGCTCAAGGCGAAGCCTGCCTCCGTTGCCAATCTGGACGTCAACCATGGATATTCGGATTACCTGCTGATCACAGTGGACACGTCACTTTTCAACCCAAGGTATGTGAAGTTTGTTATAAAAATATGTCAAATATAAATGTGTCTTTACTCGCTTGCAGCAACCTGACAATTGGTGAGTGGCAGCGTGCTTTCGATAGTTGTCACTGTTGACATATACCCTCAGGCACTGGCGATGTTTCGTTTGCGCTGCAGTTCCAGTAAGCCTCTTCTCAGATTTCTGCGAAAAACGCACTGACCGGCCGTCAATAGAAACCAAGTTATTGGATCTGCCGATCTGGTGGGCATTCATAACTTCACATATCCTCAGTTTCTAAATTTACCTTTCCATTTGCAGAGCAACATGATCATTCTGCCTGGGAACGTGTCATATCCTACTGGTATTTACATTCGCTCTGAGTGTAGACAGTTGCTCATCTTATCCTATAGATGTCCACTACTCACCTCAGGGATCTGCGCAAACAGCAGCTGGACAAGCAATGCTCGAGAACTACCTCCAGGGCGTCGATTCTCAAACAAGCATTACGGGGACCTCCAGTTCCACTCCGATTGGCTCTTTGGAACCGGCTCTTGCGCAAATCAATTTGTCACCAGTGACGATCCCGGCCTTGCACCAGAACCTCATTGGTAGCGCTTCCCTGGAGTTTCCGACTGACATCGTTCAAACTGGTGTGGCGTCGACGACTTTCACTTTGGCAAACCCGTTCACGGCGAGCATCAACCTGCTTGAAGTTACCGCAATAGCGACCTACCACAACCTGACCCTTGGCGCTATCAATCATGTTGACATGTCTTCTAATCCAATCCATGCTAATGGACACTCCAATATTACGTCGCCTGTGCTTCCGTTCAACTTCAACCTCGACCCGTTGACTATCATTCAGTTGATCACCCTTTCTGCTCAAGAGGAAAATGTCAACCTTGGTCCTCTGACGAGTCTATTCCAGCTGGTTGTTAACGACCCGAGTTTCCACCCACCTGTGCGTTGGTTTCTTTCTCAGTCAGCACCTGAATGACCTCTTCTTCAAGATCAATACGTCGGTAGATACAAGTAGTCCAACTTGTGTCAGGTATGGCCGCAGCATCTCTCCAGGCTTACAGTTCTCTGATGTGAAAATACTAGCGGCAACCAGTTCGACATTAATGACGCTATTGTGAACGCGTTGAAAGGGTTACAAGTCACACTTGCCGTGGACTCTGCCGTCCAACTTGATGATTGTAAGAAGCTTGCCTGCAGATTGTTAAGTAAATTCAACGGTACACTAGACGCAACAAATCTTGCCTTCAATCAATATGGAGTTTCTGCCATTGTAAGTCTTCTAAATCTACTTGCTTCGACGCTTACCACTCGATGACAGACGGATAGGACGTCGTTGTATTTGATTGGTGCGGTGGGTGGGCCTATTACCCAAGACCTCGTCAACGGCGCAGCGCTAGCTTTCACCGAAGCAAACATCACGTACGCTTTGACCCAATTGCTCAACTTCTAATTCGGTTATTGATGACTGGGATAGGGGCATCACAAACGAGGGCTTCCAGCTCTCCTTGCAAGGATCCTTGACCAACGTTGGTCCTCTAGATGCTCTGATCGAGTTCGTTGATCCAGTAACGTATGTCTTCGCGCCGTTTGTATCTGCAGATGCTCATGTCAGACAGGGTAACGTGGGAAGGCCATAATATTGCGACCATTGCGCTGCCTCCAGGTAAACCGGTTGACGCAGATCACATGCGGGAAACTCACTATGATTTATAGTATGTGCTGCCGCGAATACCGGGGTGCCGAACTATAACACGCAAGGCCAGCTAGTAATTACCGATCAAGTCCAGTGAGCAGAATTGTGTTTGTGGCATATTTTGCAGACGCTGATAATAATACCAGGTTCACATCATTTGCGACGTATTTGCTGCACAATCCAAGTTTCGATTGGACAATATCTACTTCCTCCCTCAGGCTAACTGCTCTGGGAACAATTTTCAATGGCGTCTCACTGTCAAAGACGATCACCTTGAAAGCATTCAATGGTCTTCCAGGTGTCACGATCAGTAACTTCCAACTCCCCTCCGATGATCCAGCTGGGGGTATTACGATCTCGACAGACTCGATCATTCCTTCCCCTGCTCGTTCGTACTACTTCTGCTGTCTCCTTTCTTTTCTGATTTCTTCTCCCAGAACTTGGCATTGACCTTGGAAATGTTGGATTCCAAGCCTACTTCGAGAACACTCTCATTGGACGTGAGTGGAAATTTTGACATAGTTACAACAAATCTTTAATGCCTTTGTAGCACTTACTGCTAGTGACCTCGTCCTCCCACCTGAGTCCTCAGTGACATCCCACCTCAATGGACAAATGATACCTCAAAGTGGCTCTGGTCTGACTACTATCGGCAAATTATTCTCGGAATACCTGGCTGCGGATAATATTACGCTAAATGTCCAAGGTGACACTGTTCAGCCTCCCGGTGCAAACGGACCAGTAACATGGCTCAGTACCGCCTTCAAGACTCTCACACTTGATGTTATTTTGCCTGGAGAGAAGTTCGACGTAGGTCTATTGACAATTTCACAGGAGACAATCGTGCTAATGACAAATAGGTTATCCAATCGATCACACTCTCGGATTTGAGCTTAACAATGCAGAACCAGGGCCAGGCGTTTGCTCCATTATCAGGTTCTAATAACACCGTGGCGCAATACAAGAACCCCTTCGGTTTCTCGTTGCAAGTGATTCAGTCCACTGTCAACATGGACCTCAGCTTTGGAGGTACAGCTGCCGCTCAGGTAATGTTGGTCATTGATTCATGTTAGAAGTCACTGACCCTTTTGTAGCTGAACCTTCCCCAATCCAACAACGTTGGAGGGGTGTCAACCGGGAATCTCGCTACCTTGCCGATCAGCTTCCAGAACGTGCCATTGACTTCCGTCAACAACGGCGCCTTTGAAGCCATGTTTGCCCAAGTGACGGACAAAAATTCGGCAGACCTAGGATTGAGTGGAACTGCTGATGTGACCGCCAAGACTGCCATCGGCAATGTTCCCATCTCAGCAATTGCTTTCGATGTCACTTCAAGCCTAGCTGGTGTGTTTTTATGCGAACCAGCTTCCATTCATGCTTAAAACTGTGTGATAGGCATAAACTCCTTTGATGGCAAGGCGACGATAACCAACATCTCGATTTCTGGCAGCGGTGGCAGTGGTGGCAATCAATATGTCATCTCGCCCCTCACGTCTTCGATGAACAACCCGTCCAACGTTTCACTTGACACAGTTGACATCGCCCTGCCAGTGTACTACCAAAATGTCATGATTGGTCGAGCAGCATTCAATGTGCGTGAACGATTGAGATGCATGTATCCTCAGCTAAATTTCCTTTTTAGCCTTTCAACTTGGTCCCAGGAGAAAATACGATGCCGGGAGAGTTCCATTACGAGCCTGCAAACCCGAATGATACCGTCGCTGAGGTTGGTGTCATCGACTTTATTCAATCCGGCTACTGATGATTTCTGTGCGTAGGGCTTCCTCACCAGCTTCCTGCAAACTGGCAATAGCCTTCCACTTACCATCCAAGGAGATTCTGCGAGTACGCCATTTGCATCACTCCAGCCGGCACTCGAAGGAGTGACTTTGACATCTAGTGTCACAGGTAAGTGGAATCACGTATGCCCACTCTTCATCGCTCATGGAAGGCGTAGGCTTGAATGTAGCTCCTATCATCTCCCACTTATACCCTGAGATCACCCTAGCAACACTCGTGACCAACGAAATCAATCTCAGCTTCGACGTACGTCCCGTTTCATGCGTGCTCTAGATTTAAGAAACTTATACTGTGCAAGGTTACTAACCCTCTCGATGCTGAGCTCGAGATCTCATTTGTGCAGGCTGATGGCTTGATCAATGGAGAAATTTATGCACATTTGGACCAGGCATTCAGCTCGTTTGTCATCCCTCCAAAGCAGACTGTCAACAGTGGAAAGTTTGGAAACGTTAAGCTAGTCAAGGGTGCCCTTGCGTCCCTACCCATCATCCCATTGGGCTATTTGGACATCCAAAGTGTTGCAACGACGAGGTTAGTATCGGGATCAAACAAGGACGCATGGAGTAGCGCTGATCAACATTGTATAGGGTGGGCAGTGGCGGATACCAGATTCCCTGGCTGCATATCAATCAAAACCATGTCACTGCCTCGTATGATCTCGGCGTCAGTCTCGCGGACCTTTCTTCAGCAGCTCAGTCCACGACGGCGACAATGTCTGGTGGTTCGACCGCATTGATTCCCTCACCGTCGGCCGTGATCACAGGACTTGGATCCTCCCTACCAAGCTCTGGAGTCCCGACGTCTGCGGAACCTGTGCCCTCCGGATCCAACCTAGTAAGCATGCGTTGCAAGTGTCCCGAGTTTTGAAACTGAGACCTCGCTCCAATTCCAGCCTGCTCCCAGTCTTCCTCTGCCCACTCCCTCGGGAAATTCCACGATCGGACCACTGTAATTTATTTCATTTTGGTAACTTGGACTTCGAATACGTTGTCGAGTCATCTCTTGGCTTTACCTATATCCTGCTCCTCACTAAGACTAACTTCACGTGTACCATTAATATTGTTGCAATCCCGATACTACATTGCTGCTTTGGTGATCCATTACTGGTTGATAGAGGCTTGTCCGATGCATGAATGTCGAACTTCGTTATCACCGGTGTCCAGTGGTGCTCACCATAGTACATAGCAAACTACATGCGGTTGTCATATGTGTATCGTATCAACAAGGACAAGGTCTACAAGTGGATCTGAGCCTAAGTTATAGAAAAGGGGACTGAAGTCAAACTGTGTCGTTCTTGATCATATCAGCCAACTGTTGCGCGACTTCTTGAGACATCCCCAAACGCTTCGTGAGACGAGGAGCAAGATCCTTCCTTTTCACAAGCGAACCCCCTGAAAATAAGCCCTTCTTTTTCGCAGCCGCGCTCTCCCCTGAAAGTAACTCCTTCAGCCTACGCATCAGCGACACAAACAGGTTGTCCCCTCCCGTCCATGTTGGCTTCTGCCCGTCGGCAGTGTGCTCCTGAACAATCTTGCGGATCGTGGTGCGCGATTGTTCATAAAGGTCTTTGTGCCTGCCATCCAAATCGTTAGCGGCGGTAATGCACGCATGGCCAGCGACGTTGATATCATAACGATCAAAATGGTGGTGTTCTTTGTCCCACCAATCCTCCATCCTCTTCTCTCTTTCGAGGTTCGTGATCGCAAGAACAATGGGAACCTTCTTCTCGCAAAGGAATTCGTGAAAGAGTCTATAATTGCTCTGAAGCGTAGCAGTGACTCTGCCAGCGCGAATGCAGAATAGAAGCAGGTCAATGCCTCCTCGTGCGTCCAATTCCTTGACGAGTCTGTAGGAGTTTTCGACAGTCTCGAGGTACTCTTTAATTCCAAGCTGTGGTTCCTCGAGTCCAACGGTATCGAAAACGGTATAAGAATCGCCGCCGAAGCTGATGACGTGCTCTGCCCACTTCAACGTACAGCGTTGCATGCCTGCAGAGGTGGCCGCTACGTCCTTTTCCGCCATGAGGTTGACGAGTGAGCTTTTGCCTACCCCTGACTGCCCAAAGAGTACGACAGTTTTATGCCTGTTCTCACTCGTCAATATTTTAAAAATACGGATCCTCATCTGGAGACTACATGCCTTTTATGAGGGTTGTACTTGACTATTTGCTTTCCCCCCGGCCCAGCGATATCTGTCATGCTGCAAGTCGGGTCATGCTTGGTCCCACCTCTCGATATTCAAGACTACGTACTTTGTAGCCGTTTTAGGAGGAATGTTTCGGATAGTACTATGTAGCCTTTGGTCGATACCTAATGATGCAAGCCTTGTAAGAGAGTCAAGGCAAACGAACGCTAACCTTGCGGCAGGCCATCACCACGTTTCTTACGCCTATCCTCGCAACCCTACCGATAGCATGGCATGGCAGAATAAACGCCAGATCGATTCTCGATGATTCGATGGATCGACTTGAGGCAAACTCATGTTAACGGCACGCACTACGAAGGCAGGCAGGCCCCCGGCAGCCCAGACCCAGGGTTAGAGGTTAGACAGATTGCTTATACCACAGGCTGCTGGAAGAGGTTTCTCGAACATGTAAATTTTTATCACGTTCACGAAGGAATGGGCGTTAACGTTAGAGACCTAGTTCAACAAGGTTCAACAAAGTACAAACATGATGACGTGACAATCAACGCGTGACGTCACGCGACTAGTTGAGAGAGAGAATTTCTATATTTCTATACCGCAACAAACAAAGTAAACTGGCAAGACGCGGTGCCCTGCCAGTGACAGGGCTGTACTACGCAGATGCTCCACCCCCAACTGACCCCTAATGGATTCGGCAGTTTCTCCCATTCAACCTACATATCCAGAGGATATCCGAGTCGCACACACGTATTATGCGGTACTGCCGAGACCGGCAGACGCTGCGCGCTCAGCTCGGATAGGCTTGGAATCGATCAAGACTAATGCCGGAGTTTACTTACGTGCCCCAGGGGGATTTTTCATGGTCTTACAATATAAATGCTACTCTGGTGCTGGCAGAGGCAGTTGTAAGCTCGACAAATGACATCAACAAAAAACCCACTTATGGAATCAGACAGACATGTCATTCTGAGCGTAAAACAAGCTTACTATGAAGTCGTATGTCGCTTAATCACGGCGTCTGGACTATAGCGCTAGGCATTGAGCTGCGGTGATCTCCCCGAGTCGGATACTTCAGTGATAATCGATCACGTGGTCAAAACGCGTCCGCGTTTCAGTGTTCACGCCAAGGTGATATTCACGTAATGAATATTAATTGCGTTTACGGCTACACGCTCCAGACCATGAAATAGACGGGCAACATGGCCCATCGGTTATTCGATCTGACAAAAAATTGACAAAGACGGCGGAGCGGCCGGGTCACAGAGCGTCCTCAAATTGTATAAAAGGTGGACTGCAACGCGCTTGATTTTTCAGAATCCATATCTTCTTTAACCAGCTCTCACTCAAGCTTCACGCTTCCACACACTCTTTACACAAAGTTTCCTAGCCTTCCGACAGTCAACACAATGTTCGCTCGTTTCTTCACTGTTGCTTTCCTTGCCGCCCTCGCTGTCGCCACTCCCCTCACTCTCCGTGATGGCCAGTGCAACACCGGTGACATCCAGTGCTGCCAGAGTTCTAGCACCGTGAGTCACGAATTTCTATTTATCTTTTACTTATTCTGATGATTTGTGTAGACTTCCAACTACAACAAGTTTGCAAAGTCTCTTGGCCTTGCGGAAGTAGGTGCTGAGGTCGTCGGCACCCTTGGCCTTAGCTGCAGTCCTATCAGTGTTATCGGCACTGGCAGTGGCGCTACATGCAACCAGCAACCCATGTGCTGCAGCAACAACAAAATGGTGAGTTGCGGATGAACTTCTCTGTTCAATCCATGTCTAATAAGAAAAATACAGAACGGCCTTGTCAACATTGGCTGCACTCCCATCAACCTCAAACTTTAGGTTTTCACTTGGCATTGATCTTACCTGCGTTATTACATGGTACATAAGTCTTTATAAGCTCTATAGCTAGTAATACCGGCGTTAACTGGTTTGAATCCAATTCAAAATTGACTCTGGTACTAGCAGTGGGACTCGACAGGCCGGGGACAACATCTGAATCGATAGTACATGTGGTCTATCACTAAAGGCGCTACTCCATTAATGTGCATTATTGATGAGGTAGTCGCAAAGTTATTTATGCGGTGCGAGGAGTCCCGTCGGTACCAGGGCTGTCATCGGTACCAGGAGAGACGCAGCAGATAAACATGACTACACGAACCCACGGTTTGGGATTCTTGATGCGTTTCGCATTTTCACTAGCTGTTTTCGGTCGGCGAGCAACATACAATGCCTGCACAGAAATCATTGGACTCCATGAATCGACAAACTAAAGACAGACATACCTTCTTGTCTCGTTGTGCAGCGACTTCGACAATATGAGGACTGCAATGAGAGGTGATTTGCCTTGGCCATTGCTGGAGTTCGACTCCTTCATCGGCGTTGGGTGGAGAGCGTGAGGACAAGCTACTAATTAGTGCACCTGGACGTGACCCCGAGGGCGTTGGGCGTTGCTGAGGTTCGATTACTTCGTCGGTGTGAATTCGAGAGCGGGGCAAGAGTGAGGACAGGTGACCGAGGAGTACCTGTGGACGTAATCGCGAAAGCATTGGGGGTTGTGGAAATTCAGATACTTCATCAGTGTTCGGAGGAGTGCGAAGGAATGAGGACAGGCGATTGAGGAGTGCTTGCGAACGTGGTTCCGAAGGCACTGGAGGTTGAGCAGCGATGGTGGGCGGTGGAGGTGGAGGTGGAGGTGGAGGACCTGGATGAGAACTCCTTGTCATAGCGAGCCCAAGTTTCTTGAGGCGTCCCAGGCGCTGCTGAGGTCGTGGTCGGGAAATTTGAGAATGCTGTAATGAACACTGTGTGAGAGAGACACGGAAAATACAATACACTGTTGCACCCACGCCATGTGTTCCCCGGAAGGAATCAGGTTCTGCATCGTAGCCATCTTGATCTTGTCCCGGGATCTCTGCCTGTATAACGGTTAGTAGTGAAAGGGCTAAGAAAGGGAGTACATGCGCCAAGAATACGGTCATCGCGAGCAGCGAGCGCGCTACATTGTTCTTTGAACTCTGAGTGAGATGCGAGTGAGTATGGTAGCCTCGCGTGACATTACTGAAAACTTGCCATTGGACCAATCGAGGCAGCTGGCCTTCTCAGTTTTGCTGATGGCGTCCATCATATGTTGGTGGGATTCGAGGGCTTCTTCGACTTTACCAGCCGAAAGGAAAGCCTGGCAGCGTTTCTGGTGTGTAGAGAGCCAGATGGACTTGAGATCCCACCCGAAGAGCTAAAAAAAATACTTGGTTATGAAAACATGTTAGGATGCATCATGTCAACATACCACTACCAAGTCCTCGTATGTTTCATGAATGGATTTCGATGAGAAAGCGCCGGAATTGACAGCGGCAGTGAAATGGTCAACAGCTTCGTCGTGACGCGCACCATCCAAAGCTTTCCTTCCAAGCTGAACACGTAAATATGCCTAATGTGCGAGTTGAAAGTTCAGTGTCGATGACGAAGCATAGCCGCATGATACTAACATCCACGATATGACACGCACGAGCACCGGAATTGGGACAAGCAGCCAATAGCTCTTTGATGAGCAGCATTACCTCCTCATGTTGATCCGCGTTGAAGAGGGCAATAGCCTGAAATACGGAATGGAGCAGAGAGCATGCAAGACAAACTCAAACCTACCTTGATCAAGAGAAGAAAATGGATGGTGTCTGAATCTCGGTTCGCGAACACGGATGCGACGTCAAACGCTACCCTCGCGTCCCGGACTTGACCTTTTCCGCAGAGGGCAATGCCCTTGGATATATAACCTGTCAAGGAGGGCTGAATGCTGATGGACTATGTGACGGATGAAAGTTAGCCTTTCGTAAGAGGGCCATGGTTGGTCGGTATGACTCACCTTGATTGCATCCTCAAAGGCATGGTCCCAGTCTTGTTTTCGCGCCATGACAAATGAGCGATGGGCATATGAGGTATAGTCGTTGGCATCAGTGTCGATCTCTTGGGTGAGTAGCTGTTCAGCGATAGACAAATCCCCAATGATGCATGAATGGCGGGCTGGCGTGATAGCGAGGATCTGCATAAGGCATGTTCGAATTGCGTTGTACAAGTCATGGACGAAAACTTGCCTTTGAATGAATATCCGTAGGTACTTCCCATTCTGAGATCTTTCTATCAGTACCTCCGCTGAGGACGTGCTTGCCATCCACGGAGAATGTGATACATGTCAATTCCCATGAGTGCCGGAAGATGGCAACAGTTTGTCGATCTGAGAGCCGCCAGAGACGGATATGCTTGTCATCAGATGCGGATGCAACGAGCGTTCCAGCAGGATTGATGGCGATTGCGGCATTGATTTTATTGATACCCCTAGTGTAGCGTTCCCAGGGATCACCGAGCTTCTTCCAGGTCGATGTATCCCACTCTTCTATGGTGTAATAGGCAGAAATAAGGCGTGTGCCATCGGGCGTCCACGCGAGTGTGTAGGGGTTAGTCTTCAAGGTTGCGACGTGTTCCCTTGTGCCTGGATTATAAATTTCGATATTGTATGGGTTTGCGATGGCAATAAGTTCACCAGACGGCGAATACAGAACTTGCGAACCCGATTGAATTGGATTTCCTTGTTGCTGCCATGTTTTGGTGCACCACAGCCAAACCGTGTTGTCCCCTGAACCGGTGGCTAACACCGTACCATCCGCGGAAAAGTCTAGCGAATTGATATAATTGGAGTGGGTTTTGATGGGTTGGGTGAGGGATTCTCCTGTTTCTCCGTGCCAAGCAATGAGCTCTCCATTTTCATCACCGCTTGCTATTATTTGCCCATCTCGTGATACCGCCAATGCCCTCACCCCTTTGCGGTGTCCCTCCATCTTCTTCAACACAACACCTGTCTCCAGGTCCCAGAGATGAACCGTCTTGTCCCATGAGCCCGTAGCCATTCGTCGTCTATCAGGGAAAACTGCGACTGCAGTTACTCTCTCCTCGTGACCTTTAAAAGTTCGAAGGGGTGTGGTGCTTGGAATGGGCTTCGACATTTTACTGCAGGTTGACGGCGTTGAACACGGTCGAGGTGGACTTTGCAGGGTTTGTGAGCGTCTTTCTCTAAGTTGCAGAGGTGCGTGTATTGTGCGTTTTTATGCTTCTGCAGTACTTTATACCAGTTTGTTTGTACAGACGCCCAAGACATGAGGTGGATTGTTGCAGCAATAATGCTCCTTATCGTCATACATGTCTTTCTCGACAGCATACACTCTCGGCGCTTCTGTACTGTTCCCTCGCATCCAATTGTGACGGTACGGTCGCTACTTCCCGGCGCTTGAATATGACTGATAGGTATCTATTCTAGTAGATGACCGCGTAAATATTGTTGTTTCTGTGATCTTCGTGTCGAGCAGTTTCTACAGCACATCAACTTGTCCGGACGCATGCACATACCTTACTGCAATATTCCCGTCAAGTCTCGAGATCTGCACATATCTACAGTCAAATTTCTCTCTTCTCGTATCTCAAACCCACTACTAATTCCTCATCACAGCCGAAGCTATGCGTTCAATTATTGAATGACAGTCACCACGACTGTTCGAGAGTGCTATCTCCCATGGAATACGTACTCCCATGTATATGGCCCACCAAGTGACCAAGTGAACCAGCTCTTTTACCTAATTGCCCTGACTACGTCTTTTCTCGGACGTCACAGGAGCATAAAAGCTACTCTCACAGCATCATATGAGCCTGCCTGTTGCTGCACTGACCCACATATCCGACTGAATCTCAACCTGATTGTTCCAACCTTGACGCATATTAACTACAACTTGAAAACCTTATTAGGGCTTTCACTCCAGGATCACTCTTCATCGCTGGGTTTGCGCAGGTCGGCGAACCCCATACTGGACTCATACTCCCTGTAGACTCCATTCAAGGACAGATCGCCCACATTCATACCAAACAATGAGAGTTGGGCCCACGAGTTCAGGAAGCAGAACCTCTCTCAGTCAATATCCTGACGACCCTCCTGAAGATACACGACGAATACGCAGGTGCTATTTCCCCAGAGCAACTTGACGCAGCTGTAAGCAAGGCTGTAGTGGACTCTGGTTCTCCCACAGGAGAATGTTTCAAGTGGGTAAAGTACTATGTTCGGAGGGCCATGTGAACCTTGGATCCACGGATAATCTTGCTCAAGAGTTTTCGACCTTCGCGGCAGGGAACTGCTCTTACGCGACGAGGATCAAGTTCCCGAATGTCAAGGCGTCCCAGCACTGATTTGAAAGGTGAATAGCGGAAATAGTCCTGTGTGTATTGTCGAGCTGACGTGCGATCGCTGCAGTAATGTTCGCACGTCCTGCGCTGCGCCAATGCATGTTCGCCGAAGTATGTCACAAGTACATTGTACCGCTGGTGCATGTACAATAGATATTTTGGAAATAGTTGCATGATAATTGCATCTCAAATCTCAGGACAAGTCGAAAACACAGTGTAAACGCCAGTGCCTACTATCAAAAGATTTATATCTAAAGGATCGTAACTCTTGACCGACTTCGCCACTGCCAATCAGCATCCAATTCCTCAATGCACTCAGGAAAAATTGTCCGCATCATTTGCAACCACTCTGTATCAGGTTCGCCCTCCAACCACGTCGCCTTCAATGCATCCCAGAAAATTGGCATCCACCCAGCGTACTCCCAATCGATGATGCAAATCTTCTCTCCGCCCGATCGCCAATGATTTAGGCCACCCGGAAAAATCAAATTCTTTGGAAGAAGATCCCCATGACTAAATACGATAGGAACTCCGTCGCGCTCGATGAGAGGTCGTAGTAAGGGTTGCAACGTGTCGCGATTCATCGGCCAATCGAGTCCAGTCCAAACCTCCGCAACGAAGTCTTGAGAGGATGGAAACGTTCGGAGATTCTCCCGAGCCACCCAAGGAATGCGTGGATCGTCAACGGGACCGCCTGAAGCGTTGCAGATGGCACGAAGCTCGTAAGACCGGGTCTGCAGTCTCATCGAACCTAGTTGGGAGCGCAAATCGTGCGCTAACCTTTCCTTATCCGACGCGGTCAGATCATCTCATACGTCGCCCGCGCAATCACCTTCTACCCAAGTAGTGAGGAGATAGCTTTTGTACTGGTTCGAGACGCTGTCGATGTAACGAGGAACGTGGATATCTCGCAAGGTGCTGACGAAACGCAGAGCATCTGCTTCGACGTAACTGGGTTTTTTGATGACCTTCAAAACAAGTCCAAAGGGGAGACGGAAAATGTCATGGTACAGGGGGGTACACATGTGATAATTTCCAATAATAGCATCATATATGGCTGGTTTCCAGCGTGAAGGAGTGAGGGAAAGGAATGTTTTGACTAGGTACAACAAAGGGGACAGGCAGAGGTTGCGATTAGAGGGTGGCGGAATATCAACATCGTCGTCTGTGGAGAGCTGCACGGGCATGACACCCCAACAAGTATGAGGCAGAGTCTGAGTCACTTCAGGGCTTGATGAATCGTCATTAGAAGCACGTAGGCCAATGCTCATGTTTATACAGTGCCATATTACTCACGCAACGCAGGGGGACTGTGGTGTGTGCTAAACGAGGACCGCGGCGGTTACTTGGTTTGCAAAAATGATCGCGTCACACTATGTCACACCACTCTCCAACACTGCCAAGCGTTAAATGAATCTGGGGGCAATCGACGAGTGCTATTCAAGCAAGAATTCCAAAGGCGACATCACCACAAACTAACTTACCAATATGTGGTGCACTAGCACGGTTGCTAACGCGGATCCCCGGCCTATTGGTATATCATATTCACTGTCTCTGCTCAGGACCGGCTGACCTATCGTTCTCATTCGCATTTTGACCAGCACGCTTCAACATCGGTATTGAGATCTGGCACCAATCCTGGCAGACCTAAGAAGCGCACAAGACCAAAGGAACAGTGATATAGCTAAGCTTTCATTTGGTCAGCCTTCTCGTATTACAACAAGAGCAGTGATAGACCTGGAATCCAATTCTTCTAGCAGCAGCAACGCCACCGACCGCCTCCATGTTCCCCAGTGTCTCCCTGCGCTGCTACTAGTTGCTGCTGCTGCTGTGTATTGGGATCTTGTGGAGGATCTTCAACATATTCAGCATGTATAATGTCTGAATCGTCATCGGGAGGAGCACCCGCTGCAGCATTACGCTGCAGATATATCCATTAGACACCCAAGACACAGTGATGAAAATTGACCACGCGCACCTTCCGGCCCTGCGCAAAAGGAACGTCAACGACGGATGGCGCTGCATGATTGGGTCGCCAGGTGAATAAGTGTCGTATGTGGGCTTTTAAGGTGGTGGGAGCAGTAGTGGGCGGTGCAGGCGCAGGTGGAGGACCTGGATGAGAACTCCTTGTCATAGCGAGCCCAAGGTTCTTGAAGCGCCCCACACGCTGCTGAGGCTGTGGCCGGGAAGTTTGCGGACGCTGTAACGAATGGTCTGCGGGTGAGAAGCGAAAGATACATGGTTGCACGTACATCATGCATTCCCCGGAAAAAATCAGGTTCTGCATCGTAGCCATCTTGATCTTGTCCCGGGATCTCCGCCTGTATAACGGTCAGTAGTGAAAGGGCTAAGAAAGGGAGTACATGCGCCAAGAATACGGTCATCGCGAGCAGCGAGCGCGTTACATTGTTCTTTGAACTCTGAGTGAAACACGGGTGAATATGATAGCTTTGGGTGACATTACTGGAAACTTGCCGTTGGACCAATCGAGGCAGCTGGCCTTCTCATATTTGTCGATGGCGTCCATCATGTGTTGGTGGGATTCGAGGGCTTCTTCGACTTTACCAGCCGAAAGGAAAGCCTGGCAGCGTTTTTGGTGTGTAGAGAGCCAGATGGACTTGAGATCCCACCCGAAGAGCTAAACAAAGTACTTATGAAAACATGTTAGGATGCATCATGTCAACATACCACTACCAAGTCCTCGTATGTTTCATGAATGAATTTCGATGAGAAAGCGCCGGAATTGACAGCGGCAGTGAAATGGTCAACAGCTTCGTCGTGACGCGCAGCATCCAAAGCTTTCATTCCTAGCTGAACACGTAAATATGCCTAATGTGCGAGTTGCAAAGTTCAGTGTTGATGACGAAGCATGGCCGCATGATACTTACATCCACGACATGACACGCACGAGCATCGGATTTCGGACAAGCGGCCGCCAGCTTCTTGATGAGCAGCATCGCCTCCTCGTGTTGATCCGCATTGAAAAGGGCAATGGCCTAAAATAAGGAATGGAGCAGAGAATACGAGAGAAGAACTTGAACTACCTTGATCAAGAGAAGAAAATGTGTGGTTTCTGAATTTTGGTTCGTGAACATGGATGCGACGTCAAATGCCGCCCTCGCATCCCGGACTTGACCTTTTCCACAGAGAGCGATGCCCTCGGAGATATAGCCTATCAACGAGGGCTGGATAGTAATGGACTATATCGTGGATGAAAGTTAACCTTTCGTAAGAGGGCCATGGTCGGTCGGTATGGCTCACCTTGATTGCATCCTCAAGGGCATGGTCCCAGTCTTGTTTCCGCGCCATGACAAATGAGCGATGGGCATATGAGGTATAGTCGTTAGCATCAGTGTCGATCTCTTGGGTGAGTAGCTCATTAGCAGTAGACAAGTCCCCAGTGATGCATGAATGGCGGGCTGGCGTGATGGCCAGAATCTGCATAAGGCATATTCTAATTGCGTTGTACAAGTCAAGGACGGAAACTTGCCTTTGAATGAACACCCGTAGGTACTTCCCACTCTGGGATCTGATTATCATCACCTCCACTGAGGACGTGCTTGCCATCCACGGAGAATGTGATACATGTCAATTCGGATGAGTGCTGGAAGATGGCAATGATTCGTCGATCTGAGAGCCGCCAGAGATAGACATGCTTGTCAGAAGATGCGGAAGCAACGAGCGTTCCAGCAGGATTGATGGCGATGGCGTAGATATGTCCAATGTGACCTTCCCAGGGACCACCGACCTTCTCCCAGGTTGATGTATCCCACTCTTCTATGATGCCATTGGGATAATCACCTGAAGAAAGAAGGCGTGTGCCATCGGGCGTCCACGCGAGTGTGTTGGCATAAACATCTCGCAAGGTTGCGACGCGTTCCCTTGTGCCTGAATTATGAATTTGGATAATATCTCTGTGTGCTGCGACTACAAGAAGTTCACCAGACGGTGAATACAGAACTTGGTTGACCCAACGATCCGCTGCAATTGGATCTCCTTGCTGCTGCCATGTTTTGGTGCACCACAGCTTGACTGTATCGTCACCTGAACTTGCAGTGGCCAACACCGTACCATCCGCGGAAAAGTCCAGCGAGGTGATCTCATAGGAGTGGGCTTTGATGGGTTGGGCGAGAGATTCTCCTGTTTCTCCGTGCCAAACGATGACCTCTCCAGAATCATCACCGCTTGCTATCATTTGCCCATCTCGTGATACCGCCAATGCCTCCACTATACTGCGATGCCCCTCCATCTTCTTCAACACAACACCTGTCTTCAAGTCCCAAAGACAAAGCGTCTCGTCCCACGAGCCCGTAACCATTCGTTGTCTATCGGGGGAAACTGCGACTGTGTTTACTCGTTTTTTGTGACCTTTAAAAGTTCGAAGGGGTCCGGTGTAAACAACGACTCTCGACATTTTACTTGAGATGAATTTGGAGGGATTGTGAGCGTCTTCGTTTAAGTTGCAGAGGTGCGTGTAAAGCTTATGATTGTGCCTTTTTTATATTAATGCAGTACATAGACGCCCACTGGCAGTACACGACGTGGTTCGCTTTCACCGTTGCAGCAAGAATGCTCCCTATTGTCATACCCGCCTTCCTCGACAGTATACCCTCCCGCCGTCTCTACAGTGTGTACATGCATTTGACTTTCGTCTTCACGGCTTCCAGAATGTATCCCCTCGTATTCCATTGTGCTAGTGCAGTTAGTACTTCCCGGCGCTCCAATCTGGCTGACAGCTCTTCATCCTTCTTGTTTCAAGCAGTTTCTCCAGCACTGTACCCTGTAACTTGTCCGAACGCGTAATTTACCTTACATGCAATATCTTTCCTACACTTCTAACTGATCTGCGTTTGCACCGGATGCAGCCACATTTCTTTGTTCTCGCGTCTCATACCCGCTACTAACTCTGCGACGGAGGAGTTTTCATCTCCCTGAGCGCGGTTTATCCAACACTTACATGATGATCTTTCCAAAGGTGTTCGCAGCCTTACTTCCAACGCCTTGCTCATGTTTCATCTCAGTTTTCAGCTTCCTCGACTCCCGCCCAACTGGTTTCGGTTTTCTCATTGGCCAAACCCCCATTCTCATTGGAAACCTGGATCACACATGTAGCGATGCAACACGGATGTTAATTCTACCAATCCGCACTCACCTGATAATCACTGCAAATATTCAAGAATACTATCGATCGTGGACTCAATTCTCGGACCTAAGGAGACATCAATTGAGTAGAACTTTCAAGCGATCTTTCAGCTTTCTCTGCCTAATGCACTGCCCTCAATTAGTACCATGCGCCAGGTCCTGCCCGATCGATCCCGCAAATTACTCGATTGTTCGGCAGCCCTTCATCTCCCTACCCCACGCTTTGCGCAGCATCCACGTGCCTTCCTCTGCCTCCCGCACCAAGCGCAGAGACCAACACCATTCATGTTCACAAACGTTGGCGTGTCACATTCCTCGGCGTCGATACCGACGTCACCACAAACTAACTTACCATTGATGTTTGATACACTAGCACGGCTGCTAACACGAATCCCCGGCCTATAGCTATATCATATTCGCCGTCTCCGCCACAATTGTTTTATGCCTCGGGACCGGCTGGCCTGTCCTTTTCATTCGCATTTGATCAGCACGCTTCAACTTTTGGCACCAATCCTGGCAAAATCCTGGATGTTGTTGCATGGGATCTGAGAAGCGTACAAGACCGAAGGAAGAGTAATATAGCTAAGCTTTCGTTTGGTCAGCCTTCTCATAACCATGTCTTGTTACTGTACAGTGCAGTGTAGTATGATAATTTATATTGTATGATTGGTCTAATAAGGTGCGAGAAGGATACTAGAATGCAGCCTTCGAGCGTCAAGTGAGCTTTCGGAGCTTATGATATCTGGACGATAAGGTGCGTGACAATCAACGCGTGACGTCACGCGACTTGTCGCGATCCAATTTGGCAAGGTACACGCTTTACTCGCGTTCTGCAACCCAACGTCCCACTGCGCTTTAAATCTGACGTTTAACTCTTTCCAACGATGTCTCTCTGGGTAGACAAAGTGAGAGGCATGCTTTTTGCCATGTAGCTCACCATGCTCACGTTCGTGCAGTTCAGACCAAAGACTTTGGACGACCTTCACTACCACCAAGGTTTGTCTATTCGATTGAAATCTCTTGTACGTCAATCTTGGATGCTCTGGGGACATTCGTCTAACTTGATGTAACATATCCAGGCTGCATCAGCTGACTTCCCCCACATGCTCTTTTATGGGCCTTCTGGAGCTGGAAAGAAGACACGAATCAGCTGCACATTAAGGCAACTGTTTGGAAGTGGTGTGGAGAAGGTGAGAGGACTTCTTTTATTTGCTTTTGGATAATGCTGATGAACACGGGTCGACAGCTCAAAATTGATCAACGAGTGTTTATTTCACCTTCAAAACGCAAGCTGGAAATCAACGTTGTTCAAAGCAATTTTCACATCGAGATCACTCCTAGGTTTGCTATTTAACATTTGATATCCTTCTGATGCATCTAAAGCACTTTGAAGCGAGGCTGGAAATTATGACAGAGTTGTCGTTCAGGATTTGTTGAAGGAAATTGCGCAGACACAGCAGGTAGACCTGAACGCGAGGCATAGATTCAAAGGTGCTATCCACCGCTGTACAATAACCCGATGTCATGCTGACCCTTTTGTTAGTGGTTGTGATCAACGAGGCGGACTCGCTTTCCCGTGATGCTCAAGCCGCCTTGCGTCGAACGATGGAGAAATACATGTCAAACATGCGAATAATACTATGTGCTAACAGCACCAGCAGACTAATAGCACCAATAAAGAGTCGTTGTCTACTCATGCGAGTGGCTGCACCGAACCCGGAAGAGGTAGGTAGATATCAAGTAACTCGTTTTAGACCAAGCGGTGAACACTCTCTAGATGCAAATGGTCTTAGAACATGTAGCAAAGAAACTGAAGTTCGACTTACCTGAAGAGGCATCACAACAGATCGCCGAAGACTCTGGTGGCAACTTGCGAAAAGCGTTACTCGTCTTTGAAGCCTTGAAGATGCAATCGTAAGTTCAACATGCAGCCGTATCGTTATCGCTGTGCCTCATCATGTTGCAGACCAGATCTTTCAGGCTCATTGAAAATAGCTAAACCAGACTGGGAAACATACTGTCACAAGGTCGCTGATCTTATCGTCCAAGAGCAGTCACCAGCTCGCGTTTTGGAAGTCCGTGGAAAGCTCTATGAGCTTCTTAGTCACTGCATTCCCCCAACGATCATCTTGAAGGTGAACTGTTATGTATGGCATGTTGAACAAGGTCGCTGATGGCTTCCAGACCGTTGCAGAGCGGGTGGTGGAGAGGGTAGATGAGGCTCTGAAAGCAGATGTCATGCATTGGGCTGCATTTTATGTACGTGGGCGTTGCTTTCAGCCTTTCGGTTTCTCATATGCGCACAGGAGGCCCGGATGCGGCTTGGCAACAAAAAGATTTTCCACCTAGAAGCCTGGGTAGTGAAGGTCATGAGTTTATACAAGGTAGAGACATATTTCCACCATCTCAGGCGAATACTGATTCCAGTCACTGCTAGCACTTTATGTACAACTTCGATATGGGGGACTTTGAGTAGATGTTATTACAATATTGTATCGCTAGCTTTCTATATAATAATCAGATGCCATTCCCGCCAGTCCTTGCGGTTGGGTCATGTCAATGGTTTGGGCACAGCCACCACTACTCCAAAACAAGTGAAGCCAATCGACAATGTCATCGGCCATATTCACCACTGCACCAGAATCGAAGTCGTGCTGCTAGTCATGGTCAGTTTGCCTAGCGTCTTGCAGTGAATCCCACTGATCTTTAATTTGGACATCCCAAAGCTTATCTTCTCCGTCTTCAAGACACTAACAGATCAACGAGTAACCGTCGAGCTGAAGAATGATCTCTCGATTACAGGAGTCTTGAAGTCGGTAGACCAGTCAGTATCGTAGTTCTCGTCTCAGCATTATCCAACACTAATTCACTCCCATCCTTCGCCCAGATTTCTTAACATCCGTCTAGACTCGATCAATGTACAGGACGAGGCGAGACACCCACACATGGTGCTTAATGTACGCTCTTCTATCCGGTCTTCACATTCATCTCTGTTTCTAGATGGCTGTGAAAAATTGCTTTATCCGCGGTTCCGTCGTGAGATACGTGCAGCTCCCTGCAGAGCACGTCGACACTCAGCTGCTAGAGGACGCGACGCGACGAGGTATGAAGTTTCCATGCAAACAATCCTTTTAACACTCATTGGTGATGCTACAGAGGTCGCTGCTCAAGGAAAACGGTGACGGATGTACTATGATATGTACTGTCTCCTGGAGGCACGGCAGCTCTAGATGGTGTGGCAGCGGTTGACATTCTACAGGAACTCGTACAACAGGCACATTATGGATGACGGGGTATCGAACCTCTCTTTCTACATACATGTACATCATGATTATCCTACCTGATATCATAGCGCTTCTTGTGCTTGAACATATGCCAAAGTCTGCCAATTTCGCAGTTGACCGGGTTCTAGCATGATGGCTTTTTGTGCACGTCTTTGAGACTGTATTGGTTGTGCGAGGGCTGATAATGCGAGGGTGGTCTTTTCTTCTTCGACGTTTTGATTCGGTGCTACCGATGCCAGGATGGCCGATGCAGCGTCTCTATCTCCCTGTCTGAGCAGCAAAGATGCGACTTCACGCCTGATCTGCACATTCGAAGGCTCTACATGGAGAGCGATTTGGGTGATTTTAGCTGCTCTGGCGGAGTCACCCTGCAGGAAAAATCTCAGGCTCATGTATCCGATGACTCAAAAGTTGGATTCGTACCAGCCCAAGATAATGTTGCACAAGGAGATACGTCACGTCTCTTTGAGGATCGAGCACATGTCGCTGTTCGATGGGGAGTGATAAAATTTCGGAAAGTGCGGCATCAACTAGTCCGTCGTCTTCAGTAAGTATCCCCATTCCAGCTAGCGTGTTGATTGCCATCAAATTTTCTGGATCGGAGGTGATGCTAAAAACAATAGATGAGTTGACTGGCAATCATCAATGCTGTGTTCTGACCACTCAAGTAACAAGCCTTTCGCAGACTCGCGGAACTCGGGTGTCCCAATCGCCCACATTGTCTGTGCCAGCAGAACGGTAACCTGTCCTCGAAGAATGCGATCCTCGGCGGCGCTTTCCAAAGCATCTTGGAATGCCGTCATCGCGATTTCGAGATCACCCATCTTGAAAGACGCCAACCCAGACCCGTATTGAGCTTGGACACGCAGAATCTGTGTTTCCCGCTCTGCATCTTCGGGAAGCAGACCTAAAGCGGTCTCGAAAGATGCCAACGACCCCTCATAGTCCTGTAATCCAAGACGGAGCCGTGCAATGTTGGTGTGTGCAATGATGAACTGCCGTTCGATTACAGGATCCTCTTTCTCCTCGTATGCTGCTTCTAGGAGAGTAATTGCACGATTGATGTATTCAACACCCTGTTCAAGTTTTCCAAGGCGCTCGCAGATCAGGCCGAAGATATGGAGGCCGCATGCATCAACCGGGCAGCGCTGGAAATATCGTCCGAGGACGAAGAAGGCGGGCAAAAGGCGATCTGTAGTGGGTGCACTGACTGTATTCGAATCATTTACGGCTGCGAGAACGCGAGAGGCAAATTGCAGGTCTGCCATAGGCTAAAACCATGTGTCAGGTGCTTCACACAAATGAAGGATAGGTGATTATTTACCACGTCTGCTGTCATGCTCACTGCATGCTCGAGTAATGTACGAGCATCTGCTTCGTGACCATTTGCTGTTGCAATCAACGCTTGGCCTATCCAAGCCAGGGTATGATCCGGATCAAGAGTTTGCGCCTTCGTAAATGCTTGGGTGGCCAAGTCAATGTCGTTATGGTATAAGTATAGGAGCCCAATCTTGGTCCACGCCACCACATTCTAGAGATAGATTAAGTTGAGATTGTAGTAGATATATGTCCTACAAACCTTGTTGTCAACTTCGATCGCCTTGATATATGCATGCTGCGACAGTTTTGGCTTGTTCGCAAAGTGGAGATCACCCAATGCGACCCAGAACCTGACGTTTCCAGGCTCCTTCTGCAGGGCCTGAATCAATAATGAATTTGCTGCTTCCGAGGCTTGCTGTGTCGTATCAGGGGGTTGTTTCAGAATCCACTCGTGCAGGGCGACAGCAAGGTCGTACAACGAGCTTGGGAGAGCGGCTTCATCAGAAGAGCCCACTGTGATGCGATAATCGTAGGCAGCGACAGCAGCTTCGAGTGCATTGAGCCCGGAGATGGGGTCGTCGGAAGAGAAAGATGTGGGCTTGAACAGGCCAGCGAGCCGAGCGCTACTTTGGTCTTGTACGAGTTCGCAAACCACAGTCACGACTGCACGGACGTTGGCTTCATCCGCAAAAACAGTGATTACCGACAACTCAAACAGGGCGTCGGCAGCGATTTTCCAAGCAACTCCCCGATATCCTGGGCTTTCCCGGATGGCTACTAACACAACGTCGACACAGGAGACAAAAGACTGCTCAGCTCGAGCAACGAAGCCGGTAAACCGCTCATGCCGGGCTAGGTCGAGGTGGGTCTGCGCAATAGATAAGAGGGTACCGGCTTCAGTGGGTCGAACATCCAGTATAGACTGGAAAGAGGCAAGAGCTTCTGCAAGCCTCCCCGCTTGCCGTTGGACTTCCCCTATGAAGTATGTACACATCCAATCGTCCGGCTGAAGCTCGTGGGCTCGACCAAGGGCCCTAAGGGCAGCAACATGGCGACCGGCTTTGCTGTAGGCTTCACCGAGTCTCAGCCACGAGAGCTGGTCGTCAACATCCGCTCGGAGTGCCACTTGAAAAGCCTTGATGGATTCCGGATAGTTCCTCCTTGTCTGTGCCCAATAACGTTAGGTTGGAAATAGATGTCATAAGAACGATCAATTACCAGCTCCACGACACCAAGAGCCTTCCATGCCCACGCGTTTGTCGGAAGATACTTTCCCGAAGCTGCGCCATCTCCCTCTTCCATACCCGCACCCATACCGCCTTCACCGTCTATGGTACGCCGAGCCACCACCTCGACCAGATCCCATTCACGCTCATCAGCAAAGCCTTCCGCAAGGCGCCTCGCGGCCTCTGCTTCACGAGCATCAAGTTCGAACGCTTTCTGGAAACACTTTGATGCTCGGGTAGGATCAGGCGGGGACGCGTGTTCTGAGTAATATACACCTAGCGAAGTGTATGCTGGTGCATACTCGCGATTGTGTTTGAGCGATGTGATGAAGTGTTTGAAAGCTTCCTCGCGAGACTCTCCTGCAATAAGGGTCAGTGATACGAGACAAAGGGCAAAGTGAATGGGTTGTTATACCTCCTAGATCCCAGTAGCATCTGCCAATCCGCCACAGGCATCGAGCTTTATCGATGTCACGATCCTCAATATCCTTCAAGATCTCAAAAACCTCTTTCAAAGCATCCGCACCAGCGTCCAGCTGCATCCGACTGAGGCACCACGCACTCTCCTCCTTTGCTTCCAAACCTTTGTCCATATCATCAGGGAGCTGCTTCGCCGCTTGCGAAAACAGCATCTCCGCCTCTTCCCATTTTTCAGCGCGCTGGAAAACATAACCCTTCCCCATCAATCCGTCCACATTAGTGGGATCTTGCGTCAGAACGTCGTTTAAGAAATAAAGAGCGCGAGGGTGGTGCTTTGGAGGAAATAGATGGACGAAGGATGTGGACAGAATAATGTGAAAGGCCTTGCGCACTCTAAATGGACGGTAATTTGTAACTGCACTTTCAAGGACCTAGTGATTTCCACCTACTCTCGGAGTTCACGGGCTGTGTTTGACTCGTATCTGCGTACTAATTCCAGCCCGCTTTCAGCGACCTTGATGGCATCTGTGTATTCGAGTTCTTGTAAATGTACTCGGGCTGTTATCATGTTCGCTAGCAATGAGTCTGGGAGAGCTGAAAAGGCATCCTGAAGAAATATGTCAGAAAACTTCAGGGGCATGATTCGTGAGCTTACAAGAATAGTGTTGTAAGGATCGCCGTCCACCGTCATTTCCTCTATGAATCCTTCGTCACCATGCGCAGCCCTGCTGTATATAAAGTATCCCTTCAACATCAGCGCTAATGTACTTGTAGGGAAGAGTTCTATGAACTCCTTGAGATATGGAAGACCAACACCCTCTAGAGCAGCTAATTCAGTGATCATAGGCAATTTGATGGCTTGCCACATACCAACTGTATCGGAATCTCTTCCTTCAAGCCATATGCACCAAGCAAACTCATCCGGAATGCCAATCGTCACAATTCCATTAACCATCTCATCCAGCTGCGTCCCAACTTGACGTTTCTCTGGGTCAGTGGAGGGGAGTGCCATGAATAACTGCTGCTTATATCGAATGAGTTTCGATTCTGTAGCGCGCCGCAGTTCGTCCGAGGTACTGGGGTGATTAAGGATTTCATTGTATAACGCGGGAAGCTGCAAGGCGAAGATTAATTTGCCACCAAGCATATTCGGAAGGCTGCTTTACTTTTGACGAGTGCCAAACCTCGATGCCAATGTCTTTCCTGAGTTGCTCAGGCTTAGGACCACCAAGGCGGGTGCGTCGCTTGTCAAACTCAGACTTCATGAACATCTCTTCTTCTCGCTCCGTTAGCGAGATAAGCTCCTCATAGACGTCGAGTGAGTTATGGATTGCCGATTGAGTAGGAAAAATAGAAGTCGACGTGGGATTCGTAGCATCGGGTGGAGGAAGTGATGAAAGAACCGGGTACAGTGAGGAGTCTGGCAAGTAAAGGAATAATGCTTGAATGACCTGAAGACGTTAAGCAAGACAACTTCAAGATGGATAAATTCATACCTCTCGGCGTGTCCCATGCTGCCGGCGAATGTCCATAAATTTTTGAAGGGTCTCGGCACATTTCATGGCATCGTCACTGTGCGGTTTTCAAATCTCAGCTTCATCAAGTATGCGGAGAACAAAATCACTTTTTCGCGAAAATCTGCATTATGTGTTCCAGAGTATCTGCCAAATCGTTCCACCTGTGAGTTTGTTCGTAAAGCTTCGCGATCCCCTATGTATTGCATCAGGTTAGAATCGCTTAGTTGATACCAGCAACATACTGTACCTGCCATGCAAGTACTTGGTCATCCTTGAGCTCTATGGCCTTTCGATACAGCTGATCAAAAGTCAGCTTATATGCGCCCTACGACGAGCATCAGGTTTACTTGCTCGCTCTGCTCGTGCTGGCCGAGTTCTAAGAAAGCAAGACCAAGAAACACATGGCTGCCCGGCGCAAGACAATCGATATGAGATATACAACATATTCTTGTGAATTGGAAACGCACGCAGTATAGTTATCAGGCTCATAGTCAAGAACCTGTGCGGCAGCTTCACGCGCTTGTTCATACTTTTTCTTGCCTATAGCATCTCTCGCTGCCTTCAACTTGGACTTCGCGAATGATGACATGATCTGAACTCCTGAAATCACCCCCGCGACGCAAGAACTCGATTGGCGCTCTCAAGGCGCTCTGGATGTGCAATCACCGCCCTGGCTTGTGTGGGGATAGTAATACGTTCAAGCTTGCACAAAAATGAAGTGACGTGCAGAATGTCTTCACAAGGCCCAGCTGATCTATTGAGATGTACGTGCTCGTACAGGGCGGAGAAGTGCAGAGATCAAATGTTGGCTTACTAAGCGAAGGTCTCGAATTCGAAGGCTTTGAAAGTGAAAGTCAACTACAGTACTTACTGTGAGTATCAAACTCTATATATACATGGTAACTAGCAATAGTAGACACATAAGGTGTAGTATATGAACCCACAGCTGGTGATGCAGAACAGTCAACTAAGTGCACCTTCTGTAACAGCAAGTCACCGGGTCCGTAAGTGTAGTTCCCCGCCAAGGGAAAGATTAATTTCCATACACCGTAATACGCATTTCATGGAGCAGGAGCTAGACAGGAATTGAGGGGTGTTCTACCAGTTTGATAGGACTCATCGATGAGGCTGCGGATGACCTGCTCTGATCGATGCCGACGCGCGCGCATTGCGAGCGATGCGTTTGGATCATCAGGAAGGGAAGTGATACACGCGTGCTTGGAAAACCGCATCCCAAGGCTTTCCAGATTGTCCTTGTTCTTCGTCCACCAATTATCCATGTTCACGGGGTAATCTTCTAGGCAGGTGACCACAGCTGCGACAGTTACGTCCTGTGCACCGGCGGCAGAGCTGATAATATCGGTGAATATTTTATAATCCCTGATCATTGCTCGCTGGGCCCTCAATCCACTCATGCAATATATTAGAAGGTAGACTCCATCATCTCTGTGCAGCTTCTTGAATGCCTTTTTCAAGCGCCATTTTGAAAAAAGGGTCTGGAAAAAACCCAGGGATTCGATTGACGAAACTTCCCAAAGTTTGAAGCGGCGGAGTCCAAGGCTAATGTTGTAGGCGGTATGCTTGAGTGTGCAGGTTTCTGCATCTGGTGACGTCTGTGCGACTTCTTGTCTCATAATCAAGTTGATGATGGAGCTTTTTCCAACTCCAGTCTTCCCAAAAAGTAACACATTCGAGGGACCCGAAAGGGACTGTCGCATTCAAGGATTAGTATACATGAAACGATGCGCCAGTACACGCTCACCAGAGTCGAGACCGTAGAGGCCTGATGAATTGTTGGATTATAGGGAGCAGCCTGGTTTTGTGGCGCAACGAGAATTCTTGAGGAAGACTGATGTGGCCACGCGGTTAAAATGTCAGCCTAGTTGATATAAATTTAAGTCAAACACAAGCTATCGAATTCATCTGAGGGCTTACTTCGCGTTTGAGAGCATCAGATGCAATTATCTGTTGCGTGTTTACCACGTCCAAGGATGGGATATTATGATGTTCGTGTACCTCGCCAACAAAGACGTACTGTGAGCATGAGAAACTCGGCAATTGCGTGACAAAACTAGTCGTGAACTTACGTCGTCTGTCACAGCCTCCAGTTCGATCTTTAAAAAGTCCATGGCCATCAAGGCAGATGGACGAGCAGATGGATCAACCGACCAACACTGCTCGATCTGACTCCAGCGAGCGTCCGTGACGTGAGACGTCGCATCGGATGTCTCAGGACGCGGGATCTCCTCTCCGCTAAGGATTTTTTGAACGACTTGGTGCTCGTCAATATCATACCAAGGAATGATCAGAGTCAACAACTAGGTTAAACGACATATTGAATATAGGTTTCGGGGCTTAGAATGCGTACACTTACATGAAACATGACACGACCGTAGGAATACATGTCGTTCTGCGTGGTCGGTTTGAGATCGGCAGGGTTACCATGTGGCCTGAGCAACTCAGGCGCAGTCCATCTGATTACACCAGGCCTAACAGTTGATCCTTCAACCACACGATCTTTTAAAGGCCCGCCGAGGACATTCGAAACACCGAAGTCCGTCAGGCAAGCCTTATATTCTCCACCCTGGATATCTACCAAAATGTTGGACTGGATTTTTGAGTGAGCGTAATTTAATGTGAAGAAGATGAACTTACACTCGTAACGTCGCCGTGAACAACGGGAAAAGAGTGAACTAATGGCAAATGTATCAGTCGAAGCAAGAATATCAATGAAAGAAATACAGACGATAGGAAAGCCCAGAAGCTATGCCGTGGAGCTAGTGAGTATTGGTGAATTCAGTTCAGGTCCACTGCAGCTGAACAGTTCTGAGTTACCAGCTTCAATTTGGACCTAATGGTTAATGTAGCACCCTGTTCCGTGATCAGATGGAGCAGCGTGCCGTCCGGAAACCACGGAGAGACCAGGGCTGTGGTTGACCCGAACCCCTCCGTCGTTCCATAAAGTGGGACGATATTGTCGTGGACGAAGCGTGCCCATAATGCAGCTTCTCGTCGAAATCTCTAGCGAATTCACATCTTTAGTGCTCAGGAGTGCTCAGAGCAGAAGACATAAACACTCACCCTTAGGTCCTGCTGTGAGGTGTGAAACCTGAAGGATTTTACTGCAACCTGTAGTGCGATAATGAACAGGCTGATCAGCAAGTCACGCCTGCGCTGCTCATTAGCCAGACCTTGACAGGGCCCGACGGTCGTCTCCATTCACATTTGTAAACGTTTCCGAATGCACCTCCAGCGACATAGTCGTTTATCGTACCGTGGATCTGACCTGTCAGATCTTCCAGTGGGACAACTATGGGACTAAATAAAATGAGGGAACTGAATCAATGAAGACTTGTTCCAGTATGAGTATCCCTACTGAGATAGTGGGATCGGCATGTCGGATGCCTAAGTGAGTTGCATCAGGATCTGCCACTGATTTGGATAGTGGGCTGTCAAACCTGCTGCGTCGCTGTAGTTCTCCTCCGAGTCAAGGACCTTCCTTGGGAGTGGGGTGTTGCAGTATTGGCATTAGCTGAAGCGCTGTGATCCAGAGTCTGTTGACTCATTACACGCCGCAAGCGGGTTGGATGTATGGCATCACCGAAGTGCGGCTGAGATAGGTCGGACATTTGGAGCGTTGTCCGTTGAGTGGTGAATCTATAAAGTCATCAGAATCGAAACCAAATCAAAACAGCAGCTACTAGACTGTTATAACACAGTACTTGAAGCTTAATTTAAGCTCCTTGCAAGTTGTAGCGTGGTGTCATCGTGCTATTGCCCTGTGCCCAATATTAATGATATCATTGGTATAATATTAAGTCGCTGGCACGAGGATGCACTTGAAGGGCTTCAGAAGGGCTTCAAGCGCTAACTTGAAAGCCTGGACCGTTTTGGCAACTTTTAGCAATTTCCGTAGTCGCGGACAACTATAGGACAGTGCACTAGTGACGCTCGATCGATCGAGTGGACACGGGGAGACCCATGCACTGTTCAAACAAGTGTTACTTCGTACAATTAGCTTCTTGTACATGGACATCATCACGCTGAAGAATCACCGTGCAAGAAATCGATGGTCCTCTCAAAATAAACCGCTCTAACCTCTGAGGATCGTAATACGTTCAATCTTGCTCGGAAATGAAGCAGAATGTCTTCACAAGTCTTATGCCTAGCTGATCTACTTTTTGTGATAGGACTGACCTATCCGATCATGATGGCGCTGGAACTGTTCAACTATTTCTCACACAAAATATGCACACATTAGCGTGACTTCCCGTTTTGGTAACACCGCGTGACGACACAATGCTCGAGTTCGCTGTTGAGGACAGCGAGCTCAAACAGTTGCCCAATGCTTCACCCTTTTCACTAGTTCTTGAGAGGGGAAAATTATGACAGATTTATTACCTATAACTAGTCAACTATGCTATTTTAACCATAAATCTTCCATACTTACAATATTCATCCTTTCCTGTCATACATTTATACTGGGCGCTCTGAAGGACTCATTATGGGCTCAATTTGTATAAATATATAACAACTTCTACAAAGCCAGAAGTATCTAATTAGAGTCTAGAAAATACTAAAAAAGCGGTCAGGGTGGGCGGGGAGGAGGAGAAGGCGAGGAAGGAGGGTTGTGGTGTCCAAGAGTAAGCATAGTTAACTAAGTTAACTAACTACAGGTTATTCCTTTTCTCCCTCAAAAGAACTAGTGAAAAGGGTGAAGCATTGGGTAACTATTTGAGCTCGCTGTCCTCAACAGCGAGCTCGAGCATTTTGTCGTCGTGCGGTGTTACTAAAACGGGAAGTCGCGCTAATCCCACAAGCATCCTGATACGTCTCGGCAACGGTACGCGATAAATCCTCTTTTGTGTATGTGTGCATTTTGTGTGTAAAATAGTTGCAACGCCAATTTTGGTGACCGGGCTTGAAAGCCGAGGACGATGACCGAGTCTACTCAAGTCACGATAGGGAAATTATGTAACGATACACTACTGTAATATCAAACTCTGCATATACATGACATTAGCTACTAGCACAGTGTGTCATAAAGGATACGATGATGGTAGTCAAAAATGAAGAAATGAAGCCTTGTAATTTCCACTTGAATCGATTCCGTGACAGCGTAACGTACGTGCAGTGACCCACCAGGGGACCCTCTCCAATATATAAACCATAATGCGCAACCAAGCTTGAAATTTTATTTTCATGAAGAAAAAGCTAGATTGGAACTGACGGGTGTTCGACCCGCTCGATATGAGTCATGAATGAGTTTGCGGATGGCTTGCTCTGATTGATGTCGACGTGCGCGCATTGCGGATGTCCAATTTGGATCATAAGGGAGCGACGTGATACAAGCGTGTGAGGAAAACTGCATCCCGAGGCGTTCCAGATTGTCCTTGTTCTTCGTCCACCAATTGTCCATGTTCGTAGGATAATCTTCCAAGGAGGTGACCACAGCAGCGACGGGTACGCGGCCCGGCCCGGCGGTGGAGCCGACTATGTCAGTGAAATGTTTATAATCACTTAGCAGTGCTCTATGTGCCCTCGATCCCCTCATGCAATATAACAGAAGGTAGACTCCTTCATCTCTGTGCAGCTTCTTGAGTGCCTTTTTCAGGCGCCATTTCTTGAAAAAGGACCGGAAGAAACCCATCGATCCGATTGACGAAACTTCCCAAAGTTTGAAATTGTGGGTTCCAAGATCGACTTCATAGGAAGTATGCGTAAGTGTGCAGGTCCCTCCATCAGGCGACGTCTGTGCAGTATCTCCTCCCATGATCAAGTTGATGATGGAACTTTTCCCAACTCCAGTCTCCCCAAAAAGCAACACATTCAAAGGACCTGTAAGTGACTTGAAAGCGTGGAAGGATTAGTGTACATGAATCAATGTACCAGTAGACGCTCACCAGCGTTGAGGCCGTAGAGAGGAAATGGCGTGTTAGAGAAGTGAGGGCTCGGCTTGGTGACGGAACAAGGGTTGGTGAGGAAGACCGAAACGTTGGTGATGAAGACCGAGACGTCGGTGCTGACATAGTCTGAGCCTAGTTGATAAGTATCGGGTCACTCCAACCACAGGCTGGCGAACTTACCTGGGATGGTACCCTGTGTCTGGGAGGAACAGACGCAGTGATCTGCTCCGCGACCCAGTACGCATTTTGATCAGTTTCCTGTACCCCCACCAACAAGGACATACTGTCAGAGAAACTCGACTCTGCGTGAAGAGACCAGTCATAAGCTTACATCTTGTTTCACAACCTCTAGTTCATTCTTTACGAACTCCATAGCCATGAAGGCAGATGGACGAGCAGAGGGATCGACTGACCAACACTGCTCGATCTGATTCCAGCGGGCGTCCGTGACGTGAGACGTCCCATCGGATGTCTCAGGACGCGGGATCTCTTCTCTGCTAAGGATTTTCTGAACGACTTTGAAATCGTCGATATCATGCCAAGGAATGACCAGAGTCAACAACTGGGGTAGATAATATATTCAATATAGGGTTTGCGGATTTAGAACGCTTACGCTTACATGAAACATGACACGACCATAGGAATACATGTCATTCTGCGTGGTTGGTTTGACTTCGGAAGGGTGGTCGTGTGACCCGAGCAACTCAGGCGCAGTCCATCTGGTTGCGCCAGGCCTGACAGTTGATCCTTCAACCACACGACCTTTGAAAGGCCCGCCGAGGACAATCGAAAAACCGAAGTCAGTCAAGCAAGCCTTGTATTCTCCGTCCTTGAGTTCTACCAAAACGTTGGACTGGATTATTTAGTGAGAGCAATTGAATGTGAAAAGGAAAGCTCACGCTCGTGATGTCGCCGTGAACAATGGGAAAAGAGTGGACTAACGGCAAATTTGTTAGTTGAAGCAAGGAACCATGAAGGAAAAACGGACGATAGTAGAGCCCGGATGCTATGCCGTGAAGCTAGTGAAGAATTCAATTTAGGTCCCTTGCAACTAAACAAGTTTAAGTTACCAGCTTCAGTTTGGACCTGATGGTCAATGTAGCACCCTGTTCCGTGATCAGACGGAGCAGCGTGCCGTCCGGAAACCACGGAGAGACCAGGGCTGTGGTTGGCCCAAACCCCTCTGTCGTTCCATAAAGTGTGACAATATTGTCGTGGACGAGGTGAGCCCAGATTGCAGCTTCTCGTAGAAATCTCTAGTGAATCCACATGATTAGTGCTCAGTAGTGCTCAGAGCAGAGGAAATATACACTTACCCTTAAGTCCTGCTCTGAGGTGTGATACCTGAAGCATTTTACTGCAACCTGTAGCGCAATAATGAAAGGACTGATCAACAATTTATGCCAGCACTGCGCACATGGCAGACCTTGACAGGACCCGATGACTGTCTCCATTCACATCTGTAAACATTTCCGTATGCACCACAAGCGACATAGTCGTTTATCGTACCAAAGATCTGACCTGTCAGATCCTCTGCCAGGGGTAATGTGGGACTAAAGAAAACGAGGGAACTGAATCAATGAAGGCTTATTCCAGTACGAGTATCCCGTACTTATAGACTTTTGTATTCCCCATGAGATTCCCTGCGCTCTGTTGAGTCGAATGATAGTGATCAGCTTGATGAATAGTGTCGGAATGAGCTGCTGGCCTCCTCGAGGATTCTCCTTGGGAGGTACGGGGTGTTACAGTACTGACATTGGCTGAAGTGCTGTGACTATTCGCGTCCCTAGATATTGAGCGGGGTGAGTGCACATTACCGGAACGTGGTGGCTGATGTGATAGTGGGTCGGACATTTAGTGTGTTGTCCGTTGAGTGTGAGTCATAAGAATCGAAACGGTCGCTACTAGTCTAATATAATACGATACTTGAAGCTTAGTTTAAGCTCCAAGTTGTAGCGTGGTTTGAGCGTGGTGATGCCATGCCCTGTGCCCTGTGCCCATTGCCCATTATTGGCATTGCTTCATACTCAGCATAGCGCTGAGTATAATATTGTAACTCCTCCAGCCTGAAAGGCTAAAGAAGGGCTTTGAGCGCTACAGCACAGGCTGGCAAACGCAATCGCGAACAACCATGACCTCGATCGATCGAATGGACACGGGGAGACCTACGTTCAAAACGTGTGTTAATTTGTACGATTAGCTTCTCATGCATGGTTTGGGGAACTGGCCTTAGTAAATCCTTGGTAGATCCTCATCAACAAAACAACACGAAACATATATGGTCAGGTGATGCCTTGTAACGCCTATACTGTATACTTACACACCGGCAGTTTGCGAGTTTTCCACAGGTCAATTTTATTCAAGACGTTGACATGTTTATACAAAATGTGCACACCACCAACCACAGCTATTGAGTCGGTTACATAGTTATTTACATAAATATTGTAATTTGCGGTCTCACAGAAACAGAAAATTAAAAGTAGATCTCGGAGCGGAGCATCCTAGCGCAAGGGAGTAGCAATAGGACCTGCTGGTCAAGTGCGTGGGAGAGGCAGGAAGAAATGATAATAGACTGCCAAGCGGCTAAGAGCGGGATGCAGGAGCACCCGTTTGTGGTGTTCGAAAGAGACGCAAAAAGCACCTGGTAAGAATCGTCAAGCAGCCAATCTCCGGGACACGTCCAGTATCTAGGGGGGTAGCGGGTCCGCTTGTCACAGCACAAGCATCTGTACTTGTGGTCTGCAAGGTCGCAGGCGTGGCTGCACCGACCGCATTAGATGTCCCGGCACCAGTCTCGGAAGTGTGGGCCCGCCGACGGGGAGGACGCTGTACTAAATGCCTTTTCCCACTGATGGCATTAGCGGTGCGCTGTACGACAACGTTACCATCGAGGGGTGGACGTCAAAAGCTCGGAAAACTTACATATTTACCTCGTGTTGCAGAGACATTCACGATGGGAATCCTGCGGGGGCAGGGAGAACGATCCCGAGGAACGGAAGAGCGAGAGAAGAGATGGTTCACGATGTTCTTAATGCGGAAGCCTTTGGGAAGATGCTGCGAAGTGGTGCGGTTGTTGCGTTGAGGTGGAGAACGCGCATCAGACTGAAGCATAGTTAGACGGGCATATGTGCTGCAACATGGGGACTCGCATAATCAAAGAACCCATGAGGGAATTCAGAGTCTTCTAAGCCTGGAATAGCCTCCTGGGTGAGAGCAGACTGTACGGCATGTCAACATGAAGCACCCCATGATGGGAGAATGCGCTTGCCTGGGACTCCTGCTCTGATTTACTCTGAGGGACTGCCCATGTGCGGATCAGCTTGTCATCGCAGCCAGTGGCGACGAGCTGGCTGTCCTTCGAAAAAGCCACACAGTACACAATGTCAGGGTGCTCAAGTGGCTCGCCGATGGGTTCGAACGTGGTCAAGTCGAAGAACCGCGTTGTCTTGTCGTTTGACGTGGTGGCAAACTTGTTGCCATTGGGGGCAATGGCCAACGATTCGATGGCACTGGTGTGCGCGGCAAACTCTTTGATGATGTGTCCGGTGGTAGCATCTGATATTCGGATGTTGTGGTAGTCTCCACTGACGAGACGGCAACCATCTTGAGTGAATGCAATTTGCCGTGCCCGTTGTTCTATCTTCAATAGCTCTTCTCCATTTAGTGAGTTCCAAACGATGATATGCTCTTCAGCGCCTGCTGCTAGTCGGCTCCCGTCAGGGGAGTACGACACCGAGTATGCTTCACTGTCTACTAGGAGTGGTCCGAGGACAATTTGGCCTGTCTCCCTCTTCCACACGCAAACTGTTTCGTCATCTGATGCACTTGCAAATGTCTCGCTGTCTGGTGCGAATACGACGCTGTGAACACGCTTCTCATGACTCTTGAATGAGACTGGCACGCTTGTGTTTGTTGCAACTTCCCAGGCCAGGATGCTTCCGTTTAACGCCCCACTCACAATCCACCGTCCGTCGGAGGACGTTGCGACCGCCAAGACTCGGTCATGGTGACCAGACAGGGGCTCTCCTACTTGTTCTCCCTTATCTAGATCCCATATGAGAAGACTATTGGCGTAAGAGCAAGTGACTAGCAGACGGGTACCAGGGATGAAGGCTACGCCTCTCGCCCAGCCTGGTGTTCGACCCGCTCGATGAGAGTCATAAATGAGATTGCGGATGGCTTGCTCTGATCGATGTCGACGTGTGCGCACTGCGGATGGCGCATTTGGATCATCGGGGAGCGACATGATACAAGCGTGTGAGGAAAACTGCATCCCGAGGCGTTCCAGATTCTCCCTGTTCTTCGTCCACCAATCGTCCATGTTCGTGGAATAATTTTCCAAGGAGGTGACCACAGCGGCGACAGGTACGCGGCCCGGCCCGGCGGTGGAGCCGACGATGTCAGTGAAATGTTTATAATCGCTTGGCAGTGCTCTCTGTGCCCTCGATCCCCTCATGCAATATAACAAAAGGCAGACTCCTTCATCTCTGTGCAGCTTCTTGAATGCCTTTTTCAGGCGCCGTTTTTCGAAAAAGGACCGGAAGAAACCCATCGATTCGATCGACGAAACTTCCCAAAGTTTGAAATCGTGGGTTCCAAGATCGACTTCGTAGGAGGTATGCGTGAGTGTGCAGGTCGCTCCATCTGGCGATGTCTGTGCAGAATCTCTCCCCGTGATCAAGTTGATGATGGAGCTTTTCCCAACTCCAGTCTCCCCGAAAAGCAACACATTCAAAGGACCTGTAAGTGACTTGAAGCGTGGAAGGATTAGTGTACATGAATCAATGTACCAGTAGACGCTCACCAACGTTGAGACCGTAGAGAAGAGATGGTGGGTTGGGGCAGTGGAGAATGAGGCTTGGCTTGGTGACGACGGAACAAGGGTTCGCGAGGAAGAACCAAATGCCCGTGTTGGCATAATCTGAGTCTAGTTGGTCAGAATTGAATGACTTCAACCACAGGCTAACGAATTTACATGGGATTTTACCCTGGGGCTGGGAGGGACAGACGCAGTTATCTGCTCCGTGACCAGGTATGCGGTTTGATGACTTTCCTGCACACCCCCAACAAAGACATCCTGTCAGAGTCAGAAACTCGACTCCTGCGTGAAGAGATCGGACTTGAGCTTACATCTTGTTTCACAGCCTCCAGTTCTTTCTTTACGAACTCCATAACCATGAAGGCAGATGGACGAGCAGCGGGATCAACTGACCAACACAGCTCGATCTGATTCCAACGAGCGTCCGTGACGTGAGATGTCGCATCGGATATCTCAGGACGCTGGATATCCTCTCCGCTCTGGATTTTCTTAACGACTTGGTAAACGTCGATATCATGCCAAGGAATAACCAGAGTCAACAACTGGAACAAATGATATATTAAATATAGGTTTTGCGGACTTGGAACGCTTACGCTTACATAAAACATGATACGACCATAGGAATACATGTCGTTCTGGGTGGTCGGTTTGAGATCAGAAGGGTGATCATGTGGTCTGAGCAACTCAGGCGCACTCCATCTGACTGCACCAGGCCGAACAGTTGATCCTTCAACCACTTTGTCTTTTAAATGTCCACAGAGGACATTTGAACAACCGAAGTCCGTCAGGCAAGCCTTGTATTCTCCACCCTTGAGATCTACCAAAACGTTGAACTAGATGATTTAGTGTGCAACTGGATGTGAAGAGGACAATCTCACGCTTGTGATGTCGCCGTGAACAATAGGAAACGAGTGAACTAACGGTAAATTGATTAGTTGAATCTAGACAGCCACGAAGGGAAGACAGACGATAGTAGAGCCCGGATGCTATGCAGTGAAGCTAGTGAAGAATTCAGTTTAGGCTCCTTTCAATTAAACAAGTTTGAGTTACCAGCTTCAATTTGGACTTGATGGTCAATGTAGCACCCTGTTCCGTGATCAGATGGTGCAGCGTGCCGTCCGGAAACCACGGGGAGACCAGGGCTGTGGTTGGCCCAAACCCCTCTGTCGTTCCATAAAGTGTGACAATATTGTCGTGGACGAGGTGTGCCCAGATTGCGGCTTCTCGTCGAAATCTCTAGCGAATCCACATGGTTAGTGCTCAGTAGTGCTCAGAGCAGAAGAAGCACTTACCCTTAAGTCCTGCTCTGAGGTGTGATACCTGAAGGATTTTACTGCAACCTGTAGCGCAATAATGAAAAGGCTGGTCAGCAAGTTATGCCAGCACTGCGCACATGGCAGACCTCGACAGGACCCGACGGTCGTCTCCATTCACATTTGTAAACGTTTCCGAATGAACCTCCAGCGACAAAGCCGTTTATCGTACCAAAGATCTGACCTGTCAGATCCTCTGCCAGGGGTAATGTGGGACTAAAGAAAACGAGGGAACTGGATCAATGAAGGCTTCTTCCAGTACGAGTATCCCGTACTTATAAACATTTGTATTCCCCATGAGATTCCCTGCGTCTTGTTGAGTCGAATTATAGTGATCAGCTTGATGGATAGTGTCGGAATGGGCTGCTGGCCTCCTCAAGGATTCTCCTTGGGAGGTACGGGGTGTTGCAGTATTGACATTGGCTGAAGTGCTGTGACTATGCGCGTCCCTAGATATCGAGCTCGAGCGGGGTGGGTGCACATTACCGGAACGTGGTAGCTGATGTGGGTCGGACATTTAGTGTGTTCAAGTTGTCCGTTGAGTGTAAGTCATAAGAATCGAAACAGCCGCTACTAGTCTAAATAATACCATACTTGAAGCTTAGTTCAAGCTCCAAGGCGTGGTTTGAGCGTGGTGTCAACCAGTGCATGCCCTGTGCCCTTTGCCCATTATTAGCATTGCTTCATACTCAGCATAGCGCTGAGCATAATATTGTAACTCCTCCAGAAAGCTGAAGAAGGGCTTTGAGCGCTACAGCACAGAGCTTTGCCAAGTGGCAAACGCAATCGCGAACAACCGTAACCTCGATCGATCGAGTGAACACGGGGAAACCTACGTTCAAAATGTGTGTTGATTAGCTTCTCGTGCATGGGTCAGGGACCTGGCCTTAGTAGATCCTTGGTAAATCCTGTATGACTCTAAGCCGAACAAAGTTCATATGAGATCGTTGTTTGGCAAACAAAGCGAATGGCTATTAGTAGCTAGACCGATTGATACGGTAGTCTCACGTGCTGAGTATTGTTGCTACGCAAGAGCAATACAGGCTTGACTTTCTGCTACTCAGCTGGCTGCTCCGGGCTCACGACTTTCGTTTGTTTCCTAGTCTTTCATTTCTGACCACTCTTTATTATCTCCAGATCCCGAAGCACCGTTCTGCGTGTACAAGTCAGTCTTTTTTTTCCGGAGAGAAAGCTATGGCGGCTAGGTTCGCACCACAGCCTACGTACGCATCTGCAGATGTCCCAGTCCCCACAAACCGTCCACCTCTACCAACGGGTACCACTATACGCCGTGCAAAAACCCTCACTCGCCCGGAGCGAAGTGTTGCACCAGTACCTCTCATTAATCCCCAGTCTTCACTCGCCCCTTCCGCATCAGGTACCATTCAAGCCGGCTCCCAGAGCAGTAGTTTCGACCCATGGCGCTTGTTCGCTCAGGTCATTACTTTCTGGGCTCCATCCTTTTTGCTTCGCTCTGTCGGCGGACTCAAAGACAAGGGCAAAATCCAGGCTTGGAGAGAGAAAATCGCCCTATGTTTTATCATCGCTATCCTATGTCTCATCGTTGGCTTCATCACCGTTGGCACGCAGAAGGTTTTGTGTCCGGTTTCATCTAGCATGAACCCCTCGCGATATTCAACTCTTGGCTCAGTCCCCGGTACACTGAGCATACTCGGTATCTTATACAATGTCACCCAAGCCAAGAGTCCTTCAAGTGTGAACCTTGATCAGCTCACCCTTAAAGAGCCAGGACAGGATATTACTCCCTATTTCTATCGCACCGCCGGCCAATATTCCGCATGCCAAGGTCTCAATTTCCGTGTCGCCTCAGACCAACCGTGTTCCTCTACAACGGAATGCCCTCTTGGTCCAATCAACGCCTCTTCCACCTTTACACAACTCAATATACAGGAGACAACACTTCTGCTTGGTTACGACTGGGACCAAGTCGCTGCCCTCCCAAATTACTTTGTGATCGACGGTGCTGTGCTAAACATGAATCCCTATATGACACAACATCCCAACGCAGTAGCTTCTGACGCTGTAGACCTCGCAATCCGCACCATCCTGAAAACGCAGGCGAGCTCTAGTGGAAAGGATGGTACCCGTCTATTTTACAACCGTGCCGACATCCTTACAGCAGTCCCATGCCTCTATGAGCGATACTACGCAGGAAACATTGCCAAAATCACCCCCGGCTGTTTCGTCAGCTCGCTCTTCCTATATGTAGGACTCATCGTCATCCTTGCCCTCGTCCTCGTCCGCTTTGCAATGGCGTGTGTGTTTAGCTGGTTCCTATCCGCGAAGCTTGCAGGTCCCCCGGATAAGTCGCATCTCAACAGGTCGGCAATCAGTCCGGCGGTGATGCCTGGGGGTGCAAATGTTTCAGTTGACAACCGCACGGGTACGGCACCATGGGCTGGCCCTCATGGGTCGAAGAAACTCGTCAAGGCAATTCCTACCCGCCTCCCTGCATCTTCCAGTACAACCCTATTACCCGAGGCAGCACCTGTCATGTCTCTCACACAAATTGGCACCGAGTTGTTCGCCATCTGCCTCGTAACGTGCTACTCCGAGGGTGAAGACTCTATACGCTCCACGCTGGATTCCATTTCGCGGACGACTTACTCTGACGCACGCAAGCTGCTTTTTATTGTGGCCGATGGCATGATCACTGGTGCAGGAGAGAAGATGAGCACGCCAGATATTTGTGTGGGATTGTTGGATGCAGATCCTCGCTTTGGCAATCCGATGCCTATGAGTTATCTTGCGATTGGTAGTGGAATGAAACGCGAAAACAGGGCAATGGTCTATGCAGGACACTACAGTACGTCTTCATTTCTTCGCTCAAGGGCCTGATGCTAAAGAACATCGACAGCGGTTGCTGGTCGTCGTACACCCACTGTCATTGTTGTCAAATGCGGAACTGAGGCGGAGGCTACCAGTGACAAAAAGCCCGGCAACCGTGGCAAGCGAGACAGCCAGCTTATTCTGATGAACTTTTTCTCTCGCGTCACATATAACGACCGGATGACCCCTCTTGATTTCGACTTGTTCCGGAAAATCCATACCCTGATGGGTGTTACGCCTGACTTCTTTGAGGTCTGCTTGATGGTCTGTGTACATCTACTACTTTGCCTTCGTGTATTGATGTATCTGCAGGTTGATGCCGATACCAAAGTATACCCTGAATCGCTGAAATACCTCGTCAACTGTATGCACCACGACCAAATGATCATGGGCGTCTGCGGGGAGACTCGCATAGCTAACAAACGTGATTCCTGGGTCACCGCCATCCAAGTCTTCGAATACTTCATCTCCCACCACTTAGCCAAAGCCTTCGAATCCGTCTTTGGTGGTGTTTCATGTCTGCCAGGATGTTTCTCCATGTTTCGGTTGAAAGCCCGCAAAACGACGGGCGACGACTGGATCCCTCTCATCGTCAAGCCTGAAATTGTACGCGAATACAGTCAAAGCGAGGTCACCACACTTCACCAACAGAACCTTCTTCTACTCGGAGAAGATCGCTTCCTCACCACCATCCTCCTTCGCACATTCCCCAATCGCAAGATGATGTTCTTACCCCAAGCCAAATGTCGCACTGTTGTACCCGATACTTTCAAAGTTCTCCTCTCCCAGCGTCGTCGGTGGATTAACAGCACGATCCACAATCTGATGGAACTTGTTCTTGTGCGCAACCTATGCGGGACGTTCTGCTTTAGCATGCAATTCGTGGTCTTCATGGATCTGGTTGGGACGGTCGTACTGCCTATTGCCATTGCGCTGACGTATGCGCTCATTGGGGGTATGATCATGCAACCCCCGACGACCTTCGAGGAAGCTATCCCGTTGATGCTGCTTGTATCTGTACTGGGTCTACCCGCCGTGCTGATATTGATAACAACGAGGAAGGTTGTATATGTGTTCTGGATGATTATATACCTCGTGGCGCTTCCGGTGTGGAATTTCATCCTTCCGGTGTATGCATTTTGGCATTTTGATGACTTCTCATGGGGAGAGACGAGGTATGTTTCGTTTCATGTATGTAGTGGCTGCAGTGCTAACGGATACGTTGCAGAAAAGTGGAAGGGGAGGCAAAGGGAGAAGGGCATGGGGCTGGCTCTGGCACCTTCGATGGTTCCTCTGTTCCTCTTCGTCGCTGGGAAGATTGGGAGCGCTCACGTTTGCGCAAACTCAAGCGTGAGGAACGGCGGCGGCGCGACTTTGATCGTATGCACCCATCAGGGTACATCTCTTCCGAAAACGACCTGCTCAGCGCACGCAGTGAAGCCCGCAGTCAATACGGTGACGGATCAGACACGCATTCCGTCGTATCATCCGAGGACGATCATTACGGCCCGCAGATTGGTGGATACAACGAGAACCATGCTCAGTTCCCCGCTCCGCCTGTCGGCCTGTATGTGTCCGGGAATGGGGCGGGTGGGAATAAAGTGGTTGGCGGTGCGGAGTTAGAGGCGATGCTTGAGAGTGGGTTTGATGATGATGAGAGCCCGCAACAGACGCCTACGAGCGCGATGTACGCCACGCGGTATCAGCTCAGTGATAACCCATCACAACAACGTCTCATGTCCTACGCGTCATCCGACTCGGGCTCACGAACGCCTCCCACACAGCATCAGCCGTACGGCTTACGAATAGAGGACCGGAATCGCACCGGTGAGAAGTATGGACCGCTTGGCCCGTTAGATCCAGGAGAGAAATTTTAGACCGGGACGCTTGTTTTGCTCAAGGACGGTATCTCATTCGATGTTTCAATTCATACAAACTGCACATACTTGATTATTGTGTGGGTTTTTATACGTATCTCATATTGTTTACCCACAGGGTGCTTCGCTATAGTTGGTACAACATGGTAGATACCATAATCATTGACACATTGCTGTTTACTATATTCTCTACGAATACGTGAAGCAGATTCATAGGACTCATCGTGTACATATGCATGGCCTTGTGGTTCATTTTTGCTTGTCGCTCAGAATTGATAGTCGCTAAATTCTATACAGTATATCTCGTGAAAATGGAACGAAATACAATATTAAATTGCACAGTTTCGTTATGAGTGAATTCGTAGATCGTATACAACACCGCTAAATGCGACCGTATTCAATGTCCCTAGGGAAATGAAACCCCTTGGCTTCTCCTCCTTGACGGCTGCATCATTTCCTTCTTGTAGATCGCGCTTGCAAAGAGTTATCAGACAGCAGAGCTGCAGCCTCTGCGTTTAGCTTCGAACGCACGACCTGCACCAATTCAAGCAGAGCCCATTGCTTCGCGGAGATCTATGATAGCGAGACCATAGATTAGAAGATCGCATACATCATTGGCAAGCGGGCGGCACCGCGCGACGCCGTCTTCAAGTTGTTCGTCGATTTGACCCAAATTTCTTAGCAGAAATCATCCAAAGCCGTCTAAACCAATGGGCCACTTTCGAATATTGCTAACCAGACTATTGTTGAGTAACCAAATGATGAGGCAAAGATGTCAACACCACATACCTTTCATATGTTTGCCTCGAGAAGACTTTGACTTCAGCGTCGACAATTCGGTGTTCCCTACAAGGAATCTCGCAAACCTTCGCGATGGAAAGTCATTCACTTAGTCCGCCTACAGTCACTGTCGTTATTTTGGAATCACCTGTGATTCTTCTGAGATCTTCGCCATGGCTAGCCAAGATCTGTCCAGTGGTCACCGAGTGCGACATACACTGAGTAATTGAATTTTGAACATATGATTAACCGGAGCCCTTCTGATTCGAACATTTTGGCGCGAGTTCTAGAAGACGTCTGGCAGGATTGTGACAGTCGTTCCTCGCAGGTCGCACTGCGAGTCTGAGACCTCGATGAATAAATTTCATTATCATATACCCCGCATGTCTGCTTACATCAGCAAAGTTGGGGTTGGACCTTAAACGCCTCGCTGGCTTATACTTGGCTTAAACTTGGCTTGCATGCAACTTGCACGAATGTTTTACTGAGTCTGAATTAAACCGAGCCTCGGACGAGTCTGGCCGAACTTTCCCCTGTTCTATTGGCTATACGAACATGTTTGATCAATTTCACAGGTCTGGTCTTGGTAGAAAAGCAATGCCTTGACTCTATTCCTCCTCGCTTCTTTTCTCTGTCTGTCGAAAGCGACGCAGCGTCCGGTTCATAGCATCCCTATTCGCAGAAGGGCCTTCGGCATCTGCAGCTTGCTTATTCGCAGTCTTTGTTGCATTTAATTTTTTTGCCTCATCCCTCGCCTTAATCTATCAAGGACAGATCTGCCTGACGCAGAGCTAATAAACGCGCCTTTCGTTTATTAAAATGGAACGGCGTTTAGTTGTAGACAGCACAACTTCGGAGAAGTATATGCGAGTAGCAGCCATCTCCATCGCATTTTACGAGTAAGCCTTTCCTTTCTGTGTAGCAGCCCCGCAGTCGTCACTGATTATATTCAGTTATGTTATTACACTCCCCGCAGAATGGCGCTTTTACCGAAGCCAATCGTCATTTTTTCATATAAGGCATGTGTACGCGTGCATTCACAAATCACTATTGACAACCTCGATTTCCATCAGCCTTGCCTGCGCCTTATTCATTCTCATACGGTACGTTTAGTCCTCATTCCATCGTGTGTGTGTTTTTGCTCACATTCCATGCAGCTATTTTAGTATCTTGGCTATAGTACTTAGCAATTACGGATACTTCTCCACCGCGTTTACTCTCCGGACGTGTCGACAATACTATCTTGTGGCGCCTGTCTTCAAAGGTCTGTCCTATTGGTGTTTACCCGCCAGGACTCTATTGACCACTGGCACGCTGTAGCCGTACAAACTATGATATCGCAGGTCATTCTAGGTGTCAGGTTTGTCCTGTCAATTTTTTGTGGGTTGCAACTGCACAGACTTAAAACACCGAGTAGGACATTCAATATCGCAAGAAGAGATAGACGGATAGGAATCGCACTATTACTATTATACCTCTTCTCGATTGCGGTAGGCCCTAGCAACAGACATGATATCCTGTCTCTTATTCGTTTTAGGCAGAGTGGTTTTCAGACCTATTTCACCGCATCCGTAAGCACTGGCTTATAACTTAAGAATCGCATTGACCTTTAGAACTAACAGCTGTTATGGTTGATGTACGTCTGTGTTCCTTACAACGAAATCTCATGCAAACGATGTCCTTTTTAGGGAAAGTAAGTAATTTCTCTACTACCAGTCTGGTCTGTTCAGATCTTCATGAACCATAGCTGCACCTCAGCAAATGCTGGAAAAATATTGTCAACCTGGTTCTACTACCTTGCCGTGATGATTTATGACATCGTGATGGTAACAGTATCTACCATGCATCTTCTGCGTTATAATCCTCTCAGTAGCAGGTGTGCCTTTTCTCTCCCGTGTTTAGGGTCGCTAAATCATTGCTATCAGAGTAGAACGGCTGATACGGGTGTAAGTCCCTCACCACTGGCAGAGTCGATGCGTGTCGCTCATCATACTTAGCCTGATCTATGACGGCATTGGATATTTCGTCGTGTTGTCCGGCAAGTACGCTCTGCTTGTGATGAGCGCCCTCCTAACTTTCCCTCAGCGGCGAACGTATTGAACCTCATCCTTTATCATACGACCAACATCGAGACTCAGGTACGTAGGCTTAATTAATTATGGATACATCATTAAAACTCAGCTCGATTGTATCGACTCTCTCCTATGATTAGTCGGCAGGGTAAGCTTCGCATTGTCTGGCGTCAAAGATGTCGCTCAGAATGCATCATTAGGGCATCAATTGGTTATGCTGTAACGTGGATCATGAGTCAACGGATCCTCATCAATATACGAGGTGCGCACCACTCCAGAGCTTGACTGCTATTCCGCTAACGCTCGCAATATTCATTCGCTCCGTTGCTTCCGCTCCACTCACCCGCACTTGCAAAGGAATGTCAGAGCCAAGCACCCAACGCTTGGAAAATGTGATCGTCGCGCGCTCCACACTTTCTGCGCAGAAAAAAGCGATGTCCGGTCTCCGCACACAATTCGAGTCTAAGAGCCACTCCAAAAGCTCTAAAGGCCCCATCGATGCAGAATTCGGGCCCACGTCTCCTCACAGTGGGCATTCCAACGACATGGAACTCGGTGTACGCGTACACGTCGAGCGCTCGGTGGTGGTAGACTACATGGATGAATCTGAGCATTCGAGTTCGTGGGGGCCACCGAGGGCTAAATGATTCTGAGGCACTGATGCCTAACAAGCATAACAAAGGATGGAATGACTATGTGCTACGGGAGACTACCCAACATGCGATATTCACGTATATATACCTACCCGGTGCTACTATCAAAATCTCAGAGCTTCTTACTCCCAGGTTGTCTCCGTTCAAAACAAAGATGCGCATATCCGGTGAGCTGTTCAAGCTTTGCTGCTGCTGGCTGAATTGTGTTTGTAGCCATCGCTGCTTACTTCAAGAAACATTCAGTGAATTAATGGCGGAACATCATTATGCGTGAATTTGTAGACCATTTCCAATGATGCTAATCGCGACGGATTCAACCCTGTCCCCAGGACAGCTAAGCTCAGTTCCTCCTTGGAGGCATTATGAGCCGCGACATTCCCTTGTTGGCGGGCGGGATTCTTGCCGCCATCAAAAATCATTGTCAAGGCATCATCAGGCAGCAGAGCTGCATCTTCTGCTTTTAACTTCGAACGCACACTCCGCACCAGTTCACCCAGAGCCTCCTGTCGCTTCTGGCCACTAGTACTGTGGCTTCCAAGCCGAACATCGCTGATAGCGAGATCGTAGCGGTTGATGAGGATATCACGAGCATCGTCAAGCACCACGCGACGATGAAGAGCATGAAGCATCAGGGATTGCTGGAGTAATAAATCAGTAAGGATTGCAAGTTGCTGAAATTGATCACTCACAGCTTCGAGCCGTTTTATCCTGTCGTCTTGTTCCCTAAGTTTGCTGGCTTGTTCCTTAAGTTCGCTGGCTTGTTCCCTAAGTTTGCTGGCTTGTTCCATAAGCTCACTGGCTTGTTCCCTAAGCTCACTGGACTGTTCGTGCAGATCCCCGGCGCATATTATCCAGAGCCTCCTGAATCGAGGAACGCATCAGTCACTGATACGTGCGCCACTGAACCACCTACATCTACTGCTCAGTAATCAAATGACGAGGCGAATATGTCGACGCCGCCTAAGGCCTTCCTTTTTGTTGTCTCGGCAAGTTTTCAACTCTGCCTTCAGCTCCGATAATTCTTCGTCCCGTACAAGAATGTCGACAACTTGAATTTCACATGCATTGACTTGTTTGGTTGTCGGCTCGTACATGACCCCCAGTTATTTACATTCGATCTGTTGCAGATCTGGGCTAAGTGCAGATGCGCATCGGCGAGCAGACTCGAGCTCGTGACCATGCGAGAAAATCTCTGACCGTTCCATGTATGGTATTTGAGTGATGTAGTAATAGTGTACAGTGTATATGTCTCGTGAAAGACAGCAACATATGAAGATTTTCTAGATCTCCTGTGGGTGCAATTTCGGAACTTCGTTATGCGTAAATTTGTAGACCATTTCCAATGACGCCAATTGCGACGAATTCAACCCTGTCCCTAGGACAGCTAAGCTCAGTTCCTCCTTGGAGGCATTATGAGCCGCGACATTCCCTTGTTGGCGGACGGTATTCTTGCCGCCATCGAAAATCATTTTCAAGGCGTCATCGGGAAGCAGAGCTGCATCTTCTGCGTTTAACTTCGAACGCACACTCCGCACCAATTCACCCAGAGCCCCTCCTCGCTTCCGGCCAGTAGCTCCAAGTCGAAGATCGCTGATAGCGAGACCGTAGCGGTTGATGAGGACATCACGAGCCTCATCGAGTACCACGCGACGATGGAGAGCATGAAGCGTCGTGGATTGCTGGAGAAATAAATCAGTAGGAATTGCAAGTTGCTGAAATTGATCACTCACGCGGTTCAGGGTGGCCGTTGTCTGTGCGTTTGAAGCTTCGAGCCGGTTTATCTTGTCACCTTGTTCCGTAAGTTTGCTGGCTTGTTCTGAAAGTTTGATGGTTTGTTCCGAAAGTTTGCTCGCTTGTTCCGTAAGTTTGCTGGCTTGCTCTGTAATTAAACTAGACTGTTCGCGCAAATCCCGGCGCATATCATCCAGAGCCTTCTGAATCGAGGAACTGTCAGTCGCTGATATGTATGCCACTGAACCACCTATGGCGATTGTTGAGTAATTGAATGACGAAGCGAATATTTCAACGTCACCTACCTTTATTTTTGTTGCCTCGGGAAGTTTTTCTCTCTGCCTTCAGCTCTGACAATTCTTCGTCCCGTACAAGAATGTCTGCGGACATCCGAGAGCTGTTTTCCTTGTTCTCGTTCACCAGTGCGCGAAATGCGTGTGATTTCGGCATTTTAAATAATACAGTAAAGGTCCGGTCCAATGGCGCAGGGATGGATAGACTTGTTATTGGTTCCAAGACACAGTCACTAGTGAGCGGATTGGATGCTGTATGAGATAGGCACAATCGATAAGTAAGGTATGATTAGGTATTATCGGATAAAATGCGAACCTATAAAGAACTCTAGATCTTCCAATACGATGGGGTTTTTTGGGTCGAAGAGGGTGTTGTACTTTGCGGAAAGTCGTTCACTTAGTACTATAATGATTTGTTGAAATGTGGCGTCTCGGTTCACCCAAACCGTGCATGACAAACTTTCGGGGTCCATGAGGACCCCAGTTATTGCTACTTGTCTATCTGAGCGAGACATGAATATTGTGAAAGGGTCGACTCAGACTGGCGAGAAACTGGAAAAGGCTGAAGTTGCAAGGTTCGAGAGAGGGGGATGTCTTTCAACCAAATTTTATACTGCGGCAATACAGCATCCCACGAGGCTTGTTATCAAGAGCCGCTGCCTCAAATATTGTAACTCAAATCCGATAATCACGATGGATATTCATTGATCAACCTCACCTTAACGCACTCTCTCCGAGTCAGTAAGTACAAATTGGCACGAATCCCAAACATCTTGGTCGCATTGTAGAATGAATTGATGCTAAGGGGATGCTACTCATCTCACATGCAACTCGTTGTCACGATCTGATGGAATTGGTTCTGGGGCGCAATCTATGCGGGCCATTTTGTGTTAGCATGCAATGCGTGGTCCCTACGGACCCGGCCACCACCTTCGAGGAAGCGATTCCGGTGATGCTTCTATGTCGGGTCAGACCGTCTAACTGTCATGCTGATATTTATATCAACGAGGAAGATCGTTTGTGTTATGGTGTTCGTGGCACTTCCCCATGCCCAGGCACAAACAGGCGGAACGGGGAACTGAGCCTGGCTCTCGTTACCCGCTAATGTGCGGGTTCCATGATGATCATCCTCGGATGATGCGACGGAATGCGTACGATCCGTCACCATATTGACCGTGCGTGCTAAGCATGTCATTTTTGGAAGAGGTGTACCCCCGGTGCGTGCGTGCGCCCAAAGTTCCGCCGCCGCCACTCCTCACGGCGCTAGAGTTTGCGCAGGCGTGCCGCGTGAACGCTCCCAATTTTCCCAGCAGCGGAGAGGAACCGGGGAGCCATTGCAGGTGCCAGAGCCAGCACCATGCCTCTCTATTTGCCTTCCCTCTACAGTCCTGTGATGCATGCGATAGTACCGTAGCAATCACTTGCACGAAACGGAATGCATCAGAAGTCATCAAAATGACAGAATGCATACACGGATCATACTTCTCACCGGTGCGACTCGGATCTTTAAGTCGTGTGCGGGGTGTGTGTGTTAGCCCGGGTCGGGTTATCACTAAGCTGACTCGGATAGTGTTGCGCACATCGCGCTCGTGGGTGTCCGTTGGGGGCTCATCCAGCTCCGCACCGCCAACCGTGACCTTATCTCATCCGCGGTGTACAATTGATTTCCCGCTGGGCCCATTAGATCCAGGAAAGAAGTTTTTGGGACGCTTGTTCGTTCGATGTTGTATATCATGTCAAGTATGTTTACGCACAGGGTGCTCGCTATAGAGTTGGTGTGAAATGATAGATAGCCTCGGCCCTCTATAATCACTTGAATTGTGCTGTTCACTTACTTGTTAGTTACGAGCGCCATCATATCGTTTCAGGCTATAAGTAGGCCAACGGCTGCGGGCTGATAATTATATCTCATAGCCGGATCACATACTAGTATGTGGTTGATAGATGGGAGCTTGAACGGAGCCAAACTTTAGCATGGTTCACGACCAGGCTGCATTTGATTCAGAACCATGCTCTGTAGCGAATAGTACAGCCGCGGGCCTTCGTCAGGGTTCAATATTTTCGATGATCATCCAAAACCTAGCTACTCATCAGTATTCCATCCTTTCCACTTAAATCCCCGCTGTAATCCCCAGTCATGACGTCCATCCTCGTGGAAAGTATTACTGCCCCACCTCCTGCGCTGTCTCATCCCACTGTCCTTCTGAAGCACCCACAAGCACAGCCGAAATTGCTTATTCAGTCTAAAGGAGCCATACAACCGTGGGTCACACAAGTAAGTTATGTGTATTCTTGAACGGCGACCAGCATATAGCTCATTGTCGCGCACGCCAGCTCGCACACCTTGCCTCGCAGTACCACCTGAGCGAGTACAACCGTATAAAGTATGGCCACCGAGGTACATCATTTGTTGCCATCATTCGAACCATTTTGGCTGACCTCCGTTTCTAGGATGTCCCATACCATATGCGCCACTATCACTGAACGCGCCAGACACCTTTCGCGACCTGCGCGTCCAGCAGGCAACAAATATGAATGGTGTACTGTGGTGGCCATGTCTAGAGGCGCCCTGCGCTACTACACAAGTGATACCCACTTCCGAACAGTGCAATGTACTCGTTAACGGAAGTGTGTGTCCTGGCCTCGACCCCCTTCTCCAGAAAGAGCTGAACGCAGCTCTCGAAGATACCCTTTCGTCGCAAATACCACCCGCATCTATTCACGAAGGCACCCTACATCGTAGCATGCCCGTCAAGACGTCTAAAACACATCCATTAAAGTTCGTTCTAGTTCACCTCTAATGAACCGTGGCTCATGATTGCTTTATTGCAAACGCAGTATATCCACCATTGTACCTCCGGAATTATTGCCTGCAGTTTCATCACATCTCATAACCAACCCGGAACCTTCACCTGTCATCTTCCATGTACCGGATTTTTATACCCTCCATCGCATCACAGACTATACACAGCACGCCACATCAACAACGAGCCCCAACTCTCTAACAGTTTCACGTAAGGCTCACTCGCGTCGGTCAAGTCGAATTCCGTTATCACCACCTATACCCGCACGTTCGTCTTCTTCGCCAGAACCTATTTCTCATACCCCTCCCCTCCCGATACCCCCAGCGTTCATGAACCAGCCACCGCAGTCTATAATCGAGGCCCTTCAGGCTGCCATTGACACACGCTTAACGACGCTTGCTACCAAACCTCGTCCTTCGCTCCCATTCATCGCAAAGCTTTCCCCTCCCCCTGCTTTAAAACAGACTACCAAAGTTCGTGTGTTATCAGATGATTTAGCGAGCAACCGGTCTTCGTCTGCACACAGAGGGACTTTTGCTCTACCAAAGGTTGTCTTCCCTTCCATGCTCGACTTCCTCAATTCTAGCGAACGTGAACAGTGAGTGCCTATCATTGTTGTCTTTAGTATGTAAGCCTGATGATGTAGACTCGCCTTTTCGACCAATGGTTGTACACCGCAGAACGCTAAACTGAGAGCATCCAGCGCATTGCACCGTCCAACATCAAATAATCATGGCATCAAGCGCTCTTTCAAGCTGGGTAACTTGATGCTATCCTCGTGTCCAGGGAAAAAGGGTAAGTTTCACTCAAGGCATGACTGCATTCGCTGACTGATGTCAACAATCGCTAGTGCGCCTCGCAGGCCCGGTCAGAGGGCGCAGCGCCGTTTGTCGAGATCTCGACACCGATCTACGGCGTATAGCGGGAGTTGGAGCACGCTGTATTGTCTGGTCAGTTGAAATGTTCACGTGACCTGTGCCTAGTTGACTGTTCTGCAGCTGTCTAGATGATGAAGAGCTCGAGTTTCTTGGAATACGCTGGTCCGACTATGTGAGCTCTGCGCACCGGGCAGGAATGGACATCCTTCGGCAAGTGCTCACTCCGAATGTTGGGTTTCTCAGCTGCTCACTTTCATTGTACTTGCAGGATACCACTGCCTGAAGGCCTTGCTCCACTCTCACCACAGTCATTAGACGAGTCTCTGACCAAACTCATAGAGGGATACACGACGCGTGGTGCAAGTATCCTCGTGCATTGTCGCGGAGGCTTGGGCAGGGCGGGTCTCATAGCATGCTGCTGGGCACTCAAAATCGGCTTGTGCGGGTGGATCAACGTGGACTTGTCACCGAACCCAGCAGAAGGCGCCGATGGCCTGGAGAGTCACGTGAGGAGAGATACTTTACAACTCGTCGAGCGCGCGATCGCTGTTGTGCGGAGACGGCGAAGCGTCAAGGCCATTGAGACGCTGGAACAGGTCCGGTTTTTGACCGAGTATGTTGATTATCTGAGGGAAGGGGTAGGGCGGGAGAGCCAGCCGTGATTTTGGCTGGTGCGTTCATTGTCTTCGGGGTTTACGCCGTCACAAAGTGTAATTTTGATTTGTTTACAATAACCGTTACTACTGTAGGTTTAGTTGGAGAGCCCGCTTTTCGCCCATACTGTACTACACGATTGTGATGACATTGAGTACATAATCCCTACAAAACTTGGACAGGTCCATTTCGACCACTACAGTACTAGATATTCGTGTGTTGTACATTCTATTCCCGCTCGGACAGAATATGATTTCTTGAGCTCGCCACTTTCGTTTGCGGGCAATACTTTTAGCCCTAGCTTTTCAGTTGGGAACGCTGGGCATGTTAAATGCATATATTTCGCGGTCACCTTCGAGTCCAAGTCCTGAGGCTTGAGGACCCAACTTACGTTCTCGTCGCAGACTCGCAACTGTTAGATGGAGAACCGATGAAGACAAGATGCAATAACACCTACTCATATACCTAAACCTAACACATACACCTATACCTACACCTACATACATTGAAGAATCCAGCGGTAGAACATCAAACGCGAACCTCCATACCGCCCCATTCCAACACCCTGAACAAAGCCGCATCACTGGCTCTTGCAAAATCAACTCCAACTACATCCACCCACCAAGCAACGTCTTTCTCTGCTTGCATCTGTGCGTTCGACCAATTTTCCAAGTGCTCCTTACCGACGCCTTTGAACAGCATGAATACGCGAGTCACGATGTCAGGCTGCGGCGAAATGCTTAAAGAAGCGGCGCGTTCATACACCGATTGAGGGACAAATCGGAGGGCAATGTATTCGTGCTTAAGGAAATATGGTAGCCAGTAGCTACCACAACAATTTTAGTGGTGTGTTTATGAAGTAGCGCGTATGTACGCACGTGATGAACGATGTTCTAGCTTCTGTGTGAAGTCCCAAAACCTTGAGTGCTTTATCGAGGTAAACAGAGACTTTGTCCACTGGAATGACGATTGAATCCGTATCGCTGAGACTGCTGGATGTGGGACTGAATGTATCCAACGGTTGCGGTTTGGATGCCGGTGGGGGTGCATGCAAATTTGGCCTGCGAAGAGTAATGCAAAGTTAGAAGAGTGATTTTCATTTATCATCAAGGGACTTACTCCGCCTCCCAGAACAAGTACGCCACATCTAAACCAGAAATATTTTCCGTCAGATTTCCATCTTCATGGGTACGGGCATTCCATTCTATATGTTGTCCGTGATTTTTTGTGGGAACAACGGGATAAATGACAGAGAGACTCCACACAGGACTGAGAGAAAGTTTGACAGAAACATCGATATCGGAGGGAGAGTATAGATAAATGACCGGTTTTGCAAATCGGGGTAGCTCCCGAAGATTGATGGTGTCACCGTTCTTAATGTTGTACGATTCGATATTCCAGTCTTCGCGCATTATTGCCCCACCCCAAACTGCCTTGACACCAATGGGACTACATCCGATGATATGACTGGCATCAGCAACAAGTTGGTCCACCCGCGTCGCCCTCGAGACTGTGGTAGAACGAATCTCGCCAGATGGAAAAACAACGTTGATTGTGACTTTTTCGTCATCCCTGTTGCATGGCCTAAACTTCAGTACTAAAAACACGGGTAGATCGAGGGTGCGTACGAGCTGTCTTGTCTGTTAGTCTGACTTGGCGCCGATTGATTGCCAGGCGATGAAATAGGCCAGGTATCAAAGCAGGGCGGTGGGACGGGTAATGTCATTTCCGCATGGGTCACTTCGATGCAGTTTAGCAAATCAATAACATTGTCCCATATTTCAGCCGTGATGTCCACATAGTGGCCATCACAGATATCGAGTTGATTGGTCTGCAACGAGACAGCATGTCTCGGAATGCTTGGGAAATGTTTGCATGCGGAGTCAAGCATCAGCTTATAATATCCATGAGCCACTAAAGATTTAAATAGTAGGTCCACCCACATTATACGACCTTTGCCGTTTAACCATGACCCGTTTTTGACCATGCTTTAGAACAAGAAGTTGCGAGATTTGATTCGTTTCGGCCTTCCCCCACAATAGTGTAGAGACAGACATAGTATTCGGAGGTATGGAGTTTGAAGCGTTCAAGTTAAGCATTGAAGTAGATAGTTAACCGTACTACGCTGTCTATGAACCAACAGTCACGTGTCACATTCGAAGTGTATTATGCTCACTCGAGAATTGTCGCCTGCATCGACAGAAACCTTGCTTGACCCAAACATTAGTCAAACTCAAGGAGTTACAAAGTAGACGTTAGTTATATAGAAATAGAAATTGAAAACATACGAATCAAAACATAACATGTTGCCGGGCGCGCGGCGACGCCATATAAGGAGATCCGTTCTGGAACGGGTCACGTGAACGTCCGGAAATTACCGGTTGGTCGAAAGTTGCTACTAATTATGGGGGTCGTAGAAACCTTGTCAAGCAAGGTAATTCAAATTGACACTTGACGCTCGAAGGCTGCATTCCAGTATCCTTCTCGCACCTTATCAGACCAATCATACAATATCATTATCATACTGCACTGTACAGTAACAAGACTTAGTAGGCAGCACAGGAGACACAAACAAGCTGCTGGCAAGATACCACGCGCCATAACAGTTTTGACTCGGAGGGCACATACCCGATTATTCAAAAAGTGACTAGAACTTGTGCCAGTGCAGAGTGCCCAGAGTGCCGGCAGAAGGATCACCGTACACAACTCGGAGGACCGTTGGAATCGTTCCTATGCGCTGTGGCCTGTGGGACTATCTTTGCAATCTTCGTCTAATCACCTCGTGACGCAGCAGTGGCGAAAGTAGATGTTACGGGTAGCAGTGCCAAACTGAACGTCGAATTGGTACCGATGAAGCACTGAAAAATGAGCTGTGAGAAGGTTGATCAAACGAAAGCTTAGCTATATTACTCTTCCTTCGGTCTCGTGCGCTTCCCAGGTCTCATGCAACGACAGCCAGGATTGGTGCCAAAAGTTGAAGCGTGCTGATCAAATGCGAATGAGAAGGATAGGTCAGCCGGTCCCGAGGCATAAAACAATTGTGGCGGGGACAGCAAATATGATATAGCAATAGGCCGGGGATTCGTGTTAGCAGCCGTGCTAGTGCACCAAACATCAATGGTAAGTTAGTTTGTGGTGATGTTGGTATCGACGCCGAGGAATGTGATACACCAATGTTCGTGAACACGAATGGTGTTGGACTCTGCGCTTGGTGCGGGAGGCAGAGGAAGGCACGTGGATGCTGCGCAAGCGTGGGGTAGGGAGATGAAGGGCTGCCGAACAATCGAGTAATTTGCGGAATCGATCAGGCAGGACCTGGCGCATGGTACTAATTGAGGTCAGTGCATTAGGCAGAGAAAGCTGAAAGATCGCTTGAAAGCTGTTCTACTCAATTGATGTCTCCTTAGGTCCGAGAATTGAGTTCACGATCGATAATATTTGCAGTGATAGGTGAGTGCGGATCAGTAGAATTGACATCCGTGTTACACCACTACATGTGTGATCCAGGTTTCCAATGAGGATGGGGGTTTAGGCAATGAGAAACCCGAAACCAGTTGGGCGGGAGTCGACGAAGCTGAAAACTGAGATGAAACATGAGCAAGGCGTCGGCTGCGAACACCTTTGGAAAGATCATCATGTAAGTGTTGGATAAACCGCGCTCAGGGAGATGAAAACTCCTCCGTCGCAGAGTTAGCAGCGGGTGTGAGACGCGAGAACAAAGAAATGCATCCGGTGCAAATAGAAGTGTATGAAAGATATTGCAGATAAGGTAAAATACGCGTTCGGACAAGTTACAGGGTAAAGTGCTGGAGAAACTGCTTGACACGAGAAGGATGAAGCTGTCAGCCAGATTGGAGCGCCGGGAAGTACTAACTGCACTAGCACAATGGAATGCGAGGGGGTACATTCTGGAAGCCGTGAAGACAAAAGTCAAATGCATGTACACACTGTAGAGACGGCGGGAGGGTATACTGTCGAGGAAGGCGGGTATGATAATAGGGAGCATTCTTGCTGCAACTGTGAAAGCGAACCACGTCGTGTGCTGGGCGTCTATGTACTGAATTAATATAAAAAGCACAATCATAAGCTTTACACACGCACCTCTGCAACTTAAACGAAGGCGCTCACAATCCCTCCAAATTCATCTCAAGTGAAATGTCGACGATCATTCCAAGCACCGCACCCCTTCGAACTTTTAAAGGTCACGAAAAACGCGTAAACGCAGTCGCAGTTTTCCCTGATAGACACCGAATGGTTACGAGTTCGTGGGACAAGACACTTCGTCTTTGGGACTTGAAGACAGGTGTTATGTTGAAGACGATGGAAGGGCATCGCAGGGAGGTGATGGCATTGGCAGTATCACGAGATGGGCAAATGATGGCAAGCGGTGATCAGAATGGAGAGCTCATCGTTTGGCACGGAGAAACAGGAGAATCTATCACCCAACCCTTCGAAGTCCACTCCGGTCATATCACCTCGCTGGACTTTTCCGCTGATGGTACGGTGTTGGCCACTGGTTCGAGAGACAAGACGGTCATGCTGTGGTGCACCAAAACATGGGAGCAGCAAGGAAATGACATTGAATTGGATGATCCGGTCAAATGTGTTCAGTATTCGCCGTCTGGTGAACTTCTTGCCATCGCAACAACAATCGATGTCCAAATTTATAATTCAGGCACAAGGGAACGCGTCTGTCACAACCCCTTAAACAACTTAATGCTAGGGCAGAGACTAGGACTCAAACAAAGGATATCACGATAAAAGAGATGAGATTGAGCAGGTACGTTTGGGCTGCTACAAGATGTAGAGACGAAAGGTTTGAACTAAAGAACTACTGACTAGAAATGTCCTAACTATATACAACTATTCAAGAGGAGATACAAACTGAGTTTTAACTATTAGCCAATCATAAAATAGGAAACAGAATCGTACGATGTGATAAGGTGAAAAGAAACTATGATGTCATAAGAAGCGATGCCGCTTCTGTGAAGTTCTGGAAGGTTCTAGGAGAGTCACGTGATGTAAGGGCGTCTAAGTCTGGAGTTGAGATTTCGGTGATAGTAGCGATAGGTTTAGGGTTAAGTGTTGGAACGTATGTCGGGCGTTTATGAGTTAGCGCTGGGAACGGGCGCTTAATGTTGATAGTCGAAAGGAAAGAATAATGATTTGTGTTTGGAACTCGTGACATTACCCCCCCTCTAGGTTGAGCGTCATCGCGAAAGACGGAAGGACGGATATTCTTTTGTCTCCATTCTTTGAACTCCGATGTTTCTAGAATAGACCCTCTAATTCTCTTTGAGGCAGCTGCCGTGGGATTTTCTTTATGGAATTCTGCGACAAGAATCGGGGAGTTTTTTAAGTTCTCTTCTGGCTCCCATGTCGACTCATCTGTCGGATATCCTTCCCATTTTACTAGGTATTGCAGCTTTCCTCGGAACAATCGGCTATCTAATACGGATTCTACAACGAATTCTTCCTGATCGGCAACGATCTCTGGCGGTGGTCGGGTGGGTTGACGATGAGGAACCATTTGAGATGGACGATATGGCGTGAGTAATTCGACATGAAAAACGGGGTGAATCTTATAGTTTTCTGGCAACTTCAATTTATAGTTCACCTCGCCCGTCCTCTCTAGTATTTCGAAGGGACCTAGACGACGATCTGATAGTTTCTGACTCGGACGACGCTGTTTGATATTCTTTGCGTCTAACCAGACCTTGTCTCCTTTCTCATATTTTGGTGCGTCTTTCACTCCTCGGTCATAGAAACGTTTCATCCGTTCATTAACCATCTTTAGAGTGTCCTCTGCATCTTCACACGCTTCTTTCATCTGATTCGCTCTCTCATCTGCGGCGGGAATAAGGGATTTGGAGTTCGGAGATACGGTGAATTCGGGGTTATATCCATATAAAACTTTGAAAGGGCTGTGTCCGGTTGATGTGACTGCGTTGTTGTGTGAAAATTCTGCAATCGGTAGCCAAGATACCCAATCATTCTGTCTATAGGATGTGAACAGGCGCAAATATTGTTCAATTTCTTGGTTTACGCGCTCTGTTTGTCCGTCTGTTCTAGGGTGATAGGAGGTCGAAGGTGACCATTTCATTCCTAGTCTTTTTGATACTTGTCCCATGAACTTCGAGATAAACTGTGTTCCTCGATCCGATATCACCTTCTTTGGTGTTCCATGATTTTTCCAGACGTTTCTCAGGAATAACTCGGCAATGCCTTTCGAGTCTACTTCCTTTACTGTGGGGATGAAATACGACTGCTTCGAAAATCGATCTACGACTACGAAAATGCTGTCCATTCCCTCACTCTTTGGCAAGTCCACAATAAGATCGCATGAGATCGTTTGCCAAGGTGCACTGGGCACTTCATTTGGCTGCAAAGGTCCCGTTGGTTTACTTGGGAATACTTTTGTCTGTTTGCATCGATCGCAACCATCTACGTAATCGTGAACATACTTCGTCATTGAAGGCCACCAATAATTTCTGGAAATCAATTCTAAGGTTTTGGCTCGTCCAGGATGTCCAGCCGGTGGAGAGTCATGAAACAACTCCAATATTTCTCGGCGGATCTCTTTATCGTTTGGAACGTACACCATGCCTCGGAACAACACCAATCCGTCCTCCACATTCCACTCTTCAACTCCTCTGCGTAGCTGTACTGGTGCTGTCTTTAGCGTTTCCAAAGCTTTCATGACCTCAGGTTCTCGTTCCGTGCTCTTTCTTATCTTTTTTAGCAACGAACTTTCTCCTTCGATGAGTATTTGGCCTCTTTTAGCGGCTTTAGCTTGGAAAAACTCAGGTTTTAGCAAAACGCGGTCGGAATTATCGTTTTCTACCCCCCCTCTGTGGTCTGATCTCCGAGAAAGACGGTCTGCCTTATCGTTGACTACACCAGGCTTATGTTGGAGTGTAAATTCATACTCCGCCAGGAATAAACTCCATCTGGCTTGCCTTCTTGTCAATTTTTGGCTCGTCATAAAATACTCGAGATTTTTGTGATCCGTCCAGATCTCCACTGGGTGAGGTGCCCCCTGCACATAGTGCCTCCACTCTTCTAACGCTCGAATGATTGCGAGTAACTCTTTGTCATGGATGTCGTAATTTCGTTCTGCATCGTTCATTGACTTCGAGTAATACGCCACGGGGTGCCATAATCCGTCTTCCATCAGTTGAGAAAGTACTGCACCGGATGCATAGTCGGAAGCATCGGTTTCTATTCTCTTCTTCTTTTCAACGTCTGGCATGACTAATAACGGAGCTTCTGTGAACGCCTCTTTAATTCTTCAAAGGCCTTCTGTTGCTTCTCCGTCCAATCCCATTTGGCATCTTTTCGCAATAAATCATTCATTGGTCTAGCGATATTCGAGAACCCCAAAATGAATCTTCGATAGAAGTTGGCAAAACCCATGAATGCTTGTATGTCTTTACGCATTTGGGAACAGGCCAATTTAATACTCCTTCTACTTTCACAGGGTCCATTGACACACCGCCTTTCTCCACTATCAACCCGAGGAACTCTACTTGAGATTGTTCGAAGCTACATTTCTCTGGCTTCAAGAACAGATCGTTATCTCTCAATCTTTTGAGCACCTCTCGTACAAGCTTTCTATGTTCTCCTTTGTCTGCATTTGTGAACACGAGAATATCATCGATATAGACAACTACTTTTCTGTCTTCGATCAAATCTTTGAATATCTCGTTCATCATGGTCTGAAAAGTTGCAGGAGAGTTCGTCAAGCCGAAGTACATTACGGTCGGTTCATGGTGACCAAAGGGCGTTTTGAATGCCGCCTTCCACTCATCTCCTTCTTTCATGCAAATGTTGTTGTACCCCCATCGTACATCCATTTTAGAGAACGTGGTTGCTCCAGTCAATGCATCTATTAGATCTTGCGACCTCGGTAAAGGGTATGCATTCTTGACCGTTCTATCATTGAGCTTCCTGTAATCCATAACGGGGCGTAACTTGCCATCCTTTTTAGCCACAAAGAAGAAAGGTGCTGCAATCGTTTTCCGGTCTCTGAGGCTGATATTGAGCAGTTCATTACTTCGATTTGTCCACTGACGGTTGATAGCACAGGTGATCAATGGTGGCACAGCCAAAGCCAGGACATGCAAATGGCTGCGCCGCCACTCATAAACCCTCCTCTGGCTGAGGCTGGATTGTCTATCGAGTTGCCCATGCAGAGCCAGAACAACTCGTTGGGGAGCCATTCATCCACCCCACCCCGTATTCGCAGACCACGCTTGAATGCCTTCCCATCACCCTTTCCCATGTCTCCTCGACTCCCTCCTGTCGACGCCCTTCACACAGCTAACACTGACGGACATAGTCTACCAGCCCCGCACATCTCTCAATCGACTCTACCAGCCACGCACATCTCTCAATCGCCTCCAGCAGCGGTTATCAGTAATTTATTGGAACATTCCACTCCAGCCGCCGCCAACTCAGATACTCTTCCATCTGTTTTCGGCATACCTACACCTCTCACAGATACCACTGCTATTCCCGCCGTGCCGGACACCTTGCTTCATACAGGAAGTGTTCCACCCACTTCTAGTGCTCCTGGAAGACGCTCTGCGCGTACGACACGACCATCAACAAGAGCTGAAGATGCCAACAAGATCGGTGATGATGCCAGAACCATCACTTCCAAACGCAAGCGCAAAGGTGTGACGGCAGGTTCCACAGCCCATGCAGTCGCTGCGAAAAAGTACGTATTCCAATTTTTGTCCATTTTATCACGCTAAACATCAATCTGTGCAGGTCTAAAAAATAATCACATTTCTTGCAGTACATACGCCTCAATACTCTAATGTCTTCGTGTCCTATTTACAGTTTAAACCATGTAGTTATTGCGACAACAATTTTTACTTAATGCTCAATGTCAAGTTAATGTTACCCGGTCAAAATATTGTGAACTTCGCCTTGAGCAGTTGAACTAGAGATCACGTGAGTTGGACAGTCTGAAATCAACGAAGTTGAACCAAAGTCCACGTGATTTGGACTTTGTTGCATGAGACTGAAGTGAAAATCAACGAAGTCGAACAGAACATCACGTGATTTGGAAGAAAAATTGAAAGCAAAATATATTTTGGGATGGGCCTACAAAGTGGAGAGTACTAAGAGAATGGGGGACGAAGCACTATCTAATCCTGATCGAAGATCTACCCAAGAGGTGAGTGGCTATGATTCCTCACATGAATCTAGGTAGGGTGATTATGTTGGTCACGTCTACAGGCGCGGCTTGGCAATAATGCGAGGCACACCACGAAACGTGGTAGAGTGATGGTGAACAGGGAGTGGGGAAAGGAAAGAGCTCGACGACAAGACGCATTGAAGTCGAGGAGCGGATACAAGAGACGCCGGCATTTTCCGCTCGTCAATAAAGACCAAACTTCGCTCGTGCCTTACTATGTCATGGAGTGACAATATATAAGTAAAGTGATCGAGTGAGCAGCGCGTGGCTATGCAGAGGCAAGATGGAGATCTAGATTTCCGCAGATTTCCAAAAAACCAAAGCTGCCCAAATCCCAAATCGGACCTGACCAGGGTACAGGCTAAGAATAACCCAGTAGGTAATGAGTCGCACAGGTGATATATCACTGCCCTGTGCTTTAAGCCAAAGGCAGGGATATATCACGGATGCACTCCAAAGCCAGTAAAATGATATATCATATTGACACTATAGCCTGGTGCTGCTTGAAGATTGCCGTGAACGCCATTGTGTCCTCGACGTTGGTCAGACCATCAACCAAAACGAGCGCTTCATCGAGGCAATGTCAGACAGGAACCGACGCATGCAGATCTACAACCAACCACTCGCTCGTCGGCACTTTTGTGCTAAGTGTACCCGGGTCTACAATCATGGTGATATTGGTATGTACACTTCCTGCGGTGTTGTTCTGCGCTCACGTTCTTACAGCTAACAAACTCGTTTCTGTCATTGTGGTGGATGGTGTCGTCGTGAGCCGTCCGTGCTGCTCTGTTCCCAACTGCTGGGTACATCTCCGTACCCCACAAGACCGGTTTTGTCATGCCCACTCCGCCCACCTCAATCAATGTGCGATTAAAGGCTGCGCACAATCTGTCGTGTCAGGTGGCCTTACGTGCGACATCCCCGCACACCAGGAGTCTGAAGCACTGCACACTCTGCGGGGCAAGTCTCGATTCCGTCTGCACGAACGCCTTGAGCGTTCACGCGCTATCCATGGGCGACTTGCAAATGTCCAGGCTGGAGCTGACGACGACGGGGACGGTGACGGTGACGGCACACAAGCCATCGGAGAGGAGGAGTATGACGTGAAATCGGGAAAGAAGAAGAAGCTTCGTGCGCAGTTCACGCGCAACTATACTCATTGCGAGGAGTTGATTGTTGCACCTTGCAGGATGATTCATGCTCGCGAGACCATGCACAATGCCGAGGGAGTAGGAAGTGTCGCAGAATTTATTCGCCGTGTCTTCCGAGACCCAGAGACACGCCCAACTCACGTATTCTTCGATAACAACTGTCGACTCGCCCTGCATGTCCAGAACGACCCGTTCTTCCAAGACATCGGCCTTTCTGTCGACGTCTTCCACTTCGAGTGCAAACATTCAAAGCAAGACACGTTCTGCCAAGAAAACTGTAACCCCGCCGCATTTCCGGAGCTGAAGACGGACGACGGGGAGTGGTACTTCAACTCTTCGGCTTGCGAACAGACCAATTCCTGGTTTGGTAAATTCAATCCTATCACACGAGGCATGAAGCCAGTAACGTCCATTGACATGGTTTATCACATGTCGTGCATGAGACTTCATAACCGGGACGTGGGCCTGTGGGGGGCTGAACTGCGGGGCGTGGCATCACAAGCGTCCAGAGATGGTGACGGTGTTGGGGGAGCGACAAGACGGCAACAACGATGCAGAGTGATGAGAGAGAATTGAAAGGTGGCGGGGCAGTGAATGACAGCGGGCTGGTATTGATGAGTAGGGCCCTTTTATGTTCGCGAGGGCGGGGGCATAGTGTGGGCGGGGGCATACTGCCAGAATGCCTGAGGACGGCACGACAGACGGCTCTAGGTTGCCTGTAAGTTGAGCGGCACCCAAAGGAATCCATGAGCGGCGATGAGCAAGGTATCATGCCCATTGCCCATGGTGCGCCCATATAGAATCTCCGCCAGAAAGATTTCCGAGAAATTCCGAGCCGTTCCGAAACGCCAAATAGGGGGTGGGACGTATGGGACGGTACGGACGGACGGGACGGTACGGACGGGACGGACGGTCATTTCCAATTTTCCGGTATATACGGTTTGTTTGGCAAAACCTTTGGATCCAAACAACGATTGCAAACCGTGACAGAGTCACACAACAACAGTGTTTGTAGCTTTTGCGTCCTCAAGCATCAAGAGTCAAATATATCCAAGTGCAGGCAACGACAGGCCTAGGGCGCAATCATCATTATGGCTACATCTCCATTCACCGGGTATTGCCAAGTGGACTCCTTCGGTCCTGATGAAGAATATCTATCAGATGACGAAGACTTCTATGTCACGCTTGACCTCGGTACCGTTGAGCCAACCCTACTTCCCAGCAGTTCGACCTATAGGCTTGTAGTAAGCACAAGGCCTCCTCATATATAATAGGCATCACTACAAGTCAAACAAAGGGCTTGGACACGCCTACACCATTTCTGCAGCTTTCTGGCTCTTTCTTCAGGGGTCGGCACGATACGCTCCTTGGTTCAGAACTTTTGTTCACAGAGGGTAAAAGTAAGTACATATGTTGTCCGTTAAGGTAAATTGACATATTCGTCTCGATCAAAGATGATTTTGAAAGAAATACGCGAGCGTTAACCCATGTCGGCGTCACCGAGCGGCGTATTCGATTCAAGGAGGTGCAGCTACGGGAGAAGCCCCGTGAACAATTAGACGAAACTCCTGCTAGTGGAGACGCTTCTAACAACGATGCGCCAGTGGAAGATGCTGGCCATTCACTTGGACGCATGATTGGGAGTGTCACCGAGCCCCCATCTAGAAAACGCAAGAAACGACGTAACAAGGGGAAAGAAAAGGAGACGTCCCCTCAAGAGGAGAAGGATGATGCTATGGATACCAGTTAATCTCGCCGTTAAGAGGATCCGCCCCTACTATCGTGTCGTCCTGTCATTGTCGTGACTGTAGGCCACTGCTTCTTCCGACAAACACCTTGATTGTTAACAAACCTTGCGCAACCCACTAGCACCGTTCGTGTCTGTCAGCCTTCCAGCTTCAATCGTGTTTGATGACGCGATGGGTTGCAGTGTGAACAGCGATGAAAATATCCATATTTTAAATTACAATGTACTTCAGATAATTAATTAGGTAAAGCAACTGGTGAATGGTATCACAAGGAGAGCAGAAACACGAGACATGCGTATTATACTCTCACATTTTCACCGCCCTCTCGCATCCTGATCAAATAAATAAAAAACATATCATACAACACCCCAGTGTAATCACAATAGATGTGCAGCTCGCAAATCTGCCTCCGCAAGCTCCTGTTGTGTCGCGACTGTGAATGGTGAGCCGAGAGACGTGCGCTCATTCTCTTCAGGCGGTTGAATATCGAACGCCTGCTCAATATTTCTCCTCGTTGCGATGTCACGAGCAATATCCTCAGGTGATTGGGGTTCGTGTGCATTTGAGGCACGAATGGCAGATTCCCAGTTTTTTACACGCCAGAAACCGACTAAAGAGGAAAGGAGCAAAAACCAACCTACACAGCGGGGTGAGTAAACAGACAAAATGAGGATAGGTCACACCCACCGAGAGTCATTAAAAGGAACGATAGCCACTCTCGTGAAGACAAGCTGAGAGCAACGTTACTGTCCTGAGGCATGGGAGCGGTTGATGAAGTCGGGGCGGATAGCATGAGGACATCAGGAGTGCCATTGCCATCAGGGGCGGGAAGTATGTTATCCGTTACAGAACGAGAGTAAAAGCCATATTGGATCAGTGTTAGTCCAAGGCCAGCTCGTGAGCCAAACTTTGCGGCGTGCGTAGTATGGAGGAGGTATGTGAGGAGGAAGCCGATAAACTGGAAGAAAAATGATACAAAGAGGTTCGAAATGAATGCTAGGATAGAGCCTGAGGGAAGATCGCCGACGATCATCCCAGCATCGGTGTCCATTCCGGCAGGAGCATGCACGATTGTATCCCAATATGGGGGAACAGCATCTGCTTGGGCTGCTGCATAAGACTTCAAAAATAATGAGGTGAGGTAAATTAGAAATTGGGGGTAGACATACGGGTGGAGCAGTGCTCTGTGTCTCCTCAGGGACCATGTAGATGCTGCCATCCTCAGATTGGATTTGTACTGAGGAGGCGGGTTTGGCAACGACATTTGAAAACACTCCATCATTCTGTATCCCTCCACCCGTCACTCCAGCGGGCGGTTCATTGTTCGGTACACGGACGTAGTGAGTGGGTAAGATGGCCCCGACTGCCCTGCGCAGGAATGATGGACGAGGCAATGTGGTCCCCAAGGGGGAGGTTGGCAATTCGCCATTTGAATTGCCTATATCATTAGGCAAGGTAGTAGATAGAGGCTGCGGTGGAGAACCAGGGGGCGGGCGGTCGTAATCGTAATTCCGCTCAAAGTCATAAGCTGTTGTACTACCTGACGTGCTTTTTGGAGGATCTGCGATGGAGGAATGGGTATTAGCACGTTGGCGATTAGACGATGGTGGGCGTTCGAAATGAGTATCATCATCTGAATCACCGTCGGACTCAAAGGCATCGTTAAGTTCACGATCAGCATCTCGTGATGACTGCTGCGTTGGCAGCGGTGCGTAATGTGCAGGCATGGCACGTCGTGTACGTAGGATCTGTCAGGCCAGTGGTATGTAAATGAGCGCTGCAACTGCGGTGCGACTGTCAGTTTGAATCCACGCCAAGTTCTCACGACCTAGTGTCTATTGAGCTCTATTGAGTCTTCAACTGTTATTACATAGTACACTCGCAGTCGTCGTCCCACTGGGGCTACTATTTACATGCATCATTGAGGTTAGTACCGACCAGCACTAGAACGCTGGTGCCGGTTATCCTTCTAGCACATCAAGGACTAGCATGCCGCATGTCTTCCCAGCATTGACATAAATAGAGCAAGTGACCTCATGCAACTTCTACTCAGGCTAGCTATCCGATTTTAGAGCTCTGAACGTTCATCATTCAAGCGTCAACCGGTCACCGGGTATTGACCCACTTCAACTCCGCGGGGAGATAAAGGACTAGGAGCTCGACTCGTGCTTTCATATTGTCACTCCCACCATGTCTTCAACTACTTTCACTTATCAGTTTGACACACCAACCTACAAAGGCACTTCGACAGTCCCCACTGGCCTATTCATCAATGGGAAGTTTGTTGAACCCGTAGAGAAGGGCACAATCGAGTACGTGACCGTCTTCACCAAACTCAGCATCAACCTAATGCGGCCTCATTGACTTAGGGTCTTGAATCCGGGTGGGTCAACTAACCACTTATTCTTAAGATGACCAGTTCTGACAGCGAATGCAGTCAATGGAAAAGTCATAACCTCGATCGCTGCTGGCACCGCTGCAGACATCGACATCGCTGCTCAAGCTGCAAAGAAGGCTTACAAAGAACGCTGGGGCTTGAAGGTCCCGGGTGCGCAAAGGGGCAGGATGCTCAACAAACTTGCAGACCTCCTCCAAGCCAACGCTGATGAATTCGCTGCCTTGGAGGCTTTGGACGTAGGTAGGGTGATATGTCAACCATGTCTGTTGCTTGTGATGCGACCCCATATGCAGGCAAAACCTTCAAGGTGGCCCGGACGTCTGATGTTCCTGGATCCATCGCTGTCTTAAGGTATTATGCGGGATGGGCGGACAAGATTCAAGGGAAAACTATCGAGGTCAGAAAGGCCTTACATGTCTGCTTCGGGGGCAATTTTGATCTCTCTACCCACCTGATAGACGAACGAAAAGAAGCTGGCTTATACGCGTCACGAGCCCATTGGAGTTGTGGTCTGTGTTCCTATTCATTGCGCCGTGAAAACCTGCGAACTTAGCATCTTATAGGGCGCGATCATTCCTTGGAATTTCCCTCGTATGTTCGTTTGACCCATGCTCAGCCAGTCATTAACAAGGTGATGCAGTCACGATGCTCTCATGGAAAATCGGCCCAGCTTTAGCAACGGGAAACGCTGTCATCCTGAAACCGTCTGAGTTGACACCATTGACTGCACTTCGTCTCTGTCCTTTGTTTGTCGAGGCGGGCTTCCCTGATGGTGTCATCAATATCGTGAACGGATACGGTAGTACCGCGGGTCAAGCCCTCAGTGAAAATAGGATTGTCGACAAAATAGCCTTCACGGGGAGCACACTGACTGGGCGCAAGATCATGGAAGCTGCCGCCAAGTCCAACCTGAAAAAGGTGACTCTTGAGCTTGGCGGTAAAAGCCCCAGTGTCATCTTCGACGATGTAGACCTGGAGCAGACTGTGAAGTGGGTGTCGCACGGAATATTGTAAGTCACATGCATCGCAGTCGAACCTTACTCACTCTCCTCATAGCATGAATCACGGACAGGCGTGCACCGCAGGTTCCCGCATATTCGTCCAAGCAGGGATATACGACAAATTTTTGAAGGCGTTCACTGAACATGCCTTGTCACTGAAAGTCGGCGACCCATTTGCACGAGACACTTATCAAGGTCCCCAAGTTTCTCAGACGCAATTTGAGGTGAGCGTCCACCTTAATTAGCAAGTGGTTCTGCCTACTTTCTATTAGCGGATCATGGGATACATCAAATCTGGTAAGGAGGACGGCGCAACCGTTCATGTCGGTGGAGAACGCCATGGGGACGAGGGCTACTTCATTCAACCGACCATTTTCACGGAGTGCAAGCCGACTATGAAGATCGTACAGGAAGAGATATTCGGTCCCGTGGCCGCGATCATCAAGTTCACCACAGAAGAGGGTAAGTACATTCCACCACGGATGTATCCGAGTACTGACAACGTATCACAGAGGCCATAGAGCAAGCGAATGATACTCTGTATGGCCTTGCTTGCTCTGTCTTCACCAGAGATATAGACAGGGCGATTCGAGTCGCACATAGTATCGAAGCTGGTACTGCATGGGTGAGCATGAGCATGCTAGCGTCAGGACTGTTGATGATTTGATGGATATAGATCAATTGTCACAACTCCACCGAATTGAGCGTTCCATTCGGCGGTTTCAAACAGTCAGGCATTGGGCGTGAGCTTGGCGAATATGCCTTGGAAAAGTGAGTCGAGATATTATGGTATGGTGGCTTCCACTGACCTTTTGTTTTCAGCTATACAAATGTGAAGGCTGTTCATGTTAACATTGGACACCGTCTTTGAACACCAGACATTCACCATACTTTGTATCAAGATTCTTTCATTATTCTTCTCATTTTCTGCTCAGAAAGCGGAGTACCGGATGAATTTACAACGACACAATGTATCTATGCTATCATTTCTAATGTAACAACACCATTTCTCTCTTAAATCCGTGGACTATGACAAGCTCAAACATAGTGCCGTTCGACCTTCTACCTTTGCCTTTAGCAACTCTAAGCAGTCAAGGCGCATGAATAAGCAACATGGAACATTCATTCCCTTCTTCGGCGATTTCATGAGGTCCTCGTACGCTGTGTGGAAGCGATCGAGTTCTATTGGGGTATAGCTTTCTTTCTTTCTGTTATCAAGGACATGGAAAGTATCTGTGCCACGTAACCTAAGTTTCGCACTTTGAAATGTCCTCAGGGGGTTCGTTCCACATTGGGAAACATGATCAATGTGACGTATTAACGCGGCGTTACAGCCTAAGTGTCGGGTCGGACCAAGCTCTGAACGAAATTGTGAATTTACACTTAGATTTAACCTTGTCTTCGATTTGTCCCAAGCCCTAGTATTTATCGTTGCTTGCAATGCTTAGGGTAGGCTTCGCAAAGCTGCGCATTCCGCTTCGGAGTTGGCCCCATGGCAGGAAATACCTATCTCAGTCCACGCTGGGGAGGCCATCATCTTTGATAGTATGTCGTATTATCTCTAGGTATCTTGCGGTTCATTCCATGGTTGCGATGATCAGATCTCTAGCATACTTGGATCGCACTGGACACGCAGTTCTCTGACTAGAAGTCGCCCCATCTCCTCCGCGGCGACTCAAGAAGTTGTTTCTTCGGAGCAGTTAGGCGTCACGGAGCCTAGAGTTCACAGTGATATCCCTATTGCTAACGCTGATGAACGCAAAGTATCCATTCTTTGGAGTCCACAGCGTTGGTCTAGATTGTATGGACCTTCTACCTCATAATAATTTCCGAGACCTGAACGTGCAAACTGTCAGTCACCACATCTGGTTGCGCGACCACTGCAGATGCCCAGATTGTTTCCATCCCATAACAAAGCAGCGATTGCTCAATACATTCGAGGTAGTTCAGCAGGATGGTAATGATGTCTTGACTGAGAAGAGACATTTTCGCAGATTCCGGCTGATATCAAACCTATACATGTACAAGGGTCCACGGATGGCCTTGAAGTTGTCTGTATGTTGGCTCAACTCAGTTTCCACCCAAGTTGATTGCTTGCATAGGGCCTGGAACTAGCACTGAATCCCACTCTTCTGTTTACCCATGGGCATGGCTACAAGCCAACACATACGATCCACCTCTTCAAAAAATACCCAACCGGTGTGCACATTTTCTTTCATTATCTGTACCTTGCGCTTATAGCGTGACTAGGAAAGTCCTTTGGGGATCAAAGATAGAGAAGTCTCCACCCTCTGTGACTTATACCGAGGCCATGGACGATGATGATAAGGGACTGTATAAGTGGCTGACGAACGTTGTGCGTAAACCAAGAGTTTTAGGTGCTTCTCTCATGTGCGCACAGGAAACCTTTGGTTTTTGCTTTGTCTCAGGGGTTCCTGCAACACCTGAGGCCACAGAGGAACTCAGTCAACGTATCGGCTTCATCAGAGAAACTCAGTGTGCGTCCTCCACACTTGCACATTCTCTCCCGGTCTGAATGCACTTAGATGGGAAGTTTTGGGAGTTCACTGCTGACCTTTCAAAAGGAGATACTGCGTACACCACAATGGCGCTAGGAGCACACACTGACAACACCTATTTCGTATGGGGTATGCTCATAGTCTCGTCGCGCCGCTGATCAATCATGAGCACAGACTGACCCTTGCGGTCTTCAACTTTTCCATCTCCTATCACATACCGAAGGCTCTGGGGGAGCAACGCTTCTCGTGGATGGTTTATATGTCGCCGCCCTCATGAAGGAGCTACATCCGAAGTTCCACGATCTTCTTTCCCGTGTCCCCATTCCAGCCCATGCAGCAGGAGAACCATCAGCACTGTACACTCCAAGTCCCCTTGCAATGTACCCCCCGTTAAGGTATCACCCAAGCACTGGAGAACTCATGCATGTGCGGTGGAATAACGATGACAGAAGTGTTATGAACCACTTGGCGCCAGAGGAAGTAGAGGAATGGTAAGCTGCATGTGACAGAAAACATTACGTTACTTAATCCTATATACCCAGGTATCAAGCAATTAAGATTTGGAACGAACTCTTGACGAGACCTGATTCAGAGTTTTGGGTCCCGCTTAGTCCCGGCACTGTATTAAGTAAGTCTCCTACCCTCGTCTGCCTGCCATGTCTTTACCACGTCTCTAGCGGTTGACAACCATCGCGTGCTTCATGGCCGATCTGCTTTTGACGGTAAGCGCCGCGTGTGTGGTGCATACATCGGGATAGACGAATATCATTCGAAACTCGCTGTCCTCAAGGAGAAATTCGAAGGTACCGGTGATAACGGCCAGAACAAGGAAAGGAGACCTGAGGATAGCAGAAGCATTTGGAACTCCAATCTATGATTTGAGGGCCACTTATTGGAATTCCGGTCATCCATCAAGGTTCGATATCGATTACGATTAGCTATGACAATACGAGTGATGTATGTATGCAAAGCAATTTATTTTAGAACGCAACATCGGAATAGATTCAAATGCTCTCGGGTCGCCAAATTCTACTCGACCTACTCAGGTCGTATCCCGATTCTGTCAAAATCTATAAGGCCTCATGCATTTCGGCTGTGGTCGCCTCCATTTGTTTCTTTGACTGCCCGCAATTCCCTCGGGCAAAAATCCAAGAATGACCTCTTCTGGGACAGTTGCAGCGTTGGGTGTGATTAAGATTAACGGGGAGCAAGTTTTTAAACTTTATCCATTGGTATCTGACATCTCCATGGATCAACTGTTGCAATAACATCACTGTGGAGTACGGCTAGATATGTTAAATTTAGAAAATGCGAGGGATGGACAGGGAAGACTAAGAACTCACGCATCTCGGCAATTCGACCAGCGTGTTCCATGTTCCATTGTGCTCAAATCAAGCTCAGTGTGTCCTCTCGGGATCACCATTGCAGTGCCAGGAGAATAAAATGCGTATCGGGAAGCTGGAGGTACCCAGAAGAGGAGCCGACGATTGGGTCCCATCATCCATCCATCAGCATGCAGCAAGAAAGGGGTTGAATCAGAATCGTGATGGAAGTTACCCTCAAACAGGTCAGCAGGGTTGCGCAGCGCGTGTCTTAAGGTGGATGAGAAGCAAATGAAGTGATCTTTCTGAGTGCTGGTTGATACAACAGGACTCTCGTGCTTGCGAGGCACTATATCTAGAGAGTGTGCGGAGGAATGTATCTTGGTGTGCTGCTGCATCGCTGCATCCCACAACCGGACAGTATGATCGTTCGAACCAGACACGATACGAGTACCATCCGGTGAGAACGAAACCGAGCAAACAGCAGAAGTGTGCCCTCGGAAGGGCTCACCCAATGGCTGTCCCGTCGCTGCATCCCACAGCCGAACAGTGTTATCCCGAGAACCAGATGCGATGTGAGTACCATCCAGTGAGAACGAGACTGACTGAACCACTTTGGTGTGCCCCCGGAAGGGCTCACCCAATGGCTGTCCCATCGCTGCATCCCACAGCCGGACAGTGTTATCCGAAGAACCAGATGCAACGCGAGTACCATCCGGTGAGAACGAAACTGACCAAACCGAAGAAGTGTGCCCCTGGAAGGGCTCACCCAATGGCTGTCCCGTCGCTGCATCCCACAGCCGGACAGTGTTATCTGAAGAACCAGATGCAATGCGAGTACCATCCGGCGAGAACGATATTGACAAAACCGCGTCAGTGTGCCCCTGGAAGGGCTCACCCAATGGCTGTCCCGTTGCTGCATCCCACAGCCGGACAGTGTTATCGAAAGAACCAGATGCAATGCGAGTACCATCCGGTGAGAACGAGACTGACCAAACCAAAGAAGTGTGCCCCTGGAAGGGCTCACCCAATGGCTGTCCCGTCGCTACATCCCACAGCCGGACAGTGTTATCGAAAGAACCAGATGCAACGCGAGTACCATCCGGTGAGAACGAAACTGACCAAACCGAAGAAGTGTGCCCCTGGAAGGGTTCACCCAATGGCTGTCCCGTCGCTGCATCCCACAGCCGGACGGTGTTATCCCGAGAACCAGATGCGATGCGAGTACCATCCAGTGATAACGAGACTGACTGAACCGCTTTGGTGTGCCCCCTGATCACAGTCTGAACAACTGCCCAGTTCAAATCACGTCCGGATGCCAGACGAAGACTATTTGGAAACCTTGTAATAAATTTGGTAGCCATAGTGGAGTTGATGGGGGAGAATGGTAGCGCTGATAAATACAGATGTGGTGTGCTGTGTGAAATCATGCCGCCAAAGATTTGAATGAATCTTTGCACATCCATTGCAGTGGACCGCACATCTTCGTATTCAGAATGGCCCTATAGTTGTTTGTGAGCTGTTCGTCCGACGCCGCTTTACAGGCATGTGTTCACCTTCAGCCACCGGGTGATGAATGGAAGCATGGTGACTGCGCCGCTGATCGCATTGAGAAGGCCGAGTGCTTCAATCCAGAAGAGCAGTCGCTCGTCGTCGAAGAATGATCTTATCGCCTTGGCGAGCTCCGTGTCGAAGTCCGTTGCTTGTACGTGCGTAGCCCAAAATCGGCAGGAATAGGACAGATGGGGAGGAATAGATGTTTTGACTCGTTGAGGTAGCCCGATGTCTTGTGAATTAGGGATGTATGAAGACTTCAAATCACATATATTGAAACGAAGGCCATGTTCCATCACTCGAAGTGATGCAAAAGCAAGGTCGTATTGTGCGTCGGACACCTCGACGAAAAAGTCCCCGCTGGATGATTTGTCTGTCAGGAAGTCACGGAAAGATGCATGAAGGGGTCGGATGGCAGAACATGAGTTGGTGGTGCCGCTGAGAAGCGATCCCATATGTTTTATAATGTCCGTGCTGTCATGCTTGTTTCTGTCTGGAAAGTGGCTCCGCATGGCATTGATAGAGTCGAAAGGCAGTGGTTCAGCTGTGCCAAGGATCTGTCCCATCACAGAACGAAAACCTGCGAGTGCTTCTTCGTACTCGTCACCGTCATATTGATCCCTGTTCATAATTGCTTTCAAAATGACCTGATAGATATCGTACAACAGATTTTTCTGCTTCCCTGCACTGCGATTCACGACAGCATCAAAGCGAGGCATTTTGCGTACACCAACAGGGATATCGTTGATGTATCTGCAGGCGAGACGCGCCCACTCGAAGAGTCCATCGGCTTTCCGAGCAAGGGCTGCAAGATGTTTGTCCCGAAAATCTGACAGCTCTTTCAACTCCTCAGATACGAAGGCGAGAATGTCGCGCTCCACGACTTCTGGTGGAATATCGTCCATGGACAACCGTAGAATATGATCAGTACCTTCAAACTCCTTTGCGATATCGTGAAGCGGGCGAGAGGTGACGAGAATCCGAAAGTCGGATGGAAGTTCAGTGATTTTGGGAAGTCCTTTGTCCTGAAGTCTACCCGCAAGTATGCGCAGAAGGTTACGCCGCGTCTCCACTCCGCCACTCTCATCCAGTGCCTCAATCACGATCAAGACGGGCCCCACACCTGACGCAGAGAACTTCTTCAGTGGGTCCATGAGAAGCTTGCGCCACTGCTGGATGATGTCCGTCGTATTCTTGAGTGAGTTTGCGTCCTTGACTGCATCCGCCAACGCTCGTCTCATCCCCGGATCACAATCAGCAAGGTCGCGCGCGATGGTGGAGAAAATCTTTTCATGGCGACGGTCTGCTTCTCTATTCTTGTCGAAACAAAAACAAGAACCAAGCCCTCCCATCTCGTTGAACCAGTTGGCAATCGTGTGGGCGATGGCTGATTTGCCCTTGCCTGCAGGGCCAGATAGCCACATTACACGCGGAACAGCATCTCCACTGCTGTTGATCCACTGGGTGATTTGGGAGAGAATGTCCGTGCGAGTGCCTGAAAGACATTGCTTCGCGGTATCAAGCCCAGCGCCCCCTGCATAAGGCATACCGCTGAGATCGAGTGTTTCACCTTTGAGGATATGAGTGGATATGAAGTCGGAGGCACGTATGAACCCTTACCCGCACACTGGACAAAGATAGCTACGTTCCGATCAGCTTGGTCCCGAAATTGTTGCATAAGTCCATCAAAAGCGTCGTTATACCGTGTGATCATATCATCTGTTTCCGCGACGATGTTTTTGCCGGTTCTCGTCCCTATGATCATGGTATAAGATTTATGTATGAAATACAATGGTTCAACGACTCACAAAAGCTCTTTGTCTCTGAGTAATCCCTGATGAAACGGGCACACTCGAGAGTTTGCTGAGCGATCCTTCCAATGACATCGTCCATCGATTCAACCTTGGAAAGACCGTCGTCTTGGATAATGAAGCTGTATACTTCATCTAATTTGTTGAGAAGACGATGTACTGATTTGTCGCGCTCCGCCTGAGCAAGAATAATCTATAGCCATGACTTGTCAGGAGGGTCAGAACTCCGGGCAAACAGAACGTACCTTGGATGCGGCAGAAAGTACGCCCAGCGCCATCTTTGCATATGGATGTACCTATACGTTGATTAATTCGCTTTCAAATAAGAAGGGCGGCCCATACATTCGCGATTTTCTCAATAACGGTGTCAAAAATTTTGAGGGGTTGAAGGTATGTGATCTGGAAGTTGTCTGCGGCAGCAAGTTCTGCTGGGGCATTGATTGCAGCGGACGTCGCCGATATCGCAGGTCCCCCGAGTAAATTCATGCGCCTCGCAGCCTCATGGGCACTCCGAATTTCAACACTCGCCGATTTAGCACTAGAAGTTTCCTCCACACCGGGAGGGGTGACGAGAACCTGTGCGACCACTGGAATTTAGAGACGAAACCTATATAATTTGACACAAGCTACCTTCAAAGCAAGTTCTCCGGATGGGCCTTGGTCGACGCAGCCACTGGGACCACCAGTTGTGGTGGGAGGACTCCCATGTGATTTGTCCTGGGCGCCTCTGAGAAAAACTAAAGGATAACGAGTTCGAACACCTACCTCGATTTTCTGGTTCGGCGCACTTTGAAGGTCGATGTTCTGAGCCGCAGAATTGGGCTTGCGGGAACGCTTGAAGCGTTTCTGCACGGTGTCGGCCGTATTCGGAATCAGGACAACTCAGCAGTCTGCTCACAGATATTTTCTTAGCGATTCGTGTTGTAAATTTCTGCATGGCTTGCCGGACCCGTCTACGGGGTTTATTATGGACTACGAACGTATCGGAGGCAGCTATAGATATTATTAGCGCTCATCCATGGTGAATGAGCTCATGGGAACACCGTGACATACAGAGCTTGCACCAGCGGTTGCTCCGCAAGTTTCTGGAGGAAGATCGGGTATATGGTCTTCGCTTATCACGAATGGTGGATTAGTGTGAGGGAAGTGGGGGTGCAAGAAGTAGTGGGTGGGGAAAGGGAGTAGACCTCTTGTCATGTAGCACGAGCCGAATTAACACCCTTGACTGCAAGCTTCGAAGCATAGCCAACACGTTGACTTGATTCTTAAAGCGCTAATCATGATTACGAGCCATGATATTTGCCGAAGGAATAAGGGCGAGATCTAGACAAACTTAGCACATAAATGATGGGTATTGATCGAAATGCCAAATGCACAGTTGATTCACTATGTAGCATGCTGCACACGCAAGGTAAGTGCATGCAATATTCTGTGTGGGTCCATGATCAGAGAGAGTCGTCGGAACAACATATTGTTGCAGATAATGCGCTCAAGTCATCCCGCCTGCGACCGTGCAGCGTCCCAAACAGAACGACATTTGGCGCTTGCTGGTGAGTCATCTTCCCTGAATGTGGACTCAATATCAATGAACATGTGTACATACCTCCAGGTTGTGCGGACCCTTATATCTGAACTCGCAGGTTGTGATGACTGTATAGTGCAAAGTCCAGAAAAATTAATCTCGCGGCTCGAATTCGTTCGCGGTTTCAATATGTATTCAATTAATGCCGTTCATGATATCCCTTTGTCATTAAATTCTTAGTAATACTAGTCAGATCTCAATCATATCTTATGACAAGCCTTACTCCGTTCGGCCATTCGTTTGCAAGCATAGCGCGTTCTCACTCTTGATAACGCATGGTACAGGCAAACCGCGCATCAACATAGCATGATGTGGTGGACGAAATAGACACCGAACCGCCGGTTATTCGTCCTGATGACATGAAATGTCTCCGATGGTACGAGGCGCACACAAAAACAGACAACATTTTCACCTAAATACTCATGCCTGCGCCTGTATGGACTTGAGAATGAACCCCTCGAGCCCACCGCACACCCACAGCTCCTGCACGCTTGCGCCCACCGTGCGTACTTTGTAGGTTTTTTCTCCATCAGAACTACGCAGAATGACGTTTCCGTCCTTCATCGAAACATGTATCTGGTGCCCTTTGTCCACTGTGAGCTCACCTTCGCGTCCACCTGCACCACGTGCACCGCCTTTGGCATATGCCACAGTGAGGTCAGCGACGAGCTCGGGACATTCGAGGCAAACAAGGCCGTTATTGATGGCATTACGCTTGAATATGTCACCGAATGAGCCTGCAATGACGAGTGGCACTCCAGCTGCTTTGAGCGCGGTAGCAGCTTGTTCGCGAGAGGACCCAGTGCCGAAGTTGTACCCCGATACCAAGACCACCCCGGACTTGGTGCTCTCATCTGATGCGGTGAGTGAAGGGAGTATAGTAGCAACGTGGCCTGCGAATGATGGGTCGTAGTTCTCCATAACGACTTGTGCTTGGCGTTCAAGGGTGATGTCATCTTGGTAGGTGTATTTTCCAGGGTATAGTGCGTCGGTGTTCAGGTTATCCTGTGGTGCAAAGAGCAAGCGGCCAGAAAAGGCTGTGGGGAAGCCAGGGAAAAGGGGTTCTTCTGCCTGCGGTACCTCTACCGTGTCCGAAGAGCCAGAGGCAATAGAGAAGGCGGGTGCACCCACGGGAGGGAGCGAAGTTGCGTCGAGAGAATTGGGGGAGCAGATGAATCCCTTCACAGCGCTCGCAGCAACGACTGCCGGACTGGCAAGGTATGCCTGAGCCTTAGGGTGGCCCATCCGCCCCTTATAGTTCCTGTTCGTAGCGCTGATGCCCGTCTGACCCTCTTCCAACAACCCAGTGCCGAGCCCGATGCATGGCCCACAACCTGCTGGAAGCACTTTGGCTCCTGCAGCAATCAACTTGTCCCAGTGCCCCAGCATCTCCGCCTCGGCTTGCACCAGCGAGCTCGCAGCTGCGACGTAGAACTCGACGCCATCTGCAACCTTCTTGCCCTCAACAACAGACGCGGCTGCAGCAATATCAGAAACACGAGAATTGGTGCACGAAACCAGGTATGCTTTCTGGATCGCAATTTGCTGTGATTCTAGCTTGGGAAGTGGGGTAGAGACTTTGACGCTGTTAGGACCGGAGACGTGGGGGACGAGGGTAGAGAGGTCGAAGATCAGGTGCGAAGAGTACTGGGCACCAAGATCGGACGCAAGGTTGGTTGCACGGAGAGCATCGAGACGACGGCGATTGATACGTGGGTGTTCTGGAGGAGGGGGTATTGACTCAGAGGCAAAAGTCCTTCGCTCTAATTTCACCAATGCACTCTCGTACCAGCTTAAAAGCATATCGTCGACAGGGAAGACGCCTACTAGTGCGCCCCATTCCGTTGTCATGTTCGAAATCGTGAGCCTATCGTCAACCGAAAGCGCGGAGACACCCTCCCCGGTAAATTCAATTGCAGCGTTAAGGACTTCATCGTTGTTGAATGACCCGCAAAGCGCGACAATGACATCTTTTCCGGTGACGCCTGGTGCAAGTTTTCCCCGCAATTCCACCTTGACCATACGAGGGACCTGCCACCAAGTCTTCCCTGTAGCCCACAAGGCTGCCGCATCTGTGCGCACGATGGGTGTACCCACGCAAGCGACGCCTCCGTACATGTTTGAGTGCGAATCAGAGGCAACAGTAAGGGTGTGCGGGAACGCGTAGCCTTCTTCTACGAGGACTTGGTGCCCAATGCCACGGCCAGCAGGATAGAAGTCAATCCCATGTGTGCGTGCAAATGCTTCAATTGTAGCATACTTGGCAAGATTTTTGTCAGATTTGTTCTGGACGTCGTGATCGAGGGTGAACACCGTCTGCCGGGGATCGACAATTTTCGTTGCGCCTATAGACTTGAATCTACATGCACATCATATGAATGATAGATTTAGATGAGAGAAGAAGAGAAGCCACACTTGGATATGACAGGGCCAGTGTTGTCGTGCGTCATGACATGCTCCGGGCGAATCATGACATAGTCACCCGCTTTGACAACTTTGCCATCGGGGAGGCCGACTGAGTACTTTTGTACAACTTTTTCGATGATGGTCTGAGGAATTCGGGGAGTGGGTACAGTGGTAGCGAAGAACCGCGCCGTTTGCAGGCACACCCGACTGGGTATGCGCGGTGGAAAGCGCATCACAAGTGGCGCAGTGAGTGAAAAACCTGCGGCAAGAAAGTCTTGTGTCGAGACTCAAAAACGTTGGAGAGAAACCCAAGAGAAACTGCAGACCACTTATAGTTAGGGAACCGAATAATAACAACAAGCTAACACGATTTCATCCACATGATAGCACGAGTATACATTATCCATACACTACGTAAATTACAAAGGATGTCACGACAGGAAGGACTATGCGCCAACGACTCCGACAGCGACAGCTGTAGCAACTGCAATAGGTGCAGTAGCCGGGGATTTCAGCACTTTCTCCTTGACCGCGTCCTTCGGAGGAGTTGATGACTCGGGTGAGTTGGAAGTATGGTTTGTCTTTGCCTTCTTTTTCTTCTTCATGAGACCTGCAAATTGAAATGTCAGCACAAACATTGTGTAGTGGACGCCGTATACTGACCTGCAGACACTGCAGATTTAACATTGTCGACGATCTCTCTACTTTCCTCGAGGTATTCTGTGTCATCGAATCGATGCTTCTTGCCAGCCACAGCCTCCGTATCTCCTGATGCAGCTGCAATCTTCTTCTCGAGTGTCTCTAACTTGGCTTTTCTGGCCTCAACCTGAGCCTTCTTCCGTTCATCTTCATTTCCCATGTAGTCCGCAAGCCTAAAACAATATTATTAATGTGTCAAAACCTGCAGTAGTAAGAGGACTACCTTTTCGCGGTCTTGATGGTACTAAGCCTACGCCCACTAAGATCTCTGCATGAGTCGTTATTGCTGGTCTTCTGACTACTCATGCGACCACCAGCGGCACGCAACTGCGAACCAAAACCTCCCTTGCCACCTCGGAGTCGAGGAATAAGTTTCAGCGTAATAAGAGTCGCATCTCGTCCGTGAATCTCAGAGATGAGAGTGTCCGGTGTAGGGACCGATCCAGCATGAGATGAAATTCTCAAGTCCTCTGAAGCAGGGAGATCAGAATAGCGCTCGCATAAAAGAGAGTACAGGTCATCAAAGCGTGTTTCTGGAGAAACGGAGAGAGAAAGAGTGGGGAATGGAGCAAACGTTGAGAAAAGAACCGTGGTGGTCATGGTAGACAGCAAATGTGATTATGTAACCCTGCGGGTCAGTTTCAACCAACTCCAATCACCCCTGTGAACAACCGCAGTCATCTTTCACCAACACCAGCAAGCACGACAACTTAATCAATTGCGACCTGATTCTCTCTAATCGACATGGATTTCTGGCGTGTACTCACACATGAGGCGCCTATGTTTGTCTGGCCCGTCAAATTCTGTGTGGCCATGACTGTCGTCACATACGTGCTCTCCATCCTGACTAGCAACGTGTCCCAGGTGGACAGAGTCTGGACGTTTCTTCCAACAATATACACTGTATACTATGCTTTGCTGCCACTTTGGCCATCCGATCCGCTTGCCTATCTCTTTCCCTACACCCCTGATACAATCTCCGCATCTCTGAGGGAGACCTACAGTCCACGAGCCTTGCTAATGGCAAGCCTGGTGGTGAGTAATCCATCTGCTCAAGTGGTTATAGTCAGCTTAACGACAGTTAGGTGACATGGATGTTCAGGTTGGTTACATGTTTCGTCAGATCCATTCATGAATCTCACCCTCCGCAGGTTAAGTTACAACACTTGGCGACGTGGTTTGTTTAGTCTGTAAGTTCCATGTTCATTGTCGAGTAACTTAAAATAAAGACGTGTTCACAGCAAGGATGAGGATTATCGCTGGGAAATTCTGCGACAGAAAATTCCCCCTTTCCTCTTCCAAGTTTTTAACCTCACGTTTATTGGTACGTCTATGACGTATGCATTCGTATCTAGAAATCAACTGACTCAGCATAAGCAATCGCGCAGAACATAATCTTATTCCTCTTGGGCCTTCCAGCCGCCCGTGCAGCGGCTCAACCACATACACCCCTCTCGACTTCGGATTATATCCTCGGAACTCTAGGATTTCTCACCATCCTCACCGAGTTTATCTCAGACAACCAGCAATACTCTTTCCAGACATTTAAACATACCGGAAAGCTGAACCCAAATGAATGGCCTGGTGCAAACATTCAATGGACCAAACAAGATGCTGAACGGGGATTTGCGACACGCGGTTTATGGGCTTGGTCACGGCACCCAAATTTCCTGTGCGAACAGAGTTTCTGGGTATGTGTATCTCCTTTCGCAGTTTCTGTTCAACGTTAGATGTTATCACTGACGACAACCTTTCTTACGCAGATCATAATCACCCTTATCCCCATCCTCTCACCTGATTCACCGAAGCTCGACTTCCCGCCGACTTCACTCGCATCTCTCACACCCTTCCTTCCATGCGTAGTTCTCTGCAGTTTGTTCTTCTCTTCGACGATTTTTACCGAGTCGATATCGAAGGCAAAGTATCCCGTTGCATACTCGGCTTACCAAGAGCGTGTGGCAATGTTTGTGCCTTTGCTCACCCCCGTATGGGGGGCGCTTCTGGGCGTTCAGGGCAGAAAGGGGAGTGTCGATTCGCTGGTCTATGGTACCGGACCGGACTCCAAGGGAAAGGGAAAAGCTGAGTGAAGATCTTTGCACGTGTTCGATATCGAAGTTTTTCTCCATCTCCGTATATAGCTGTTTCCCCTGTCATACATCGAAAATAAATTATTGACTGATCTTGTAAGAACAAGTATGTCTTGGTGATTTTAAAATATGTGGATTGCATATTTGAGAACGGTCGAGCGGAAAAACGAGTCCAGCCGCAGCGGGAACTTGTCACGAGAGTCTCATTGAGTACGCTACGATGATTCAGAAATAGACAAGGTGCGAGAGGATGCGAGACTACCTTCCAAATCTAGCTCGGCTATTTGGGTGGCAGGTGCCATCAATATCGGACCGCTCGGAGCCCAAGTTGTTCTCACTTGACAGGGATATGGACTCCGGAGATCGGCCGTCCGCGCCCCGCTGGAGTATACAATCAGACCAGCAGCCTTCGTCCATAACTTAGACACCAACCACTCCAATGGCATCGTTAAAGGTTGCAGTTATTACGGGGGCATCCTCTGGTGCGTATTGATTGCATTTCACATTTAGTTCTATGCTCACTTCCGAGGCACGCTTTCAGGTATTGGACGCCATACAGCCATCAAACTCTCCTCCGAGGGCTGGAGCTTGGCATTGACTGCTCGAAGGTTAACTGAGCTCGAAGGAACAAGGTCCCTCTGTTCAAATCCCGATGCATGTATCCTCGTTCCTGGTGACATCACAGACGAAGCCTTCGTCAAAAGCCTGTTCGAGGAGACCATAAAGAAATTCGGTAGACTGGACCTGTTGTTCAACGTGAGTGGTGTGCTCCTTTTCCCGTGGTTTGTCGTGCATCTTGGTCGTAGATTGACGATATAATAGAATGCGGGCTTGTCTGACAAGGCGAACCCCATCGAGGACATGCCGCTCGAGATGTTCACATCGGTAATTAATGTCAACCTCATTGCTACGTTCCTTTGCACTCGCGAAGCTTTCAAGAACTTCAAGAAGCAAACACCCACTGGAGGTTTGTGAATCAGTATCATTTTGAAAGCGCGGTGTATTAATCTACAGCGTTCCTATGCAGGAAGAATCATCAACAACGGCTCCTTGGCTGCTCATGTGCCAAGGCCTCATTCTGTTGCGTACGCGGCCTCCAAACACGCCGTGCACGGTTTGACTAAGACCATCGCAATCGAGGGGCGAAAATACAACATCGCCGTGACGCAGATTGACATAGGTGTGTACCTTGACAATACCAGAGGAGGTTGATGCGACTGTGGTTTTACCAGGAAATGCGCACACAACGATGGCTGCAGGACACACTTTAGGAGCATTGCAGCCTGATGGTCGGAGAGTAGTCGAACCGACTTTCGATCCGGTACACGTTGCGGATGCCATTGCACATGTTGCGAGCCTGCCCACGTCTGTCACGGTGCTGGAGATGAATATCATGTGAGTGTGCAACTTTTTTTCTTGGGTTTCGGATACTGACCTGCTACGCAGGGCGACTGGTGCTCCTTACGTCGGAAGAGGATGACCGTCGACATTACAAACGATAAGTGTGGACGAAGACGGCGGGATGCCTCAGCAGAACTTTTACCTGAGCGTGTTGACATCGTTTTAGATTTCATGTGTACTACGACCCACACCGTCTGTCAATGCATGCAAATAAGAATTGTCCGTGCAAGTGCCATGATATCAAGTTGAGACAGTGCGCGGTGGTCACTGGTGGTTAACCTAATTTGTCATCCCGTCATATGCACAATGCATGAACGAGATGCTTGGTACTTCCCGGTGATGAACAAAGACTTGAACGTATGGCAGACGAGGCCAAAACAGTCCCAGGCTGCTCCCAGCGGAGATCATCTCTGCTGGGGACTGTATCAGTTAATGGCGGCCCGCGGGGTGGAAGTAGCGACCCAAGACAGCTGCCGATTGGCATGACACTGCATCGTGATTTAGATATTAGAGTTTGATTAATTGTGGACCCTCCCGGACCGTTACGTTATTTATGTACTCACACAAATTTATGAAAATCATGTCACAAACGGTGGTCCATGGAGAATATCGAATGAACAATGGAGCACCAACCTGCACTACAAACACACGCTTGAAAAAAAGTGACACCAGCAATGGGGATCTATTATGTAGCAGGTCTGCGAGACAATTCATTGTTGGAAAAAAAGCTGAGACAGGCCTAGGAGGGTGGTGCATGACATTCAATCAGAATCCAGTCTGCAGCGCCCAGCAAGACTATAAACCAGATCCAGTGTTCATAACCTGTTGATTACAGGTTATGAGCCTTGATCTTGCCTACGTTCTCGACTGATGGTGCTTGCGAAGTTGAACAAGGCTGTGGCATACATGGGAGGAGACAACGAAAAGGATCACCCTAGATCACCCTATATACGTTGCCGGGACTATCCGACCAAGCTTTACAAAGTACCTAGCCAGACCATAAACGGAAGATAGTCATTCCTTCTTGATTACGAATATACAATGCAAGGGACATGAAGAAAAGTGCCGATGGGCCAAGTCAGAAATATACATCATATATATCAGGCAGCATGCCGGCAGATAATCAGCTTACCACCAAAGTTGCAAATGACCCTGAAAAGCTTCTCAAGTATAAAGTAAACTTCTGTCATGCTGTAGACGCCGCTACTTCCGCCGCCTTCTCGGAATTAGAACACAACTGAACGACGTCCTGCTCTGGCCTGCCTATTCGTTCGTCGTCAGTTCCCGATGTCGTGTCCGATACAGTCCCTGTGAATGCTATATCCGTAGGTATTGCAGTAACTCGCGTCGACCACTCGCATGTAACTGCCCGCCCCCGTGCAACACGAATGATGATCAGCAATTGGGCGATGCCCTGGTTCAACAAAGACAACTAGCATCAGAGACGCAGGTACCTCAGATTTTTATCTGCTTACCTGAATTTTGCTAATAGATAGGAAACATAGAGTGGTGAGGCCAAGTGCATGCGTAGCAAATGCAACTATGAAAACGATAGCGAAGACGGAATATAACGCTGCGGACTCGATGACCATGAGGGCGATAGTATCATATGTGCTGGAATCATATTGGGCCATGATCTGCCTCATGCGTCCTCGCATGACGAACAAGCGATTCGTCACGAGAATGGTATACATCAAGGTGTGCCCTACTTCGAGGCAGAGGTAGGCAAGCTCGATCGTGATGCTGTAAAATGAAGCACCGGTGCTCGCCTGGCCCACGACGAGGATAGACAACACTTCTCCGTATGTCAGTGACTGCTGTCGTTTGGTGAATGGTGAACTGTACCGATCATGGCAATATAGATTGTGATCATCGGTACCATCACCCATCTTGACCAATTCCATATCACAAAACATCGGTGGAGCTAAATATTAATATTTTAAGCATCAGATTTGTAGAGACAATCTGGCGAACTATTTGGCTCACGAGCAGAGCTTGCATAAACCACTCCTGAATGTGACCACTAGACGGGGCGTCAGTCTAGAGTCTGAAACGGGTAAAGAACGGTTACGTGGCAAGTGCCAGGACGTTGATATCATTACTCATGTAGTTCTTGATTAGCGCAAGCGGACCGCCGGGTGCATCACGATTGTCTATCCAAATCATTTCCGTATACTTTGCGTGCATAGCAAAGCTTATCGTGCCCAATACGAATGTGATGAAGACGTAGAACAGAAGCGCGTGACGATGTTCTGCAATTTTCCCCCCATATCGAGGCCTTTGCATGAGAGCAATCCAGGCTTGCACTGTAAGGAAAAAAAATGTGCCTATTGCGGTACATAAGTCCTTCTGCATTATCGTATCCGAACGAAAACACACCGTAGAGTACACACGATAACATCATTCCATCAAGGCGAAATTTTTCAATGGATAGATTCGTCTGTGGGGTTCCGGATGACATGGCCCCAAATTTGATGGCCGAATAAAGGGAAGTTAAAGAAGACACGAAGTACTTGGCCGAGGTGCAAGTGATGGAGACAACAAGTGTTGGTAGATATTTAGTGACGAATGGAGAGCAGCCATTTTATGAAGAACTCGGAATAGGGTTTCAACTATGGAGATAACAAACCAGCTGCCAAATGCACGAGGTTAAGATAACGTGAGGGTCCAGGGATGTCACTCACAGACACAATATTTTGACATGCAGGATCCTGTACATAAGAATCAGATAACAAGCCAAAGCTAAGGGGTCAAGTTACTGTTCTGAAAGGCTGCTTGATCTCGAGCGTCGTAGTCGATTCAAAACATGCTCTGTTCTACACGAGATCGTCAATTCCAAGCTTGCCGCGGCATTATCATGATGGCTCGGTTATTTTACACAGAATTTCGCACACAAACCTGAACGTCGACCTTCATGTACCTCAGTTTCACGTAACCTAGTAAGCCTGCCCAGCCCAGCCATCATCCATGGCAACGGTAGAAAGAGAACACTGATCACAATCGCGTTGAAAAAATTGGATCCCTGGATGCCGCGACGTTCCACTACAGAAATATCTGGCGAGACGGGTTGCGACCCTTGCGACAAAATGAGGGTGCTCCCTGTCAGTCGAGCCCATAAGTAGAAGAATTAATGGACCTGGCTCGTCACCGCAAGGAGAAGACAAGCAGTGCAGCAATATTGGCGTACAAGGATAGACGAGCGCTAGAGCCTAGAGGTGTGTATGTTGTTTCGATACTTGCGTTCCAGCTTCGTCTGGCGTTTGATTAACGTGTGGTGCGACTGTAGTGGTTGGTTTGAGCCCAGAGTGTTAATCTGGGAGGGACACGAGTGCGGAAGCCGCTGGGAGGGCGGGTCCGCACACTGTGGATTTATCGCACCACGAGTAATTACTTGTGTACAAACGTAACATACAGAATAGACAAAGTGAATCGAAACGAGAACTATAAGACAAAAACCAGCACCCAAGACACGAAACGAGAACGATAAGACCAAAGACCATTGGGAGGGTGGGAGGGGGAAATAAAGTACGATTAGGAGGCTATAAGCTAAGGCTCGTTGACCACGGTGAGCGTTGGTCTTGTCGGCGTGTTGGACGTCGAGAGAAGAAAATTGGTGTGGCTGTGCACACGCTCAGCTGGACGTTAGGTGCCGGTCCTTTCCGCAGGCTACAAGAACCGGCACTGAGACAGCCCTGGCACTGTTCTTTCAAAGTCCGCCCGCAACCTATCATGCAAGACTATGAACGAAGAATTTTAGTCGACTCAATCCTTCGCATCAGGACTCTAAGCAACAACCTACGCTCGCGCCTCGCTTCGGGATAGAACGTTCATACAGCAACAGCTTATAGAACCCTTTCGGCTCATTTCCGGTCAAGTAGGGCCGGTTATTCAAGCCATTTATTCCAGATTCATGCAAAGTTCTTCCTGTCATTACCTCATCTTGGAACGAAGCTGCCAAGTCATTGGTGGATATGATTGGGCGGCTGCAGCAGATGCGGCCAAGCCACCACACAGTAATCGATAAAGCTGCCATAACACCAAGACTTCTCCTCTGATTGTTCTCTCTATGCACTCCCAGTTCCTTGCGGCAGCTCTGAGCCTGGGATCAGCCGCTCTAGCATCACATGAGCAGTTCCTGATCAACACCGCTGCTGGCGAAATCGGTGTTCGACCCTTGGATGTCACCACTTTAAATCCTAGCCATGCTTACAGCATCAGCTCCAATAATGAGCAGTGGAGGTTTGACAGATGTCCTTACGAAAATGCGACAAGGAACTTGATCTTTGACACTGTCCATTCATTACTGCAGCACTGGCCAAATACACGATACCGTAATGGTACATTTTTGCGGCCCTGCAGATGTTGGAACAAAGTTTCACCTTTTTATAGGACATAATATAGTACCAGGAGTGATTCCAATTGGTACTTTGCTTTATCACGGCACCAACGGCTCGCAGACGATACCCAGCGAGCCCGAGTGGGCCGCTTTGGATCCGGAGCATTCAATTTTTTTTGCTCGTGGAAATGGGAGTGGCTGGCACCTCACGCTGGCAGCAACGCGACCTCTCAAAGTGTTGTACTTTGACGGAAGCAGTGCTGCCAAGCTTTCCGAAGGTACGATGGACATGCAGGATATCATAGTCTGGGGCGAACCACGGCCTGAGCGATTCTTTGATGAAAGTGACCGAATTCAAGGTCTCTGTAAGTGGGGTAAGGAGTTTGGAATCGACGGTTTCGTGAGGTAAGATGTGATTCAGTTTCCGTGACATATCACTAATTCTCATATCTCTAGGATGGAAATGGACTTGTGTGTATACTTGATTCTGTGTCACGCATCCAACTGACGGACATCCAGTGAAGTTATGTTGTGTGATTTCACGGCCGGCGTCGAGGTAGTATCTTTCCTGCATCTCCCCTTACCAAGGGACGACCGGTCATTCCCTCCCCCTGCTTCATTCGATTCTAAGACTTGTCAGTATTGTGTTCTAATGTTCCGACATAACTGATCTTATATCTTTTTGGGCGCAGGGAATCGTACGTTCGAAGTCTTGCACTCTGGCTCGTGGCACAATCACTACCCAGGAGATTCTCGTATTGTGTTGGACCTGACTGGTCTCATTTCATTGTATGATACGGTTTTGGCACCATCTCTCATCCCGGTTCGCGCGGGTCTTGAGCGCTGCGACCACCGCGTACTCGGAATATCATCAGACGACATATCGCAGGTGATGAGAAAGCTTATCGAAATTATCAGTCGACCAGACCCGGTGGGCAGCGGCATTGACTGGAAGACCCTCGCCCACGTTATAGTCGATCGATACGCGGATCGACTCGAGTTGATGCAGCATCTCCTCAATTTTAGCTCATCAGACTCGCAAGAACTCCTTCATCGAGCGAAGCTCGCGCAGACCCAGCTCCGTGTTATGCTTACACCATATATATCACATTCTACTGTCGTCCCCAGCGAGGTCACTTCAGGCGTAGATGCATCGCAATGGGCATCCCCAATTTTCAGGCTATGCGCCACAACACACACTTCCGGAATGATAAACCGAATACCCTCAATGACGTCTTCGGAACGTCTTCTGCTGACAGCCGTCGAGGACACAACGAAAGAAATCTGCCGTGTCACTACGAGAATGTGGGCTGGTGGTGTCATGAGCGGGCTCGACACCCTTTTTCACGTGGAACATGATGGGGAGCATGAAGTCACTCGATTGATGAATGATTGGAGACACGAGATCCAAAAACTGATGTCTTGGTTAGACTGGAGTGTATGGATCAAATGCCGACCTGCCTGCGGCCCAGAGGTGGGATCTAAAATAACTCCTTGCGAGCCGACTGGACTGAGCATCACATACTTTCAGGAAATGTGCTATCTCCCTACTTGGGATGGCCCCTTACCAACACACTCACCTCCTCAGAACCTCCCGAGTGTCCCGAAAGCAAGGTATTTTGCTGATCGAGTCGGACCTCCACCCGAGCGTCAAGCATTCCATGCCACGCCAGAGGAAGATCTGAAGAATCCTCAGCCAAGGTGCATTAGGCGCCTCCAGCCGTACGACTTCTGATCGTAACGAGCCTTCACATCGTTCTTGCAGTTGTGAGTCATCTGGATATACACTTTTTGATAGTTATGGGTTTGAGGAGGTTCACGAATGTGTATTGCCACTGCTGGAGTTTCAACATTGGAAATACAACGCATAATGACTCTGAGTAATGTAGGCAGCGAGGATCCAGGAGACTCGTCGAAGGACAGGTGGGGCAGAGCAGAAGGCAGCCGGCTGGAGTGTGGCTAGAGGATACATAAAACTATAGTCAGAGCTGAGAGCGCGCGCTGGTACAGAGACAACAGAGGTCACGTGTGGCGGTAGCGGCCGCTGGCACAATTTGCAAAGTCCTTCAGTCCTGAACCTACTACCTCGCACCGGGTATCGATCATAGAAAAATCATTTATGAATATATCTTACTTGGGCTATGAACTCTTTTGCCAAGCTCCTGTCTGGCCCACTGGTTTCTAGCACACTGGCCCCACGAAGGTAAGGATTCGTAATTTGAATATTTGGAAAGCTCATTCAAGCTTCTTGCGCAAGTTTAGACCAATTGGGCCACACTGCATGCAGCAAATGTTGCCACACAGTCACGAACTTGGTACTTTGATAAAGCTGCCGCAGCATCAATATCTCTTTGGCAGACTGCAGCTCTCTTTATGCGATCACAGTCCATTGCGGCAGCTCTGAGCATAGGGTCAGCAGCTCTGGCCTTACATGACCAGTTTCCGGTCAATACTGCTGGAGAAACCGGCGTTCGACCCTTGGATATCACCATCTCGACTCACCCTGGCGCTGCATACAGTGTCAGCTCCAACAGTGAGCAATGGAAGTTTGACGAATATCCTCTCGAGAATGCGACAGGGAATTTGATCTTTGACACTGTCCATTCATTCCTGCAACACTGGCCAAATACACGATATCGTAATGGTGCGTTTTCATAGTGTTGCTGACGCTGGACAAATGTTTCACCTTTTCAAAGGACATAACATAGTACCAGGAGTTATTCCAGTTGGCACTCTGCTTTATCACGGCACCAACGGCTCGCAGACGATACCCAATGGGCCCGAGTGGACCTCTACGGACCCAGAGCATTCAATTTTTTTTGCTCGTGGAAATGGGAGTGGCTGGCACCTTACGCTGGCAGCAACGCGACCTCTCAAAGTATTGTACTTTGATGGAAGCAGTGCTGCTAAACTACCCGAAGGTACGATGGACATCCAGGACATAATCATCTGGGGAGAACCTCGACCTGAGCGATTCTTCGATGAAAGAGACCGGATTGAAGGTCTCTGTACGTGGGGCAAGGAGTTTGGAATCGATGGTTTTGCGAGGTTAGATGCGAATCCACTCTCCGTGACATCACTTAATCTCAGATTCTTAGGATGGAAATGGACTTGCAAGTATACTTTTGATTTTGTGTCGCGCTTCCGACTGATTAACATCTAGTGAAGTTATGTTGTGTGATTTTACGGCCGGCGTCAAGGTAGTGTCTTTCCTGCACCTCATCTTACCAAAGGACGAACGGTCATTCCCTCACCCTACTCCACTTGATTCTGATACCGGTCAGTACTGTCTTATCGTGGCATAACATATCTGATATTATATATACCTGAGCACAGGGGCTCGCACGTTTGAAGTCTTGCACTCCGGCTCATGGCACAATCGCTACCCAGGAGATTCCCGCATTGTGCTGGACCTAACTGGTCTTATCTCACTGTATGATATTGCTCTGGCACCATCCCTCATCCCGGTTCGCGCGGGTCTTGAACGGTGCGACCACCGTGTGCTCGGAATATCATCCGACGACATATCGCGGGTGATGAAAAGGCTCACCGAAGTTATTACTCGACCAGACCTAGTGGATAGTGGCATTGACTGGAAGACCCTCACCCACACTATAGTCGATCGGTATGCAGATCGACTTGAGTTGATGCAGTATCTTCTCAATTTTACCTCGTCAGACTCGCAAGAACTCCTTCAGCGAGCGAAGCTCGCGCAGACCCAGTTCCGTGTTATGCTTACACCATATCTATTACAGTCCACCGTCGTCCCCAGCGAGGTCACTTTAGGCATAGGTGCATTGCGGTGGGCATCCCCAATTTTCAAGCTATGCGCCACAACACACACTTCCGAAATGATCAACCAAACGCCTTCAATGACGTATTCGGAACGTCTGCTGCTGGATGCCGTCAAGGACACAACGAGAGAGATCTGCCGTGTCACTACAAAAATGTGGGCTAATGGTGTCATGAGCGGGCTCGATACCCTCTTTCACGTGGAACGTTATGGGGATGGTGAAGTCACTCGATTGATGAATGATTGGAGACGTGACATCCAGAAGCTGATGTCTTGGTTAGACTGGAGTGTATGGATCAAATGCCGACCTGCTTGCGGCCCAGAGGTAGGATCTAGGAGAAGTCTTTGCGAGTCGACTGGACTGAATACTTCCAGGAAATGTGTTATCTCCCTAGCCCGAGGCCAAAACATCCACCTCCTCAGAACCTCACGGATGCCCCTGAAGCAAAGTATTTTGCTGATCAAATTGGACCTCCTCTACCCGAGGGTCTAGCTATCGCAGATACACCTTTCTTCCATGTGATGCCGGCGGAGGATATGAGGAAGCCTCAACCAATTTGCATTAGGCGCCTCCAGCCATACGGGTGATTCAATAGGCCTCCGATGATGATTTGACATTACGATTGTAAGTTACCTAGACGTAACACTTTGTAATAGTCCTGGGCTTGACGAGGTTTGTGAACGTTCATTGCTGCTGGAGTTTTAATGTTTTCTAATACTACTTCATGTGTCTTTTCTTTCCACCATCGCTCCTTCTCCCGATCCATCATTGTCAACCTTTCATCTTCAATTCTCAAATTTCCGACGGATGTGTCAAGTTCTCGTCAAAATCTCGCAACAACCGAACGCCGTCTCGGCCATAACGGTAATATACTCTTCTCCAGACCTGAACCGCTTTCGTGCGGTTCAGCTTAATAAGAGAACGTATGCTGGTGGATGTCAGTTCCACGATCGCAGCTGGCAGCGAGAACACCGTTTCGCATTCTTCGAGTGCGATTTCATTATTTCGCCTCGAAAACCACTGGCGATGTATAGGTCATTTTCCACGTTGAAAGTCGCCATGACATGCATTCCGATTAATATTGCTGGTTCCATTCTATTCGGGGGTCTAGCCCTTTCATCTCGCTCTCTGCCATGCTTCCTTTTCGGCTTCGTAGCCTGCGACAGTGTTAGAGGTCGGTTTTGGAATGTGTCATATGCTGCAGCTGGGCAGCTACTGGCATGTTGAACGTGCTGCAGCAAGTCTAACCAATCTGGATCGGCGACTCTTACTTGCTCTTTGAGTTGAACCACAACTCTGCACTGTCTCTGTGCTCCGGTCAATCTTCGCACTAGTAATTCTTATCAGCGCCAAATCATAGCGGGTTTTCGGATTTGAATCTTACCCTATCTTACCTCATGTTGGAACCGAACTTCGCGTATGCCGATTCGTTAAGTACAATCCTGGGCGCAGAGCTGCCAGCCTGTGGGCCACATCGTCGAGATCAATTTCTATGCGCTGCCAGTTCCTTGCGGCAGCTCTGAGCTTACTAGGATCAACGGCTCTAGCATTACATGCCCAATTTCCGGTCAAGACTGGGGAAATTGGTGTTCGACCCTTGGATGTGAACCCTGGCAATGCATACAGTGTCTGCTCCAACAGCGAGCAATGGAAGTTTGACGAATATCCTCTCGATAATGCGACAGGGAACTTGATCTTCGACACTGTCCATTCATTCCTGCAGCACTGGCCAAATACGCGATATCGTAATGGTGCGTTTCCGCAGCGTTGCTGGCGCTAGAAAAAATGTTTCACCTTTTCCTAGGACATAACATAATACCAGGAGTTATTCCAGTTGGCACTCTGCTTTATCACGGCACCAACGGCTCGCAGACGATACCCAGTGGACCTGAGTGGACCGCTACAGACCCGGAGCATTCTATTTTTTTCTCTCGTGGAAATGGGAGTAGCTGGCACCTCACGCTGTCAGCAACGCGTCCTCTCAAAGTGTTGTACTTTGATGGAAGTAGTGCTGCCAAGAATTCCGAAGGTCCGATGGACATCCAGGATATAATCGTCTGGGGAGAACCGCGACCTGAGCGATTCTTTGATGAAAGTGACCGGATTGAAGGTCTCTGTACGTGGGGCAAGGAGTTTGGAATCGATGGTTTTGCGAGGTTAGATGCGATTCCACTCTTCGTGATATCACTAAGTCCCAGATTTTTAGGATGGAAATGGACTTGCACGTATACTTTTGATTTTGTGTCGCGCTTCCGACTGATGAACATCCAGTGAAGTTATGTTGTGTGATTTTACGGCCGGTGTCGAGATAGTGTCTTTCCTGCACCTCGTCTTACCAAAGGACGAACGGTCATCCCTTCGCCCTACTCCACTTGATTCTGATACCGGTTAGTGCTGTCTTCTTGCGGCCGAACATGACTGATGTTGTGAGCGCAGGGGCTCGCACGTTTGAAGTCTTGCATTCTGGCTCGTGGCACAATCACTACCCAGGAGATTCCCGTATTGTGCTGGACCTGACTGGTCTCGTCTCATTATATGATACTGCACTGGCACCATCACTCATCCCGGTTCGTGCGGGTCTTGAACGGTGCGACCACCGCGTACTTGGGATATCATCAGACGACATATCGCAAGTGATGATAAAGCTCACCGAAGTTGTCAGTCGACCAGACCCAGCGGGCAGCGGCATTGACTGGAAGACCCTCACCCACACCATAGTCGATCGATACGCAGATCGACTTGACTTGATGCAGCATCTCCTCAATTTTACCTCGTCAGACTCGCAAAAGCTCCTTCAGCGAGCGAAGCTCGCGCAGACCCAGCTCCGTATCATGCTTACGCCGTATCTATTACATTCCACCATCGTCCCCGGCACAAGCGATTCGGGCGTAGATGCATCGCAGTGGGCATCCCCAATTTTCAGGCTGTGTGCCACAGCACACACTTCCAAGATGATAAACCACATACCCTTAATGACAGCTTCGGAACACTTGCTCCTGAAAGCTGTCGAGGACACAACAAAAGAGATTTGTCGTGTCACTACGAAAATGTGGGCTGATGGTGTCATGAGCGGGCTCGATGCCCTCTTTTACGTGGAACATCATGGGGATGGTGAAGTCACTCGATTGATGGATGATTGGAGACGCGACATCCAGAAGCTGATGTCTTGGTTAGACTGGAGTGTATGGATCAAATGCCGACCTGCCTGCGGTCCAGAGGTAGGATCTAAAACAAGTCTTTGCGAGCTGACCGGACTGAACATGATCTACTTACAGGAAATGTGTTATCTCTCTACTTGGCCCATCAATGCCCCCAGGCCAGAGCGTCCATCTCCACGGAACCCAGAGAACTACGCTCCGGAAGAGCAGTATTTTGCTGACCACGTCGAATCTCCACCCGAATACCCCACGGTCCCAACAGAGGACTGGAGGCAGCCTCAACCAAAATGCATCAGGCGCCTCCAGCCGTACGGATTTTGATTACGATGGGCCTTCATGTTGTTCTTGAGTTATCTGGACGTACATAAATTTTCTGACAATCCTGGGCTTGATGAGATTCACGCACATTATTTGCTTCTTGAGTTTCAACTATTTCACATCTCTGAATTCGTCCTTCAATGATTTGGTACCACACACAAAGCTGACGGGTACAGCAACACTTTCCAAATCCATCATGATTCATATAGGACCATGCGCAGCAAGTGCTACTATTACTTGTTAGAACAGTAGTCGAAGGTACAAGCAATCTCACGTTGCACGAAAAAAAATCCATCTCCTAACACTCCCCCGCTCAACTCCTCCAATACTGTGCCAAATCGTGAATCCGATCCAGCACAACCGTGAAATACGACGTCTCATTCAACAACGCCTCGAAATGCTTGATTGCCTCCTCTTCTGTCAAGTCCAACCGGAACTTCTCCTGGATCTGCTCATGCACGTCGCGGTGCTTGATGTCTGGAATGTTTGCATCCACCATCAGCGCTACCAAATTGAGAATCAGGTTGGCGCTTTTGCGGAGGATCGTAAAAGCGGTGAAGCAGAAGTTTTTGAATCGCGCGTAGTGCGTTGATTGTGCACCGCCCATGCCGTCCACCATCTCTTTGCACACTTTGACGGGAGGAGGAAATGGCTTAGGATCCCGACCAAGGATATACCCAAAATCGACTGTAACAAATGTCAGTAGGCTGAGGCGTACAGGCAAAATGACGCTGACCATGGAAAAAGTGACCTGTGGAGCCAATATTAGAACTGAAACCTACTGGTCATGAGTTTCACTTACCATCAGGTGTCAGTAGAAGGTTGTCTAAATGCCGGTCGCCTACACCTAGCAGGTATGTGACAACGCAGTATCCAGCTGCCAACAAGGCTTAGCGCACATAGCATACTGACAAAGTAAGACTCACCACAGCTGCGCACGAATGTATCAATAACGCTCGGCTCAACCCCATACGTTCCAACGCTACCCTCATCCGGATTATTCGCTCTCAGATAATTCAAGAGCGTCCCATTCTCACTGATGATTGCTGCGATAGTCTTGCTGGGTATAAACTGCACCATACCCTGCAACGGCCCAGTCGCCAGTACATCATAGGGAATGAGCTTCAGATCCAGATTCTCCTTCCTAAGCAATTGATCCATGAGCGTGAACAGCTGGAGAACCAGCTGGTCCTGGCGCATATCATCCCCATCTTTGAAAATCACAGGATACTCAGAGCCGTCAGAACACTGGAAATACAACAAGAAAGGGTAGAGATTCGACTTAAAGACGGACGACTTCTCAGCGTTGATGCCCGTGATCTCCATGCGTGCGTTAAGTGGCAGGGGCAGAGGAGCCATGTTGACGAGCCCGTTCTTGGAGTCGTTGATGAAGGAGCGAAGTTTTTCGATTTTCTTCGGTCGTGGATCTTTAGATGTGCGCAGCTCCTTGGCCCGTTTGGCAAGGGTCTCGACGAGGACCCCTTGCCGTCGCATGAGCTCGCGGCGTTCGCTGCCATTCTCGGACTGTGAAATCGTTTCGTCAGCGAGGGTAAGCACGAGTGAGTGTCCGGTTACCTCTAGAATCTTGTTCAGGAACTTGAATACCACACGCCCGTACATCTTCGCCACAACCCTATCCTCCAATTCCACTTCCACGATCAGATACCAGTACAGCCGGTTCCCCAGCGTATGGTTTTGCACTCCGCGTGCGATCAAAAAGTCTGTCAGTCCGCTGTCGTCATAAGATATCGCGCTTGTTGTAGATCGACTCGAGCGCTGTTCGCTAGCGGCACTTTCAAACTTGAGCGCCTGTACGAGTTGCAAGAGATATAACAGAAGCTCCTGCAAAGACTATCAGTGCCGCTATCACGTGGGGAAAAGAATGGCTTGACTTCATCGTCTGCGCGGTTAAGCTGCCGTACTGCGAACGCTCTTACTCTCGAGTCCACGGTCCCTGGTCCGAGCAGCTCCAAAGCATCATCTGTGTCGACCTCTGTCCACATTGGCAGTAGCTCCTCCACTGCCTGCTTCACTTCCGAAGGATCGCGCCAAGTGACAGACTTGAGGAACTTGGTAAGCCCACGCTTGTCCCGTGCGAGGTAAAAGCGAAACTTCCAGATCAGGTCTTTCTCCTCAGAGTTGAGTGGTTGGGAAGGTGCATAATTGAGTATTTCCTACAAACGACGTGTGAGAAAGGCATCAATGTACAACGGTCTGGCTTTGCGCACCCCAAGTTCATCCCTGATCTTGGCATTGGGTTTGAGCTCCCTGTCGTACGGACTACTTCGGTGACTCCGCACGAGCCGGCGATGCTTGTCTTCTACAGGATTCTCGCGTGCAATCTCGGGGTCAAGGATGGCCCAGAGGTGTGGATCTGTGGAAAAATAACTGGGAAGTACAGGTGCAAGAGGTATTTGGGCTGCTGCGGGAGGTGCGAATGGTATTGTGGCCTGATTCTGGGCCTCCTAAAAAGAATTAAACGCCCAGCGAACTAGATTCAAGAAAGCGACACTAACAGCTTCGCTAAATATCACGGGAAAGTCGAAACGTGGAAGATCGACATAGAGATACATGTTCTCTGACTTCTCCGTCTCCGCCTTCAGTCCTCTTTTTAAGCGTTTGCACACATACTTGATTGTGGAAGGCTTACGGCATGTATCTCCTCCATCTTTCTGAAAGCCATATTGTCCAACCAATCTGACTTTGGCAAGTCGCCACGTTCGTATTTCTTCACGAGCTGAAGAGAAGGTAATCAATGAGAGGCCTTGACCGAAATCTATGGTACTACTTACCTTCTCTAAACGACCCATTTCATCCCTGCTGCCAAGTTTACTGGGAGTCTTGGTCTGCATGGAGCCGTCTGCTTCTTGACCCGCCCAGAGCAATAAGCGGTGTTTTCCACGACGCAAAGTCCTGATGCGGTGACCGTATAAGCAGCTTTGCAATGTGAAGTAGATGTACCTGACACACCATTTCTTTCCAAACATCCTAAACGTTGAGCCACCGACGGGAACCGCTGTGCGTGGAGCGCCAATATCCCATACAGTAAATGTAATTTGTGAATTCAATGGGAGGTCGCAGTACCGAACGGGCAACGTTATCCATTCATTCCACCTGTATAGATAGTCAGCTGGAGGAAAATGGCGGTGATATAGGAAGCACGACGCACGTATAATTGTTCTTGAAAGCTTTGAAAGACGTGCGGAAGGGAATTGTTAGCGGCTTGTTATCCGCCAGGAGCTGGCAGGAGACATAGAGGTCTGAAAGAGTCCTGGCGGTTGCATCAACATAGAGAAGTCACAACTCAGAGAAGAACACACGAAGATTGTGCACCGTGAAATCTTAGTTCTGGGTTCTCAAGTAGCTCTGAAACGGACGGTTGTGGTATTGATCCCTCTAACTGAGAACTATGTTGTTGAGTGTTGGCAAGTGGCCCGTGAAACGACTAGTAGTGCGTACATGCGAAAAGTGACAGGAAGCTTGAGATCAGAGAGCTTTGCAAAAGTGAAGTCGTCTCTGTTGTCCTTGTCCATGATGGAGAAACGAAGAGCGTGACTAGTACTTACTGGAACCAAATTGGGCATCTGTCCCCACCTGCCCCTCCCTCTATAGTACTACTACCTAGGGTCCTTTTCGCGGAATCCCTGCATTCTGCAATCACTGAGGTATGTCTCTCACAATATACTACTGGCAAATACACAAGAGAAGCAAGCGCATCAGATTTCAATGTCATTGAGAGGAGAGAGTGGACGTCAGTCGGGACACTGCAGATTCCAGAAGGTATTGAATTTTCTATCCATACACCTTGTATTATATGAGCCTGACCCGTGGTCATAGAGTCATTGAAAAGACTTGGGTTTAGTTTTGGAGTGACGCGGACATCCGTTGGGTGTCTTCCGCACATCCGCACATCCGCACTTACTCCTATCATTATTACTACTATGTAGGAGACCGCTCAATGAACTTCAAGCTCACAACAATGGCCACACCTCTACACATCGATGAGATCCTCCAAGTCATTATCGCCGATCTTGCTTTTGCAGACGATAAAAAATCCATCGCTCGTCTTGCGCGGTCGTGCAAAGCGTTCACAGATCCATGCCTGGACAATCTATGGCATACCATACACTCGTTCTCCCCATTCATCCCTCTGCTTCCCAGAAGTGTGCATTCTGCAGTGACCGGTGAAAGGAGATCAATGTCATATCATTGTGAAACTTTCAAATTTCACTGTTCAGCGCTAACTCAGCGCCTCAAAACACTTGGTCGCATGCCACGTCCTGGAGAATGGGAGTCTTTTGACAAATACGCTCGCCGCGTTCGGGTATACTGTCCTCAGGAACAGAACACCGATTTCACCTACTATCAAGAAGTGTATCAACGGGCCTCTACCATACGCCAGAAACACCTATTTCCCAGACTGCAGCACATCGTCTGGAATACTGTCCACTCTAATTCCATCGAGGCTTGGTCGCTCCCTTCTTCATTGCGGAATCTCACTATTTTCTCCAACCAACGCATTATCGTGGATGAATCCCTTCTACATCAGGTAGCACATGATGCTCCTGAGCTCGAAACACTCAACATCGCAACTGCATCTGTGGGTTTCTTGCCATCCAACCGCTGCAGATCCGCCACCCTTCGGTCGCATGATCCCGCCAACATCAGCAATCGTCCCGTTTTCGCTTCAGTGACAAACCTCAGAATCACATTGGACAGCGACTTGACGAAGATTTGGCAGCAGCTGGATTTTCCTGTCTTTCCTGCTCTGGAAACGTTGCACATCGTTGGTCCCCCCACGTCAGCGGCCTCGTTCGTCACGCATGTTGGCGACACACCTCTACGTCATGTTGAAGCGCGCTTTACACTCGAAAATCAGGATACTATACTCTCAGACTGCCAGGCGTTCTTTGCGGCCCTATTCGGGAAGCATGACAACTCGATACAGTCGCTCGGTATCATCATCGATGGAGAGTGCTGCCTGAAAACTGAAGGCGCCTTTAATCAGTTCCTGGAGGAATTTTCAAGATCATTGCGGCTCTATGTGGGTAGAAGTGGCGTTGAGACAGCCAAGGTTACTGTACATTCCCAATGCTTCGGCATGCGCAATGATCGACTTTGGGCTCGTTCTTTCTGGATGTGTTCACGGCCTTTGACGACAGTGGTTGAATTTATCAATCACACGTGGACTCAGAAGACAACGTTCCAGACTCCGTTCATCGAAGAGGCACCTTGAAGCATGTCGTATACACTAGGTGAGTCGCACAAGTCGCCTGCCTGGCCAGTGATTCTAACCTCCTTCCAGTTTTGTAGTGTTAGACTACGCACTTACATACTTCCCACGAATTGTACTAAAACATCCATATCAAATGCACATTGTTAACTTAACAGCGCTATGCCAATTTATCTAAATCAATTCTAGTTGTTCGCAATATCTGCATCGGTGATTGCATTGGGACTCGTAACGTGTATTCAAGAATCACGTCTGTACATCGTGCTCTCCGACATAACGTGCACCACCTTGGCGCTTTTGGTAACAAAAATACATGTAAGCAAGTCAAATTCAAGCAGCTCCAATCCAACCACAAGCCCATCTACTCAGCCTTGTAGTCGGGACGCAGCGACCGCACAACCTTGCCTGCACGCCAAATCTCCTGGTCGTCGATCTCCTTCAGTTCTTTGGCAAGATCTTGGCGGTATGTCGAGCGGCCGTTGAATTCGAGAGACTTGCGAGTCTCCGTGCCGTTCCGCACGCTCTCGTACAACTGCTCAAAGACAGGCGTGTTGGTCTTCTCGAAGATGGGCGCCCAATCGAGCGCACCACGACGAGCGGTCGTGGAGCAGGCGTTGTACATGTAGTCCATGCTACGAAACGATGAGGGAAAGGATACGCGACGAGAATACACACACTTACCCCTTTTGTCCAATCAAGGGGTACAGGGATTGAGTGGCCTCCTCAACGGTTTCGTTGAAGGCTTCCGAAGGAGAGTGGCCGTTGGCACGGAGCACCTTGTACTGCGCGCAGAAAAGGCCCTCTAATAAATCATCAGCTAAGAATAACTTGCAGTGTGAAAAAAAAACTTACGGATGGCACCCATGAGCACACCACGTTCACCATAGAGATCGGAGTAAACCTCCTTCTCGAAGGTAGTCTCGTACATGTATCCTGAGCCGACAGCGACACCAAGAGCAACAGCCTTTTCCATGGCCTTACCAGTGACGTCCTGGAAGACGGCTACACTGGAGTTGATGCCACGGCCCTCCTTGAAGAGAGTGCGTACGGTACGACCGGATCCTTTGGGTGCGACCAGGATAACATCAACGTCCTTGGGGGGTATAACCTTGGTGTCTTCCTTGTATACAACGGAGAAACCGTGCGAGAAGTAGAGGGTTTTGCCCTTGGTGATCAGAGGTGCAACGGTGGACCACGTTTGTGACTGTGCGGCATCAGAGAGCAGGTTCATAATGATCGTGCCGCGGTTGATGGCTTCCTCGATGGGGAAAAGGGTCTCTCCGGGAACCTAATGATACATCAACGTTGCATTAGATGCTTGGTGCATGACAAGTGGAGGCGAACATACCCAGCCATCCTCCATAGCCTGCTGCCAGCTCTCGCCGTCTTTACGGACACCAACAATAACATTGAGGCCATTGTCACGAGCATTCAAGCCTTGACCGTGGCCTTGAGAACCATACCCAATAAGAGCAAGGGTATCATTCTTGAAGTAGTCCTGGAGCTTCGCCAGCGGCCAGTCGCTTCGCTCATACACAACCTCCTCGGTGCCAGCAAAGTTGAGTGTCTTTACGCCACGAGCAGCCTGTAATACTTGGGCGTCAGCGCCTATCAATTATGAGGTGAAAAAAAAATTCACCTGGGGCGTGGGTTTGCGCGAGCTGCCTGCCAAAGCCTGACGAGCGAGCAAAGAGTAGGACGCGGTCTGTGCAGGCTTGGCTGCAATTTTTGCGGCAGCGCGGGGTGCACGGCGAGAAGCAGCACGGAGGGCTGACGCTGAGCGGGATGCGATGGAGGCCATGTTGACTGGGGAGAAAATGAAAAGGCACTGTAACTGTATGAACCCAATTTTTGTAGTCCAAATAACTTACCGAGTCATTTCGACGCGAGTACGTACAACGCTGACATGGGAGTTGCCTTTGTCATAACTTAGTTTTCGCAACTGTAATTGCACTGAAACCGATCCTCACTTAAAACATCTATTACATGCCATGTGCAAGCATGCGAGGCCATGCATCACCAATACCCTATAGGCTCTATGAACGCCGTACATCTGACACGAGCCTCCACAGCCGCTCCTCCAACGCCTCGATAGTCGCACGCGAGGTATTCAAGCTACTCATGAAATACGCCACGTTCCCCAGCGTCCTATAATGCACCCCAAAGGGTGCACCTCCAGGGGCCGCCGACGAAGACCCATCCTCCAGTGGTAATCGTAAGCTCTGGAGCAGAGTCTGAGCGGAATGTGATGCATAACCTGTACTCCCAAGCCACATAAGTAATCTAATAAGTAAGAAAAAAACTGCATCGACGTTACCTGCATCATCGTCCTTGAACTTGATAGCAAGCACAGTTCCCAGCGTCATCGCTTCATCGACGATATCCAGACAAGAAATCGACGCGATAAATTTCGGATCCCAGAAACTCCACGCTCTCGAAGAAGTCGCTCCTTCAGGCGCCCATTTACGGATCGCCCCCAACCACTGATCGCTCTCTACCAGCCTGCCAACCATATCAAGCGTCGCATTTGCAACCTGACACCCAACAGCATGCGCCGTATAACTATGTCCATGCAACAAGGCATCGACTTTGCTCTCGCTGTTGAACGCCTGGAAAATACGGTCGGAAGCCAACGTTACGGCCAGAGGCAATACGCCACCAGTGAGAATCTTGGCATTCACTGAGATGTCAGGGCTGACACCGAGTAAAGGGCCTGCGCTTTCGAATCCTAGGCGGTATAGCCCCACGAAGACTTCGTCGAAAATGACTGGAAGAGCTGTAGGGAATAGGGTCGGGTCCCGGACGACGTCGACCATGATACGTTGGAACAATGGGTCTACGAAAATCATTCCTCCTGCGCCCATGACAATGGGCTCAATGACCAGAGCGGCGAGCTTTCGGCTGCTGTCCGCTTGAAGGTGACGCATGTGTTTCTCTAGATATCGCCTGTAGTGTCTTGCAAGCGGGGATTCGAGACGCTGCTCGACATCATAGACATGAGAGAGGGTTTCAAATGCTTCGGCTACCTGATGCTGATCACCACTGAGAGACGACAGGGCAGGTGGAAGGGAAACGGCGACTTGGCCTTGCCGAACAGATACAGTCGGCGGCTCGAACCAATAACCCTTCGCTTCATGCCATTCACAAGCATAAACGCCCTCCTCGCAAGCATCCATAGCTCCGATTGTATCTCCATGATAACTCCCTTTCAAGCCAATAACCCCCAAGTTCTTCTTCTCCGCCGAACTCAGCTCAAGTCCAGAACTGACGATGAAGGACCGTAAAGCCATTTTAAGCGCAGCCTCCATCCCAGTAGAGCCGTTATCTGAAAAAAATACACGAGAAGCCCAGCCTTTGCCCGGTCCTTGAAGTAGGCGTTCAGCAAGCTTTAGAGCAGGAAGGTGAGTCGCCTGCGGGAACATAACGTGGCCATAACGTCCTGCTGCGTTGGCAGCAGCAAGTGCTAACGTCGGATGACCATGTCCGACAGCTTGCGTCCACCATGAAGCAGAACCATCCAGCTGGGGTTGCAATAGCGATGCTGGCTGCGAGGTTCTTTCGCGGGAAGCATCATAGATACTAAAGAAATCCGACCACGCGCTATCAATGACCGTAACGTCCTTCTCGGTCTTGACCAACCCGTGTTGCACGAACGGCCACCAGATCGCGTCGGACGTACGACGAGGCATGGAGTCTAGTTCTTGAATGCGTCGGGCGTGACACTCGTTCAGATGCTCGAGCGCAGTGAAAACATCTCCTTGTTGGCTGGGTGGAACGAGATTCGAGTAGTATTTTTCGGTGTTTGCGAAATTCTCCGAGGGGTCGTCAAGTCGTGGAGGAGGAGGATCAAGTGCTGTGACATGAATCCCTCGTTCGGCGAAGTATTGCGTGAGGTATTCGAAGTTCCGATAGTACTCGTCGCGGAATAGCAGGATCGCGTCTATGATGTATCCGCGGAGTAGGAGGGACTCGAATGATGATATGGTTGATGATATGCCGCCGAGTTTTGAGTCTCCAATTAGGATGGTGGGTAGGAAGAGTGGGCGGTAGCTGTCGAGTTGAGTCGTTCCGGAGAGCGTTGGACTGTGAACGCCTGAGCGATTCAGTGAGCGTGTAGTGTTAGCGGCTGGATGAGGTGGGATAGTGCTCACCTCCAGCTGTCTCTACATACATATGAGCTCCCAAACTCGCCGCCCTAGCTCGCTTTCTAATATGTTCCGCAATAGAACCAACAAAAGTTTCGTCCGAAGGCACAGAAACCTTGCCCTAGCATCAGCGAATGATCATCACAACCATACTAGAGATCACTCACTTTTACTCCTTGAGTTTCAGAAGCCATCTTCGCAGCTAGGTGCGGGCTAACAGGGTCTCCATAGCGGAACAAGCAATGAGCATCTACTAGATGCTTTTGCGGGCCCGCATGGCGTTTGATGTGTCTACAGTATAAGAAAATTCAGCGACGCGTGCTACGCGACAAAAGACACGTACCCATCGTCCGCATCCTGCGGTGCACCAGTGCTCACTGGCTTGAGATAAAAAACGCGGTTGTTGTTGAGAGCTGAAGCCCGAACGAGCGCGGTAGTGATGATGGTCTTTCCAACGTCGGTGTTTGCTCCAAATACTTGGTGGATCCGAAGGTGTTTGTAGAGATGGCTCATTTCATCGCAAGAGTAGTGAGACAGAATTCAAAGTCACAGTAGATTAGGAAAACAACGTACAAGTCTACTGCAAGTGGACAAGTGTTGTAACTTTTCCACTTGCAGTAGACTTGTACAATGCTTTATCTAATCTACCGCGACTTCAAATCTTGCCTCACTATTCTTGCCATGAAATGAGCCATATCATGATATTTGGAGGTTGTGTGCATGTATTTCCGTGATGTCTGAGTCCAATCCTAGCTAGTTGTTTTGTTTTCAGATCACACAATTGTCTAAGGTCTTTTATGCCAATTATTACTACCAATATATAGTCATGCACATATGCAACTCATATGATAGAGCACAAAAGTTACACGAGATAGTATCAGATTCGAGTGACATGCAAGGCGAACGCAAATAACGGTGAATGACTGTACTATGCGGAAATACACTATGTACGAAAACCGTCGCGATCTAAATATCGTACTACGTCCGCAATTAAGTGTGAATCGTACGACCTCGGGGATGTGATCTATGGGAACTATGTATGCAGAGACCTAACCGGATGTCTGGTACGCGTGTAATGTATGATGATGCGGAGATGATGCGGAGTAAGTCTATGTCATTCATTCGCTAATCGCGAAGATACTCCTGAGCCCATGGCCCAAGCTCATCATCAGCCATGGGAATAGTCACGCCACAAGCAGCAAAGTGACGCGCGATGGACAACTTGTCGATCTTGTCTGCCATGCCCACAAAAGGCGCATAGCAGACGTGGGGAGAGACGCTGAAAGCACCTCTCCGAAGGATGTTGGAGTATTCTCCTGGCTCAGAGAAGAGCTCTGTGACGACAGTCATGTATTTCTGTCGGGCTTCGCGGGATTCGGGATCACTCGGGTGGACTAGGGGGCGTAGGCGAGCTACGGTTCGACTGGCTTTCATATCGGAAACGACGGGACGACCATCGGGTTCGCGTCGGATGCCCTTTGGACATGAGCTGGGGTTTGCAGTGTAGTATGATACCCAACTCTCGACGGGGTCCTCAAGACGAGGGTTGTTTAAGGGAGCAGGTAACTTTGGAAGTAATGATGGATGCTCCCAATCAGGAGTTCGCCAATTGGATAACAAGTAGCGCTGGACTTCAGTCTTTTGGTCTCTAGGTGTTTTGTGGGCGTCTGAACAGAGCGCTTTGACTTTTGTGAGTGCGCTGTAGTTCCCTGGCTGATGGGCGGCTTTAATGAGTGATTGGACTTGTTTGATGCTCTTGGCGGGCTTGGTCGGTTTATAAGTGGAGGAAGATACGACAGTCCAGCCGACTGATGGAGGGGAGCCATCTGATGTAGGTTGAAAAGTAGCATCATCATCTGGCTGTCCTGTTGCCAATACGGCAGCGAATGAGCGAGCGGCAACGCAGTCGGGCAACTGTGCTTGAGGAGAAGCAGGGGTTGTCATAGGGGGAGACAACTGTTGAGGATAAAGAGGAGCTAAAAAGTCGAGGGAGAGCTGGTGATCGACGGGAGGAGGATCGTTGAGGCGAGGTTCAGATGGAGGATCTGCAGGGGTGATGACAGGGTCGAGCTGGAGAGACTTTACAGAAGAATGGTGGGAGACAGATTCAATAGGACTGGAGAGATCGACTGAAGGGGCAGTCTGCTGTTTGAGCTTGTCCTGTAGACGCTCTGATTCTGCACGTGTTGCGTCTAACTGGGCACGAAGAGTGCTTAGCTCTTCACGAGCTTGGTTTCGCTCACAGCGATAGTGATCAATGTCATCGACGAGGACTCTATTTTCCTCTTTTTGACGGCGGATGCCCTCTGCTATGCCCTTGTTAAAGACATCCTCGCGTGCGCGCTTCCTATCTTGGAAGGCAATTTGGAATGCTGGCTGATGAGAGGAATAGCTTGCATCAGCGACATGCTTCATGTACGAAGAGCAGACGTCGCATCCTGATGGGTGAACTATGCCATAGTCGTCAAGGAACTCCCAGGGGGAGAGAAGAGTTGGAACACCACGATTATCTCTAAGTGAGGCGCGATACGGCTCGTCATGAGATGACAAGGAGAACATGATTGTTGTTGTTGGGATAATAAAATGCGCGCCAGGCGATGGAGAATGGTATCTGAGATGTGGGGAAGGTCCCATGGTGGCGCCAGGCCAGGTTGATATGCTTTGCAACACGTGCCTGCCTCGCGTTCACTGCCAGGCGGGTTATTTGCTAATGTTAGTTTCCGATGCTATAGAGAAACAAAAGTAAACAAACACTACGAAGACGGCGTGTATCTCGTCTCATAGCGGTCATCATGATGGAGGGTCCTAAGTCAGTTCTCGTCAGTAGTGGTCGAAGTCAAGCGCTAAGCCCTGACGATGAAGCAAACTGATCAAAGTGGCTGTGTGTCAGTGTGACGTAAGCAAATAGCACGTGGGTTGGCGATGATCATGGTGAAGAGTCGCAGCAGCGAACTCAGTGCAACTCACACAGCGTCTACAGTGATCACTGCTGCGGTCAACGAACAAGCATTCTTATACCATCGCTATACCATCACTGACTTCCTATACCTGACTTGCTACACTATTCACTGATTTTTCATCTCTGCCCATCACTCTTCTTGGTTTCACTTGTAACCTGAACATACCCGACTGACTACCCAGCTGCACGATGTCATTCATAGATACCCTTCAAAATGGCCTTGACCGCGTGTTACCAAAGAGGACAAAGACCAGCGCAGTACCAGCAGTAGGGATAGGAAATGGGAGTGGTATAGTCAACTACGAGGACGACGTGAGTCTCATAGCCTCCTACCTAGCCTCGTTTACAATATAGCAAGCTTCCTTACTTTTGTTATTTCCGCTCTTCTCCTTTACGCTGCGCTTCATCCGTGCTTCTTCTGAGACTTCAACCATTTACGTAATACACACACTTTCCTCTATGCCTCTTCATGGACCAGTCTGGGACACTGGTCTTCCTCCTCTTCTTGCCCCTCTTATGGATCGTTTGGCTTGCGGTCATTTGCCTTTACTTACAGCGTCATATCAACAAAGCTGACATCTTCTCCGCCTTTTAGATGATTATAAGCAAGCCTGCCATCATATTTCACATATCCCAAACATTCTTCAACTTTCTTGCGATGGCTTGCTTTGCGAGCGTAGCCAGTTTTCAGGCAAAGTGGGGAATAGGGCCTTGTGAGTTCATTACTTGTGTCTGCCCTTCAAACCAACCATCGTTGCTACCCCCTCCCCCTCCCCCCCCAACCCCTCACGCTTACTACCATATCAAGCGATGCCCTTTCTGACTGAACTCAATTCACAGCGGGTCTCTCGGGCTTCGCGATCTTCGTGAGCATCTCAGGAATCTTCCTAGCCCTCTTCCTCCTCTTCGTACCTGTCGTCTACGAAAAATACGACAAACTCACGCGCCTCGCCCGCGCCCTCAAAGAAGTACGCGTCGGATTCATCCTCGTTGGCAGCGGCTGCATCTTCAGCCTCCTCATCGCGTGCGTATTCATCTTAGCACCCCTAAATCCAGTGCTCATCGGGCTGTACAGATTTGTCACCACAATCTCAGCGTGGACAGAGGCTGGGTGCAAAAACGCGGATAATGACCCTCATGCAAGCCTGGGTGATACCTTTAAGAGCGATCTTCCTGGCTGGTGCAGTACGAAGAAGGCTGGCGCTATATTCTTTTGGTTGGCGTTTGGTGCGTTGCCGCGTCACCTTCTACTCCATTGGTCTAACCCACTCTCACGCTGTCAGGCTTCTGGCTCGCCTCCCTTATCTTGCTTATCATCGACTGGCGCTCCGGAAACCTCACAACACCACCACGCGATACCCCATTCACGCGTCCCGACGCAGACATCGAAGAGGGCGAGGAAGTAGAAGACATAGAAGTAGAAGGCGGACACTCATACCAACCCGTCGCCACCAATACCGTACCCACGTACCCCCGCCAATCAGCATACGATAACTCCAACGCCGCAGCCTCCCCATTCGCCGATTCCAACCGGCTTTCAGCAGCCACAGCCAACACCAGCACAACCTACCTCCCCAGCACAAATCGTTACTCAACGGCAGACTCAAGCGCTAATCGCACATCTGCATATTCAACTGCGCCCACCACTACCACCGCTCCTACGACGAGCACCAATACGAGCAGTTACCCTGCTTCGAGACCTAGCATGGACGCGTATGGCGCGTTCTCTGACCCTGCCCCGAGTGGGTTTGGTGGCGTATCGGCGTCATATGCGCCAACTGCATCGGAGCCTGGGGCACCGAAGGTGAGTAGGACGATGCAGTATGCGGATCCGTATGCTGCTGTTCGGGCGTCGCTGGCGACGAGCACGGGTCCTGCGGGTCCGACGAATTATGAGCCTACGTATACTGGGTACCGATAGTGTACACGGTATCGTGGTTTCGGAGGGTGGGATGGAACGAGATTTGTGGACTGAACTGATAATATTTACATGTTGTGGTCGGTGTTTGCGGATACATACCCCGCTTACAGTTTGCTCTCCTCGTTAGCGCTTATAATTTACGCTTAGTGATGTCGTTGGACTGTGTACTATCCATTTGCACTGCATCTCTTTTGAAACTGTACCAGTGAGCTTTGTCCCTTGAGTAGTAGACAATGAGCCATACCATGTGTGCTATATGCGCGCATGGAACTAGTGATTATGCTGTGTACAGCATATACTACGGTACCGATCCTACGTCTAATGGATTCCATATGTATCTTCTACGGTCAGTCTGAGACGGAGACAAGAAATGTACTCCCATTAGCCCCAACGCCCCCATCCGCCTTGCCAGCCAATATCATCTTCCCGCCTTCCTCAAGAGCCGCGAAAGCCCTCTCGTTCTCTTCCATGCGCCTTCTCACCACTGCCCGATATGTCTCCCCTTCCGAGTCCGCGTCTTCAGACGATGAACCAGAGTCGGATGGGTATCGTCCATAGACAGGCTTGTGCCCGTATGCAAGTTCAGCGACGGAGATCTGTGTGCAGGGGTTAGCATTAGATATAACCAATTGAGCGGGGCGTGAGATTGGGGTTAAGTTTGACATGAGAGGAGGGTATGAAGCTAGCGCGACGTACCAGAATATCAGCAGTCAGCCCCTTGATAGGAGACGCGCATGTTCTGAACCGGTGCATCCTATATACGAGTCCGTCAAATGCGTCGAGGCGGACGTCAGACGGGTTCTGCGAGGTGACAAGGATTAGCATTGAATGAGGAGGGAAAGGTGGGGGTAATAGGTAACAAGACCGAGAAACCATTTAGCAAGGCCAGCGTGATTCGTTGCGGACATGTCGCTCAGAATGTACACACAACATCAAAAGCACACAGTAAGAAATCAAAAAACTCACATACACCTCCCCATCGCTATATGGCCAGTCCTCTCCCACATCCACTAGCGTCTCCCCCTTGCTCAACAAGAGACGAGGGTCCAACATTGCTTCCAGTGGATGATCAAATATCCGGTCGACTTCTGTGAGAGAGGGAGTTAGGGATTTGAGGATTGGGTGGGAAGAAGAATTGGGTAGTGTGGTTGCATTCGAGGAGCTATCCGAGACCGAGGATGAGGATGACGAAGGGACAGGTGGGAGCGGCGAAGAATGGGAAGATAAAAGCGCCACTACGGGTGTCACCAACAACTGTGATGCAGAGAGAAAAGGCGGGAGCGTCGTGATAAAGTGTATGTTTGAAGATTTGGGCGGGAGGGGAAGACCGACTTCTTCGTTTGCTTCGCGGAGCTAAGGTTGCATGAATACGCATAGCGTGAACGAATGCGCGAAATCAGAACAGCAGCACTTACAGCAGTCCAGACTAAACTCTCATCTCCCTCATCTGCTTTCCCGCCAGGTAGCGCTGTCTGTCCTGGATGGGCACGCAATGACTTGGACCGAGTTGTCAATAACACCCTTAGCTCTCCAGCTTGCTCGTAGAGCAGAACAAGCACAGCTGCGAGTTTGGAGGTTGGTTGTCGAGAGCTGGATGCATAGTCACGTAGGTGGTGGTCAAGCGTGCGAGGAGACTTACAGGTCAGGTCTATCCAATTGACATGTTCTCAGACGCTCGACGCATGCTCTAGACTTTGGGGTGAGGCGCTTGAGCGTGTGCGTTGGGATGTCCCGTAAGCATTTCTCAGAGTCAGGTTGCGTATGCTTTGAGATGGTAGAGGACAGAGCCATGACGTACGCCGGGGTCACCTTGAAACACAGCACCACTGCTAGCACTGCCGTTAAACCAAGTAACAGTGATAGCGTACTGACTTCAAATAACGAGGAGTACATAGTGGTACATGAATTGGGTGGGACATGAAGCTTGAAGACTTATAAAGAACCTTGCATCCTCCACAACCCGGGAGTCGAAACCCTGCAGGCACTCGGAAGCTGCAAGCCACGATGTTTTCGTCATGTTAGTTCTCCTAACTTATGACTTCCTCCGCGGCGAAGACAACAGAAAGCCAGATATCATAACTGTACAAGGAACAACAAGAATTAACTCCGTGGTAGTATACGCCAGGCTGGTCACGAGCCTATCCAATAAGTACTAGTCACGCTCTTCGTTCTCCATCATGGACAAGGACAACAGAGACGACTTCACTTTTGCGAAGCTGTCTGATCTCAAGCTTCCTGTCACTTTTCGCATGTACGCACAACTAGTCGTTTAAGCTTAAGGGCTACTTGCCAACACTCAACAACATAGTTCTCAGTTAGAGGGATCAATACCACAACCGTCCGTTTCAGAGCTACTCGAGAACCCAGAACTAAGATTTCACGGTGCACAATCTTCGTGTGTTCTTCTCTGATCTGTGACTTCTCTATGTTGATGCAACCGCCAGGACTCTTTCAGACCTCTATGTCTCCTGCCAGCTCCTGGCGGATAACAAGCCGCTAACAATTCCCTTCCGAACGTCTTTCAAAGCTTTCAAGAACAATTATACGTGCGTCGTGCTTCCTATATCACCGCCATTTTCCTCCAGCTGACTATCTATACAGGTGGAATGAATGGATAACGTTGCCCGTTCGGTATTGCGACCTCCCGTTGAATTCACAAATTACTTTTACTGTATGGGACATTGGCGCTCCACGCACAGCGGTTCCCGTCGGTGGCTCAACGTTTAGGATGTTTGGAAAGAAATGGTGTGTCAAGTACATCTACTTCACATTGCAAAGTTGCTTATACGGTCATCGCATCAGGACTTTGCGTCGTGGAAAACACCGCTTATTGCTCTGGGCGGGTCAAGAAGCAGACGGTTCCATGCAGACCAAGACTCCCAGTAAACTTGGCAGCAGGGATGAAATGGGTCGTTTAGAGAAGGTAAGTAGTACCATAGATTTCGGTATGACCTCTCATTGATTACCTTCTCCTCAGCTCGTGAAGAAATACGAACGCGGCGACTTGCCAAAGTCAGATTGGTTAGACAATATGGCTTTCAGAAAGATGGAGGAGATACATGCTGTAAGCCTTCTACAGTCAAGTATGTATGCAAACGCTTAAAAAGAGGACTGAAGGCGGAAACGGAAAAGTCAGAGAACATGTATCTCTATGTTGATCTTCCACGTTTCGACTTTCCCGTGATATTCAGCGAATCTGTTAGTGTCGCATTTTTTTAAATCTAATTCGCTAGACGTTCAACTCTCTGTAGGAGGCCCAGAATCAGGCCGCAATACCATTCGCACCTCCCGCAGCAGCCCAAATACCTCTTACACCTGTACTTCCGAGTTATTTTTCCACAGATCCACACCTATGGGCCATCCTTGACCCCGAGATTGCACGCGAAAACCCTGTAGAAGACAAGCATCGCCGGCTCGTGCGGAGTCACCGAAGTAGTCCGTACGACAGGGAGCTCAAACCCAATGCCAAGATCAGGGATGAACTTGGGGTGCGCAAAGCCAGACCGTTATGCATTGATGCCTTGCTCACATGTCGTTTGTAGGAAATACTCAATTATGCGCCTTCCCAACCACTCAACTCCGAGGAGAAAGACCTCATCTGGAAGTTTCGCTTTTACCTCGCACGGGACAAGCGTGGGCTTACCAAGTTCCTCAAGTCGGTCACTTGGCGCGATCCTTCGGAAGTGAAGCAGGCAGTGGAGGAGCTTCTGCCAATGTGGACAGAGGTCGACACAGATGATGCTTTGGAGCTCCTCGGACCAGGTACCGTGGACTCGAGAGTAAGAGCGTTCGCAGTACGGCAGCTTAACCGCGCAGACGATGAAGTCAAGCATTTATTTTTCCTACGTGATAGTGGCACTGATATTATTTGCAGGAGCTTCTGTTGTATCTCTTGCAACTCGTACAGGCGCTCAAGTTTGAAAGTGCCGCTAGCGAACAGCGCTCGAGCCGATCTACTACAAGTGCGATATCTTATGACGACAGCGGACTGACAGACTTTTTGATCGCACGGGGAGTGCAAAATCATACGCTGGGGAACCGGCTGTACTGGTATCTGATCGTAGAGGTGGAATTGGAGGATAGGGTTGTGGCGAAAATGTACGGGCGGGTGGTATTCAAGTTCCTGAACAAGATTTTAGAGGTAATCGGACTCTCACTCGTGTTTACCACTTGCTGATGAAACGGTCCCACAGTCTGAGAATGGCAGCGAACGCCGCGAGCTCATGCGACGGCAAGGGGTCCTCGTCGAGACCCTTGCCAAACGGGCCAAGGAGCTGCGCACATCTAAAGACCCGCGACCGAAGAAAATCGAGAAACTCCGCTCCTTCATCAACGACTCCAAGAACGGGCTCGTCAACATGGCTCCTCTGCCCCTGCCACTAAACGCACGCATGGAGATCACGGGTATTAACGCTGAGAAGTCGTCCGTCTTCAAGTCGAATCTCTACCCTTTCTTGTTGTATTTCCAGTGTTCTGACGGCTCGGAGTATCCTGTGATTTTCAAAGATGGGGATGACATGCGCCAGGACCAGCTGGTTCTCCAGCTGTTTACGCTCATGGATCAGTTGCTTAGGAAGGAGAATCTGGATCTGAAGCTCATTCCCTATGATGTGCTGGCGACTGGGCCGTTGCAGGGTATGGTGCAGTTTATACCCAGCAAAACTATCGCAGCGATCATCAGTGAGAATGGGACGCTCTTGAATTATCTGAGAGCGAATAATCCGGACGAGGGTAGCGTTGGAACGTATGGGGTCGAGCCGAGCGTTATTGATACATTCGTGCGCAGCTGTGGTGAGTCTTACTTTGTCAGTATGCTATGTGCGCTAAGCCTTGTTGGCAGCTGGATACTGCGTTGTGACATACCTGCTAGGTGTAGGCGACCGGCATTTAGACAACCTTCTACTGACACCGGATGGTAAGTGAAACTCATTATCAGCATGGTTCAGTTTTAACATTGGTTCCACAGGTCACTTTTTCCATGGTCAGCATCATTTTGCCTGTACGCTTCATCCCTACTGACATTTGTTGTAGTTGATTTTGGGTATATCCTTGGCCGGGATCCTAAGCCATTTCCTCCTCCTGTCAAAGTGTGCAAAGAGATGGTGGACGGCATGGGCGGTGCCCAATCAACGCACTACGCGCGATTCAAAAACTTCTGCTTCACCGCTTTTACGATCCTGCGCAAAAGCGCTAACCTGATTCTCAACTTGGTAGCGCTGATGGTGGACGCGAACATTCCAGACATCAAACACCGCGACGTGCATGAGCAGATCCAGGAGAAGTTCCGGTTGGACTTGACGGAGGAGGAGGCGATCAAGCATTTCGAGGCGTTGTTGAATGAGACATCGTATTTCACGGTTGTGCTGGATCGGATTCACGATTTGGCACAGTATTGGAGGAGTTGAGCGGGGGAGTGTTGGGAGATGGATTTTTTTTGTGCAACGTGAGATTGCTTGTACCTTCGACTACTGTTCTAACAAGTAATAGCAGCACTTGCTGCGCGTGTTCCAATGTGAATCATGGGATTTGGAATGTGTTGCTGTACCCGTCAGCTTTGTATGTGGTACCAAATCATTGTGTAGATTGGGAATTGGGTATCATTATCTTGGTGCGACTTAATAACCCCACCCCCCCGGCAGAAGACCAGATCTCAAAGCTATCAAAGCTGTTGGCACAATAAACGGTGTCCTCGACGGTGATATTGTTCAGTTTCTCCATCTCCACGGCAACCTCACGCGCATCCATGACGTACATTAAAGCCTGGTGATCTGTGAGCGGTCGCTTCTACTCCCCCGTGGGCACAAACACGGTTGGTAGTGCTGAATCTTTCAACATACCGTTGCTCGCTGCCTCTTGAGGTTGAGGCCTGAGGCTGGGCGTTTCTCTCAACCCTCCTGCACCAGAATTCGAACCGCCCATTGTAAGCATACCCGCCATCTCAATAACCCTGACCCTCATCGCATGCTGAAACCTCACAAAACGCTCTTTCTGAAGTGAGGCGCTTCCCAAGACTCAAAGCTACTAGCGAGCGCCGGGAATCCAGTTGTGATGGGAGGCGGCGTCGTCCGAAAAGTATGCACGGTACGTTGCAGAGAAGTCGCTGGTGTGATGTAGCTGAATAAAATGGCCGTAAAGATCGTTATTCGTTCAGAGACTCCTACGAGCTGTGTGAGGATGATAGCGATCAAGATATATCAAATTGACACAGCGGGAACTTTTTTCCTTTCCTGAGGTTGCTGTCCCCAACTGTGAACCTTGTACGTTTTAAACTTCATCATGGTCTCGAGACTCTCCGTACGTTTTGCCTTCTATATGGTCTGGCTAGGGGAGACTATCATTCCGCGGAGTTGTCGCTTGAGATAGCCTGATGTAAATAATTCTCGAGGTGTTGTTTCTATCAAGGTTCTATGCTCTGTTCAATCCCGAGTCCTGACGTGTAAGCTGATTGGACACCGTCGAATACTGATCACTATATATACCGCGCTGTGCACATACTTACGGATCATCTCAGCGCTCATTAACATTCCCCCGACGATCATCTCCGAGTCCTTAAGGGCGTTTACTTATGCCTCCCTCGATTATCTAATTGTCTATCAACTATTCAAAGTTTAATCGACAATCGCAGACACGTCTGCGTCATTTACCCCATCATGATCATGATGTACTGGGCGGACACCTCGGTCGAAGCCTGGGTCCCAGGACGATCCCTGATCTCGAAGCGTCCGTCGAGCGACTCAGGGGTCTTGTCTCAACAAACCATCTCAGGAAAAGACTTGTAACAGCGTTGCCGACCTTGACCTCAGCGCACTGCGTGTTGTCCAAAAATTTCAGCGGCTGAGAAGTGGCTGGAATCTTGGGGGGTCAAAAATTTCCGCCATCTTCTCCGCCATCAACTATCCGCCAGCCGTGAAAATGTCGGAAATCTAGGGGTGTTAAAATGTACTCGACCAACCTTCTATTGGTAGTGTCAGAGTACCTGCCATTGTATTTTGCGTCTTCCAGCTTATGTTCGCTGCTATCACGTACGTCATATCCATCATCTCTCATTCAGAGCACTCATTTAACCTAGTTCCAGTCCCATGATCGCCATCGGTGCCATTGCGGAACACAGCCGCTTGGGTCCTCTCCTTGCATTCGTTTTCGCTTGGTCTACACTCGTCTTCCGTATAACAATATCCCCGTCGCATCCACATACAGACTTTCAACGAGGTCGACCGGTACAGGTGTGCCATGTTTTCTCAATGAGTTCTCCTACTTACCCAGACTTAACAGCACTAAACGGACTCCATCTTGGACCGATAGGAGAATATATGCGACTCATACTGATTCCCACGACACACCTGAGAAGTCTAATACCACTAACTTCTCGTACACATCAATACCATCATACGTCGCATCGGACAATGTAAGTTCTCCTATCACTGTTTAAATCCGCATCTAACAGATGAGCAGAAACCTGTTGTCTGCCGTCTACTCCTTCCACCACCTACCGCTACATCGTCCCCCGAAACGTGTACTTCTCTGATGCTCCAATTGCCCTCAGCGTACATACCTACGCCTGATCCGCATGCTACGCTTAAACGGTACACTGGCCGAACGCTTGATCGCATCATTGGCTATATGTGGTGGCTTCTCACAGTGGCAGGAGCCGGGTCGACCATTGTAGGGATTTTCTCCATGGTGGAAGGTACCAGCTTAAGATGCAACACCCTGCGACTCTAGCACTCTGTATGCGCAGCTGCATTGATTAATTGAGGCTGCTTAATATATTGTTGGGTTTTCATGATATGCGTGCACGTAGACGACGAGGCAATTGCAAACGAAGCGATGCGAGCGGTGCAAATTATGATATTTGTGAATTTAGAAATGAATTATAATTAAATATAGCTGGTGAATATTAATTGCGAGCATATATATATATATATAGTAGTTGTCCAGACCCCAGATATCAGCCGGTTGATACTTAGTGTCCAGAAAATTGGCTAAACGCTGGCGGAGAGGCAGAAAAACAGCCACCTCTCCTACGTCGGAACCTTTCGGCGGAAATCTGGCGGAGAACCAAGGCCTAGGTTAGTTTTCCGCTATCTTTCCGCAAGCGGAAATTTTAGACAACACGCAGTGGCGGGTGCATAGCCTTTCTCCTTTGCAGGTTACTAACCCTGTCCGTGTTGGTGATGTATATCTTGCGTAATATCGTGTTCCACCATCGTAACATCTGAATTCCTCTATTATACAATTGGTATAGAATAAAGTGGTATCTACCAATGTATGGACCAGGCGTTTGATCCCGTGGAACCAATTCGTGTCGACTCCATATTATAGTAACATCCAGTACGCGGCATCGCATGTATCATTGATTGGTTCACGTATTGTCCAGCATAGGGCCCCGGGCCCACAAGGATCCAACTAGAAAAGAAAAGAGGTATTGCTGGGAATCAAGGCAGGGTACTGCCCTTCAAAGCGAGCTCGCTATCAACGAAGTGAAGCGCTTCTTCAGCAGAAGGGCGATCGTCAGGACTCTTTGACCAGCAACGGGTCATGAAAGTCCAATGCCGGTCGATGATACGATCGCCGTCTGGACGAGGATGCATTTTCCCCTCAAAGCTCACTTTACGGCAGATTGCGAAATCACCAGTCAAGTGTGGCCAAGGAATATTCCCGGTTAAAACCTGGTGAGGAGTCAGTAAGTTGCATTGACAAGAGGGAACGGCTTACTTGAAGCACGATACAGCCAAACGAATACATGTCACTCTGAGCGGTAACTGCAGAGGCTGATTCTTCGTCGAGAAGTTCAGGAGCTGTCCACCTTAAAGCTCCTGGATGACAGCCCGTTTTTGCGAGGTACGTCATCCCGAGCGATTTCATTAAGGTTCCAGAAAGGCCAAAATCTGCAAGGTATGCAGTTCCATCGCCACCGATGAGGACATTGTTCTTGTGATTGATCATTAGTGTGAGTGGTGAAACAAACGGGGAACCTTACGCCAGTTAGGTCGCCGTGAACGACTGCATTCGAGTACGCGTGTCCGTCTATATTGAAGTTAAATGTATGAACTGAGGGAGACAGTTTAGTATTTATTTTTCGCCATATGCGTGTATTCACTCACGATAGTTGAGGCCATTGGCTATGTCACGGAGCTTGGGCACAAAACAATTAGTTCGATGGGGCAAACTGGGAATGCACTTGAAGTGCTCACCAGAAACAAACGATCGCGCAGCGTAAGGGTCCTGTTGTTCCGGCTGAGGAACGACGTCAGGGTGCCATTGACTATCCATGGAGCAACCAGAGCCACAGAGGGGCCAAAGTGTTGAGTAGTGCCCATGAACTTCAAGATATTCTTATGTTGCAACCTCTTCCAAATGCCGAGCTCTCTCCGGAGCACCTAGAAAAGCTGGCTTAGTGAGATCTGTCTGTTACAGGTCACAGAGCATTACCTTGGTACCGAAGAATATTCGAATTGCTTTGACAGCGACCTGCGTGGCGAGCAAAACATCATTAATATTAAACATACAAGGACTGTAACACTGGTACGAACATCCACATCACCGTCTGGTCCGTGATACACGCATTTGTAAATATCTCCATATGCGCCGCCGGCAACTGGGTATTCGGAGCATCGGGTGATGGAGCTAGTTAGGTCTGGAATAGGGGTTGGGGGGATCAGCTGAGTGGAGGGAGCGACATCTGGAGGCGCAAGTGGAGATATTTGATGTGATTGAGGATGAGTAGACCTTCGAAGGTTTCGGGTGGTCAGTAGTGTAATCCTGCGTCGTAGATAAATTGAGATGTTGTCCATTAAAAGACTGAGAAGATGCAAGGAAGAATAACGCTCGTCTGGTGTATTATCCATCAAGGACCGCCCAGTGTTTCGGCGGTGAGGGACAAGAAATTTGAATCTGGTTGCGGGTCATTGATATCACAGAGGGAACAGATTATATCATGAACGCGTGAGATTAACGGTCCTGTATTTCTTGAACTACTCGAGGCAAACTCGTGTTCGAAAGAAGCAAAGTTCAAGGACTGTGTTCGAAAGATACATAAGTTGAAAGACTGTGTTCGAAAGAAGCATAAGTTGAAAGACTGTGTTCGAAAGAAGCAACTTGACTACGCCGAGATCCACTGCGGCACCAGTATAGCAGAGCCGAGACCGGCATTCGACCGACCCAAGCAGGCATCACGTAACTAAAATACAAACAACGCGTAAACAAAGGAGCTCAGTCACGATTTCATTCTCCATGTCACGTACTCATTCTTCCTCTCTTCTTCACACCTGGGTAGCCCAATTAGGAAGCCTTACTAGGCTGAACGATAACGTGCCTCGTCAACTATAATTAGGCTAGGATGTAGTAATATCCAGACACCAGTATTAAACCGTGCCCCAAATCACCTTGTACCTCTACCACCACCAAAGCCTAGTACTAATGTTTAAGTAAGCTGGCGCCCCGCCCCAGGAACGTATACCGCCGCCGCGCTCAATCCGGCACTTCCCGCAATGCGCCTATTTTCGTCATAGAGGTTGATTTGTCGGGTTCCCACGACCTTTCCCTTATCCCGACCACATAGCAGGCTGCTCACTGCAGGCAATCGCTGCCGCCTCTATAGCCTGGCCACTGCCCTCTACAACATCTGCCCAAGGCCACCACTGCCCTCTACAACATCTGCTTCATCTGCCTCACCCAAAATCCCAGCACCGCAGTCGTCTCTGCGCCCCCAGCACGTTGCTTGCAGCATTCTGCCTCCCATCCCACTCTACAACACCTGTCCCAGCACGCTGCTTGCACCAACCTGCCTCCCACCTTGTTATCCTTGCCCACCACCGCCCTCTACAACCCCTGCCCAAGTGGTCTGTGCACCCACCAACGCTCTAGTCTCGGCTACTCACCTACGCCCACAGAGTCATCACTTAGGGATCGCACTATTCAGATATTCACCCACCAACGCTCTAGTCTCGGCTACTCACCTACGCCCACAGAGTCATCACTTAGGGATCGCACTATTCAGATATTCACCCACCAACGCTCTGCTCTCAGCTACTCACCTATGCCCACAGAGTCATCACTTGGGGATCGCACTATTCAGATATCTGGTCTCGCACCCACCAATGCTCCGCTCTCAGCTACTCGCCTACGCCCACAGAGTCATCGCCTTATCGTCCTCACAGTTCCCAACCATCCCACCGGCTCCCAATCTCGTCTCGCACCCACCAACGCTCTGCTCTCATGGTGGATAGACCAGGGTATGTCTGTAGGGACTTGAGAACTGCGCACTAAAATATATTTTAATGTCGAAAACACACTATATTCATGCTACTACGTCAGCAAACAATGGTTGAATGAAAACGAACATAGGTAAATGAGGCCGAGGCCTCCATCCCTACAACAATGAGCTCAACTGCACAGGGCCATACAATCTATCTAACTCAGACAGCGCTGGCATCATAATCAAATGGGGGAGGGTCAAAACTGTCAGTGAATGAACCAGAAGCACCGTCTGAGGGCTGTGGAATAGTAAGAGACTCGTCTGGAGAAGCCAAAGCAGAAGCAGCAGCAGCAACATCACAAGATGATGTAGCTGGCTCGTCTTCCTCCATACTGCTGTTGTCACTGATCCCCGCGCTCGTGTGCTGCTCACGGGAGGCAGTGGACTTCCTCGTGTCTGTATTATTCCGTTTCTTTCCTCTGTCAGATCTCGGACGGCGACGACGATCAACTATTTCGCCGCTCTCGAGCTTGTCGTCGCGTTCCTTGCGGTATTCCGCAAACTCCTCGTCGGTCAAGGCCTTCCAGTATGTTTTGTTAGTGTCCCACTTGCGCCAAAGCATTTCGAGGTCTGCAAGTGCGCTCGACGCTTGGCTCAGGTTTGCGAAAGGAATGTTCTCGGGCCAGCCTTCCACAATGACCTGGTACCGCTGAACGACGTTGCGGAAATAATGAGTCCATTGCATCTTCGCGCTGGGGTCACCAGTAGCCTCTTCTATATATTGAATTTAGTCAGACCATTGTCGCAAAGTCAGAAGAATCAAATACTCACGAAGTTTTCTGTTGATAATTTCCCGGATTTCTGAACGTTTGTCGGAGACGCGCTTCTTGTGGTTTTTGGCAGAACCTGAATGTAATTAGACAGAGAACACGATACTAGTAGGCAGACACTCACCTTGCATGCCTTGTACTGCAAAACCCTCCATTTTACTGACTAAGTCTTGGTTATCAATGCCCATGACGGTACCCATAAAATTTTCGACACCGTCGGTGGAAAATGCGATACCTCGAAGGGGAAGATCGGTAGAGCCGCGTGTAGTGTAGAGAATAGACTCTGCACCCGTACGACAATGCAGACTGATGAGCTAAAATTTAGGGGGGTCGTGTGAGAGAAATTCAATCAAAATCGACTAAGAACGTACCTCGTTTTCGACCGCCTTTAAGGTCTGTGTGATGTCGTTTATCTTCGACTTCGTTGAGGTACGAATACCGGTAGTCTTCGTCTCCTTCCATTCAGTGAACTCGGCAAGCAGTTCGTCTTGCTCCTCCCTCGAGAGGGCAAGGTACTCAGCCTTGTGATCATGCACGAGTGATTGGAGTGCAGCTTTACCGTGGGCTTCTACAAAAAAAAATTGAGCGGTGCACACGATGAAGTGTGTGATAAATAAATGAACTCACCGTTCTCTCTATCCTGGTTCTTCTTCCAGCAAAACGCATTCCATAGATTCGGCTTTGAGCGTTTCGAGCGGAGAAGCCCCCGACCCACGTACAAATCATTTTGAACACGCCGGATACTTTTATGGTGGGTAGTAGCGATGGTTTTGGTAGCGTCGTCCAGCTGCTTCCAAGCATCATCTAAAGAATCCTTGAATCGAAGGGACTTTGCACGTCGGTCAAGTCTGAGAGCAGCGCGAGCCTCTTTGCTGAGCACGACCTTGGCACGTTGACGTGTGGGTGGCTGAATATGCTTTGCGCCGCTTACACACTTCTTAGCATAAAAGGATTGGGTGACCATCAGGAGAACCAGCAGAGACGAGTCAACAAACAATGGTCAAATATTTTCTCAACTATTTAACGCACCAGGTCCATGTTTGTTTGAAGTCCATGATCGGGACGAAATGACACATTATTGCATACTAACAAACCAACATTTAAGATCTACAGTAATAAAAGACCAAAAAGGTAAAGCGCACACAAAAAAACCAAAATGCCGAGAAGTTTCAGGATCGTGGTAAGCACCGATGATCGGTGCTATGCACAAACATTAATCAGATCAACTTGAAAAAATTCGCAGAATGGAAGATCACTAACCTCCAAATTAGCGACCTCAGGGTTGACGGCCTTCATACCCACTTGTAAGTCTACAAGGAGAGCGTTAGCTAAAATGGAAGCATTTTCGTAGTTGAGGTCCCATGCTGGAGACCTCAGTATAGCCTCCCATCTACTACTGCGAACACTGCTGATCAAAGAACGGAGCCTTGGCAAGTTTTCGTCACCCAATCTCAAATGATCAAGAGCGGCATCCGTGCGTGGCCCAATACTGATCAACGGTGCCTCGAAGACTGAAGGATCACAAGCGAGTCCTTCATATTTTGGTACCTCTGCAAGTGGGCTAGGCTTGGCAAATATATCGGCCGGACGACGTTGACGTATCTCGGAGCGTGGTGTCGATGGCGTGGCTTTGTTCCCTGATCCACGAGCCAATTCTGCTCCATGCCGAAGAGCTGCGGAGTCCGAAGAAGGTAGCGGGGAGAAGGCTTTGGAGGCTTGCGCCGAGCACTGGATGCGAGCGCCTGTGGCCACTGTGGGTGGAGGGAGATGTGGTGGACCACTGGCACTGATATGAGTTGCTGTGACTTGAGAGCTTCATTAGCAATTAAATAATGAAATAAATAGTGAAGTACTTACAGTTCCTTGGGGGTTTCACGTTTTCAACAGCACAACGAGCCGTAAAGCGCTGGAGATGAGGTACCACGAATTCCTGCGCAAATGCTTGCACCAAGACAGCAACATCTCCGCCAATTCTCTGCTGTGATTCTTGCAGCTCGCGGGGCGTGATATAGACATCGATGGGAAATTGTTCGGGCGAGATATTCGGAGTCGCTTCACTGCCAGCGCATCGAATCAGAATTGATATTCCACCATCAAGACGGTCTTGCATAGTGATCTGAGAAATATCGTGAGGTTTAAGAAAAAGAAAGGTAGAAACAACTGACCGCATCAAAGACATCCTGGAGGGCTGCCTCGCCCAGCTCGCTGTGAGTCAGGGTCCGCTCTGCCTCGTTCACGTCAGTTGGCTGATTGAAGCCGAGGTAGGATGGGTGAAGACCCCCCGCTCTCCTCGTCTGGTAGTGGGTACCGTCGATATGAGCATCGTGCCTAAGCAGAGCTCGTGCAGCAGCTTGCCGCTCATTATTGCTGAAACCTGGTGCGAAAGTAGAAGTATACAAAGCCGCAAGACCTGACATAGTGAAGCGGTGGTATCCCACTGTTTTGGCACCTGAACTTGAAGATGGCTTCTTCAAGTTGGTGGAAGACGCCAGAATGAAGGGTGGTGGAGAGGGCGGTGGTTTCATGGATGCGAGTTGTTGGATGTGAGGTGTGGTTGAAGAAGTGAGGTGTAATACATGTAATGCTGTGAGGTGTAATGGCTATAGTATTATGTACACAGATTGATGTTCTCGCATACAGATTGATGTTCTTGCATGCACTATAATTCAAGTTCGGAGGCTCAGCGCTCAGCAATTATATGTATGCTACATTATCGCATTTTCTATCCTACAGTTGTATGTTACATTATATCCTATGTACAGTTGTATGCTACATTATCGCGCGTTATCTATCCTACATGTACAGCTGTATGTTACATTAGTCGCATATCCCACCTTAGTATGCTACATTAACGCATTTCTGCATTTCCGTCTGACGGGGTGTTGGGAAACAGTGTTTATATCACAACTAGACATACAGAACTAATGAACTAAGAGGTAAGTAACTGGTGCTCAAGTCAATGTCGAGTAGGTGGTGCCCAAGTCAGTCAACAATCGATTGTAAATAATCAGCCATCTCTTCCGTCAATGCATCTTGTTCTTCTTGATCAATGGCGTCAAGGTCAGTGTTCTCGAGGGATTCAGAATTGACCTGGAAACTCGCAATATTCCCCAGCGGTTGTCCTGTGAGATAGATTAGTATGAGATCTATGTACTCAAACAACACATACCACGATGGCCAACTTGATCAGCATCACGAGTAGATTCACCAGCGCGCTGAAGGCGGACGCCAACACCTTTGGCTCCCGAAAAACCTGCGAGTTTCTCAATGCGACTCAACCGGTAACAATGCACTGCATTGATAGCCAGGCGCGAACGATATTGGCGCTGTAGCTCGCAGGCCAGGTGAGGGTCTGAAACGAGAAGTTCCTGCATGACGTCAGACACCCCAAGCTCTTCATCATGGATGGCGGTGCGCAGGCGCCGAACTTCAACGTTTAAACGAGTGATTTCTTCGCGAGCTCGATGAAGCTTGAAGTATTTCGTGGTGGCCTCTCGATGACCCGGCTTCGACCAATCACTGCTTCGAATGTCATCGCGAGAATGACGCAGAAGATCAAATTCGCCTAGAAAGCCATAATCAGCAATATCTTTCCAAGAAATATTCGGACGCGGTGGGTTGAGTCCGGCGGCTTGAGTGTTGTAGCGAATAATGGCATTGCGAATAGCTTCTGAACGACGTTGTAGAGCTTTGCCAATCTGCTGCCGTAGCTTGTACCCTACAAAATAAATAAATTCATCAGTGTGCGTATTTTGACATAAACGAGCTTACCGGTTCCTGATAATGACAGTTTCGAGAGCTCGAACAGCCTCATCACAACGAGGCGCTCTAGCTCATCTAAGGCGGTGCGATACTTGCCCATGCTCGCTTCTTCCTTGAAACGTTGGTACTCCAGTCCACCAATCTCCCACCGCTGGTCCACGGCCAACTGAGCCTCTATATGCGCGACAAGTCCCTCGGCGTTCTGTAGCTTAATGTATGAAGAGTCAACTCGAATACGAGCTTGTGCGAGGGCACTGTTGATCTGCGTTAAGCCTCCAGTGGGGATATTAGTAAGGGCGTTGTTGCCAACTTCGCGAGCTACATCCCAATCAGCACTAGAATGATCAGACATATCAGAGATAGGCTCGATTATGGTATGTAAACTTTACTCACCGCCGTTCGGCAAGTTTGTCCAAAACCTCAACGTAGCGTATGCAGAGTTGATCCCGAATTGGTGGCAGCTTCAATCTGTCAAGGTAATTACGTTCTTCATCAAGAAATCGCGGGAAATCTTCATCAGTAAGAAATAACTCGGCCTTGATGGCTGTGAGCTCGGCGGTGAGCGTCTGAATCGATTTTAATCCCTCTCGATAATGATTCCAAAGAAACGTGCCTGATCGTTCATTAGTTGCATAATTGATGGACTTGAAAAAAAAAAATTACGCACTGAGCGCGGCATATTTGTCAGCGTCCCAGAACGAGAAGTGCTCCTCGATTGTCTGGCGCCGGTGGAATGGGGTCGCATGTCTTGTACTGCGAGCAAGCTCATTTGATGACGAGAATACATGTTCACAACCTTCGCCCTCAGTGTGTCCGATTCCCGGAATGTACATGGGATGCCAGTCTAGCTGGCATTTGCGGTTATGGGCGTGTCCGTGAAAGGCGCCTACCATGAGCCGAAAATCTAACTCGCGTGCTTGCGTTCCCAGGGAACTGTTAGTTAAAGTCTTCGAAAAGGCGCATCCGATGTCGTAGGCACAGCCGCCATTCTTCCCATACACTGCGAGGAGCTTCTCAATAATAGCAAGCGGATATTTAGCCCTGTAGAATTATAGCTCAGCAACAATAAAGATGAGGGAAAAATAACCTAACAATTCCCCACTCCGGACCATGTCGCATGCCAGAACAACGAATCGATGACGACACGCTGCGATGAAAATACCTGATTCATCGAATACGGAGAACATTTTTTTGCGAGTGTCTGGTCCGGCATTACGCCACCGGTTGACGCACGTGAATGTCCCAGCACCTTCGTTTGCGGTGGTTTCATCTGTCCAGTTGTCATCGTCCGAATCCCTCTGCATAGCATAATCAGACTACAGTTGTGCACAGAGAGACGTCTTACCTGTCGTGTTCTGACTTCATCTTTGAACCTGTCTACATCACAAGTGTCAAGCCAGTAGTCCGACCGTGCCTTACGAGAATCTGTACGCCTGGTTGAGCCGTAGATCGCGGAGTCCCACCGTTTCAGACTATTGTTGCCATCTATAGACACCAGCCAATCGAATTCTAGAGCAGGCTCGTCCTCCAGCACGTAGAAGCATGCTGGGCATGCGTTAAGCATGCGCCAATGCGGTGTGTCATGTTTCAGCGCCTTGCGAAGGCGCTGATTCACACGGTGGATGATTTCCAGATAAATATCGTAAGCGGCTGAAAATTGCACGCAAAGGTATGGTCGATAGGGAGACTATGACAGCATCATTAGCGAAGTCATAAGATGCGATTTATACGTACGTCATGCAGGAAACAGAGACTCTTGACTTGGGCTTGGACACTGAACCGAGGGCAAGTTCGATGTATTTGACGGTAGGCTGCAAGAGTGCGCAGTGATATGGCAACTGTTGGATAAATTGGTGAGCACCCGATGTAGCCATGATAGATCAATGTCTCATTGGGGTATTTGTGTGAGAGCCGTGATTGAGGTGAACTGTGGCTTCGTGCTGCAAATGAGTTAGGGTATGTAGAAGTAAAAAAAAATTGTACGTACTAAATATATCAACAAGTTCAATGTTAGTCAATGAAACACTAGGAGAATCGCATAAAGGTGGTTCCGGATCTTTGAATGTCGGCATCCCGTCACCAGAGTCGCGAGAACGGTAGTCGAGGTAAGCATCGACAAGCTGGTCTAGCTGAAGGTCCCATTGATCGGTTTGATTTTCTGTGCGGTCCTGTCGAGTGCGGAGGTCAACATAGCGACTAGTATATGGTATGAGTGAGAGAATATAGAGATAAAAACCATACGTGCTAGCCACTGATATCTGCGATCTGCTCAGCAAGTCCTTCGAATGCTTCATACTCTCCACCTGCATGACTGAATTCCATCCCTTCGTCTCCAGGAGGTGCCGTGAGCGGCAGGGTCTCAATATCCATGCCGCAGTCAGCCATCATATCCTCCACCATATGGCGATCCTCATTGGACATCTCTGACATGAGTGGGACGTGGGGGTTAGAGTTGTTGGATGACAACATCGACAACCTCCGCACGTATTAGTCATCGCATCACGGACCCATTAGACACCTTTTATCTCTGTTGTTTCTCATTGTTTGTACCTCAGCGGTTTATCCATAACGCTGAGGTATGTTTGATTTCTGTCGTGCACGCCGCATCATTCTCACTTTATTTCGTCTATAGCATTGTGTCAGGTACTACTTAATAACAAGCGGTTTATCCATAACGCTGAGCATTGTGTCAGTTTCTACAAGAGTTACAGGCGATAAAAACTATAAAGCAAAGAAATACCTTGAATTTGAGCCTGACGGCTTGCATCTGTAACTTCCCTGCGTTGAAGCTGCCGGCCAGCTGTCAGAATACGCGATTGGCGCTGTCTCCCTCGAAATTTGTGTGTGATGACCGAGTTTGAGAGGCCCTTGAGCTTATGATACCCTCCTCCACGAGACATGAGGAGCAAGAGTGATATTTGAATAGTGCAATCCCCAAGTGATGACTCTGTGGGCGTAGGTGAGTAGCTGAGAGCAGAGCGTTGGTGGGTGAATATCTGAATAGTGCGATCCCTAAGTGATGACTCTGTGGGCGTAGGTGAGTAGCCGAGACTAGAGCGTTGGTGGGTGAATATCTGAATAGTGCGATCCCTAAGTGATGACTCTGTGGGCGTAGGTGAGTAGCCGAGACTAGAGCGTTGGTGGGTGCACAGACCACTTGGGCAGGGGTTGTAGAGGGCGGTGGTGGGCAAGGATAACAAGGTGGGAGGCAGGTTGGTGCAAGCAGCGTGCTGGGACAGGTGTTGTAGAGTGGGATGGGAGGCAGAATGCTGCAAGCAACGTGCTGGGGGCGCAGAGACGACTGCGGTGCTGGGATTTTGGGTGAGGCAGATGAGGCAGATGTTGTAGAGGGCAGTGGTGGCCTTGGGCAGATGTTGTAGAGGGCAGTGGCCAGGCTATAGAGGCGGCAGCGATTGCCTGCAGTGAGCAGCCTGCTATGTGGTCGGGATAAGGGAAAGGTCGTGGGAACCCGACAAATCAACCTCTATGACGAAAATAGGCGCATTGCGGGAAGTGCCGGATTGAGCGCGGCGGCGGTATACGTTCCTGGGGCGGGGCGCCAGCTTACTTAAACATTAGTACTAGGCTTTGGTGGTGGTAGAGGTACAAGGTGATTTGGGGCACGGTTTAATACTGGTGTCTGGATATTACTACATCCTAGCCTAATTATAGTTGACGAGGCACGTTATCGTTCAGCCTAGTAAGGCTTCCTAATTGGGCTACCCAGGTGCTTCTTCATCAATCACCCATGGAAAATATTCGCAACGGCTCTCCGCAGCCATCCGCGTACCTGCTAGCTCGCATCGTTAGGCAGTCAACATGCCATTACTGGAATTACCACATTCCATCTCTCTATGCTCCAGAATGTATCGAAAATCGCTTGAATTCACATTTACTATACATGAAAACTGGGACGTGTAAATGGAAAATCACGACGGAAGCAAAAACAGTGCAGATGATGGAACGGTGATGCGAAGCAGTGCGATGGAAAGAGAGACGACGAAACAAGGCAAGGAGATGCGGGAGGGCGCTGAATCTAGTACAAAGCTCCGTCGGCGGCAGCGATTGCCTTGGTCTAACACCTTTTCCTGCCCCAAGTGAACATAAGTTATTGAAACATGGGAGTAAAATCGAACTTACTGCTGGTAGCTCGCACAATCTCGGAATCCAACTAAGCCTGCAGGGAAAACAGTGATGACGACGAACGACGCGTGAAAACACTGAGCGTCGACAAACGCGATTCCAGCCATTTTGGCCATACCAGTAGGTAGAGTTCACTGGGCGTCAGTCGACCAAGCACCGACGCATTAACCTCTTTACATCTATAGGGAGGGACTTACATGAATTTCGCGCGCCTCGTATTCACAACGTGCCCCCGGGCCAAAGAAGCACCTGAAGCACGCGCTTTAAAAGTCCTGTATTCTCGTACCTGGTTAGGGTTATTCATAGACCTCAGTAAGTACCAAATAGGTCTCCAATGGTAAAAACGTTTGTCTATGTACGTACATGATATGCCCACGGATGACTAGGAGAACGGTGCCTTGTAATACTTACCTTGCTTGTGTACAATATTAAATGTTTTCATATGACTCTCCCCCCCGGCAGAAAACCAGATATCAAAGGTGTTGGCACAATAAATGGAATATGATAATGATAAAAATAAATAAAACATGCTAGCCCCTCCGTCGCGGTATCCTCGACATCGGCTGCCTCAGTCCGTCCTCTTCAACATCCCGAACATATCCAACGCCCATAAACACAGGCGCACCACCCGCACCACCCCCAGCTAGGAATCCACGTTGTTTACTCCCAGTGCCCGTCCCAACCAACTCCCCACTCTCAAGTCCCAGCTCCACAAGCCGATCAGACGACCGCGCCCGTGCAAGCTCTTCGTCCAATGTCAGTCGCCGTTTGCCCTTGCTATTCGCTGCGGTCGATTTCTCCGTAGCTCTAGGCTGAGCCTCGCGTCGCCACGTCAACTTCGGAGGTAGCGCCAGCTCATCCGGCTCTTCTTCCCCGTCCTCGTCATCCTCATCATCCTCGTCAAGCAGCATGATACTCTTCGGCTTCGGCGTAGCACCCCTCTTCGTCCTCTCAGGCGTCGGCACGGACTTCCTCTTCTTGGCACGCGCAGGCGCAGGCACCCTCGTCGGCGTCGGTACAGGCAGCGGAGACATCGGTGGGCGTTTCCTGAATATATCTCCTTGCGGGCGTGAGGGCGTGACGTGTTTATGTGCAGGCTCGACATCAATATCTTCCATATCCACGTCGATAATATCTATACCCTCGTCATGCGCGTTCTGGGCTGCAGCTGCAGCTGACCTCGGTCCAGGCGGCGTCGACGGCATCCTACCATCGTCCCCTCCTAACTCATTATCAGAGCATAAAGAGGGCGTGGTGATGTCCGTTTCGTTCGATAGCGAGGAGTGGTTCGGGAGCGATGGTACTGTGAGGGAGAGGTTTGAATGTGTGGAGCCGGAGGAAAACTCGTGTGTTCTAGAGGATGAAGATGAAGAGGCGCTCGTGTCTGATCGGGCTTGATCACGAGTGCCTGATCGCCGTTTGGACGCGGACCCTCCTTCTGACTCGCCTAGGGCATCTGCTTTGCGCTTGTTATTTATGCGTGGGTCGATTACGTTCGACGAGGGGGGTGGGTAAGAGGATTTCGGCGCGGTTGAAGTATATTTTGGTTTGGGAATGCTCGAGGCGGAAGGTAATTTTAACGTGGACGCAGGTTTATTCCCGCTAGAAGTTGACGCTAGTCTCGAGGGACCTGGGTTGGAAGCAGCTGAACCAACAGGCACATTCACACCCATCGACTTGCGCCTCGCCATCTCCTCTCTGCGCCCTTCCACTCCACCAGTACCCGAACTCACACTCCTACTTAACCCACTTGGCCCAGGTCGATCACCCGCCGGTCGATCACTAACACTCCGATTCATCCCCTCAGGTATAGGCCCCACTTTCCTCAACCGTACCGTCCTCATCTCGTTCAAGAACGCAGCCATTTTGTCGCTGGGGACGTTGACAGTCGGTTGTCTCACTTTACCGCTTGCTGACCTTGTCAATTCATTTGTGCCTTTAGTCGTACTGCCCTCGGTTGAGCGTAAGGCAGCGCGCGCACTTGCGAAGAGAGCCCTGCTTTCGCCTAGATGAGGAGGGAGGGGGATGCGGACGCCGGGAGGAGGAGGGAGTGGTGGGGGTGGGGGTGGTATCGGGATTTGGGTTTGAGAGGGAGGGGATGAACGGTGGCGATGGGAGAGCTGTAATGGAACGTGTCAGCATATATCCATACCAAAACGAACGAATAGATAAATAAACGGTGCGGACACAGTAACGCACCTCTTCCTTCAACATCCTTACTTCCTCCTCCAACATCCTAATGCGCTCCTTGTCCCTCTCCCGATCTCCATCACCCGTCGTTTTAGTCTTCGCCCCTGTCTCGCGTCTCACAGCATCCAACTGTTTTTCCTTATCCTGCACGCGGTGGCGGTCAAGTATGAACTCCAAATCATCATCCCCATTATCAACAGCGCGTTCTTTCCCCTTCCGCGAAACACCGCCCAGTGACGAATGCGGCATTTCCAATACGGTACCTGGGCTTTTCAAATCTACAGGACCCGCCGGGCTAGCGATTACTAGCAACGAAAAATCCCTCTCTTCCCCTCCACTCGCTGTGAACCGCTGAACAGCATCGTGGACAGATGCGATGGGGCGAGTGCGCCAGGGGGAAGGGCCGGTTTTGTCTGCGGGGGTTGCATTTTGAGAACTGGAGGGGCCAGGTTCTAAATCCTGTGCGTCGAGAGTTGATTGAGGAGTGCGGGGTATGGGATTAGGATTTCGTTCGTGGGTACGAGTATCTTCGGCGGCAGACAAAAATCGTACTCTCCTGCTCTCCATTTCTGCGTCGTCGGGGCCAGGTTCGAGTGAGTCTGATCGAGGGAAAAGTGAGCCGGGCATTGTGATGGAAGGTTTTTTCCGGAGTTGGGGGTATGCTGCTTCTGCCGAAATTGGATGTGAGAGGTGGAGGGGAGGGGGAGGGTTTGCTTCAGATGAGGATTGATCCTTGGGAGGGTGTTGTATTTCCTCTTGGGGACGAGGACGGGTTTTTTCCGCCTCGCGAATAATTGGTATGTCGTGGAGATGGGGAACGGGAGGTAGCGCTGGGCGTAAGTTCTGTAGAGAAATATATCAGCATCATAGCGAAGGCGGCGCCAGACTAAATTCATGTGAGATGCCATTAAACTCACCGCCATCTGCGTCCTCAGGTCGATCAACGTAGAATTGATTCTTCCGCCCATGACTATCTGCAGACTTTGCCCTCGAGTTGGGTTGCTTCCCATCTGAGGTTCTCGCCTTCGGTTTCTTCGAGCGTGAGGGCTCACGGGACTGAGACTGGGATTGCGAGTAAGACCGTTCAGCAGACCGTGAGGGAGGCGGAGAGCCTGAGGCAGCGCGTCTCTTTCCGTCATTCCTCTCTTTTCCTCTCCTGGTACGGCCACGACCGTCTGTGCTCAATTTTCTCCGATCTTTCGTCTTCCTTGGTTGCTTCTCGCCACCGCCGTCGACGCTACCGCTAGCCTCCCTCCACTGCTCAATCATACCCCCATCGTAGCCTTTTCGTTGCCTACCTCGCTCTTCCAGTTTTGTATCATGACCGCGTTTCAGTTTAGATGGACCAGACTGTGTCAGTGATCGATTTTCAGCTCCGTTCAAGCAATAGGTATTAGAATTAGAGAAACCAGGACGCACCTCAGCTTTACCGGTAGCATTGATGACGAACTCGCCAATCTCTCGGGAGACGAAGCTGAGCACGTTCGAAAGAATGCCTGGTTCGCTGCGTCTTGGTTTTAGATTGTGGCGGTTGGAATGGGACATTGCATGCGTGTGTGGACTCTTTACCAGAATGAAGGCGGGATGGAAAGGGTGTATTGATGTGTTGAGTGTTGGATCAACAAACGTAAATAACACGCCTTGTTTACTTGTCACCGCGTCTGAATCTTATTCCCAGAACAATGATACATTTTTATAAGCGAGCATCGTCCAACTATCTTCTACCTGTTACACCGGACTAATACATCTATGGATGCCCCTACTTCAGGGGCTTTAGTATACCCGTTATCGATTCCAAGACAAGGTTTCGCACTTGTCTTGGAATCGATAATTGCAAACACATATTCCGAATTCGAATGGAGAGCTAGGCTATCAGCGGGTTTGCTGCCAGATGAACCTTCTGTAAGCCCAGGCTTACTACATGGCGTAGGCGTCTCCGTGCTTGTTGGGCTAGCAGCGAGAGTAGGGAAGGTGGAAAGCCGTCACGTCGACGGCAAGCAGTAACGAGGAAGAGGGTAAGAAGCTAAGCTCTACAGGTACAACTCTTATATAGGGATCAGCGATACCCAACCAAATATCAGATAACAAGGTGCGGTGTCCAATCATTGAGGATCATCGATCATCATCGAGAAAGCACGGAGACGCCTACGCCATGTGCAAGTTGCGTCCGGGGTGAATGTCACAATGCGCATGCCTTCCAAGATCTCACCAACTTCTCGCTCTCCGTCTCCGGAATTCCAGTCAGATGGAATGGCCACCTTGATCACTGAGTATTGGGGACAGGCTTGCCTCGCGATTACCTAATGTATTTTCTCTTCATGCCCCTGTGTTTCGACTACCTTCACCCACCATGACACCACTGCCAAGAATGAACAACTTGTTGACGATTTACATTGTTTTTGCTATCATCTTCGAGCCACTTGCTGGGCTGCTAGCCATTTTCGTGCCCGATGGATTCATACTTCCATACGGTCTCGCCATATCTTTCTCATCTTTCCTACTTTCGCTGCTTCACATTCGCCTGGTGCAAACAGTGTTATCAGCACACAAGACCGACCCCCCCCCCCCCCCCCCCCCCGTCTATAATTCCATTTTGCTTCATGCAATAATGGGTTCGGTGTGTCTGATAATGACAGTCGAACGTCACTATGACAGTGAGTAATCAAGCAGTAATACTTGTCTACATGGCCCTAACTCTTTCTGAAGCCCCGTTAAAAGCAATGCAAAACTTGAACATAGTACCAGTCACTCTCTACACGTCCACTCTAATGATCATCGTCTACCATTGGTTGCTATGCCACTGCGCTGACAAGCAAGACCTTGGGTCAATGGGGCACGTTTATGACTTCTTGATCTCATGGCTTCCGTCGTGTAATGCACCCCATACTGACACTCTCGAAACCCTCCCCCAAACTGCAGCTCGCTTACCCTTCGACGCCCCTGTATCACCTGTAAGCCACGCAGGAACCACTTATATTCATTTACAACCTTACTCCTTGGTACGTTGCTGCTTTTCTTACCAATTCAAACCTAAATCCGTCCTCCTAGCTCTCTGACGAAGACCTTATAGAGACGAAAATGGATGAAGAACCCTAGATTACATAGGTAGAACTTGTAAAGTGAGAAAGCCCCAGAAAGGTGTATGTCAGGTGACAATTCAATTTCTGCAACAATATAGACTTGAAGTCGCTGGACCACTCCGAGATAAGATCACGGCAGTCTCCGATTTCATTTAGCCCAAGCTTTTCCATCCAAATCTACGACGACATATACTACGATGGTCTCCACGACGTTGATCTCATCTGTCCCACAATATGTCTCCCCCGAGGAGCACAGAAATATCGTAGGTTCGACTCCTGCATCATTCAACGACATCCCTCCCGTTCTGCGCCACAAAGAAGACAATGTACGCGTCGTGCTTGATCCTCCCCTCCGTACATTCACCGAACAAGATTCCGCGAATGGAACATTATTCGTGATCGAGAGGTACTTATATTGACGAATCGCCAATCACTTATTCAATCTGATGTTTCACAGCGCACTTGTTTTCATGTCATCTACCGGTGTCGGATTTCAGGTCCCGTACCCTGCCATCACCCTGCACGCAATTTCCCGTCCAGAATCTGGACCATCAATATATTGTCAACTAGACGAGCTCGCTGGAGAGCCTGGAGCAGCTGAATCGCCTGAAAACGACGAAGCCGCCGACATGCGAGAGCTCAGCATCATCCCCTCAAACCCTACTTCTCGTAAGTGTTTTTCTCAGAATCAAAACACGCACACATGCTGATAGCAGCGATCCGATCAGTGGAGCCAATATTTGAGGCAATGTCTCTCTGTGCTTCCCTCCACCCAGATCCAAACGTTTCAGATGATGATGACTTGGACGAAGCATTTATGGATGAGGGCGCCTTTGAGACGTTTACGGGTGAAGAGGGCGAGGAGCTCAGTGAGGTTGGCCGGGTGCGCAGTGATTTCACCAACAACAGTCGTTATGCACCGTACTAGACACCTCACGCAGGCGGCTCTCGAGTATCTGGAGTCGATCATCGATGATCCATATCATTCAGACAAGAATGGCGTCAACGGCGCTGGCGAGGATGTCGAAAGCGGAGGCGAAGGCGAAGGGGGACGATGATCAGGTTTCAGATCTGGACGTTGATTTTGGATCTTAAATGGCACGAGCAAAAGTTGAGCAAAAGTATATATTTCACCAACGAAGGATCAGCGCATAATCGAGACATTCAGTACATGACCATTTGAATCAACAAATCATAGCAGTCTTTATCTACGACCTGAAACCCTTGGGCCGGACATCAGCAGACAGTGTCGTTTTTGGTGTGGCAGTTGGCAATGGTCCCCAGTCAAATGCGGTAGTGGGGGCTTTTGGTGCGGGCGTTGGAGTATCCTCGAGACTCTCCATCTTCAACATGGCCGCCGATTTAGCTGAAGACCCATGTCTTGGTGTTCGCTGTGGGCGACGCGAAGAGGACGCTGTGTAAGATGTAGAATCGTCATAATTGATCGACGTTTCTGGCGACCACCCGACCCGCGTGAACGTAGGGGTGTTGAACGCAGGCAAGGCGCTGCTAGGAAGGGAAATGAAACCAGTAGGAGTAGGTGTATCAGGCTCTTGTTTCACTATTGCCCTGGCTGGCGTCAGGAATGATGTGGGCGCGGGCTTGGATGCTGCTTTGTTGTTAAGCAAAGGCTCTTTCCTCGCTGCCAGCAGAGCCCGTTTCAGCTTCTGCGCAGAGCGTTCGGCATTCAATGCAGCAGCCGTGGTAACCGCTACATGGGGAATTACCGCCGATGGTTTCTTAACGCTTGATTCGGAGAGCCGTTTATCTCGAGAACCAAGGACGTTAGAGGACACGTCCAGCTTGCTCATTCGCTGCTGGAGCTTGGTGACATCCCCGCTTTGTTGCATGATTGTGATGTCAATGTTGCGGAAGGTGCGGTTCACGGTGTCCAAAGATGGTGCCCTGTTAGCAAGATGTGAGAAGTAGGCGGGATTACAGGATAGGATCACGAACTTCAGGCTTGGTTTTCCTGAGTTCAGCTCGGCGAGCCTCTTCTTCGAGGATTGCAGATGGTCCTCAAGTTTTTGTACACGGTCCCTCATTGCCTGTCCACGAAATCAGCATATTATCTAGTCGATCACAGAGAGAACCGTACCCTTATATCCCTCCGCAGTTGCGATTGAGTCTCCAAATATTCCGGTCCAAGCGTTCTGATCTTGAGCATCTTCGCAAACTCACTGTCCGTCTGAGCTCGAGTAAATCGAATAATTTCCTCCTTTCTCGTTCCCGCTGTATATCATGCATTAGACTGATGACCGTAATCTCGGTACGAATGACTGACCTTTCAGCATACTGCTCTCAAGCTCCTTGAGGGACTGTTTAAGAAGCTTCCGTTGCTCCTTTATCTCTTTGATGTCGCTCTGGACTTCAGTCATTACATGACCATACTCCTTGATGTCTCCAGGCGCCCATTTCGTTGCATCCACAAGGTCAGCTTTCACGTGAGATTGTCCTGGTGTCTTCTTTGACGTGAGCTTGGCGGCTTGCTGCGTTGCACGCGCTGCCATAGTTTTAAGCTGACGACAGGGTAAGCCCTCAAGTTTGAATTCATGTATTGAAGACTTACATTGTCGAGTTCCCAAGTTAGACGTGAGACCATAAACGAGCACTCCGACTGCATGCCTTGTTCGATAGGCGGAACTGGTGGAGATATAGAAGGAAGGGGCACTACAGGTGGCAGCGGGCCAGGAGACAAAGACATGGGTACAGCGGGTACAGCCACAGGTGGCTTGAAGCTATTGAAAACGCCAGGAGACGGAGGTGTAAGAGCAGGAGGCGCTTCCGGCGTTTTGACTGGCATACCGAACATACTGGGAGATGCAGGACTGGGACTCTCGCTTGGCTTTGGAAAACCAAAGAAACCCGCAGGAGGGGGCGTGAAGACTGGTGGAGTTGGAGTCCGAGACTGAGCTGGAGCTGGAGCGCCGAAGATACTAGATGATGCGGTGGCTGGAGCGCCGAAGATGCTAGACGATGCAGTGGCTGGGGCGCCGAAGATGCTAGGCGGTGGAGTGGCCGGAGCACCGAAGATGCTAGACGATGCAGTGGCCGGAGCGCCGAAGATGCTAGACGGTGCAGCAGCTGAAGCATTGAAAATGCCAGACGGTGTAGGCGGTGTAGCAGTTAGCAGGGGCTTTGGAGGTAATGTAAACGCTGGCGGCATAGGCAGCGCCGTGATTGCTGGCGCGCTCGCACTCTTGCCGAAAAGAACTGGAGGCGTTTTGGGCCGGGAAGAATCTGACTCCACGTCTTGCTTCACTGGTGGTACCCACGAGCCGAATTGCTGCCTCGGTGAGGCAGGATGCGGTACCATGGTCGGAGGTGCTGATTTTGGCGCTTGGGGTAGCAAACTGGGAGCTTCCACGTCTCCAGTGAAGGAGGTACTTGCAAGAGGTGAGCTTTTGGCCGGTCGAGTGCCTGTCCTAGGAGTTATTGCGAATGGGGAGGAGGCAGGAGGCTTTGGAAGAGGCGAAGCCACAGGAGAAGTGGCATGTTGAGGCTCGGGTACGGGAGATCCAGGAGGTGTAGTACTCTGGTCCCGAACTGGGGAAATCTTTCGAGGCGGGGGGGAAGGGGAAGTTGACAATGTGATGGTTGGTAACTCCGCTTTTGGAGTTGTTGATCGTGACCTGGCAGCAGGCGATGGGTTGGAAGGAGGAACCACTGTTGGCTCAGACTCCCCTTTTTGGGTCTGCTCTTCCCGCTCTTCCTTCTGTTTATCACCCTCTTTTGGCTCTTCTCCCTGCTCCTCCTTCTGTTTCACCTGCTCTTCCCGCTCTTCCTCCAGCTCCTCCAGCTCCTCCTGTTCTTCTAGTTCCTCCTCCTCTTCCTCGTCATCCTCGTCTGGCAATTCAGAATCATCCGACTCTTCCGATTCATCGTCCGAAATAAATGACTTCGTGTCGTCCTCAAGCTCTCCGTCCTCATCAGAGTCTTCAACAGTCGATTCCTCAGCACCCTCAACCGCATCTTCAGCAGAAACATCAACGAAGGATGAGGCTGTCGATGATGAGATAGATTCTAAGGAAGGTTCGTGAGGCAAAGCAGCCACCTCCTTGCCTTTCACCTCCTGCACTTTCTCCTGGACCGCCGGAAGCGGCGGAGTGGTCGTTCTCGTTGGAGTTTCCTCTTCCTTTATAACCTCCACCTTTGCGACCGGCGTAGTAGGCGTAAGCGGCTCTTCCACCTTGGCATTCGTAACCTCTTTGGCAGGCGTCTCAGGCTCGGCGATGTGCGCAACAAACACATTGACAGATTCTGTCTTCGGGGTTTCCTTTGCAGGCCCCTTCGGCTCGTCACCAGTGCTCTTCAGCAATTCGCCAAATGACTTCGGTGCACCAGCAAACGCGCTAAAACCTGCACCTGCACCTGATGCGAAGGCACTGAACCCACCCGTCGAAGGTGTCGAGAATGCTGATTGAGGTGGGCTAGATGGGCTCTTGAATGCCCCTCCTAGCATGGAGGAGGCACCGAATGCAGGAGCTGAGGGACTGGGCGTCATGGTCCCAAAGGGACTCTTCGTAACAGCTCCAGGCATTGATGATTGACCGAAAGCAGGAGCCCCGGTAGTAGGTTTTGGCGGTGTCGAAGGGGTACTTGCTGCCAGAGCAAATGCAGAGACAGGTGGCTGCGCCGCCGGCCTGTAAAACGGAGAGTCTTTCGCTGGTTCTCCCAATCCGAACCCAGAGGAGGGTTTCAGCGAGAATGGGGATGGAGATGGCTTTAAACCGCTGAAGGCACCTGTCGTTGGAGCTGGCGCAGAGCTCTTGAATCCGGACTCAACCTCATCACCCCTCTGCGCGACAGGGGAAGGAGACCGACTGTCATCGCGTGGCACAGATGTTTCGCGTGGTACGTTAATTCCCTGGGCAGGCTTTGGTGCATCGGGTTTCGTAGCATTGGTTGCACTCGCCCAGACAGACTTCTGAGCACCTGCATTGGAAGTAGTAATTCCGAATGCACTTGGGGTACCTGTCGCAAATGCGGCGAAGCCTCCGGATGTCGGTGTTGGTGTTGGTGCAGCAGTGGTAGCTGATCCAAAGCCTGATTTGCCAAAAGTCGATGTTCCAAAGCTGGATTGTCCGAACCCAGACTGTCCAAATCCACTCTTCCCAAAGCTAGAGTCAGTTGTAACTCCAAATCCGCTCTTCCCGAATGCAGAAGTAGGTGAAGTAGTAGATCCAAACGCTGTGGTAGTTGCTGGGGCTCCGCCTCCAAATGCCGATGTAGTCGACGCACCACTGAATGCACTGAATGCACTCTTTTGCTGTCCTCCGTTACCAAAAGCTCCAAAGCCAGTTCCGGGCTTGATTACTCCACCTCCAGAAGAATCACTTGTAGAAGAAGGTTGAGTTGTAGCTACGCTCCCAAAAATGGAGGGCCTTGAATCAGCACTCTGAGGGGCAGGGTTACCACCGCCGAGTGAGAGCCCAACAAAGCCGGGTGTTTCATCTGCGGCCATACTATCTTCTACAGGAGCCGATGCTGGTGCACTCTGCGAAGGCGCAGCAGTTTGTGTTCCTCCAAACTCAAATTCTGTCTGTCCGAACTTCGAGGGTCCAGCAGCGCCAAAAGCCCCAAAGCCTCCCGAATTAGGCGCATTGTCGAAAGCAGACTTACCAGCTTGGGCAAACGGTGAGGCTGATGGGGCAGCAGACCCAAATGTAGGTGCAGGTTGTCCGAATGACGACTGGCCAAACGATGACTGACCGAAAGAGGGCTGAGCGAATGCTGAGGTTGGCGACGTCTGTCCGAACGCAGACTGGCCGAAAGCGTTCGTTGTTGGTGTCTGGCCAAAGGGAGACCCCAGCTGTTGACCGAAAGATGTCTGTCCAAATGAAGGCTGTTTCCCGAACACAGACGCCTGACTAAAACCAGGGGCTGTCTGGGCGAAAGGTGACGCGCTGGCAGGGGTAGGTGGAGTGGGTTCTATAGGGGACGCGTGCATATCGTTGGACGGCTCCCGCATTATGGCTGTTGGCACAGCTGACAGTGTCTGAGCGCTCTCCATCATCGCTCCCGAGGACTGCGTTACCATACCCGGGTAAGGTGTTCCCTTGGTGTTGAGGACATGCCAACCTGCTACTGTGCCATCCGATGCATACGCGTACATGACAGGTGAAGGTGGTAGCTGGACACCCTCCCCGGACGCGCTCGTGTGGTGGAACGGCTCAGAGCTAGTTAGATCAAGCTCCAGGCCAACGAGAACGGTGTCGTTCATGTCCTTGTCCAGCGGGAGGCTTGGCGTCGATGTTTCCTCAAGTGACAGATTCGACCAACTTTCTCCTACACATCCAACCACCCCGATGTCTGACGATGTACTGTCTCCCACAAATAACAATATCTTGGCGGGATCCCACCCACGCAAACACACGATGAATGCACCAGGCGGTCGCAGCCCGGGCGAAGGGAAATACGGAGAGGAGAATTTCAAGTCTTGTGCAGAATTCGTTTTGGCATCAAGGGAGACGTGGAAATGTGTTTGTTCGATTTCTGGATTAAGAGGCAGCTGTGCGTAGATCGCGTGGAAAGACGAAGCGGATAGCCAAGTCGTTGATATAACACAGGCATTAGAGGCCGAGGGTGGGCTTGGTATGCTGGATTTGGGAGTGGAGGTAGAGGTGGGCGCGTATGTGACGATGGAACCGTTTCTCATACCCAGCGCAAGCTGTTTGCCCTTGGGGGACCAGGATACTGTACAACGGTCAAAATATCAAGATGACATGACAAGAAGACACATACTTGATGCGGGAATGGTATTTGGTAAGCTCCCTGCTACCCAACCTCCCACAGATGCAAGGTTCTGGAGGTCAAGAAGCTCTACTGCCAATGCGTTTGAGCCACCTTGAGATTCTCGTAAGATAGCCACAAGGTCCGGAAGATCTCCTGGATTCGGAGATATTGAAACAATGAAAGCTGAAGGGGCAGCAGGAAGTGAGTAAATGGGATTGACGGAACCATCTCCAGGGGAGAATAGGTGTTCTGTGGCGTAAACCATAATAGACCCCTCGGCAAGCCCGACGACGAGTCTGGAATCATTGCTTGCAAATACAATAATATTTGGAGTGGTAGCGCCCAGGGAAACCTTCCTTTGAGGTTGATACGGTCGGTCATTTGTCTCGCTGACGGTGGCAAACGCTGAACGGAGATCGCTAAGTGGCGACAGCACGAGGGCTACCAAGACGCGACTCAGCATTGTTTACAGGGCGTATGAGATTAATACATACTTGCCCCAGAATTGGAATCTCGTGACACTGCTGCAAACCATCCTCGAGAGTTTGCGACCGCGAATAAGGAGGCCCTGCCTGGGATGGGTGAAAGGTTTATGGGTTCTTGGGAAAGGCGAACACGAGCGCGCTTGTTCAATTGACGAAGAACGAGAAACTAAATGATGAACAGTTAAAAGATAGAAGAAAACAAGTGAAGATGGACGCACGTCGGCATCCTTCTCCCCCGGCTCAGATGATGTTGTTTGAACAGGAGGAGGGACTGTAGGCTGAATTTGTGAGATATTTGACATGGAAAGTTATCCAGAAATCCTTTTCTCGCTCAGATACGTTCAAAGATTTCCACTTAGCCTGGATAAATGGAAACGCAGAAAAGAGGAGTCCTTCAATGAGTTGGGGCGATTTAAGAAAGACTGAGTCACGTGTCATATTATCCTTCTTGTAACTTTGTAGGTTTGTTGTAGGTTGTACTTTGTGCTTATAAGCAGCCTTAGCTATATGGTCGTCCGACGTGGTAGTAGCCTGATTATCATCAACGCGTTGCTTCGCGCAAATGATCATAAGTGCATCTACGTATACCAAAAGTCTGTCATATAATGTTGAATTATTCTTGAATTGTTCCCCGGTGTTCTTTCTATTCTACCGTGTGCATAGTGCCTGGCACCTGCATCACATGCACAGCCAACAGTCGCCCCTTCTATCAGTATCACCACCATCATCTCTCTCAACAAAACACAATGGCAGTCCCACACGACGCTCAGTCCGCTGCACTGCTCGCTCACGTCGTGACACAATTGCAGCTCAATGTCTCCTTCCTCGAGTCTCAGAACTACATGTCTGCTGAAGACGCTGATAACATGCGTGAAATTGTATCACGGCTGCCCTGCGGCGCCGGCCAGTCATTTGTAACCACGAGCGTTAAGGTTATCAGTCCACCAGTCATGACTAGAACGTTCCCGCCTCCAGCAATCACCCCTAGATCGATCCCGTCTCCACCTGTCCAAGCGCCCGCGATATCACCCGTTTCCTCCCAGCAACCTAGACTCGTGAAAGCGATTTGGGCGTACAACGAGGACGGGCGGGTAAGTTCGCCGTCACCCACTATCTTTGCAGTACTTACTTTTGCAACCAGGAACCAAATGATCTCTCGTTCGCTGCTGGCGAACACATCGAGGTCATCTCGGAGAAGAACCAAGATTGGTGGCTTGGTCGAGCTCACGGTCGTGAGGCTCTATTCCCGTCTAATCATGTCGAGAACATAGACGCTTCCTCACTCCCGCAAGCTGATGCAGTTGTGACAACTGCAAAGAAATCGTATAAGCCGTTTGGCGCCGCTCTGCATGGGACGGATAAGCCTCCCGCCGCGGGTGTAGGCGTAAACTCTGTTGGTCTGCAGGAAGCATCTGGTCAGGCAGAAAAGAAGAGTAAATACGGGAAGTATGGTAACACGGTATGTTCCCTCGCCTTGAAACCAGGGACGTAAGCTGATACAAACTTGGTTATCCAGATGGCCCACTCAGCTGCAGGAGGCGTTGGTTTTGGTGCTGGTAAGGAGCCTATCATGGAGAAATACAAGTCAGATGTCACTAACACGCCCCTACAGGTGCTGCCATTGGCGGTGGTTTGGTCAGAGCGATATTCTGATATGGTCGTGGCATAGCTTCAACACATGGTTTAGAACTCTTGGTATCACATGGACCTAGTATTGACAGTGTGTCTTATATTTATCCTCGCTGTATCCTCAAGTATATTAACAAGCAAGTCAATGTACGGACTACCATAGTTGCACTGTCTCGCGTCCCGCTTGATTAGGATGAATACTGTAGAGGTGACGATGAAGGCTGAGGTCAGAACAGACGTTTGATGCAAAGGAGCTATTCGCATGCCTAGGCTCAGCGCCTTGGTTCAATATCAGATTCCGATGTTGTTTGTCCTCACATTCCCTTCCCTTATTCATCTTCTCCTTATACAGGAACCACTGGATCTCGTGGTCGGGCAGCAGTGCAAACCAGAAACTCGCGCTCTATGATGAACGGACACTCCCGTATCTCCGCGCACCGCGGATGAGATCATGACTTGGGACCCTAAGAGAGGCAATCATTGACATTTCCAAGCTGTTACCAAAGCTGTGATCCCGCGGTCAATCATGATGATATACCCCTGATCTTGAATTAGACATAATCACTCAATTTTTAACAAGCGAGGCAGCAACGTGAAGGAGCGCACACTTGTTTCGACTAGCCAGTTTGGACCGGTGCTGGCACCGCAATCTGGAGAATGATCAGAAGTAAGGGTAGGTGGTGTTGGGAGGCTGGGTTAGCACTGAGCTCCGGTGGAACATTTCCCAAAGAGCATCCCTTTTGGGTTCAGATGCACCGCCGATGCTAACAAGGAACGTTCCAAACGAAGTTGGACGGCACGCGGGAGTGAGTGGTTTACCTATTGTGACCAGCGTGAATGGAGCCGCTGACATACTTTCATCGCATTATGGGTTTGTACGGGTGTGGTATGCTAGGATGGTCTGTATTGCAACGTGTCGTTTGCTCACCAGGTATGGTCTGATCCCATTGATGGGCCCTGTTGCCTTCCATATTGTTCCCAAGGGATACCCGGATGCCCCCGGATCCATTGGCTATTCTCTTCCATTGACGGCTCCATCTGAGTCCATCAACAAGTACGCAGATACTTTCCAACACAAAATACAATAGTTGGTGGTGTCCAAGGCAGTACTTGATTCCGTTTGAGGTCGGTCTTCATCCCAAAATCATGTGCATTGCACTATTGGCGCGGACCGTCGATCATGGTAAGTACAGGTCTATTCCCAAATTGAGCGTTCTCCTTTAACTTATTCATGAAAAGGACAGCAATTAGTCAGGAACGTCCTTATCATTCGAAGTTGGAACTCTGTGCTTGATTGCGACTTGCTGTATGATTATATCATGAGTCACGGCAAGTTCGCCCGTTGGGTGTGACCCCAACCTCGTCCGATCTGCTGAAGTGCCTGCTCCACTTTGTCCACACTTGCATCAGATTCAATCTGCTGCCGCATCTTCCCGACACTGATTGATATTATCTTTAGATCACAGCGGGCTTTCAACAGAGAGCATTTTTCGCCACACTGCCATGGATGGGCCCATTCATGATTCGGCTGACACAAGAGCTATCCCCTGCCAATTGAGGCGCAGAGAATTGTACGAGTCTCATCTTTCTTTCTGCCAGTACGGTGATACTGATGCCGAAGAAAGCACAAGTAGGTCCCATGAACTGGACGTTGGGCCTGATCCGTGTTAGGATGGTTGCGTAATACTATGATATGGGCACGCCAAAACGCTAGACTCAATCGATTGATCGGAGATTATTCTGATTAGCGCTTCAGGCCACCCGACTTGTCTCTTCACGGCCCTCCACACGTATTCGTCTGGTTGCTTGGGCCTTGTATAACGTTAATTGGCTGTCCTTGGTTCACCATGGCCGGTGATATAAATATTTCATTACTTGCCCGAAGCTTCATTTCTGCACTGCTTACCGTCCGTCTCTGTCCCGTCCGGACATATAAAACTGTGAGTCCTAGTATACCTTGCGTTTGCTCTCATTGCTCTTTGACAGTGACACTATGCTAGTTCAACCCGTGCCAGCCAACGAAGAGGTTTTCGACGACGATGTTTGTTGCACCTCCGTCAGCCCATCCAGTAGTCTTCCCCGCATCAATGACATGGTAGGGTTTCTCACACGTCCCTTCTCTGTCAAGTTGATCATTTTCTTCTTCAAAGCTACAGAGCTTAACTACATGTCCTACTAATGGGTTCGTAGTGCCCCATCCGACTATGATATCAAGCCCAAAGTTAGTCAGCTCCCCTCTTTGCATTGTATATGTATAACCCCGTGCTAGCCATCCTGGTCAGCCTGACTCGTATGACCCGCGGATGTCAGACAGTCCATCGAGCGGCACCGGTTACAACCACCACAACTACGCCCAGCAACATTACTCAACATTGTCTGTTTCTGCACCCAAACCTCGGGCCATATCGATACCGCCACAAAGTATCCACTCGGTCTCTTCCCCTACCGCCGCCAATAGGCTTACATATATTTCGAATCGTGGCTCCTGGAATAACCCACCAACGTCCCACAGTACCCAGCACCACGAACCTGTGTTATGGGACACCACCTTTGGATATTTTTGCTCTCCTGCAATGCGAAACAACTACTCGTCTCCTTACACATTCCCAATGTGCGCCCTTCATGCCCTATGATTTATTTTTCTCGTAATGATCCTCATATGCAGGCGGTATCCAGACGTCCACCATTCGTATTCCACATCTTCTTCGCAACACACCGTGGCCGAGCAAGATATACGTTCTGTCTTTCGTGAATCGACCAGCTCTTATCTCCCGCCGTATAATGAGTTGCCACCGCATCAGTGGCAGAATTCTACCATCCCTCAGTCAGGCCCTCTTAGTGGGCCATTCCCACCTATGATACCTCCGCCTTTGGCTGCAGAAACTTCGCAAATTGGATTTTTATCGCGGCCCCATGCAAATCACAGTGAATATATATATTACCCTTCAGATCAACCACCCACCCACCAGCCATATTTTCTCCCACTTCGCAATCATCTCTCATCACCCCTCCTGTCCTGCCGATGGCTAGATGATGGCACAGTCTGCGCATTCACAGGGACACTGAAGGCACTAAAAGCGCATTGCAAGACCAGTCATTTTGGTGGTCCCCCGAATGCGCAAGCCGAATGCCACTGGGAGGCCTGTGATTTGTGATTATCAAAAACGTGATGACCCCACAGTTCATGTGATGCGACGCGACTGCATGTGGCGTCATACCTGTGAAATCCATCTGGGGATGAAGAGGGGCACCTAAGGGAGCCCGCTCCCTCACTTATTTATTTTTGCGTTGCACCACTGTTAGCCATGCCATACTTTGTGCGCTGTGTTAGATCCGCTTCCGTCACTCACTGTTCCTGTCGATCGTTTGTATGGACTCATTGATTCACGCCCCTCATTTCATATCTCCTTATAATTACTGTATTCGGTGTGTCTGCTCCACGGTAACCCAGCGGCCCGCTACTCATCAGCCAACGAGGTTCATGATCCTCGTTGAACAGTGCTGTAGATAAGTGATACGCTCGCACTGCAAATATTTCTCTTAAGTTAACTCCTCCGAAGAATATATGTTGCTTGGAATAGCCCATAGCACCTACGCAGCCTCCAGTTGACGGCAGGATGATCGGATCGCTCGGATTTTCGATAGAGAATCTATGTGGGGGATAACCATGGCAAACGGCGTTTATATTATATATAGAAAACAACCAAGTCCAGTATGATGATTGTTGGCCCTGTATCTTGCTAGCGTGCGGTACATATATACGAGGAATGGAGCAAAGGCATGACCAGGCCCCGCATTGGCAGTAACTTGCATGCGAACAAGACTACAATGCTGTGCTTGCCACAAACTAGAGGAATTACATGAGCACCAAACGTTCTTTTGTGCAGTCACAACAGCGCCAAACAGAATCAACAAGACCGCGTAATGTTAGGATCTTTGCACGAAACATCAATCGTCAATCAATGCGATTAGCCCACTTGCCTCAACTAGCACAAGTATGTATGCAACGTACAACAACCCTGACTTCTTGATGATCCGTCCAATTAACCAGATTTCCAGTAAGCAATATCTCCGTCCACCACTGTCGCCCGCCCGTCAGTGATGGTCATAAGAGAACGACGAGAAGAACTCACTCTCATAAGGCTTGCCTTGCTGTCTCAGTTTACCTCCAGCCTTAACAGCAGCTTCACTTCCGTGCTCCTTGAGGTCCTCGTATGTCATTATTTCACCGCAGACGAACTTGTTCTCAAAGTCCGAGCTATGCAAGTGTGAGAACGGGTAAAATAAAATCATAAAATCAGCATACTGAATCACACCAGCCGCCTGTGGTGCCTTTGTGCCCTTGCGAATCGTCCATGCACGCACTTCATCAGGTCCACATGTGAAATAGCGGATAAGCTGTGATTTCATCGATCAGAGAGCTGTCAACGACCAGCAGATGAGACCCACGTCAAGACTGGAGTATCCCGCTTGTGTTATTTTTCCAAGGGCACTCTGCGTTCCTGGCTCCTTTTGAGCCTCAGCACGCTCATCGTCTGGAAGTTGCGCAAGACGCTCCTCCAAAGATACAGAGAACGGTATGAGGGGATCACCGGGGTTGTTTGTGTCAATCCAGCCCTTAATTTTGGCTAACCTGTATGCGAGTGAGTGGTAGTGACAAAGAGAGTTAGTGAAAAACCATACCACTTGTTCTTTTTGCGGATGTAGTCCTTCTCGCTGAGATTGACGAGGTAAGTGATGGGCTTGGCAGTTAGTAAGGTGAGGCTGTTGACAACCTCGATCTATGGATAACAGTTTGTATTAGCGTGCGCCAAAAAAGTAGCGGGAACGTGAAGGTCAAGGGGTCGAAAAAAGATCATTGAATGATGGAACGTTCCTCCCGCCCCAAATATCTGGGTTAATCCAGCTGATGCTCTTTTTCATCGCTCAAAAGCGTTGACGAGAGTATAATATTTACCTAGAGGATAATGGTCAGTATGGTAGATAAAGACCAGAAGAAAAGGAGGAATCAGAAAAAAATGTTATCTCAAAGGAATATTGGGGCGTTACTCCCTCCTCAACGAGCTGGGTTATCGAGCAAAGCTCTTTTTCATCGCTCAAAAGCGATAACGAAAACATCGTATTTACCTGTAGGATGACAGTCAGCATGGTACACGAAGATCGCGGACAAGGAAAAATCAGAAAAAACAGTTATCTCAAAGGAATATTGGGGCGTTACTCCCTCCTCAACGAGCTGGGTTATCGAGCGAAGCTCTTTTTCATCGCTTGAAAGTGATGATAAGGACGTGATATTTACCTGTAGGACGACGGTCAGCGTGGTAGACAAAGATTACGGGAGACAAGGAAGGAATCAGAAAAAACAGTTATCTCAAAGGAATAGTGGGGCGTTACTCCCTCCTCAACGAGCTGGGTTATCGAGCAAATGCTCTTTTTCATCAGGGTACGAACCAAAGTGCAGGTAAATATTTTTGTCAAGAACAAGACTCGCCTCTTTATTTGTCCACTCGCCCTTCCTGACATCCTTGCCATCAACGGTAAGGGTTTTAAGAACTTTCTCGATTGTTGCCTACAGCGTGAGTCCGCACCAGCTGCACACCAAACAGTGTTTCCGGCGAGACGCACGATTTCTTCCTTCTTAGCTTTATCCGCCAAACTATTGTTGCCAAGCGATCGACCAGTGCGTTTGAGACCATCAAGGTGCTTCTCGACCCACTCAATATCCTTAAGACGAAGCTCGGTCTGGATGATCTCCATATCACGGAGAGGGTCAACATCGCCCTCTACATGGATGACTTCGGCGTCATCAAAAGCACGGACGACCTGGAAGATACCATCGACAGCGCGGACGTGGGACAAGAATGCATTTCCAAGTCCTGCACCTGTTGATGCACCCTGAAAATGTGTCGGCGGAGAGAGAGCAAGGTACATGGGTCATGGACGTACTGCAGTAAGACCGGCAATATCAATGCAGGTGAGGAAAGCAGGTACGCGCGAGGAGGGCTTATAAAGATCGCAAAGCCACTCGAAACGCGCATCCGGCACGGGGATACGCGCTTCTTCTGGGTTGATAGTTGCGTATGGAAAGTTGGCAGCCTTTCCCAAATCTAAGATATTTTAGATTTGGATGCGTGACTGCATAAAGGCTATCCGTACCGGTGTCGGATAGAACATTGAAAAAAGATGACTTTCCAACATTCGGAAGACCTGTATGGGCGGCCTTTGAGTCTGGATTCGACTGCAGGATGATAAGCGCATACCGACGATACCGATCTTCAAGTTATTGCTTGGACGACCAAGCATAACTTTTTTCTCTGCGGCGGCAGCCTTCTTGGGAGGCATTTTCTTCTTCTTAGCTTGGAGTGTGTGCGACGCGGAGAACGGCCGCAGCAAAAAAACACAAGATGCAGGAGATGGACGAGGAAGACGATGCAGGCAGAATTGCCGCCATCGATCTATCATCTCCCAAAAAAAACCAGTCACGAGCTCTGTAAGAAAAGAGAAATTTTCGGGAAAATTATCCCTTTTTGGAGTTCTCACGGCCGTAATACGAGGAGGTTTTCGGCTGGAAATATCCCGATATAGCAGGTTGCCTGCCGGTGGAAGCAAATGGGGTTGTATATTATTAGCGTGGATACCTAAGCACTCAGGCAGTGGTGCTGGCTTTATATACCACGCTCGCAGCTCATTAGCTACCCAGACAACGACAAGTGCATCATCCTCGTCCAAAAACGCGATGAAGAGCGTTTTAATCGCTGCGATCGCCTTGTGCGCGTCGTGGGCATACGCTCAGACAGAAACAATTACCGATATGTGAGTTTATCAGCCCTTGTATAGTTTTTGTTTGATTTAATTACTGGAACAGCAATGGCGCTACAGTCGTGGAAGTCGTTACAGTAAACCCTCTTGGTCTTCCTACGACACAAATTCTGTGAGTGAAGTCACAACCACATTAGCCTTGAAGTATATGCTCATGTCGCTAACAGGTCAACAATTACTGGTGTTACGACCCCTCTTACCTCAAATACCCTCTTAACCACTACCACTACCACAAATCCGATACTCCAAACCATAGCAACTACTTCGACTACAAAGAATCAAGGCCCCGTAGAACAACCCGCATCGACAGTGTTAACACCGGGGGGACCTACCCCATACACCTATACCACCACAAATGCTGCTGGCTCTACCGTTGCCGTGTTAGCCACTTTTACACCTTCAGGGCCCGTCACTGTGTTGCCAACCCCCACAACCACCGGCACAATCGTCAACTACTCGTCGTACCTGGCTTCGGTCGGGACGAGCTCAGCAGCAACGTCTGGCGCGAGCCGCCGCACGTTCTCGCTCTCTAGCGCTTGGTATGGACTCGTAGTAAGCACGGTGCTGGGCATCGGCGGCGGTGCATGGTTCGTAATGTTGTAAGGCACACATCTCATAACGATGTGAGTCTGTTTCAGAGGACAGTCGATAGGACAGTCGAGTAGATGGACTCTTATGTGTGGTGCACACATTAACTATATGGCTGTGTCGTCCACAATGACACTCGGTACATGTTATCTCGAGTTACTTTAGTTACTCTGTTGTCCTTTTCGTATATTGACAACAGTATTTAGCTTGATACCCACATGGACTTGGGAAGCGATGTTTTCAGTCACCCTTTGTCCGAAGCTATGATTAAGCATTGATGCGTAGTGTAATGCAAAGATCCTTAGTTATAGGAATATTAATGCGCTACTGTCGGATCTGCATAGCTAGTGGTAAACCAAGACCACCACGTTCATAATTTTGACTCCGCGACAGTCTGCTTGACGTCGTTGTGGATCCTTCGACAGCCTCAATTCTGAGGTCCTGCAACAGCGATTGTCACTTTCTCTCTCATGTCCGCCCAGTTGCAGTCGCAGCAACAAGCACCGCAAGTCCAAGCTCAGTCCGATGCCGCCCAGGAAGTCCTCGCCGTCGCCTGTGTTATTGATGCCTCTCTATCACTCGCTACAGAATGGACTCGTGTGCTCACAGCGTACATCATGCCGATTCTCAAGCGCCTGAACGAAACATACAGCGGTCACCAAGTGCGTCTCACCTGGATCTTTCTTATGTCAAGTAACATGCTAAACATGGGTGATGCGTTTAGTTCCGGCTAGCTTTAGTGACGTATGGCGCAGCGGATACGCTTCCCAATCCGCTGTTGTCAAAACGTTTCTTTTTTCCCCCGGTTTCTGTGGTGAAGGAATTGCGCGAGGATCCGAGGAAGTTAGGAATTGGCTCCGCGGTTGGTGTAAGGGGGCTATCAGCACTGGAGGGGATGGTTGCTGCTATCGAGGTGCGTCCTACTGTATCTTGACCCACTTCTCACTACAAGCTGTCATGGAAGCTCTTCGACATCTTGCATAACTCGCTCGCCTTGGCTGGTCCGAAGGATGGTCGAGTACCTGTCTCGCATATACTACATATTGCTGGAAGTCCACCCAATTCTGCGCAACGGCCCGCATGGAATACCCTTCCACATCTCGACTCAGTATCGTGGGACACGCTACCGCTGGAACTCAAGAAAGTTAGTACCCTTGGAGGAACTTTTCACATTGATTTGACCAGTGTCATAGAGAAAAATCAATCTGAGCCTTGTCGCACTACAACATATACAACAGTTTCAGGATGTCCAGTCTGCCGTCAGTTCACATTTGTGTCCATCGTGTTGTTATTGAAACTTCTCTGTCAGACCTCAGCACCAGCTGCACAAACCAGTCCCTGGTTCACTGTCTACCCACCACATACACTCATGCTTTCTGGGTTTCCCCCACTGTCGCATGTGCAGACCCCGAAACTCAGTGAGCTCTCGCGCACAACCTCCCTCCCATTCCCGCGCTCACCAATTCCAGACGCTATAAAGCGTCCAAATGAGTCTCCTCAAACCCCAGATACCAAACGACAGAAGGTCAGCGAGAAAAGTTCACCAGCACTTAGCCCGCGTCCTCCGGGAGGAGGTGCTGGTCCAGTAGGCCAGAGACCACCTTCTCGGCAGGTCCCCACACCTTCAGCCCCACCTTCTCAACCACATTCGCAACTGCTCCATCCTTCCCCCATGCCGCCGCACGCAACCATTACGCCTGTATCTAGTCCTGCAAAACCCCCTGCAGCACCTGCCGCACACCCACCTACCAATCCTCCGAACCCCAATGCTCCCCCGACGCAGCACACATTCCCTCCCAACGTCAACATGCTAGTCGACCGTGGAAAAGGTCTTGAAGCTGATATAAAAACCCTCGAAGCCAAAATCCAGGATGCGCACTCTGCCGGGAACGCTGCAGAGGTCGAATCACTTAAGAAGGAGCGCATCATAAAGTATCAGAACGCATTGAAGATCAAGGCTATTTTGTTTCAGATGGCGAACAGGCCTGCGATGGGCGGTTTGAGTTCTGGCGCAGGAGGGTCCGGAGAAACACAACCTCAACCGGCAGCGAGCAACGGCATGTCGGAAGATGCAGTACCGCCAACGGTGTCTGCACCCGTATCTGCCCCTATGGAAGAGCAGAAACCGCCGCTCACAGATCAACAGGCGCTAATGCAATTCATGCAGGCGCGTTCGGGATCAGCAGGATTCCCACATAGTCCCGAGGTCGCCGCACAAATGCTGAAGCTGATCAACAAGACTGGTATCCAGTCATCACCCTTCACCGGTTCACCAAAGCCCCGACCAGCCCCCCCGCCTGCATCCGGATCTACATATCAGCCTCAGCCTCAGCCCCAGCCCCAGCCCCAGGCCTCGACCTCGACCACCTCAGGAGGGCCAAAGCAATGGGAAGGTTCTTTCACCTTCACGGTGTCTCATGCTGGACAGCAAAAGGGGCTCGAAGTCCAGATGGCCGTTGCGATTTCCAAGGGGGAACTGTACGTAATCGAACAGTCTTTATTGGTCTGGTACTAATTCCTTTGGGCAGGCACACGGAGACGTGGCCTGACAAAATGTTCATCAATCTATCGAACGAAGGAGTGAAGGATCAAATGGAATTACAGACGTGGCTTCGGAAACACCACCAATCTGCTGTGATGGTCCAGTTCAAACCCCAAGCACGGAATATTGAACAGAAAATGAATGACATGGTTCACCATGTCATGATGAAGACCATGATGGAAAACCGATCAGTGAGCGTTCCCTCCATTCTCGCTTGCTGTCGTTGTTGCTGATATTTCTTGACATTCAGTTTGGCATAGCGGCGTGGCAACTTCCCTCTGGGGTTATGTCAAACAATATGATCGTGTTCCCAATGAGTAATGGGCTAACAGGTGCAGTATTTCCAGTTACTGGACTTCCAGATTTGCCAGGCTCTGGCAAAGTCGACGCCCCAAAACCGCAACCGCAACCACAACCACAATTACAGCCGCAGCCGCAACCGCAATTACAATCGCAACCGCAACCACAACTGCAATCACAACCACAACATCAATCAGGCGTGTTCGCCCCTGAGATGTTGACGCGACTTCAGGGTCTTGACCCGCAGCAGCAAAGATACTTCATGCAACAACTTGCGCTGCAGCAGCAGATGCGACAACGGCAACGGCAACAACCGCAGCAACCACAACAGACGGGAGCAATGCAGCAGGAGGTACCGGCACCAACGCCTGGACCTGGTGTAGGAATGCAAAATATGAGTCCATTTTTGAATGGAGCGAATCTGCCGATGAATATGTTTGTGAGTTGTTATATGGTACGCGCGCGTGGTGATATGTTAATGATTCGACATGTATAGGGCGGCGGCGGAGTACCACAGAGGCAAATTAGTGGGGGCATGTATCCTGGTGGGGCGGGGACGGTGAATCATGAGATGATGCAATCGTTCATGCAACGGAGTGCGGACGGATCCGGTCGACAAGGATGAACCCCTCGTGATTGATCAAAACCGTCCCACTTTCTGCATCGGCTTTAGGGCCTGGTCCTCAAGGCGTTATCTGTATCTTGAGAACTACATGGATGGATATATTGTGGATGTAGGCAACATCAAGCATGGATTCAGAATTTTACATCGATTGTTATGCTCTACTATACATCACCGCACCTGCATGCATATGCTATCTTGTATACACATTCCAATAACTTCACTTTTTATGGGCACTGTAATTATGGTATAGCGATGACATTTTATTAGGACTGTGTTGTACTGAAGTTGCCGTCAGTTCCCTGAATCTTTTCGTGGTCGGCAAGGTTAGCCTGAGTTTCATAGACAGTGATCACCGGATCGCTCTTGCGCTACGGGAATGAATGTAAGTCTTGAGAATCGAAAAACAGTGGCTCGTGAACAGACATACCTCGGTCCAATGACCAAGGAGACCGACATAGTAAATTCTTGTCGTGTCCGCCCCCTGAGAGGCGGGGAAGAATAACGTCAGGGAAGAAACGTTGTTAAACTTTGCCGTCCTGGAGGGTTGGCGTCAAGACGATTTCCGCGGAGAGGTAGAATAAATGTACTTGACAGCGTACTCCGCAACGTTCCTGTCCTGAGGGATATCGAATTCTTGAACAGGCGCCTTGTCGGAAACGTCGTTGAAATCCATGCTAGGTTGATTGGAAAACTATATGTGGAACTATGTATGAACAACATGACGAAAAATAGGGATTTAGACCAACCAGGGCGACTTTCGTTGGGGTCTGGTCACCCGGGCCCGTCTTTAGCAGTAAAGACCGAAGCCTAACGGATCCGGTGAAAGGGATGCGCAGAATTCTCAATAAAATGTCATTTGAGCTGCATAATGTCGAGATCTCGATGCAGCGAGACCTTACAGCTGATCATCGGCATCCGACTCCAAACACTAGATATCATTCAAAGGTGATCAATTCTTGAACATGAGAATGTGCGCAGACGTACATACAACTTCCTCGTTGCTCCTTTGATCCCAGGGTTTAATGACGACAGAGCCCTCCCTGGTGGCGTTCAGTGCGACGACATTGGCGCGGTCGATGTACGAAAATAGATTATCATTGGGGCCAAGGTCGCTGGTATCGTGATCATGGTCATGTTCGTGGCTCTCGTGGCTGCAGTGCCCGTCGTGATGATTGTGCGGCATGAGGAGCTCTGAGATTGCTTTGAACTTTTCTAGACAGACAGGCGGTCATTGGAGGAGAAGCGACTACGTAAGCCTCTCAAACAACCCCAAACAATACTGGTAGACTTGAGTCAGCGTCGTTCTACTTTCACTATTTTCTTTCTCATCTCCTCCATTCATCGTGGCACCTGGTAAGTTCAAGTTCACCTTTCATTTCTCTATGTGATGCTACTAGTAATTTGCGTTCGATTCACTCGTTTTACACCAAAAGGTTAGCTCGCCCGCCAGCCCTGAGGCGAGTGAGCTGAGACAACTTCTGCAGCCTCTGATTTTTTCATCGTCTTTCATTGAGAAATTCATGGATTCTGACCTTCCTTCCATCCACAGGTTCTTTGTAAGACTTTCCGGCGTATCTGTAGATTGTAAGATACTGCAAAACGTTTGTTTGTTGTACAATGTATCAATACAGTTCTTCCCTTTGATCAGTCATCTTCTACTTTGAACTCGACGTCCAAGAAGAGGCCATGGCTGAGAATTCACAATCATCTACACCTACGCAGAACAGTGCGACGTCTACACCGGGTTCTAGTGCGGGAGAAGCACCCCCGAGTCCTGCCGAGTTCAAGGTGTATAAGCCTCCAACTGCCTCAACGATCAACACTCCCCGTGGGTTTCCACATTCCAAAACACCACATCGTAACTAATGGTAAAGTTCTACAGTAGAAGAACTGTCAGACTCCTATTTCAACCCATCTCCTGCGGACCTGAAGGCTGCTCAAGCAACGCTAAGCGCCCGGACACGATCGTTAGTTGATGCCCCTCTACAAGTTCGAGCTCAGCGAGAGGCAGCAGAGAAATCGAAGAGAGATCGATGGCCGAATGTGCGTCTCTTCAGTCTCAAGTCAGTCGAACATGGACTGAATACACGCAGACAACGATACGTGTGAGATTCTCCGATCGAACACAATTGGAGAAGATATTCCCCTCGACGGACAAAATCCGCTCCGTGTACGCATTTGTGCGGTCGTCTCTCCGAGATGATGTCAAGTCTATCAAGTTCATCCTATGTTCGTGTGTTGGCCGCTTTGGATGGATTAGGCTTTGAACATTTCATTCGTAGATCAATCTCCTCCCAAGCGCGACCTGAAGGTATCAGACCCAAATGTCCGTGATTTAAGCTTGGCAGAACTGCAGCTTGCCCCGTCATCAGTCCTCCTCTTGCGTTTCGAAGACGAATCTCTGAATGGTAGGTCCATTCGCCATGAAGTCATGCGCTACCCCTCACGAGACTCACAGGCACCAATATCCCCGCACCGCTGTTGTCATCCATTGTAGCACGAGCGATTGAGCTACCAAAACCCCCCAGTGTTGACGCCGAACCTCCCAAGTCAGCTAAACATCCCACTACGACTTCGAGCTCAAGTACCGAGAAGAAGATACCCAAGTGGCTGAAGGCAGGTCTTAGTATGTGGATCGCCTCCTGTTGCTCCGCACTTTCTCATATTTATTCTCAGGAAAGTGACAAGGTGGATCAATACATGTATTATCTTAGATCTCAATTCGAGGTCCACCTGTATAGTTGCTAGCTTCTCCTACATCATAGATCGCCACAAGAAAGAGTGGCAAGTGTAATTTACCTCAATACACAGGAAACGTTGGATCTATCTCATTTGACCATGCACGCAAGCCTCCGACAACATCTTTTACAATCAGATTGGGATCAACTGCCCTGATCGCATCCGCAGCGATTTGAGAGTCATTGCCTAACCTGCACAGAACAAACACCTGGCATGATTTGTCTTGGGGAACATGCGGCGCTGGATTAGCCAGGAGAACATTGAGCGGGACACCTGAACACACACTTGTGAGATAGACTGCGCCTCTGGACTTGAAAGCACTTACTCGTAGACCTCGGAAGATGACATATACCAAACTCGGTTCTCGGCCGCACATCGATGATGGCATGATTTTCGTTTGATTCGAAGACGGATTTCAGTTCTTTGACATATATCCGCGATTCAGGCCCGCCAGCTTCGAGACCACGTTCTGACCAATTCGGCCGTGCACCACCACAAAATGCTACATAATCTGTTTCTTCGATGGACCCGATTTTCTGGCCCTCGATTCCGCATGCAGCGCACGTGAGCTTTCTTGATCTCAGCTTCACGGTACGAAACGGAGGAACAGATAGAGCGCTGAAAAGCAACAGGGAAGCTTTGTTATCTTGCTAATCTTTCAGAAACTATATGCCCTGCAACAGCTAGTACAACTCACCATGCAGACCCGTGATGAGCTTTATCGCCTCTAGTGCCTGCAGATTTCCAATAATCCCTGTTACAGCGCCTAGTATGCCTGTCTCCTCGCAGGACCCTGTCATTTCTGGGGCAGGTGGCTTCGGAAATATGCAACGATAGCAGGGGCCATCCTCGCCCAGATTATATACGCAAAGTTGGCCATCGAATTTCTGTGCGGCACCACTGACGAGAGGCTTTTTGAGCCTGACGGCGGTATCAGAGAGAAGGTAGCGTGTGGGAGCATTATCTGTGCAATCGAGGATCACATCATACGGGGCGAGGATAGAGATCGCGTTGGATGAATCAAGAGCAATGGGGCATACGTCGATGTTGACGCGTGGGTTCAGAGCAGCGATAGCTTGGGCTGCAGAGACGGCTTTCGGGCTGCCGATCGTTTTATCATTGTGAAGGATCTGGCGTTGGAGATTAGACAGTTCGACCGTGTCGTGGTCGATTATGCCTAGGCGACCTATCTAGCAAACGTGAGTTCCTCTGCGTTACATGCTTGTTTGAAAAACGGGCCTACGTACCTACGCCCGCTGCAGCGAGATATTGTAATGCGGGGCAACCAAGGCCCCCTGCTCCGATGACCACGACAGACGAGTTCTGTAATTTGAGTTGACCTGTTGGGTGGTTTGCATGAGCGGTTGTGGACAGATCTTTCTGGCGCACCCTCTAAACCAAAGCCATCGAGGATCATCTGTCTGCCATACCTCAGGTAGTTATCTGAATGCGACAGTCGTGGAAGATCGTTGTCAGCCATCACCATTTGGTGCTTTTGGAGACTCAGATTTAATGATCGGCGGCGGTGAAAAGTAAGTCGATTGCAACTTTTGAAAGTTTGAACGTGTTTGTGATGTAAACACCTTCAAGTTTGTCTCAAACCCCACTCAGGCTGGCAACGAACACATATGCATCAGATTGACTTGGCATCTCTTTCAACGTGGCGCCATCAGCCTGCTATGGTCTCCCTAGGTTCCCCTATACGAAGGAACAGCATTCGTTCCTATGCAATGCGAGCCCGCCCCTGCTTGAATCGAAGTTGCATTACACGCGCAGAATGGTACTACTGCCTTGAGATCTGCAGAGGTTAAATGATCTCTCGTCCACCGATGCGATGCCCGAAGACTGGTGCAGTGAAATTTTTACATGAGTGTCTATACACTGATCAACAAAAAAAAAGTGAGTACTAAGTAGAGACCAAGCTCCGACGTAGATCTTGCGCACTGTCCATATCGTAGCGGCGCCTGCGCTGGGGCCATACACGCGGCGTGATCATTAGATCGTGTCTGCAAGTGTCTACACCAGTTTCTCAAGTGCCATACCGATGACGCATTCCGATGGTGCAGGAGTGGTTTATCGATGAGAAATCAAACTGATGCAAGTGACGAGAATTCAGTCTGGTGAGGCATTAATATCACGCTATATTTAAATTTGGGTCGAAAAGGCCCCTTGCGGTGCGGCGCTAATAATTCGGAGTTGGCCGACGTAGCACAGTGGCACTGGTACATCGACGCCACTTTTTATTCATGAGTATTTATAGATTTCATCAGTTCTCAATTCCATAATCCCTTCTTCCTGTTTACCTAGTCTCATGGCAGAAGGGAGCATTCCGGAAATCGTCATCACTGGCCTAGTATCATTGAATCAGACAGTGCACGTCCCAATACTCCCTTCACCCTCTACAAATGCCCCACAACCAGATTTAGCTTTCTTATCCCCTGACTCTAGGTCACGACGTCCCATATCATTAGAATATCGCTCACATTCCCCATCCCCTACTGTTATCTCCTCAAACGGCGGGGCTTCCCTAGTTGTCCCACCCACTTTGTCAACTTCCGTCCATGTAACCACTCTGTCCCTGAGGGATAATAAACCAGACGAGCTTAACCATCATTCTTCCTTGTATCTTCTCAAACCTCCAAGGAACAAAACTCTTTCCAATGTTGCTCCCTCCACTCAGCCAATCCCCCCAATACCTATCCCAGACGACTTAACGAGCTTCATCAATCGATGCTGTGAATACCCAGTTTCCGGCGGCGGATATGGAGATATCTACAAATGCGTATATCACGGACCAGACGGTGATATAGATGTTCGTGACAGTGTTACCGTCCTTGCATGTTTAATGATGTTTTACTTACCACCCAGGTCGCCGTCAAAGCAATTCGATCATTCGTCAGTGCTGAGGTAATGGTCTGTGACCTGTAACAGACAGACCTCACTGAGCCAGCCTTCATAGGTGCCCCGGAGAGAGCTTGGCATCTGGAAGAGGTTGAAACATAAGAACATCTTGAAGCTTATGGGTACTACTCGACACTTTGGCCCCTCTGTGGCTCTGGTGGCTCCATGGATAGACAATGGCTCCCTGACGTCGTTCCTCAGCCAGAACAACGGAACCCTTACGCTGCGCGATCGCTTGCTTCTGGTGAGCACTTCAAGTCCATTCCCAGTTTGCCTCATCGAGCTAATTGTTTCGTGCCAAGCTCCGTGACATAGCCGATGGCCTCAACTATCGTGAGTGAATACACGCACATACCAAAAATGAATAAATAAACTGTCTCCGTCAGTTCATACATTCAGTATAGACGGACACGCTTACTCGAATGCAGTTGTTCACGGCGACCTAACTGGCGTAAGGTTCCTCATTTGTGTCACCACTCATACTAATGATCAACCACAAGAACAATGTTCTCGTCGGTAGCGATGGAACTGCATACATTGCAGATTTTGGCCTTTCTGGAACGTTAGAAAAATCGCTCGGGATGACGTACCTTGTGAAAATGGGCTGTCATCCAGGAGCATTGAGGTGGACGGCTCCTGAACTTCTTGACGAAGAATCAGCCTCTGCAGTTACCGCTAAATGTGACATGTACTCGTTTGGTTGTATTGTGCTTCAAGTAAGTCTTTCCCTCTTGCTAATGCAACTTACTAACTCGCCCCCAGGTTTTGACCGGGGACGTTCCTTGGCCTCACTTGACTAGTGCATTCACAATCTGCCGCAAAGTGAGCTTTCAGGGGGAAATGCATCCTCGTCCAGACGGCGATCATATTATTGACCGGCACTGGAATTTCATGACCCATTGTTGGTCAAAAATTCCCGACGATCGTCCTTCTGCTGAAGAAGCGCTTCAATTCATTGATAGCGAGCTCGCTTTGGAGGGCAGCACCCTGCCTTGATTCCCAGTAATACCTCTTTTCTTTTTCTACTTGGATCCTTGTGGGCCCGGGGTCCTATGCTGGACAATACGTGAATCAATTAATGATGTATGCAATGCCACGCACTGGATGTTACTGTAATATATCACCTTATCCTATGCCTTCAGTTCAGTCGGTTCTTCTCGACGCCAATGGGATGCTGTCAAAACTTGAACAAGATTCACTTTCTGCTAAAGGCGGAGTTGTCACCGTATCTGATCATTGCAGAACATGTGATCCGTGTATTTTCCCGAAAAAAACGTGAACCGCTATTTCTTCACATCCTTTCAGTCACAGTGAACGCGACGCCGCTATGCAGCCAGCCGAGTTCTCCCGGTCGTCCACCCGGATCCCTTCGAAACATTTCAAAGGGGCTGGCGTTCACAGGAGTCATATTGACAGCGATTTGGGACGACTTCTCCCAAGTTCCTTACAGTCACGATCAAGGATAGCCAAGAACTTTTAATGAGGTCAGAAAGCGTGGGGATTAGAGATGAATGTACTGACGTCGATTCCAGGGACATGTTGACAATTGATTGATGCTGAATTGTGGTCTATGTGATGGAACGGGACAACTCTAGTTGGGTTCGACAGCGTGGTTGGAATTTATGAGCGATGGCCATCGAGAGAGACGACATACGAACGTGGCATTAATTGATTCTCGAAGGACTATGGTTGTGACGTTGGCCAAATCAGTTTGAAAGACTCTCGCCTGATAGTGACTCTGATTGCAGCTGCAGGACACGAGCCTGTCTGCAGTGAGTATCGTCACTGGCCAGACAATATCAACTGATAGCGCGGCAGAGGCAAACTAGAAATTGAGTCGTGTTGCATGCTGAACAATTTTGCAAAACCTTCGGTGGACGTGATGATGGTTCTGATCAAGTCATGGCCGCGCGCTAGCGTCAATTTGCAAGTTTTACCTTGGTTGTAACTGTTCAATCTACGCTCTCGAGCCAACGAGATACCTTCATTCGCTGTGCAAGTGACATCTGTGAACTGCACTTTGCAATAGCATTCGATGGCTGAAGCTGAAACGAGTAACATATTCTATGTCCCGACACCCAGTCTCCCGAGCATCACACCTCCCGACTCTTATGATCCCTTTCGGTCCCAGCACGTCCCTCTTATCATAGACAACGGCTCCTCAAACCTGCGTTTTGGCTTCAGCACGTCCGCCTCTCCCCACTCTTCTCCTAACATCATCGCCAAGTACAAGGAGCGCAAGTTCAACCAGTCGCTGTTACTGTTTGGTGACGCGATCGATGCAGAGAGCGGTGCGAAGAGCCAGGGCAAGACACCTTGGGAAGGTGATGTGTTGTTAAATTTCGATGCAATGGTGGGTTTCCTACGTTGCTGGTATGCGTGGGTGGCGCTGAGGATGGGCGAGGTAGGAAAACGCGTTAGACTACGCGTTTGTGAGGCTGGGAATCGATGCAGAGGGCATCGAGCACCCTGTGCTCATGACAGAAAGACTCTGCTCGCCATTGCATTCAAGAGCATGTACGTCCTTGAGCTCATCATGTTGTCTGCTTCACCGAACGAAATGCATAGTAACCTCCGAGCTCATGTTTGAGCAATATTCGGTCCCTTCACTCACTTACTGTGTCGACTCTGTGATGTCCTTTTATCATAATAACAAGCCCACGCCCAGCAGCCCGTTTGGTGCTGACGGTCTTGTCATTTCATTCAACACGGCATCCACATCTGTTATCCCCATTCTCAACGGGAAAGGCATACTCAGTCATGCAAAACGGTCCGTATTACTATTCCTTGAGCTGAGGGAATTGTGTGTTGATCGTACTTGGGCAGAATACCATGGGGTACACAGCAATCAACGGAGTATCTCCTGAAGCTCATCCAGCTGAAATACTCTAGCTTCCCGACTCGTGTGACATCTGCGCAAGCAAGCGTACGTCCATATGCTGGCCTAAATGCTTCTTCAGTTATTAACCTCTCGCAGTGGATGCTTCACAACTTTTGTTCCTTCGCCACTGACTATCCTGATGTCCTCCGTTCCCTCAAAGTCCCTGCAAACATGCGCGCCGCAGAGCGCATCATCCAGTTCCCGTTTGCGATCCCTGTCATTGAAGAAAAGACAGAAGAGGAGCTCACGAGGATAGCAGAGAAACGAAAAGAGCAAGGAAAGAAACTTCAGGAGTTAGCTGCGAAGAGCCGGATGGAGAAGGTTCGTCCCTTCTTCCCGCGACGAAAAATGATGTTTTTGATTAAGTTGATGTGGTTTAGTTGGCGAAGAAGGAGAACGATCTACAGTACCTTACGAATTTGAAGGAAGGCAAGAGCGAGAACAAGCGCGAGTGGACGGTGTGACAAACATAGCATCTTACTGGACATGCTGCTTAATTTCTCTACAGAACACACTTCAAGACGAGGGCTTTGATGATGATGCTGCCCTCGATGAAACTATCAAGAAACTCGAGCTTGACGTGAAACGTGCGCGCAAGAAGGATGCTGATGGGCAAGACGATGTCATTGTAAGCACCGTACATCATCACTGATTACTCCCCTTTGACTTGTGACTGTAGGAGGAACCTTCGTTCCCTCTCATTGATGTTCCGGATGCGGACGTAAGTCTCGTATTGATTCAAAGTGATGCAATTTTGAATTTCCCGTTCCACAGCTCGACGAAGAAGGGATAAAAGAAAAGAAGAAGCAGAAACTTATGAAGGCTGGTTTTGACGCAAGAGCGCGTGCAAGACGCGAGAAGGAGAAAGAACGAGAAGGAAAGGAAGCTGAGGAGAGACGAGAGGAGGAAGAGCGGGAGAATAACTTTGACGAATGGGCAGCTAGACTGCGCCGTGAGCAAGAGGTACGGTGCCCACCGCCTGCTTGGTTAGATGCTCTTGCTGAACATTCGGGAGCAATAGGCCATCATGAACAAGATCAAGGAGCGGGGACGTCGGAAGGCTGCGTTGTCTGATCGGAAGAGTGCAGCCGCGCAAGCTAGGATGAAAAATATTGCTTCCTTGGCAGCCGATGAACGCGTTTCGAAGAAGAAAAGGAAAGCGGGTGCGGGCAAGTTTTACAATTCTTCTAATCATTTTTTTTGTTCTCAATACTTGCGTTAAGAGGACATGTTCGGGGCGGATGACGAGGACTGGCAGATCTATCGTAAACTCGTACGTCGTACTAAAGTTTCCTAAGCGCATCATTCAATCTGACGTCATGCAAAAGAATGCTGCGGCTGTATCTTCAGACGAGGAGGAGGAATTCAACCAACTCCGGATCATTGAGAGCAAGCTCCTCATGCATGACCCGACATTCACGACCCAGCACACACATGCATCTATAACATCTCAACGGTCTGCGCTTATGTCTGCATTCAGACCACAGTATGAAGAGGGAGACATTGAAGGTTGTGTTGACTCTATCTCTTCAACGACTAAATGCTTATAGGAACGAACAACAGGAGGTGCACGGATACATCTGAACACGGAACGATGGCGCGTGTGCGAAACATACTTTTCACCGGGAATGGCTGGCGTCGACTCCGCTGGCCTCGGTGAAGTTCTTCAAAGCATCCTGGCAAGGTTCTCAGAAGCCGAGAAAGCCAGGCTTGTAAAGGTCCGTTTCTTGTTTCTCAAGGGTTCTAGCTTTGCCTCATGCGAATTCAGAATGTGTTCATTACCGGCGGTCCATCGCAGTTTCCTGGTCTTCAAGAAAGACTTTATGGAACACTTCGTCCGATTCTGCCGCCCGAGATGGACTTGGGTGATATAGTGCGCGCAGTAAACCCATCGCTCGATGCTTGGAAGGGTATGGCAGCTTTTGCGAACACAGATGAGTTTCAGCGCGTGAGTGTGACAGCAGAAGAGTATCAGGAGTGGGGAGGGGAGAGGATTAAGGGGTGGTGGGGAGGGAACTGGAACTTTACAGTTTGACATGTTGTCTTCGAGATCCCTCCACTCTGTATTTTGATTTCTGAACCATTCTTATTGTGACATTTGAGCCCTGAGCTGAGAGTTCTGAACAGTATAAGTATAAGCTAGCAAACATGTACGAATATGATCAAAGACGGGATGTTCGGATCCGGAACACACAAAATGCAACTTTTTCATAAATTCTTCGAGGTGTTCCGCTGTGATAACAGCGTGGAACACCTCGTGTCTCTCTTCCTTGGTGCGCTTCTTGAGTTCTGACACTGATACATATACCAGGCGTACGTCTTCATGGATGGTGCGGTACGCGGATTTGGCGGCAAGAGTGGATTTAGAATTGAAGCGGCGGGGGCGCGAATTGAAGTAAACGAGATCGGAAACTGCGGCGGTTAGGAGAATGAGTACAAGTAGTGGGATGCGACATACAGTCAAATATTTCGAGTGTTTCAAGGTTAGCCTTGACTGCATCTGACAGATGGCTCCATGCAAAATCTGCGATAGCTAAATTCAAATTTAATAAGCAAAAGCGGTTAGAAGGTAAGATTAATCACATACCATTGAACGCAACATCTGCGGTCTGCCATGTCATCATCGTGATCTCCTGCGACGTCTCACTATCCTTGAGTTTTTCTATTGCCTTTTCTAGCTTTGATATCTTCTTTTCCAATGCCTCCGTTTTTTCGACCAACTCCTAGACTAGCCTGATCAGCAAATATCACAGCAATAATCAAAGACTTGCCTTGTTGCTCTTCTCAATTGAGGAAATCTGAACCGAGGGACTCGCGGGGATTTTGTTCGTGAGCGCAGTCTGTAACGAAGACTGTAGGTCATCTATGGGCACGTTCTTGTTGAATCGTTGGCTGTCCAGCATGATTGTATGGTTTTTGTGAGGTGTTGTGACAATAGTTGTTTTTTTAAATGAAAAGGGACTTTTGGTGGAATGCGGGGATGATTGTGAGTTGACCATAGTGGTTAGATGTAGAAATGATTCCAAGAGATAGGGGACTTGGTATTTTTGAATGACCAGCAGTTCGTGATTGCGTCACGGTGATCCCGCGCTAAATATGGATTACACCCAAACGGTCACCGGTACCTCGCGCTGAACGTTGAACAATGGCCACTACTAACATTACTACAACTGCAGCGCCGTCTACGGTCATACAAAATGGTCCACAAATACCAAGGGATGGCCTCCCTCTCATGCACCCAGGTTCCCTTTAGTTCCTTCATCGTGCTTAAAACAGCCTTTGCGTTAGTGATGCTCATCCAGCTTCCTGCAGCTCGCACCCCCCCTGTACTACCATGGCCAGATATTGGACACCTTGCAAAGTGGTCAGTTTTTTCATACAATTTGGGTTTGGTGCCGAGTGCCTTAGAGACGGAGATCCCGATACGTTCTGGCAGTGAGTATCATCCCTTTCCGTGACATGCTCAGCGCGAATGAGGCGGTGTCCAGTTCTGATGGCCCCCAGCCTCACTACGGATGAAGTAGACGCAGACCCTGATCCAGGCAAGTATACAATGTTTGTTGGGCTGACCTACGAGTCTGCAGGGGGACCGATGCGTTTGTCAAAGGTTTCATCGCCTCCTGTGGACAAAAATATGAGCTCCATACACATTCAAATTCGAAGTATCCACAATGTAGACATCGCAGAGCTCATATAACCAGAAATTATATGCTGACGTAGTCGCAGCCATGAAATTGCGTTCGAGGAGCTGCGTGTTGATCTGCGTCGCAGCTATGTTGAGCTTGTGTAGGATCCAGCGTTCCACAAGACTTTCGTTCCCGGTTGGCTTCAGATGCAATGTGAGTTCAAGAACCCATCGTACAAGCAGCATACCTTCGCGGATGTCTCTGGCGAAAAACCGTCGTCAAGTTTGAGCATTGCACATTTCTGGCATTGAAGATCTTGTTGCAGAACTTGTGGTATCCCTCCACTCGTAGAATTTCCAAATTGATATCCCTGCCTAAAGGTTGGCATTTTACCCACCATATTGCTTCGAACGTGTTGCGAAGAAGAAAAGGAAAGCGGGTGCGGGCAAGTTTTATAATTCTTCTAGTCATTTTTTGGTTCTCAATAATTGCGTTAAGACTCTGGACATGTTCGGGGCGGATGACGAGGACCTGCAGATCTGAGTCTATCGTAAACTCGTACGTCGTGCTAAAGTTTCCTAGGTGCATCATTCAATCTGACTTGGTCCGATTCTGCCGCCCGAGATGGACTTGGTGTGCGCAGTAGACCCATCGCTCGATGCTTGGGAAGGTATGACAGCTTTTGCGAACACAGATGAGTTTCAGCGCGTGAGTGTGACAGCAGAAGAGTATCAGGAGTGGGGAAGGGAGAGGATTAAGGGGTGGTGGGGAGGGAACTGAAACTTTACAGTTTGACAGGTTGGCTTCGAGATCCCGCCACTCTGTATTTTGATTTCTGAACCATTCTCAGTGTGCTAGTTGAGCTCTGAGCTGAGAGTTCTAGGCAATATAAGGTAGCAAACTTGTGCGAATATGATCAAAGACAGGATGTTCGGATCCGGAACACGCAAAATGCAACTTTTTCATAAATGTTTCGAGGTGTTCCGCTGTGAAAGCAGGGTGAGCCACGTTACTCTCTTCCTTGGTGCGCTTCTTGAGTTCCGACACTGATGTATATACCAGGAGTACGTCTTTATGGATGGTGCAGTACGCGGATTTTGCGGCAAGAGAGGTTTGATCATGGAAGAAGGGGCGCGAATTGAAGTAAACGAGATCGGAAACTGCGACGGTTAGGAGAATGAGTACAAGTAGTGGGATGCGACATACAGTCATATATGCTGAATGTTTCAAGGTTAGCCTTGACTGGATCTGACAGTTGGCTCCATGCAAAATCTGCGATAGCTAAATTCTTATTTAATAAGCAAAGTGGTTAGAGGGCAAGAATCGCATACCATTGTCCGCAACGTCTACGGTCTGCCATGTGGTCTCCTGTGACGGAGTCTTACGATCATTGAGTTCTTCCATTGTCTTTCCTAGCTCTGATACCCTCTTGCTCAACGCCTTCAGTTCTTCTATCAGCTCCTAGACTAGCCTGATCAGCAAATATCACAGCAATGATCAAAGACTTACCTTGTTGCTCTTATCAGACGTTGTCTTTGTGAATATGAAGGGACTTCTGGTGGAAGATTTGACCATAGTGGTAGGACGCAGGAATGATTCCAAGAGATAGGGGACTTGGTGTCACATTTTTGAATCAAGGCCCCGGATCCAACAGTACTAGTACTTATGAAATCTAAGTTGACATCACGATTTAATTTGAATTGCGTGATCCCCCGCTAAATCTGGATTACACCCAGACGGTCACCTCAGTGCTGGACAATGGCCACTACTAACATTACCACACCTGCAACGCCGTCCACAGTCATACAAAATGGTCCACAAATCCCAAGGGATGGCCTCCCTCTCATGCACCCAGGTTCCCTTTAGTTCTTTCATCGTGCTTAGAGCAGTCTTTGCGTTAGTGATGCTCATTCAGCTTCCTGCAGCTCGCACCCCCCCTGTACTACCATGGCCAGATATTGGACACCTTGCAAAGTGGTCAGTCTCTTCATACAAATTTGGGTTTGGTGCCGAGTGCCTTAGAGACGGAGATCCCGATACGTTCTGGCAGTGAGTATCATCCCTTTCCGTGACATGCTCAGCGCGACTGAGGTAGTGTCCAGTTCTGATGGCCCCCAGCCTCACTTTATCACCGTGGAGTTCCCTCGCAAGGTCGCAATTCAGGTAAAGGGTCAATTTCACGTGTCCCACCAGTACTGACTGGATTCAACTCAGAAAATCAGTATCTACCTTAGTTGGCCACAAGACGACTCGTACACCCCATCGACTCTTGCTATCCGTGCCGGAACTGGTCCCAGTGACCTTCAAGATGTACGGGTCGCTACTTTGGAGAAACCGGACGGCTGGATAACGTTTGATGTATCCTCAGAACCTGACGAAGATGGGAATTCATTGTGAATTGTTTTTGCAACGCTGCTTTGTTCCTCATTTAACCCTCCTCTAGTAAACCTGTACATGCGTACGTGCTGCAAGTTATCGTGGTGCAGAACCACATGAGTGGAAAAGATACCCACATACGAGGGCTGCGTGTCCTTGGTCCTCAGGAGTATGCACCTCGGAACTATCTGCTGGGTGTGGCGCTGACGCGAGATACAGAGAAGATGCTACTGATGGCGATCCTTTCCCTTGGAAGTCATCGGACTTCAAGATGTACGAAAGACTGCGGTGAACAGCATCATGACGAGTTTTCAGGCATATTGGACTCGAATTATGTCTTAATGATAGTAATTCTTTACGCTGCATTTGTACCTATATTTCTACCAGCTAACACGCACACAAGAGTGAACAAAGAACCTATTTCAACTTTGCAAACATCTCCCTAGATTGGTCGAGAGTTAGACATTCCGTCTCGTATGTCTTTTTCTGTTGTGGTCAAGAACAGAAAATTAGCAGCGTTCTGAATTTGCAGTCAAAAGAGCAACGCCACCTTCTCGTCATTTGTTAGTTGCACAACAGACGGCACGGTCTCAGCGTAATCTGGCTGTGAAATAATCTTCATAATCTTTTCCAGATTGAGGCGCGCAAGCGTCAGTTTCTTGTCACACTTGGCTATCTCAGCATCAAGGTCAACAAGCCCCTTATAATAAAACGAGTTAGGGTCCATTCGTAACACGAGGCTACACACATACCTTGACTAACACGTGGACTGTTGTGGTGGAGTTTATGACGGCTGACCCGCACCCCGGGGGAAGGGCTTTCCCGTCCTCAATGACGGTCACAGCACTGCATCCCTTGATCAAAGTGATCATAGCTTGCGTCTGCGAGCGGAACAAATCGATCTCCTTTCCCAACTGGGAATGAATGAAGACTAGAAACACGTCAGTACTAACCGTGGTTAAAGTAGATTCACTCACGTTGGATATTGGACTGTAGGTTGTAAGATGCAGCAAGTGACCTAGCTGCGCGCACGGCAGACAGCACTCCATCGAAATCTTTCTCCTCCTCCGAACTGATGAAGTCAGGATCCTGCATCAATTCAGTAAAGCAGGTTTGAATATGGCAGATGATGACTCACGTTTATAGGGTAAGCTGCTATCATGATGGAGGGGGTGGAATCTGTCGGACGTCTTGGCAGTCGCTGCCATAGCTCCTCGGTAACAAAGGGCATAAACGGATGAAGTAGACGCAGACCGTGATCCAGGCAAGTATACAATGTTTGTTGGGCTGACCTACGAGTCTGAAGGGGGACCGATGCGTCTGTCAAAGGTTTCATCGCCTCCTGTGGACAAAAATATGAGCTCCATACACATTCAAATTCGAAGTAGCCCCACAATGTAGACATCGCAGAGCTCGTATAACCAGAAATTGTATGCTGACGTAGTCGCAGCCATGAAATTGCGTTCGAGGAGCTGCGTGTTGATCTGCGTCGCAGCTATGTTGAGCTTGTGTAGAATCCAGCGTTCCACAAGACTTTCATTCCCGGTTGGCTTCAGATGCAATGTAAGCTCAAGAACCCATCGTGCAAGCAGCATACCTTCGCAGATGTCTCTGGGGAAAAACCGTCGTCAAGTTTGAGCATTGCAAATTTCGTGGCATTGAAGATCTTGTTGCAGAACTTGCGGTATCCCTCCACTCGTAGAATTTCCAAGTTGATATCCCTGCCTAAACGCAAACTCAGTCATGTATAGTTTGCACAGTGATGATTACTTTACCGCCGCCTGAGTATGCGCAAAGAGCGAAACGCAACCCATCCGTACCACATTCTGGAATGCCCTTTGGGAAATCCTTCTTCTGTCCAGCGATCGCCTTTAGAATCTCCTTCTCATCCAGATTACCTTCATACAATTTCTGGTGGAGTTCCTCAAGTGACAGGCCATGGATGACATCGATCGGGTCAATGACGTTACCGAGCGACTTGCTCATCTTGCGTCCATGAGCATCGCGAATCATCGCGTGGCAGAGCACTTCAGAAAATGGCATCTGACCGGTAAGATAGATGCCCATGAGAACCATGCGCGCAACCCAGAAGAAAAGGATGTCCCAGCCTGTTTCAAGAATACTGGCAGGGTAATACTGAGAGAAGTCGACAGTCTATTGGTGGACGATTAAAGCCAGTCAGTCTACTAGGTATGAAATGCCGTGCCTTATCTGGCCATCCCAGGATTGAGAAGGGCCACAGTCCGGAGGAGAACCAAGTATCAAGGACATCTTCGTCTTGCTCGAGTGTGAAGTTCTTCCCTTTAGCAAGGATTTTCGCTCGTTCGGTTGCTTCTTCCACAGTCCGACCCACGACCCAGTTCTTTCCATCGTTGCTCTGCATTCAAGATTAGTGCACAAATGTTGGACTGATCGTTGAAATACGAACGTCGCTATTTTCTCCTTCGATTCGAACAAAATAGGCTGGGCATCGATGACCCCACCATAACTGCCGGGAGATACACCAGTCCTGTATGTTTTCAAGCCAGCGATACCAGTCTGCTTCACTCTGCTTGGGGCCGATTGAAAGTTCGCCTGCCCTCGTACGCTGCAATGATCGTTAAAGAAAGCCAAGTGAGATATTATGTGACTGACCTTGACTGCTTCTGCAGCAAGAGGTTGGCAATTTACCCACCACTGGGGCTTCAAAACGGGCTCAATTATGTCGCCTGATTTACTGCAAGAACACCTCAACTTCAGTCACCAATCGACTTGGAATCGACCCGGGCGCGTACCTGCAAATGGGAATCTGCATAGAATTATCCTTGGTCTCGACAAACAGGCCCATCTCTGTGAGCTTCTTTATGACCTCGCGCCGAGCGTGGAAGCGTTTCATCCCCTGAATGATGTATGTCGTTTTGATCAAGAGGTATTGTTTGCACACAGACGCACCTTGAATTGCTCTCCAGCATTTTCATTGAACGTTCCATCATCATTCAAAATGTTGATGAAGTCAAGCCCGTGACGGACACCAACCTCATAATCGTTTGGATCATGAGCTGGCGTGATCTTCACTGCTCCAGTTCCAAACTCCTTATCGACTTTTTCATCGACGATGATGGGAAGACGCCTATTCAAGAAGGGGTGAATGGCAAATTTGCCGTGAAGGTGCTACAAACGTATCTCAGTCTTGATTGCAATTTCTATCTACAATAAATGTTACCTTGTATCGATCATCATCCTGATGTACCGCAATAGCTGTATCACCAAGCATCGTTTCCGGGCGGGTCGTCGCTACGACAATCCGCTCATCTGTTGATGAAAATAAGAAAGACAAGGACATGAAAATCGATTAGAACATACCTGATCCTTCAATGTGATATGCAAATGAGGTGATGACACCGAATTCGAATTTTTCCTTTGCGTCATACCCTGGGACGTTAAGCAAGGTGCGGCCAGAGAGTTGTTTTTGGTCCACCTATGCAACACAGCTCATGTCGGCACCAACGGACGAATTCTTCGACTCACCTCAAGGTTCGAGAGGGTAGTATTTAACTGGACGCACCAGTTAACAAGTCGATTAGCGCGGTAGATGATACCATCCTCGTGGAGCCGACAGAACGTCTCAGTAACAGCTTTTGATAATGACTGATACGATAACCAGTTAGATATGTAAGAGATGTATGAACTTTCACCCACAGGACTCATAGTGAAGGCGACACGGTCCCAGTCACAACTTCCTCCAAGTCTTCTTAATTGATTGGTGATACGTGCTTGGTAGCTAACGCCATGTAAGAACACGTTCCAATCAGAAGGCAACCACGTACTCATTTTTCCACTCCATCACCTTACCCAAAAATACCTCTCGACCGAGATCATGTCGAGTCTTGCCTTCCGCTTTGTATAACCGTTTTTCAACAACGGATTGCGTTGAGATTCCAGCGTGATCAAAACCTGGCACAAAAAGGGTAGTCTTTCCAAGCATCCGATTCCTATCGTCACGGTGAGTATTACGATCATATCAGATACAGATTTATATGTACCAGCGGATTAAGCAATCCTGAATGGCAACAGTCAGCGCGTGGCCGATATGCAGGCTTCCAGTGACGTTCGGGGGAGGCATCGGAATCACAAAGACACCCTCTGGTTTGGTCTCGCCGTTCTCCGTGGTCTGAGGCTTAAAGAAGCCTTGGGCCTCCCACCAATCATACCAAGCAGACTCGACTGCAATAGGGTTGTACCCACTTGCCATCGGTTGGGACATGTCTGTACAGCGTCAAGAAAAAAAGTGAAAGAGGGTGAAGGAATCGAACCTTTCTTCTCGCCCTTGGGAGTGGTGTTTACGAATGCAGGCTCCTGCTCCTTCTTCTCTTTGTCCGCCTTTGCCTTCTTTTCGCCAGCAGGAGTGTTAGCGGCTTGCTTGAGATGTTTAGCAGCCAGCTTCGCCTCTTTCTCTAGCCTCTTGGCCTCCTTTTTCGCTGCATCCGACAGTTGATCAGAATGTTAAAACACTGAAATGACAAGTATCTGCTCACCTGAACTTTTCGAAGGACCGTCGGACTCGGGAGTGACCAGGCCAGGATCGTTCGGAGTTGTTGCCATTGCTACAGGTCGAATAGAATGTAATCGTTGAAGTGGATGAAAAGAAAGACCTCTGACTTTCTGACTGACTAGGTATCGATGCCTTGCTATAAACATCCACCTGCGATCAGATTGACTCGAACAAGCTATTCTTGATTAACAATTTACGTAATAAGACACCGCATGCCTTGAAAATCGTTTATCGTTTACCGGCCTACTTTTCAGGGCGTTATACTGATCGATAGGTACCTCCCCATAACCTTGAAGTGCTTAGATAAATCCAACAACTTGCAATTGTTGTATTAAAGCCCAAACCCATCTACTTGATTTCAATGATTTGACAGTGGTGGATATAACTGTCGTGAAGAAATGGCAAAAGCATCATGATTAAGAGGAATATGAGAGATGTCTATGTGTCCGGAACAAGAAGTCGTCAAGTCTACCACCGATCTCTGGCACCACCATAATCGCCGTGACCACCGCCACCACCACCGCCCCCGTATCTTCCGCCGCCACCGCCGCCACCACGACCACGACCTCCGCCGCCATAACGACCTGGAATGCTAGGTCAACACAACGAGAAACATGGGGACATGGTAGGGACTTACTGCGGCCTCCACCACCTCCACTGTACGTGGCCATTTCCTCTAGCTGTGGTGGAACATTGGCCTTTGCCTCACGCAGGATGGATATCAACTCGCGAGAAGATTTCGAGTTATCGGTGGTGAAGTACGTGTATGAGGTACCTTTCATGCCGGCGCGCTAAGCAGAGTTAGGATTGGGAATGAATGCGTCAAGTGAGAGCAACTTACCCCCGTACGACCAATACGATGGATATAATCTTCGCAATTGTTAGGGAAGTCGTAGTTCTAAAGGGACGTCAGCACCTGACTAGTAATAATGAACCACTGAAACACTCACAATCACATATCCGACATCCTTGACATCTGTGATGCCAGCAATGCAATGCAATCCGCGTCACGTACAGAACAAGAGAACAACATATGGACAGACAACATGTAGCACGTTGCACAATCAATAACATGACAACAACAAAGAGACACAAGCGCGTCCAACATAACAGGGAACAAAGATCGAATGACTTCATACAAACATCATTCATGGAACGTCACAAGATCGGGGGACGTATAACATGAACAAAGGGCATCGCGGTCCAGGAAGACAGGTACCAAGCGCGAAGCAGCGGACATATTGAGAGGAGATATAGCCAGGAAGTCCGTGATGACGGCTCCACATCCGGGACCATAGCGCTTTGAATCCCTTGGATCCTCACTGACGGGAGGACACGGGATGCTTCGGCGGATGGAACCTTGACGACTTGATATCCTCTCGTGATCACGCGGTTCTGCTATAGCACGTCTCGCTCGAGAAGAGATGAATCCCTCAAGCCTGGCTGTGGCACAGAGGAAGAGCAGTGCAAACATGACTCATCCCGTCTTGCTACACGCGTTAGTGAACACCAGAGTCACGAGCAAAAATAACCCAAACAGAGAGGCGGGCCATTGCTACTTTAACCTGAGTGCTCGAGAAGCCCTCCCATTTGTAGGAGTCCCTGATGGAGCGCTTGCAAGAAATAGCACACGTACCTAGACCACGGGAAGCAACATCCGTGGCGATCAATATGGGTGAGCGACCCGCTTTAAACTCCCCGAGAACCCAGTCACGTTCCCGCCTGTGCAAGCGCTAAGTAGAAATAGGCCAAATATTGTATGAAACCTACTGTTCTTTGTCGCCATGGATGGCAAGAGCTGGCCAGCCGTCTTGGCGAAGGTATTTGGTGATGTCGTCCGCGACGCGCTTGGTCCCGACAAATATGAGTACTTTAGCGTTCTCAGAGCTGATCTGATCAAGATGTTTGATCAGTTTGGCACGCTTCTCGAAGTCACTGCAGACTTCGACAATCTGCTGGATATTGTGGTTGGCAGTGAGCTCCATAGACCCAATGTTGACCTGAATCATGTCTTTCAGGAAGTCCTACAAATAGTGAGGTAAATTTTAGAACCATAAAATAAACATGTAATGCTCACATTTGCGAGTTTCTGCACATCCTTCGGCCATGTAGCACTAAACATCAGTGTCTGGCGATCAGGGCGAATCTGAGATACAATCTTGCGTATCTGGGGCTCGAAACCCATGTCCAACATGCGATCAGCCTCATCCATGACTAAATACGTGACACGACGAAGATTGGTCTTTTGCGTTTCAAGCATATCGATAAGTCGTCCGGGAGTCGCGATTACGACCTCAACGCCACGTTGTAGGTCACGAATTTGAGGACCCTTGGGAGCGCCACCGTAAATGGCAGTGTTACGGATGCGAGAGCTCGAACTATAGACATGAGCGAAGGCTAATGCGGTGAGTTAACAAACATACCCAAATTTCGTACATTCCTGCTGTATTTGTACAGCGAGCTCACGGGTGGGCGCAAGGACAAGTGCAATCGGACCGTCGCCTGGCGCGAGCAGAGGTTGACTAGTTCCCAATGAGTAGATGATCAGAAGATGAAATACACACATACGCATTAATGTGAAGCATGGCAGGCAGAGCGAAAGAAATTGTTTTCCCACTCCCTGTTTGGGCGATCGCAACCACATCTCTACCGCTCAAAGCCATGGGCCATGCTTGACACTGAATGGGAGTGGGCGCGGCAAAGCCTTGTGCACGAATCGACGCCAAGATATATTCAGGAAACCCTGCCTCGTCAAAAGATGTGACAGGTCTGGGAACACCTCGTCCTTGAACCTTGAGGGAAATCATCAGCGACTGGTAGCTTTCCACACGGTCTCACGTACCTTAATTTCTTTGGTCTTCCGGAACTCTTCCACCTCTCTTTCAGTCATAGCTGAAACGCGCTTGTCCTCGACGTAGAAATTCTTCTCGAAACGCTCGAGCTTTTGCGATACCCAGTCGATCGTTCTAAGACCGCCGCCTAAGCCTCCCATTTTGTCTTCGTAGCCACCGCCACCGCCCCAACCCCCGCCTCCCCCACCGTAGCCGCCACCACCACCACCGCCATAACCGCCACCATAATTACCGTGACTCTGAACAAGCCCATCAGCAAAATACATGATTTCTGAACAAGAAGTTTTACCATAATGTTGTCTATAGCGGAAACTAGAAAACAAGGCTGTTGCGAGGATCCGAAAGCGTGGTGGTTAAAGAGCAAGGAACAAAGAGCACACCGGAAAAAAATGCGTTGATGACTGGAGTAAATAAACCACAATATGCTTACGTGATGCTCTTCTCAAGTACTTAGCTTATGTACATGCTCAAATTCTAACATAACTACACATGGTCCCAGATATCGGGGCAATACATAATGGAACTGGTCTGTGCGGGGTATATGTAAAATGACGTGCATGAGAGTAATCATGGCCGAAGTTCGGACTTGGATGGGCATAAAGAATCAAGAAATTGTGAGTAGCCTGTCACAGATAATGTGCATCCATCACATCACGATGCAGTGCCTCCGGCGTGACCGGCGTGAAGCCTTCTTTGGAGGGGGTTCATCTGGGTAGTGCATAAGCATCTGCTTGACAAGTTCCTGGAAAACATCGTTAATGTGCCAATCGCGCTTGGCTGACGTTTCGTAGAATGGTATCTTCCAGAGCGCGACCAGGCATTGTATCGTGCTTCTTGCCACCTCTCGTTCGTGGACGAGGTCAAGCTTTGTCCCAACAACAACGATAGGAACATCCTGCGTATAATGGTAATCTCTGTATTCGATAGTAGCCAATAGCACTTACGCTATCCATTCCCTTCACTCGGTGTATCTGCTGCCGAAGATTGTCCAGCTCCCTGAGACTTGCTTCTTGTGTGAGGCTGCAGTGGTATCAGTAGGCCAGCAAATGAATAAAATCATTTCTTGTGATGCTTACCTGAAGACTAATACGAATCCCTGGCCACCCTGTGGGGAACTAGTGTGAGTTCGATAACATAAATCCGTAAATCATCACTATTTACTTTGATGTAAAGCTCTTTCAAAGCAGTAAATTGCTCAGCACCAGCAGTATCTAGTACTTCTAGCTGCAAGGAAACAGATGGTCAGTAAGCGAAAGGGGCTAACGGTAGTAGGAACACACGCGCTCTCACCGAAGTCTGAACACCATCGATATCGAGGATGCGCCGATAGGCTTCTAGAAAGGCGATACAATCAGCCATTCATGTCACATTGGAATGAACTACCACTGAAGATGTACCTTCGATCGTGGGGTCATAGTTCTCCAGGAAGACATCTTGAACGAATCGCACCGTCAACGCAGACTTTCCTACTCCTCCAGCTGCGACATATGAAACAATGCAATAGTCATAACCGAATGAATGACATACCTCCTAGGACGACGACGTTGAAGTGTCTCATATTTTGAGAGGTGGGGATGAGAGAAGGAGCCAAGGGGTGCACGCGCATGGCGCCAGCCTTGATGCAACCTGTGTGTGGGAAGTAATCGAAAGTATGCACAAAGCGTCTAAAATAGTTTCTCAGCTGAAATGCGAGAATCGGGAGAGTAAGAGAAGCGAGAGCGCGGCAGCTGAATGTGGTTAGAAACCATAAATATTAATGAGATCATTAATATTGATGCACTTCGGTAGGCTAATGTGTTCTTGGGAGTAAGGTCCATCAATCGCGTAGAACTCGTGTCCTAACACGTGTGGTTCGTGAAGGGAGGAAGCAGAGCCAGCATCCGGATTCCGCGACAATACAATCTACTTTGGCCTACAGTCCAACAAAAAAAATGCCTCGAGCGTTCCTCAAAGGTTGTTATATTGTATAATACAATACAATGAAAAAGTCGAAACGAAGGAGTGACATATGCGAGGCAAGATTACTTGCGCAAAGAAGAATAAGTGGAGATGGGGCCAAGAGAGTGCGGTTAACGTAGGACGTGGCAAGAAATAGATAGCGCGATAAGAATTAACATGAAATATGGGCTGAAAGGGGGCGTATGAAATTATGTCGGCCAGCCACCTGCAATCCTAGCAGCACCAAAACCAACACGCCCCATAATGTTCCATACCGCAGAAGTACCATCATATCCGAAGCCTTCGCCCGGTCCTTGCATACTGTTGAAGCTCGACCATGCAGCGCGGTCGTAAACCGTTGGGCCACCAACGGGTGAATACTGCGCCCCGATGGCTGGTAGACGCGAGTTCATGCAAAGGAATACGAGCGCCATAGCCCCAGCGCTGATGAGCGCCTGCCGAGCAGCCCCAGTAAGCCAAGCATCGCCCTCTTCGCCCCCTTCGTTTCCGCCCTTGCCGATGACATAGGTATTGTAGATTTTGTAGAAACGGTTCTGGCGACGCGGCTGACGCTTAGTCGTCGAGCAGGCAATCAGCTCATCTATCATCTCGCATTCCACGCCGAGTTCCTCCTTCAGTGCTTTCCACTCGTCGACGGCATCTGCTGAAATTCCTCCGGGAATGCCACGTATTGGGATGGTGATTCCTTTGTGTCGGTCCATCAAGGCATTATTGACTTGTTCGAGCTCAGTCACGAAATTGTAGGAAGGAGGTGCGTCGTTCAGGTGAGGAGGGTCTAGGTGCCCCTTGGGCGTGGGAGGGAGGACGGTCGACGATGAAGACGCGAGTGCCTCGTCGTCTTCCGGGGTGACTTGCGGTGACGCAGACCGAGAGACCTCTAATTCCGGCTCATCTGTTTGGATTTCAATGCTTGATGTGATCCGTGGCGTGGATACGGCTTCTGGATCGGTTTGGATCGCAAAGATGCCACGGGAAACTTCTTCTGTTTGAATAGAGGACGAGGAAGTAAGAATCTTTGGTTCTGGATCTGTCTGCATTTCACATGCTGATGTATGCTCTGCAACGTAGTGTTGCGTGGACGCATCGGTGTATTCTTTGGTTTCTGAAAAAGTGACGGTCTCGGCTTTGTTAATACGGCCAACTTTCTGTTGGGGTGTCAGACCGTGAGGTGCAAATGTGAAAATTTCTTACCCTCTTCTTCCGAGTGATGATGGTTTGAATGACGTCCTCCTCCTCCTCAGTATCTTCATCCACATCCAGTTCCAATTCGCCACTATCACTCTCATCTTCATCTTCATCATCCTCGCCACCCCAGCCTCCGCCCATCTTTCCCATGAGTTCAGCACCCAGACTCTTGCTCATAGTATTCGCCGCACTAGAGTGCCCGCTTCCCGCAGCCGCATTCGTCGCAGCATTGCGCATCTCGTCCATATCATACCGCATGCGGTCGATGGTCTCCTTTAGCAAAAGGTTCTCCTGCTTCTGTTCATCGAGCAGGGCGTGGGCTTGTTGCGCAATGGCTAGCTCCTCTTCAAGATGTGCAAGGCGATCTTCGTAGGATGATGCTTCTTTAGTCCACTTCGCAGCTTCAAGCGATTGGAGCGCGGCAGCATCTTGGTAATCTTTGATTTCTTGGTCTCGACGGCGGAGCTGGTTGCGGTAGCGTTCAGATTCCGCTACAATGACGTGAGCGAGAAATTTTCGAAATCCCGGAGTGAACCTACCACATTGCTCTTGGTACTGCTTCTGCAAGCTTTGATATGACGAACGCGCGTTCTCCAAACTTTTCTGCAACTTTGCGATTTCGGACTCCAGCGCCGTGATTTGGGTTGAGTTGGTTCGCTAAACAGCATCCGTCAGACATTGTCCAAGACATTCACGCATGACGTACCTCCTTCGTCCTGAGCTCCTTCTCCTCCCGCTTTGTAGAGGTAAGTTCGCTCTTGAGTTCTTCCAAGCGCCCCTGCATCTCATCCAAATCTACGTCGTGCTCATTCAGCCTGTTCTCAAGTGTCCTCTCAGCCTCGATCAGCTTCCGCCCCAGCTCTGCGTTGGCCTTCTGTAATGCGTCCAGCCGGTCCATGGGCTCGAGGGACACGGTCGACGACGTTGCTGAACGATCCATAACTAAGCCTAAAGATGACTCATTCTCACCATCAGAGTCCGAGTCAGATGCTGAGTGTGGCATGGGCAACGAGGAGATTTGGCGCGCAAAATTGTCGCCTTTCTGTGGGTATTCAAAGGATGAGTCGAAGTCAGGTGAATGCTCTCCCGAAGAGAGGTGATCTCGGTCTGGAGACGAGTAGTGGATCCCAATGCTAGTGAAGGGCTGCGACTGGGTACGGGAGTGCGGACGCGCGAAAGGTGGCGAACCCATAGAGGAAGAGGAGAAGAGGCCTATGGACATGCCCGAAGGACTCGTTGGATTTGACGGCGCGCGCGTTCGACTGAAGGCACCGGGACTGGAGGAGAAAGATGACTAATTGCAGTTGAGTTCAACAGGTGTATATACGTAGAAGGAATTGCGCACTTCCGAGTCACTAAGAGCGCGTTGAGACCCGCCATCAATACTTTTCCGTCTGTTGGCAGGCGCTGGGCGCTTTGACCAGCTTGAAGGGGGCTGTGCATCCAAAGGGGTTGTTCGCTGTCGTCGCGACGTGTCAAAGGCAGAGCCAACTGTCGTGGTAGGTGTCCTTGGTGGCACAGACGGTGGTCGGCTGGGGACGCGTGAGGTTCCTACAGAGCCTCTGCTAGATGATCGCGAGTGGTTGGTACTGCGAGAAAAAGGATTGCGCCCGCGATCGTCGGGCAGCGTTACATCTTCTTCCAAAGGCGAGCTGTGTGGGCTGTCTCGCGGACTATGCCTCGTCCTCTCTGCGACGAACTGGAGTAAGATCTGAGGTGTCACTTCAATCCCGGGACTGCTTGCGAGGATTTCCTTGAGCTCGCCCATCTCGCGATCGTCGAGCAGGTCGACGCCATCATACGAGGCCGAGAAGGCACTGAGTACATCTGGGAGTGCATCTGCGGGTATCGCTAGTTCTCCTGATTGGATTTCACGCGAATCTGGGTGTTTGTTAAATATGTCGTAGAGTTCTTGTTCGATGTCTGATACTGATTGTCTGTTGCGCCCGAAAGTCGACTAGAAGCAAATTATAAGGTTAGATTTAGACTTCTTCGCGCAAAAGACACGTACCATGATGAGCTGGTAATAAGAAAAGGGAAATATTGGATTGTACGATTCACTTACTATCCACTACTTCAATGAAATTCCTCAAGCATGCTTTGGCTGCCACAGTAACCAAACATGACTTTGATCGTCCACAACGCTTGCCAAATACGGTCGTGAATGCATGAGAACAACGCCACGTGACATTTATAAAGTCCACCAACGCTTGAAGTTGAAGCACCCGTCCCAATTGCAATATATCCAAGGGTTACTACATGGCTTTGGCAGAATGCGAGCATTACATGGTTGGTATATTACATTCAATAAAGGCTGTTTACGCCTGTCCCCTTTCCTTTAACAACACAGTTCTCAAGCGTCTCAGCGCTTCATTCACTTGTTCCTCTGTAGACAAAGAAAACGAGGCTCTCACAAACGCCGTTTTACGTCCGTTGGGAAGGAAGACAGTACCAGGGAGTGCGAGCACACCACCCTCATATGCCTTAGTTCGTATGAGGTCTTCTGAGTCACCCTCATCTACGCCGGGTGTTTGATTTGGTGAAAGAAGGAGCTTGAACCTATTGTGATGACATCTTTGTTAATATATCTCGATCGACATCGAACAGATGCACAAACCAGAAAAACATGCCCGCTTCAGGGGTACACCATTCCGCAAGTCCACCGAGGTGCGCATTCAGAGCAGACTCGAACACATCACGCTTCTCGCGGTAGAAGTTGGCAACAGCCCGCGTATGGGCAAAGAAATTGTCGTAGCCCCATTCCTCAACCAGTGCGAGTGTGATAGCCTGGATGAGTGATGAGGCTTGTAGGTTGGCCATTCCAGTCTAATTAAATGTTAAGATACACAGCAAATGTAGATCTATCTTCTTGTACGTACATACAAGTCAATGGCATCAATGAGAGGCTTCGGGCCCGACGCAAAGCCCATGCGCATGCCTGCGGAGAGAATCTTGGAGAAGCTGTCAAACCGGAGAACTCGGCCGACCTCAGGCTCGTCAAGTTCCAGCTGGAAGTATGAAAGCGGCCGAGCGGCTTTTCCAAAGTACAGGTAAAAGTAGGGATCGTCTGTGTATAAAAGGAGGATTCAATCTACTCCGCAAAAAAAAACAAGAGAAGTGGCCCACCTTCGAGAATCAAGAAATTATGTTCACGTGCAAGCCGTAATACTTCCTTGCGACGCTCAAGGGTCGCTGTCATACCGGTGGGGTTGCAACCGTACTGTAATATGGTTATTCTGGTCCGCAGATTGAACAGATAGAGCTTACGGGTACCGTGTATAAGACCTTCGGCTTCGGCTTTCCGACAGGCCAGTTCTCCAAGATATCGCGTAACAAATGAGAACACACCCCATCCGCGTCTGTTTCCACCTCTAAAATTTATTGAGCACGAGAAATTTAACACCAACACACGACCAACCGATCTGCTCGCAGTGTAGAGTTGAAAACATTGGGATGACACCACTGAATATATGGCAGTCAGCAAAGAACAGACTTAACTCCAGACTAATTTTAACTCACGCATACACTGGAGACTCCACGAGGACAGAATCTCCGGGGTTCACTAAAGCGTTGACCGCCTGCGGAAATATGAGAACCGTCATTCATTTTTAGAGAGCCCTTAGACCTTATAAATCAAGTCCTGTGAACCACTGCCAATGGATATATTCCATCCTTCGCCTGATTTGCGACCATGAGAGAGCGCTTGCAATCCCATGAACCAGTGCAAGAGACGAGGAAGACCGCCAGTAGCGCCGTATTGCAGGCCAACCGAAAGATCCTTTCCAGATAACGAGATTGACTGTTCCTGCGATGGATCCGAAGGGGAGACAATGTTGAAAGATAATGATTTGAACGGAAACATGGCATCGTTGGGTTTTCCCGCTAGGAGCGATATCACGCCTGGCTTGTTTTCCAATGGGAACAACCCACGAACTGAAGTGGTAGTATTAAAAAATCACTATCGATGACTCATAAGAGATCATCGGAGACGCACTGGGACTGGGCTTCAGTTCTTTGGCAGCGTCGGACAAAAACTGCGTGTAGAAGTCTGCTGGAAGGGATTTGACAACCTTCTTGACAGCATGCCCGTTAGCTTCAACGGGAGTGCTGACACCAGAAACTGAGGCAAGGATTCCATCAGAGTGTGTGGCCATTTGAAACTCTCTCGATAATTAATGTTTGTCCTGCAGAGATAATGATAGCTCGGGTCACCGTGCACATGATGCAACGTGCATTATATAGAATGCCCACCTTTTTATAGTCAAGCCAGGAGTGGTTGAACTTTGGCTTGAATATCTGATGATGACGACTTGATTTGCAGTGTAGCAACTGCCACTGCCAGCGTCCAGTGCCAGCAAGACCGCGGCAACCACTCGAGTCACATCCCAGGGCTGCTTATCAGATTCATTATAAGTTACATACACCAGTGTGTCAAGCTTGTCATAAGGGCTGTCAAGGGTTTGCCGCATGGTGTCATGGATGCTCTATACTGATCCCTATCAGAGCTTCAAAACAGAATCCTGAGTCACGGCTCATTGCGTACGAACTCGATCAGATATTTTTAGATGTTGTGGGGCACAGCATTATGTGTAGGAACACGATATAGATTTCGTGTCTTCCTTGCAGCAGTAACGTCTAGCAAGCTACCTAATTCTATGTTGCCTCTTGAAAGGGAAGCAAAAAGAGGATAAAATCACAGATGCAGTGGAAATACATAGGTCTAGGAAAAAAATGGGATGTGAGTTTAAGTCAGGAATGAGTGGAAACTGCAGGCGGCCGACCGCCGGTATGTTGCAGAGGGAGGATGAGGAATCGTCTAGAACAGTCCGAGAGATATCATAATGTGTTGAAAGTGCTGTACAGAAAGTGCCTGCCTCGACCTCATCCAGACTGGGCGTCATCTGAAAAGTCAGAACGAGGGACGGGGGAGGTAGCCGTGACGGAAACAGATGGACGCCTCCGCTTTACTTCAATAGGGACCGTCTCCTCATCACTCTCATCCTCATCTATCTCATCGTACATAAGGCTGGTGCTAGCCTGCAAAGCCTCCGACTCTGCTTGGCGATCCCTGTGAGTGTCGCGGAAGAAACTGGAGTCATCGTCGAGGTCGTCGAGGTCGTCGTAGTCATCATCGCTCGTCGCGCTGGGCTCCGATTCGTATGCGACTTGCTGCAAGGGACTGGGACTTTGGGTAGCAGACCGAACAGGGAGATGTCGGTTGTGCCCAGAATCGTGCAAGGGCGGATCAGGGACGACTGAAGTCGTGGTAGCGACATAGAGGCGTTCAGGTTGTGGATGGCGTAACATGACGGGAGAGTAACCGGTTGGTTGATTGAGGCCTAAGGGCAAGTTTGACGAAATGAGGCTGCTCGGGTCATTGCACACGCCACCAGCTCCCAAGAACATCGCATCCTCTGGAAGGGGAGTGCTTGCATTGTCTCTACCACGGCTGGCGGGGCGGCCTTGAGAGTGTGATGCACAGGATTGACTTTGATCAAGTGGAAGAAGGGTCTTGGATTCTCGGTGTCGTGAATGTGGGCGACTGACATTGGAATCATGGGCCCTGCTCTTGGATGCATTCCGGGCCCACCTCTCAATTGATTCTTCTCTCCTTCCCATGTTTGGCGTTGAGTCGTTACGCACAATGGCAGAGCGTCCAACACCGCGACGCCTCCCGTCCTCGTGGATTTCCGAACCTGACATTCGCGCACTAGCGCTTTTGTGCCGCTCTACCGCAATGGTAGGCGAGGAACACACACCGAAGTCGTCTTCATCGTCACGTGATGATGTGCCGCGCGAAGAACGAACACCTTTGAATAATGAGGATATGCGGCGTGTGAGGCGCTTTGGCCAGCCCCAGCTGAAGCGGACGGTAGTCATCGCAGTGCGGGTGTCAGACTCCGTGACCATGACCATGTCAGTCCTGGAGGGTGAGGTCTGACGAAGCCATTCTTGATGATGTGGAATATCTCGCAGGAACCAAACGTACCGCTACACGTAAAATGGGAGATATGGGGGGCGAATACGCGCAGAATGAAAATGGACGAACCTTTGCTTGATCGATAGTCATGCGCTTATTGGGATCTTTTTCAAGCAGCTTGTCGAGAAGACTCATGACAACAACTCCCTCAGACTTTTTGTCCTTGGGTTTCCGCCCGCCAGTTTGAATGCAATCGTAACCCATAGTGTCTTCTGGCTCCCAGTCATTTTTGCATATGATATTGTAGAGCATGTATTCGCTCGAATCTGGGGCTCTGAACGGAATTTTGCCGAAAAGAAGGCAGTACAGGGTGACACCCAGTGCCCATACATCAATGGCCTTCGTAATCTGCAGCCGCTGGGACGTGTTCGGGCGGACAGTGGAAGTGGAGCTTATATGTGGGGCGGACCTCAAGGAGGGTAGTGTGGTCGAGGTGGCAGAAGCGGATATGGATGCCACAGGATCGCCATTGTACTCAGCGATGACCTCAGGAGCAAGAAACGGCGGGGTTCCGGCACGCTTGGAAAGGTCCGAATCATCCAGCAAAATCGGGTCGTTAGCGTCATCTAGGGCGACCTTTCCACGCCCTGCAGCCGCGAGGCGCTGCGCATATGAGAAATGCGAGACCCCAAAGTCACTGATCTTGACCATTTGGCGATCCGCAGTCCAGAGAAGGTTAGCAGGCTTTATGTCACGGTGAATAATTCCCTGGTAATGGACTGCATGTTGGGAAGGCAAGGGAGTGTCCAAATTAGCTTGTGGTGATGAGCATGCTATTTAGCTTACGATATTCGAGGCCGAGGATAACATCGCGGCATATTCGTCGACATTGGTCCACCTGCAACACAGGCTCATTTTGCTCGTTGCGCCACTTGATCTCTCCACCACTCAGATATTCCATGACTAGAAGTGAGGCTGTGAGTACGTGGCTTCCTGACACATGCGAGCCTTCCTATCATACTGTCTCCTAGACTGCAGCCACAAGGCCATAATTTCTCAGCTGAGACACTCACCCATGACATGTAGTCAGGAGTGGATAGGCGGCACGACTCTCCGATTCCACGGGAAAGAGCGAGACTGGATGCTTACCCATGTATATCCTATCATTCAGCTTGTCGTCGATAACCTCCAGCAGGCGAACGACATGCCCATGACGACACTTTTTCATTATCGCGATTTCTTTCCGTATTTTATGCTCGAGGCTTCCGAGTTTTTCTGTAAGTGGTGTATGAGACGACTCGGGGATGTTTCGCCTGCGGAGCATGTTCATCTTCTCAGCGCGTGGGTTAATGCGTTTGACGGCCTTTATGGCCTGATGGACACCGTGTCAACAAGATCACGTCAGAGAAGTGGGCAAAGAATATTAACTGACCAGCTCGCGACGATTATCCGACAAGTCCCAACACACCCATACTTCGCCATGCTGACCTTTTCCGACTCGGTGACCGCGCAAATACTGGTTTACGATAGGTCTGCGGTCATCATTATACCTGTAACTTAGTTCAGCTGTCATCCGAACGTTGCCTGGCGGATCGAATGGGAGTCCTGAGGGGTCTTCTGCAGCGTGCGCACTGCTTGCTGAGTCTATGTCGGAAGACATCTTGTTTGAGGACTCATGAAGCCCTTTGCAAAGAAATAAATTGCGAATCAATGAAAGGGCAATGTTGGTTGAATAGGCTGGAAGACGAGGAAAGGGAAAGGAGATCAAACAGCGACGCCTTCAAAGAAACTGCAATCTAAAGCAGCGTATAACGACCAATTTGGGATGCAGCTGCCCCCAGACACTCCGTAATGCAACAGCCTTCTGAGATTACAGATTTCACGGACTACGTCTATCACAAATATGGACGGTGAACGTTTGGATCACATTAATGCAGCCCTCCGCAGCCCCAGTGCCATCAAGGTACACCCTCAATGTAGTATCCTTCTGCCGCTTATCGCATCTTTAACGAGGGCAAACGCATTTATCTTCGTCTTTGACGTCTTTCATGACCTGTACAAGACAAATATGTCAGTACAGGGGTGTCACGGGTAGCAGGAGTTTTAAATTGGGCCCTCCCTGCACTCCCAAGGGAACCCTCGAAGTTCAGGCAGGGATGCGAGGAGGCCGTGATGGGGTGTCTTCGAAAGGGGCCACATCAAGCGATAACGTGGAAATGTCCCTCCCTCCTTTACAGATCATATTATCCCTTTGTCATTTCAATATCCAACGCCCGAACTTTACGCCGAGATAGTCTATCGGTTAAGAAAGCTCACCTCTTCAACGTGACGTCCGCAACCCTGTTTGAAGGGACACGTCAGTTATCGATGCAGGAAAGGGTATGTGTAAATAGACAAAGTTCGCGGGTCGGGCCCGCGTTCTCTTAATCCCATGATGCTTCCGCCCTCGCCCGCGGAAGCACTATGAACCCTCTCAGATCTGTCAGCCAATCACCATGCGCATCGGTACATCGTGCGTGGATGCGCCGCCGCCTCCAACCGGGACACACAATGTATTACACAACATCGCCAAGGAGACGATTGCTTACCTTCCAACTAGTTTTGCCGCATTTGTCGCATTTGACTGCGTAACACATATCAACGAGGACCATGGATGCTTCTTCATGAGCCATTATTCTCTTGATCGTTCACTGAAGGTGTAAGTTAAGGTAATAAAGTCACTGCTAGACGTGTGATAGACAAGTGACGTTGGCGTGAGTTACATCATGATGCCGGTCAATCCCTCTTACCTTTGATCTGACAGCAGAAGATGGCACGCCGTGTGGCGAAGCAGTGGCAGAAGTGTGAGAGTGATTCGCTGGAGCGTCTTACGACTCTTATCAGGTCTTCATCTTTATAACTGATTGGAGCTCACAAGACGTATTTGGCCATATACGCTAACATAAGCAAAGGTCACCTTGCTCAGCGAGGCCCAGCGCTCATGCTAGTTCAGCGCTTCAGCCACTAGCCCTAGGTGTCGACTCCCTTCCGCGCCATGTCCTCCACACTGGAATGATCCAAACTGAAGGGAGAACAACATAACGCGGGACGTAAAATTAAACGCGTCGTTTTCGCGGGGATTTGTCGTTGAATTACAATGGCCATTGGAAGGTCTGGATTTCCGCATTACTGCAGATTACTCCCAGGTGCCCCATATACCCCAAGAAGGTCAACATTAATCTCACTGCAGGGTCGTACTTATCGGCTGGGCCTGGAACCCCCGATATGAATTGTACAAGAATGATCTAAGCGGTCTCGTACGTACGCGCCTGCTAGCACTTTACATAGTGTGTGGTAATGATTTCGACATCAACACCCATTCCATGATCTAACAATGCTACGTTGCACACAGGGTTTTTTTTGGTGGGTGCCATAGCACGCACTTCGGTGCTAGTGGTTGTCCGAGTCGGGTTAACCTGCTAGTACTCCACCCTCCTATCAACAGATCAGAATTCTGATCACCACTAGTATTGCCAGGGTCATAGGACTACCTAACCGTTCGATCAGAATTCGAGAGAGTGCACTAGGGAATCAAGGAACAAATGGAGCGGTCCTAATAGGTCCTAATTCGCTGCCATTCAGCAACCCCCTGGCTAGAAAGAACGTTTTCTGCCGCCGATTAGTATATTCCTGGCCAATGCGGGACTCAATCCCAGCGGCATATGTATTTGTTCCCAGTGGTTGACGGCGTTCGTTCGAAAATACTCACGTCGTGGTTTGCAGGTTTCAACTGTGATATCGACCCGTGAGTGCGAGCCCAAGGTAGGCAAGAGTGTTTTTTCTGGATCAATATAATCATATCAAGATCGATGTCCCGAGGTAGCACAAGGCGCTATTCATTGTGCACGGGGGACGCTGAACGTTCTCACAGAAATGATGCGAGAAGTTCTGATACGCACTAATGTCACAACCACAGCTGTACAGGATCATTCAGTGAATTTCAGTCGTGAGCTGAAACTCCTTGTCAGGCTATCAGTTCACGCAAGGAACGTCCGCAACAAGTGCCCAGCTACAGTCAGCTTTGATTGCCCCTCAACGAACCACCTGCACGGATCTAGTTAAAAATCCTTCACAAATACAGACACCGATGCAGGTGACACACCAGACTCATTGTCGTCCCTCATTGTCCTGCAATGCTGAAAAAATTGAATTGGTATCGTAGTAATCATACAATACGAAATGAGTGAGTCGATGGATAGATATACTATTATATTGTCTTCCACGAAATAAACCATGCATACATCACAAGAAAACACGTTCATCGTCTTTCCTTGACGAAGAAATGCAGCATGAGGAAGCTCGCGGTTGTAAACACCACGAAGAAGATACCAAGTAGGGATATGTTCGGCCACCAGAATGACTACGATCAGAACATTAGGGCACAATTCACAACAGCGTAGGAATCTACTACCCACCTGAGCTCTGAGACCGAATATGGAAAGAATGGTAGCCGCAGGAACGTCCAACTCAACGCCATACTGAAGCGAACACGTTAGGTGACAAACAAGAAATGGCCATCGACGTTACCTTGATCTCCTTTAGTTGTAGATATCTCAGTTCATTCACAGCGAGTGCCTCGAAAGCAGCGTGGAAGAAGGAAAGGGTATGCAACCACTGCAAGGCGGGTGTGACGGTGTCCCTGTTGATGAGAAGGCCCGTGAAGAGGAGGCTGTGGTGATCATCAATCAATACTGCCAGCATTCAGGCACGTAGGATGACCTACTTGAACAACATGACTAGGGTGCCAACTAAGCTCGCCACGCTGGTACTGGCAAATGATATCGACAACAGAAGGATTACGCTTGCCGTCGTCAAGTTGAACAGCACGAGCGTCAGTATGAACTTCCAGAAAGCTGGAACTGTGGGCACAAGACCAACTAGGCCGTAAACAATACCACCAAAGACAAGTGGAGGCACCAAGCGAAGTGGCAGGATATCAAACAGAACCTGATCAAGGGTCAAATAAGATAACAATACGAATCAAGTTATGTTACCTTCGAAGAGAAGTAAGTGAAGGTCGAATAGTAGCCGTTTGCTCTGTGGTGTGGGTGGGGGGGAGTGAGTGTGGGAACATGTTTTGACAGAGTCTCCCTACCTTTCGCGCATGAAGAGGACTCTCTCGTTCGCGAATAATCCAAGGCTAGATAAGCACGAGAAGCCGAAGAGCGACAACGTGAAGAAGAAAATGCCTGAAACCCATCAGCCAAAGAAGAAAAAACCATCGTAAGACTGCTCACCAAGCCGGTTCTGGAAGCCTGCGATGTCGTTGCTGACATCATGGAAAAAGAGACCACAAATCACTGAGAAAAGGCATATGAATACGTGAAACCACGAGAAAAAGCGATAACTCACGAGCCAGCACGATGGAGGACAGATAATGAGCTGCCAATAATGCTGGATCACGGTAGAGATTCTTGAACGCCCGACCACTCAAAATCTTGAACTGCGTTCCCCAACTGGCTCTTTTCCGACCACGCAGTAAAGAGTTTTCAACCACGACGTCTCGCAATTCACCATCCGCGTGCGACGCATCAGCTCCACGCTGTGCAGTAGCAACCTCATCCGTCTCGGCCTTGATGGATTTCGCAACTTCACTCGTAGAGTACGCCTCGACAAGTTGCGCAAGTTTGGGAGTAAGCGCGTTGTCACTAGATGGCGAGCTTCGGACAGCTTCTAGAAGCTGCGAGGTCTTGCGTTTAATTGAGGATGTGAAAGAAACGCGACGGGTTCGAAGCTCAGTTTCTTCCTCGACCGCAGTGGAAGAGCGACCATGCGATCGTACAGACGACGCGCCAACGGCACGCTCCTCATCTAAAAGGTTGTCACCAGATGTCGATGATACCGCATCGTTAGAAGGAGAATCCGGGCTTCGTGGTTCAAGTCCAGCATGCACTGTTAGGTCGACTATAGCAGGAGTCAGTCGCGTGGTGCCATAAAATCACAATCCTACTCACTAAGATAATCCGCGATGTTGAAGCCTGGTGGACATGGTTGGTCGATACTAGCGAAGTATTCTTGGCATTTGGCGAATTCTCCAGAGTACACCATTTTTCCCTGAGCGAGAAGCACAAGATGATCAAACAAAGCGATAATATTACTGCGAGGCTGGTGAATGGTGAAGATAACGGTTCGATTGTAGTCGCGTGCAAGGGTCACCAAGCTCTCGACGACATTGAATGCATTGTAAGAATCCAATCCTGTACAATATCAGCTTGTTATCCACATTCGTCAAAGCATCACATTACCGCTTGTAGGCTCATCTAGGAACAATATTGAAGGGCTAGTGACCAACTCGCAAGCTATTGAGACGCGTCTCTTTTCGCCTCCAGATATCGATCGGCGTCCTGTGTAACATTAGCGTGCGCCCTTGATCCAAGGAGACACCAAGCTTACCCGAGTCACCAATTCTCGAGTCCTTGATACCCAGGATACCGAGTTCGTTCATTGTCTCAAGGGTCCTGTACTTCTTTGCCTCTAGGCTCATCTCCCGCGGAAGCCGCAATAGCGCAGAATACAGCACGGTCTCATACACCGTCAGCGTGCTCATCAATGTATCCTCCTGGTCTACGAAGCCTACCACCTTTTTGAACTCCGTGTCCGCGACCTCTCGCCCGTTGACGAGTGTCGTGCCGCTGACTTGGCCCATTTTGCGCTTGCGAGCGAGGATATCAAGGAAAGTAGATTTACCAGCGCCAGATGCACCCATGATCGCCATGACTTGACCTGGCTTGATGGCACCAGAAATTTTGTCAAGGATCGTGCGGTTGCCGAGAGAGTAAGATATATTCGAAAAGTGGAGGGATGCAGGAACATGGTCTGTCATGAGCTTCGAAGCTTCATTTTCTGGCAGCCTTATTTTGCCGAAGTCACCACCACTGCGCGATCGGCCGACGTACCAAAGGATTGCGACAGTCAGGACAACAATCAGACCTGCACCGGCAGAGCTAAGGGCTATCCATTTGGCGTTGTCGGGTTTGGGTGGAGGCTATGAGACAGTAAAGATACGAACGTGTCAACTGAATTGCTCTACGCACATGGAAGCCAGGAACCTGAGAGTAATGCAAGCATTCTCCGCCTTCACACTGGAGGGTGATGTATGCATCGCCGAAAATGTCGTTGATGAGATTATTCATGGCGGGCTCCTCGAACCTGCATCCAGCAGCAGTCTTGCAGCTGAAACTTGCGGGTCCACGGATCTCTTCTGTCAAGAAGTCGCTGATATCTATGACGAAACATTACGAAAATTTCAAAGTGAATCGCGGCGCAACCTTACCAACACTTCCCTCCTCTCCACAAAGGAACTTGCCAGGAATGCATTTACATTGAATGTGTTCACAGGCATAGATCGTAGTGTTCGTGTCGTATCCCGGCTGAGCCTCAGAGGAACACGTGTCCAACGCACAATAAAAAGATTCTTCTTGTGCAGTCCAGAACTGAAAGCTGCACGTCGCGGTGGAGTTATCACAGCTAAATGTGACTTGCGGAGGACGGTCGGGGAGCATGTCCAAGATCTTGCGATCTACCAAGATTAGTCTATGGCATGTCGATGCATTCCGAGGGCGTACTAGTAATGTCACACATTTGATGATTGTTGAAGACAGTCTCGCCACCCTTGTAACAAGTCATGTTTGCAACATTTTCATCTCCCATCTCGGTATGGATACCGCCGGCTAATGGAAAGCCAATGCAAGCATCGTCGGTCTTGCAAACTGGCGGTAGTCGATTAGGTCGAATGGCAGTGACATATTATGATGCAGAATGGTTCGTACCATTACAATTTATACCTCCCCAGCCCTCGTTACATTGGCATGGCTCGTCTTCTCGGAGCGGCCTTTCAACGCCATCCGCTAGGGAACCGCACTCTAGAAAAATGTAAGTGATCGACGTCCAAACGGCGCCGGGCTGGTGACTTACGTGGAAGCAAGCAGTCTATCCCACCCCAGCCTGGAGGGCATTTACACTGTCCATCGTATTCATCGCAGTGACCAAATTGTCCGCAGGTAAAAGCTGGAAGAAGACAATTGAAGCAAGGTGGACACTTGTCTAGGTCAGAGAGCGAGAAACGGTCAACCAGTGGTCCGACTAGACACGGAAGACATACCTCTTGGGGCAGAAGACGCAAGAGACTATGAAAGGAGTAATATCTGAGCACCACAAGATGCGACGCCAGGAGTAACTGGTACGTACAGATATTTCGTAGTTGGACATTCCGCTTCTTGTCCATGACGAGTTGTCTATCCGTCCAGAGACCAAAGGCAATAACGCGAGACCAAGGACAGATAGTGGAAGTTGTGTATGCATGTTCCTTAACATTAACGTGAACCGCATCCCACGTACTCCCTAGTGCGCAGCTTGTGCACGGTACCTGTGCGCTGTTGCCAGCCAACGCACTTGCGGAACACCTGCGCGAAACTCTTTCCATTTCTGGTGGGTTCCGGCCCAGAAGGGACGTAAACTATCTGTAAGCTTCATCGATTTCATCCATCGAGTACATGGGTCTATGGCGCTTACCAAGGGGAGACTAGCCTTGCGCCAGCCACGTATAAACTTCATGTCACGGTGTTCTCCTGGACAGAGCTTGTGATCAAGAAGGGGGCAACGCCCATCATCATCATCATCATCATGATCCTTCGTTGCTCATCCAGATTTTTCAAATTATTATATAGGTAGCAAGTGGGGGGAAGAGTCAGAAGACCTTCAGTCGCTGTACCTCTACGTCTCATGTCTCCGCAACAGAAAGCTCTTATTCTTCTCGAAAAGCAGGGCAACTTTAAGGTTGGCTCACGCAGCATACCCACCCCTGGTACCGGGCAACTCCTGGTTAAAGTTTACTCTGCTGCCCTGAACCCGGTTGACTACAAGATACAGGTCGACGGGATATTCGTGACCCATTACCCTGCCGTTCTTGGCGTGGATATTGCTGGCATTGTCGAGGAACTAGGAGAAGGTGTTGAGAATTTCCGCGAAGGCGATAAAGTGTCAGACATGTTTTTCCCCTTGTACTTATAGTTATAGGCTCAACTTTGGTTTACAGATTGGCGCATGGAAATTTCTATATGATTGACCAGGGTGCGTTTCAGCAGTACACACTAGCCGTTGCGACGTTTACTGCCAAAGTAAGTCTTGAGTGGATCCGTCGACTACGTCATCGGCTATATCCCATCCCAGATTCCTTCAAGTCAATCTTTCGATAGCGCAGCTACCGTTCCTCTGGGGGTGGATACTGCAGTAGCGGGCTTGTACGGAAAACACCTTGGAGCTGGGATAACCCCTCCTTGGGCGAAGATTGTCAACGATCATGAGCCCAAGAAACCCATCGTCATCCTAGGCGGTTCTTCCTCTGTGGGTTCATACAGTGAGCGCGGGACTCGCCTCTTTATCTGTATCCTGACAGTATTTTAGCCATTCAACTTGCTCGTCTTTCAGGGTTTTATCCTATCATCACTACAGCATCCCCTAGCAACGAAGACCTTGTCAAGGATTATGGGGCAACCCACTTTTTTGACCGGCACCTTTCCGCCAGCCAGCTGATGGTGGCCATCAACAAAGTAACCGACAGTCCTATCAGGATTGTTTATGACGCTATCTCGCTGCCAGAAACACAGTCCGTTGGATGGGGATTACTAGCGCAAAACGGGATCCTCGTATTAACCCTTCCTGCATTAGTCAAGGAAGATGAAGGCAAGGGGCGCAAGGCCGTTCACACCATCGGGAGCCCACATCTGCCACATAATAATCAAGAACTGTTCCGCAGCTCTTGGGGTATGATCGAAAAGTGGCTCTTAGAGGGTATTATTCAGGTTTGTTCTGCAATCACTGTTTATTCATGTCTCACAGTTATGTAGCCGAACAACCGTGAAATCCTTCCGAATGGGCTCGAAGGTATTATTGGAGGGCTGGAAAGGATGAGAATGGAACAGGTGTCTGGAACGAAGTTGGTCGCTCACCCTCAGGAAACAAAGTAAATATGCATGTTTCGCGGTCGCTAACTTGTGTGTGTTAGTAGTACTAGTATGTACTCGTAAGTCTATTGGCTATCAGTTGGGCGAGGTTCTGAAATAAAGAAAGTACGATTTGCAGTAAAAGCAGAGCAAACCCATAATATGTTGCCAAGTAAAGGAAGAACGGTGCTAGATTGAGCAATGGAATGATGAAGAGGCTTAGAAGAAAAGGGTTTGTGAGCAAATTGACGGCAACTACCTAAAGGTAATTATTGCAAAAAAAAAAAAGAGAGATAGACACCAATGGTCACAATACCAAGCATGTGCAAAAAATTAGTTCTTCTGTCGTCCACTCAGATGTCGTGCGTTTCCAGCATAACGTATTCCGCTCCCTGGACCACAGATAAGGTGTCGTCATGGCTAAGTTGATGCGTATGCATAACCTACATTTTATTCCAGAAATGTGATGAAAAATAGAAAGAAGTCAACATACAGCTGTTCGCCATGTCATGGTGTTAGCAATATCATCGGGGGTAGCAATCATGGGGTCTAATCCGCAGAGGCTAACTATGGCAACAGCGCTCTGAAAACGAGAAATTTGGGATCCCCGTCCAATGGCCCCAGTAATCCATTTTCAAGAACAGAAGAATCATCCAGCACTGACGGTGCTTCCATGATCAAAAACGCGTGGTGTAGAACATCTGGTTAGGCGAACATTCCTCGTCCACAAAGGAAGAATGAACTGGCCAACCTGAGTCTACGGAAAGTAAAGTCGTGACCGCCCCCACTGATCTTGGATGATGTGGGCAACAGGCACGATGCAAAGAGCCTAAGCTCCGCTTTCGTGCGTAACAAAAGCAAGATTCAGGAAGCTTGACGAGAGCCGAATAAACATAGTATCTCTGAAATGAACCTGCGGAGGAGATTTGATGATAACGTCGAATCTCTTTAACGCAGAGAGTAAGCGCCAGCCCGGCATTGGCTCAACCGAGTCGCGTTGCCAATATTTGTCTTGCAGATATTGCCCATAAGCAGTTTTCAATATATCACAGCACGTTGGATAGACGAAGGTAGCCATGTTGTTTCTCAGCTCAAGAATGTTATTCGTAGGTGCTTCCCGAACGCGAACCCATGCTGCGAAACCAGGTATTAGCAAGGCAAAGAAACTCGATAAGCAACTTACACTTCGGTGTCAGTGGTTTGGCCTCTTTGAAAACAGGATGCTCAACAATTTTCTTGCGAAAACGTTTTACATCGCTGATGAAATCGGAATCCACCCATGACATGATCCTTTTCCGAGGGGTAATGAATGCCGAAATGAAGGTGGAAAGATAGAACTGACTCGTTCACGAGCAAACTTGATATACTCAAGTTCTTCCTCGCGGTCATGTGCAGCTTCCATCTCCTATGTAGTACACGTTTTCGCATGCTTTAAATATCAGCTGGATTACAATCTCATACAGCAATAACTAGATATGAACCTCTTCGATCGCTTGAGTTGATGCTTTACCTCGCTGAATGATGAGCTGTGGGTCCTTTTTGTTCTTGCTGGAAAGATCGCGTTTGAGCACCTCAAACTGCGATCTCAAGCAATCACTTTTATTCTTGCACGGTGACTTGAGTCGTGGATTTCTGATCAAGTAATCGTCCTAGAGTTTAGTTATGTGAGCACGATGAGTGATTGGGAAGGTGTCTCTACGCATACCAGGTTTCCAGACATGTAGACCAGCACCTAACTATAAGTTCCCAAATAAGAGGCCTGGCTCCTTTTCCGCGCACATCAAAAGTCGGTTAGCTTGAGTGTACACTGGAGAGTTATTTACGAAGTACATACATAGAAATGAGGATAAACGCCATATTTAAGTATTGAGGCTCGCTCAAATCAGCTAGGCAATCATGAAAGTTTGCAATCTCCCGACGAGCTTCTCGCTAGAGATGAACCGTTGCAGAGGACCTTCGCACGAGTAAACTTCGAAAGGCCTTGGTGATGCGCGAGAGATTCAGAAGGTCCACAAAATATAGGAAACTCAATATCTAAGCATTATAGTTCTTGTGAGCAACATGCGAGGACGTACAAGAAGTTGACGTATAGGATAACTGCCTCTGACCTGGCACAGTATATCCATGTTCATGGATGAAAACAACCCGAATTCTCCCTTTCGTCTTCTCACAGCGACAGTCTTCGAACTACTCGCAACATTTTTGCTTGAACTCCGAGACCGCGTTTGAGTTGGTACGAGCACGTTTCTTCTTAGGCATTTCAGGTTCGGACTGACACTCGGAGCCGTGCGCTGAAGACGTGTCTGAGCCGGCATCTGAGAAATCACTATCCGAGTCTCGCCGCACTCGAAAAGGTTCTCGGAAACATCGCCCACGTCTAAGAGAGGCCCTGGTCTGTACGATTCTGAAGCTCTTGGACCGTCCGCGTCAACCTAGGGAACAAGTCAAGGTTGGTGCCGAGGCTTATTGCGAAACAAATTTAGATGAACCTTTTTGGGCATGATTGGTAAATGGGGAAACACCCTATGCGCAGATACCGATCTAGAAATACAGGACTATGACTTAGTAGGAGAACGTATAGTAGTGGGCGTGGTCATGCTACACTGTGGAATTGCTTTGGAGCAAGTAAATAATGGCTAGCGTGGGACTGTACATCTCAGAACCTGGTTCCCAGCGGTCCCCGACCATAGGTTTGCCCCGGAATGCGCCGCTGAACAGTGATAGTAAGTTTCCCGTCGGGTGCAAACCGCGCACGGACACTAGGCATATCTGCGTCACCGGGTGCAAAATGTGCTTGCCACTCATAGTGACCTAAGATTCAGAGAATGAATGAGACACCGCCATTCCGCCATTTGATAAATAGTGTATGCTTACAATCATTCTCCATGTGCCATGCATCAGCCACGATGTTCAACCTATCTCCCTTTTTGACAGAAACAGTCACCATTTCAGATTGAATGGAACGGGGAAGTACAACGGAAAGAGAGTGCGTTGAGAGAGTGCTCTGGATGACCATTGTTGGTCGAGATTCAGGAGATGGGGAACGCCGCCACCGCGCTGTCGGCGAGGGCGTCGAGCTCGAGTCGCTGGAGGATGAGCTACTGCTCGAATCGATGGATGGGCACGATGAGATAGATGGGAGGCGTGGCTTTTCAAGAGTTGTTTGGTCAACCCCTTTCGATCCTGCAGGGTTCGCAAGGGGTTTAAAAGAGTGCCTGTTTGTGTTGGTGTTTGTCATGACGAAGGGATAAGAGCGTGAAACTTCGGCTACTGTTCCGTCTTTAGCGTCTTTAGAGAAAGGGGTGAATGGAGCGCCTGCGTCTGAAGCAGCGGTCTTTCCCTTAAGTAGCTTGTCAAGTGCGCTGTGGGACAGGGATGAAGTCGGGCTAGTGATCTCGGGCATGAGAGGCATAGAGGGAATATCGTGTGTGCCCCGAAAAGACGAGCTGCATGTCAGGAGGCGCGGATTGTCCGCATGGTAGGGTAGGGTAGATTCGCTGGGAAAACCCCTTGCTGCGCCACGGGACACGAAGAGGCTGATGCTGCGACCACGGTAGATATCTGAGGCCACGATCGAAGTAAAGGAACCGCAGCCGGAGGCAAAAGCGAAAATGAAACTTTAGCTGATATACAGTCAAGTGGTGCAGGATACTAACCAGGGGTTGCTTGATCCGACAACCCGTGAGCGCGTCGGAGAGGAGAAGCAATCCCGATGTTAGTAAGTGATGCAAATTTTTCTGCCTCGCTGGAGCCACGAGGGACCTGTTTGCGAAGGGGAGTAGGTGATGGTGATTGACATTTCCGTCCAGCGGAAGCAGGCTTGTTGTCTGCCAAAGAGAGACTGATTCTGCGCAGGAAGCTGGTGTTCATATTTGTATTAGCGTACGGTGAGGCGGATTTAGGGTTGATATCAGGATAAGCTGGAGGGTAATAGCAATTTCCCAGTCTATTAGATGGTATTTGAAACCAAGGTGCGACATTCGACGATGTCACCCATGAAACACTAGTTCAATTCTAAATCAATCGTATCCACTTGTTGAGCTGAGTAGGACAACTCGTTTACCTCGTGTTCGTGGAGCTGACGAACCCTATAATTAAAATGACGCACTTCGAAGACACCGTGGGCAAGATCCGATCGTTTACCGATCAATCGAGATCCATTCGAATTCTGTCTGATGTATAACTGGGTATAAGTACATCATTCGCATTGCCAGAAGCCTAACCTACCAACTCACATTCATCGTTCGTCACAATTTAGCTCGCATTGTGCAATTTCATCGTTCGGCCAGCTACTACTCAGGCAAGTTGTTCGCAGTTAACCTGTGATCTTTACCCAAGAATCCACGCCACATATGCATGCAGAAGACCGTTTACATTTGATCTGCTGGCAGGTTGTACTATTTAGATAATTAACGGCCGGCACTTGCGTTTAGCTACAGCTGGAACGAAAACTCACAATTGCAGTGTCATTGCTTGCTATAGTGACGAGAAGCAACTTCGAACTCCACGTAATTGCAATTCAATCGTGCTTGACCACGAAATAATCGTGCCACATACAGACTATGCAGTAGTTGCATCAAAAAACGAAATCAACAAAATGATCAAAAGCCTCTCACCTCATCGCATCTCCGAGGAGACTTCGAATCCCCCTAAAACGGGGACTGATTTCACTGTTCCAGTGATTTCTTCCATCACGAATGCCTCGCTACATGGTGATGAAACGGGAGAGACACCACCTACGTCATTATCCACTGCATCAATGCTGATGCTCAGCTTCACCTCACAAAATGTAAAAGTTTCTGTACTGAGTGCTCCCCAGCCAGATCTTTAATAATGTGGGAACGTGCATGACAAGCCTTAAATGACCGTTGATACCTGCAAGAACAACGCATACATAATCAGAAACGTTGTGCAGAAGGAGTACGGAAAAAACGGCTGAAGAAGCAACCAAGTGATTCGCAGCGATGGTAAACTTACTATGTAGATAGCATCACGTCAATCTCCATCGGTTTGACTCGTGCAACACACGAGCTACGTCAAATCAATGACTTCTACGAATACACCGGGCTTCTGTTCTTGCTTCACCTTCTTATTCTTGCGCTCCGTCTCTTTTGTTCTCTGAGAAGTGTGTTCTCCTCGGACCAGATCATTGGATCTGTTACTCCCTACCCTGACATCATTAACAGTAAGGTCAATGATTTCCTGCGATGCCTTGCGTTTCAAGGGTGCTGGTGTTGGTATAACTCCGTTCGCCTTCAAAAGATCTATCAGAAGATGCTATAAGCACAATAAGGAGGAAAACACAGGACACAAACTTCGGTCTCTGTATTTGAATGTGAATACTGCGAGAGGCTGACCAATGCACTGTGACTTGCGCAACATTGTTTGTGGAACTATAGTTTCCTCACCAAGCCTAAATGAGGTATGTGTCGAGCGGTCAGTGTTAAGTTAGGCAACTGGCTTACCCCACACAGTGTGTCACTGCTTTCTTCGAGCGCTCGTGCACTTTGTGTTCAGTTTGAAGACGATCCTGCGAGGGATTGTAGTAATCCCCAAGCGTTACTTTGCAAACTCTGATTTGAATTTGTCCTAAGTCGGCTGATGATGTATCCACGAATTCATCTTCATCTGGACAACAATGAAGCACTTTGTCAATGTAATCACGAAACAGACATACCTGTTAGCCGAACAGTTGAAAACACGAGCGATTTGGTGATCCTATCAGAAACAAACGCGTTGCTAATGTTGATAGTATGATCCGTGCTCCAACGCTCGAACAAGCCACCGTGGCACCCCTGTCCATCAATATAGACGAATGCACCAATGGTATCGACGCCAGGGGCAGAGGTGTTTTGACAATGCACAGAAAACTCCTGAGCACCAGACATTAGATGAGCTAACAGCGTGAAGGTGAGTCACCTTGCCAGCTTCCGACGCGATCCAGCATGTCACTTCGTTGGTGGCCAAAGATGTCTCCACAGCATAAACTTCCAGCGGCTGTCCATCAACCGAAACCCATGCGGTGTACTCCTGATGTTTCAGCATATTTGAGGGTGTTACTTGTATAAACTGTGCAGGAATGAGATGAAGTTTGGATGAGGCGCCGCACAGTATTTGCCCCTTGGTGCGGTATTGCCACCGATGATTACGTGAGTTGCCTTTTGCACCGAAGTTTTGTGACGTTACTTTAGCCCCATGCCCCACCCCAGGGCCATCTTTCGGGCACCGTCAATCCTTTACAAGACTAGAATGGCTTCGACAACGTCAGATAAAGCGACCCCTGAGCGGCGGGCTGAGCTTTTGCAGAATCTCGCTGAAACCAATACTTGTTTCGCGGAAGCCTCGAAATCTCTATCTCACACTCCGACACTGGTAGCTGTATCAAAGACCAAACCGGCATGGATGACTCGTGCTTGTTACGAGGAAGGCCAAAGGGATTTCGGAGAAAATTCTGATATCGATCTAGTGAACAAGGCGAAAAAGGTTAGTATTTGCTACATGGTGACTGAGAAGGAACCGACTCGCGACTGATAGCTGGCAGACCTTGACAATATTCGATGGCACTTCATAGGTGTGATGAAGAAGACAGACGGAGACGACCTTCGGAGGCAAGCAAGGATGAAAGCACTTACAAGTATGTGCTTTGGAAGTTATTCCGATTCTTTCCGTAACGGTCATTCTGAAAATTAGCGGTGTTGAATCTTCACGCCATCCAGAGTTTGACTAGCATCGAAGATGCTGATATCTATAACAATGCCATACCCGCTGACCGCAAGACATGTCTCAACATGCTCTTGCAAGTCAACACGTCCGGGGAAACCCAAAAGTCGGGACTGCAATATTTGGATACCGAAATTGAAGCTGCCGACTCCCCGCTATTCAAGCTTGCCAGCCACATCATTGAACACTGTCCCAAATTGCACTTCCAAGGACTGATGACTATTGGCTCGCAGACGGAATCTCTAGCGTCGTCGGAGCGGCCAAATCAAGATTTCGAGACGCTGAAGAAGACCAGAGATGTATTAGAAGGGATGCTTCGAAGCAATCCATCATTCAATGGGAAATGGGGGGACAACGGGGAACTGCTGCTCAGCATGGGCATGACGGCCGATTTTGAGGCGGGCTTGCGAGCTGGCAGCCACATCGTCAGAGTAGGGACTGGTATATTCGGAGCAAGACGTATGAAGTAAAATTTATAACTAGTTCGTTTTGTTGTATTCCTGACGTGACAATCAATTGACCTTGGACGCGCTCAGTCACGCTCCGTTTGTTGATCAAATGTTTCACGTGGGAATTATTCATTCAAACTCCGCCTACCTAGGTTCCCTCCTCCGTTGATCATCGTCGCCGACGCCGACGCCGGGATCAACGGCAACGACGAACAAATATACGTCTACGACCTTGAGCTCTTGTATATTGACCGAAATTCATGAACAGGACCATTACACACGCTGTTGGAGGACTCGAAAACCCAATGACACCCGCAGACCCCAAACCACCAGGAAAGCGGAAAGCAGTCGATGATGCTAATCCACTCGCACAGGCAGCAAAGAGGGCAAAGAGCCAGGTATGTTATTTGCTCCTTGTGCACACTTTGCTTACTGAATGATGCGTCACAGCCGAACGGCGCGTCCAAACGAAAGTGTAAGTGAGAGTTTCAAGGCAAGTCGCGTGAAATACTTATACATCGCGTCTAGACATTGGTGAGGAACAGCCAGGTGGGCTTGTCATTGTACGCGCGCCGATATCGCGTCCTTCAACTCCGCAGAACAATTATTCGTCCTCCCAGCCATCGACCACAACTACGCGAGCACCATCTCGTCTTCCCTCGTCTCTTTCGCAACATATTCCCTCGAGCTCCATAGCTGGGCCGTCCAAACCACCAGCTAAGAGGTTCAAAGCTGACTCGTCACGCGCACCTACCAGTGCCAAACCACGCGATGTACCATCTTCGACGCGTGAGGAACCAGAATTGGATGAGGATATCAGGCAGATGGAATCTGAGACTGTTCATCTTCGTCAACGATCACGCGCCAAAGATGCGATTGACCCCTCATTCAAATTCCCCCCCTCTACACCTAAACACTCCTCCCGGCGATACCCCTCTGATGCTCTCCACACACTACCCGACAGCGAAACCCCACAAATAGAGCGCAACAAATTACTCCGCGAAGGGGTGCCCCTTCCCCCGCGTACCCCACAACAAACAAGGACACCCCAACACTCTCGACGAACATCAATGAGCGCGCGCGGCAAGCGTATAAGCACAAGTTTTGAAAATACTGGTGTCATCGGTGTGTCTTTCCTTCTAATAAACTACCTTTGTTTCCTTCTACATTTCCTCGCGCCTCATTGGGTTCTGATTATTTTTATTAGCTCAACCACATGCTACCGTATCTGATTCGAGCTTCTATAAACACATCGACTGCGACCTTCCTGATCCGCAACGCGCACGTCAGCTACTCGTTTGGTCGGCTGCTCGAGCTATGACGAGAATATCTGAGGCATTAACTTCTTCAAGTCCAAAGTCTCAGTCAAAATCCAAAGCATCAAGTAGCGGAAGTGGCAAAGATCCACCTCCGCTTGATGAGCGCAGAAAGCAAATTATGAAGACCGTGCAGGACGACTTCATTCGCATGCTTGCAGAGAAGAAGATCGATACGCCTGTTTATGGCCATGGTCCGGACGGGCTGGCTGGTGACGAGCGAAATTTGAAGCCAAATGAACAGAATGTGAAAAATAAAGAGCGGGAGATCAAGTTTCGCGAGCATATCGAGCGGTTCGTTGTTAGTCTTCATCCACAGCCGTGAGCAACTGACGATTTACCCACTACACAGCGCAGAAGCAGAAGCCGATGCGTGGACTCAAGCAGACCACTTTTACAACTCTTATATCGCCAACTCCAAGGCGGATCTGGAGAGACGACGTCAAGCTCTGCAGCCCCCTTCGTCTGCTAAAGCGAAAGGCAAACAACGAGCCGCTTCACAAGAGCCGCTGGATGATTGGGGGTGGCTGCTTCCTCGTGAGGACGAACTATCGGACGCTTTCCGAGAGAAGATTGATCCCGATCTCATCAAACGCATAATGTCTGATGTGAGATCAGATTCGGGGAATATCCTCGACGAACGAATAGCGGGTGTCCACTTTAAGGTGGACAGTCTGTTCTCATTCGTCAACTCCGCAGTTCAGACGACCAACGTAGCCGAGTCAGAACTGGACTATCGTTTCTCTTTGCTGTCACTGGCGCTCTCGACTCGATCGCGTTCCCTTCCTCCCTCATCACATAGTTCTTCCCTTTCGTCACATCTACCTCTGATACAGGGAGGCTTGAATCAACATCTACCTGAAGACCAACAAGATCTTTTCCGTGCGCTATCACGAGTAGATATGGACCGCCCGCCAGCCAAAGTTGGGGACGCTGCGTGGCGCGCTGTCCGAGAAGTGCAACGGGTAAAAGAAGGTGGCGGATTCGTGGGCGAGCGGCGGCTGACAGGGTTGCCATCTGGAGTTGGTGCAACACCACGCAAGATTCCAGGAACGCCTCGGCGGAAGGAGCGATGACGATAGTGTTTTACTCTCCCCTGCGGCACTTGCGCATGTTGGTGTTTGTATTAGCTATTCCTTGTGTCCGCAGGATGCGGACTGTGATTCTAAGGAAGGTGTACCAGATGCAACACCACGTGTATCTTATTCTAAGTAATATTGTGGTTTTTGCATGAAACACTGAGGTGTAGTTTCAGTCCTTTGTACTTGCTACTCAGTTTGTACCAGCAGCTAACTGGCCGTGCCACGCTATCATTATCGAAATGCTCTATGTATTCTTAGTCTTCCTGCTCTGAGTCCTACATAAATGGTACGCGCATGTGTTGTCACATCACTGGAAATTGATTCGGCTTCGGATCTGGTCCTAGATTCTCGCACTCTTTTTCTTGGACTCTCATAAGTAGAACTTCAACCAGAAGGCCATCGTAGACCCGCTTGGCCAGGGCTTCCCATTTCATTACTCTTCATGATCTGTGCTCGTCACGTTTTTCGGTGCTTCAAATGGCTTGAGCGGGCTGGAGACCGCATCACAGGCGCAGCAGGCCCATATTTCGTTGGACTTGCAGTAATACTCCAAGCAATTGGAACAGCCAGCTTTTGTGTGTGATTTGCAGTTTAATCGTATACACTCACCTAACTTTCAACGTTTCAACTCCAGTCACGGTGATTCAACCCAGCCTTCCCCTTCCTTGGCTTACCACGCCCCCTTGCATACTCATTGCACTCAACCTCTTCACGCATTACTACTATGTATGTACGGTGCCACCTGGATTCGTCCAAGATGAGGTCTCGCAGCCAGGGAGAGGTCGACTCTGGGCCTCGCCTTCTCAACCGACGAGCTCTGGAGTTCGGTGGTCCAACCGTAGTATCACGCTATTGCAAGCGAGCACCACTGCGTGTAGGAAGTGTAGATTGATGCGCCCAGAAGTGAGTGCGCCTACTCTGACGTGGGCCAGGACGCTGACCTATACTTCCCGGAGAGGGCCCACCATTGTCGGATATGTGGCCGGTGTGTGATAAAATATGATCATCATTGTCCTGTAAATGCTGGCACAATTTCTTCGTGGGGTATTGCTCACCCATGGCTTGATTATTCTACAGTGTGAGACCCTTTTACTTTGGCTTGATCGTCCCTCTTATCTCCTGCAGGGATAAACCAATGTGTTGGGCTAAATAACGAGAGGCATTTCGTCCTTTTCATGTATGTTCCACTCTCTTTGCCCAATTCGCAGCTCATGCACTTCCATTAGGGCCTACCTAGTATTATCGACCTTCTTCTTGAGCATTCTTGGCTACTCTCAAGCGCTAGAGGCAGTCGGCCTCACATATTCTGTGCGTCCTCCCGTCAATACCATACAGCCAATTCTCATTACATATAATAGAATCACTGGCCGTATATGGTGCCACAGCTAGCCTATATCCTCACCTACATGCTCTCTGTTGTTCTTTGCATTGCGGTGTTTATCATGCTCTGCTGGCATCTATGGGGTGTCACTCGTGGAGAGACTACCGTCGAAGCACAGGATCATGAGGTCTACAAGCGCATTGCAAAGAACAGAGGCGATGTATGTGGTTTTATCTGGCACAATCATTCGCATACTGATTCGCTGTGCAGAATTTTGTAAATTCTTACGACCTTGGGTAGGTGGATGTTAGACTGTCGTGCATAGGCGTAACACCTTTTATTTATATAGAAAGAGCACTAACCTGCGCCTTTTCTTCAATATTGGTCCGGACGGATAGTAAATTGTGACCTTCTCTTATTTTACTCGTCTAATCTCCTCTCAACAGCCCGTGGTATACCCTCATTTTACCCCTACGAATAATGCCCTACACCGATGGCCGTTCGTGGGCACGACGCGAAGGATTCCAGAGACACCAGGGGATTCAAGAGGGAGAGGAATTGACGGATGACGATGAAGACGATAACGAATAGGCTGGTGGTTTATTTGTTGTGATATATTCACCGGTGAGTTTACAGCCTATCTTTCATAATTGATGATGAGGTTCGCCGGGGCCATATGACTCTTTGGAAGTGTGTTTATCACCTTTCGAAAGTTGTTTGATTTACGTCCGGCTGGGTTTGCCTTTCAGGCTTATCCTTTTATCTGATCTGACATGGTTGCTGCCGTCATTGTGTATCTCATCACTGACGAGTGGACATTGCAGGAATAGATTTGAAGATTCGATCAATGTGATTCCTTCGTGTTGCGCGAATATACCTGATAGCCTGACGTGTCTTGATCTCTTTACAGACACTAGTAGTTATGCTAGGACACTCCCTGACAGTCTTATGAACACCGATGATCTATACCCCTCGTGACCCTTGCGATTTCAAGTCCCAACAGGTCTCGTTTTCTCATACACCACATACAGTGTTTGTCACATTTTTCAGGCAAGGGTATCAGGCGAGGGTGATCCCTAAGCTTCAGCTCTCGGACACATGCGACAATATCACTCAATGATCAACCCTCGGTAACAGTTTGAATTATCAAGTATATTGCATTATCCTAGTGATCGATGATACCCACTTCTTCCGCCCCAAATACTAATGCAATGCCGTCCTTTACTCCTAGCCATGGCTCACAAGATGAAACATCTCTTCTCCACCATTTGCTGCTTCTCGGTTCATCCATCCCAATTAATGTGTCCCGGGGCAGATAGAATAAGGCCGGGCCAGTGACATGACAGAAAGCAGTAGGTAAGCATTTGTCTAAGTTGAGAAGCCAACACTTACATCGCCAACGAGATATTTCATCCTCGGCAAGATCGCGTCGTTAGCCTTGAGCTTTCTGTAAAGCACGCTACCAGCTCAGGCGCGCGCCTTGTGTTTGGCTTCTGGCCTCGCAATCAGCGCCGGAGTGGGTCTATCTGTGAGCGCCATCTGGGGCAAATGGACCCTTGAAGATATTCTCGTCCGCAAATTCCATTATCGAAGTTCGTCGCCTCGATCGATGCGGATGACTCGAAGAGCGCCTCTGTCTTGGGCTCTGTGCGCTGCAGAACCTGCGTGCCCTGCGCTGTGTACTTCTTTTGAGGTACCACAAGACTCCTAGAGGATGAAGTCGGCATCGTCCTAACCAGCTCACTCCGAGTCCTGGTCTATTTTGTGAGAGTTTGGCAAAAATCGTACCACAGTGCACCTGGCCGAATGCCTACACCCTCGTGTGTGCTTCGTACTTGTGCACGTCCACCATGTGTAGTTCATAGCATTAATGTTCTTCTCCCCGCAGACAAGTGCCCCATACCCATGCCATGCTTTCCCCACATTAATATCTCGGCGAGATGACTGGGGGTACGTGGTCGAATCGCTAATTTCGTTGCCAACACATTGCCCGTTACTGATGTACTCCCTGTCATCATGCATGGTTGGCGGATATACCACCTTGATCGGCGAATGATAATTTCAGGCATCACTATAATTATTCGAGCCAGGGTCCGTGTACGCAATAAACCGATGGGGAAAATGTGGGGCTCAAAGGCAATGTTGATGCCATTGGGTTGAACGCTGCGTTGAGATATGTGGAGTGATGCCTCGTGTTGATGGCGATGGCGATCAATGGACGAATGTCTGTCGTGTGTCCTCGATTTACGAAGCTCAGAGGCTAAATGAGCAGGCGGCCGATATGATCGTGCTGATGTGGAGATGAACAGCACAAGGTTTGAATGCATGTGGAATAAATACAGAATATTGGCATTAGTAAAGTAAGTTCATGATCATCTTCCATCCTGGTACTAATTCTAGACATCATCCAAAACCTTATGGGCGTGGCCCTAACACATCGAACACTTCCTTCTCTCTGTCTCTAAATGCCTTGATCCTACTGATCGACAGTCCGAGGGCGTTCACCCTGTTTGCAAACGCCACAGCCCGTCCCTCCAAGCTCCTTTTACGCGCCCTGCTCCCATTATCCGCACAATCCCCGCAAACACGTACACCATCGATGATGATGACCTTCACGCGCTCAAATCTAGGTTCTGGTATATCCGCATCACCTCTCTCGATGACCTTGATCGTCGCCTCGTTGTCTTCATCCTGCATCACCTGCGCGTCCCGGCCAACGGCAATGAGCTCCATCATGAACGGCCGCAGTGGCTCTGGACAGGCATTCGGCGTGAGCTTGTGCCCTCCAGGTTCTCGTGCACTGACACACATGATCGCGTTTTGATCGGGGATGATGATGCCCTGCGTCGTGGCTACCTCGAGAATGGCAAGGCTGACAGCGGCAAAATGGGCACGCGGGGGATCATGTCTGAATAGCCGTGCGAGCGGATGCGGGTTATGACTCGGAGAGGCTGTGATTTGCTCCAACACGGCTGCGAGTGCGGAGTAGAGTGTTTCACGGATGAAGTCGATTTCAGGGGTATCTTGGGTGAGGATCGTAGGGGAAGGAGTGCGCGAGGGAAATGCAGACAGAACAGATGATGGAGACGAAGGAGACGGGGACTTCTTGTACCCATATCCGGATGACTCGGGGGAAAGCAAGTCTGAATAAACAGGCGGTGGTACGAAGCTCGTCTTGACCTTCAAACCACTGCTTGATGAGCCTGCATCTAACGCAGCCTGCAGATCGCTTGCATATCTATCCTGAAAAGTGCGCCTCTGACTGATTTCAATTGCCACAGCACGTAGATCAGCAGCGATGCCGGCGCACTCGGTGTTTGCAGGGATAGAGATAGGTGGAAGGTTACAAATGATGCGTGCAAGATCATGCTGATCATGGGGTACAAGGCCCTGGATGCGCGGCACCGTAGCACCCCAGACGGCTAGAAAACCGAGAAATGCAGGAGGGCAATTATCTGCCGAAAGTTCGAGCGGCGGTGCGGACTTTGTAGCACGAGGAAGTGGTACAGACGGTGGGTTTGTTGTGCATCGGAGTGCAGCAAAATACAAGCATAATGCTGGGCCTGTCACATTGACGTCAGAGTGATCATGGACGATGACTTAGTATTGCTGCGCACCAGATATCATGAGATCTGCTTCTGCAGACGCTAAAACTTGGTCCTCTATCAGTCTCTCTGCTTTTGCTTGTGTGAGGGAGGACTTGAGATAAGTGTGAAAGCTGTTTTGAACATATTCTTCGTCGAGCTTGGATGGAGGCATAAGTGAACAAGGTTAATCTTGCTGTGCTAATAAGATTAATTTATGTAAAAATTATATAAATACTAACAAAAATATCTACTTAACCGCGGAACAACAAAAAGCTTGCAGCCAAGACTCCACGGAAATTCTTGTCATGGAGCTCTTGTTATATACTCAAAAGTACGTCATGGTCCATCATCCCCTTCTTCTTCTCCCCCATCATGACCTCCTACCTTCAAACAGCAGGTACAAAGCTCTTTAAAAAAAACCTCGAGCAATACCAACCCGAAGACCCGCTTTACGAGGTTTATACTGATAATCGCGGCAAACAGCGCCGCAGAAAGGTCTGCCCTAACCCTCCCCTTACGTTGCACTTTAATCTTATTATTTTCAAGCGCGCGATACCTCCCGGCCTTTCAGCGCGTGATGCAAAGATTCTCAAGTCGGTCCAGCGCCGCGCTCATTACCTAGACAAAGGCTTCTCGATTTGTGGCCTTCGATTTGGCTGGACCTTCATCATTGGCATCATCCCTGGCGCTGGCGATGTTGCGGATGTCACGCTCAATTATTTCCTGGTCGTCCGCAAAGCACGACAGGCTGAGCTACCAGGTTGGCTCGTGCGCCGCATGCTCCTCAACAATGTGGTATCAGCTTTGAGCGGCCTGGTGCCCGTAGCGGGCGACGTTGTCATGGCCGTGTTCAAGGCGAATTCAAGGAATGCCGCTCTTCTAGAGGAATTCCTCAGGATAAGAGGGGAAGAATTTTTGAAGTTGCAGGCGGACCAGGAGCAGGGAAGGAGTCAGAGTGTGCCCGAGAATGATTCGCGTCAGGTCAAGCCTGGCGCAGGCATGTCAGACGATGCGGCAGCGACTGCGCCGCAGCAGAAGACTAGGTTCGTGTCTTGGAGCCGCAAAGACAAGCAGCGCGCCTCTTCCCCCGGTGAAAAGGGAAGGTTCGTTGAGGATGTGGAGCTAGGTGCCGTAGCGCACGGCGGAGGGGCGGGGACCAGTGCTGTTACGGTGCAGAGCAGGTGATGTTATCGTGTCACTCGGTTGGAGGTTTACGATCTACGTTCTGATGTGATATACACGAACTTTTGGGACTCATTTTCTACCCGGATTGCTCTCTATAATAACATTATATACCTGTACAAGTTTGCCTGTACTGTAGCTATGCGTAGTTAGATTTGTCTGTTGGTTAAGGGGATCAATCATCGTGAGGACCTAATGTAAATCTGGACCAGTCTTGGATGTTAGAATGAGTTACTGCGCAAGCTATACTTCTCGCGGACTACCTCTCCGAGGATCCATCGCTAATATAATTATAAAGTACCTCCGGTATCGCCATCGAGTATATATGTCACTCGATCAATCAAACTGAAAAAAGGTTGGACTTGCTCAAAGTTCCAAAGTAGATTAGTGAGGACAAGATGATGCACAGATACCAGGAGCGTTGTCAGCTTCCTCACAGCAACATCGCGCGTCATGACGACTCTAGCCTTCTGCACGCAGTTTCCAAGCTACCCATAAAAGCCTAGTCTCGAAGAGGCTGGGCGCACAGTGCGTATATAGAGGGCAGCACAGATCACCACAACGATAGTCATTGAATTCCTCCACCCTGCAATTACAATCACAATGGTTCTCAAGATACACGGCCATGCTGTCGCTCCCCTCGTCAGACTCGTTGCAGAAGTCTGCCGAGAGAAGGAAGTGCCGTACGAGCTTGTGAACGTGGAAGTCTACAAAGGGGAACACAAAACGCCTGCCTTCAGAGAGTTCCAACCATTCGGACAAGTCCCCTACATAGTCAGTGAATCATTTGAACCCAGTACTGACGGCGACAGATGCTGATACAACAGTGACCAGGATGACGATGGATTCGTTCTCTACGAATCCAGAGCCATTTGCAGATACATTGCAAAGAAGTACGCATCACAAGGCACTCCAGATCTTGTGCCCCATGACCCAAAAGCGGAGGCAATCTTTGAACAAGCGGTGTCAATCGAAACGTCGAACTTTTACCCGTTTGCATTGGGTATTACCACGGAGAAAATTATCAAGAAGTAGGTGACCCTAACAATCCGCGGAGTTCGTGGCTGAAGCGTTTTCAATAGACATCGTGGCCTAGAACCAAATGAAGCCAGGATATCCGAACTGCTGAACAACTTGAAGGCAAAACTTGATGTGTACGAGGTTATACTCGGAAAACAGGCATATCTTGCAGGAGGTGTAAGTAACGAAGATTGTTGCGACCGTATGGCTTGCTCACGAGAGGAATTTTTATCAGAACGTTACCTTGGCCGACCTATTCCATCTTCCGTATGGGACAGTCGTATTCGAAGAATTGGGGTACGACTTGTTGGAAAATAGACCGAACGTAGCAAGGTGAGGGCCCGTTTCTAAAACAGAGATTATTGAGGGCAGATGACTCACCAACTCATGGCAGGTGGTGGAAGGAGATTACTTCGAGACCTTCGTGGCTCGCGGTCAAAGCCAAAGCTTAACCAACATTAGCGTTATTAGAAGTCGTTTATGTAAGATTTATGTAGGAGAAGCAAAGAATCTGATTGAACTTCACGTCAAAAACGTTGTCCGTTCTATGTACCTAAGTAGGTGCGGGGAACATGGAGGAAAGGCGGGGCATGTCAGTAGCACACCCGGCATCTGCCGCACATTCTTACGACTTACGTACTCGCAAGTTAGGGTGGACTCTGGTCAAACTCTGGTGGACTTCAAGTGCCTTTGCGGCCGCAGGTCTCTGTCCTCGGCCATCGGTCTTGGTCCTTGGTTCGCTCAGAACGTCAGTTGGTAGTCGTCGACTGATAGACGGCTTGTTAGTAAGTTATTAACAGTTTATTTGGCAACAACCTCTGTTCTCAACGACTCTCGTTTACTCTTCAGTACTCCTACTACTATCAAGTTGTTAAAATAGGTTCACGCCTCACTTTACCCAATAACGATGCACGAGTGATGATCCCGATTGAAGGAAATAGGTGTTCTGGACACCGCCTTACAAAGGAGGCTATAGATGATTAGTATACGCTCACAGTGAGGACCCTTTCTTGGTGATCTTTTGCCCTGAATTTGTCTACCGTTGCAGTCATCCATTTTTTCACACATGTCACGCCCTAATTTCTGTCTCGTGTGCTACAGATCACGTCTCGTGATAAAGGAAAATGCATGTTATCAGTTGTTGTGCGGAGGTGCGAAATTTTCATCGATGTGCTGCAGATCACGTCTTCGTGATAGGGATAAAGGGAGGTGCATGTTCTCAGTCGTTGTATAGAGGTGCGAAAATTTCATTGATTTCCGTGTACTGCATGTCACGTCTTCGCGATAAAGGGAGATGCATGTTCTCAGTCGTCCTGTGGAGGTGCGAAATTTTCATTGGTTTCTATTCTCAACACTACAATCTCTCCTGTCTTTGACGATATCTATCTACGTCAAGTCCTCTTGTAGAGGTGCGAAATTCTCGATGATTTCATTCTCACCCCGTCTGCAGCCCTCGGACGTCTCAACACCTCTCGGGTTTGACAACATCTCTACATCAAGTATCTCTCACGCGATTTGGATAAGTAGAGAATGAAGTTCTTGTTCATCATAAGGCATAAGAAACTTTCGTTCCCTCGCACAATACACAACTTCATCTCTCAATCTATTCAAAATGGTTTTGAAGCTCTACGGATTCACCACCTCGACATGCACGCTCCGTGTGGCAGTGGTGTTGAAGGAAAAGAATGTACCCTTCGAGTTCATTCCCGTTGATTTGCTCAACGGTGCACACAAGGCCCCCGACTTTACTGCCCACCAGCCTTTTGGTCAAGTCCCTTACATTGTACAGTCATTGCTTTCTTATCTAGAATAAATGTTGATATGTTTTATTTAAAGGATGACAATGGTTTGATTCTCTATGAATCGAGGGCGATCGGTCGGTATATCGCTGCGAAGTACGCTTCGCAGGGAACCCCTCTCCTTCCCACCGACCCCGTCGCCAACGCGTTCTTTGAGCAAGCTGCGTCAATTGAAACATCCAACTATGACCCTTTTGTCTCCGGATTGGCATGGGAGTTGAAATTCACCACGTAAGCACCAGCCACCTGCAACGCGCTGTTTATTCTACAACTTTCAACACAGGTGGTTCGGAGGGAAGACCGACGAAGCCCGTGCTAAATTACTGCGAACTCAGCTTTCTGCTAAGCTTGATGCTTACAATGTCATCCTTGGCAAGCAGAAATACCTGGCTGGAAACGTAAGTGCCTGCGTTAATGGACGCTGAATTGCTACTGACTCAGAGATAGGATATTACACTGGCCGATCTGTTCCACCTGCCCTACGGCGCCGTCGTTCTAGATATTGGTGTGGACGAGTTTAGCAGCCGCCCCAATGTTGCCAGGTTGGTTATTATTATTCGTTCGACGGATCATATACTAACGAATCTTGGGATAGGTGGTGGAAAGATGTCTCGTCCAGGGCATCCTGGGAAGCAGTGAAGGGAGGTATCTGATCGATGGAGAAAACGACCAGTTGATCTAAAATAATTGCACGACATGATGTAGTATCAGATCTTGTGATTATCGATCTAAGCTTACCCCCCCCCCCCCATGTCACGGTGTGTAACAGTAAGTACTTTGCATGGATCAAAGGCCTGGGAGTTGCCTGCCAGGGAGTAGCTCAGCGGTTACCGGTCCATTAGATTGCCTCAGCAAGCTTAGGAGTACGGTCCATTCTGAGCGATTACATCAGCAATTAAACGCGACTCTGATTCCAAGTCATTGTCATTGTGAATCTTCGGTGACACCGACTCCCATGGATGATTTGACTGTCGAAGACGAAAAGAAGCCTTTCGAGGCCGAACACAACGATGAAGACACCCAGCCAGACCCTGATGAGGAGCTAATGCTGGACAAGGGAAACGGGAGAGTATGGCTTGTTAAGGTGAGCGCCCCCCGCCCCATGGCTATTGAAAGAAGGGTAGAGAATGCTACTTCTACCCTCTCGGAGCCTCTTGCTTTCCGGGCTTTCTAATGCTCGTTTGCGACCGAAGATACCTAAACACCTCATGGCCCGTTGGGCGGCCATTGACGCGGAGGATATTCATCTTGCCACAATCCGGGTGTACAAAGATGCTGTCAGCCCATCTGGTCGATCCCCTCGCATCTTCTTGTTCCTACCGCCTAACCCGAATGACTCAACCCCACGGGATCTCAAACTGCCGGTCTTTTCCCCGGACGCAGCTTTCATACCTTCTGGTGATGGTGACATGCAAGTAGACAGATATGAACTTGAAATGGTCAATGAGGACGTTGAGAATCAGCTGGTAGTTGCTGAACGCCCCAAAGACCCTGGACCTTCTGGACAAAACTCGGCCTCGTATAATCCTCGAGCTAGAACGACCATTCTAACGGGTCGCATTAAGCACGAATGTAATTTGCGTCCACTTTTCAACGAGTCATACAGGCAACAAATGCGCGAGCGAACTCGGAAATACAATACCCCACGAAGGCAGATCCGCATGATAGAAGAGGCTGGCGTTAGCCGTGGAGGTATCAACAGGTTGAGCAGTGGAGTCAACTCGGGATCGTTCGCGGATATGATTGTCCGTTGTTTGCTTATTCAGATCGTCAACGACGGCTAACCCGATCTTATAGAAATCCAGACAAAAGCCTGCCAAGGGCACATTTGAGCGTATGGCGCGTATGCCACGCAACCAACTTCTAGATCTTCTCTTCACACTCTTTCGCGAGCAACCTCGGTGGAGCATTAAGCCACTGCGCGAGCGCACCCAGCAGCCCGAGGCATATCTCAAGGAGGTCCTTACTGCTATTGCTACCTTGAATAGGAGCGGAGAGTACAATGGAATGTGGGAGCTGAATGACGTGTTCGCCAAAGAAGGGGTACGTGGTTTTAGTTATAGTCGTTTTTTCAAAACTGAAGTCTCGAGAATAGATGAAATCTGAAAACGTCCCTGGACCAAGTTCTATTCCAGAAGGTGATATCGGGATGGATGAATATGATGACGACGAGGACGAGGATGACGACATGGAGGAGGTTTCATAGGTTTGGCTCATCACGGACAGATTTCGATGCTCCTTTCCGCTCATTACATACAGCTGTTGTGAAAGACTGATTTGGAAACTTTCCGTTAACAAACACAGTTGTTGAACCAGTTCGCCTGTGTGAACTTCACAGCTCGGCTCCGAACATGGAATTTGATGGGAGACTAGGATATCATAACCTTGACCACTACTATGAATATCCCGTCGTTACTTGGTGACGGTCAGGGTCATTATAGAGTTCATGTTGTGGGCAATAGTGGTGCGCCCCCGTCGTTTGCTCATGGCCTCATTGCTTGTTGACTCATGAGTGTTTGTTAGGCACTGGCAAGGTGAGCTCAGACAAATTATTCTTCAAGATCCTAGAATTAATTCTTTGAAGTCGACCGTAAGTGCGTATATTGCCACTAAACTCGATGTGCCACATATCTCTTTGGATGCACTTTTCTGGGGACCCGGGTGGGTAATGCCTTCGAATGATGAGTTCAAGGAGAGAGTTTCCACTGCGATGACACGCCACTCCAAGGGATGGGTCATCGACGGCAACGGCAGTGAGAGCGCCACGCTGATATCGGATCATGCAACAGATGTCATTTGTACGTCTTTTTGGCTTATCTACTCTTATATTGGCGTATCATATCTGCGCCCTCTCGTTTTAGGGCTTGATCCCCCTCTATGGTTCTACTTGCCACGAGTCTTTTGGCGTACGCTTCTTCGCCTGTTGAACATAATCCCAACCTGTGCGGAAGGGTGCGACGAAACTTGGGGAGAGGTGCTATCTACGAAAGGTATCATCTGGTACTGCATTTCCCGCCATAAGTATTCCAAGCGCAAGTTCGGCGAAATGCTCGCTCATACCTCGATTGAAAAAGGAGGGAAGATGAGGCGCCTGAATGAGTGGGACGGCGATTTGACGCTGTGGAAGGCTGGCCTCGAGGAGATGCTGCGCACACACTAAGTAGTCTACTCGTAATTGATCTTCCCCGTGCCGAAATCCGAGTCATAATGTCAAACCTGGTCTCACTGTTCTACGTACCGAATATGCATTATTTTTTTCGGGTAAAAAACATTTAGAATATAGCTTGTGATAAAAGAGTATCATAACATTTACATAGAGGCCGCTAGGGCTTAAAGCATGCGCTGAATGAGTTTCCTATTGAAATCCCGCAACCGAACAAGTCTCATAATTCAAAATAGGGTCGCTTGTTGAGCTCCACCAAATTTCTAATTTCTGAATCGTTGGGCGGCAAGTTCCGAAATTTGGGAGGCCTGGTATGACTGGCTGACTGCCCCGACCTTTTTAAGAATATTCCTCTGGAGTCTGGTCCAAGTCTAGGTCAACCCAAGGCCAACCCGTGTAAATATGCTCGGGGTCTAATATCATATCACATTCCAGAACAGAACAAAAAAATATCGTAATTCATGCAGATTCTTGGCAGAATATTAGCATCACCCTGACTTGAACCCTGAAAACGTACTCGTCCTAATCGGACGAGAATAAAATGCGGATGGGCTCCCAGCATCTACTACTAATATGAGAGCGTTGCGGCATCTTCCCAGTCTATCGGCCCCCTCATCGCTTGAAGGATCTCAGCAGCACACATTGATTGTGTCCAGCAAGATGGCCCTTACCGTCGCTGGCATCTCGTAGGTTTTGGAGTTCGTCATACCCGCTGGTCTTACCAGCGTACTCACTCAGGTTTGGCCCCTTGCTCGCAGGCTTTGCCCTTAACACAATTTTGTACGGCGCGCTGGTCACATCAGTACTCTTATACTTTTCTTCCTTCAAAAGGTGAGTAAATGTGATCAGATTCTAGTATGAATGTTCACTTTATGATCAATTCTCTGCCAGTGACGGTGGATGGATACGACTTCTTGTATGAGGCATCTTTTAACTGGGTAGACAGTTGGTTGATTTTACTCTCAGGTGTCAACCCTTTTGCTGTTATGCACAGCCAATGTGATCCTGGAGTATGTCTTCTTGAATAACACCCTTATTATTCACTTTGGTGTGTCCATTCCTATTTATACTAGATCCAGAGTCCAAACGGGTTGTTGCTACAGGGGATCAATATACTCTGTCCAGAGCCAACTGGGGTGTGTTATTTCTTGATTATTCGTCCAATGTGGTTATCTCATTTGTCATTTTCAGTCTTCTCCTTACGTGCGTACTTCTCTTCGATGGTCACCTGTTAGCATGTCAGTAATCGCCTATACCATTCCTAGTACCTGGCATCACGGTATCTTTGCTTCGATTTTAAGCTTCTTTCGCTGGCTGACGATGCACAAGGGTGTTATATCCACCCTCGTTCAGCTTTTCTTCGCCTGGAGAATCCGCGTTTTGACGTCTAGTGTCTGGCTAGTCGGGATCATCGTCTTTCTCGCGAGTGCTGCATTCCGTGGGTGGTCTGATTGCTCGAACCCACCGTTATTGTCTCATGGCTGCTAGTTTGTGGCATTGGAACCACAATTGCAATAAACATGGTGCCTGTGTTCACCCAGTTTCATAGATTCGAAGTCGTATTTGTCATCGGCCTTGCCTCTTCTGCTCTGGATAACCTCCTGATTACCGGGTTGCTTGTCCGTTCCCTGGTCCGTTGTTGCTGGTTTCGATAAGGCTATACATGCGTTAACATGCTACAGAGAGAACATAAAACTGGTTTCATGGACACTGATCATATCATCAAAAAGATAATACGAGGTACGAGACTTCTAGTCGGTTCCTGTGCTACTGAGCAGGAAATTGGTATTTTAGTCACTCTACAGACCGGTCTGTTAACAGCAATATGGACCCTTGTTGATCTAGCCGTATATATAGCACTTGTGAGTCCGTTCCCTCGGCATTGAAGAACAACTTACAGGTTTGGTTTCACCAGACCGATGGCATGTAAGTGCATCTTTCTTCTGTGCTCCTTGCAAAAAAACCATATTCCACAGGCATCTCGTCTTTAACCAATCTCTCGCACACTTTTACACGATTTCCCTCATGTCGACATTGATAACTCGTCCACGAGACAATGCTTACACCGACTTCACTGTTGTGAATGGAGAGCAACCTGATAGAAGGGTCCGTCAATATTCTCTTGCTTGGTTCACCAAGCCGAGGCCGAGTCTTGCTTAAACTTAATGTAGATTGATCGGAGAAGAAATTCCGAGATGGTTTTCGACGCCGTCAGCCTAAAGAAATTCGACACAGCCCACGGCCCCACGGACACTGTGCAGTGACATGTATGGTGCATGTGTCGCATTGTATTATTATGAATACTGCAAGCATGTAGATAGAAAACTGCATCTGTTCCATATTCACAACTCTGCATTGACGTTTGGTCGTGCGCACAGACCAACATTAATATTGTTACATACACGTAGTTGGCGATAAGTAATTGCTTTACCTCATACATTGTGGAGACTTTACGTCTGGAAGATGATTGCCTTCTCTTGATAGACTATCACCATGAAGCTTAGCATCTGATGGCATCGACAACTGAGGGCCAAGCTTCTGTGGACTTCTTGCCTCTCTTGTCCAAGAATTTTAAATTTGATATTACTGATATCGGCAAGACGTAAGACGGGGTGGTGTACAGTACTTGCAAAGCAAAACTCGAGTTCGAAGTACATCATTGTTCTCAGTGCGTAGTATTGCTATAATCTTCTTCATAATGCCTATGACATGTTTTATCCGTTAGATCCTGCCAGAAAGAAGGCTTGCTTGTTCACAAAAAGGCTTGTGGCAAGAAGAAAACCTTGAAAGGGGAACCGAGGGCGACCGCCTTTGCAATTTCGGCGCTCCAATCACTAACATGTTTCGTCACCTTCCCAAGGCAGGATGGGAACGTGATCCATGTAAGGGGCCAACGTTCCCCTGCTGTGGAGCGCCAAGCCAAAATTCTTGAAACCATCATTACAAACAATGTAAATGACAAGTACGACTCAGCTTGAGACAGAGTGTTTCGAAACAAGTCTTCCACAGCTGAAGACAAGATAATCGCCATCGTGAGTATAGGTGGTGCAACGTTCATCCTATAGCGTGTTACCACCTCCAAATAGAATATCTTCTCGTAGAAAGCTTCGATAGTGTGTTTTGCGTCAGCGCACTGACCACCCAGTGTGTCAATGACACTCCTGAACCCAAAAACTGGAGTCCAGCTGCGATGTGGATGAGGGCGCCTCCCCATCGCCGGCGGCAGTATGACATGCCGATCAGAACGCGAACTTGGCGTGCGTAATGTCGTTCTCCCATTATTATGTCAAGTAGCGTGAGAGGCATGTCTCTCATAAAGAAATGGGAGCTGTAAGGCTGCTTATGGTCCTTCGAATGCGCAAGTGGGCACAACGTCAGTGCCTCACAATGAAGGCTGATAGCTCCGTCAATGTCAATAATATCACCAGATTTGCCTTGGTGATTGAAACGGAACTAGTAGTGCTTTTGGACAGTGTTGATGGCCCAGAGGGCAGTACTTGAGCACAACTCGTCGATGGTGTATGCCCTCATCGGATGCGTCGGTTGGAAGATTGCTACATTCGCAAATCAGCCATCTACCCCTGCCGCGATGCTACGAATGTAGGTGTCCTCTGGACAGAGGCAGTAGCTTGTAGAACAGCTGTGCTGTTTCGGGTATAGACGGCGGTACGCTCCTTGCTGTAGCGCTGGATCGATGATTTGATGAGATGATAAAGAGGTAAAGGACAATCGAGGTGGCCCATGGACGCAATGCAAGGGCTTCGCGGAAGGGAGAAGTAGTTGAGTCGATGCCTTGAAGAGTCTTGCGAATAAAGCCTGGTGCGTGGTCAGGATGGTCGACAGGACATCGGTCCAGAACCAACTGAAAATGCTCCACGGCATGGTTGGCAAGTCGTGCGTGTGCCCGCACCGTGTCTCCGAGTCGAGCAATCTCGCATTCAACGATGGAACACACTGGCAGTAGATGTTCTGTCCGCAAAAGCCGACAGCACAGAGGCTGATGTTGCTCACGTCAAGCAGTGTGCCGTGCTGATTGTCGCAAGAACGTGCAACAGCGGCCTTCAGCATGAGGGAAGGGTGGACACCATGAATGGGTGGGAAGGATAGAACTACTACGAGATGTTAGTATATGTGGATCAATGAGAAGTAGGTTACTCACCGAAAGGCTCGTTTCCATGATCAAGAGCAGCCCGCTTATATTTCGCGTTTTCCGATGACTTCACCATTGCTTAGCATTCGATCACCGATCCTCGAGTCACTTGCGAAAATCTCCATGGATTTGGCGGGGTTAGAGTACCCAAGCTATAGCTGATTCGTCGACTCAGACTGCGGTATCAAATATTGTGGCATAGGAAAGTGCCGTCCGCATGATGTCAGCTGATCCTGGTTGGAAGTGTGTATTTTCTCTCGCTCATCACTGAAAATCGGCCAGGTTATGTACTTCGTGCTGTTCTCGTTGGCATCGATTTTACATGTCATTACATTTACTACGATGTTGACTATGCCTCGACGGCAAGAGCCCTCAACGCCAGTATAACGGGGTACTTCCATGGGCCTTCACGATCCTGCAAGCCTCGTCAAGGGCATCAACAACATCCTGTGGGAGGGGTCCCTTCTCCGAGTCAACACAATTTTGCTCTAATTGCGCTGCACTGCTAGCGCCTAGGATAATTCCGTCTTCCGGCGTCAGTAAAGAATGATGCTGGCACCAACGAAGGGCAATCTCTGTGAGACGAAGACCGTGTTCGTCCTGTCCAAGTCATCATTAGTTATATAGACTATGGGTAGCAGGAGGACATACGGCAGCGGCTTTAACAACCTCGAGAGCCTTGAGGTACCCATCCGTAAGGTACCGTGCTCGGTACATCTGGCCCATCTTCGACTTCGGGTCAAAGCGACCACCCTGGGGAGCTACCTCCTCGGTGGAAAGCACCTTACCGGCAAAAAGACCGCCACTGCATCCCGTGATGAGATTTCCTTCCGAATAATATCCTCGAACCCCACTCACGCTAATGGGTTGTAACTGACGAGCCGCATACCATATTTCCGGCAGCAAGCAAGGAGCTCAGGCTCCATCTCCCGGGTGATCGCGTTGTACATCCTACATGCATCGTGAGCACCTTCTCTCACAGCTGGACGGTTATACGAACACCTGATAGATCTTTGGCAACACATAACCGTTCGCTTTGCAAATCCCGACAACTTCTGCAACCTCCCAAGCTGCAAAGTTACTATTTTATGACTGAGTCCTTGAAATTAGCAAGAGCATTACACGAACGCTCACCTCAGACCAAATATCTCGCTGATGAGCCAGTCAGATTCCATTCCTTACAGGATTGGGATATGTACACTCACAAACGGCCCTCCATGTAGAGCTTGTTGATCTCGCGTGCAGTGTCCTCAAAGGGAACACTACGATCGGGAGCGTGCAAATACAAGACCCGGACTTTGTCGCGCTTCAGAGATTTAAGGGACGTGAGGAAAATGGACCGCAGTGTCTGCGGGCTGTGATCTCCAGGAGTGACAGGGTACACTCTACGCCAGCAGATTAGCGCATATCTCACAATATGAAATCATTCGACGCACTTCGTGTCGATCGTCGCGTTCTTCAAATCGAGTTTGGCCAGGATCTGGTGTGGAAAGTATTCAGTTAGCGCCAGGGCTCAATGCGTCAGCATGTCCGCACCGACCTGTTCAGTGGTGCCCTCGGCATATATGCGTGCCGTGTCCACTTCAGTATGACCATGGCTGAAGAAGATGTCTAGAATTTCCTGACAGTCCTTCTCGCTGGTCGTCCTCACTCCGTTCGTGCCCTCGAACCCCATAGTCATTGTGCCCTTTCCTGGTATCAGTGCGACAATTCAAAGGAAACATCCAAATTCCTTACAAAAAGAAGAGGAATGCGAGTCGACATTTTGGAAATGTAAACGTTAGAATTAACTCAGAAATGTGCGCTGATGATGACGGTTCAACAAAGTATTAGTATTCAAAGCCTTGTGTCGTTTGTTCTTGGGAGACGACGTACGTGTCGTAGGCGTAGGAATATGGACTCCCGCTTTCCCGATGGCTTGTCATGTGTACCGGTCTGCGGATGGGCTACAAAAATGAGGCGAGTTGGTCTCATGATAGCATATATACACAGAGATAGGATAATAAGCTGATGCTGCCTCGTGTTGCTCAAAAACTAGAAAATCTATGCACATCTAAGCGCCAGCGTGTACTTCTCACTATATTATGGGCATTACTGTCGCACGTGTGTAAACAAAAAAAATCGAGAAAAGGACACGAGGTTAAAGCTTAGTGCCCTTGCCTCGAGTGTGAGGCCGAACCATCGGGATTTACCATCCCAGATACATTAGTGATGTACGTTCCCCAGTCATTAAGCCTGTACATTCATCAGCAGGGGCAATCAGCCCAAACAAGCGCGACTCACTCAAAACCAGTCGGAGCATTGGACCACATGGCAATCGTGTCCGTGTCCATAACGTTCGCGTTAGGATGCGGAAGCACATTTTGCTGGTGTGTGCCACTCATCAGACTATGTAACCCCTGAGTGTCGTCGTCATAGGGCGAAGAAGCAGAGGTCCCTTGTGATTGGTATTGCGCCGAGTACTGACTCATCTGCTCATAGAACATGTCATCCATGTTGTACACGGCAGGAACAGAGGTCTGTGAATAGTCCTGAGGCGGGGGCACGTTTTGTATAGAAGTCTGCGGTTGCACCGGATTCCCACTCCCGTGAGAGTACCACATATTGCTAGTTGACGAGCCAAGTTGTGGGGACGTGTTCGGGAAGTTCACTTGCCCATGGAGCGGCAGGCGCCCAAGATCATCGCTGTAGAGCGGAAGATCAAATGAGCTCACAAAATTTGAGCGAGTGTGGGCAGCTGCTTCGCGACCGATGCGGCGCGATCCTGCGATGGTGCGGGGTACATCCGACTGTGGTGAGGTCGTAGGCGGAGCAGATATTGGACTGTCTGAATCACGTTCGCGTTTCGTTCCGCCAGAGGGACTAGGCTGGGGTAACGGAAGGTCACCGACAGATGCCAGCTCATACAGGATATCCCTTCCATATAGTTTAAGTCTTCCTACCGAATGAAATAAAGATAAAAACATGCATACCACAGACGACCAGCAGTGTGCCAGCTATGAGGATTAATGAGAAACATTCTTCCGCAGTAAAAGGTCGACAGACCGTTTTTCGCACGACTTCAAGATGGACATGCACTTGTGCACGTCTGCCATCTCCTTCGTAGGATCAGTATACAGTCCAGAGCGTTTTCCACCCCAGATATTCAGAAGCAAGACAATACCTGCAGTGAATGCAGGCATCTAAAATATGTTCTGAACACAAGAGACCTGCTCGAATTTCCTCGACGCACCTGCGAATAAGGCACCGGCTTACCAGATCGGCATCGATATACATCCATGACGTGGCTGCAAGATCGAGCAGCATTTGTACAGATCGCCAAGGAAGGGAAAGACAGAGGGGACGGTTTTCGGGGTGACGGAATGAATGGGCGGTGGATGAGGATCTGGACATGATAGTAACTCGAATAGAGGCAATACGACTGCAGGAAAAAGTCATTTATGTCCCTGTTTGGATCCCATCTCACTTTAGGTTGTAGAATTTAGCGGCGGTGATAATAATGAAGTCCAAACTAAGATACATACGATGATCAGGAAGGGCGTCGATCCATTTGTTAAGCGCAGAATCAAGCTCTGCAACTATTTGCTGCTCCCATTGCTGCCCAACAAAACCAAGCAGGACTTTTAGCTTGTTGATCGAATACTGCAACACATCGTTAGTCGAGGACTCTTGAATGAGAAGAGGTACATACGATAGTACGAAGGGCAAATGCGAGTATGTGGTTAAGCTTCAGGAAATTGACAAAGTACGATACCAGAGAAGGTTTGTCAGAAGGTTGCTTGAACATTTGGTCCGGGTCCGGGTGCTCCCAGTATTCGTCATCACATTCGACAGGCAGATCGAGGTCGAAGCTATAATTGAGTCAGCTTCATGACATCACGGAGTAGCGCAGATAAACCCACTCTTCATCCTGTATCGCACAAGGTCGTCCCAGCGATGAGCTCATCAAACGGTCTAGGCTGACGAGAACCCTGAGGGAAACATTGAGACGTCATTGCGACAGTGAATTATTCGAACCACACCAGAATGCACGTTTCCAAAGCTCCTCTTCGACGGTAGGCTTATGGCTGTAAGCCTTGCGACGATGTGCACCAACATCCTGCGCAAGACGTATGCCAATTCCAACGATGGTCCAACATGCCTGCGGGGCCGAAGTACCCTGCAAGTAGATCACAGATAACTAGATGCAAGTTAGTAATCCAGTGAAAGAGCGCTAGCTTGACACCTACACAATGCACTTGGAGATCCTCCAGACACGGTGGCCCAAGCAGGGTCTTCCTGACCATCTGTACCTGTTCGAAAAACCTCCATCCCGCCGAATGTTCATTCTGATTTTCCAAAAAGACGCGGCAGTCATCAGAGAAGCGCGAGCCTACGGCAAGAACTAGCAAGTACACCGCCCCAAATGATGAGTTTCGGCGGTGGAGCCCCTGCGCCGCCTTGCGCTCAAATGTTGGCCGGTGTAACAGCGGAGTTAGAACATTATAGTGCGTGAAATAGAGATCGACAAGGGAGGTAGCAAGATCTTCGTGAGGAAAGTTATAGACCGGCTCGACAATATCCTTGGCGGCCAGCTCCCACTTGAAGAGATGTCAGCTCTAGAAACAACAACTATGACTAAACACACAGGGAAGCATCCATGAAACTCGGGGCGTTTGGGCTGGAGAATGTCATGTCGGTGTATCTCGTCATCGCCAGTGTACTCCTTTTTGAGGTCGATAGCTTTTTGGACCAGCATGATACCACTGGATTTTCCAAAGAAGCGGGACAACATTGGATTGATAGACATGTTCTGCATGTGATCAGCGAGGCGGACAGATACCATTTCGTCATCGTCACTGGATACGAGATCTTCGAGAGGGGTAGTAGCATAAGGGGCCATAACATGGCTGGTTGAGCCATTCATGTTGCCTTTTTGCCAGGTCTCCCTGTCCAAGGGGCCGCCACCGAGCTCCTGAGAGAAGTCAGCATCAGGACAGACCTAAATATGGGGTGAGTGACGATCATGAAGAGTATGTACTTAACAGACCGACCTTTTGTAGAAGCTTCTCCATCTTCTCCAAACGATTCTCCAGGCTCTCGACATATCTGAGATCATCGTCAACGGTAAGTGCCTCAAGCAGATACAGGAAACCCATTGCTTCACACGTACCCCTTTGGCGGACCTCGTTTCTAGTGCAGGGAGCGTCAAGCGCCACTCAAGGAGACCGAGGAGGAGAGCACACCTTTGCAGCCTCTATGTACGTACATTCGAAATTATACGCAATACAGTTAGAGCATCGGTTCCCTGGCATCTGGCTTCCATCGCCTTAAAGCGAGCATCCCAAGCCAAAACAGCAAGAGAGGACATGGGTCAGTTTCACTGCGCATCGGGGCCCGGGGGTGAGCAGTAACGAAGCTTACTCACATCGAACTACATCAAACACCCAAAATTAATCGCGGACTTGTACAATCCAAGACAAGTATGACTCACTCTTCTTGCGCCTACATATGTCACACGCCCTCTGCACTCGTCGTTTCTTGGAGCCGGGCAGGGATTGGGCATTATCGTGCTCGCCGTACTCGTCTTCTGCGGATGACATGGTGGATTGGGTATGAGCCCTTGCGAGCGAGTATTACAGTGTGCAGGCTGTATCAGGGTTCACGTGGTATTGAGTACGCTGACCTGAGAGAATATAATACTTAAACCGTCGGACAAGGTATTCGTAACCCTACGGCATGGGAGCACCCGCGAGGTTTCAAAATCGTTTTACTTACACACAATTGCAAGTGACTGTTCTACTTATCGTCGCACTGCGCAGTCACAATAGATAGAATCATTGTCAGATCAAAAGTCGGGGCTGATCATTAACTTACCTCCAATTGAAGTTGAAGCTTAAGCTTTTCGGAGCCCATGCGGCACTGGATTACCGCTTGTGGGGAACAAATACAACCAAAGTTCCCCAAAAAGTTTATATATTAAATTAAATTATATTACGCAATAGGCTCCTGCACAGGTGGGGTTAAGTAGGTAGATATTAAGCTTTCAGCTGTACAATTACTATAAGTAGTAACTTATGTCCGCGGTGCGGCATGAAGGCAGCTCCGCAAGGTTTGCCACTCCGCTGCCAAATGGGGAAGCATAATCCCAGCTGTTGCAAGGCCAAGTACTGCACAGTCATGGACCGGCCATCTATGACAGTTCTATGACTCTGCATGACCATGAACAGGGGTTGCCAACGTGCCTGGTCACTGACACGGTTGCCAAACATGAACTATGCTGTAAACGGAACCACTTGATATACAACTTGGCGGGTACGCCCTACACACTATTAGTACATATTGGCAAGGGTTCGAAAGCAAATTGAACACAACACCCTAATCCATAGGAATAACTACCTGGTAATTACGGTGACTACTATTACAACGTAAATGGACAGCGAGGATGACGGAGTATGACATGCAAGTGCAATTATGTGTGGGAATGCAATGATACGAGGAAGGTTTGGGGGAAGCGCAGCATGAGGATGAGGGTGTAATAAAACGCGCGGCAGGAGGGAGGGAAACCTTGTCCTGCAGTATCAGTAGCATGTTCGCGAAGTGGAGCATGCGCGTGCTAAAGTACGATAGAAAAAGAGAGGGAGAAACGCAACCGTGCCGCGTGATTAGAGGACAAGACAATGAGAAAGAACAGACCCCATAACATATGCGAGAGATACCAAATTATAGAAGATCCACATGTTGGCAGAGAGTCCAGCAAGAAAATCACCACCCTGAATAGTGGTAGTCGTCTGCCCAACTTCGATTTCGGGCCATCGCGCGCCGCTTACGCTCATCCTTATCCTGAGCCTCTGCACTCTTGGTGGCGCCAGGATTCCCGCCCATGGACGTTGTCGAGGCAAGTGGTCGCAACCCACCGAGCACGCCATTGTTCGCTCGTCTGGCGTTCGCAGCTGGGTTGGTGGTACTGCTCACCTGTCGCTCCCACAATAATTGCCTCCGCATGCTCTCTGACAGCTCTTGCCGAAGCATTATTCGTCGGGTCGTGCGGGGCGTCATAGGTAGCGCGGGAGCAGGAAGATTATACGGATGTCCGAGGGGTATAGGTGCCGTGGATTGTGCAACAGGAGCGACGCGATCCTCCACCACACGTGTATGCGTATGCTGAGCCAGTTGAGATGCAATGCCATTTTCCGGAGCGCGGCGTGATATCAAGGCCTGAAGCCTCTGCTGCGCCACACTGCGCGATACCTGGATCTTGTCGTCGTCATCCTCCCCACTCTCGTCTTCCATCTCTGCTTCCTTCGGGCGTCCCTTTGGCCTATAACCCCCTTTCTCGCTCTCTTTCCCCTTCATTCCAGACGACGGGGGCTTCGAGCTCGACATGGCAGTGATTTGCGCAGCCATGGGTAACGCCGCTGAACTTTTACTCGTCTGCAGCCTCACAGGCCCTGCAAACCCACTACTACTCCTTTGTGGAGCCTGCACCTCCTCAGCCTGACGCTGCGCCTGCCGCTGCATCCGCACAAGATCCGCGGTTGATTGACTCAAGCGACACGGATGATTCGGCGGGAATATCGCAGGGTTGGGGTTCATGAGCTGGGAAAGTAGTCCCGACTGCGTGCGATTGAGATTAGAGTACGACCGTTTGGGAACCTTTGCGAAGAGGTCCCGTTGGCGCTGGGCTTCCAGTGCAGCACCGCGTAGCCCGGCCTCCTTGGCTTCGCGGGCTTTGTCCTCAGTGTCCATGTCCTCAGAGGCCCATCCAGAGTCGTCTGCATCAGTGGTCTCGTAGTCTTCCTCGGAGGTGCTGGCGACAACGATGGTTTTTCGCTGCTGGGGACCCGTGCCGTTACTTGCATGAGCAGCAGCAGCAGCATTGCTATTGCCAACGCCGTTGGCGTTTCCGTTGGCCACGGCATTGCCATTAGCAACAGGAGGGAGAGCAACAGTCGACTGTACAGGCTTGAGATTTATCGCCGTCATCCCGTTAAGCATACCGCCCAATCCGCTGGCCACAGGGGCAGGCGGAGGTGGAGGCGGAGTGAGTTTCGCCGAGCTCCCATTAGCAGACTTGGACCCGTTCGACGAGTTGGAGCCAATATTAAACATCGCGCGCGGTTTACTGTCCTGATTTGAGTGCTTGCGCTGTATCGAAGGGCCGATGTGCCTCGCGGAGTGGGTCCGTTTCGCCAAAGGCGGCCGGGCAGACGATCTCCCCAATTCCTTTCCCTTCTTTGGTTTGGCACATGATTTCTCCTTCAGCTCCTTCGTTACTGCTTTCTCATTATCAGTGCTATGCATCTGACTGGAGGCTGCGCTCGATGCATCGAACAAATCAGTGCGGCTCTTTCCGCTCTCCGTCGAGCCATCGCGTTCCGGGGACGCATCCTCAGGGCTCTGCTGTAGGAAAAACCTGCCAGACCCCTTCGAGGTCTCGATGCCTCGGGCCGAGACAAGCGAAGTTAACAGTTCATCTGGTGGAGGTGACTGCGGAAGCGGCTGTTGCACTTGTGATTGACGCTTCATAGCTAGTACAGGCGGGGGAAGCGGGGGTAGAAGGAACGTTGATGGTGGCTGTGAAGCACCTGGTGGATCTTCGCTGAGGGAGGGTGTCATCGGTGGAGTGGGTTGGGGCGTGGGGTTTACGACGACAACGCGAGGAAAGTAAGCTTCAGCAGAGGTAGGCGTCGAGGGAAGCTGAACGGAGGGCACGGTGGGTTGTTTAGGCGAACGCGGCGATGGGGCCTTCTGCTTGTCGGGTATAAGGACATTATGTGGCAACATGTCTATTATTATTCGGCCAACAAACGGGGACGATTTGGGGCGGAAGGAAGTGGACAGAGGCGGTGCTACGGGGGTACCTGAGGCTGATGAGAATTGGGGTATGCGCGGGCGGTCAGGAACAACGGGGCTCGTTGTAGATGCAGGGGATGAAGTATGCTGATACATGGATGCCGAATGCGAGCAAGGGGGTGTGCCTACATGTGCGGAACACAAGGAGAACGCAAGATGAGCAATGACGAAAAAGGAAATGATCCTCGGACATACCTAAAGGCTGGGCTACCTCGACAGGGTCGGTAAGGGGGAAGAACGAGGTGCGGGTATCGGACGATACTTTGGGATGAGAGATGGAGTCTGGAGTAGGTGGCAGGTACGACTGCTGAGCGAGAACCAGCTCACGGTGCCATAGCCTCCAAGAGATATTCTCAAGCCTGCGGCCATCTTGAAGCGACTCTTTGCATTTGGTGAAAACTAGAAAGAGATAGTATATTAAGAATTGAATTGATAAGGTAGGTAGTACTTACGGGTCCAGAGAGCGGAGAGAGCGTCTTGTCCTTGAAGATCTTTCACTGCATCGGGTGTGACAGAGAGGACAGGTAGAGGAAAGGTTGTGAGCATGGAGATGGGGCGAAGTCAAGGACGTGAAAGGATACAAGCGCCGTTGGAGATTATAATCAACGTTTGAAATCGCAAGAAGACCGTGCTAAAAATCGCAGAAGTTCTGGAAGGAGGAATTCACGGAATTCTGGTATTAGATTATCGGACTGTCAGCTGTTTGATATCGGACTTGACAGATATCAGACGCTGGTCTCAACACGCCCTTACAAGGCCTTGTATGGTCTTGAATGTAGGGAGGAGAAGGATGTGAGAGAGAGCTACTTGAAGTGAGGTTTCATTGAAACCCACTTGTCCCGATTTGCACCTTTTGGCCCTGTGGGTCCCCGGTCCGACCGCCAGCGCAACGACACCGGCCTCATGCCTTGACACCCCCGATTATCTAGGATTATCCAGGATTATCCTCTTTTTCTTTTTTTTTTATTTCCATGTGGTATCCCTAGGATCCTATGATTCAAAGGACTCAGATCTGAATCATGTGCATGGTCACCAGCTCTCCTTTCCACGTAAATCAACATCCAGTTCGCGGCAGTGCCAGATCGTTCGTGACGAAACCAAGGCATTACATTCACCCGCGCGCCAGGTAATAAACTTTTTTATGTGTTTAACAAATTCTTTGTGGGTAAAATCACGGTATCACTCAAATTTTTATTTTATGGTCTGAGCTAGAATTTCTGACGCCATGAAACAGGAGCAACGAAACAAGTCGCAATTATGAGGACATCAATCAGATAAGCTTGACAAGGCAAATACAGCAGCTACATCACTTGATACGGGCCAATATCAACGAATACGAAATGAAAGCGAAAGAAACGGACGCGATAGCAGGCGTAACACGCTGCGAAGTCAACGTACACAATGCGAAATGTGGCTGATGGCCAGTCTAATGGATATATCTGGCTTGTGAACGAATATGCAGAATTAGTATATGTACACTACGCTAACACAGCCCCTTCTGATCAACTTGGTCGGTAGCACCGGCGTTTGTAGCACTAGATTTGACCCTGAATTCCCGCGGATTTCAAGTGTGGGGTACTACGCGGTCTGCTTAGTCTGTTCGGTGCGGAGGAACTCCTGACATACACGTAGATGCGGGGGCAATCAACGATCAGGTGGACTTTGGCTCACCTCGGACTAGCGGTAGAACTCCGGCAACGGCATCTCATTTTTACAAGTCCCTTTTTCCAGGTGATATTTCAACCCGTTTGCGTTCAAGTACGTCTGTGGCCATTAGGTTTCACTTCTCCACTCCAATACGCCGAGCCTAGACTTACTTTAGTACATTCAGGCCGCTAATCAGCGGAAATTAATGGGGCGAACATGTGGGCGTAATGAGGGGGATGCTTACAGGACAGTTATAAGCCTTGTCTTTTTTTCGTTGATGAGGTCGATGTACCCGTTTCCCAATACGAACTGGCTTGCTCTTCACTTTGGTGAAAGAGTTTTGTGGTATACATTCCTCTGAACTCGTCTCAACAGGACTGATCGGCTCTGAAGTAGCCGAAGGCGAAGACCAGTCTGACACAGATCCGAAGGCAGATTCCGGTTCAAGAAACGCCACAGGAGGCCTTGGTGCAGGATAACCCAACACAAAACTCATGTAAGGCCCCTCATTCTCGTGATCGAGGACGCGAAGGATCGGGCTAGGGTTCGGGTACACAGCATTTCCTGCGCTGTCGAACACTACAACATGTGCTTCCTCAAAGTGATCAACTAATGAGTGAAGGTCTCTTAGAGACAGCCCGCAACATGTGAAATCGGAGCACTGAAATACACGCGCCACATGAGGTCGCGCGATCAAATGATAGAGATTGAGAACCCACAATAGTTTGTTCACGCTCAACGAATGGCGTGTCTTCGGACCATGGCGACGAGGAACGTGGCAATGATCCGGCATGTGCGGATATGGGCGGGGCATACGGAGACCATGGGTATCTGATGCATAATAAAAAAAACCAAGTTGTGATCTGTTAGTATCTCGGATCCAAACCAAGGGAACGAGTTATAGGCACTGGATGTTCTAAACTTACTGGATCTCTAAGTGTTCGTAACCGTTCATGCCGGCAGGTTTGGCGTACGGGGGTGACAGCGAAGCCTGAGATGAGAGCAGTTGCGAAGGGCGAGGAGGCGAGATTGACACGAGCGGGTGTCGATCTGGGCCAGTATATAATCACTTCAGTGAGGAACCGCGAATCAAGTGTAATAGCAGCCCGCGGGATCCAAGTAATTTGTCTGCACGACGTCGAGTGGTCCACAAGAGAACTGATGAGCGAATAGCTCTGGTCGACTCCGAAGGCCTGATCGATGGTGATAACAAGGAAGACTGTAAGTCGGCGCAAAAGAGGCCGTACAGGACACGAGAAGCTGATAAATTGAGGTTACAGGGGCACGGTAGCTAAGAAGGGTTGGGAGCATGCAATTAATTATAATGAACACGAAATAGTAGAAAGTCACCGACGAGGATGAAATCAGGAGGAATGAATGGATGCATCGATGATTCTTGACTTCGTTCTCCATACAGCCTTCGTTTCAATGCAAAAATTAACTTCTTTCTTGATGTCGCATGCTCGTGCACTTGATCGATCATCATCAGTGGTGCAGGCACGCATTAAGAATCACGGATACGAGGGTGGTTGCTGCGATGGGATTTGCCAGTCCTTAGGACTCGGATGAGTCTAAGATCAATCGGGCCGGAGAAAGAGCCCAGACATGGATTGGTGCCCTGCATCACCTCTGTGATTCCCCCAATGTGTGATTCTGGCCTAGCGGTCCCTTGCAGATCAGTGACTTGAGCCAGTGATAATGATTTGCCAAGTATCAGGGGAGAAAGAGTCATGGCGACAGCATATTATTCACAAAGACAAGGGAAAAGTGATATCGCAAAGTAGGTGAGTAATCGTGTTGCGACTGAGGCGGACCACCTCAGGCCATTAAACATCACACGTAGCGTTTACGGAGTGTTCGTGCGAACGAGCGACCGTTGCTGTACATGATGAATATGTTCATACACGACTCTGCGTCAAAAATGGGCTGTGGCGGAACACCAGTGAGTGACATCGTTCGCAATATGCTCTCCGTGCACTACTGATGCACACAAAATTGTTTTTTGACATAACGTAGACTGTGCAAAATAAGAGCAAACAAACATGTGCGTTATCCGGTCCTATCCGGTCCGGGATCCGGTCCGCCCTTGCTCCGCCCCCGAGGCTGGGCAGGGCTGGAGGTGGCCCTCAGCTCATTTCATACTTACGAGGATGACAGTTCTTCCAGCAGCTGATGCACCGATCCCTATCTTCACCACCCTGAAAGACCTATATGGCAGTCTCGCGACAGCAGTCAAACACGCGTTAGTCTGGATTCTAGGGCCTTATGTTCTAATTTTTGATCAAGTTCGCTTTTCGCTTTAATTCTGGGTAGAGAACGCTGGGATGAGCTGGTCAGAGAGTTCCATACCAAGTTCGGGCGTAAACCTACCTATGTCGCCCGAGCCCCAGGCCGAGTCAAGTACGTTCACACTCCCTCCTTTTCCCACTCGTGTTGATCCTCTCCGTGAAACACAGCCTCATTGGTACGATGATCTCATTATTATTCATGGTATATCGTGGTGCTCACTCACACGACACAGGTGAACACATTGACTACGCGCATTTCGGCGTTTTTCCAGCCGCTATCGAGCATGATATTCTCATTGCTTGTGCTCCGCGGCCAGCGTCTACCGCTACTGCGCATCCTGACCGTCATGCACCAGGCTCTGTCGTAGCTGAGAATCTCCACACTCGTTACACCCGTCAGGTCTTCATGCCGACCCGCCGTCATACGCTTGGCGACGATGTTCCTCTTGACGCTGTGCGCGTCGCCCCCTGGCATTTAGATATCGATAAAAGCGAATTGCGATGGGAAAGTTATGTCAAGGCAGGATATTATGTACGCATCTTTGCCCCTTTCACATCCCTTCTTCCAGCTTTTGAAGCTTCTCCGTTCATTCTAGACCTATCCTCCATGCCCTCTCTCGTCCCCCGACTCACCTTTGCCTTAATTCCTCATGAATTTCCAGATGCTAACTGCCGGGTATAGGGCGTTCTGAATCACTTCTTCTCCTCATCGTGCACATCCCCCGTTCCTGTACCTGTTGACATCCTCATTACTGGAACCGTACCTCCAGGATCTGGCCTCTCAAGCAGCGCGGCTATGGTCGTCTCGAGCACGCTGGCGTTTCTGGCTGCCAACGGTATTTTTGACGGGGAAAAGGCCCCAACAAAGGGTGAGCTGATAAATATTGCGGTAGAGAATGAGAGGCGGGTTGGGGTGAATAGCGGGGGGTGAGCGTCGCTGTCTTTACCTGTTTGTTTTTCGCAGATTTATCTTTTGGATTCACCCCTCAATATCTAGTAATTAACCGCTCACTTTCTTTGTAGCATGGACCAATCAGCTTCCGTCATCGCTCTCCCTGGCAGTGCACTATACGTTTCTTTCGTGCCCTCCCTCCATGCGGAGCCAATTGTACTTCCGCGCGATGCCGTGTTTGTCTGTGCTAACAGGTGCGTTTTGTCGGCTCTTCGTCGTGCCAAACTTCCTGACAGAATTATTCCCGGGAACAGCCTAGTTGTCTCCAACAAAGCCGAAAGCGCCAAACACCAATACAACCTGCGCGTCGTCGAGACGCTCGGAGCCGCCCGCGTCCTCGCACATCATCTCAATTTACAAGTAGACTCCAGAGATGGCGAAAACACGAAACGACGCCTCGTGACACTGCGTGAAGTCCTCGCTCGGAAGAGCGGTTTCTATCGAGATGAGCAAGACGTGCAGCAAGAAGATCTTGTGCAGTTGCGGAAAGGACTAGAGGACTTGCTAGAGGGGAATGTTCTGGATTGTTTGTTGCCAAAGATTGAAGGGAGAACGGGTGTTACTCTGGAAGAGATGATTGGGATGGGAGGGATGGATGAAGCAGAATTTAGGGAGGTGTATCTTTCGTGGGTGGATGGTGAGCTTTTTTTATGACGCTATTTTTTGTCACTACTAATTGGGAATTCATCAGTGGAAACAACTTACTTTGAGCTGTATCTCCGTGCTAAACACGTATTCGAAGAGGCGCTCAGAGTGCTCCAGTTTAGGGAGGTCTGCTTGGATGGAGGAGGTGCGTTATTTCCTTGGTGTCCGTTTTGTGACCATGCACTAACAATCTGCATGTGCACGGTGCTGATCGTCGTATCTCCCACTAACACTTCATCACCAGACAATGAAGAATCCAAGCTCCAAACCCTCGGAAAATATATGAATGCCTCGCACGCGAGTTGCAACGATCAATTCGACTGCTCCCATCCGAAAGTGAACGACCTCGTTCAAGTCGCGCGGAGCTTTGGGGAGGTAGAGGTGGGACAGAGGAAGGGGAGAGTATATGGAAGTCGTGTGACTGGTGCTTTGTTCTTCTTCATGCTCACCCTTTCCTCTGATTTTGATGTGCTTGTAGGTGCTGGGTGGGGCGGTTGCACTGTCTCCCTCGTACATCGAGAAGACGTGGAAGCGTTTATCGCGCATGTGAAGAAGAAATATCCGTCGTATGAGGGTATGAGCGAGGAGGACCTCGCGGGTTGGGTGTTTGCGACGGAGCCGGGGATGGGCGCGTGTGGTAATTTTTTTTTTCGTTTTGAGAATTGTTTGGCGTGCTGATATTCCTTGGACAGTGTTTAAGTTCACGGATTGAGCGCCAGACTGGATAGCTGGTCGTGGCTCAATCGGTATGGACTTGGCGTATGCTGGTGTTTTTTTGGATGTTGATTTGACTAGTGCGCACTAGCACACTACTCGATACAGGGACAGTTTTTACTAATGTCGGAACCACGCAAGCTTTGTATTTTGCTAGCCTCCCCTTCGCATAGTGAAATCAGATGTTTTCGCTCATGCGTTCAGATAACAAACCAGATGTGCTCCCTGTGGGTTGCCGTATGGATACTTACTTAGGATCAGGATGAAAAACATGAAACTCCTAGCCACCATCAGGTTATAACACGACGGGATGTGTCGTAGACTCGTATGTAGTAGTATCGTGGCGGGCTATGCTTTGTAGAGATGCTGCGTAACATAACCACCACAATACTACTACTCTGTGCACGATTCGTACAGGTTTTGGGCGCGGCCAAACACCCACCGGATCGAATCGGGGGGCTCAACGACTCCTGTAGAATCATATAAGCCTGTCTAACTTGTTGCGAGAGAAACTTGGATGCTCAATGAATATAGCTCGTAGATCTCTCCTGTGGGGATGGGACACGAGTGGACGCTCAGAGGTACGAAGGAATTTGTGACTGAGGACGAATGAAAATGAAAGAAACAGTGATCATTCGGAGGATTTGAAATTGAATAGCGGAGGTCCAACCGTGACACGTGACGTGAGCGCTAGCGTGTTGTCAATGTTAACTTGACAGCTTTATTCATTACTACTGGTAGAAGGTGAAAACTCACGGAACGAATGTCTATGGGGGTGAGTACACTCCATCCCAGCTTCATGAAACTCTGATGTCGACTCACATGAACGTCAGATCATGATGGTAATGCGATTCATGCGATCCAGTAACACTGCCTAGACATTGTAGAGGCGGTCACAGCATTGACGCCGCATAATAAAGAGTTGACTCGGAACTCTGCTAGCCCGACCCAATCATCCGAAAAAAGGTGGAAATGCGCGAGCAGTAAGCTATACATAGAGCAAGATGCTGTTGGAGTTGGACGTGTGAGTATCCCAGCATGTGAGCACATCCTCTATGATGGCTTGGGCATCTCATGAGATGCTGTGGAGTGATAGGATAAAAACGAAGTCCTTCTGGTGTCTGCACCTCAGAGCAAGACGCTACGGTCACTAGTACAGCAAGGCCACGACCCTACTCAAGCTGCCCCAGAATGTCGCAAGTCATCGTTCCAAGTACCATGCCCACCCAAGCGTTTGGAGATCATGAAAGCACTGTATTGGCAGTCGCTGTCTTCCCCGACAGACGACGCATGGTCACCGGGTCGGCAGACAAGATGCTTCGTCTGTGGGATTTAAAAGACGGTGTCCTGTTGAAGAAAATGAAGGGACATCGCGACTGGGTGCGAGCAGTGGCAGTATCACGAGATGGACAATTTATAGCAAGCGGTGGTATGAACGGAGAGCTGATCATCTGGCATGGAGAAAGCTGCGAGTCTCTCACAAAACCTATCAAAGCCCACAGTGGACGAATAATGTCTCTGGAGTTTTCTCCAGACGGTGAACTGCTAGCTAGTGGCTCATCGGACAACACGACGAAGATATGGAGTACAGGGACATGGCAAATAGAAGGAAATCGAATCAATTGTGGTAAAGCGGTTTACTGTGTTCGACATTCACCCTCTGGCGAGCATCTTGCCATCGCGACAGACAATGATATCCAAATCTGGAATTTAGGCAGGAGGGACTGCATCACAACTTTCAGGGCTCACGCTGCGATCAGTCCAGCAAGGAACTACTCACTCGCCTGGACACCCGACGGCACGCGGCTTCTCTCAGGAGGCTCTAGTTACGATCCCACCATACGGGAGTGGGATCTATCCACCATGCGGCAGGTCGGTGATCCCTGGGCTGGCCATACTGATTATGTCCATGCCATCACCATGAATACTGCTGGCACTCTCATCGCCTCCGCATCTGAGGACAAGTATGTCCGTCTTTCGCGGCTCTGGGATCGACGGACTATCGCCATATTCAAGCACACTGACCCAGTGTACTGTGCCACCTTCTCCGCGGATGGAAAGTACATTCTCAGCGGAGGCAAAGATAAAAAGATTTTAAAGTGGGCGGTACCTGAGGATGCTTTGCCCGATTCCAAGGCATGTTTCTACCATTTGACTCCTATAACGAAATGTGAGCATTTGTCATGCAGGTAATCGCTTTAGACACGACGGCCAGAAATGCATGCATAAACGGGGACTTGCTTGCCGCTGAAGAGCTTCTAACACAAGATATTGACGCCGATATCAACAACTACATATCCTATGCCAACCGCTCATTCGTTATGGCGCGAAAACTCAACTGGGACCTCGCGCTTCGTGATGCATTTAAGGTGAGATCCACTCGTCGCTGATCCATTATAGTCCCTTTAACGTAAACTAACTTGCATGATGATGCAGTCCGTTTGCATTCAGCCCTCGTTGATAGGCTATATCTCCAAGGGCATTGCCCTCTGCGGACAAGATCAGGTCCAGAACGCGATGAGAGCATTCGATCTTGCTTCCATGTTCACCAACGGAGATTTAAAGACCACTCATTCTCTTCTCTTGATCAAGGCAAGTCAAAATTTTCTCACATACTCTGTGCTTCATTCCCGTTTTCAGGCTATTGCGCTTTTCAATGCAGATCAGCACGAGGATGCTATACTACGTGTCCAAGAGCTCGCTGCTGCTTGTCCCAATGCCGACACTCTTGCATGCCGCATCGTAGAAGTGAGTTTTCAACAGGTTCATGCGTTTGCGCTGATTATTCTGATCTTCGCATGTCAGGCATATTTACGTATCCAACTTGGAATCATCTCCTTTGATGCCGCACGTCACGACGAAGCTGCTGACCACTTTACTGCTGCTGTCATGACCATCGCTTCTTCATGTAACTTGTCCATTCATTCTATGTATGAGGACTTTGTTGTGGTATGTCATGTTGAGATGTAGCTAAAATTGTTTTCCACGCTGATCGCGTGCTTTGTACAGCTCTTCGGGTGGGACTTGAAGTTATTGTGGCAAACTGCAAACCAGAAACGGTGTCATGCACTCCTCCGGGCGGATAGACTTAGAGAAGCTGTCGAATCGTACCGATATCTAATGGATATGAGCGACGAAAATACGAAGGCCAGCTGCCTTGATTGGGTCACTGGCAAGTCTTCAATGATGTCACCGAGACTACACACCTGACCGGCATTTCACTCAGCTTTCCAGAAAGAATGCAGCGCGCTCTACGCTGCCAAAGGAGACGCTGCCCTCGTTGCGAGTGATTACGATCAGGCTATTGACCTATACTCGGCGGCGATCGACCTGGATGCTTCGAGTGATGCCATCTTTGCCAACCGCAGTAAGGCGGAGTCGGAAAAAATGCTATTGGAGGATGCGCTTCTTGATGCACAACAGGTGTGATGGTATATTTCGTTTTGTGCTGACGCTAATCAGGGTGTTAAATAGGTGATCGAACTGAACCGTTCGTCTTATATTGGATACCAGTTGGAGGCTGCAGCACTCCACGGCGCTCAACGCTATGACGAAGCGATCGAAGCATTCCAAACCATGCTGTCCAAATTGGAAAATGCTCCCGAGATGCATATACAAAGTAGGTCTTGGATAGCACATGCGTGACGATCATTTAATCTTTCTCAGAGCTGCGCCAGAACTATCTCAGTGTTCCCGAAGCAGAAGGTGCTATTCAAAAGGTCATTCACGCTCAAATGGAGAACGCTCCGCTTCGTCTACTCGACACCACCACTGGGCTCTTATGTGATCGAGAGGCGCAGATAAATGCCTTCAAAACGACTACAGCGTACAAGGACCTTTTGTTATCAACAATGAAGCATGCACACCTCCGAGTGGAGCGCATCACAAAAGTAGTGGTGATATACTTCCGTTATGTCATGCTATCACATAGATGGGAAGGGAGGGAGCCGCTGCTGCACGACATCCAAGGCAAGGTCGTGTACAGGTTGAATCCAGTTGACGGTATCATCAAGTTACAGTCATTCTGCAAGATTGTCCGTGATGCAGGATATCGCTGGTCGTGGTGCGATACATGCTGCATCGACAAGAATAACAATGTCGAGCTCCAAGAATCACTCAATTCCATGTTCGTCTGGTATCGCCAGTCAGCGCTTACCATTGTCTACCTGTCGGATGTCGCACCTTCGTCAAAATCTGGCGCACTGGCAGAGAGCGCTTGGATCAGGCGAGGGTGGACAGTCCAAGAATTCCTGGCTCCCAAAGTCGTGATCTTTTATCAGAAGGATTGGACCTTATATCTCGACGATCGCTCCCCCAACCACAAGGAGTCTATTGCAATCATGCGGGAGTTGGGAGATGTGACGGGCATAGATCCACAGGCCCTCGTTACGTTCCGTCCTGGGATGAGAGGTGCCCGAGAGAAACTCCAATGGGCGTCGACGCGTGTCACCACATTGCAGGAGGACATCGCATACTCGTTGTTCGGCATCTTTGGTGTCCACCTACGTGTCAATTATGGCGAGAAGAAACAAAACGCACTCGGGCGGCTTTTGGAAGAGATCGTGGGTCAGTCGGGTGACATAAGTGCCCTGGACTGGGTGGGGAAATCATCGGAGTTCAATAGCTGTTTGCCAGCTGAAATTACCTCGTACGAAGCTCCACCAAGCACGCCGCCATCTGTATCTGAAGCTGAGATGCAGACACTGGTCTCCATGCTGCGAGATGCTGGGGCTGCAGAGTTGGCTTCGAGATTGTACACCATGCTTGATGATTTGAGTGCTCCTCGTTTCTTGCACCGTCGGTTGCATCTGCCTTGTATCACATTTCCACTCACAGAAGTCAAGCGGAGTCTTCATCAAGACCGAGAGACACATTTCACGCATGAAGTCAAGGCAGACGGGCTTCATGACTTAGTGATTACCACAGAAGACAAGCTCATTCAGTTCTCGCCGGCAAGGCCCACACGGCAGACATTCTTGCTTGTCCTTCCGTGGACCCGTAATCTCCTCGAACCCCTCGACTTTGCTGATGATACCCGGAGCATGATCGATTGGTCTGTGCCTGGGTCTCCATCGCATGATTCGCTAGTCATGTCTCCTGGAGACAATGGGCCGGTTGATTCGGAATCTCGATTACGAGCGTTGCGATTGATCGTTCGCCTTGGACAGTCTTTCAGCGCGTTTTTGCTAGCACGGCAGCACGGTGGAGAATACAAGAGAATCGCATCGGATTATGATATCATTGCTCAAGTCAAAGATATGACTTCTGTTCGCAGCCTGATGGATGTCAGGACACTGGAGATATTGTAGTTGTATTCTTGATCAATTGAATATTAGAGTATTACATTGGCCCGGATCTGTCTGTTGGCTGTCACGGTATTCGATGTATTCACGTTCCTCTCCCTCAATTAAACATCACCGGCTGCGGCACGTACCACTGCATGGGCTTGCAATCATTCCGTTGAAGTCCAATGCCTTCTGCATACGCGTACCGTAATAGCCTTACGTACCGCCAGCGCTAGTTGAGCGTGGCTCTGGCACATTCCGTAAACTAGTGAACATTGAACAACTCAGTCAATTTCTTCACGGACCTCAGGCCTCAAATTGCGGCATGACCACCACGATGGTTGTTAGTACAAACTTGCCTAACACACATAGTTCTCGATCTATGTCCTATCCTTTCGTACATGGATGATTATATGTGACGGTGGTGTCAAGATCTCCGAGTCAGGCTCAGGTGCCCAGTCGGCACTCAGGCTGGAGACGCAGCAGACGCTATGTTTCAAGTTAACATCGACTTCAAGTACTTGTTGTATCACTCAAGGAAGGTTTTGTTACTGATTCGTGTAGGCACATGCGGGTGGGCTATCCACGGGTACGATTTGAGCCGACCCAAAACTTCTGCCGTACCGGCCTCGGTGCGCCGCTCCAGATAAGCGGGCTCCCGCTGGTGTCATGGGCTTGCATATTAACATCGTGGTTTGCACGACTACTCCCTTCGGGCCGTGATAAGATAAAATATTGGAGTTCTTCATCTTTGTTCTGACGAAGAGGACAGCAAGCAACACGAAACATGATGGAAAAACGATATCTGGGCGAGTGGTTGACTCTCCCGTCAGCATTAACCCCGCCGCTTGCTGTTGAAGTGAGTGTTCTGGCTGTTGGAATTCACTATCGTCTGGGCTGGGTATATGACTCGGTGATGGGTGGGCCCCGGTGTATGGTACCGTGGCTTCGCTGTGTATTGGCACGAGTGTATATGAAGTTTGTGGAGTTTGTGGCGGAATCAATATCGAGTAAAGACTGATTATCCTGGCTTATGAACCCACAGGTCCTCCCGCATGGCGTGACCATCCATAGGATCATCATACAGGTGGAGGGAAAGGTTCGTCTGCAACTCTCCCGTAACTCTACTTGCTGACTTAATGATTTTCATGTATAATTCCACTTCGGCGTAACATATTTCATCGAAACAAATGGTCTGCCACCTTTATCAACACTTTCTTGCCTCGCTTATTCATTTGTCGAAATGAACGCCATCCGAATTAGACCCACGACATCCTCATCGGTCCTGAAAATCCCAAAGACTATGAGACGTTCAAATACACCAACACCATCATCGGGCGGTATGCTAACCGCGTGTGGGTTGGGGAGCACACGGTGAAGAAGGATGGATTCGAGAGGTTGACAAGGCCTGTCAAGAATGGTGGGTTCTATGCTTCTAAGGCTGTCGATTTCTTTCTGCTCTATCTTAGTCTTAATTCTTGACTTTCTGGCTGCCGGTCAAATGAACCTCTGTCTAACCCCCATCTCACCAGAATCTCCTGAAGTTTCTTTGCACGGCGGTCTTCTGGGGTTTGATTTTGCAGTTTGGCAGCGCCTGCCCCTCGAAAATGCCAAGCTCTTCACACCTGCTGAAATTCGCACTATCCAGAACTCCTCTACGTCCGAGTCATCTGATAACACAGCTATCTATGCACACACATCGGAGGACGGAGATCAAGGTTACCCAGGGGAGCTGTATCTCGAGACACTCGTTGCGCTGCTCCCTCCTGCAAAGGGTGAGAAAGGAAAGGTGGGAAGCATAGTCATCTTGTACAGGGCGAGGTTGGTGAATGAGGGTGTTACTCCCATTAATTTGACGCACGTATGTCTCTGAATAATCTCAAGGAAAATAAGTACTGATCCAATTTAGCACTGGGGATTCAACCTCGATGCAAGCCTGCAGGGGGATGAAAGCGGGAAGGATAAGCTTTCAGTGAAGAATCACAGGTTGAGTATTAAGGTGCGTTGGGCATCGTACCCGTCACTCTACTTTTTGAAGCTAATGAATGGCCCACACACACATCATAGGCAAGCCACACTGCTGAGCTTCTCCCAAATAGTCTCCCCTCGGGAAAATACTGCCCAGTCGGTGGCACAGTGCACGAGCATAACGACAAACTTATCAAAGACGGATTTCCGAACCATGGGTATGACCACTACTATCTCCTCGCTCCTCGCCCAGGGGTGAAACTCGCGCAACACCGTTTATCCGCGAAAGAGTTTGATGCTGCGAAAGCAGGGCAGGGGGAGGAACTAGATATTGTGAAAGAGATATTTGAGAGCACAAATGAGATGGTGGTCGAGTTGAAAAGCGAGAAATCCGGGTTGAAGGTCGATTTTGATTCGAATCGTGTGTTTGCACTTGATTTCTCCAATTGCGCCCACTCATGTTACATTGAATATACGACACGCAGAGGCCGGCCTTATGTTCTACACGAACAACCACCCGAACAAACAATTTCGAAAGAAGATTCACGGCGGTTCGGGAACTAAGGACGATGGGTATATCAATGGCTGTGCGTCCCATTACCTCCCTTGTGATTTTTACCGAGTCTCCCTTCAGCCGCAGCATTCCTCGAATTTCACGAGGTACGTCAATCATTTGCCCTTTTCTGAGCACCTTCAGTTTTTCCCCCATTCCATCTCTATTCCGACCTGGATACTGCACTGCTGACTATGTTTAGCCGCTCTCGGCTTTCCTCAACCATGAAGCGACACCGAACACTACAGACACGCTTCTGACGTCCAACGAGATCTACAATAATTTTGTCCGTGTAGATATATTTGTGGATAGTGAGGGTGTTTGTGGGAGCTGATGGGGTATTGCGAGGAGGAGTGGAGGAGGGTTTTGTTGGTTAGGAACGTACCCATCTCCAACCGGTCTTTGTCAGAAATTTTGCCCACGGGTTTGTTCTCCTTTTCTGATATACGACTTGTATGTTTCAAAATCTTTTAAGATTATCAAGCACTTTTATTGTCTCAATATTCTGATACTTTGTAAGGTATTGCGACTCTAGAGCTTGGAAGGGTTATACAGAGTCCAGACATAAATATATACGATAGGTTACAAACAATCCTCTACACCTAGTCCTACGAGTACATTCACGAGGTATACGGTATGTATGGATTGTAATCTACTGGCCACGAGTTAACATCTGCCTAAGAGAAGCAAACACGCTGATGGTGCGAATGCGCATGAAATATGTGAACCAGAAAACAGCAACGATCTGCAGATGTTATGTGAGCACGAAATCCAAGCAGCATCCAGTAATGACTCACGTTAAACGCGACGAATCCAAAGACGATGCCCAGGTCGCGCCAGTGATCACTGTATGCAATGTTGAACCTCGAGTACATGAACTGGTCTGTAGTGGTATAGGGGCAGTACTGACAACCCTCCGCTACTTCGGGGTTCGTGAGGTAGCCCCCGGCGAATTGCATGAAGGGACCCATGTACTTGCCGCACGTCAAACCTTTCGGTGGGTTGACGGAGACTAGTTCCGTGTAAGAACACCTAATTGCTTCCCCGCCAATGGCTACAAATGAAGATCAAAATGAATATGATTATCAAGCAAGAAATCATTCACGAACCTTGACCAAGGAGACCCTCGATGATGTATGTGAAAGGAGAGACCCTGTACATCCATTTCCACCAATTAAGCTCCATGAATGGCTGGATTACGCCATCACTGATGAACCATTAGTATGACGTAGCGTGGTTCAAAGCGTGCATCTCACAAGATCAAGACAAAGATAATGAGAGTTGTGAAGTACAGGGATGCAACTGAAGCGTTTGGCGCCATGGACGCGATGCCATGTCCAAGAGTGGTATAGTACAACGGGACGGCAACAGAGAGCATGAGGAACGAGTAGCCTGCCCGGCCCGTGGGGTATCCGACAGTCCAGTAACAGCAGAAAAAGAACATTGCCGAACTTATCATGTTCCAAGGAAGCTCAGCAGCAAGTTGTGACATGACGAGGGCGGTCCAGTGATACATTCTGCTAGGACGCTCACGAATTTCGTACACTGTGCGAATGTCAATGTAGACGACCATGAGCTGATGGATGAGGGAAATGCTGAGCACGAGGATGAGGAAGATTGACTAGAGAGTGTGAAAATAAGATTAAACGAAGAATCCAAGTGGATGTACATACAAACAGCTTGTTTTGGGTGCCCTGCAAAGAGTCATTTGCCTGGAAAAAGGTAAAACCCACAAGGAGACCACCAGCGATGTTAAGCACAAATTTGGCGTGGACATACGCAGGAGCGCGCCAGTATGCTCGGAAGTTCCGCTGGGTGAGGGCGACGAACTGGTGCGACCATGAGGTGGCAAAGACAGAACACTGGTTGCTAAGCTGTTGTGGCTGAGTACGACCAGATTCGTGCATCCCTCCGATCTGAACTTGAAGCTCCCTCGCCTCTGATGAACGCCTCCAGACATCGTACCAATCAGTGGGGGAGACTGCAGCTGCTCTAGCACCAATTACGTCAAGCATGTATTCCGCCCTTGAACGCACTGGTAAGCGCAAGATCTGGTACGACTGCACCTTACTTACGGGTTGGCGTCGGAGCCACAGCGTGGAGCGCCATTACGCTCAAAGTAGTTCAGTACAGTTGACGAGTCCTCGCCAATGTCGCCAAAGTAGACAGTTTGTCCACCCTTGCAAAGGAGCAGTAGTCTGTCAAAGACCTGGAAGAGCTCCGCTGAAGGCTGATGGATCCTGATACAGCTCATGAGCGGTGGGAAACCCGCAAGTACAAATAACACTCACGTGCAGAGGATGGCCTGACCATGGTCAGCAAGTTCGCGAAGGAACTGCACGATGGCCCAGGCAGATTGTGAGTCGAGGCCAGATGTGGGCTCATCCAGGAAGAGTAGAAGTTTGGGCTGTTAGACGCTTAGCGTAACCTCAACCTGAAAAGTTTGCGTTCTACCTTGGCAGCAAGTTCTACTGCGATGGTGGTGCGTTTACGGTACTCAACCCCGAGAGAGCCAACAATAGCATCAGCGTACCCCTCTAGACCACACATTTGAAGGCACTTGTCAACACTCCACTGGAAAGTTAAGTTGGGATCGATCATGAGCACAAATGGTACGCACTATGCTTCCTTTTCAGTGAGAGGAACTGACTGGGGTTGGCGAAGATTCGCAGAGAAGAGGAGCGCTTCGCGAACGGTTGCCTCGGGAAGGTGAGTGTCGAGTTGTTGGCAGTAACCGCTAAACACAACAGTCAGGTAAGTCGACACAAATCAAGACAATGCTTGCATCTGAGCCCGGAAGTCTGTGGGGAGCGGCTGTCCGTTAACGAACCGGTCACCACCCACCACACCAGCAGCGATGCGTTGTGCAAGAACGTTCAAAAGTGTGGTCTACAAGCAATCGAATAAACGGCATGCGAGACTGGTATCACAAGAAGTTATACCTTTCCAGCGCCAGATTCGCCCATCAACGCAGTGAGCTTCCCAGGGGCAACAAAGCCCGTGACATCATCAAGAAGGCGTTTCATACCTCCCTCAAATGGAACTTCATACTGCAGGTGCTGCCACGTGAAGATATCCGTGACCATGACGTTCTTCTCCTCGAGATTGTGGAAAGCTGACGCATCAGCCGCCTTGGAGTGGCATCCAGAGCGAAATTCCGTATCTGCCTCCTCCTCGTCAAGTGCCTTGGCATTCCTATCGATAACATTTGAGCTCGGCTTGAAGAGAACGATGGCGCCGTCGAAAGCAGACGACGTGTTACATTCTGTGGCAATTAGGAGAGCGGCCAAGAACCCGAGATGGAAAGCACAAATGACACCAAAGTTCTGGGGTGGTTTCATGAGTCATTCACAGAGCAAAGCGGACCGACATACTCTCCAAAGATGACCATACCAAAAGTCGAACGTCAGTCCAACATAAATGTTGCCATCTACTAGAAGCTGCCCGGGCTGCGATCCGGCTGTTGTACAAACCTGGTTTACAAGCGAAACATTCTCATAGCCAGGACCTTGAGGGACGAGAGTGGAGCAAATTCCGTCGAGCGTATGAAACTCGTTCACAACAAGTGCACTGAACCCCCACCACAAAGGCTAAGACAGCAATATCGATAATAAACGAAAGAAGCATCTTGCAAGGAATAGAATGACGCACGTTCATCCACATGATCCACCGCAAGCCCGTCGGAGCAGTCGGCCAAGGAATTGCGTATCCACCATAGAACGATATCAAGAGGATGAAGATACCACTAACAGCTATTGCGCTATGACAAGTTTTGAAGCTTGCAGCAATAGCTCTGAAGAATGACTTCATGGTTTGCGACATCAAAAAGATAAAAAGGTAAAATATACTGTTGTGCAACAGGGTGAGCATCAATGCCAAGAGAAAACAGCACGAAGAACTCACAAAAATTGTGCGGCAGAACGTTGCAACCCAACAAGGAAGTAGAGGATCACAGCGAAAACCAGTTGAACAACTAAAGTGATCGGAATATCGACGACAGTATGCGCGAGGCTCTGGATGAATGGGTAATGTAACGCGGCTTTCTGGTGGCGAAGCACGATTGGGCGCTGGAAGAAAAGCGCCGGGACTTCTGCAATGGATGTAATAGCGCTGAAGAATAGGGAGCTGAAAAAGCCGTGAAGCACAACTTGAATCACGACAAGGGAAGAAACTTACAAAAACAGGACACCTGCGCGAGAAAAATAGGCTGAGGTATCATTTGGCACGTTCAGAAAAACAGTGCCCAAAATTATCGCTTGGAAGACCTGGGAACTATCACCTAGTGTCACTGAGGGTTGGACAAAAAAAGAATGTCGCCTACGCCAGTTGTACAAAGAGCTCGAATTTATCACCGACAATAACTTGCAGGCGGCGCTTCATGACCGCTTTCACTTGCTGGGGGATAGAAGCCACATATGTAGTAGATGTGGAGGCACGTTCAGCGGCTGCGCTAGACAGATACGCCTGCTTGTGTTCGTGATTGCCGATACATTGCTCGCAGCGTTGTTCAATCGCTTTCCGGTTCTGATGACCGAGGTCGGACGCAATGAAACGGCTAGCAAGGTCCTCCGACGTCCGCGGGACAAAGCTCTCATATCCAGGGCGGATTTTCCTTCCGTTCGCGTCCGTAACTGATAATATAGATTAAGAGACAATCCTACAAAACCATAGTGCCCTACCTGAAACCAGGAAATCGGGAGTAGTCTGCCTGTTTTGTGGTTCGAAGCCCATATCGATAAAATAGCCTTTGGCCGACTTTGCTGAACCAAAATAGGCCATTTTGCCTTCCGCAATAATACAGACCTTGTCAAACAAATCATATAATCGCTCGCCTGCCTGGTAGAGAGAAACGATCGTCGTTGTGCGTTTGACATCTGTGATGGAACGTAATGTGCGAACAAACTCAAGGGCAGTCGAGGAGTCTAGTCCACGAGTGGAACTGGATGAGAGACAAGTCAGAATAACACCACTTTGAATGACCACAACACACTTATCCCACACACAAAGTGAGCCTGCAGAGCCTAAAGTTTCTGCGATAGAAACTCGCTTTCTCTCGCCTCCCGAAACACCTTGCACCTGAGCATTACCGACCAAGGCATTTTTCGAACGGTAGAGGCCAATGACTTTCATTAGCATCGTGGTGGTATCCTCAACATAGTCCTCGCGCGTCTGGCCGAGAAAACGTGTTGCGGGAGTACGGTTTCTGATAGCAAAAGAGAGCGTCTGGTTGACAGTCAGGGTCGGGAAGTGGACATCATCCTCCGGACAGTAAGTGACATCGCCACGGAAGGAGTCATGAATCTCCTTCGGGGTGAATGAATCATAGAAAACTTGACCCTCGACTGCATGGTACTCTCCACGTTGATTAGCGAGAGTCTTGAGGAAGGTTGAACACCCAGAACCAGGACGACCAAGGACCACTATACGGAAGGTCGATATTGGGTGTAGTGGAACAATGTGCACTTACAAAGCATTTCGCCAGGAGTGACCAAGCCCTCGAATCCGGACAAGATGTCTCTAATTGGGGGGTGGCGGATTTCCCTTATCTTGTACAGAAACGTTGAGGGATGAAAAGGTGAGCCTACAGTGGGTTGGAGCGAGGTACGGGAACCTGCGCCGACGACACGCAAGTCCTTAAACATGACACCAAGTTGACGGTCCTTGATTCCTTCATCTTGACGGCTGAGGGAGAGATGATAAAATGCCAAATTAGTGAGTTTATGCAAGACACCCACGTAATACTTACCGTTTCACAAGATCTCTGAGTATCTGCTCGAAATCAAATGCTTGCTCGTTTTCTACGGAAGTGGATATGTCTGACGATTTCTTAAGGAGTGAGGGAGCGGATGCGTCCGAATCTAGGTCTGAAGGTAGGTCATGAACCGGAGTAGCAACCTGACTAGCTGAGGAGTGAAACAGTCTATTACTAAAGACATGCTGTCTTCTTTGATGGGGAGGCATAACAACTTGAAGAACAGGATTGCAATGAACCGCAGGAACAACTCAGATGAGTGCAAAGGCTACACACGGGACATATGGGTGGTGAGTGAAAACCTAAGAACTTTATAGTACACTATTTACCGACCTATATGTGCTAGTCCACGACCAACCCACTATGAGAAGTATGCATCTCGGGTGGCGGAGCCTTGACGTACCACGCTAGCGCTCTGCCCCCAACATCGAAGATGGAGGCCACAATGCGCTATAATAAGCTCAGTTACATTGTAAGTGTCAAAACCAAGATTGCTTTGGCTGGAAGCTTACTAACTTCTTTCAGTGAACATTATGTATTCGAACGCGTCAAAAATACTTCCATCATTGCGAACTAATGTCGAAGTATACCAAACCCAGTTTGAGGCCTCAAACAGGACTATTTCGCAGAGCGTGGAATAAACGCCACACCCAGAAATCAACTATCAGGCCTGATTTGATGGCAATAACAAGGCAACCGTTGGAGTACAGGATCGGCTAAAACGAGGAGGCACAGATGCAACTCGTTTGGACATTGGTGGTAAAGGAAATGTTCATTCCTCAAGATTGTTTCTAAACCCAATCCGTCCCCGATTTCGTCGGAGCTAGACATAGGTGTTGTCAATGTGAGATGGACTTTACCGCAAGTCGAACACGCAGAAACTTGACTAGGCTCCTGAGGGCCGCCTCCAGGCCTTTGGTGGGTTTCTTCGTGGTAAATCACTCGCCTGAGACACAAGCAGGAGTCGACCATGCTGCCAGAGTGTCGAACCCGGGATGACTCCACCATTTCTCGATAGAGAAGAGGTCAGTGGGCAGTCGGTCCTACAACTCATCAACATGCTTAGTCTCCCCTATAATCGTCGACGAATGAAGATTACAAACATGTTATACCTGGACGATTGGTCGCACCGTTTCCTTATCATCTTCAGCCCCGGAAGCCCTTAATGCAGAATCTAAATAAAGAAATATGAACGTTCTCGAATCACAGAATTTCAGCTGTAGGCTAAAAAGAACGTGAATCTTACATCAGGTTGCAAACTCGGGACGACGGGAAGGAACAGCCACCACACTACGCCGCATGTAGGCCATGTCGTTCTGTGCCGTAGGGTTGGTTGTATTCGAACTAAGAAGCGAACACGCTCAGTGTTTGAAGAAACGACTGAGGTATATATCATGAAGGTCATACATAGTACAATGAAAAGGGAAATATGTCGAGAACATCCGTTTTCAGAAGTTCATTTTCAGCATTGATTTTCAGTCATGTGATGTCGTCGCGTCAAATTGAAAACAGTTGAACATTTTGTTACTGTACCTCCCTCTCCCATTTTATCATTGCCTTTATTCGTTACTCCATTTAATCTTTCAATCATTTCTGCTACGCGACACCTAAAACAAACCTCTATCGGCGCCCAAAATGATCCCTCCAGAGCTCAAAGCCGCTGCTTGGGCATTTCTGCTGGACACGCTGCTTCGCTTTTTCAGCGTGCGTGTCACGCAGACTTTGTACGCCCTACCATATCTCCCACCCCATCTGCTTCTCGGACCTAGTTTGGCTTATCCTCACTCGAGAAATGACGTCGTTCCAGAGGGTTTGGCTCACTTTCAGCCATCATTTTCAACATCAACAGCTACATCGTCTCCTATTACCTCCTCACACGATACACCTACCACAACATTAACACCACTATCTCCAACCCTGATGCCTTGGGTTCTCGATCCACCGGCGGAACCTGAGCACGCTTTCTGGTTTCACAATCCACCCACAGGCGCACCACGCCCATCACAGAAGCGCACGCGCAACATAATTTTCCCTTCCTGGGTGCGCCAGCAGGCGCCCGCGCCCGGCGAAAAGCAGCACAAAGCACTCGCCCCTTTCTTCCCGCGCATAATCACCTTCTGCCCTGTGCTGCTCTTCGTCCATTACACACTCGCTTTGAGTACAGCATACCTCATACTATCTGTAAGCCCTACACCACTGAAGCTGCTTGACTCGCGCTGACATACCTGGGTGATATTTTCTGCATAGGTCCTCGCGATGCTCGTCGCTGCACCATTCGAACGGTCTTCGGAGGCTGTGCTTTGTGATGCACCGCTCGTCAACCCTGGTATGGCAAGCCTTATGGTATGGATCTATAAGATGATAGAGCCAGGTACTGCAGTCGCTCGGTGTGTCGCGGCGTTTCCCATGGCTGCCCTCCATTGGTCGTGGCCTATCATCAAAGAAGCAACCTCTATGCTCGGCTACTGTCTCTGCACTGGTACAGCACGCCTCGTTCATATCCTAGTAGCGTGCCTCAGCAACGTTGCTCATATGTCGTCTAGCGCTACTCATTGTACCGCCGCGTTCATGGTGGCTGCACGTAGATGGCCGTTCTTCGTCCTTCACCAGATATACGCCTTTCTGGCTGGCTGCCTCTGTCGGATCTCGATCGGTATCAAAGCAATCCACCATTTTGTGCACAAGAAACCAGCCAAGAAAGCACAAATTCCGATCATTACCATAACACCTGCTGAAAACGATGAGCCGAGCGTACGAGAGAGTGTCGATATTGCCGTGCTGCTGGAGGAGATCAGCGAAGGAACCACCGGACTCGAGCCTCTTCTAGGGTATGCAAGCCTAAGTTCCGATAATTGTCCCGAAGATGGCGTCGTCGCCGAGCCGCGGATAGATAAACCCCTGACCCATATATCTTGCGACCAGGTCGGCGGTGAAGAGGAGCCCTTAGTTGCCGAACAGCACGCCCTATTTTGCGGACAGGAGCAGCATCCTAAGTGTCCAGACCACGAAAGCAGGCTAGACGCTCCTGATGAGGCACTGCCTGGCGCGATTATCGGGAAACCTGAGAATCACGCCATCTATTCACGGGATTCTGGAGAAGGAGTGGTAGTTGGACTCGAGGGTCCAGTCGCCTATTCGTCGCTAGTGCCTTCTGCGGAAAATGAAACAACGGCGATAGCCTCAAATCATCACAGAGCAGGGTGTCCCATTCACCGGTTGGCGCCAAAGGAAAGTACTCCTGGCGAGCCGACGTTCTCGGAAGGAGGCGCCTACCAAGAAACTATTCCTGGCAGCGCCGAGCTAGCTCTGAAACAGGAGGGTACCTATAATAATCAGGACGTTCTCAGCCCGTGGGTCGTAATTGATGTCTCTGAACCGAAAGGCCCTAGCCAATGTCCAGGGAATACGGCATCAGCGGATGAATCCCCCGGCGATCCAGTTGTGGAAAGCATAAAGTCTCACAGGGCCGTCCAGTTCCCACTACCGGATAGCGTACAAGCCACGGAGAAGATTCAGTCTTCATTGGTGCCTAGCTACAGCGCAGTCGCTGAGCCATCATTGATCGTCCGGGACGAGGATGGCAGACAGCCTAACAATACAACCGCTCTGCCTGAAGAGACCAGCGATCAACACGAAAACAGCAGCACCAACAAAATATACTTCACACCGGGCAATGAAACGTTCATGCCCGAGGCGGTTATGGAAACGAAAGAGTCAGCCTTCTCCTCCTTTGTTCCCCCCTCTTCGGCTCCATGGAAGACGAACATCAAGGAGAATAGTTTGCTTACGACGATGACGGAGGCATTGATACCGGGCGAAATCCCCTCGGCGGAGGTGACTGCACAAAACGCCCAACCGTCGACATCTCCGAACACCAAGGGATGTCCCCTAGGTACAAAGGAAGGCCCTACTAACATGGCATCATATGACAAACTTTATTCTATATCCAACCCTAATCTCGATGACGGTCAAGAATCAACCAGCGAGATATGGGATTGTCCAAAATCGGGAACGAACGCACCATCCCACCGGCTCTTGTCAGCATCTATCCACGCTCCTTCGGGACAGTCATCAGAACCGACCCATTGTATTGGACTAAGGGGAGCCAACGAGTCTAGCCCCACAATGTCCCAGTCAAGAAGACCGCCACACGTGATTCTCAACAATAACTCTTTGAACCATCGGGCGGCGTCTTTCACACCACAAGGCTTAGTTCTGAAGAGTACGTTGACGAGATATGACCCGCCACTGCGACTCGCTGGACCGGGCCTGGAACAAGGCGACCACGCTCTGAATGTGAACCTCTCAAATCCCACACATTCAAGGAAGTACATGGCTGATCTACCTGATCACATTACAAGGGCCTACGGACCGCAGCCCTTGCACTCTGCTGGAGCCTACGCGACTCGTGGAAACGTTCCCCTTCGAACGGCCGTTTCGGGTACCGATTATAAAACGATTCACAGAGTGCCGTCAACACGCGGGCTCCACGTCCCGGATTGGGCTGCTGAGGCTGCTGCGGAGCGAAGGTCTGTAGGAATGCACATCTCCGCGCCGAAAGTGTCTTTGGGAACCTCAGCAACCCGTGCGTCTTCGTTGCACCAGCCTGAGGATACGATAACACTACGCACGCCCATTCCGAGAGATATTTTCACTCCAGCTCTCCAACGTGACGCATCCAGAGTGGCCAGATGGGCTGCCGAAGTATCCCGTGTGCGAGAGCCTGCAAGGAGTCAAATTCTCGAGGGTTCTAGTCTCGATGTGAAGGTCAAGGGTTGTCGTCAGGGTGCTCAACAGAGGCCGCTCCTTCTGATCCATGATGCAAACACAACGTTATCGCGGGACGATACGCCAGCTATTTTCCCAAACACGTCTCGAGCTGCTTATCATAGTCAAAGACCAAAGCCTTCCGAATTTGCAAAACGGGCCGCTGAAACGCGCGATGAAGAGCAAACAAAGTAAGGGTGTCCTATATTAAAACCGTTCGACGAATTATTAATGAGCATTTTAGGACTGTCCAGGGCTCTTACTACGAATCCCTTTGCGCAAGGAAGATGGAGGATATCATACAAGAGGGGAGACGCATAAACGCGAACATGGGGAGGTTGCCTTCGAATGGACAATCTCCTACATTGAGCGACTTGAGCCTGAGCGAGTGGTTTGATCGAGGAAGGGACCCAATCTCCGGAGAAGACATCGAGAGGATGATCCGTATGATCACACGGGGATACTGATATGTAAGCTTCCAATGGACCATGGTCTCATATCTCGTCATCCAGCCATCGTGATTTTTGGGAGAGTCTTATGCATCGAGTCTGTGAACAGTCTAGTGTCGGATCGATTCTGGATAATTTGTACCGCATTTCGTTTTGTATCAATGTAACACTTTATGTGATTTCCGTGCCTTGGAGACGAGTTGTATCAGTGTCCAAAGCGATTCGCCAGACCCCAGACAGATCTAAGGAAGTCGTTACTTCACAATGATGAAGACGGTTCGCCAAGTTGAATGATAAGTACAACTTGCAGAAAATTCCTTTTTGGGAAGTTTTCATACTCCGCAGTTGCTCGTCCAAACCTACTCCGAGAGGCACGCGTACGCTGTCCAGCTCGACGTCAAGACTCATTTCAAGGCCCTTCCTGCCCGTCAAATCCTTGTGAGTATTGTTCGCGTTGCCTGGGGTGGATTAGGATGCAAAGAAGCGTGTCAGAAACTCCCCATGGCTGGATGAGTTACCTCCCAGTTGGATGACATGACTGACTCCAGCCTTCCTCAGCCGGACAAGTGCGATATCAGCATCGCAGTACGTTTGATTCCTATGAGCGCTGTCCAACTCATTTTAAACTCTCCTTCAGCTGCCGCATTTCATTCAATTAGCCCAGCATGATTATTACCAAACAAAACAGGCGTGCCATCTACGAGAACCTCTTCAAGGGTGGGTCATTGGCATACAAGCCTGCGATAGCTTTCAAGAGCTCATTATCAATTGATCTCAGAGGGTGTCCTGGTCGCCAAGAAAGATTACAACGCGCCGAAGCATGAAGAGCTTGATGTCCCTAACCTCGAGGTTATCAAGGCCATGCAGAGCCTGACCTCCAGGGGCTTCGTTAAGACCCAATTCTCGTGGCAGTGGTATTACTACGTTTTGACCCCTGAAGGCGTTGAATATCTCAGGGAGTGGTGGGTAGCCTAGTTGTGCAGTATCCACCCGGACTCACGTATCATCAGGCTACACCTCCCCAACGAGATCGTTCCTTCGACTCACAAGCGCGCCGCTCGCCCACCACGCCCAGCAACTGTGCGCCCTGGCGGTGGCGATGGTGCCTACCGCGCACCTCGCGGTGACCGCGACGATTACCGGAAGAAGGAGGGTGGTGCGCCCGGCGATTACAGGCCATCATTTGCAGGTGTTGGTCGGGGCGCACCTAGAGAGTAGGCGGTTGGTTGGTGTGAGGCGCTATAAGTTCGGTCAGAGTGCTAATACTTGCATCCCTGGGTGATCGCAAAATTTTGTATGAGCATGTTCTATGCATGACTATACTATGCTTTCCTTCGTGTTCCTTCTCATTTGTCCACCTCAACTTCAGGAACTGTTATCGCTACCATTCACCAAATAACTCCACGACATTGCGAATGTCCAGAGCGATTTCCTTATCCCTCATTACGCTCTCTCGGAAGTCGACTATTTGCTTCGAAGAGGAACTGTTGGTCTGCCGTTGATCAACTAATACCACGGTTGTCTTGAAGACGCACCTCGTCTTGCTGCAAGCCCTGGACCCACTCACAAACACCTGAGACTGCATCGACACCAACTTGTCTAGAATCCCTGAAACTCCTGAGTCTTCCAGGACCTCATCTTCAAACTGAACATTCCCCTCGAGCATTCTCAATCTTTTTATCTGCGATAGTAGGTCAATCATTCCATATCCCTCTAGATCACCGCCTATCTGGAACGCGTCCTGAATGATGTCCATGGCCTCCTTGTGCTCGGGCGTAACAGTCCGGAAAGTCCCAGGCCTCGCGCTTTTAGTTTTCGCACCGCTTGGCTGTTCTGAGCCTTCTAAAAGGTGGTGATAGTCTGTCGCGAACCAAACCAGTTGAGGCCCTGAGGCATCGTCGCCGAGCACTGAACGAAGAGTAGAGACGAGTGACGCCGCACACCACGCAAGGTTTTCCACCGGGACGTGTTCTAGTCTCCAATGCACTGCGATAAAAGGTCCCGTGAAGCTTGCTAATCTCTCTGCGAGCTCAACCAGTGCATGAGAGTACTGCAGGTCTATGTTGGGCTCAGGGAAGATTGGGTGGCGCAGGTCCCACTCGATGGCTATCACGTCAGAATTTCGGAGCGCGGCAAGCTCGTCTGAGAAATATTCCACGGAGTCTGCAGCCTCTGAGAGAATCTGTATGATACGCTGGCTTGTCGATGGCCTATTTGGGTGGCTGCGATAGAAGGTGAAGGAAATTATAGACGGGCTTTGGTGGAGTCTAGGAAACTTGGAGTGTATGCAGGAAGCGACCTTGTGGTCTGCGAGATCATAATTGACGCTGAAATCATCGTCAGCGAGTGGATCAGGTAGCGAATCTCGTTCGCCACTCTTGCTAGCGCTGAAAGAGATGACTTTGCTTGTAGGTAAGATGGGTCGCGTTTCGCTCCAATTGTCAAATACAGTGAAAGGCAAGGTGCTGATAGCGGGGAGGGAGCTTCTAAGCAGGTCCACGTCGTAATATGAATCGAGCGGCCATTTTGAGCAAGCCCCTATGCGATTATTTGCTACATTCGGAAGAACGAGAGTGCGTTTCAAGTTACTTGCGAGAATAGCTAGTTGCTGAAGATGCAGATGGGCTTTCGGTTCTTGTTCAGCAATACGAAGGGGAAGAAGAAAGCGACAGGGGTAGGAACCGCAAACTGATTCATCGAATTGGATTGCGTCGGCAGCTGGAGCTGTCAGTGAATGGGCATGGACGCCTGCACGTTCCGACACATCTTTGGACTCGGGAATTCTGGTGACAATTGGCGGCCATTTAAGATGGGGTCGTGAGACCGTCGAGGGATATACATCGTGATGATCGGGTTCGTGGAGATCGTGAAGCACGCGAAGGACGGTTCGGTCAATTAGTTTTGGTGATGGTGAACGCACATGAGTCGAGCCTATTCCGAAATCTGTCATGTTCGGCAAAGAGTTTGGAGTAGGATCGTTAGGTGACGTCCCCAGTGTGCGCCGCGACGCTGATTTCGACAGCGAGATGTAGAGAATACCAGTTATGAGGACTGCAGTAATGAAACCAATAAAATGTGGAAAGTTGGATGAAGGCAGATGATTTGGACCACGATAGCGTTGTTCTGGCCTTGTAGAAGGTGAACGCGCTCGACACGACAAGACTTCCACTTCTCGTGGGCGTTTGGACCTTTTGAGGGGATGATGCATAGTGGAAGCACTAAGTCTAAGTTAAAGTTCAAGTTGTATGAATTGCAGACTCCGGGAGCAACATACTTCAAATATGTCCAACCAATAATCCGAATGTATGTGGTAGGCTCAAGGCTTCATCAACTCCTGCCAGAAGGTATGCGAATAAACGTATTATATATTCTACAAAACTATCGGTAGAGTACCAAGGATATCATTAGCAGCGGGTAACCTAGACATGCTCATCGTCAGAATACGCTTCGTACTTGACGGATTCAATTCAACCTACGTACCTAATTCCTTCTACTCTTGGGAGCGCGCTCATACGCGTTACCACTCGAGCCCGCTTCTTCTGGTTCATGAACATTAGGTGCGTCGCGGGTAGCAAGTCCCTCACTATGCCCGTCTCCTTCGGGATGATGCATCCGTCTCTGACGTGGACAATTACTGTGCTGACAGCTTGAATCAGAGTCTGACTCAGATGATTCTTCCTCGGACGATTCATCAAACCGTCGAGGCTTGTGGTATATACAGCAGACTATGGGGTAGTACAGTCAGCTCCATCACAGGAATTCAAGACTGGAGATACTCGCTCTTTGACTTTTTCTTTCCGCATCCCTCGTTGTCAATCACATCTTCATCCCATGCAACTCGCTGACGAGTCTTGCGTGGTTCCCCCCGTAATCTAAGAGCTCCCACGACCGTCGAGTCACCAGACCGACCAGCGTCATCTTCTGATCGTGGCTGCGAATCGCGCAGCGTAATCGTCCGGGATCCATCAGTAGGCGCAGATGTGTATGCCCTTGCCTGTGTGGTCATCGTTGATCAGGGACTATGTTACTTTCGGTAAGTTGGAAGAGATGGAAAGGTCCACGATTCATCTATGAATTTTACATAAGCAGGTGGTGCAGTTCCATAAACTTTCAGTGATCGCGGCGATAGCTGTTATTCAACTGTATTGAATGATAACCATTAAATCGACATGCAGTACAATTACAACATAGCATGAAAACGTGGGGTATGATGAGTTGTAATGGATGCGACGCAAATAGTACAAATTGTCCGAACACGATGCAGCGGAACGAAAAAAAAATGCTGGTCATGCAACGATCCACGTTGCCAAAAGATAGTCATAAGTAGAAAGGCGATGATGTCAGATTAGCCATAAACGACCCTAAGATACGATCCGGTCAGTTCCACGACCCGATCCATCAAACTTTGAGTGCTCACCCCCTGGCAGTCGTGGATATAGGTTTGAAATCTGTTCGTCCAGATTCAACAAAATGACGGAGGACTTCCGCCCAATCGTCTCGCGAATCCCACGATATTTTACTGGGTGGGTCGACTTCCACGGGCATAACTTGGCTTATGCCACCACATTGTACGAGTATAACAAGGGTTCCGATTCCCCCGCTGCGGCGACAGCGTTCCTCTCGCCGGCTGATATCAGCGGCAACAAGGGGATCATGGCTGGTCACATATGTCCGTGAGACTATATGCGTATTTGCTACCGAGAAACTGCGTGTCAGGCGGAGTCAGTATTTATCCCTTTTAAGTCCGGTGACTAGAACTTACCGGTATAATGATTCGGCGTGAGCATTGTAGCTCAGCTCGATAAGCAGCGCACTTTGCCGGATATTGGCAGGCAGGCGCTTTAATTGAAGGGCTTGGAAGCCGGCCCATCCGAGAAGTGAAGAATGTGTCGAAGTAAACTTGCGAAGATATTTCGCCAAATTTTCGTCAGGATATGCGGGTCCAATGGCCTGCTGTTTTGCTCCTGACATCTGAGCAGCGGTGTGCTGACAGATGGTCTTATGAGAAGGCCAATGCGACTTTTGGCACTCAGGGGACTGTGATTTGCGTCAGAATGATGACATGCTAATAGAGACTGATAGACTTACACAGTATTGGGTGGTCATCTATTGAAAGATAATGACCTGGTCAGGGGGGGTGGTGATGGAAGGGAAGGGAAGGGACTTACACAACCACCGCAGAGTCGGAACTTCTGGGCTTGTGGGTTTTCAACTGCACCGCAAGTATCGCAGATACGATAACCACGTTGCTTCTGGTGTGCATGAGGAGGAGCGGAATAATAGTTGGCTGCTGCTGGTGCCATTGTACTGGTAGTAAAGAAGTAATGTGAATAGCTCGGATGCTTGTTGGTTAACCTCCGACATTGTCTGGAGTGTTTTATAGCTGGAAGAGCTGATGTGTATGTCCATGTTGGGCGAGCGTGTCAAGAAGTTGTTGCGATCTTGGTGGAGAACAAAAAAGTAGGTCTGGTGCTTTTTGTCTTGAATGTAACTGAAAGTAAAACCCGGCAAGGTCTTTTGTGTCTGTAGTCAAGGAATAGATGCGGATATGCGAAAACAGTGCTTCTTAAATGCCCAATACAATAAAGCAATGAGAAACTGAAATCAGTGGCCGATAATCTAGTGAGCAAGACAAAAAGCTCAAAAAGGAAAAGAAGCTAGACGGTAATTGTTTATATTTATTTGTTCCGGTCCAAATTTGGATGTGCCGTTAGTGCTAATTGTTGCAGGTCAAAAGACTCAAAATATTGCATGTAACGTCTTCTCACAACTTTGACAGCAGATCTCAGTCCAGATTCATCCTCCACTCAAAATATCATATCGAACTCTTGTTGCGCCCACGAATCTAGCAACTTCAAAGGAGAGCCTTTACCCGCAATCTCGGACACGAGGCACGGATGGATCCTGTTCAGTGTTTCAACCGGTTAGCTCTTGCCAAAAACTCTTCGGGATTTCACAGCGCTCCGTTCTCATATCGCAATTAGCCTTCGGCTACCCTTTGAACCTTGTTCCTTTGTCCTGTGCCATACTCTGCGCCACCTACTGGTTTTCTCCAACCCCCTTCGTAATCTAGATGTTATTTCGGCAAATCGAAATGAAACCCTCTTCGAGGTACTCGCTCTATCTCGGACCATACTCTCTGTCCTATCGTCTTTGTTGAAGACGACATCGACTCCAGCTCACTTAAGAATGACATCAATCGACGTCGGCATGGCACCTTTTGTATCCTCCGAGTGGGTTCTGTGATGTGGATCAGAGTCTACCTCTATCAAAAGCTTGACAGACTTCGATGCAGTGCAAGCAGCTTACCAGAGCCATTCCTTTGTGTCGATGTTCTATATCAATTTGGTTTCCCGTTAGCTACCCGTCCCACGATCCCTGCAATGGTGTCTGCCATATGGGTGGCTATGCTTATGAGGAGCGGAACCGACTGAGTTGCCCTACTAGGTATGTCCACCAACCGATGCCTCCAAAGGTACCAGTTCAACGTCAATTTCCTGACTTGGAAATATTCAAGACAACAATCGACGCTCCATCCATATCCAATCCCTTTAACGGCAAGATCCTGTCGCAGTCAGCGGCTTTAGAAGGGGCCTATGATGGCATACGATAGGCTTGTGACTAGCCTGGCTTCTACTCCACGGACAAGTCGAGTGGGTGACCCTGTCACACCCTTCGCTCCAGTCAAACTGGCCCACGAGTCTAGGTCTATGATGTTGCTGTTAACTTGTCGTGCCAGCAGTTTCCTACAATATTTGCCAGGGATGCTCTACAAATTGTTCTTCGAGATCTGTAACCATGTTCGGCTTGTCGGTATGGCACATCGCTCGACTTCAGTGATAAGTATTACTGGAAGACACTCAATCGCAAACCCGACGCCTGAACCCCAATAATAAAGAAGGACGACTATCTCCCATTGTATCGTCTATCTAGTGGAGACCCATCGGACACATGTACATATTCACAACCAAGTTTCTATGAATGCAATTTATACGAAGCAATTGAGGTCACCGGGTATGTCGCCATACAAGAGAAAAGATTGGTGAGTAAGAATAATTACAAATAAGTTGCAAACGCACGAATGTCAGATCACAGATCCAACACAGAATTGTGGTCTACTGCAGGGTAGGCTCTATGACAGCCTCGGCAGTTTTGTCCCTCACGCCTTTAAGGAACCGTACTAAATCCGTCCCGCCTGTGCCTTTCAGCACTCCCCTGCCAACCTCTTGAGCTTCTGGACCTGCGTTCTGGAGCTCCATCCTTTCACGGGCAGCAGGCCCGATAATATAGATTGCCACGATCTTGATGTGCGCGTCCCTAAACGCCTTCACCGACTGCACTGCAGAATTGTACGCGTCCAGAAGCTCTGCATCAGGCTTCGCTTGCGTCACGAACGTCCGCACAGTACGTGGGTTCGTACTGAGGTGTCGCAAGAAATTGCGATGGTGACGCGGCATGTAGGTCTGCATCCTTCTCAACAGCGTCCGCTGGTCCGGCGTAACACCACCTTCGACCACATTACAATTGTCCAAGCCAAGAAATACGTCTAGAGCATGGATCAGGGCGCTCTGCCCTGCGCTTGGCCCTGAGAGGTCGGTCGGCTGCTCCTCAACACCTTCGAACACCCATTTCCTGTGAGCAGGATCCGAGTCTGCGCCGCGGAACCATGGGCGGATGGAGTGATAAAACGTGCTAGGGTCGCAGCCCTTACGCACGTCAAGCAGGATAACCTCGAGGTCATTCACGATTGAAGCAAGCTTGTGGAGATATGCAGTGATGCGCCTGATGGTTATCTCGTCGCCGACGAACAATTCGTCCAAAGTCGCACGCATCAGTTCGAGAGCCTCGACGCCGCGGAGCTCTATACGGGCAGAAGCAAGGTAAAATTCTTGCTCGTCTATGGTACCGGAGAACATGTCCAGGCTGTGAAGATTGTCCAGAGCGGGGGGCTCGAATCCAAGCTCATCTTGGGCCCTGGGGCGGATGATGTCCCAATTATAGAGGACATTGTCAGAGTAAGTAACAACTGGGGGTAACTGCAAGTGATTGGATATGGCGACGAGGGGAACAGCGATTGGCTCTGGAATGAACACGGGCGAAGAAAGGGGGAGAGTATGAATATAGAAATGCATAATGAAGGTGAGAACGTGGTGTGCGCGTCGAAGGAGCAGTTCGGAGTGTGTGAGCTCGAACGCGGGGAGGACAGGCAGCTGACGATGCGTGTGAGTGAGAAGCGCGTAAACGGAGACCCGCACTGACCTGTCGAACATGTCCACGCCACGACTCTGATGATTGTTTCTCGTCGCTTGTCAGGCCTGATTTGATAGCGAGTTGTAGCTTTGCCTGCATTGCAGCATCTAGTGCTGTCTCCCAAAGTTCCCATTGTATGGGGAGTCTACTTAAAGGGGGATCTGGGGGCATGAAACCCGTGCGAGTGTCGACATCGAAATCGTGTGCAGCAAGAGTGGAGGTATCGACATGTCCCTCGTTTGCGCCGAGGAGGAAGTCCTGACGGGGCTGGAGCAGGAAGTGATCAGGGGGTAGCAAGTCGGTTGAATCGTTAGACATCTTGTGAGGGGGGAATCTGGTTCGCTGTGAAGTGAGTCAACGAATATGGATGATGATGAGAGGGTCGCATAAGAGGGGTAGATCTTTTTTAAATTGTTTTCCCGGTTGAAACCGGCGGAACTTCATATCGTGCTGCAGCCCTGCCAGAACAGCCTGAAACCAGTCGCTGAGTCAACTACGGTATGGGATTTTGCCAAAAGCCGTTGTCAACAACACGTATGACTTATAAGGTTTCAAAATTTCATCCATGGCTCCTAAATTTCTCTATGATCCGTGGTAACGTAAAAAATGCAGTAATGATATGCAGCGAGGGATCTGCCGGCATGACCCTTCCGGGTGACTCGACGCGTCTGTCACGCGTTTGTGACAACACTTTCTCTCCTGCAAAATGGAATCGACACCAGTGACGCCTTCTCGACGTTCAAAGCGCTTTCAACCGCTTGTAACTCCCGTGAAGACTGACGCCTTTGTAGACAAATCTGTAATTTGGACAGACCCTCCGTGTTACATCCGTCCCACTGTATACGAAGATTACCAGGTTCTTCAAGAGGATGAGGGATGGCAACCAGAGCCAGGAATGCAGACTGCTTTTCGCAAGTCGTTTAAGCGCACAAAGAATACCGCGCCAGCTTCACGGAAGGGACTGAGTGCACGCAGGTCAGCTGTCCAGACTGAGACATTTGAAGTCGGAGACACCGTGCTCGTCAAAACTCAGTCTACAAAACACCCGAGCGTTGGAGTCATCGCCTCCATGTGGGAGTTTCAAGGCGGGGATGACTGGGAGGACGACAACTCACAGATGATGGTTAGAGTTCACTGGTTCCAACATCCATCGGAACTGCCTCGCATAAGGGCAAAGAGGGAACACTTCGAGGTCAGTGGCACATCTGTTGATTGTCGTCCGCTCATTCCTACCACCAGAACGAAGTGTATTTCACTCTCGCTTCACAAGCTATTCTTCCGCCTTCATGTATACTATCGCACTGTACCATCTCCGAAGTTCCAAATACCGCACCCACAGCGCGCAAACGAAGCAACTGGATCACCGCTACTCCAGAAGAGAAAACGAATTTCTATTGTCGTCTTGCAATTGAGTCCCGTAGCAACATTTACTATGATTTCCACTGGGCAATTCACAAGCAACAAGCTCTGGCAAGCTCTAATGAAGACCTTGCCAATGGCACTTGCTGGCACGTTGCTGTAGAGACCACGCCGTCAAGACAGCGTACGAAGAAGCGAACAAAACTTCAAGACATTGCCGAAGAAAGCGGCGACGATTCCGTTCGCGATCGTGACTATGAGAACGATGAACCTCCCTCAGAGCCCGATGACCACCTCATCCCCTCTGTTATTGATGATGCCTCCGACAGCGAGACGCCTCTCAGCGCACCTATCGATGAAGTCCCCAAGACACCGTCTCGCAAGCGCAAACGCACCATAACCACACCCAAGTCAACACCCAGCAAGAAACGTGGACCGAAACTCGCAGCGCCCACTCCGCATTCCAAAGCGGCATTACGAAAGCGAAGTCGAAAAGCACCAGCTGTCCGTGTTCCCCCTCCGAATCTCACGCAGGAGCACTATAATCAACTGCAAAACCTTCCTCCAGATTCGTGGCTTCGCGCCATGCACGTCCTCCATGTCGCCGCGCGTCCCGATGTTCTCCCGTGCCGTGAGGAGGAATACAGCCGCGTTCTGAGAACTGTAGAAGAACTTCTGGAGGAAGGAAGCGGAGGTTGCGTTTGTGCGTAAATTCTCTTCCATTCTTTTTCACTCATTTAACTGCGATTTTCAGATATTTCTGGAGTACCAGGAACAGGCAAGACTGCAACAGTTCATGCCATTATTCGTGAGCTCAAACGAATGGCTGAGAATAATGTTTGTTCTCTCTCACTCGATTAATCTCCCTTATGGATCTTATTGGGTAGGAAACGAATCCTTTCACATACGTTGAAATCAACGGACTCAGGATCCCCGAGCCATCTGCCGCATATAACCTACTTTGGGAGACCGTATCGGGGCACGATGTAGCGAGCGATGGCCACCTCAAGGCCAGCGCCAAGGAATCGCTCAAGCAGCTTACCAAACACTTCTCCGCAGGCGCACGGGCGGGTCCCGCAGGGCACGCGTGGTAAGCAGTAGTCTCCTCAACCAGTCGGTCATACGTAGCTGAGTTGCGTGCCTAGTGTTGTTCTTATGGACGAGCTTGATCAGCTTGTTACGGCTAAGCAGGACGTGGTGTACAACTTCTTCAACTGGCCCACGATCGCAGGCTCAAAGCTTGTCGTGATTGCTGTCGCAAATACCATGGACCTTCCAGAGCGGGTGATGACCGGACGCGTACGCAGTCGGCTTGGTACGTGCCATTAAACTGAGCATCTCGCCCGTCTCGTGCTCATTTGTGCGCTGCAAAGGCATGATCCGAATCAACTTCCAGCCATACACGACACAGCAGCTCGAGAAGATTGTACATGCACGTCTCAAAGACGCCAAAGAGGGCCTCGAAGAGCCGCCGGACGTGATGAACGCCGACGGCGTCAAGTTTGCTGCAATGAAGGTTTCATCGATCAGCGGAGATGCACGCCGGGTGCTTGATATTTGCCGGTATGTGTAGGGCTTGTTCCGCGGCGATAATACAATTGATCTCAGATATAGACGAGCGGTAGAACTCGTGCATCCCAAGCGGCGCGCTGCTCGCACGGAGGACGTAAAGGAGGTCATCAAAGTCCTACAGAACAGCCCAACCGCAGCATACCTCCGGGACTGCAGCTTACATGAGCGAATCATGCTCGCATCCCTGCTGAGATGTATAAAGCGGGAGGGTGTTGAGGAGATCAAATGGGGCGAGGTATGTTTTATTATTATTATTTCTGTGGAATACTCGATTGATAGTACGTAAGATTGAAAACCAGCATATCGTATATGTTGAGGTCCTGACTTCGGAAGGAGATCCGTCTCGGAAGCCCACGCCCGAGGAACTGGGACTTGTTCTAGATTCCCTGGTTGCCTCCCGCGCTATGATCGTCGAGGATGGTGTGAATGCCGTCCGCAAGCCCCCCCGGGACCGCAAGGTCATTCTCAACTTAGAACAGACTGAGGTAGAGAGGGTGCTGAGTGAGGTAGGTGGACGGTCATGGGCAACAGCGCTTGGTGTTGGCGCATGATCAATACCAAAGATTCCTCTGGACCTGATAGGTTGATATCAACGGGCTGCATCTGTCATTGGCTGGGAAGGTTCTTCAGGCCGCCTTGTCCCACCTGTCTCATAGTGCTGATACCATCACATAGATGACATGTATTTCATATTTCATACCCTACGCTAAGTACTTGTGTATTTCTATCTAGAGTTCGATTTGGTCAACGGCAACAAGACAGCTCCAATATTAGGAAATTACGCGGCGCCAGGATCTCGGGTGCGAGTACCTACTGTCATTGGGTTTAGGAGGCATATCAACCAACTATCATAAAAGAATGACGGCACATCTACGTCAGGAGTCAGCATGTCACCAAACAACGCTTAACGTTGTTGTCGTTGACACAAACATCGCTTTCATGATCTTTTTATCAACGCCATCATCAGCGCCGGCAATGGGGTCTCGTACCCCTGTCAATCATGGATGTGCATCACAGGCTATCACAGGCTGCATGCAGACGAAGGCTATGCTGTCCTGCAGGTTGGCGCGGTAACATTTCTCGAATGACTTGTGAAATGCACACTGCATTCCTAGGTCCCTAGATGTTGTATGTGTGGTGCCGCTATCAAAATACACCCAGAAGTATTTTATTTCTAATTTTTCCTGTTCTTTCAGTCTGTCCCCGGGGGTCCCTGATCTACGAATTATGCTTCGGCGGGCCGGAAAATCCTTGTCCGTTCACGTCTGGTCCTCATTTCATGTCAGCAAGTCCTTGATATGTACTTCATTATGAGGCTTGCACTGGCGCGATGACACCAGTCGTGGCACACTAGTTCAGCTCGTAAATTTATTTTCCTTCCATCGCCCCTCCTTTACTCGTTGTCACGCAATGATGGTCTTATTTCAATTTAATGTACGCCGATATAAACGCCTCCACGTTCCAAGATAATTCGAGCACATCCAGAACAGGAGCCCTCTTCATTGGCTGGTACTTTATGTCTGTCTCGCTGCCTGTTGCGCATGGTAAACGAAAGTAAGTCCGCAAGATTCATTAATAGCGAGCTTCAGGCAAGTGTCAATATGGGGAAGGATGCATCCTTAATCGATACATGAAATCTCATCAATCGTCTCGTTCTCCATCATGGCGTCACTCGTCCTCACGACGATAATAAATATTTCCTTCCATATCATATGCTAACGTATCTTTATAGCTACGGTGCAATTTGGTATACAATCAAGGCGAAACGAAAGCTCCAATAGTACAGTTAGATCTCAAGATGACAACAGACAAATTCCGGAGGCATATTATACTATACAACAGAACGGCAGCAGATCAACCGCAGCACGATCACAAGGAATTCCCAGAATAATAGACGCTCGAGGCACCATCGTTGACACAAGCGTCTAATCCGTGCTCTTTAAACGCCATCCTGAGCGCCGTGGATGGGCTAAAGAGCAAATTCGGCTTATCCGTTATCTCAAATCCCTCGTGAATACGCATCACAGGCGGCAGGCAAAGGCTATACAGTCCTGTAGATTGGCGCCACCTGCCAGCCACTTGCCATGGACGTTCCGATGCGTCCGGGAAGATATGAAGATAGTTTGATACCGGCTTGAATTTGAATTTATCTGAGGGTCCCTCTGCGACGGGATCGATCTCGAGAACAAGGAGATCCTGGAATTCCGGGTGCTCTGCCTGAGCGGTCACCGACAATTGAGATATGAACTCTTGGTGGGACTGAATTTCAGCATCTTCGATCTTGGCCAAAAGGAACAGGCTTCTCCTGATATATCGTGAAGCATTCGGGCCTGTGAATGCGGGTCAATATGCAGAATGTGTCAGAGCACGTAGGGAGACGCGCCGATGGCAGCTTTGAGGTACTTGCACGCCAAACGATGGCCCTGATCCCAATCCATGCTCTGGCATTGTCTAGAACAATATCTCGCAACGGTGCACCTGGCACACTGGAATAGATCCCACTGCGGATGCCATTCATCACTGTTCTGCAGAATCAGGGCTTGATTAGCAACAGTCTCCAGAGGGAGAAATAATGTGGTTCACTTACATGCACAGCAGCACACTGACGATCGAAGAATATCGATGCCGCGGGTATCTGGCTCCTAAGGTCCAAGAAGCCTCGGACGTCTTTTTTGAACAGATTCCAAGCCTGGAGTAGGTCTGTATCGCGCTGAGCAATCGCATCTAGCGACTTCTCATCAGCGTCTAGCTCGCTCCCTGCGATCCGCAAGACCTTGTCGAACGTGAGGTATGAACGAAGGGCAGTAATCAACAATGCATTAAGGCATTCCGCCGTATTCGCGCCGGGAATACAGGTATGAGCTTGAAGGACGGTAGGGAGAAATCGCGCCCGAAGGGCCTGACATATAACGGCCACAAGGTCATCCACAGGGCCTCCCATGAGTAGTGCAATGTAACCTAAAGCATCCTCAAATGCCTTCTTGATATGTTTGGCAAAGTCATCGTGCTTCAGGGTTAAAGAGAGTTGACATAGATCACGAAGGGTGTAGATAATGACGGCCACGAGGTTGCGATCGATGTAGGCCTCTCGCAAGGCGCTATGCTGTTGACTGGTAACGAATAGTAGGTTTGCACAATTCCCAAAGCAATTAATGAGCATTATTTGCCAACGAGGCACCCCGAAAACAGAATCGCATGAAGTGGTATCGTCGATGCTTTGTCCAGAAACGACCTTCTTCCTATACAGACAGCGGATATTTCTGATATACTTGAAGACAATAGAAGCCATGGCTCTAATGCCTCCTGCGACATGAATAAGGGTGGTCGTAAAAGAAGGATGGTCAACATCCAGGCATGTCTGCACCACGTATGACATGTGTTCCTGGAATGCTCCTTGCTCCTTGCTGCCCATTACCTTATCAGCCTCGGTGAGAAAGTCATTGTCCTTTGAGGTGACGGCCATGCGCCACAGCTGCGAGATGATGGGGTGTAGAGATGGTGTATTGATCAGTGACTGTGGTGTTTGTGAGTCGCCGATTAAGCCCATCCGCATCAGCATGTTAACAACGAGCTTCAGCGCTTCTGATCTAGTTATGAGAAGACCCGGAAGGCGGGCGGGGTTGCTGGAGGCGAAGAAGTGACGATAAAAGAAATTGACCCAGAGATGACAGCGATGCCAATTGGATATAAGGTTGTCAGCGATGGTCTGTAGCGCCTGCGTCAATTCCTTTGGGTAATTGACACGATTCAGCGTGACCAGCACTCCTTTAAGGGAGTACCTTGCAAGCATAATACTCCTCACATCCCTCGAAGTGACCACATCGGGGATGCGAGCAGGATCAAGGTGGTGATAGAAGACTGGGAGTAGTATGAGAAGTTGCTCTGGTTTCCAATGTTGTGCAATGTTGCATAGTCCGTCGAGCTCCTTGATTGACCCGCTGGCAGCCTTATTGATCATGAACTGTCAAGACAGGAGACAACTAACCTGAGCCGATGCAGAATGGTAGTTATATTATCACACGCACCTGTATCACTCGGGCGAACGTATGGCCATCTTCAGGTTGCCTTTGAGGAGGGGCGGATGACATGAGGGATGTTCACACTAGTATTGGTACAAGCCCTGAAGCGCTCGTCGGTGCAGACGTTTGTCACGCGACTGTCACGTAACATAGCCACAAACCGCATGTTAAACCTTGCGTTATAGTGGCAATTCAAAAGGTTACCGGCGGTTAGATAACAACTATTCTCCACACGGCGGGGAAACTAATATTTTATGACCTTTTGTCGCCAGTGAATTCGAATTACATTCGAGAGATAATGCGGAGTTCTAGATGTGCTTTTGATTTGCAAGAGGCAAAATGTTGAAACCGATGTGCCAGTATCAATTCCTCTCTCAACTTTTCCATTGCCAACGACTTTCGAGCGTAAAGATACAGAATTCATGTTGCAGACTGACCGAGGTTGCGCTTCGAGTGTAGATGAAGGTAGTAGATGTGAAGGTATAGTGTGTAACGGTAACAGGATGCGTGATAGTGAAACATCAATCACGCCCAGTTGTCGATAAGAGAATCCCGCATCTCGCCAATGACAGCTGAAGAACTTTGGCCTTGAAGTTCTGTGATGGCAGAATACTTTTAAAGGGTAAAAAATAAGGCAAGAACGGTGGACCCACTGAATGCAGCTTCGATAACACTGATCTCCGTGGCGGTAGTGTCAAGCCCAGTGAACGCGCACCAGTCATTCACGACGAGACCTCCGCCAATAACGTCTGAGCCTCGGTTTACAGTACCAGCCTAAGAAATTACCAGAGGAAACTCAGTTACGAGTTACAATATACCTGCACCGGGCCTCCTAGGAATACGCACCACGAGGGGAATTTGTAGAAGACTGCTCAGTTCATCTTGGTCCTGAACACTCGTCTTTGGGTGAACTAGTCCACCCTGGTTTGATAGCGCACAATAGCTCCCCACAAGGACATTGTCTGCGACGGTCTGCCTGAAGACCTCAACCTTGAGGACATCAGCAATGATTTCCTCGGTCTCGCGATCAACGTCAGGGTGGACAAGGGCAACGTAGTCATTGCAAGCGATTACGTTGCCGAGTGCAGATAGACGTTCTTCGACTCGTTGGATGGCCACAGCATCAGGAAGGGAGTTGCGCAGATGTTGCAGTTCTTGATCAGTCGTTGTTGAAGGGACGAGGAGACCATGTCTATTTCCTAGAAATGATGAAAATGAGGATTTTGCATAAATTATGAGCAAATGATATGACAGACCTGCGGTCAATCTCCCAACGATACGGGTACCGCCGATCGTGGAATGCACGATGGGAATGACTTCGCCAAGCTCAGCCTCAAAGGCCGAGTAGAAATTTGCGCTGCCTTGTATTGCAGCCAGGCAGTAGCTGTTTGTTAATTTTGAGAACACGCCGATTTCGCTGCTGTTTTCGAATTGGATGCCTGTGATGTATGTTTATGGGACGCATAAGATTGCGCATCAGTAAAGACACCCACGAGTAGCCATGATTGATTGTTGAAGGTTTGAAGGGTGATCGATGATCTACAGCTAGTCCTTGAGAGATTGAAGTAGTACAGAAAAGAGTGGGAAGGAGTATGGAGGATCGTGGAGGATCGTTGAGATAGATAGTGTGTATTTATGTAAGTACTTGTGACGATGTCAAGATATGTGCTTCGAAAATTTCGTAATGCGACAAAGTACGAGTCAATAATCGTAATCAATCTCCGAGTCCGGTTCCGCTTGGACCTCGCGCTTTCGATTCCCTCGGATCCAAGCGGCTTGATGGACTTCTGACTCAAGAATATTTGCAGGAATAAATCACTGGGGCACTCGTGGTCTACAAGCTTAAGATGATCTGCTCAACCGTACCGGCCCGCGGTTGATTCAAATCAATCTGGTATGGTCTGGCATGACTTGCAGTATTAGGTTCCGCTTTTGGAACCCTAATTTGCTACAGTAAGTAGCTCGCGAACTTCAAGACCTAAACATAGATGCTCAAATTTGCTGCAAGGTATGGTTCAAATGGACTCTCTTCGTGGCTCAGGCAGCCAAATTGTCGTCATGCACTCCATGCAAGAACTATTCTGCGTGCTCGCATGATGTCTGGAGACTCCTTCGGTTCTCTGACCGACGTCGAGAAACTAATGCTGGATAGTGTCAAGGTAAGGTCCCCGACCATGCAGCTTCTCAAGTTTGGGTCTCATAAAGAGAAGGCAACAGGTCCTATATCATTCTCGACGTTCATGCAACTCAGTCTTGGGCACCCCACATATGGGTACTACATGAAGCCAGAACATGCTGTCTTTGGCACCCAAGGTGATTTTATCACCAGTCCTGAGATTAGCCAAATGTTTGGCGAGGTGAGATTCGCGTCTTCATGTGTTTCACATCTTGAAAACGCGAAATTCGCTACGAATAGCTTGTTGCGCTATGGGTGTTAAGGCAGTGGATGGATACGAATGTTAAAGGACCCTTCCGAGTGGTAGAACTTGGACCTGGCAGGGGGACATTGATGGACGACATACTTCGGGTGGGTGATAGTGTACGGGCGGTTGTTTGTTTCTCACCGCGTTTATTCCAGGTTTTGAAACAGCTTCCTGCAGCACTCGGACAATTAAAGAGCATTCACTTGGTCGAGAGCAGTGCGACTATGCGTGCATTGCAGGAAAGCAAGCTTCGCAAGGCTTCTCAGGAGGGTAAATTCGAGATAATGTGGCATGATGCAATCGAAGAAATTGAGCACGAGGAAGACGTCTTCACCATGCTAGTAGCTCATGAGTTTTTCGACGCCCTTCCCGTGAACGTCATCGAGGTGAGTTCTGTCCGAAGAAACGAACATTTGCTTTACTAACGGAATTTATAGAGAACTCAACAAGGTTGGAACGACGTGCTAATTGCCCCCTCAAGTGATCCAAGCATCAAATACGCCATGCCCTCTTCGGAGTCAGACTCTCCCCCACAATTGCATCCTACATCTTCGCGTTGGACGCGTGTTCTCTCTCCAAATCCAACAGCATCATCGACCCTCCTCGGACTTGCTTCTCCTCGGTTCTATTCGCTCCCCGTTGGGACGCGTATAGAGGTATCCAGAGCGTCCATGAACCAAGCACGGGGTATAGGGAAACTCATCGACACCAAAGGCAAAGGATGTGCGCTTGTCGTCGACTATGGTGCAGACAAAGCCTTTAGCGATTCCTTGCGGGTATGAATTCAGACTCAGGTACAGAATTCTGACCAATAACCATTCACAGGCCTTCAAACAGCATGAAATCGTTGATATCTTCTGCCGTCCCGGAGAATGTGACGTCACGGCGAATGTCGATTTTGCATTGCTGAAAGAGTCTATGGCTGACCTTGGTGCGTTTCATGATGGTGCTTTGCTACATGATTATTGAAGATGTGTAGTCTCGACACATGGTCCCATCTCCCAGCGTGACTTCCTCACGCGCATGGGCATAGAAATCCGGGCCGACGCTCTTGTGCGTTCGGCTTCCTCTCCAGAGAGGAAAAAGGCGATCGAAGATGGCGCGAACAGGCTCATTGATCCCCTTGGGATGGGTGAGCAGTACAAGGTGCTCGGAGTTGTTGCGAAAAGTAGCGGAGAAGGCCAAGATGCTGGTGAGGTTTGGCCATTCACTGTAGTCCAAGAGAGTGCACAACAATCCCTTTAATCGTCAGACCGGTATAAGATACAAGTTCACAGTATGTACAATACATAGTAAGGGGCCTGAAAACCAGCGGCATGCCCACATAAACAATTGCCAGCTCACCATCACAAAAACGCACTACTATATACAAACGAGGAACCTACGATTTATGCGTATTGAGCCTTGATAATATCCGCCAACTTCTCAGCTGTCGCAATAACTGCACCAGCCTGTATCTTTGTCAGCTTTCGCGATTAACTTTCAGTGTTCCGACCACCTACCGGGTGTCCTGAGACCAGCTTGGGGAAAACACTTGCATCACACACACGGAGACCCAGAGTGCCTTTAACGCGCAAGTCCGAGTCCACGACGCCGCCAGGACCCATGGAACACGTCCCTATCGGATGATATACCGTCTCTACGCGGTCTCGAACAACATCAGCCAGCTCTGCGTCACTGAGACGAGAGAAGTGGTGATCAAGTTCAGGGTCCGAGGCGTGCACATCAGTGACAAAGGTCATGGGCGCTGTGTATGCGATTTTGAGGGCAGCGCGGAGGCCTCGAACGAGTACATCAACATCATGTTTTGTCCCGAGGTAGCTAGGCCATAATAAGCCAAGGGCGAGTTTGAAGCAAACGGGTTGCCCTACCTAGGGTCCATGATTGGGTCCTCCCAAGGATCGGCAGAGTTGAGAAGGAGTGATCCTTTGCTTGTGGGACTGGCAGTACAAAGACGTCTCGGTCGGGTTCGAAGTAGGAACATTGATTGCTCACCGTAACAAGACAATGATCATTTGATATGCCTGGAGTTTGTGGCTGAGGGGTATACTGTGTGAGTGCACTGCGCCAGCACACATGATGATCTCCAGGTCAGGTGCGTCTGGACCTGAACTGGCATCCTCGATGTCATTGTTGTACTCCGCGGGCGGGAAGAGCACCTGATCATCTGATCGGAAGAATGCTACAGACTCGCCGACCTATAGTACTATTTAGTACCGGTGATGTGAGCGCAAGGAAGACTTGACCAACGTTAGAAGCGAATGGGCCAGTGCCCCACAGTTGGTATCGCAGAAGGTCGCGCATGAACAAGCCCAGGCTGCCCAAACTATGAGGCGTAAAATGGTGGAACGTGGTTCCAGTTTTGTCCCTAAACCGGAGATTGACTGATGGGTGATCCACGAGGTTGGCACCGACGCTGGGGGCGTCGAGCACGATCGGGATATTGTGACGCAAAAGCTGATCAGCTGGACCAATGCCAGAAAGCATCAAGATCTGCGGAGAGTATATGGTGCCACCGCTAAGAAAAGGTAAATAATCGATTAAGATAACTCAAAAAGTCACGCACGAAACGATGACTTCCTTGCTCGCCCGTGCACGGAACTTGGGTCCGACTTTACCCACATGAGATTTGCTGGCAAACTCGACACCAGTTGCACGTGGAGTGCCACTGGAGGTGTCAAAGAGAACCTTGGAGACACGGGCGTGGGTGACGACTTTCAAATTCGGACGAGCAAGGACCTCATCAGTGAGGTATGCAGACTCGGTAGTTACGCGAGTGCTCTTGCTGTCGATATACGTCACTGTGTATCAATTGTTCACCAAATGTTGATCCTGACAGCCACCAATGGACTCACTGATCTGTGCCATATTAACGAGCGGCGTTAGCGACTTTGAAACTTCAGGTTTGCAGAACTTGCAAAGAAGGACTCGCCTTATTTGTCCCCTTTGTTCCTTTAGTCGTGCAGAAATCTGGCGAGAAAGGGATGCCGGCGTTCATGCACGCCTCGATAAAAAGTTTGCTGCCTGTCCAGATGTGGGCGCTATATCCAATCTCGACAGGCCCATTGGCACCGCGGAGGAGTGGATCAACATGTGGGAAGCGAGGGTCTGGGATGTATCTCTCGAATTTTCGAATATACCTGAACAACAGAGTTATCGGAAGGGGAGTAACGATGAATAAATGACATGCTTGCTGAAGTTGTTCCATGACCAGGACTCGTCGCCAGCAATTTCCGCCCATTCGTCAAAATCGGACGGTGAGCCGTATTGTGCACTGAGACAGTAGGGGTAAGACAGTGCACCGGAAGATGCATTATGACTCACATCATGGCATTCATAGCAGAACCTGAGGGACATCAAAATATTGCTTCACCGGGAGAACGACTACTCACATCCTCCGAGGAATTTAGCTGAATGCACGGTGATCAGCATAACAACTGGGAGTCAATGAAAACGACGTACCGCGAGGCCAATACTTTTTCTTGTTGCCTGCATGCTGCTGGGGCGCGGTATAAAGATTGTAGTCCCATGGACTGCGCATTAGTTTCGAGAACGCAGCAGGTGTCTTGCTTGGAATGATATCTTTAGAGCTATAAATAACTTCAGCATCTCCGAAGCAAACAAAACCCTCCAAGACGCTAACCTTCCACCAGCCTCAATGAGTAGAACTCGGAGATTTGGGTTTTCGGAGAGTCGTGATGCCAGAACACAACCCGCTGTGCCTAGATAGGTTCGGGGCATTAGAAATGGTGCTATGGAACATTGAATGTATCATACCTCCTCCAACAATGATGAAGTCCCACTCATCAAACTCGACTCCGTCGTCATGTACTTTCCTTGCTACTTTCGCGTAGTCTGTTATGAGCTTCGATTTTTTTGCTGTGAGGTACCTCAGGACGATGGTTAGCGCCACGACGCTTGCTGCTGCACCAAGAGAAAGTCTAATTGGGGTGGCAGTACGAGCCTGAAGGGCATCCAAAAGACCGAGCAGCTTTGCGAACGTGTCTGTATGGATCATGATTTATGCGGGGTAGAAAGTATCGAAGATGAGGGGAAGCCGGAATCATATTTGAAGGCGGGCCCTGGTAGCTCACGCCTCCGGATTCGGATACAAATTGAATCGCACTGCATGTGAATTCGAGTTATTACCGAGTGGTTTCATGGTAGCCGAAGCCCGGAGTCATGACCGAGGAAGGGCACTTATAATTAAAGCTCCTGCAGACGATCTTGTTTCATGCTGGCGGAAGGTGAACCTGCCACAACTTGTGAATGTGTATAAGGGCATGGGTCCCGCCGGAGTGGACAAATTACAAATTGCTCCACATAGTAAGATTCGGTCGGCAGTTGCCGCCAGGACCGGATATCGGATTCTTGACTTCTACGTCTCTTCTTCGAAAGCTATGTACCTACACGTACTAGTACTTGCCTACATAGGCTCACAGTCCTAGTAAGCGCTCAGTGAGGAGGAGTGACAGGCGCATATGAAGAATCGATTGAGTCGTTCTGTCCAGCTTGATCAAGATCATCTATTGCCCCCGCTTCAACTACTCTAGACTTGTCGAAGGATTTTACGGTGTCAGAGTAGCTGCATCTAGTGCACCGAATCACGGTGAACGATCCAGACCAGGGAATTCTTATCTGGGCTTGCTCCGGACCAGAGTTCAAGTTCCGAGAAAGCATTGCATAGTTAATAATTGCTGCGGTGTAAATCGACTTCTTTTTCTCCATAGTCTCGTCATACTAGCTAGTAGTCCACTTCAGTGGTGCGATCTTTCAATATGATAATCTGGCCAAGGCTCCGAGCTCTTGAACCTATCAGGCGTAGGCCGTGCGCTTGCATTTTAGTGCTGTGTGTGGCTGTGCGCCGAAGAAGCATTGCGGGTCACGATCCTTGTCCACTACTAATATTCCACTGCCCTCCAAAGTACTGCTAGCTTTAATAAAGCACCCTACTCGTCTTGGTCCGTGCTGGCCACCTTTCGGCGCATCTTCCCCCTCGGTTTCCTCTCAAGAACCCAACAATCCCGCAGGAGCAATACCCTCCCTATCCCTGAGCCTAGGCACAACACTCCTCAAGCTTCCACCATGCCTTCAGACAGCCCCCCGCCAACGAAAGCCGGCCTCCTCAAGTGGTGGACCCAATTTACACATGCCCAGAATCGTAAAAAGGATTCCGACCCCAGTAAAGGTCTGTCCTATGCCGCTGACATCCGACCCATGACGTTTAATTTCCAATCTATCGTCCAGCTGTAGATCAGGAGGAACACCCAGTTTTTCAGAAACCACTCAAAGAGAGCTTGAGATATGCAAGCGTGCAGATTTCGACTGCCAATGCAAACGGCGAGTTGTACGTCTGGGGGTATATCCCCGTCGTAGTGGCGAAATGGTGAGTGGAGCTGCCCTACGCCGTCTTGACCCGCTGACTGTTTACCTTGACCCCTCATAGTGGCCTGTATCTCAAAGAAAATGGTAAGTCATTGCAAAATGATGCGAACATTAAACTGAACCTTTTGCGTCTACCAGCTACAGAGATAGAGGGGACGTTTCGCGTCAACGGTTCTACTAAGCGCATGCGAGATCTACAAGCCGCTTTCGAGACACCGCCACGAGTGCGTACAGATCGCTCCTATGTAGAACTACGAAGTCCAATTGATACACTATTTTCTTCATCAGTACGGGAAATCTTTGGACTGGAAGAATGAACACTTTACAACACATGATGTCGCAAGTGTCTTTCGTAGATATTTAACTCAGATGCCTGTCAGTGGCGCATCATGCTTCATGCTGTGCATACTTATCTCCACTTAGGAACCCGTAATACCACACGATATGTATCACGATGTGAGTGTATGCTATTTTCTTTGTTGATGGAGGCTGATTTCTGCTCAATTAGTTCCGGGACGTTTTGGGTAAGGGGTTCCGAAAGCTTGAAGCTCAAGCTGAACTCAAGCCCGTGCAGGAAAAAAGCCATTCAACCATGATGAAGTGATTGCAACGTACAAGCGTCTAATCCAACGTATGCCCCGCGCAAATCAATACCTTCTTCTCTACGTATTGGATCTATTATCAGTATTTGCACGAAAATCAGATAAGAATCTTATGACAGCTACAAGTACGCCACGCCCACTCCGATTTTGACTTTATCCTCATCCTTATCCCGCCCAGATCTTGCGGTGATTTTTCGGCCCGGCCTTATATCCCATCCTAACCATGAAATGTCCCCCGGAGAGCACGCGCTGAGCCAACGTGTTCTAGAATTCCTCATTGCGCAACAGGATTGGTTCTTACTCGACATACCACCGCCACCACAATCAGAGCCGAGCTCCTCGTGGAAGCCCCATCCACGGCCCCATCACGCGCACACACAGGTGCCGAGTGAGGAAGACTCGGATCTTGTCATGGTGCCTAGTTCAGATGACGAACACGCGTCTGTTGGTGGAGGCTGGAAGCTTGTCGGCCGTGATAGACGGCGCATTCAACGGCGTCGCACAACGCTGGAACACACTGGTGGGTCATTCCTGGGGGCCGCACATCAAATGGACCATCGCTGAAGTCCGAGGGCACCCCTTGTGATCGTGCCACATATTTTCCCTTCAGATTCGCTTGACAGAACAGAAAATGTTGATGGTGGACAATTGTCGCCTGTCTTGGAGACGCCCACATCACGCCCCGTAAGCCAAGTTTCAGGTCCTACAGCAGCAGGAGTGAGCCGAAGTCGGACGCTGCCCTCCAGTCGAGGATCAAGCACGGACGACGAGAGACACCGTGCTAGGGTACTCAGAAAACAGAAACGAACGTCAGCTCAGCCGCGACAACTAACCACCCCTGCTCTGGGTCACGCAGGTGGGTAGGATGGGTGAAGTTTGAAGTGGAGTCATCTGGAAGTTTGTGATATTGATATACCTGGTGGCGGGCTATCTTATTGCGCTGAGTTCCTGATTTGTTTCCAATAGCTCATTTTGTGTTTCCTTTTCGCCGGTCTGGACAATGACATTCGGGTTTTATATGTACCTATCAGGACTGTTGTAGTATTTACTCGGAAGATAACAACCAGGACAAGTGTTTCGTGTTACAGTCAAGGCTCGGCCAGGGCTTGACGTCAATTCCGCAGCATCTAATTTTGGTTAAATATGACTAAGGAAAGATTTACACCAGAATTAGCACTGGTCACGCCCAGGCTTGATTGCGACGGGGGGTGAACTAGAATAGTCAACACGCAGTGCTGGTGGTCCTCACGAGGCACAAAGCCAGGGAAAGATTTAGTTGTCACGAACTGTTCAAGTTCCGGCTCAAACGTTCCTCTCTTCTGTTCGAATCTGCTCTGACTTGCAAAAATGGCGCAACGAGGCGGGTACTCGAGCTCGATGCAACAGATATCACCCTACAGGGACAACCCGGCGAGCTATAGTCAAGACCCATCATCAGGTGCACCCGTAGTAAGAACCCGTTACCACTCCAAATATTGTTGTGTTGGAATTATATATATATAATGTGTAGCCAGTCTGAAACCGAGTTCGCTTGGAGTTTCTGCTGGTTCAATTATCTCCGCTCCACCCAAATTCTCAGTACCAGTCTTTTCTCCCTTGCGCCTACCATTCACTTTTCTTTGAACTAAATTTCTGCTGCGCAGGCCACACACGCTCATTCGCCCTTCGACTCGTCGCACGATCTATCAGAGCCAACGCTCAGCAATCCAACACATCCCCTTCCAGGCCAGCCCATCTCAGCCGTGCCCTACATGCCCGTCCCACAAACAAACTACCAGAACATTGAGGCAACCCGCAACAGTGACTGGCTGGAGCCATCGCAGCGATCTAGCAAACGCTCAAGATGGATCGTGAGTTTCACTTTTGATCTATATGACGCCAGCCCACTCAACAACGTCCCGCTGAAAAGGTCATTGGCTCGGTAATCACCCTCGTCGTACTGGTTGCTGCTGGTATCGCACTTGGCGTCACGCTGTCGAAAAAGAGCTCGAACAACAGTTCCAGCTCCAGCTCCAGTTCGAGTGCCGCCCCAGCGGGAACGAACCCCAACGATCCTAGCAACTTCCCGAAAAACACTGCTTTGCAGCAGTCGTTCTATGGAATCGCGTATACACCACTGGGCTCGCAGCTGCCCGACTGTGGTAACAATCTAAGTGTGTTAAACCGCGTCTTTTTGGTTGAAATATGTCTAACGTACCGCAGCGGAGGTCATCGAGGATATCCAGGTTTGTCTTTTGAAAGGTTTCTGGGCGTATCCTCTCTTACACCATCTATAGCTATTGTCTCAGCTCACAACGGTAGGTGGTTTGACGGTGTTTTATATGCCTCGCACTCATTCTCTAACCGCCAGAGAATCCGTCTCTATGGCGCTGATTGCAATCAATCCTCTCTCGTCGTAAGTTATTATGCGTACTATATTTGATGTGCCTATCTACACTTCTTTCCAGCTTGCCGCCATTCAGGCTACCAAGGTTAACATGAAGGTCTACCTCGGCAACTACCCCGCTGTCGACGACAACGGGGCCGCGTACGAACGTCAGAGAGGCGAGATTCAGACCGCTCTTCAGCAATACGGTGGAGCCAATGTTCTCGGTGTTACAGTCGGCAATGAATTCATTCTTGAGTTAGCTCTCTTCCATTTCTGAGGCAAAAACTGTTGACTAAACTACTCTCAGTTACATCACACAGCAAGGGCAGACAGATCCTAATGGCTCTGCAGGACAGGCAGGCGAGTTCTTGGTTTTATTGACTGCTGAAACGAATTTCCAATCATTTTTGTCACAGCCGCGGCGATGCTGATACCCTGGATCACTGATACTCGTTCAATGCTGGCTTCGTTGGGTCTTAGCAATATCACCGTCGGTAATGCAGATGCTGGGAGTTATTTCAACAACGAAGTTCTCTCTTCCGTCGACTATGGGGTTGGTATCCCTCTGTGTGTTTTTGGCACCTACTTATGTTTTGCAGATGTCGAACGTCCACCCATGGTTCGCCAATCAAACAATTGATTACGCTGCCAACTGGACGGCCGACTTCTTCCAGACCTACAATGTCGATCTGGCTCAAAATCTTACGAACAAACCGACGATGTTCATTGCCGAGACTGGCTGGCCAACTGTCTGTTCGCTTTATTTTTCATCCCCGACTCATCTAACCATTCTATAGGGCACTTCTGAATTGAACTATAGCCCGAATGATGGGCCTTCGCTCGCTTCGGTAGCTAACTTGCAGGTGCGATTTATTTTTGATCCCGCCGCTTTTATCACCCTCCGTTATAGAATGATTACTTACATCACACTTGCAGATATTCATAGATACTTTCGCATGTCAAGGTATGCGCTTCTTCTCACATGGAGCAGGGATAATGATAGCTCAACATTGCGTTAATAGCTACCAAAAACGGAACTGGATACTTCTTCTTCGAGGTGCGTCTTCGATCTCCCAGTGTGCTTTAAATTTTACTCACTGCGATGTGCGACGATAGTTTTGTGACGAGCCATGGAAGGTAAGCCTGCATTTGCAATGTCCAGGAGCGGGGACTGACTTTTCCCTTGAAGGCCACAACATTTGGTGGTGTAGAGGTAACGTTCAGATTTGATTGGTTTCGTCATCATTGTGATCTCACCCTCGCTCGATAGGGATTTTGGGGCTTGTTCGACTCCAAGTAAATTTACTCACTCCACGTTCCACTGCTGAGGTGCTAATATATATTGATAGCAAAAACCTGAAAAACATCACGATCCCCACATGCTAAATGGCCTTCTCGTTCGGACTCATACCCTTTGCGGACTACAAAGACATTATAGATCCCAGCCGAGACATTCTGTTCCCAGCTAGCCCTCTGTTCATCCCGTGTTTTTGTTTCTGCATGCGGCGGCGGATTACCGGGTGACTTAGTTTATTGAACGTTCACTTCGAAAGGACCATGTGATGTTGCATCTTTATTGGCGATTTTGTTATATAGCTTTAGTCGACTTGCGTTTTTGACGATGTATTTGATACCCGTAGCAACGTTTGACGGCTGAGTAGTTCGTGATCGTTGTCAGTTCGCGCCTTATGATATGAATCTCCATGCCAGCCTTCTGTGGTTGTAATTCTGAAACGTTGACTCTTGTGCAGTCTATTTTTTGATAAGCAGTAGTCTCCTGTGAGCTCAACATTGTGCAGCGTTGGACATAAAACGTTTGGTTGTTTGGGATCTTTAACAAAAGCGGCCTTCGGCCATTCCCGCACGGCCCGCAACCCTTATTCATGGGCATTTAGCGCAGTGGTAGCGCGTATGCTTTGCATTCCTGCATGTATAAGGTCCAGAGTTCAATCCTCTGAATGTCCATTTTTTATTATTTCGGACAGTTGTTTCCAGATGATCCGCTGCATCTGGAACTGACTTTGTTCTCGTGTTTTAAACTCTTGTGCGTATGATCAAGCTAGGAGATATAAAGATCGGAGGGATCGTTGACAGCCAAGTGACACCTTGGACATTCTCCACAGACAGATGAAACTCGACCAATACAAGTCTAGTGGCGCTTGCGGGGATCAAGAAGACCAAAAAAACTTCCTCGTAAACCATGAAATAAGCTTTACAATGAAACTCGAGTCTGGTATTTCAAAGGGGCTCACCGGTGAACGAGAAGAACCCCTTAAAAATGAAATAACTTACTCTAGGAAGGCCGAAATACTAATATCACAACGGACAGTGCCGCCGGTGATCGTGCCACGGGTATGGGCAGAGGGAAATGAAGAGGGAAGACATCGCGCTGTTGGAATAAGAAAATATGATACTAACGCTATATTCAAGCCTTGATCCAGTATGTCATACCGAAAGTTGGTTCAGATCCAGGCTACCTAGGAGGAGACAGACCAGGACCGAGTATCGAGACGGGCCATCAGAACACACCAGTGGGAGCTAATCTGAGTTAATCGATTGACAATGAGGAGATATGCGCTGATGGGGACATCATTTCGTGTAAAACAACACATGTAGTTGAATAAAACAAACGCGTGTGTTTCAAAATTGCCTCGATGCATGTCTCATGTTCCGTTATGTGGGTGCAGGGGTACTGACAAGAGACAGGGGCTGTTATGTACGCGTGTCTTCTGCGAAGATCTCGCGGGAACTAGACCCAGACTCCGCGATGAATAGATTTGTAGGTCTATCAGTACTGATCACTGCCAGCTCTGCATGGGAAAGCCGATGAGCTGGTAGTGAGGAGGGAGAGTCAGTACTAGTCTAACCGTACTTGCTGATTATCGCCGTGACACGCTGCAGTAGATAGAATTCCTTTTAAAATTAATAAATGTTGCCTCGATGATCGCGCGAAGACGCGTTCTGATTGGCTGGCAAACAGCTAAATTATTACGTAATCACGTGACTTGCATGCAGTTTTTGGGGGAGTCGACGCCTGAAACCAAAAAAATTGGGATCCAAACACACTGGGGGAGCAGGCATATAAAGTAAACTCTGAACCCTATCCTCCTTCTTTCACTCTCCTCCCGACCGTCGTCCCTGACGTCCATCATCTTCCTCCCAAAATGTCTGACCAGAACGGCGACGCCGTTCACGAAAACCAATTTGCTACCCGTCCACTAGTAATATCCATCGCAAATGCTAGAGTACGCGTCATATCTTTTCTACCTCTTTTGTCCCTTGTTTAAACTGGTTTTTTCAGGTCTCCATTCCTGTCTCGACTGAAATAGACGAGTGGATCGCTGCTGAAGTCCTTAGAGATGACTTCATCTTGTCACAGAATCACGTCGATGTCGCAGACAACGTCGCTGACCCAGAACGGCCATTACAGGCCTACGTAGATCTCTTTGCACGTTTCCTCGCTTTCATTGCACACAGGACTTCCGATGCATCCGACTGCACAAAGGCACGCACATCCCTTCTCACTAGCGTGTTCAAGCATTTCGTCTCCTCATATTTGACCGACACCGACCTTTTCTCTTTCGTAAACCCATTCGACACCGAGGTCCGCACCGGAATACTTGCAGCTTACTTTGCAGCACGTGCTACCCTAGAGAACCATAATGTTACCGATATTCCCGGTCCCCCTGCTTCCGCCCTTCTCACAGCTGCTGAGGACACCGAGGCATCCATATATGCGCTTTTTGGCGGTCAAGGGACCAACGAGGTCTACTTTGACGAGCTCCAGTCGCTTCACGACACTTACAAGCCTTATGTTTCCCCCATAATCACGTCCATCACCAATGGCATTCTCCTCCCCCTCGTTACTGCCCGTGAGGCTTGTAGCTTTTACAATTATGGCATGAACGTCGCGGCATGGCTCGCAGGCACATCCCCTCGTCCTCCTGTTGAATACCTTGCCTCTATCCCAGTCTCGCTTCCTTTGATCGGTCTCACCCAGCTGGTGCAGTACCTTGTGATATGTCGCGTCTCCGGATTGACTCCCGGCGAGCTTCGCGATCATTTCGCTGGTGCAACTGGCCATTCTCAGGGCGTTGTCTCTGCCATTGCCATTTCGGCATCTACATCATTTGAATCCTTTGATATCAACGCCAAGAAAGCCCTCCGCTGGCTGTTCTTTTGTGGTATGCGCGGGCAGGAAGCCTTCCCCGTGCTTGCCCTAGAACCTAGCATAGTTCAGGACTGCATCGACGGAGGCGAGGGTGATCCCACACCTATGTTGTCCATCACAAACCTATCTCTTGCTGCTCTGCAGCCTCATTTGGCTGCCACGAATGATCATCTGCCACCCAATGCGCAGATCGCTGTCTCTTTGTTCAATGGTCCTAGAAACTTTGTCGTGACTGGCCCTCCACGCTCCCTGTGCGGGCTTGTCACGAACCTGAGGAAGGTACGAGCATCCTCTGGACTTGACCAGAGCAAGGTTCCGTTTTCGCAGCGCAAGCCCGCGTTCGGTGTGCGGTTTTTGGTGGTGAACGCCCCTTACCACAGTGCACATTTGAAGGGCGCTGCTGAGAAGTTGTGTGATGAAGATCTTGAAGGCGAGGAGCTTTGGACCAAGGAGGAATTGGGCATTCCAGTGTTTAACACTGAAGATGGTGCGCATATAGTCGCTTTGAAACGCGTTTCTGGCTAATTTGGTGGTTGTAGGCTCTGATATGCGCACTTCGGCGACATCTATTACGCGTTCATTATGCGACCAGATTTTCACTTCTCCAATTCATTGGACACTCGCAACTGGTTTCCCTGAGACCGCAACCCACGTTGTTGACTTTGGTCCCGGTGGCCTGAATGGCATTGGGCCTCTCACAGCTCGTAATCTTGAAGGTCGTGGCGTTCGAGTCATCACGCTAGGTGATAAGGGTCGCGGTGAAGCGGAGCTCTTTGATATAGAAGATGTCAAGTATGAGGAGTGGTGGAGCAAGAAGTATGCGCCGAAACTTGTGAAGACAAGGTACGTCAATCAAGGACGGCGACTTTGTATTCTAGATTTTAACATGACCTGGACAGCGATGGTACCGTCCACCTGGACACGCCTTTCTCCCGTCTGCTCGGCAAGCCTCCAATCATGGTTGCTGGTATGACCCCCACAACCGTCAAAGCGGGCTTCGTTTCTGCGGTCCTATCTGCTGGCTACCACGTCGAGCTCGCAGGTGGAGGCCACTACAACCCTGCGGCGCTGCGCGCGAAAGTTGCCGAGATTCAAGCACAAATTCCTACAGGCGTCGGTCTCACGCTCAATGCCCTCTACATCAACCCACGCCAATTCGGTTTCCAGTTCCCCTTGTGGCAGGAAATGCGCCGCGAAGGCTTGCCTGTCGAAGGTTTCTGTGTTGCTGCTGGAATACCCAGCACTGAGAAAGCAGCGGAGATCATTGATGGCTTGAGGAAGGCTGGTATCCGGCACGTGTCGTTCAAGCCTGGCTCGGTGGATGGCATCAGGCAGGTCGTCAGTATTGCGAAGGCCAACCCTGATTTCCCTATCATACTTCAATGGACGGGTGGTCGGGCCGGTGGCCACCACTCATACGAAGACTTCCACATGCCTGTGCTGAAGACATACAGTGCCATGCGTTCGCAGGAGAACTTGATTCTTGTCGGCGGTTCTGGGTTTGGAGGTGCTGATGATGTCTGGCCATACCTCACTGGTGAATGGTCAAAGGATCTCTACGGTCAACAGCTCATGCCATTCGACGGTTTCCTGTTCGCATCGCGCGTGATGGTGGCCAAGGAGGCCCACACGAGCTCGAGTGTCAAGGACCTCATCGTGGCAGCGCCCGGCGTGGACGACAAGCAATGGGAGCACACCTACACGAAGCCTACTGGCGGGATCTTGACGGTGCGCTCAGAGCTAGGCGAGCCCATCCACAAGGTCGCCACGCGCGCTGTGAAGCTCTGGAAGGAGTTTGATGACACTGTGTTCAAGCTCCCGAAGGAGAAGCGCAGCCCTTGGCTTGCTGAGCGAAAGGCGGAGATCATTGGCAAGTTGAATGCGGACTTTGCGAAGCCATGGTTTGGTTGGAAGAAGGATGGTAGCGTTGCCCTCGATCTCGGCGACATGACATACGAGGAGGTTGCTTTACGCATGGTCCGCTTGATGTACGTTTCGCATCAGAGTCGGTGGATCGATTTGAGCTTGAGGAACTTGACGGGCGATTGGCTGAGGCGTGTGGAGGAGAGGTTTGCAGGCGTCAATGGAGGGTTGAAGCCTAGTGTGTTGCAGAGCTTCACGGAGCTGGACGATCCCAGCAAGTTTGTGGAGTCGTTCTTTGAGAAGTATCCCGCTTCGAGGACTCAGTTGCTCGCTGCTGAAGACCGAGCGTATTTCCTCACGATATCTCAGCGCGCAGGCCAGAAGCCAGCACCCTTCATTCCGATTTTGGACAGTACCTTCGAGGTGTGGTTTAAGAAGGTTTGTCTTGGTCACCCATGTGTTATGAAGATCAGTCACTGGACTAATTGATTGCAGGATTCGCTTTGGGCTGCAGAGGACATCGAGGCTGTGTTTGACCAGGACCCGCAGCGTGTGTGCATTCTTCAAGGCCCCGTTGCCGTTAAGTATGCCACCGTGAAAGACGAGCCAATCAAGGACCTTCTGGGCAACATCACTTCCAGCCTCGTTGAGAAGCTCCTCGAGCGCTCCTACGGCGGCGATGTTTCAAAGGTGCCAACTGTTGACT